ATTGGAATGAAATTCATGAAAGAGACTTTCAGCGAATTAAGGAAATTTTGGCTTCAAGTCAAACCTTAGCTCTGCCCAACTTGAATCATCCCTTCTGTATCGCCACTGATGCTTCAAATTTTACTATTGGCTGTTGTTTATTCCAAGAGTATAAAACAACAAATGCCGATGGCGAAATAGATACTGTAGTAGAATATATAGGTTTCTTTTCGCGTAAACTAACTAAAAGCGAACGAAACTACAGTACAACCATGCGTGAACTTCTTGCCGTCATATATGCCTTGAAGCAATTTCACAAATTTGTTTGGAATGTTCATTTCATATTGTACTCAGATCATAAAGCTCTATTGTTATTTGCACTCACAGAAGAATGCGAATTCAATGTTGATAAAATGGTTAGACATTTTGCTTGATTATGATTTCTCCGTTATACATATCTCGGGCATCAATAATCAACTTCCAGACAAATTTTCTAGGTTATTTGAAGCTGAAAATGCGGAAGAAGATCAGAGTTCCAAAAACAAGAGAATCATTTCCCCTAGGAAAAATCACGCTATATCTGATGAGATCAACAAGAAAAAGAAATTACTATGGCTCAAAAAATATAACCAGCTTGTTGACACTAAAAGCGAAAAAATCAATATTGATGACGCTAAGCTTTTCTATATACAAAGCGGCCAAGCTCTCTATACTGATTATGTCATACCCGATGAAAAAGAGCGTAAAACTCTCTTAGAAGAAGCTCACCATACAACGGGACATTTTGGTGCCGAACAAATGGTTAAACGACTTCATAATGAAGGAATCCATTGGCCCAATCTCATTCATGATTGTATAACAGCTGTACGTCAATGTGCAGACAGTCAACGCCACAATATAGAAAAACGAGGATATCATCCTGCTCGTAAGATATACTGTTATTACCCAGGTGAACATGTAACCATTGATCTAGGTGGACCTATAAAGACCTCTGCCAATCGCCATGATAACTATTTTTTGGTGATAGTCAATGTATGCACTCGTTTCTGCATATTGCGTCCTCTAGAAAATAAGCATGCTGACACAGTTCTGCGTGTATTAGTAGATGTATTTGCGCCAGTGGGTATTCCTCCCGTGTTGCAAAGCGATAATGGTGGAGAATTCCCTAATTCCCTTCACACAGACTTAGCTGATGCCTTAGGATACGATCATAGATTAATTACTCCTCTCCATGCTAGTGCAAACGGTTTGGGTGAAAGATTTGTACAAAGCGTCAAACTCGCTCTTGCCAAAAATACTCATGGTGTTGGAGATGACCGGAGCTTGCATCTCAATGCAGTCCAAATGAGCTTGAATAATCAAATTTCAAAAAAGTTGAATACAACTCCCTTTTCATTAATGTTTGCACGTAAAATGATCGAGCCATACGGTTTTCGTGCTGAACACGAACGAATCGCTAATGCTGAAAATAGAAAGCATATGTCACATGAAGAATTGATGAAACGTATCGATTACATGCATGATATCGTCTTCCCTGCTATAGCTGCTAAAACAAAGGCAAAAATAGCTGCCGAGGAATCTAAATTTAATAAAAAGCATCGCCTTGTTGAATACAAACCTGGTGATCATGTTATGATTCGTGTTCAAAAAGAAGTTCAATTAGCTCCTGCATATGAAGGACCTTTTACTATAGTCAGAAAGAACCAAGGTAACTCATACGTCCTTCGGTCAGATACAGGTGAAATTACCAAGCGTAATTATACTTCACAAGAACTCAAATTGATCTCTCGAGAAGAAGTCATTGAGTTGGATGATGAAGGTCAAGAAATAAAACACTATGAAATAGAGGACATCTTAGATCATCGTGGTAACCACCGTAACAGAGAATACTTGGTACGATGGAAGAACTACAGTCCAGAATTCGATAGCTGGGTCCCCGTTGCTGATATAAATGCCACAGAAACTCTCCGTCGATATTGGAAACAGTTAGGCAATGCAACGGAAGCCAAGAAGTATGAATCAAAGAATTCACCAACTTCTAGTAAAGCTCTTCGTAAAGCTCCTCCTGGTACAATGACAAAATTCATTCAGGACTTTGATCAGCTCACCACCGAATCCACCTCTCCCGCTAAAAAACCTTTCCACATCTATTCATCGCAAAAGAGATCATCCTGTCAAAGAACAGTCCACCTCAACTAAACGTCGCAGAAACATGCCTTGTTCATCTACCAAGTCTAAAAAAGCTTCTGCTTGGACTTTCAACCTTTGTTACAATACATTGGCTCTCATTTTTTTTTACTCGTTTCTTACTCACCAGTGCTATCGCGCTAAATCTATTAACAAAACTTTCAAAGGTGCTCTAATTCTGGTAGGGGGCAATGTGGTATTTCCATACCTCCTATAATATATAAAGACGAATTAGACACACTTTCAAGCATTTGACTCGTTATTATGATCATAGAAACATAATAACACTTATACACGTCATCTTGTATTTTAAAAGATTCGCATATGTTATGCTGCATTATTACTGGTTGAGAATTTCAGGTACAAGTATTTAACTCCTTTTTTTTTCTCTTTTTTTTCCTTCTTTTGTTGTCAATACAAACATCCAATTCGCTATGAACGCTTCCCTCTCTGATTTTCAGTGTATAATAAAAGGACTAAAGGAGACTCATTTCACCTTACAGTTTATATCAAATTATAAGTCGCGTTCACTAAGCATAAAACAACCACAAATATCACAATCTTGAGTGATCCTTCTTTCAACCAGTAGATCACTATTCCTTACATCGTGCCTCAAATACGACAAACCTTTTGACTATCAGCTAGAAAAAAGATGCTCAAGGCAACCTCACTACTCATCGTGTATGCCTTCATCCTCGAGAACTCAACAAAATTCTCATTGAGGAGGATAAATAACCACTTCCACTCGTCAACGATATCTTTCAGGATATGCAATGTGCAACCGTATTAGGTGACGATCGGTGACGCTAAGAGAATTAAACGGTGATGGTGACGGTGACGGTGACGCTAAGAGGAAATAAACGGTGACGGTGACGGTGACGGTGACGGGCTAAGAGAATTAAACGATGACGATCGGTGACGAACGGTGACGAACGGTGACGGGGACGGTGACGGGCTAAGAGGATTAAACGGTGACGGGTACGGTGACGCTAAGAGGTGACGGTGACGGGCTAAGAGAATTAAACGATGACGATCGGTGACGAACGGTGACGGGGACGGTGACGGGCTAAGAGGATTAAACGGTGACGATCGGTGACGAACGGTGACGAACGGTGACGGGGACGGTGACGGGCTAAGAGGATTAAACGGTGACGATCGGTGACGAACGGTGACGAACGGTGACGGGGACGGTGACGGGCTAAGAGGATTAAACGGTGACGATCGGTGACGAACGGTGACGAACGGTGACGGGGACGGTGACGGGCTAAGAGGATTAAACGGTGACGATCGGTGACGGGGACGGTGACGGGCTAAGAGAATTAAACGATGACGATCGGTGACGAACGGTGAGGGGGACGGTGACGGTGACGGTGACGGTGACGGTGACGGTGAATGTGATGCTGATGTATCCACATCAATGCTTTAACTAATCCACTCTTTAAAGAAAACTGAGACATAACCACTATGATCTAAGGCAAATCATTATAAAATAACAGCTCTTCTCATTTAATAAAACGGTATCTTTTAAGCTCGTTTAATACTTTTGCTATTGCAACGGATAAATCAGACGCTAAGAGAATTAAACGGTGACGATCGGTGACGGTGACGGTGACGGTAAGAGAATTAAACGGTGACGATCGGTGACGGTGTTGTATACGATAAGATAAAAGTATAAGAAAAAGAAAACAAAAGGAAATCAGTGAAGACCAAGTTATCTTCTTTTATTAGGTAGAATATTCTGATAAAGAATTCAATTAAGAATGAAGACAAAAACCATGTAGGAAAAAAGTACTTCTATTTATATTTGTGGATATTGTAAAAAACTTTTTCTATCGAGACTCTTAGGTACAAGATGACCTGATGATAAAAGAAAAAACATACCCAATTGTTACTGCACGGTTCATCATGCTATAGCGGTGCCTTGACCGATTGGATCGGTGACAGGAAGTAAGTGGGTTGATCTAACTAAAGGTTCCTTTGACCCGTACTTCAGCAGTTTCATTATAACTAACGTGACGGACAGGATAAACTATTCCTTAATTCTGCCGACGTCTACGTTTCAGTCTTATTGAATTCTGTCAGAATGTAAAGGGTTAAAGTAAGGGTCAACAAGTTAGAAGATAATAGCTTAAGTAGATTAGATTTATGTATTGTGGTTTGATGTGCTAAATAAAGTTATCTGATTTAATCAAATCCAAATACTATAATATCTTATTTCTAAATGAAGTTAATTACTCATCCAATGTTGTCTCGGATATACAGATGAAATATTCTTCCGCTAAAGAAAAGAATTGTTCTAACAAATCTATCACTCACGGTTATTCTAACCTTCATAAGGATCCGCAATCTCTTATTTCAGTATTATGTAATAATCCAAGAGTAATATGCTGTTGGATACAACAGACGGTGACGGTGGCGGTGACGGTCGGTGACGGTGACGTTAAGAGAATTAAACGGTGACGATCGGTGACGGTGACGGTGACGGTGACGGTGACGGTAAGAGAATTAAACGGTGACGATCGGTGACGGTGACGGTGACGTTAAGAGAATTAAACGGTGACGGTGACGGTGACGTTAAGAGAATTGAACGGTGACGAACGGTGACGATGACGCTAAAAAAGGGCTAAACGGTATGATTCCTATTACAATACGTAGCATATTCTGTTTATATTAATTATAAAAAAAGTCCAACGCTAATTAAATATGTCCACCCAACATTGTAAGTTAATAATTGGTTCTTTATTTGCACTCAAAACTGAATTTCTTTATTTATAGCTGACGATGTAGAAAATTTCAAATTACCTTTGAAATGGAAACCTGGTTCAGATCTCATGAACAAAATGGTATTAACTGACCCGAAGATAATAAATCTGATTGTTTGCTCTCTAGTTGGTACTTCATTAACATTTTTTAAGAAAATGTCTCATTTAAATATGCTCTACTTGTTTAACATAAACCGGTCTGTAGGCCCAGATGTTCCTGCCAATACTTATTCTGTAGCTCAATCGGAGTGGGCAGATGGTACTAGATCGGACGTACTTTACGCGTCGAAAATTGAAAAAGCAGAGGCGTTACCACCAATTTTGATTGAATCGCAATATTATGTCGATCAAGACTTCATGATTCGCCTTATTAGCTATTCGTCAAATGTGTACAAGCGCTACAAAGTGCTACCTATCGTTCTGGTTATTGTGACCAAATCTTTTTCCAAAGCTAGCTTTAAAAATGAGTTTAATACCAGTAGTGATGGATTTCTGCTCGAAGCGAGCTGTAAATTCTGGGCTAAGCAATGTTTTCTACTAACGGCTGATGCCGTCTCAAATTATTCTTACGGTGGCCAAGCAGCATTAGGCCCTATGGTAGCTTTAGGTTACTTTACTACTCATCATACCCTACAACAAATACCCTCACACCACTGTGCGAATCCAACTTTAAAGTTGTTATTAACTATTGTAAAAGGACTTCTGTCCGATGATAGTGATGAAGTAATTCGTAAATCAAGTACGACTTATCTGATAAACCAAATCAAAAGGAGTTTGGAACATATCATTGCAGATAGTCCAGATGATAGTACGAACAAAAAAATCAAAACTTATGTTGAAGAAGGTCTGTTGTCCATTGAACAGTTACAAAGCGATCTAGATAGCAACGATAAAGACAATATTGAAGAAAGTACGGCTGACATGTACACTGCTGAAGACTTTCAATTTATTGAAAGTTTCAGTAAGCCTGGCAAGAACAAGAATTGGAAGAATATTTTCAATGAAGGCAAAAAGCAGGGTTTGTTTAAATCGTATAAATCATCGGATACTCTGAAGTCTTCGTATTATCATATAAGAAGACGAAAAGAACAAAAAGATAATAAGAAATAAAAAGAAAATAGCCGTAAAGTATGTTTATTTTTCTTTGTTTGTTATAGCTTCACAAGCTAAGCATATCGATTGAGTATCTAAATTGAGCGTTAAACTGAAGAATTTGTTGCGACTGGAAATAAAATGACACAATGTCAAAAATGCAGTTGTGTGTGTATCAACTCTATCTAGATTGACTGGATCATCAGGGAGAAACAAAAAGCACTTGTGTGCCCAAAATTTGGATTCGCATTGCATTAAAAATGAATCACCATCAACACTAAACTCCTCACCCATCAAATCAGAACTGTCTTTGATAGAGATAATCAAAACTGTTGGCAAAAGCTTAACCTTCTCGTAGACCAACTTACAGTATTCAATAATGTTTAACATTGCCATTTGATCGATTTCGTCTTGAATAGCAATAAGTATTGGGATAAACCTATCATTTGTATTTTTTGAGACATACAAAGTGTATTCCTCCTTGGAATCAGCCCATTCAGATTGAGCTACAGAATAAGTATTGGCAGGAACATCTGGGCCTACAGACCGGTTTATATGTTAAACAAGTAGAGCATATTTAAATGAGACTTAAAAAATGTTAATGAAGTACCAACTAGAGAGCAAACAATCAGATTTATTATCTTCGGGTCAGTTAATAACATTTTGTTCATGAGATCTGAACCAGGTTTCCATTTCAAAGGTAATTTGAAATTTTCTACATCGTCAGCTATAATTAAAGAAATTCAGTTTTGAGTGCAAATGAGGAACCGATTATTAACTTACAATGTTGGGTAGACATATTGTTAATTAGCGTTGGGCTTTTTTTATAATTAATATAAATAGAATATGCTACGTATTATAAGAGGAATCTGTGGTCATCAATACCGTCACCCGTTTCTTCATATTAGCGTCACCGACGCCGTCATTGTTCATCAACGTTCAATTCTCTTAGCGTCACCGTCACCGTCACCGTCACCGTCACCGTCACCGTTTCTTTCTTTGATGATATACAAATATCGAAAATTTTAATCCACTATAAAAAATAAAAATGAATTGGTTGCAGACCAAAAAATAATTAGAAACTACATAAACTCTTATATACGAGTGCCGTGAATTAAGTGCTGTGTTTAATTGACAGCATTATATGACATGAGGAGAACTCGTACAGTTATACGGGATCCTCATAACCCATCACTGCTGAGATAATAAAAGTAGAGCAGGAAACAAATATAGAATATGTAAGTGATGATTCTTACGCGAGATTAACTACCTCGTATAAGACGGAACAGGTTGTCATTTAGGATATATACAAGTTTACTTATCTACTATAATACGCTACTATATTACATTGGATATATAGTAGAATTAATGTACGAGCGTGCAGGATATATTTGATTCATCACCCGAATAGGTTCTAACTACCATTCACTGCCTTCGACATAAGAATAATACAAGATAATAGGCTATAATCGATCCTTTACAATAATTTTTCACTCAGCTCAAACACCGCGCACGTGCCATTTTCCTGTGTTACGGGGATTAAAGTAGAGACTGAATGTAAAACGGATGTCGTCGGGAATACTGTAGTTGATCTTTCTTGGTGGCTCAAATGTACTAAACAATGTACCAACTGCCAACCCAATTTAAGAAATGTATCAGAAAGATGAAGATTCTCAAAAAGGGGCAGCAGTCAAGAGCATTAAATACGTGAAAGCGGTATTAGAATAATTTAAGAAAAAACAAAAATAAAACAAAATTATAAGGCAAAATGAAATAACGCATAACCTGCATACAGTACTGCATAATAGTCAGTTAGGCAAAATAGGTTAGTTGCATGATCACTAGATCAAGCCATGGATACTTTTACAGATCCACCCGCTCCGTGTACATGCGTAAACTCCACGAGGGGTAGTTCTTATTCCTTTATGGTTCAGAAGACGTATAGAAGACGTACATCTTCTAGAATAACTTGTCAATTTCTAGGTCCCGCAATATGAAGATTTCGCAGTAAATATGTTACTTCATTGTAGACTGTTGTATACGGTAAAGTAAAATCACAATAGAAAAGAAAACAAAAAGGAAATTTGTGAAGACCAAGTTATCTCCTTTTATTAATTCAAAATTCAAATAGAGAGACAAAAGCCATGTAAGAAAAAAGTACTTCTATTTATATTTGTGGATATTGTAAAAACTTTTTCTACGGGACTCTTAGGTATAAGATGACCTGATGATAAAAGAAAAGACATACCCAACTGTTATGGTATGGTTAATCGTGACAGAGCGGTGTCTTGACCGATTGGATCGGTAAACGGAGGTAAGTGAGCTGATCTGACTAAAGGTTCCTTTGGCCCGTACATCGGCAGACCCATTATGAATAATGGGACGGACAGGATAAGCTATTCCTTCATTCTGTCGATGTCTCCATTTAAGCCTTATGAATTCTGTCAGAGTAAAGAGTTAAAGTAAGGGATCAACAAGTTAGATAATAGCTTAAGTAGATTAGATTTATGTATTGTGGTTTGACCTGCAAAATAAAGTTATCTGATTTATACAGATTCAAATACTATATTATCTTATTTCTAAATCAAGTCAATTACTCATATGATGTTGTCTCAGATATACATACACATGAGATATTTTTCCGGGATCGATAAGAATTGTTCTGACAAAGCTATCACTCAAGGTTAAACCAATCATTATAAGGATCTGTAGTCTCTTATTTCAGTATTACGTAATAATCCAAGAGTAATATGATGTTGGATTCAACACCTACGGACTGTTTCAACACTTGTAGAGGTACCTGAAATGTTTGCTTATTGTTGGAGATTGATAACGGTTATAAGTTTATGACTATGAACTCACGTGTTTTTTTATTGTGTAAGGTCTGAAGGGAATTATATTACAATGTGGACGCGTTCGCTAGTCACTAATTTCAGGTACAGATGCTTAATGTATCTTGTTATATGTTGTACATAAACAGTATTAAATGCAATACAGATAAATCGTGGTAGAATGTAATTTCTACCTGGCTTCATGTGCTCGATCTTTGTAGTTGTTAGCTCACCAAACACGTCAACCTGCTTGGTCCTAACGTGAGGTAGCTAACCTCACATAAAGATTATCTTTAATCCGTATTCTTTTCTTACTTTATCTTTATTAATATACAATTGCTCCATAGTTCGAACGTATGCGTTGGAATACACCGCTTACCAAACGGGACCAAGATATGAGCAATGCTCATATCTGGGGTCAAAGTTTAATTTGATATTTCGTTAGACGTTTTGAGTGATTTCTCATGTAATTATATTATCATCATGGCTCTAAATACGGATCAAGGCCTTTCCGTTCGCGGTTTGTCCTTGGTAGTAAACTCTCAAGTCCTCAGTAAAATTTGGCATTTGTTACGAGTAGTACCAGTATCAAAGACATGGTTAAACAACATTCGAACTGTCGTGCACAAATTTGTTCTCCCCTTCCGTCCAGCTCCTTCTTGGCGATCTATCTGTCTCCGCAAGTGTTTTGGCGGCTTGGGCATCATTGATATACTTCAGCAACATCTAGCATTACAGCTTATCTTTGTTCACCGTATTCTTCAGCCTAAATGCAACAGTGATTTCGTTACTCCCTTGATCGGCCATTGTATATACATATGTACTGGTCACCATTCCTTTCTGCCATGGCTGCAGCATCCTCGGGCCTTCTTACCTCTCTTTAAAGGGCTCCCTACGTTATCTATTTTAACACGGCTTCTATTGGAGCTATCCGTATTAATGGGACATACTAGCTGGCCTGGACGCTGATACGCAGATACACCACTCCGTTTTGCTTTGGTACCAGTCAATCATACGAACAATGAGGACTGTCATGATCTGTTGAGACAACCCTGTCTAGCATAATGAGACAACAACTTAGAAAAAACTAGGGTTGCATACACTCATGGGTTTTATGGTTAATAACATACTATCACTGGAACACATGTCTTACTAACTTAAAGTATAAAAGACCTACTCCTCAATGAATGAATAAAGGGCAACCTCTTTTGGCAGTCTCGTTATTTTTTACTTTGATTGTTATTATAAGACATAAATCACAAGGACGCTTATGACCTGTCTCAAATACCTTTGCGCTATACTGTAGCAAATGCAATTTCTTGGTCCTATTCATATAACATGTTCACTAACTAATTTCGGTTAGATCTCCCTAACCTTAATAAGATAGGTAAATTACTCCAGCTGCTTAGAAAAGACACTCCTCCCCTTTACTGGCGTCCTAGGCTCAAAAAGTTCATGCCGCGTGATTTCCGCTTCGATGTACTTTCGCCGACTTGGCCATGTCAGAGGGCCGATCAGCGAGCAACACCAATTGTCGCCTTTGACGCGTCTTCATGGGTTCCTCGGTGCGATCACTGGGGAATTCAAGTTGGCGACCAGTCCATTCTACTTACTAAGTTGACTCCGGGACTATTACGACAATATTGGTCTCAGCGATATCTTCAAGAGAAACTATCGGGTCCATTCTCTATGCTGGGCATCCCACAAGTACTTTATATCTGCCCACCCGGTTTTTGCCATCCTCGTATTTGGAAAGTCTTTTGGTCCTTACGATTGTCACACAAGGTCTTTACCTGCTGGTGGCGGTTGCTGCGCGCATCGTTAAGTTCAAGGTTATCTTTGCATAGTCAGCGCCCTCAGCGCTGGCCATCACCCGAATGTCCACTATGTCTAGCACCCATTGAAGATGACTTTCACTTTGTCGTTGGCTGCCATATCAAATGGTCTTTTTGGTCCGCAGCTTTAGTCTATCTATCTCTCTCTGATGTTCTACGATCTCCAGATGATGTCTGGCATGTTCTCCTACAGTTGAAGCTTCTAACAGATACATACACTGAGAATTACACCTTAGAGTTAGTTGGTAATATTTTGGAAACCCTTTGGCAATATCATTGGTATGTAGCTATCAACAACGAAGCCTGGTCCACAGCTAATGCATTACAGAGACTGCAATCCTCTGTAACTTTAAGTATCACGTTACAGAATGTTGAAAAAGTGTCCCCACCAGACATTACTTAAACACTGTGATGAGAACTGTTCATAATTTGCCGCTCATGTGCCTCTTCTAGCCCTTCCGCCCTTTTTTTTTTTTTCTCCCCTTATACCACTTGTCTTCATCTCTAATTTTCATCCTCTGTCTTTCTGTTCAAATAAATCGCACATGAATTTAAACAAAAAAAAAAAAAAAAAAAAAAAAACCACAACACAATCACCATTACAAAATATAAGCAACAATATATCTTCCAATGTAGAACCAATATAACATTTCTTTTTGAGTACATGCTCTATTACTGATAATCATCAATGAAAATTAACGACTGTCTGACCTAGCAAAACTTCGACCGTATAAAATATTAGTTTAAAAATAATCTGTTGCAACTGGCACATATGGACTTGGATGTCTCATTGCTTTTTGCTTGATATACAAGGTTCGAGCTTTACATTATAACTTCAAGAATGCTACAGATTCAATTATGATCATCTATATTAAATAATCAATGGCTCGATGTCTACACAATTCTGGTCCGCATTCATTTCTCAGCTACTATTATGATGGTTATTATTCTTCGAGTTCTTTATCCCAACAAAAACTCTTAACTTCTTTAATCAGTCCTGTTTTACAGATCATCCTGAATTGCTCATGATACAGTAGATAATGGGGAAAGAAAATTCCCCTCTACTTGCTTAGTTCACTAATAAAATATTACAACCCTATAGTAGCATTTAATTTCTACGCTAAAGTTGCGGAGGCAATTATTGCTCTTCGATATATTCTAATGCTAGTAGAAAATCACTACCCCAAGGGATTCGGAAGCCAGGTCTACTTTGTTCAAAAGAATGAGACGGTAGACCTATATCTGCTATGAACAATTCACCAGTAATATGGCGACCAACACAACCTGCATGAGGCGCACCAAGGCATAGGGTCCATTTCGGCTTAATATAGTTACTACATCCGTAATTGCAAATTGGCAGTTTGCTGCAAGGGGACGACGTTGATGTCTCATGAACAACCATGGATGAATATGTTGAGCCATCATTAGGGTTGATACCACTCGGAAATTCTATGCTGAGAACGGGTGCCTTATTTTTATTTGCCCACTCCATCTGCCGTTTGATTGCAAGCGTAATTTTAAGCAGATCAGGCCCCAATAACGCGTCAATAATTATATCTACAGGCATAGTAGATGAATCAGGAAGTTCTACAATAAAACAAAATCGTTAAGTGATATAGCTAAAAACACAATTTACATTAAAAAGAAAACTGCAGACATCTTGAACTTCCGTTCTTACTAACCCTCGACTGAATAAACAATGTTTGCACCAGAGGATTTAGCCAAAGCTTTATATTGCTCTAGTATTGCCCCACAGTAGGTATTTTCTGTCATACCAATTAAGACTTGACATCCACGATTCGCCAAATGACGTGCAGCTGCAATGCCACATTCCCCAACGAAACCGGGACCCACTAAAATAACAGCAACCGGTGCTGAATTGGGATTATCTGGCTGAATACGACGATGCCCACCAATAGCTTTCAAAACCATGCTACTGATGCCGAAAGCGGCATTTTCTACTATTTGAAGTTGAGTAAGACCTGTCTCTCGAGCAATTAGCTTGGAAATTTCCATTTGATTAGCATTCAAAGTAGGAACTTCGATGCCGCCTGAGACAGTCATAATCCGAGGTGCTGTTTGTACAGCAGTTCTGAGGATCTCATGTTGGTTGCTCAACGCAGAAGCTGTGTCCTTTCTGATATTTGACCCCACAGACGAAACTGTTGACGCTGCGAAGGAAGACTGAGCCGTCAGAGGTGATGTTAATCTAACATTGATGGGTGGTGATTTATTCGGTATAGAGCTAGGTTTTCGATTCAAAACATGAGGTGGGATAAGCGATATAGGAATGGCAGTTGAAGGCTTTGACTGTTGCTGCTTTTCCCGTTTCTTTTGCTTCCTTTCTATGCTTATGTCGGTAGGGGAAACAGGATAAGATTTATCATTCATCAATGAAGCATCTGATCTCATCTGTATAACTCCCTCTACTTCATTAATCGTTTGTTGTCGATCCCTTATTATCGTACCATCATAGCCGTTGTTAACATAACTATGAGCGGATTGACTTTCTCTCCCACAACTTTCAATGGATGTTCTTGTTGTCACAGCCTTTCGAACAGTACCTTTCCCTTTTTCAAAAGCTGAATAGTCTTCAAATTCAACAATTTCCATCACAGGTTTCCTATCCATGCTCATGGCCGCACCAAATAGGGGTTTTCTCTTTTGTTGCTGGGACTCCTTTGATTGTTTTGAAAGTATTTGATTCTTTGATTCCTGCTGTTGCTTTAATTGTTTTTCTTCAGCATATATTGCTGGATCCATTTCAGCTTTTGCGTTTGTTGGTGTGAATGATACGCTGATGATAGCAGGGTCTTGAACTAACACTGACTGTTTTTGGTGCTGCAGCAGTTGTTTTTCCCAGTGACCAACGGCACTATCATTAATAAAAGGATCACATTGCCGTTGTTGCTGAGGTTTTTGAAATAGAATTGAAGGATCTAATGGTCGTAAAGTTCCAATTGATATTTTGTCAACTTCTGTTGACACAGTAGGGCTGCTGCTTTTTCTACCATTAGTAGAGAGTATTTCTGATGTTGGTTGTACGAAAAGGACAGCAGGGTTAATAGTCGTCGAAGCTATTCGATGGTTGCTAGCTTTGCTATTCTTGGAATTACTGTTTAATATACTGCCTGAGGGCTGTTGCATACTTATTATGGCAGAGTCGCTTGATAAGGGCTGTTTTTGCTTCATTGGTTGCTCCTGATGCTGTTGCAACTGCTGTTGTCGAGTGTTTGCAATATCAGGCTTAACATGTATAGAATGATTTAGCACAGGTGCAAGCGTAGGTGCCGCAACATAATGATTTATTGTTGAGTGATCAAAACGCGACTGAGGCTGATGAGGAGCGGGTTGTGGCTGTCCTGTCTCCAATCGTGCTTGGGATGATTGCTGCTGTTGTTGTTGCAATGGCTGTGGTTGATTCAGTTCTGATGTACTCCCTTCAAGCACTTCTAAATCTTTGATTTCACGTACACTTAGGGCCAATATACGCTCTTCAGCTCTCTGCCCGTTAGCACGTTCAATAATGGCTACAGATTTATGAAAATGATTAGTCAAGGAACTGCTTCTTAATTATAAGTAAAAAGCATCTTATGAAATACGATTATGTACCGCTTTCCAACAGCAAAAGCCCATTATCATCTCTTCCTTTGATATATCCTTTAATAATATCACTATTGTTCAACAATAGTTTGACATAAACGCCAACATATTTGTCCATCGCTTAATGCTTGTTGATGTTGTGATGAAAGAAAATTAAAGGAATTACGTCTATTTTTTTATTTTAATTAAAGCAGAAGTTCATGCCCCGACCAATGAAAGCTTCAATGGTAAGGATTTCTGTGTAGTATTTTTTCCTTCAATTCACTGCTGTCAACTTGTCAATGTCGCTTTTTGACGATTTTCTAGAGTCAAATCAACAAAATTCAACTGAGCACAAGACAAACGCTGTAGTTACTACCGATAGCTCACACGCAATCGCACAAAAGCAGTTGATTGAAAATGAACAATTGAAAGCAAGTAAAAGTAAAAAAGTAAAACAAAACTTTAAATTTTGGAGTTTGTGAATGAACGTCCACTCAATAATGCAAATGCGTTGCAAAATTAGAATGAATCAAACTATGCAGCAAACATGTTAAGCGATACAAGAGCGAATGATAATATTTTTAGCCTGCAGTATGTTCAATTTCAGATGTCGGCGACTTTGCTAACTATGTCAGTACAGAATAATATGCTGGCTGCTGTAACAAGTAATTTCAAAATTATCAGAATCAACTTGGACGATCCCTTAAACGTAGATGGTAACTCGATAAAAGTTAATATTCAATTAAGAACAAAGAATTCATAGAGATTCTGTATATAGTCTGTGAAATATCACATCATTCGGCAACGAGCGAAGTATTAAATCTGTTCTTGGACCCAACAGGAAGGCATATCATTATCACTACAAACAATGGAGAGAATTTTTATTTGTATCATAATTGGAAAAAGCCTTGGGAACTCATAAAATTGAAAGGCATCTCAATCACGTCTATAGCATGGAATAAACAAGCACACGGTTTAAATGAAACAACAAATCAGATATTGATAGGCAGCGATAAGGGGATAATTTATGAGACGGTTTTAGACCCACCTATGGAGGAATCGATTTTTAAAAAAAATATAGAAAGATACGTCTCAAAAATATATGATTTGACTGATACCGCTGCAATTACAAAAGACGAAATGCTAATCACAGGGCTTCAACTTGAGAGATTTCCCACCGACATGCATAGATATTTGATAATGACAGCGACTCCTACCCGATTATATCAATTCAATGGAGTAATATCCAAAGCCACGAATAACTCGGCCAGCAAAGCTAACTTTGGGCCCATTTTCACCCAAATCACACTTGAACAATGCCTTGTAATGCCAAACACTTTGAGCTACAGTCACATTGTTTTCTTCGATCGATATTTTGATTTACAGATCCACAGTGTACCTCAAGAATTCGCTTGGCTAACAAGTACAGGAGTTTATTGCGGTCGTTTAGACTTTACTGGAGGCTTGTCGTCGGTTGTCAGTGACCAAGCGCACGGTTTTATTAGAGAAGCGAATTTGATACCGTTCCCTCCTACCAGTTTTGACGAGCAATCAAATCAATATAACACAGATATACCTGTTACACTGATAATGACTGAATTTCACGTGATACTCCTTTACAAACGTCATGTCAGGGCTGTTTGTAGGTTGAATGAGAAAATAGTGTATGAAGAAATGATACCCCTTCAAAATCCGAATGAAGCTATAAGAGGCATGACAGTAGATGAAACTCAGCGAACGTATTGGATTTATACCACTGATGCCATGTATGAACTGGTAATACAGAATGAATCACGCGATATATGGAAGTTGTTTTTAGAAAAAAAACATTATGATAAAGCCTTAAAATATGCGACAACATCAGGACAGCGAAACGAAATCTACAAAGCCCAGGCAGAAGAGGATTTTAATCAAGGGAAGTACATGCAAAGTGCCGAATATTACGCAAAAGCGAGTAACTGCGCGTTCGAAGAAGTTGCTCTTAAGTTTCTCAAAAAAGGAGAAGAGGATGCCTTACAATTTTTGCTAAAGGAGCGGCTTGAAATGCTAAAAAATATGGATAGCACTGCTGGCCAGAAAACAACGCAGACGACACTCATCGCCACATGGTTAGTGAAGCTTCATTTGAACAGATTAAACAAGTTAGAAGAAACGACAATTTCCGTTAATTGCGTTTCAAATATGAAAGGGAAAACAGCCGGCACAGCACGTTCATTTTTAATGCCCCAACCTTCACAGTTAAAATCTGCTAAGGAAGAATTATGCTGTGTATTGGAGAGTTACCAAAGTTATTTACATACGCCTACAATTCATAAAATGCTAGCGATCCAAGGGTTTCCGGAAGCAGAGTTACTTCTATATTATGCTTATCTTACAAATGATGTCGAAAAAATCATTCACCACTGGGTCAGTCAGGAAAATTGGGGGAAAGCTATCAAAGTTTTGGATAACCAGGTACGCACAACGAAACTTATAAGATAACATTTCTTTATAAATTTTAAATTAACATCTTTCCTACATATTGTTCTGGAAGAGTAATGAAGACTTGATCTATAAATACAGCTCACTGTTAATAGAGAATGAACCCAGGAAAACTGTAGATATGTGGCTGAATCATCCCAATGTCAACCCAAAAAGCCTTATACCCACCTTGTTACGCTGTTATCGCATACGAAAATTTGAAAACGCAGAGGTGAGGTGGACTTCAAGATAATATAAGGGAGCTATATACTGACATGAACTATATTGATCTTAGCATGAATGTATTCGATATCTGACGCATGTCATCTCATTTTTCAACAATACAGATCCTGTTGTTCACAATTTGCTTATTACTTTGTATGCAATGCAACCGACTAGAGATGAAACAGCAATACTATCTTTCCTCACCAATGAAGGTCGAGAAACACATTATGACTTAGCTCATGCTTTTAATCTCTGCAGGCAATATAACCGCGCACAAAGCTGTGTACATATCTATAGTCTATTGGGACTGTATGAAGATGCTGTCGATTTAGCACTAAAAGTAACGCAAAACAACTCGGCGTTATTGGTAATACATAATTAATTCATTAGCCTTCGTTTTCTAGGAAGACAATTTAGAACTGGCATATATTAATGCAGATAGACCTGTTGATAGCCATTCCTTTCGGAAAAGATTGTGGATTCGTATTGCTAAGCACATCATACAAGTTGATAAAGACCTGAAAACGTAAATTCACTTACCATATATCATAATGCTCGAGGCGCAACTAACATATCTATTCGTAACTAGGGCGATAAATCTTCTTAAACAATGCGACTTATTGAAGATGGAAGATATACTACCATTTTTCCCTGATAATGTTCTCATCGATGAGTTTAAAGACGAAATATGTTCGACCTTTAGAGAGTACAATGTCACTATAGAGGATCTCAAAATGGAAATGAATAATGCAACTTTGAGCTCAGAATACATACGGTTGGACATTCGAACACTGAAGAAAAGGTATAAACGCTAACAAACCTTAGGATGAAAAACGTTGCGAATAATGGGCTGAAAAAACCTTTTCCACAGATTTGCGGTTATCAAAGAGGAGCAACAATGCTTTCTTTGTCACTTTCCTTTACTGACTCGTCAATTCTACACATTCTCTTGCAATCATCATTATCATGCTGACTGTTTACACAATCAAGTATCAAAATATCTACCAACAAGGCAAATTAAACAATTAGCGGACATACAAGAAGGGATCTCCCAAGATTTCAGAAGGTTAGCCACCGATATACAATCTAAAGATGAGAAAAAACTCGTTACGAGTCAAATAGAAGGCTTTAGGGATAGATTAGATGACATCGTAGCACATCAATGCTTCATGTGTGGTGACATTATGATAAAATCTGTGCACATGCCTTTCATTGCTGAGGATGAACTCGATATTGTTTCCAGTTGGGCTGTGTAATTCTCTTTTACTTCCAACAAGGGAGCTTTTTCTTTTGCTCATTTATTTATTAATGAAGATTCTATAGCATTGTGTAGTAGGTATAATTATTGATGTTTATGGAAATTTCAAATTTTTGAAAAAGACCAAATGAAAATGAATGCAACTGAACAATAGCTCAAAAAATCGATTGATTTTATTAATGATGAAACATGGATTTCCTTTATACCTTCTTGAAGTTGAGGGAGCTTATAGAGAATGTTGGAAAGATGTAGTTACAGCCAATAAGTACTGCTAGTATAAAGTGAGGAATGCAGCATTATATATGCGGCTCTAGACTACAAGATGGGGTGGACAAGTGTTTTTATGATTATATAATCATAATAACACATCTTGTATTTGGAGGTGTGTCTTATTCGTGTTATATATTATAGGAGGTATAGAATACCTCAGTCTCTACCATCCAATGTACGCTCTTACAAAAAATCACACCCTATAATGTCTGAATATGCTCAACCGTCTGTAACTGACTCACGACATCTTTGATCCTCTACTACCTGCTGGACAAGCTACCAATCTGACCAATCAACCACTGCATCAATGCCTCTGTTCACTGGAGCATAGTATGGTACATTTGTCAACTGCTTTTTTTTCAGGTTATCTTCAGCCTGAAAAAACGTCCCCACAACCGCCAGAAGCCTTGGGACAAGTCCTCTTGGATTGGCTCTATGCGCTCTCACAACCATTAAATTGATCGTCTCGGATTTCTCCTAATCCAACTTCATTAAACAATGCCATCCCCCTTGCCCTCCTTACAGGTGTTCTAATTCTTATACTCTTAAAACTTCCCCTGGCAATTTTTATAAGTAGCCTAGCTGTGTACTCATTGGAATTAAGAAATTCTTCAATAAATTCAAGCTTAAATGTACAGTGGTAGCGTTAAATTTCGTTTGTCACCAATGCCACCTGTTCTGACTTCGAAATGTTATTTTTGTTTGCTTGAACTGTCGCGGTTGTAACCACATTCTTTCTTTCCACTAATTTTGAAATGTCTACGATTAACAGCTATTTCAGTGGTAGAAAACTTAGACCTAGAAATGAAAGCCATAAAGCGATTACCAAGGATAATATGGTTTCCTCAGCTCTTCAGCAGCCTGACTCTGCTTTAAAAAAATCTGTAACCTTGGCGAAGCCGTTAACGAAACCAATCACATCAATTCCGAAACAAAAGCAGAAACGAAATTCGAAGAATTCGATTAACAGAAGCAATAGTACGGCGAACATTCTCTATTATATGAGGAAACCCGCTGAAGCTAGTAAGCCTTCAGTTATTGATAACGAATGTAATTCAAATGAAAATTCTCAACCACTTCATCCTATGCGATCGGTTGAAGAAGGAGGCTCACTATTGAAGGAAGACGATGACAGTGACGACGAAGTTTTCTGCAAAATCAGAAAGCCGATTCCCTTCAAGGATTATTGGCAAGCCATTCTAAATGAATTTGATTCAGCAGCCTGTATAATTGAATCGCCTTACCAGAGTCCCTGCCATAAATTTGCAACCGAAAATGATGTCGAGCAACTTGCCTTACCTATTTCTGCCGTTCATAACCAAAAGAAGAGGAAATCCACATACCAAGGGCACATTAATTGTAGAGTAAGGAAATAATAGGATATGAATTTGTTTACGGTTTTGAAACATGCATCTTTTGCTTATATTAATATGATCTACTCCTATAGAATGTACGTTCGCGCACACCACGCCAGCCAGTAACCTGCGAATCCATATTTCACTGTTACGAAGACTTGTTAAGTGATGGCGAAGATGATGAAAACAATATTGAAGATTTACGGCGTCCTTTAAGAAGTAAATACACTCTGGAGCAATCAAACGAACTCTTAAGGCACATTATCCAAGAGCTTCTGCCGTATGAACATGTTGATTGGTTTCGACTAAACTAATTCCTTGTACTTGCAGTAACGTTTTGATTGCTCGTTCATAGTTAACTAATGATGCAATCCTTCCTATTTGTTATGCTGTTTGCTTATATCTGATACCCAGTATTACGTACAGAAAAAATCCATAGCAGTTTTTACTAGCATGTGATGTATTACGATTTCACTGGCTTCATTAAGTCGTAGCATTCGTAGCCATTTAACCTTATCATTCAAATAAACCATAGCATGAATAGTTTACCATATTTATTTTCAGACACTCTTTCTCTTCTGTTGAAAAAGCTAGGAAAAGCCGTCAATTTTGTCATGATGCCACCTTTTTAAAAAAGTTCTGAAAAAGTTCATGAACGTTATCTTTAATATACAGATTTGAATTCAAAGATATGCCATACAACATCGTGAAGCAAGAATGAACAAATTGAATGCTATAATTGACAAACTGGAGAAGGTGGAAGATAATCGGCCGTTTTAAAGTATGGAAACATCCAGGGCACGACGGTGCTAGCAACAATACATTATTTCAACAATTTGAGATACAAGATCGATTGCTTTCACCTACAATCACTTAGAACCAGTTACGGAATGATACATGACAGCTATACGTGTTATATGCTCAAATTTTATAATCTGGTGATGATACTACAATAATTATAGAAGCCGTCATTAACATTTTTTAAAGAGACTAAAAAAAAACCATGTTGTTGTCCGCGACTAATCGCCCTATGAAACAGATGTCAAGGTATAGGATAATTCTATAGCTCAATAAGCAGCGATGAATTGGCGAGCCTAGTTTAGTCATATATAATAGCTACTGAAGAGGTCTTTGCTTCATTAACCTATAAGATAGTAAAAAAGTTTTCTGTTTATTTCATCATTTCTTTATCTTTTCTTTTTTTCATACATAAATATCCTTTTTTTTAGGGGGGCTAACTTGAGCAGTGCAATTCCAAAAGTGATTATGTACTCATACAGATACAATGGTAATTATCAACCTCAATCGTTTAATCTGAAGATACGTTCGAGGAACAGTAAACGGTACCTCCACGTGTAAACATAAGCTGCATACGAATATATGTTATGAGGGATAATACTGTAAAGTACAACCAGTTGGCAGCTTCCAATAAGTGTAATGGATATCATCAGCAATGACTGAATAATATTCTGATGTAATTGGACAGGCTATATCACTAATGTTTACATGGTTACACAAACGTGTATCTATTCATTTTTCTTTAATTGAACTTTCCAACAAGAAGAGAATCATTATAGGATAGTAGTCAAAGAGCATACAAAAGGAGTAATATTTTATCAAAACCTAAGATATATCTTTGTAGTAGACAAGCAACCAAATCTCGCGTTGAACTTTCCGTTTTTGCAAAGCGTTTGTTTAATCTAGCATAATTGTTTTACATGGCCTTTCCTGCCTCTTGCTTCAAGTAAATTCGATGAACCAGCATCGAGCAATTCAAACAACATCTTTTCTTCATTGAAGAGCTGAATGAGCAATATCTACATTGTATTACATGCAATAGATAAGTATCCTAGTTTTACGACTGTGACGACCAAATGTTTGAGCTAATTTAAATACATTAAGCAGAACTATGATTTCAAAGCAAATCTTCTTGTGCCTTAAAAAAGCAGATCTGTTTACCATATTTGGGTTATTTTCGTGATCGATAATCTCATCTTCCTCCACAACTTATAAGTAAATAAAGTATAACCACCCTCGCTATTCTTTTTTCATTTTTCTGTATAATTCCTTAAATTGATTAACCCGGCAGGATTACATATCCTTCTTTATTCAGTTCCTTACGATAGAATATGTTGTTAACACTATCACGATTTAAAATTCGCAGAACAGCAACTATTCTGAATAGCAATGTCGGTAGAATCTTACCTCGAGCATATGCCGCTTATTCAACCTCGAATAGTCAAAATTTGATTGAAAAAATCGTACAAAATTATGCAGTAGATCTACCAGAAGGATATGAAGTAAAAAGCGGTGACTATGTCACTATACGCCCTCACCATGTGTTGACCCATGACAATACAGGTGCTGTCATTCCTAAGTAAAGTACAAAGAAAAAAAAAAAAAGCACAGTGTTGTTCAAATAGCGGTTGAAGCGCTCCAGGCTGAAGTTTGCTATGTTTATCATTACAATGCTAGATTCAAGTCTATTGGTGCAACAAAGATATACGATACCAAGCAACCTGTATACGCTTTAGACCATGATGTTCAAAATAAATCCGAAAAAAACCTCAAAAAGTACGCCAACATTGAAGCATGGAGTAAGGAGCAAGGAGTCGATTTCTATCCGGCTGGACGCGGTATTGGACATCAAGTCATGATTGAAGAAGGTTACGCTTTCCCCAACACCCTCACCGTTGCTTCTGACTCACACTCCAACATGTATGGTGGTATTGGTGCTTTGGGTACTCCCATTGTTCGTACTGATGCGGCAGCAATTTGGGCGACGGGCCGCACTTGGTGGCAAATTCCACCTATAGTCAAGGTTCAATTCAAAGGCAAACTTCCGAAAGGTGTTACAGGGAAAGATGTTATTATAGCGCTATGCGGGTTATTTAATAGGGATCAAGTGCTTAATACAGCCATTGAGTTCCATGGAGAAATCGGAGATCTGACTGTTGAGGATCGATTAGCGATAGCCAATATGACAACAGAATGGGGTGCCTTGGCAGGTGTTTTCCCTGTCGACAAAGCCACTATTGAGTTTCTCAGAAAACGCCAACGACGTATTGAATTCTCGCACTTTGAAAATGCAAACTTAGTACCAGCAAATTTCGGACAGAAGTTTATTCATCCACGTATCAATGATGAGACAATTCAAAATCTGATAGACAAACCGTTAAAACCATCTCCCAAAGCCACGTATGCCAAAACACTCACTTTGGACCTTTCTACGTTGTCAGCATATGTTTCTGGTCCCAATTCCGTCAAAGTGGCTACTCCTCTCTCGGAGTTGATGGCTAAACGAATACCGATCAATAAGGCTTACCTCGTATCTTGCGTGAATTCTCGCAGTTCTGATTTAAAACAAGCTGCTGAAGTCTTGCAGGGTAAAAAGATTAAAGAAGGTGTAGAATTCTACGTTGCAGCTGCTAGCTCTGAAGTTCAAAAGGAAGCAGAACAAGCCGGCCATTGGCAAACTTTGATTGATGCCGGCGCCACTGTTTTACCTGCAGGTTGTGGGCCCTGTGTAGGTCTGGGAATGGGTCTTTTGAAGGATGGCGAGATAGGCATTTCTGCTACCAATCGAAATTTCAAAGGCCGTATGGGATCACCGAACGCATTAGCTTATTTAGCATCCCCTGCAGTAGTAGCTGCTTCGGCTTTATCAGGTTATATATCGGGACCCCAGTCATCCTCAATTACTACGAGTTCCAAACCACCTTCCCCATCTTTCAGTATCGAAATTGCAAGCTCAAAACAGTTAGCAAACCAAACAGCTACCAGTTCCTCCAACGAAGTTCTTCCGAACTTCCCATCCATTATTCGCGGAGAAATTATTTTTTGCCATGCTGATAATTTGAATACGGATGGTATCTATCCTGGCAAATATACGTATAATGATGAAATGACTCGTGATGACATGAAGAAAGTTGTGATGGAAAATTATGATCATAATTTTGTCAACCTAGTCAAACCTGGAGATATTCTTGTGGGAGGATTTAATTTTGGTACAGGCTCTTCTCGTGAGCAAGCAGCAACGGCTATTAAATCAAGGGATATTCAAATCATGGTGGCAGGATCCTACTCTGACATTTTTAAGCGTAATTCTGTAAATAATGCTTTGCTACTTATTGAATCAGCTGAATTAGTCAACGATTTAAAGACAGAAGTAGGCACGCAGGAGCTGACGAAACGTACAGGATGGAATGTTGAAATTCATGTAGCAGAAGGCAGAGTAATAGTGAAGAAATGCGATGGTCAAGAAAAGGTTTACAATGTGGGTGCATTAGGTAAAAGCGTTCAGGAAATATGGCTGGCCAATGGTCTTGAGGGCTGGGTGAAACAAAGGTTATAGAAAAGTATGAAGATACGTTTGGATCCTTTTAGACCATATTTATCTAAATAAATTGTACAGAGCCAATCACTATCTGAGAAAACTAAGAAAAGCTTGTTTTCATTCATAGAATATGTACACTAATATGTCTGTTACAATGGATGAGCAGCGTGCCATGGGTTTATAATGTCTTGCCTAGTTGCACTTTCTTTTGATATGCTCTTTCTGCTCTATAAACGATACGATTGATTAAACCGGCAACAGTAAAAACGCCACCTATGACAGCTAATATACCAGTTAAAAGACTTCCGAATGATTTATGAGCCTCCTTATATATGATTTCCATAGGAGATATCTCCATCATGAAAAACACGCCAGGCAAGCCACCATTAGCCCCTTCGATATCGTTTTGTATCACAGAATACTGATTGGTGAGCGTTGGAACACTGTTCAAAGGGAAAAGTTTCGTTGAAACAATCTTCAAAAAGTATTGAAATACTTTACGGTCTATGAGAGTTGAGTCAACAAACCCAGTTAAACAACACTATAAAATATTTTTCTCATTTGCATGGATATATGCTAATCAAGTGCAAGTTGCTACCTTTAAGTTCCTTCTTCGACGTGCCGGATAGCGAATCTGTCACGGCCAAAATATCGTCTGCCTCATTCTGAGTGTCAGGTCCAAATCTTAACTTATGTATTGTATGGCTCAAATCGAACTTATGTCCATCTGGAGCGCCTGCTGTAAACTCCTTTAGATCATGCACATGCATAGAAGTCGTTTGAAATGTGTCGCCTGGGGCAAAATGGAAATTGCCCCTCACTTTGTTAACCAGTAAGTGCCCATGAATATTGCATCCTTCGTTGGATTGTTTTTCAAACCGCTCTAACCACCCTTCACGAATGCATTGATCAATTTTTTCGGCCTTGACAAGTCCCCAACCTTGTTTAATGTAAGCTTCACGCACTTCTTGGCAAGTGTTACAACAACCATCTTCACGTAAAGGTGTGGCACCGTAGCAGCTACCACATTCAGTAGATGGTTTAAATGCCTTCGAAGCATCTGCTGTATAGTCCCCTAATTCTATTATGGATTGAGGTAATTAATTAAAGTGTTCAATCCTTTTCTCTCCTTTATTCAAAGTTAATATGGGTAAAGAATTGTATGCCTTTATCTAACCTGCTGAGTCCGACTTTATTGCCTCACCATCTAACGTAAGCCGAACTTTGGTTATATCCTGTGAAAAGCCTGAAATATGCTCGCCATTCTCATCCATTATATCAATATTAAGCACTTCAATGCCATAAAAATTAGGGCGTTAGAATACACCTTTTTTTTTCTCTCTGGATCAAAATATTCAAATTATTCTCACTATAGCAAGGCATATTGTGAAAGGTGAGGTTGAAATTGATCGGTAACTTCTCTTTCCTACTTTTATCGACAACCAGGCTGGGTCGCCAAAAAGTAGTAGTATATTCCATAACTTCAAAGGAAATAAGCGCAATAATAATTATCATACTGATAATGGTAACTATTTCAAAGCAAACGAATCGAGTAAGTACTAGCAGGATAATATGGGAGCATGGGCGAGTTGTCTGGTCATCCTGATTGTCGATCAATAATCAATATATTTCGACTCACCTGATGCACCTGAAGTAGTTTTGACGCGAAAGTCATCGAGAGTTTTAGCATAGCCGTCAAACTGCTTCAAATTGCGAAACAATGACCCTTTCTTTGCCATAATTGTCAAAGCTATGTTCTTGGAATAGAGATAAAATTCTATACGTTCAGCAAATTGTGAAAGTTAGCAACAGCACTTTATTTTATCCAATCGAAAACAGTTTCAAGTAGCTTTTCTATTTAGCGCTTTTGAACAAAGAAACTTTGCAGCACCTTTTACCTTATTTACTGATCAAGATCAGATCTACTTTTTAGATTCGTTTTTCACTTGGATTTTTTTTTTATTTCTTCTTATTTCTTGTAATTTTACAGTGTCTGTAATAGATCCTAAAAACTATTAGAGGATTCATACTATTGACAGAAACTTTAGCAGTCTTTAATTCAATTAAAAGAATAACCACCTTTGAACGACTGCGCATCCCAGATAGAAACAAACAAGTTCTTTTGATCGATAATTAGTACTAAGCATTCTCTCCCGTTCAACAAGTTAATGTCTTTTCACCGAAGCAATTCTATAACAAAGAGTATTACAACAGAAGATAGCAAAGAATCATTAACCGAACAAAGTTCTATCAACAATCTCTCAGCAAAAACTACCTATCATGATTTGTTACCAGTTAAGAAAGGAAAGAGGAAATACAGACTGTCAGAAGTCGACCCAAGGTAAGACTAGTTATACTTATACTATATGAATGGATAACTCAACTATTTCTACATTCTGGTAGTAAGCCATGTTTTGTTCATCAGTTGTCCGTGGAGTTAATTACTCATATTTTTGCAAGGCTGGATCCAGTGAGCTTGGCCGTTGCAGCTGAAGTATGCACGTATTGGAAGTATATCATTATGGATGATAGTTGTTGTACGTACGATTTCACTCTCGATACCAGAAGAGAAATTGCATGTAACTTTCTTCAAACGCTAACAATTTAACGTAGGGAGAAATGCTTTTGTATCATATTTTGGTGTTCTACCATACAAACGGTTATCTATCGAAAGCTGGAAAACTGAATATATATTACGTACGCATTTGGTTCGTAAATGGACGAAGGGGCGTGGGATGATTATGTCTTTTGATCCAAAAATTGGATCTCTCGAAAAGATGCAAGTGGATTTTGAGGCGAGCAGCATGATTGTTGCCAGTACCGAACACGGTGTAGCCGCTCGCTGCAATCCGATGACAGGAAAGGTGGCGCAGCGTCATCTATATTATAGTACAAACGAGCATGTAAGACAAGAAATATCGTGCGTAGAAATGGATAAAGATCGTATTTTATGGGGTTTCGGTCAAGGTTATATCACCCTCAATACTAGAACAAAATCAACAACTAGTCGACGTAAAACGTTTTCTGAATTCCATCAAGGATCTGTATGTGCGCTAAGTCTTCCTCAACACGTGCAAGACGTTGTTCTGAGTGGTTCAGAGGAGGATGGAACAGTTAAAATTTGGGACGTGTCAACAGCATTGTGTGTTTGGACTTTTTATCCGGAGTCGGCAACAGTGAAAAAACCCACTGTTATCAAAACAACAGCAGACCATCAGCTTTTGATCGGCTATGACGATGGCTCAATAATAATCTGGAAGCTAAATTTGAACTTACTTCTTCAAATTCATCGTAATTTTAATGGACAAGAGCTTGCACAAAAGAAGCGGAACTTACGAGAATTTTTAGAGAAGGATAAAATAGCAATCGCGCCCTTACCCATCATAAGAACAGATTCTGCGCGCCTTAGTGTGAGGAGTATGTCGTACGATAATGAAACCAATACAGTAATTGTTGCGTATCTGGGTAAAACGGATGTGCTCAAGTATTCTACTTTGGACGGCAAATGTGTCAGTGTATTTTCCGCTGGACACACGGCAGCCAACTCTATTACATGTATGAAATGGGATAAGCAATTCTCTGGCAATACTTACTCATTAGCATCAGTTGTGAAGCCTCGATCAGCAGTAGACAATGGAACAACCAGTCGAAAAACGGGCAGCAACGTTATTGATCTCTCCTCAGCTTCAGTCAACAGTAATAAATCAACTGCTTCCTCCGCTCCTTCTTCCGGTATGTCTACGCCGATATCGACCACCTACAAGACGACTCGACTTTTAGTGACAGGTGATGATTTGGGTACTGTTTGCGTTTGGAATGGTGATGCAGTGACCCTTGAAGAAGGTCGTATTATCAAACCCCTCCACATTTTATCTGGACATATTGTGCCTATTAGTGCCATTCACATAGATGCTTGTAAGATTGTCACCGGCAGTGACGATGGTTGGATTCGTGTTTGGGAACCTCTAACTGGAGAAATTATCACCACTTTTGGCAACAAAATTCCTAAACATGCCCCTGTAGACCGTTCTGATGTAAACTTAATGAGAGTCAAAAATTTGTTCTGTAATGATTACCAAGGTATTGCCACCATTGGTCATCAGGTCAAATGTTGGGATTTCTCGCCAGGGCAACAAAATATGTTAAGTCGTCGTGCTATGAAGCACAAAAACAAACCATATAATATAGCCTTACGAGAAAAATTGAAGAACGAAATTTTCAGGGAAGCCAAAGAATCCATTGAGAAATTGAAAACCGAGCAGCAAGAGCTAGAAAGAACTCGAAAGGAACTTGACAAGCTATCCCTAGGAGGTCTCTCAGATGATGAAATGTTAGCATATGCTTTGATGCTGTCGTCACAACAAGAAGCAACTTTTGGAACGAACAGTGATATGACAGCGGGTATTATGCATGAAAGTGATTATGTAGATGATGAGGATGAAGAGTTAATGGAAGCCTTGATAGCAAGCTTGGAGCATAGGGATGCTGTAATTACTGCGCAAAAGACTGACTTTCATGATACTGATGAGAATGAGGCTCGTATACAAGGAAGTAGTAACGCTGCCAGCAGTAATACTCAAGGCCTCCCTGACGACAGCACCACCCTATACCATGACATAGAGAACTGGCCTACTGTAGAGGAAGCTGCAACAACGTTAAGCTCGCCACAAGTACGAACAGAGGATGAAGATATTGATGACGAGTTACGATATGTTTTGGAATTGAGTAAACACGATAAATAAATTAAAAAAATTCTTTCCACATCGAAATTGCTTTTTCAATGCCCTAACAAGTTTATTATGTCGCCTTTTTTCGCGTTTGTGATGGTATATGGATCAAGTGAGTCATGATCCGTTTAAAGAATCATATATTCACAAAATCGAAGGATGAGAAAAGGTTTTTCCTAATGCTGCGAACGTTTAACAATTAACGAGCTTCAAATTGAACCACTAAATTACAAGACAAAGTATAATCAGTTTCTGTAGCATATCAAAAGGCAGCAGCAATCCGTTGGTTACTCACTTCTCTTGGTTCTCTTCTTATACATAATTCTGTGGCCGCAATCCTGGCAACGAATGGGTTCTCTAGGCTTTAATTGATTTTCTGCACCACAATCTACATAGATAAACGACAAATAGTTTAATCGTACAGTACCAGAGTAAGAGAAAGTACAAAGAAAAAGATCTAAGATAGTTCCTTACCAGCACAGAGATAAGTCATGGCAACAGGTTGACGAATTGGTGTAGCTTCCATTATTTGAATGTTTGAGTAGGTTAAAGAGACTTTCTTCTTCTTTCAAAATTTTGGAACAATGTAAACTTTTTCAGTCAGTCACAAAAACTTGTCAAAAATTAGCTGTCTTCTTTTTTTTTTTTTTTTTCCTTATTTCAGCCAATGCGAAAAACCCTTTCTTTACACCTCTCAGTTAATTTGAAAACCTAAATGAGTCTCCCAAGAACATTGGACAATCAGATAGAAAATTTTGTACAGAAGTTGAAAAGGCGGTAGGTACTACTTCTTTGAAATGGCTCCCTATTTTAAAAGGGTGAACTCATTGTAAAATAGCCAAATTGTAGGTTCTTTTTTTGTTGCAAGGGAAACCGCGATAATACTTCGACAAGTAATTTCAGTTACACGATGGCGAGATGCCGAGGTTCTAATTGATGTCGTAACTCAAGTGGGTTCACGATTGACTTCCGCCCAACCCAATGGTAGACGCTCGAGATCGAACAATTTGAAGGGACTTTTGACCACCACCTCACTGACTGTTTCTCTTTTATTTAGAGCTTGCTATAGGAAATGTTGTAAAACGTGTTCTCAAAGTGATTCGTGAAGTGTCCAGAGGCGATTTGGAAACAGAAAATGAAAGACAGTCAGATTCAATCAGCTATACAGAATTCAATGATGACGATTCAGGCGAAGAAAGCAGTTCAGACGAAGAGCACACTGATGAAGTCGAGGAGAATGATGCGGATAATGATAGTGACAAGCAAACCAACCGCTCATCGTTTAGTAGCAGCCTCTCAGAACAGAATACCAGCCGTCCTGATCTCAATTCACAGACATCTATGTTTAAATTATTAGTGGATATGTCAAAACTCACAGCTAAAGAACAGAAGAGACAGGAAAATGAGAAAAAGATCAAAGACACTTACCATTTGAAACCACTTATCATCCAAGAAATAACTGAAGAAATCATCTCAGATTTGGACGCAAAAGATACTGCCAACATTTACAAAGGGATTGCTGATCAAGCTTTGGACTTCATACACGCTAATGAGGTGATTATGACGATAGGCATATCTAGGACAGTCCAAGAGTTTTTAATGAAAGCTGCCCAAAAACGAAGATTTCAGGTTCTCGTCGCTGAAACAGCTCCCACTTATCAAGGACACAAAATGGCAATGCAGTTATCGAAGGCTGGAATTGATACCACAGTGATCGCCGATTCAGCAATTTTTGCTGCTATGCCTCGTGTCAACAAAGTTGTCTTAGGTGCTCATGCCGTTCTAGCCAATGGTGCACTTGTATCAGTGGCTGGCTCTCATTTGCTGGCGGCGGCTGCTAGACACCACTCTACACCTGTCCTTGTTTGCACGGCCCTTTACAAACTTTCACCTTTGTTCGCTTACGTTGCGGATGCGCTCAATGTCTCAGACTCACCACAGCATGTTCTGAGCTTTCAAGAAGGACCGATTATTGATAATGTTGCTATAAACAATCCTTATTACGATTACGTTGCCCCCGATTACGTCAGTTTGTTCATCCATAATTTGGGTTCGGCGCCACCTACTTATGTATATAGATTACTCAATGATAATTATGTTCAGGAAGATTCAATTTTATAAATCGAGCAAATAAGGAGAAAATTTAAATTTTGTATGTTGGATATACTTGCTACGGAAAGCAGGATTAACTGAAATTTAAACAATTGCTGTTTTGTTACTATTGGATTTTCGCTTTTGATACAAACACTTTTAGTTTTCCTTGTAGATCAATCAAAGTCTAAAATTCAAATACCTTTTAAATGTTATTTGCTTGAATATACGCATTTGTATGATGAGTATCTCTTTGGTTCATGGCAACAACATTGTCGCATAAATTTCTTCAACAGATATGTTCAAATACCCATAATGATATATTGAAGTATGACTTGCCATTTAAACTTCCGTGAATTATTTATCAAACGCTGTTTATATATACAATGACCATATCACTCCTTTCTTTCTCCATAATTATGCTATCTAATGCTGTCCAAGGAAGCCGAGAAACCACTTGAAAGAAAAGCTTCAAATTTAACAGCTCGAGTTAAAAGGAGGTAAAATAAGACTATACTGCATTGAATGCATTTAGTTCTGTTAAAGTCATTCTTTATTGCGGCATGCATCCACTATGGGCAGCAGTGTCACTTACATAAGGGTCGCACAGGTGTTTCCTCCATGATAGTAGTAAGCTCTATTCCATTATCTCGAGATTCCCTTATGTAAACGTATTCTACATTTTAAGTAATACAAAAAAAGCAGCAGGCTTTGGAAATGACATCCAGACAAGATTGGTCAAGACAAAAGGAAAAAAGTGAAGAGTGGATAACGAGAAGAAAGCCAATCAAGAAGGACAAAATCATGTGTAATCTTGCAGGCCAAAGGACAATGAATGAAGACTTCACCTCTCTGTCTTAATTACAGGTTGATGAAGGAAACCCTCTTCAACGAAATTGCTTTGAAAATTACACACGAAAAGTGCAGCGTGTTCCTAGCTTTACTGAACGCATCAAGAAATTGTGTAAATCAGTCTGAAAGATTACATGAAGACAACAAAGTGCTGCCACTTGTTATATTCGGTGATAATATGCATTAGAATGATACTGTCAGAATGAGAGGAGATACCATAGGAGTCACTGGATATTGTATGAAGAACTATTGAAAAGACAACGGACCTTTCTAACTGCTGTTATTGATATTGACGTATTTCGCCTGTCGCAAGTACGGATGCTATTAGATTGACTATTACTATTACTAAATACCTAATGAATAAAGACTCGGTAATTATCCTTCTTAGGTCTGTAACAACTGCAAGGACGGCGATATGGAGAATGTGAAAGTCCAAGATGGCCCAAGACTCTACGGTACTAAAATATGTAAGGCTTGCTAGATTCTATGGCAACGGAATATTGATGCTTCATAGGACATCATCACCATTGTCAAACCCATTTGAGCTGACCAGGAAAACCTGACCCTTATAAGAGAGATGGTCGTAACAAAGACGCTGCTTTCAATTCCTCGGAACAGGTGCCTTAAAGATATTCACGTGTTTAGGTGAGCTCATCTTGTATGCACTATCAATGTATGATTTTATAGTCTCATTAACCGCTGCTTGAAAATCTCTTTTATTTAAGGCGAATATACTGATGGTATGAACTATGAGACCAAATTTCAAGTCAGACCAATGAAATATGATAAATGTATATGCTATAAGTGCGTGAAAGGCACAAACAAAAAATTAAGAAATGCTTGAATACTTACATGTGAGGTGTAGTGCCAAAAGTTAGAGTTGAGCAGAATGACACATTTGACAGAAAAAATAGTGTTACTGAGGGCTTTTGGCAGTCTTGTTCATTTCTTTATATTTCTTACCCAAAAGGAGACAAAGAGAATATACTAGAACCAATCAAGCTCAGGTTTTACTCATAACTTGGCTTCCCTTGCTTAACACCCAATAAGCATAATAGACAATTTATGCAACAAAGAATACAAAAGTACCAGACAGTCAGATAGATCAGCTTTATACATAATCTCGAGAGCACTCCTTTTTTTTTTTAGTCTGAATAACTCACTTCTCAATATTATCAACTCGCACCTACCCTATTTGTAAAATTTTGGGCAAAAATGTTCGAAAAAAAAAAAAAAGTTAGGATACTGTGCTTATGCATATTCGCACTTGTTGATCTTTGTAATACGCAACAGAAAAGGTCTTTTGAAAAAGTTTGTCAACTCATCTCAGTAATTTAATAAAGCTAATCCAACTTTTATAATCAAAATGTCAAATAGTTAGCCTTTTTAAGTGAATATAATCATATAAAGACTACCAGTCTATTATCAATATAGATTGCCTCTTCTCATTTCTAACTGATATAATTATTTTGCTTTGGCCTAGCTTTACACTATAATGGTAACGATAGAAAACTATTATCTCCGTAATGTAATGTTAGATGCGTATAAGTGGTTATTATGATATTTCTGCTGTGTATAGTTGCTACTGCTATGGAATACCTAGCACACATCACTCGATATTAGGTCACAGATGTAGGCAGGATCTTTGAAGGTACAGAAAAACAATGCAGAGTCGCGTTGTTTTTACGAACATGTTTTGTTAAATCTTGAATGTGTACAACATACGCGTTAGAATGCAAACTTCATGCTTGAGTATGAATAATTAGAGCTCGCACGTGGTCTAGCATGGTATCATCATTGCTTGCTTTCCTCAAATGTAGCCCGAAAAATACCTATTTAGTCAAGTGTCGTTTCCAACATCGAAAAGTTGCAAAACTCTTTTGTCATTTCCCATTTTGATTTGTCCACCGAGCCTTCTCTATCATCATTTCTATGGTGATAGCAATCTGATGAGCGTTTGAAGACTGTAAGAAGTCTACGCTGTTAGCTGGATTACGACAATGTACAGAAGCTACAACAAAAGTTTTGTAAAGTAGATTAAGGTGCTAGAAACAACAAAAGTACTATCAGCGAATTCGACAAATAAAAAGGACAAACATCTTATTTATACGCAATATGCCTCAAATTCAGTATTAAATATTCAGTCTTCAGTATGAAGCTTCATCACACGCTTCTTCTAAGAGTGAGGTTCACATAAAAGTCCTTATAATGTGTAACTGCCGGTGTTGAAATCAATCAATGCCAAATCAAGAATGCACCTTCCACTCAACTAACTTTAAATCGTTTGATATAGTAGACCGAAAGAATATAGCATGCCTTGTATCTTTAGATGAAAAATCATCATCTTTTGAAGATGTGTGAACAATGTCATATATTGTTACGCAGAAGATTGCATTATAGTACCTGTCCTTGTATATAAAACTATTCATATAGAGGTAAGCAATGGTATAGAAGAAGAAAATAATTACCGACAAAATTTTTGAAGAAGCAATCTATTAAGCGTAAATTCCTACGTCTTATAGACGAGAGCAAAGTTACTCAACGATTGTTCCGGTAGATGAGACCCAACTGTCATGTAAATATAGTCATAATCTTATGCTAGTATTTCTTTATTGACAATGCAAAGACGATAATGCATCTAATTATTCACAAATTCGATATAAGTTATAAAAAGAGGAACTACAATTCTGCGATTTTAACGACTTGCTTGCCAAAGTTCTTTCCATGCAAAACATCCACTAACGCTTGAGGAACGCTTTCAATACCTTCCGCGACAGATTCTCTATATGAGATTTTACCATTCTTGATCCATTCAGTTACTTCTTTCCTAAATGATTCTTGCATTTCAAGGCTATCACTGACGATAAAACCACGGATTTCCAGTGATTTCGCAATAACTTGCATAAGATTACGGATACCATAAGGTTCAGTGGTATTGTATTGAGAGATCATACCGCAGCAGACAATTCTAGCAAACTTGTTACAATGGCTAATTACATCCTCCAGCATCTTACCACCAACATTTTCAAAGTAAATATCAATACCGTTTGGCAAAAGCTCTTTAAAGGCTTCTTTCGTATCTTGCGTCTTGTAATTGAATGCGCCGTCAAAGCCTAATTCCCTTAAGTAAGCAACTTTTTCATCTGAACCAGCAGATCCAACGACGTGTAAACCAAGAATCTTTCCCATTTGTCCAACAAGCTGACCAACAGCACCTGAAGCTGCAGAAACGTAGAGACTCTCTCCCTTTTTAGGCTTACCAAACTTTTTCAGCCTACAATTGAAGGATCAAACAACAGAGAGACAGTACGTTAGTACGGTTGATTAAAGCAAAATAAAAGCCAGCGTAATGGATTTGAGTTTCACTTTTTCTAATATAATTACCCAACGTAGGCAGTCATGCCAGGCATACCAAGGACTCCTATATAGTTTGTGAGAGGGATTTTGGAAGACTTGGCTTCATTGCGTACTTCCAACATAGGCATAAGCTCCTTGGGAACAAGAGTATATTCTTCAAACCCGACCATACCATAGACAATATCCCCCTTTTTAAACTTGTCGTTGTTGGATTTGATCACTTCAGACATGCCATGGCCATTCATAGGCTCGTTTACAGTGAAAGCAGGAGAATAAGACTTGACATTGGCATCACGCATACGGCCACGCATGTAGGGATCCACAGATAAGCATAAATTTTTGACAAGGACAGCTCCTTGAGGAATATCAGCATCAAGGTCAATTTCGTCTTTCTTAATGACCATATGCTCTCCAACCTCTGGGTAACCAGTAGGGATTTTGGCAAAAATGATTTTAGTATTGGAAACCATTTTAATATCGATTATTATGCGTTATATGTGAAAAGCAGGGAAAATGAATATGTGGGGATTCATCAACAGAATGCTTCACTTTTATAGAACGCTAACCAAACTTTGTAGAAGACTCCGCATTGTTGGATTAATAATCGAAAAGTTCTAGTGTTCGTTCGAAGTTTAATGTTTATTTGTTCAACCTTAAGAGCAATATTGCCCAATGCCCGGAAGTTCATTTTATCCGAAACAACGTACACTTTACACTCATTAACAGAACAATTGGTTTTCAATTTTTGCACCAGAAGCAAAGAAGGGTCAGATATATTTACACTGTGGAAGCATTCAAGGTACCACTAAGTTTTGACTCACAAGTATTTTGCATTCCAAACATTATTTAGTTTTTCTATGAGATAGCTTGCTGCTCTACAGACATCTAATAGATTCTCAAATCATTAATTGCGAATAACAAAATATATCTGTCAGTTCCAAGCTTAACAATACAATAGATCACTTCAGTCACAGCATTTCGGCTATCAATTACATTATCATTTTCATCTTAACCTCAAATAAAGTCAGAAAACAATAAATTTGTTCTACATTGTCATAATTGAAATAATCTTTTGTAATAGCAAAGTTCAATCGTTGCCATGTCTAGAAACAGTACATAAACTTTCAAAACAGTTTGAACGGTGCAATTTACGCCTGATCTTTCAAGATTCAAATATGCTCTCAGCACAGTATAATATTACAGCAAGTAGAAGGGGGAAAAAATCAAGGAGCAGTGACCTCCATTAGTTTAAAGCAAAATGTGCTTATTGGATTCAATACATACATTCGACATGTACGAGCTGGTCTGAGTAATAGGTATGTTTTTGCCGCATTTGTTAAATTACGTAGAAATTATACACAATAATTTGCTGAAAATGATAGTAAAAACGACAAATACACTTGATAAAAGGTACAGTAATTTCTTTCCACCAAATTCTGATTTTTGGAATAACCGATTAGCCCGACGGTTTTTGTTGTGTGGTATCATACATACGAATTATTCTTGTTTGATCGTTTTCATTCTGAGCAAATGCATAACCACGAGATTGTTTTAGCCTTTGAATTTTACGCACTTTGTTCACAGCGCGTCTGAAACGGTCCATACGAGGTCTGTAATCTGGAAAATTAAACTTTTGAATTTCCTGAATGTAATGATAACTTTGAGGTCTGTACATTCGCTTAGCGCTATAAATTGCATATATAAAAAAATGTTAAGTAAGACAGTGATCGATTATCGCTCCTATTTGCTAGCAATAAGTTTGAGCTTACTATTTCCACACGTAATCACGTAGAATACAAGCCAAAGGTACCGCAATAATAAACAACCAAAAGTTAATGTTTCCATAAAGACGTGGCACAATATTGTAGTATTCCATAAATATTTCCCAAGGAAGTAAAGGACCAACATAAGCAACTAATGGAAGGAAAATAAACCAAATAACCATTGAGCCTGGAATGGCTAGAAAAGTATATTTTGTCCAAATACTAATTGACAATAAAAGGATACAGTGATGAGTAAACTTCATAATGCTTGTTGTTGCTTACACAAACTGCTTACTCTGATATTAAAGCTGCTTTCCATACAATGGTGGCCAAGGTTGCCGTAAAGATGGTAGTTCCTACCCACCATTGTCCACCTGAATATCCATTCTGGAAAACCGAATCATCGATGAAAGCAGCCATGCCAATAAAATACAGCATGGCAGAATGATAAACAGCATTGATAATCCAGCCCCAGAACCTCTTTTGATTGAAAAATTCATTCGACTGACCTAGCATGTACATTTGAGGGTACTTATCCAAAAGCCGTGCAGATGTAAATTGGTCAAATATACCCACAGCCATGGGTGGTAAGAAGGTGAAGAACACATTAAAACAGGACATCGTCCAAGATTCATATAGTGTTTGTCCTGAGAAGCCATTGAAAATTGCATACTACAATTAATTAGAATATCGATATATCAATAATAATCTGATAATTAGACCTGATTCAAAAAATACCCACCCAAAATTGTGTCAAGTACATCGCTACATTTTTGTAAAAGTAAAAGAATATCATTTTACTCAACCTCTGATAAGCCCAAGAACCATGGACCAAGAGTAATTTTTTTAAAAATCGGAATTGAGAAATGGCAAAATCTGCACTTCGGGCCGCTTGTAAACCTTCGACACCGCTAATACCAACACCCACGTGAGCAGCTTGAATCATTGATACATCATTAGCACCATCGCCAATAGCCAAAAGAATAGATTTCGAAAACTTTTTTACAACCTTAACTACCAATGCCTTTTGTAACGGAGAGACACGGCAACAAACAACTGCTTTACAACGTGTAGCAACTTCAAAAAAGGTTCTTTCGAGATCTTTCTCCAAAGCATACGTTAGCGCCTTTCCTTCAATAACGAAAGCAAATGACTACACATACAATAAAACCTGAATTAGTACATCAATATTAATTGCTACTTTCTTTGTTCGACTACGCCATCTATTCGAACCACATACATCATGCGAAGAATGCTTTGACACGGTCATAATGTGTGCTAATTTTTCTTCCAGAAAAATTTTGGTAGCTGAGTGATCCTGCTCATCGCAAATAATCAAATCCATCTCTTCTGTCAATAATTTGCAACTATATCCGATATTAATAGCTGTTTCTTGTCTGTCGCCTGTCAGTACCCATACTTTTATATTGGCCTCATGCAATGTATGAATTGTCTCAGGCACTCCGTCTTGTAGCTTATCTTCGATAGCTGACGCGCCTAACAGAAACATGTCCTTTTCTATCAATTCTGCGGCATCATCCAATTCTTGAGCACGGTTAATCAAAGTTGTTGATGCTTTATCATAAATAGTTGACCATTTTTTATATTCTTCTTCTGGAATATCGCGCATAGCAAAACATAAAGTGCGGAGTCCTTCCGATGCAAAATTCTCTAGATGCTCAAGTGTTGATTTAGTGTATAAATTGCGATGCTGATTAAGCCGTTCCAAAATAACGGTGTCGGCACCTTTACAATACAATTTGATTTTGCCGTCTGGGCCACGCACAACAACTGACATTCGCTTTCGAGTTGAATTGAATTCGCAGACATTTAAGATTTGATATTCTTCTTCTATACCTCGTCTGGAACAAATAATAGTGTGGGGCTTTCTAGCAATGAATTTGTAATCAAAAATCTCGTTGGCACCCTTTACAAGTGCACCTTCATCAGGTGAAGAGGCTTGGTATATGATTTTCCCATTTTCTTCATTAACTTCGGGAATAACAGTGTGGCATGTCATAAGTGAGGTGAGGAATTCATTAAGTATGTATTGTCGGTCTTGGTTTTCGGTAGACGTATTCTCGAGGTGTAATTGTAACTGCCCGAACGAATATTGTCCGTGGGTATCGTTATCAGATATAGGTCGTTTATCCGGATCAGGATAGGTTGCGTAGGATAAGCCAGCGATGGAGCACTCGCGGAATTCCATTTCGTTACAGGTTAAGGTACCTGTTTTGTCGGAAAACACATACTCCACTTGACCAAGCTCTTCGATGAGGCTGCTGCTACGAGCGACGGCAGGTGTGTCTGTTTTTTCATAATATATGTCCAGGTCGTTGTCTATCATAATAGCCTGAACATATTTGACAATTTCCATTGTAACCATAAGACTATAATTATTGCCAATCAAAAAGTTGCTCTAGCTATATACTTTCATTATTTTCGTTACCTGATTGGAATAAAACTGTTGAATAGAATCATAAATGTTAAAATGTTCAATCCAAATTCTTTGCCACGTTCAGCTATTGGAATCATAATATAGTCTCTTTTATCTCCTTCTTTGATAGACATTGCTAAATTACCAACTGAACATAATACACTCATAGCAACTAACATGGCGAATAAATAGAGAATATTTCTGTTCGTGATACGCGTAACATTCGATACTTTTGTAGGTTTTTTACTCGAGTTTAACATCAGCTTTGTTTCATGTCCTGTAAAGACAACAATACCGTATACCCAGCTTGTATTTCTGAGTTGAGCTCCTCTGAGCAATAAAACGCTCGGATCTAATGGTAAGTCTTTTGATTTTCCGGAGTCAGAATGTGTTGTGGTAAGCGTTCCATCATAGTTGTAGAGTCGGTTATTGGGTTGCTCTGACTTGATTATGCCAGACATTGTAGCAATTTGCTGCGGTGATATGTTGACGGCAGTTTCTGGTAGTGCTTGCTTTATCTTCAAATTCACTTCGCCATCCAAATTACTAGTCTCAATATAGCATAATCCTTCTGGCTCAGAACTGCTCAGCAGGATCAAATCGGCTGGGAAAAACTCTGTATTGTCTATACGACATATGTCGCCCACTCTAAGTTCGTGCCATCGTTTGTCAACAAATTTATTACCTTCAAGAATCTTACATTTTCGCCTGTTCAATTCTCTATCTGATTTATGCACGCCCTACAGGTTAATCGTGATCAACACCTGTTCTGGTCCTTCGCCTGCTGTTATTCAATGTAATAGTAAACTTACGAAATCCTCAATAATTTCTTTGATCGCTGTGATAAGTAATACTATAACAAGGGGTAAAATGGTTGTATATCTTGACGTTGGTGAGATATTGGGTATTTGCTAAGCAAATACAAAAGGGACCGTAAACGCACAGCTCTGTAGACTCGATTACATGAATTTTTGTTACCTGAATGCCAGATATGAACAAGAAGAAAATATTTGCTGATTTACTGAATTCGACATATAAGAACTTTGGTAAGAAAGTAATAAAATTGTATTTGGCTGTGGATACAGAGTTTGACGGAAAACGTTGCTGATCGTTAAGTTCTTCATTGTTCACGTATATTATTCGTGGAGCTTCATCCGTAGAATGTTTATTAAACTTGATCAAACTCAGCAATGAATCTTTGATAAGGGTGCTTTTACGGTATTTTCTTTGTTTTTTGCCCGTTTCTTTTAGTGTGGAGCGTTGAAATTGTCTTATATCAGATGAACTACAACTGCTGCTTATGTGTGTTTTGTCGTCATCCAATTTTGTTTTCATGATAGTCGAATCATCTATGGGTATATATTCTTCTTCTGTACGATCAACCATCAAGTCTGTAGGTTCATCAGCTCCAATATAGTTTGAGAATGAATAGTCAGGTACGAATGCTGAAGGGTTGTTGAAGTCATGCGAATTGTTGAAATTTTGTGGTGATGGCGGCACTTTCCTTTGTAATAGACCAATACCTTCTTCAAAATCCTCTGGAAATTGTCTATTGTCGTTTATACTATCCCAACCTAGCATTTTTAAGAGAATAGAAACGTGAGATCACAAGTTCTTCGATGTACCCCACATTTCGTGCTTTACTCGTATTAAGAGATTGTAATTGACTAAAAGAAGGAGGCGCTGCTAATGGTGTTTCATCTTCAGCGCTATTTTGACTATTGCCTGCAATTTGTGGGTAGTTCTGGCATTTTGGACCCATAATTAGTAGACAATTTTTATAAGAGAAAACTAGTCTTTTCCAGTAAATGCTCAATAATTTGATATTAAAAAAAGGGGTTTCAAATTAATAAAAATAAATAGGTATAAGTCAGTTATTATAGTTGCTGCCTTTTTAATGAAAAAGGTTGTATTGACTATGTATATAGGTAATAGTTATGCGTACAAATGAAAGAGGAAAGCCATCGCAAAGCACTTCCACTTGCTCAAATCACAAAATAATGGTAGCCTAAATTGCTCGACAGCCGCCAATTACGGAACGGTTTAAAAAACTTACTGGGCGAACTTTAAAAAAGATAAGTGTCTTTAAAACTAATCCTTAGGAGACAATACCATATACTCTTAACTATTATACAGTTTTTTTTTCGTCAAGAAAAAAGGAAGCATCAGGCTACAATAAAAAAGAGTAGTATTTGTGAAGCTTTACTAACTTTGAAGATATTTGAATCGAATGTATTTCCAACACTATTAAAATATTGATATAATAACAGTGTAGATGCTTGACATACACCAAAAAAAAAAAAAAAACCGCTGCTTTTTATAATGTTTTCTTCATAGGCATAAGTATAGGTAGCCTCCATCGCTTTGCATGCCTCACTAATGGAGTCACTATAGCCATTACATTCACCTTCTTCATAGGATAGTGTAAATACGGAAAGTTATCTGAACGTAAGCAAACACTAAAGTCACCAAGTGTCTCAAGCAATTAGAATTAGTTATGTGTTGTCTAAAATAACTCGACATATGGAGTACCAGAGTTTTATTTGATGATAGAGTATATGCAGACAGACCAATGAAATATGATAAATGTATATGCTATGAGCGCGTGAAAGGCACAAACATAAAATTAAAGAAATGCTTTAATACTTACATGTGAGGTGTAATATCAAAAGTTAGAGTTGAGCAAAATAACACATCTGACAGAAAAAATAGCGTTCTTGAGGGCTTTTGGCAGTCTTGTTCATTTCTTCACATCTCTTACCTAAAATTTTTACAGCCAACGGCTGTGAGCTCATGTACCTTTTCTGGCTGAGAAAGATACAGCATATACATCTGGTAGTAGCAAAGTTCGAGCAACTAGGCCAGCAGAAGAATCCATGAGTTAGAACAAAAAGAGGCGAACCATGACACTAAAACACAATGTATGATAGCCGGCATAAGCATATGTTTAGACAAGTGTTACTGTAAATATGCTTGAGACTGAATAGATCTTGACAGAAGTTGTATTGTAGGTTTCCTTTTATTTTTCTCTTCATTAAGTTGCATGCCTGTATCTTTTAACTGTATGATCTTTGCTATTGCGGCACTGCTAACACTTGGCCCGCTATCATAGAGATAGTGGACGTCCAGCTGTGATCAAAGTGATGACTAGCAATCCACATCCAAAATGTCTACCAAGAAAGTAAATCCAATGCTACACACGAAAAATGACCTGAAGAATATAAAAAGCCATACAAAGTAATGGTGATAAGCATAATCAAATCAAAAGAGTACTTAGATGAGCGAGGCGTCGGGAACTAAGTCATCCACTATTTATTTAATCGGCTATTCGCCAATTGAAATATTATCAATCCCCACATTTTAAACAGCTAACCCACGGGCATGCTCGCCTTTAAAACTTTATTTATAGACCTTTTGAATTATCATTAGTTTTGCATAGGCACCGATAATAATGATCAAATAAAGTCGCTTTATCCATACTACGCTCTTTTATCAGCTTGGCATTGCCCCTTCCGGACGTAAGCATCGCTGCTTAAGTATGGACGCTTACTCATTTCAAAATTGTGGTGATATTGCCTCAATGAGTTGTATAGTATTATCTCCTATGTAATCTCAATATTCTTTTGCTTTACTCTGTACGTTTTCCTTTTCATGTTTAAATTCTTATTCAAAAGAGAAAAAAAAAAAAAAATAATAAAAATGTATGTCTTTAAAAACAATTAAAGAAATGAAAAGAACAATATATTGCGTTTAGCTCAATTTTAGTATTCAATGAAGATTGTTCTGAGTAGAACCCTTCGTTTATACCTAAATCTAGAAATAACTGGTCTTGCAGTTCCGTCAATGCAAAATTTCTTTTTCCGAGTCTTCTCCTCACCGTAAAATTTACATATGATGAAAGATTGGATGGTTGCTCACATACAAACACTCTGGAACTTTTATCAAGCAATAGTCCATAGATTGCTAATTGGTAAAGATAGTTTTTGTTGAATTTCAATCTGAACGTATCCACTGTTTGAAAGAAGTTTTTTCTTCAAATTATCATAACCAATATCAGTAAAATGATGAGAATGATGATCAAACAACAAATGCAGTAACCTGATTTCGATTCTAAATTTGTGAATTTTCAGTTTTTTTTTGTTCTGTTTTTTTTTCATTAAAAGATATTGCTTGGAAAAAAAAAAAAAAACAAAAAAAAACACCACCTTATTTTAATTGCTTACCTTCTTCTTGCTTTAAGATGGTTGTTACTCTTCGCATAGCCTGTTTTAATCGTCCCTCTGAATGATCCACTTGGTCGTGCAGTTCATCTAAAATACTGTATAAAAACATCGAAGCGAAAATCAAAACGAAATAATTGCATAAGCTTTAGTGAACAATATTAAATAAAGTATAAAGCAGACCTACATCACTTGATCATCTAGCTCCTTATGCATGGTTCCTGCAATTTCTCGCAAGTTCACTATAGTGCCTCCCATAGCATCCAAATGTTGATCTTGTTCTTGCATAATCATCTAAAAAGCACAATTAGACAATTAATGAAGATAAACTATATCTGGTTAGGATGTATTGTTGTGAATATTAAAGAAGACATTTACAGATTGTTGTTGTTGTTGATTTTCAATAAATATACTATTATCATTTTGGGCTGTTTGATAGGGTTTGCTGCTACCGCTTGAGCTTTCGTAGCTGCTGTCATAAGGATTATTGGTTTTTTTCTTACTCGGTGGGTTGGCTAAAGTGTGGCGAATATTTCGAGTAAAACTCCTTGACTGTTTTATGAACTTTCCTCGTTGATTCAAATCTTGCGCTGTCAAATGAAATTGGGAAGGATTTTGTGAGGCAGCTTGCAGCGCCTCATCTAAATCATCCAAATCCTGATCAATGCCCTCAATTGCAGCATTCAATTCTTCTGCAGTCCATAACAATTCTTGATTTTGGGGCGATGAGACGGTTTGTTGAATTCGTTTCCAAGATTCGAATAAATTGTGTGCATTGCTGAGTTGCGTTTCTACTTGGCTGAAAGGCAATTGTTTAGTGTAGTTAAAATACTGTTAACGGCATAAACGTACTTCTACAGCTGTTAAGCTATCGTACCCTTTGACAACTAAGAAAGGATCCTCCATTTGTTTAGCTTGAAAACCGATGCATAAAATATGAGTTCAAAAAACTGAATAATCTTTTCGTCGATTATGGTGTGCTCAGTCTTGAGATAAAATGCTGAGTTAAATTTTGGGAACTGCAAGACAATTTTGTTTATACTTTTTGTGGACCTGAGTTGACAGAAGCATGTTAACTATCTGAATGACAACGCTTCCTGATATTGTAAGATCTTTTTTCTGAGCAAAGCATACGTGGTATTACGCTTGGAGTTGTAAGCTTTTGCGGGAAGGTACAAGTTGCAGACTGTAGAGTAACCTTGCTTATCGAAAACGAAGGAAGAATGAAAAAAAAAAAAAGAGAAATAATGTTTTCCAAAAGATTGTATATGTATGTATTGCATCATTTTAAAGATCAATAACATAATTGATCTCTCATTGTACAAAAATTGATAGGCGAGCCGCTTTTCTAAATTGTTGAATTCACAAAGAAAGAATATAAGCTACCTAATACTTTCCTGCTGTTTTCTTCCTTCTAACTTTATTACTCCATTTATTTTGTTATAGCCTACTAAATATTCGATTGAATAGACCTACTTCGAATCTACAATGCTTGAACTTGTTATATCTTCTATTCAGGTATTCATACTGATAGACAAGGCTCATAGTCTGTTTTTCAAATTTTAAGGTCGTACGCATAAATTAATTGTGTACACAATGCCATTTCATTATCCATGTCAATTAGGCTATTATGCAGGTAATGGTGATCGTCCTTAGTGGTGCCTTTTTGTCCTATAAGGGATACATCGACGAAGATAAACAAAAGGTATAGTTGCTTTCTGCTCTAATTTTAGTAACACTATGCTATCGTCGATGAATATTTTTCTAACAGCATGGTAAAAATAGTGGCTTTCTAAATTGAACCTGACTTTCTTCACACCCTGCTTATTGTTTTCCAACATTGCGTCTGTCATATCCTTAGATAAGTTTACTCGATATTGGCCTATCCCTATATTTTACTTTACTTTCGCTACTTTGTCATGGTTTCTGTGCCATTTGATCACTCCTTTCTTCAGAGTCAGTAATCTTTACAAACGGTTCATCACAAGTTGTGTAGTTTTCAATAACGCAAACTCCCTACCTGTGGCCATTATATCAAGTTTAGCTGTATCAGAAGCAGGCAAAACATTATTCTGGGGCGATGATGATAACCAAAAAAATGTCTCTTCAAGGTAGTTTGCTCTTCCTCTGGCACTCAGGAATTAATATGACAGATTAACAAAGCCTCGTCTTTTTATGTAGAGGTATTGCTTATGTGTTGTTCTTTGGACTTTTCAGTAATTTATTAAGGTGGTCATATGGCTATAATATATTGAAAAATGAAGATGAAGATGAAGATGAAAATACAGTATTTGAGGATGAATCATCTTGCTCTTCTGTTCCTAAAGGCAAGACGACGTCTTACGGTTCAGTGACAGAGGACAATAATCGACGAAAATATTCCAATGTATCTTCGTCAACCTCTACTAGTTCCTCTTCCGGCAGCCAACAGCGAAAAAACCAGCAAAAGGAATCTACCACTCTCTTGAATTGTAACAGTAAAAATAGTGAAGACTCTCCGCTACCTTTGATAGCCATCAAAAAATTCTTTATCTCGATTGATAAATTCATGTCCCCGCCTCTTTATGCTGCAATTCTTGCCATCATGGTAGGGATCACTACACCTTTGAAAACACTACTCTACGATGAAGACAAGTTTCTTTATGTGTCTTTTACGAAAGGTATTGAATCATGTGGAAAGGCATCCATCCCATTAGTACTGGTATGTCTTGGTGCTCAACTCAAATGCATTCGGCAGTCCCAGAAGGATGGGTCTGTCACGCCACCAGAATATCGCAAACCGGTCTTTCTTTCCATCTTTATTCGTAATCTTATTATGCCCTGCTTCGTGCTGCCTATTGTTTACTTTTTTGCACGTTTCGGTGGGGGGTTTTCAAAGTTACAAAGTGATCCAATGTTTATTGTTAGTATGATAGTGGTAGGATGCACGCCTACAGCCATCAATTTGGCACAAATAACACAGGTGAATGGTGCTTTTGAGAGAGAGATGCTGAGTGTACTCTTTTGGAGTTATGGTCTCGTTTGTATACCCATTAGTACGTTTGTTATTTTTTTGGGCCTTTTGCTGGTCAAACATGTATTTTAAATTTCCTTTTCGCTATATTTTCTTTTTTATTCATCATCTATAAATACATAGCATAGGCAAAGTCTTATATTTCTTGTAGTTTGCTTTTGACTTAGTAGCTTTCACTCGTCTATTTTGAACATGTTAGAAGTTCGCTTAAACCTTTTGTCGCTTTAATATTATCGAAGAGTTTTGTCCGAGATAAAGTAGCCTGGTATCCAATAAAACTCTTGATCACCGAATTTATCCAACCAAGCAATGCCGTCTTGCAGTAAGTGTTGCTTTAAGGATTGATATAATTTAGTTAAAGTGCTTCTTTAATGTAAAAACTCATTTCACAGTACTACTAACTTACAGTCGCTGTTTTGATTCGAACATCTGACCATCCCAGTTCCTTTCTAATCATATCACGATCTACATAGCCAGTTTTCTATCAAATTCGTCACCAAGTTCTTGTTATAAGCCTCATGGCGTTCCTTTATCATTTAAACAGAATCTGACGTCAAATGAGAAACTTACCTGTGCTAATAACAGTAGGCTGGATTGATCTTTATCTAACTCTTTCGGTACCGATCTAACTAGCTTTCTATTTCCAATTTGCAATACTTCATAGCCACCACTTAATGGCTTCAGTATTTTTATGGCTCGTATGATATCATCTTCTATAATTTGTGGCAGGTCGTTCTCTTTTTTCAAGAGAAAGCCACTTCCACTTCTATGCAGTAGAAGGTTGCTGCTGCTGGTTCCTCTCTTTGCATTACTGCGGCTAGTAATGCCTCTCATCAATTTAACACGCCTTAATACTTCTTCTAATTCTGTTAGCCCTCCATCATTGTCTCTACTGGTAATACATGCTTCAATAACTTGTACACCCAATTCGTAATAAAAATCACCTACGCCCAAAAGGTCCGCCCAGAATCCCTTATTCGCTATCAAGAAGCATTTAATATTAATAATTGTTCTCATAACGGTCTAAACGTTGCAATTGATATATTCTCCCATTACAGGCTAGAGGATCAACACCAATATTAGCACACATGCGTTGGAAGTGAGAACGAAATGTGGGATCTTTCCGTATATCTTTCTGGTGTTTTTGTGCAAAGTCTTGCAAGCTTGATTTGAAAGTTTCCATCTGCTTTTGAAGCTATTGTTCAGGTACATTCTAATATATTAATTAGACGGAACGAAAAATACAAAGAAATAAGTTATCATCATATATCACCTGTTCAAGCTCTTTCGCTGCAATAGAATCGCCTATTTGTTGGAAATCTCTCTATTGACACATTACAAATTGTTAAGCCATCTGATCCTTTGTCAACAAAGAAGCAATGGAAAGGTATAATCACCCACTTCTATCCGTTCTCTATTTTTAGCATTAGCATATCCAACGTTTCTTCGCCTCATTGTGAGTTGTTAATTTAGAACTTATATGGAGCCAAGTAGAACAGAAAAAGAGAATTCAAATTTTCTGTAACTGAAATGCTTTCCTTATTCATGCAGCAAGGACTGAACACAAAAAAAAAAATGATATATTTGACTGTTTCGAGGTATAGCAGCATACAAATTTACACTAATGTTTTCTTCGTTGACGCATTCAAAACCGAGGTTTCTTCAGAAATTGTGGCTCTACTTGCAAAGACCAATATCCACTTCATATTTGTCAACATATACTTCAATGCTTTTGTCCAGAGCTCATCCTGATTGAATTGTATACGTATTGACAAATCTCCGATTTTATCTTTGTTGATACGATACGGTAGCCTAATAGTTTTATCTTTCTCTTCAGCATAATCAGTTAATTGCTTTAAACAATTAAGTACAGCCACCATAGCATGATCGAACCGCCTATTCAGAAAGAACATTTTATTGATACCAAAGTCTCCAGAGCCGTACCTGACGATAATAAATAGTAACAGACAGATCAGTTTGAGATTCCTCTCTTTCCCTCTCACCATAAGGCTAAATTTTTCTTTTTTCTTTTTGCTTACAATTCATACGATACAACACTGTCGCCATCTATTTTCTCTACTCTTGAGAACGATCCCATTGGTACCAGTCGATATGTTTTAAATTGAAATCTCAACTTATTAGCTACTGTATAAAGTAAGAGAAGAGTCTGCCCCCAGGCTGCATTTATTTCACTCCAATCCACCACATGTGTTCCTGCTCTACCCAATCTGAGTCCATTAATCGTACCAAACGGACCATCATGGCTTATACAAAAAGCATCATTATATACGACTGTCTTCTGTAATCTTTCGTATTGCTTTACGTCATGATCGTATTTAATGTTCATAGAGTCTCTTTCATATTGAAATGCTTGCAGTTGAAGTTGATAATCATTGGCTTGTTCCCAAAACTCTTCTTCCCTCTGATTCAATGATGCCATTTGTTCATTTAATGCTGCCAACTGTAAGTCTAACGCTGCTTCTTCTTCCTGAAGCTTGAGTAACTCAATGGACGCTTCTTCTTCGGCCAGCTTCAATTCTTCCACTTGCTTGCACAACTCCTCTTCCTCCTCGGACGTGATACGGCTTTCTTTGACCCTCTTTAAGAATTCAATGTAGCAATCACGTTCCTTACTAGCGTCTGACATTTGCTTTTCTAGAGTTTCGAGTAATAGGTCGGTACATTCTTGGCATAAAGGATGTTCAATACTGGATTTTGAAGACATAAGTTCGAACATTCGGTTAGTAACTTTCAGTCGATGAAATAAGGTATTGTTGTTCTTTGTGTTTTCAGCAGTTGCAGCAGTTAGAGTTGTACTCGTTGTGGGTGTGCCTACAATGATTGCGGGTGCAGCAATATTATTCGGGTTGCCACTGTTATTAGTAATACGAGCAGTGGTATTATTTCTTATGATTGCATCTGAAATAGTCTGGTTTTGAGTAGTAGTAGTGGATTGCTGGACAAGTTGATTCTGAAGCGCTTTAGATGAAGACGAACGGGAGGAAGAGGAAATAGGTGCGGTGGAACTAGTAGGGTAAACCGCTTGCCGAGGTAATACTACAAAAGATTCTGATGGTGCTGAAAGGTGGGAGGCCGTTTTATCTTCTATGTTACTATGGCCTTTGCTCGAACTATGGTGGTATCTATTATCCTGGAGTTGCTGTTGTTGTTGCTGGCTGTACGTAGATATAGTTGGTTTTATACCAATAATACGTCGGTTATGTAAAGGTGAAAGGTGGTGTTGCTTTTTAGTAGTTGTTTTGAATTGTTTATGCATTTCGACTTCATGCTCTTCTTCCGCTATTAAAGGAGCTATGTAACAATAATAATTGCAATCGTTAATGGACATTTACTTTCTGAGAAAGCAATCTCTATACTTCAATGTACCAAGTAACATGTCTGCAGATGCTTGATCCATGTTAAGAAGTGAATCGTCAATCCTTAAGGGCTGCTTACAGCGCTGGCACTTGAAGGACATGATTATGGGTATATATAAAAGTAGTTTAATTGAGCAGAGAAGCGAAACAACAAGAGAGGTATTTCAGAACTGCATAATTGAATGGCATTCTTTCATTTCATGCCGCGAGCGGAGAAAAAAGAATAAATGGGATAAGACAGAGCAAGAAACGTTTACATAGCAGTGCCACAATATGCACTTGAAATTATAATTGTCAAGCAAAACGAGAACACTTGATTTCGTTAAACTTTTGTACGATTAATACATAGAAAAGTAACCTTTGTTTGAGGATCACTTTATTTTTGAAATAGCTTTTGTACGTTGATGGTAAAACTTTGGAAAGCAATAAATAAGGGGTTTTGGCATGTTGTATACACTTATTACTATATCGGTTGCTGCTCGCTCTGAAATATTCTCTCACCAGAAACCACCATAGTGATCTAGGCTTTATTTTAATGTCGAAAAAGAAAAGGGAAGCCCAGAGGGTATTATAATTCCCATCGTATGTTAACGACTTTTCAATATTCTATAAACAAAAGAAGAAACCTACTTTTTTTTATGTAGCAAAGCAGTTATTGCATTCTATATTTGTTTAATACGAAAAAAGCATTAAAAGGAACTGATCGCGGTTATATATGATATTGAATGCTTTGAACGCATTGACAGTGAATTCTTATTGAAGAGGCCAATGTTTGCTCACTTCGCGCCTTATATACTTTGATCTATAATACAGATGAGGTAGGAAGAGCATTCATAGAATGAAAAGTATTAAGTCTGAGATTTTTTATAACTTATTCAATACTGTCTTGTAAAATATGCGAATATTGCCTTCAATTTTGCTAATCGGTTTAGAATTGGTCATACTTGTGATGTTAATGATATTACAGACTTTCATCGCTTGCTTTGGCTGAGTGGCTTGAAAAATGAATATTGTACGCCATGCGCCTGACTCTGTTACGATACAAAATTACTCACAGTGTAGTGTCGTGGGTGCAGACATTATTTTTAGATTTGAAGGATGCATAGCTCTCGTTTTAAATTGTAGAAACCTATGCAGCATAGCTAGCAATTGTCCGCCAATCACTAAAATTCACCAAAAAGTAAAAATCATGGTCAAAGTGCGGTTTTCATTTTCACAAAAGGCGGCTTTTTTTTTAGAAATTTAGGCCTGTTTAAACATGTTCACAGAGTGCTGAACAAATTGAGCTCTGGGAAATAGACTTATACCCTCTTTTGGTTATAATCTAATTCATTTCTTGGCTGTGGGAAGAGGCTATTATCTTTAACTATGTAATGGCTCTTCAACTCAGGAAAGCAGTCCATCTCATCCATGGTTTTTATCCAGGAATTCAAGATGACTCCAAGTCAATGCCGCCTAAAGAAGCAGACGGCAACTACTCATCGTCATTAAATGGAGAAATCAATAGACCACGCCAGATGCTATCCCGCATTATGCCTGCCCGTCTTGTTGGACATGCTCCTCTTATTCGAATGGATAAAGAAGCATATGTCTACTTACGAAACTCAGCGAAATACACCTAGCTTCCCTATTAAAACTAAGAAAGGCGCCTTTTTCTTTCGCGACGCGTCTACAGTGTTACATCCGTCAAAGCGGCCCAAAATTACAAGCGAAAATACTTTCACATTGTCACCTGTTGCAACCATAATCAATCCTTACACTGAGCGTTTATTGTCAGAGCAAAAACGCCTTGCAAGACAGCGAATTGCCAATCAAGCCAACATGACGTCTTTGAAACAATACCCAACTGCATACAACACAAGGAGCATATTGATCACACTCGAGAGGATACGGCCAAAGCTTCGTCCAGTTTCTGTTCAATAAGCGACGCTTGTTCGTTGGTTATGCTGATTGTTGGCGTATTTAAGGTAAGAAGGGATTCCCGTTGGTGTTGAAGTTCGGCAATTGTTGTCTGTCTTTGAGCAGTAGATCCATGGGAGAATAGATCTGCAATGTGTTTTAATAACTGTTTTAGAGCCTCCCCGGTAAGTTGTGGGTTGGAGGTGATATAATCACGTACTTCAAAGAACTCTATGAGGGTAGACTTTAAATAAATCCACAAATATGTTGTTAGACAGCAGCAAAGGGCTGAATCGCCATACCCCAGGTCCTACGTCCAGACAATTGGGTGACAAGTCAGCCATCAAGATGACATGTTCTGTCCAATTGCTAGGAAGGTACCGTTGAGTTCGGTTAAGGACTCGTGCGGTAATACTTCGGTGGCAGAAGCAATAATCGATAGCGCTGTGAGTGACGCAACGCTGGAAAGCAGGTATGATTGAAGAGAAGCAGTTATCATTATAGTGAGTGAGGTCACGATACCATTCATGAAAGCTAGGATTGGTTGAAGTGGTCGATAGAGAAGCTAGCAACATATTAAAATCTCCAACAATAAAACTGACATCTAGACCCTTTTTTGTAAAAAAAGGTTGTGACATTAATGAGGCGAGGAAAGGCATTATGTCACGGGTAGTTGCCGGAACGTAAATATTAGTGATAGTGCATATAGAATTACGGGTAACTGTATCGATGATGGTCGCTTGTGAACAGCGTTCATCGGAAGTTACAATTTCATCTGTTAACAGTAACGTCGGGTTTAAACAGATAATAACACAATAGTTAAAGAGTAGAGTTGCACATTGAGGAAAGAGGAGGAATGAAAATATTTGACTTGATCGAATGGAAGGTGGTCTTGTGAATGGTATGCGGATACTTCTTGGAGACATAAAATGTCAAGAAACAAAGTGGGGGAACATAAATGGAACCTATATCGTTTCTTGGTATATTTGTTAGCATCCTTGAAAATGCTGCGAGCATTTAAGCATGCGACGCGTATAGGTCGATTATTCATTGCCCGTGGTCATGGCTAACTTGGACTGCGTGGTATCCGCATCTATTATTACCTTAATATCATCGCTGTGTGCAGCAGGAGTTAAATGACTATGAATGGCCGTAGTTGCCAAACTAGTGTTGACATCTGAAGGCGCAAGTGTTGCAGGCTCGTCCAGAGCCGTACTGGCAGCAACAGTAATACTGGCATATTTTGAGCCGGCAGTACCAGTGGGTGTATTAAATGAAGACAAAGTATGATCAACAGAAGCCTTAGCGGTCGTTGATCGGGTAGCATATCGTTTTGCCTTTTTCGTAATGATAAGGGCAGACTCATCATTGATGGAAGAGGTAATAGAAGGACTATCGGTGGAGCAATGGTTATTGGTGAGTTCACTTGGAACTTGATATTCAGCAATAGCGTCAGTATCGCTTTGGTCATTAGCTTTCAAAACAGGAACAGGAACGTCTTCCATACGGCAATTTCGACGAATATGACCCTTATGATGACATTTGTAGCAGGTCAAATTTTGTAAAGCAGGACAAGATTTACGAACGTGCCCAGCTTGGCGACAGTAATAGCAGACAGGAGGTGCACCTTTCCATCTGAGCAGGGGCTGACGTATCCCATTCGAGCAAAAACAGTTTTTGTCCAATGGTTGCACAGAAGAAGAGTCATCTTCATCTCTACCGCTGGTGTCAAGCAAGACGGAGAGTTCGCCCTCAAAGAAACCTCGATTGGTAAGCATCTTGATTTGGCACTCCTTGCCATAAATAGCCATAGATTTCTTTGGCTTAGTTATCAAGGTTGCTACATCCTCAAATTGAAATAGGGTGAGGTTAACACGCGTGAATTGGTATCAACTTTATCTACGAATCGGCTGGCTTTGTAGGTGACATGCTCAAGAACGTGTTCAAAAAGGCCGCTTTTTTGTGAAAATGAAAAAACCGCCTTTTGAGAAAATGAAGGCCGTACTTTGAGAAAATTCGAACCGAACTTTTGAGTTTGACTCAACTATGATTTTTTTAATGGCCGCCCTTTTTCCAAAAACAGCGCCACTGTATGTAATTTGTCTCTTTGCATTAAAGTTGTCTTTTTTATATTTTACTATAAACTACAGTGACGCTCACAAAGCTTACTTTGAATACTCATGTCGAAAACAGAATACTTAACAGTTGAAGGCGAGAAAGACTGGACAATGGTTCAGGCTTCGGACCTCATTCAGAACCAGGAAGTCATTCAAATGTACAGTGGTCATCTTCATCTTGCTATAGGTCATTACACACAACAGCAATAGTGTTGCTCACTTTATTTCAAAAATAAATAGAGACGGAAACTCTTCTGTAGAAGAAGCATGCCAAATATTAGTGGAAAATAATATATCTTCAGCACCCGTTTATGTTAAAGAAGAAAAGGGCCACTATATAGGCATGTTTGATTACGGGGATGTAATAGCCTATTTGCTTTTGGTGTTGCACAAAAAACCGGGTCAACGAAGCGGAAAGGATACTGAGAAAATTGATCCTGAGGCTTTTGAAATTAAAGATATTGTACGCAGAGCATTACAAGGCGAGAAGGTACCTGTGCACATGGCGAGCGGTAAGATTGGTTAACATTAGGCCAAACCCCGGCCGACAAATCATCGTTATATATTGTTACTCATGCTACTGCCTACATTAGACTTATCAAGAAAAAACCCGTTTTACAGCATCATGCATGAAGCCAAGCTTTTGTCAGCAGTGGAAATTTTTGCATGCGGCACCCACAGATGTAAGATTTCTAGTTTTAGATAGAACAGGCCAACTTTAAGAACTATAACACTTATTGTGGTGTTACTATACTATGCTGTATAGTGAGCATTTTGAAACCTAATGGAGAGATTGAGGGAATTTTATCACAATCAACAGTTGTAAAATATCTTTTTGAGAATAGGAAGAAGTATCCTGAGATTGATGAAGTTTTAAACAAAAGTGTACGTGTTGTGCAAGAATAGATGGCAAGCTTTCCATGACTATACTATTCATATACTTATCATTTCGCAAACATATAGATTAAGGACTTGAATCTCAGTGATGAGCCAGTTATCGGTGTTGATGCAAACTCTAGTGTTCTAGAAGCCCTTTCACTGATGAGTAAGTCATCACCCTCTGAAATTGGTCAATATTATCAGCCGCTGTACTATGCAGAGCAATTGACCATTTATTATGTAGGCACGCATGGTGTTTCTTCAGTTGCAGTACTTCGAGAAGGGAAGAGCGTCTTTGGGAATATCAGTATGACCGATGTTAAGGTACTGTACAATTTTAAGAATGAATGAAAGTGTCACCGTTCTATTGACAAACACTTGCGCTACGTGTAACAGCATGTAATGAAAGGCTATAATCACCGTCTATTATGGAAGAGTTGCCTCCAATTTGTGAGCCATATAAGGACTCAGCAGGGAATGATTGACGGACAGGTATAGTGTTTGTTTCAAACAAAGAATAAAGATGCTGCTGGTGATCAGCGGTGAAAGCTTACTTGTGCGGCTCTTATTGTTAGGACCGCCTTCCCGTATTTGACGTTAGAAGAGAAACTTCTTTAGGATTTACTGTTGCAAAGTTGCTTGCCACCAAAGCTCATCGTGTTTGGGTTGTCGATGAACAGAATCAAGCTATCGGTGTAGTATCTTTAACTGATGTCACACGGGTGTTTGCTTCCTTGGTAGGCGTAGAGACTAAAGAGAGGCGACCAAGTTTGGCAGTGTTCAGTTGTTAGCCAACTGATTACTTTTGTATTAAGAGTGCGTTTATCTTCAAGCCAACAGAAAATTGGGGATACGGACTGTTTTCTATAATGTACTTTTATATTTTCATCAAATCCACAATATCACTTCTTTCCATCTTTATTAAAATAAATAAGCGGTTGAGCACATAGATCATTGCACGGGCCAACTTTGACTGTTCTTCCTTCTATGGTTAAATTGGCATGAATCATCCAAGTCGTAAGCATCTCAATGTTTTTGTTGGCATGTTGTGTAACTAGCAAGGTTACCCAATATTGTTGTATTTGCAGAAATCTGGTAAAATGGCACTAAACTTTGCAGGCGTCGTTCTCATAGTAAGGTTCCATAATTGCTTGTTGCTCGCAGGCATATTCTACGTGCTTATGAGAGATGTATGCTATGAGAGGCTAATGAACTCCAATCAAACCAGCAAAATGCAACACACATTCCGCATCATTGACAGTAGCTTGACGGTCGTAAGAAGTGTTGGATCAATGGCAGCATTCAATGGCAAATGGGCTTCTTTCATTGATGAACGTTGCCTGTTAAAAGGGCAAATGGGCTTTTTTCAAAGATGAACGTTGCCCTGTTAATGTTATAATTTGCCGCTAATGGTATCAGCAGTTTTTTTTTTTTCCGCAAAATTACCCAAACTTGGTAAAATCTAACTTTTCTGGAAATCACAAGAAAAAAAAAAAAAGATTGAGATCCTTTTTTTTTTTTTTCTCGAATTTCTATATAAATTTCATTTCTTGCCATTCCTTTTTTTTTTTTGTCTTTATTTTTTTAGTTATTGGGAATTTCAAAAAAGTTATATACTTGGATAATAAAGAGAACGAATGGCCAATACTACTATTAAGGACTACGGCAGCAGCGACAATAATTCTAATGGACCAAAAGTAATACTCGAAGAAAGAATTACAACAGTTAATGCGGATTGTAATAAATATAACAATCACAACGGTAGCATTAGTTCTGCTGATTCCAATGAGGCGCTAGTGAAGAAACCCAGGGCTGCGTCCTTCTTTAATGTGTTATTCAGTGGTTTCGCTTTACTTTCTGATGGTTATCAATCTGGAGTCATCAGTTTCGTTAATCTCTTTCTTGGGAAAATCTACGGAGATAGCATTTTCAATGCTGATATGAAATCTCGTTTATCTTATGCTATGTTTGTTGGTGCTATTGTTGGCCAACTAGGTAAGTTTTGACCTTGAACAGACCCTTTCTTCAACTATGAAGTTCAAGTTGCTGATACAGATTTAACTTTATCTTTTTCTAACACTTTTCCATGGTTTTCTTTCAAATTCGATGAAACAATCTTATCTGTATTTTTTTCTCTTTTTTCTGCCCGCTGAATTTCTGTAATTTTGCAGGATTTGGTCTCGTAATTGATCGCATCGGACGTAAAATCGGACTTATTCTGACCACTGTTCTTGTAATTGTTGGCGCTGCATTATCCTCTGCTTCAAGTGGAACTTCCGTCAATGGTATGCTTTGGATGATGATTATATCCAGGGGTATTCTTGGTGTAGGTGTAGGTGGTGAATACCCGTGTAGCTCTGTATCGGCAGGTGAGTCTGCTGATGAAGTAGCTCCTGGGAAACGTGGTGGCTTGTTTGTACTTGTAAATATAGAATTACGGAATATGGCACCATGACTCAAAGTTTCGATGGTGTTTAAATCAGAAAAAAAAAAACTGACTTTTGGTCTCTTTTTTTTTCTAGGTAACCAACTTTGTTATCGACCTTGGTTATGTCGTTTCAGCCATTGTGCCTGTTGTTCTGCTTGCTATCTTCAAGGATAATTTGGAACCTGTTTGGCGTTTATGTCTGGGTCTTGGTGTAGTCCCTCCCTTATCCGTCTTGTACTGTAAGTGTCTATTGAGCATTAGAAAGTTCTCATGATGACATTGTGTAACTCGCCTTCATGATCTCTAACTGTATATTTGATGCTATTGATATAGTCCGACTCAAAATGGGAGATTCAGAACGTTACAAAACAGGTGCTTTGAGAAAGCATGTTCCTTATCTGCTCATTTTCAAGCGATACTGGTTCCGTATCTTGTTAAGCTCGGGTTTATGGTTCATTTATGATTTTATTACTTATCCAAATGGTGTTTTCTCTTCAGTCATCCTCGACAGTGTCGCTAGTGGTGATTCAAATATTCAAATCGTTGCCTGGAACATCTTACTCTTTGCTTTCTATCTTCCCGGTTGTTTAGCTGGTGCCTATTCAGTCGATAAATTGGGTCGTAGAAAGACGCTTGCCTTTGGTCTAATGGCTCAAGGTATTGTTGGCATGATTCTTGGTGGAGTATATGAGCCTCTCTCTAAGAATTGTATGCCTATGTTCATTGTAAGTATTTTTGACGAGCCATTCCATGGATCAAGCCAGATTATGTTGCTAATACGCCGTCATCTTTTGGCTATTATTAGATTATGTATGGTATCTTTTTAGCCCTTGGAGAATATGGCCCTGGCCCCACTATGGGTTTGAATGCCATGGAAATGTTCCCTACTGCCGTCCGTGGTACTTGCTATGGTATTGCTGCTGCTGTAGGTAAAGTAGGAGCAACCGTTGGTACGCTTGCTTTTGTGCCTATGCAAGAAGCCATGGGAGGTTATCGTGGGCCCTTCTTGGTTGGTAGTGGTATTGCCATTGCCGCTAGCTTTGTTGCCTGGTTTTTCGTTCCAGAAATTGGAGTGGATGGTTTAGCTGAAGAAGATGCTGACTTCCGTGCTTATTTGGAGAAGCATGGCTATGATGTCAGTCAGTTTGGTCTAGGTCAGCAGTCATCAGTCCAAGAACAATCTGTTGTCGAAGTTGTTCAGGATAAATCAAAGAATGGCTCTTTTAGCTCGAGTGGTTCTTTGGATGAACAACAACAGCCAAGAACGCATGAAGTAGCGTGAAGCACGATGTCTATATTATATTTATCATTTTTTGTATTATTTATTTTTTCTATTCAACTATATATCTTGTGCTCAGTTTATAGAGACTTATATCAAAATTGCTTATGTGTGTAATCACTCATCAGTCTTATATTACATATTAGAGATACATCATTTTTCAGATATATAGAACTCCTTTTTTTTTGGATTTTTACGATTATATTTTTGAATTATATACAATTGCATCGCTATATGTATGTATATATCCCCTTTATTTTATCATTAAAGTCGATTCTGCATTTTTTTTAAACAATAACCGTAGGTACTTTCTTTTTCCTTTTCCTTTGGGATTGTTGCGTTAATGTGTGCATTCCATTTTGCTAGGTTTTATAGTAGAGGTACCCAGTAAATGAGCCTTAAAATTATGATATGCATCAAGTATAAACTAATACACCTTTGCTCAGAATGTTACTTGGAAAGATATAAAGGTCCGGTAACCACCGGAGTGGTTAACTCTACTCTTACAAAAAAAAACTCGTAAAGGTTAAATACTCATCCGGTCCAATCGAATGAATGTCTGCTGCTAATCTGAATTGTGTCAGTATATCTTCCGAAGGAATCCTGCAAAAGCGGAAATAGTTTGACAACGCGATATAAACAATTGGAGAGTATCAGTCTTCTACTAGTCCGAAAAACAGCATATGATCGCGTTCACCGAGGATATTCGGATCCAATCATGGTACGCTTTGGATTCAATTCCGCGTTTACCAGCACTTTTGTATATCATGATTTTTTGTAAAGTCTATTCAGATCATGAAATGATGACTTTACTGGCAATATGACCCAAACCGCGGTCTGATACAAGTCAACCCCTTTCCTCCTTTGTTAGTCAAACTTGTTTTGGAGCCCTTACTCCCATCTATCCGATAAAGCGTATTATTTAAAGAATACATATCCTTTTCGAAGCCAGTCATCAAAACGAATACATCGTATATGTGGGCAATACTTCCCAACTTTGCTAAGGTTATCATCAATTTTTGCCACCTCTCTAATTCCTTGATAAATATTTCCAAAAAGGTTAAACTGGGTTTCAATTTAAATAGTTTGAGTACTTTAAAGTAGATTTTAATTTAAGGATTAGGGTCGTTCATAATGTTCAGTTATGTGAACATAAAATTTGAAGCATCCTCATTCTAGAATAAGCTTCAGCCAGAGGTCTCCCGAAGGCTTTGCATCGCCACCTGGCGTCTTGCTACCACATTTCAACCAATCCTTTGCTAGTCTATGAATACTTAACTCGACTTATAGTGTATAAAAACTGAACTCTGTTTAGATACTCTAATGAAAGCTGTTATAAAACAGGTAGATTGATATTCATAACGCCAGTTACCTTTTACGAGGTTGAGTGATAATACCTGATATCGTGTTTATGTCAAATTTTGCTATTGTTCGGTACCTTTTAATTCAATTGAAACCTTTTATCGCTACACTACAAAAAAAATTAGTTATCAGTTGTAAATAAAAGAAGCCTTCCTTAACACCATATGGTTGTCTCTTGCACCACGCACATTCGTGGACCTGCTGTGTTGTTTGTTTCGCCGCAGCATTTATCCAGATATAATGGCTGCATATTTTCCCGCCGTCATTACCAGATAATGGGAGGGAACCATTCAAAGCCCAACAGTGCTTCTCTTTGTGGTTATCTTGTTCCTATCACCTAATGTTTAAAACCGTTCATGTTTTGAGCTTTGGACCATTGAGAGACTTTTATTAGCTCTAGTCTACCGGACAACTTATTCTTTCTTTTGAACGCTATGTTTGGCCAACTGCCAGCACTGCACAGGTTAGATCGTTACACCGAAATGCCTGTCCATATTTTGCGACTGTTAAGTGTCTCATGGTTAAAATATGGTCAATTGAACATAAACCAAGGTTACTTTTTCTATTTTTTTAATGGATATTTGAGAAGAACATTCTGCTCTCCATTCTCGAGGATCGGTACTTGAGGATTATCTTTTCCATTCAACTACTTCTCCTGACTGTGAGTTCAATACTGCATTCATCTGCCAACATAACTCAAGTTTCCTGCGACAACAGTAATCTCCCTTCAACTTTAGGCTCTGTTACGTCTGGCAAAGAAATCATTATCAGGCTTTAAGGTGTCTGAACGATTGCTGGACGAAACTCGGCATTTGCTGTAGTGCTCGGGATAAGGGCTACCATTCCCTTGTACAAAAGCTTCCATATATGGACATACTAAGGACAGTGTTGTTTTCAATGAAAATTGTTTGCTCTCAACTGGTAAAATTGTTACTTTCAGTCATATTTGGTTGCCTGCCCTTTCTTGGCAGACGTGGAACACAGAAGCACAAAACTATGTATCGTGCCATAAACAGTCCATCAGACAGCTTGGTAACTATACCGCGGTTCTGTCAATGTTTTTAACTAATCAATGAAAGCTCTAACACTGTCACTGGTTTGATTGGACTTCCATGATAGTTTCTTCCAACTGTTAATTGTTTATTCGCTTTGTCTACACAATTACTGCAAAGCGGTTTCTTGATAGATTAGGTAATGGTCGTAGTTTGAATTTATTGCTGTCGTTTGCTTGGATTCCAATCCTCAGCGATACTGATTTATTACTTCAACTGTATCAATAGAAAGAATTTTAGCTAATATTTTAGACAATTTACAATTTTTAATGAAACATATACATTTTAAATTTAGATTTATTAAAACATTTTTTAAAATAAAGTCCATAGTATTTGGATATCGAATTTGGACACTCCATTATTCAGTGATATACAAGCAGCATTGAGGATGACATACAAACGAACCCAAGAAATGAGTCTCTTTCAGTAAGAAGTAGCCAATAATGGTCTTATTGACGTTAGCTTGCGATAGGCTTAACTATAAAAGCATGACAACTTTTTTATTAAAGCAAATCTTTGAAAAAAAAAATCAAGTGCTGTTAATGGTAGCTTGCCTTTTGAAAGCCTATATATCTGATCATATTTATACATATATAGATTGATCTGTGCATTGATTGCGGTAAAGGGAATCGTTACACCAAACAATACTTTAAATGTGAATTGTATGAAGCAAAAACTGCAGATCATGGTAAGCACCTCATGTGGCTTTAAAAGTTGGTAAATTCATCATTAGTACGCGACCTTATTGTACCTATAGATGGTGCGACAGGCAGAAAACGCAAACAGAATTTTGAAATCAAGAAAGAAAAGAAAAAAGCAAGGAAAGAGAAGAATGAAGACTCCGATGAAGAAAATGCATATTGTACCAAATGCAAGCAACCAGGACATAAATCGATGCGTTCAGAAGTGGAAGGCTGATAAGTACTCAGGATTCCCTAGAAGGGTACCACTGATCGTGTTTGGTGCTGGAATGTTTGGAAAAGATGTAGTCAAGTTGAAAGGGCAACGATGTGGTGTTGTCGATAAACTTTTTGCAACCCTGAAAAAACGTGAAGCTGAAGGTCAATTGATTGTTGTCGCAATCGATGAATTCAAAACCTCTAAAACATGCAGCCTCTGTTTCTATGATGATATGCAAATTGTTGATACTCCTGGATTTAAGGGTATCGGCGCTCTTCATTGCAAGCAATGCCTAAGCTATGGCAGAGAGACGTTAACGCCGCTATCAATATGATAACCATATCTCGAGCAGTTTGGTCTGGAGCGGGAAGACCCGACGTTTTCAAGCCAGCGAAGAAGAAGAAAGTATCGCCGTAATAAACACGGTTTTCCTTATATTTTAAGGATTTAGATCATTATAGGTGAGGAATAGTACGGTTTTTTTGTTTGTTTTGTTTCCCACTACTGACAAGTTTTGAATTTGAATAATTGTTTGAACGGTTTATATTTTCGTCTACAAAACAGTTACAACTTGTCTAAAATAAAAATATTAATTGTCCAAAAAAAGTTTTACTTTATCTGAAATATTAGTTAAAATATTGTAGAAAGAATAGAAACCAAGAGATCCGTAATCTTTCCGATCTCGGGAGTGAAGTTAGCTGTTTCAGTTGAAAGTGCTGTCCCTACAAATGTTACATCTGCTGAGCGAAGCCTTTACAATTTTTGAAAAAGAAGATAGGAAGCTGGGAAGAAACAGAATTTAGTGTCACCATTGCTGAATGATGGCATTTATTAACCATAAAAGTACTTTTGGCAAGATATAATTCAAAATGCATTATTCAAATAGATTTCTGATCTTTTGCAGTCTTTCCTGTCTTAACCCTCCAATCTCCACCTAGAATTGTGTGATCTCTGTTCGTTTTGTCGACGTTATTAAAAATTACAAGCATTGGTTAAATGATAAGAACCGAAATAACTGTAGTCTTTATACAAAGATTGATGCCCTTTTTCCCAATCAAAAATACACAATGATCGCAAACATGTGAAACTACACAACTTTGAACAAAAAGGTTTCATTTCAATGAGATTTTCTGAAGTTGATAACTTTTTTTTTTTTTTTTTTTTTTTTTTTTTATTTATTATTTTTCTTGCTCCTTCATTTTGCTCTCCTTCTTTCTCCTCCCTTCTCTTTTTGTTCGATTTTTACAGAGGTATATGGTATTTCCTAAATTCACGGGTGTTGCTTCTGAATGTAGTACAGATAATGGTTTGAATAAATTTGTAAAGCATTTCGGACGTGATCGAACCCTGCAGCAGGTAATGTCTGTTCTCATATTGAGTGCAAATGTATCGTAGAAACTTTATATATTAATTATTTTTATATCTGTATAGGATCGTTTTCAGTATGATCGTGAAACATCGCCGGTAATGAGTTGAACATAGTAAATATGGTTGCCCTTCAGTAACTGTATAGAATACTAATGCGATTCTGTGAACAAAAAGGCCCTCTCAGGCTTTAGGAGTCCTTCAACATCAACAGCTGCAAATTCACCGTCGACCTCTACTGACAATGTAAGAAATACCAAAGATACGGGAAGCGAAGAAACGACAAGCAATGCCATTCTTATATTTCCATCTTTTATGTAGTTATCAGTCAACGACTTTTTTCATAATGCAGAATATAGTAGAAGCAATGTATCTAGCCCTTTTCTACCTCCTGCTTCAGCTCACAATTTAAAAGATGATTGGCTGCATGATTTTCATCACGACCATAGCCGTCACTCATCACCCGGTTTATTAAGTCCTTCGGAGGAAGCACAAATGGAACAAGTGTATGCAAGGCATCACCCTGATTTACCACCTCAACTTCCTGCAGCTCAATATTTCCGGCAACATTATCTGTTCCAAAGCTCCAGCAGCAACAGCAGTACGACGACATCTACTAGCTCCTCACAAATTTGGACAGACGAGTTTTTTCAGAAACAGCAGGATCATTCTCAAATAGATGAAGAGGCTTTGCAACGAGCATTTGAAGAGGTTCAGTTAGCAAATGAAGAGAAACGACTGCAAGACATTCCACAACAATCTTCTTTCCAACCTGCTATAAGCATTACATCATCACAGCGGCAAAATGTAGCCGCACGTACAGACACGTCTTTTTCTCATTTATTGGACACTAAAGATTGGTCAAAGGAATTCAGTAAATATCATGATTTATCAGCATTGGAACAACAGCAGCAGGAAGCACAATCGACAGACAGTCTTGTTGCGTCAAGGTCTGTCTCAAATGATCAAGAAGAGGATGACATAGAAGATTGGCTTCGCATGTATCAGAAAAGCTTCGAAAACAAACAAAGTCTGTTGAATGAAGAGACTCTAAAGAAAGAACAGCAGTCGTGGGATCGATTAAAACCAGGCCATGGATATCGAGCTATTCATCCAGAGTATGAACAATATCACTATACTCCCAACAATCCTTATTTGAATCATCAACATACTATTGATCAATATCAACATGAAACTTTAGCTGACATGGTCTTGGCCTTGGAAGCCAAAGTGCAACTGAATCCTAAAAATGCTCAAGCATGGGAACAACTTGGCCTCAAACAGCAAGAAAACGAACGAGATGCAGCTGCAATCACTGCTTTAGAGAAAGCTGTCGCCTTAGATCCCCACCTACTCAATGCATGGATGGGTTTAGCTGTCAGTTATACGAATGAGCACTGCCGTATGGATGCTTATAATTGTTTAGAACAATGGCTTTTCAATAATACCAAGTATACACATTTATTGGATGGCCAACGATTAGGACAATTTGATACAAAGGATGAAAAAAAGCGCCATGAGCATATTACTGAATTGTTTTTGAAAGCTGCCCGTTATCAACATTCGCTATCTACATCATCAGCAGCATTATCATCAGATGAAAGAGATAAGTCTTTGTTAGATGCCGAGGTTCAAGTTGGTTTGGGTATATTATTTAATATGTCTGAAGAGTATACAAAAGCCATTGATTGTTTCAAAGCAGCATTGATGACTCGACCAGATGATTATCAATTATGGAACAAATTAGGCGCTACATTGGCCAATTCGCGAGACATGGAGGCAGCGATTGAGATGTATTTCAATGCGTTACAGATTAACCCATCCTTCGTTAGAGCGAGGTATAATCTGGCAATCAGTTGTATGAATTTAGGGCAATATCGCGAAGCAGCAGAACATTTGTTAACTACTTTGGATTTACAACGTGCCGCATCTCTTTCAGCAGCTGAAGTTGTGAGAAGAATGAGTACCAATGGTCAACCGCAAGTTGCTCCAATGGATATACCAAGCTCTGGCACAAGTAATGGAATTTGGGATAGCTTACGGTTACTCATGTTTATGTAAGTTCTTTTATTATGTTTTACGGTAATTGAAAGATTTTTTCACTAATCTCTCTTTTTCGTTTTTTCTACCAAAGGATGAGCAGAGAAGATTTGGCAGCAGAGTGTGATAAACAGAACTTGGAAGCTTTTCGGAGCGATTTCGAATTTTAATAGAGAGGCCTTAACCAAAGATGTAGTATTATTTATTGAACCTGTAAATATTTCTGCCATACTACATTATGTTTTCATTTGTATCATATGATCCTCTCTTTCTTTTATGCCTTGTATAAAAAAGATAAATTCTTAAAACCGTTCAAGAAAAATGCTACACTCTCATATAGAAGCTATAGTAGGTAGTATGCGTAACCATATAATTTCAAGAGTTAAGTTAGAACAACGGGATAACAAACGTCGAAAGTAATGCTTTTTTATTTGCATGTTTTGCAATTTCACTGATTCATATCTATTCTACTTCAATCCTAATCGCAAATTGATAAGTTTATCATACTTCTCTCTCACTTGGGGAAGCCTCCATCACAATGTATGGTTCATTAACTCCTCTGTAATAAATGCTACCTCGCACAGTTTTCTTCTATGTATATTTCAAAATGTCCAGCTTTGTTTTGATGAGGCAGTATTTGATAACCTTCAAAGACCTAGCTCGGGTACTGTACATTTTGTGTTTCTTTCGTGTTGCTAATACTGATTGATTCGAACTCGATGAATTGATGATAATACAACCGCTTTCTCCGCACCAGATAGTTTCCTTTGCCTGCCTGCCGCTTTCTATCTTTTCTTTAAAAAGTATCTGTAGCTTGAGCAGGCGTCTCCAATTCTCCGTACTCCATGACTATGCCATCATATCCTTGACATCGAAATATTCGGCAATTTTGAGATAATTCTGCCGCCTAATTGAACTGCTCTAGCTCATATTGTTGGATTGTCAAATATAATGGATAGGTAGCGACTGCTAAGCAGGATTTCTGACATTATATTCTTAGAGGTCTGACATAAAAAGTTAAAAAGATGCTGTACTGATAGATATAACCGGAGTTGAACGCAACGCGTCGTCACGCGTTTTGTTGTCGTGCAATTTCGCATTCCATTAACCCTCCCTTCTACCAAAAGCAGTAAATCCAATGGTTACTTGTTCATGACCGGGAAAAGACGAAATGTAAGTTCATCACCTGAAAGACAGGATTGTATTCTTTGAAATGGAAGCAAATAATATATATCTGTAACCTCGAAGCCAAGTAGAGCAGCTGCCAGTAAACAAAAGGCACCCAAAACCCAGGGCAGCACACGAACAAACGCCAGTATTCTTGATTTTTTCAAAAAGGTAGAAGAGCTTCACAAAGTGGACCATCATCGAGCGGTCAACTAAAGCCATGATTACTCTTTTTTGGGGGGGGGGAAATAGAATGATATTCATGTGGATAGTAGCATATTGCGTTCACCTCCGCTTCACAACAATGGTGCTGATCAGCAGGTGACTGAACAAGATCCCATATCCTCATTCAGTCAATCTCAAACACAGATGGAGGAGTCAATGGTACATAGTTTATCTATTGATGAAAATACACAGACCTCGGTCGACCGCTTCCAACTTTTACATAGCATGACGAATAACGATAATTCGGTTACAGCAGATACCCAAGATCTATACATACCCTCCCCTTTTTCGCCCTTTTCTTCGCAAAAAGAACAACAATCACAACAGCATGAAGACATAGTGACAAACGGAAAAAAGATATCAACAAAAGAAGAGCAGCAGCAAATGAGTACTCAAATTTCAGAATTTACTACAGATAATTCACAAGTGGACCCAATTATTGAGGACGACGATAATATGAGTTTACCATCTATACCATCTATTTCAAACAATGAAAAGGAAAAACAGCAAACAGAGGAATTACCTCAGTTGAAATTTCACTTTCGTGATAGGATACCATCAGTATTACCACAAACATTGGCATCAACCCCAAAGATAATTGTACCTCAATGTTCTTCAGTAGCTAACGTAAATAAACTTGATCAGCCACTATTTTGTCCAGATGGGCTTGTAGATAATACTCTCAAATGTATCTTGAAAAAGAAGACCGAATTTGAGCAATGGGAAAATACGGTGAATGCGCACAGTAAGTTTTAATACTATTATTATTTTCCATCATATATCAGTAGTCTCTGTGAACAAGTTACTCATATTCTTATCCTGGTTATCAGTGGCAAAGTATGGATCGATTGCGAAAGTGAGTCGTTACGATCAAGACGCTGTATTATTTCGCATGCTCAATACATGGACAGAAGGTGGGCTCGTCTTCTCGCGCTGTGTCTTATTACCTCAAGAAGATATCGATTTTCTGTTATCTTTTGCTTCTGCTCCTTCGTCCATGCAGGAAGGGAGTCAGATACAGCAGCATTTGCAACAGCAAAGAACATTAACGAGCTTTGGTAGTAATACTCAAGTTGAGTCCATCAAAGAGTTTGAATCGCAGATAACGCCGCGTTTACCGGAGTATGTGCCTAAAGAAGGAGCAGAAGACGAAACCTTTCTGTTTGCATTCTCCTTTGCTTACATGCGCTATCCTCCACCGCCTCATATTTTGAATAAGTTTGTTGAAGAAGAGCAAGTGGTAGGCGTTTGGCCAGACTGGAAAGAGATTAACATGGAAATAGAAGGCATGGGCACCTTTGAAGTGAATTTGGTGACAAAATTCAAAGCCGATTCTATCTATTAGATAGGCAGGAGGTTATGACAAAGGAGCAGTGACAAACAGAAAAAAAAAATTGTTTTCTTTTTTATTCATTTTTAAAATTGTATGTATACAGATAGAAAGTCTTCCTACATTCTTTACATAAAAATAGTATATCCACTGATTTACTTTGACATCCCATTCAAAAACGGCAATCCATTATTGCATATCATGTACTACTAAATTTTGCATCTACTACGGTTCATTCTGATTTTAGTCATCTCTTCTATGTCTACTGCTACTACGTCTAGAAGAGCGTCTACTGCTGTCATCTTCCTCAGGTTCATCTCGTTCATCTTTTGCTTTATCATTCATATCTTCATTGTCTTCCTCATCTCTAACATTGACATCAATGACCATATCTTCATGCTTGGCATCGACAGGGCTACGGCTACGGCTACGGCTACGGCTACGGCTACGGCTACGACTTCTGCTCTTCACATCCTCATTGTCATCCTGACGACGACTGCTACGACGACGTTCTTTTGAAACAGAGCGAGATATTGAGCGCGAACGAGAACGAGAACGATCTTCTTGTTTTGATTCCTCTGCTGGTGAACGAGAGCGAGAACGGGAAGCCGAAGCTGAACGATCTCTTCTACTGCTGCGACGACGGGAAGAACGAGAACGGCTGCGAGAGCGGGATTCATCTTCTGAAGCATCATGATGACGGCCTGAACGTCGACGAGGAGGAGTTTGAGAGCGAGAGCGACTGCGAGTACGAGAACGACGAGAAGAATGACGTCGTGGAGATCTACTGCGATCACGACCCTTTCTTCTACGACCCTATAAGGATGACAGTCATCAAAAAGGGAGTAAAATCGATGAGTTACTTGTTTAATATCCTTGATGACATTGCCCGCATCAGTTGATGCAGGACACAAGGATGAGGTGTTATCACAACTTACAGCTTCTTCAAGTTTGACACGAGAACCGTTTAATTTTTCATCATTCAGTTCTTTCAATGCATATTCCATATCATCTCTTCTGGCGAATTCAACAACACTAAATGTAAGGAAATGGTATAAATAAAGAAATGAGTTCAGTTTTTCAATGAGAATAACAGAAAAATAGATACGTTACCCTTCGCCATCATGATCCTTGAGAATGTCAGCAAATGTAACACGGCCTGCCTTTTTACAGAAATCTTTGAGATCCTTCAAGTCGAAACAGGAAGCGGCGGCACACACACACACAGAGAGAGAGAGAGAGAGAAAGAGAGAGAGAGAGAAATGTTTTAGTATCACGCATGTAACAAAGCTAGATCTTTTTTCAAAGGACGCATGGTAAAATGGGATGGAAGAAGAGATATATAGAGAGCCAAAATATAACCCCAGAGTCAACCGGATTCCTAAACCCGTATATCATCTGTGCAAATTTGTGTACACAACAAAAGGTCCAGAAATCCTTAAGAGAATATAAATAAGAAGGGAAGAGTTCACATCCGTAAAAATAGCAGACAGACAACAACCAGTCAAAAAGACATAGACTCCAAACCCGGGGGTGGCCATCTTTTTAACAAGCTTTCCCTCCGTTCAGAAGGAAAGACAAGAGAAGGTATAAAAGGAGAGGAGGAGGCGGCCCTAGAGCAAGCCAATACTAGGATAGAATAAGAGACTTTACCTGCCAAGTGGTCTTTGGAGGAATATTCTTTACAACGATACGGTTGGTATCACTGAAACGATTCGCAGGGAAGAAAAAAAAAAGAAAAAATTTAGCTAAGAGTTTTCATATTCTACCGTATTCTGCAAACTTTGTGCACTTCATTGTCAATACTTACAAATCTCTTTCTCTACGTTCACGACGAGGGCTCATGGCATGTTCAACAATAATTCTGTTGAATTAATAATAGCGTAAGGGAGAAAATCATTAGAAAAATTGTTCAGTTAGCCCGCATGCTTTTATTATTATCATTATTATTATTTTTAACCATGTCATTTGGAAAAAAGTCGAAACTAACCTTTGTCCTAAGAAACGTGTATCATGCATATCGTGAACAGCATCGTCCGCATCGGCTTTTTCTTGAAATTCCACAAAGCCGAAACCGGTTTTCACTGTAACATCAAGAATGCGTCCGTAATCTTTGAAAAGACTTTCGATGTCTCTGCGTTGTGCATCGCGAGCAAGACGACCAATATAAACTCTGTATCCTCCCATGTTGCTTAATTTAAAGAAATGTCGATATGATTTTTCTTTTGTTGTTTGTTTAAACTTTTTTCCAGCTGTTTTGAACAAGGATAAAGAAGAAACGGAAGAATATGTTGTTTAGATGGACGAAAAAAAAAAATAAAAAAAAATATGTACACTTAAAATGTTTGAATAGTCACGAAATTTTTCAAAAAATATCTTTCCACGTAGACAAATTGTTGCTGATGTAGGAGGGGAGTAGGTCGTTGTTTAATGTATTCGTAGGTTACTAAAACAGTAAATGATCCATTTTACTTGTACATAAAAACGAGGCAATGCTACTTTGATAGTTTTACATGGAGAGCTGCACGCATACACTCTTTTTCCCAGTCTATAAAGAATAATAATACAGAAGCTTCACAGAAGGCTTTCAAGATACCAGCCAGAACGATACCCTTCCATATACCTATCACACCGTCTATGTTGCTATTGGCTGCATAAAAGTGGCCTGTTGGTGCGAAGGACGACGTAGTAGCAGTTGATAAATACATCAGATACGCACCCAAAGGAAGGCCAATCATATAATAGGAAATAATGTTGAAAGTAGCAACCAAATGCTGTTTCCCAAGAGCATTCAACGTAACAGAAGAGACTATACCTACTCCCTTTATGATCGAGGGCAGCAGAATAAATGTTACAAAAAAAAAATTGGGTATTGCTGTCAAATATAGCTCTCTATGAATTCTAAATGTGCGTTGTGCAAATAAGTCACATCAAACTTACTATTGTGAAATGGGCGATACTGCCGATGGTTAAAAGATCGCTGACAGCTTGAATAACCTCTGCATCCTTCGTAAAATAATAGCTAATGTGGCCTCGAACAGCATATAAAATGATTGAAATGATGATCACCGAGGAGCAAGCAACGGCCGCTGTTCTGATAAATAAAGATTTGGCTTGTTGAGCCCGATTGGCTCCTAAATGATGGCCAACACGCACCGCTAAAGCTGTCGATAGTCCACTATATCCCATGATTTATAGAAATGACTCGATCAATATCTGAATGAAAATGCATGCCTTTTTCTTTTTGTATTTACCCAGGAACTGTCAAAAGGAAGGAAATGCAACATAACACTATCGATTGAGCGGCTAAACTTGTATTACCTAATGCACCTGTTGCGATAGCACAGATTTCAAAAGCCCATTCTGTATTACTCAACATACCAGGGAGGCCTTTTGTGAATGAAATGGGCACGAAATATGAGAATTCATCGTACGACAGTCAAACTTTTTACATCTTACCTAATCTTAAGAATTGCCCCCAATGGTGGAATGGTTTCATTGTCAAGCCAGGCCAGTATTTGCGCGCATCGGTAAAAGCATACACGAGATAAAGCAATAGGACAGTATAGGCTACAGCCGTGGTGATTAGATGATACCCAGCACCTTTATAACCAAGATCCATATAGACAAAATAAAAATAGTTGGAAGTAACATTCAATGGAAAAGCGAAACATAACAAATACATAATGATCTTCATCTCGCCTACGCTCATACAAATAGGAAAGATATAGAATGAGTACGAGTGTAGGGGGTAAACTAAGCTGCCCTTTGACAAAGTTATTTTTACCGATGCCTTGCAAAAACTTTCTGGTACAAACCAAGAAAAAATATAAATACATGTGGGGTATGCACAGTAAGAGATAAGTTTGTGCTATAGAGACCAATCTTGGTATTTGATTCAAATAAAGTAAGATAGGTTCAGCACAAGACCTATATATGTTTTAGGTACAGTTCATGTTAGAAAACCAGCATATCTTTTCAGTATCGAACAAGATTATCCTATTCCCTCCCCTCCCCCACAATGCTGTTAGCTATAACCATGATCACTAATATTACCATATGGCTGTGATCAAAGCGGCAAAAAGACTAATGATAATAAGCCCTCGTTGTAAAATGATGCCTACAACGGTTGGATCACTTTTTGCGCCTGTATAGGCTTGAGCTACTAATGTATCCATTGCTATGTAACATCATATATATTTATTATTCAATGATGAATATAGCTTTACTTTTTAGAATGTATGAAAAATAAAAGATGCTCGCTTACCTGTCAATATGCCTTGTCCTATGGAATAGCCAGTGATAGCAGCAAACATATTTCCCAAACAGACTGCAGCCATGATTTCAGAATCCAAGTGCTGACCAAGGAAGCGAACATTAACAATTTGATTGCCCAAAATCAGCATAAAGGAAGCAATCATTTCTATAGAATATTTAAGGATAATATTGAACTCGAATGCATGTTGCACTTGCGTTTCAGAGATGATTGCTTCCGTCTTGAGTACTGTCGAAGCTGCAGAAGTTGCATAGGATTCTTCAGCCATGGGAATCGCTTGATAAGATGTGTATTTATGCGGTAAGAGTTCTCTGCATGGATTGTCTGTTATAGGTACTGTCGGTCGATCAGCTTCAGTCGTATAACAACTACCAGCAGCAGTGACAATATCGTTGGCATCATCAACAGCGGTATCAGTGGCATTTTTTAAGGAGATGATCCTACACAATAGTTGTGAGGTGCGTAGATGAAACATTCAAGTCTGCAACGATGAGAATAGATGAAAGAAATGCGTTGAAAGGAAGAAGAACCATAAAAAATAACCTTGCTTCAGCTCGGTGAATTCTTATATTTGTATCAAACCTTGACATGACATTTTAACGACGACAAGGGAAAAAGTATAAAAAAAAGAGATGACGGAAAGTTTAAAAATAGGCAACAACAAACTTCTTTTCGTCGGTTGACAGCTCATAAGGTGAGATAAGCAGAGAAGACCCGTTCGAAACACAATGCCTATGAAAGAATATGTAGTCATCAATGTGCATTTTTGTCACTTTTGACATGATCGCGCATCCTATCTATTCTGCTGACGAATTCTCAAACAGTTTCAAGGCAACATCGAACAGTCTTCCATTTGTTTACAATCAGTGCAAACAAAACGCGAAAAGAAGGTGACACGATCGCGCTGTTACTGTTTGTGTGCATTTGTGTGTGTATGTGTGTGTGTGTGTAGAGGTGCGTAAAGACAAACAGCCACCCAGGACGACTCTTTTCTGAATTAAGGGGGTTCATTTTTCCCTTAATTCTTTCATTTCCCATCCCGCTCTTCTACATATTTTATACATAATATACGGTTTCTCTCTCCAATTTTTTTTTTCTCGTTTTCTTTCCCATTGTTAAAAATTGCCAATTTACTTTTTTGTTTCCATGACAGTGACCAAGACGAAAAGGACGCGTCGTCCTCGCTCCAACATTGATGTAAGATGATATATGTTCAAAGACGTTATTGTCTTTTTGCAGTGAAATGCAATAAATAAGCGAACCAAACTACCTTCTTGATATAGTACAATCTTGGAATGTGTTATATTTGTAAGGGTCTCCACGACTTTGACGAAGATGGAATTACCCGCACACTTTTGACCTGTTTTGATTGTCACCGTAACGGTAGGTAGGAATTTCGATATCAAATTGAACCTTTTTGTTGAAAATGCAAGTGATAGTAAGGGCTGATTCTTACTATCTACATAGTGCACGCCTATTGCTACCATCTTGATAAGACAACAGTAGAACTAATCCAAACCTATGATTGGCAGTGTAATGATTGTAAGAGCTGCCTTGTATGCCAATCCAACAGTAATGAGGTACGTCATAGAATACTACTATACAAAAGCTGGGTCAACATAGTCAATCAAACACGTAATATGTTATTTTTATATTTGAAAAAAAAAAAAAGAATAAGATTGTGATATGTAGTCGATGTGATAGAGGATACCACACATTTTGTTATAATCCAGCATTGAAATCTATACCCAAAGGTACAATTTTTTTTTTATACGTGGAGAAAAAAAAAAATAGCCAAGGTTTTACTCATTGAAACCCTAAAATTCCCAATTTTTTTGGTTTTTTTTTTTCCCTTTTCCTTTTTTTTATTTTTTCCTTAGATGATTGGTATTGTAATTTATGTTCAAGCATGCCTTCACCTTTACCTTCACCCAAACTACCACCTTTACCTTTATCAGACGAGAATCAAAGCAGCAATAAATACCGCCTAAGACCATCACCGACACATTCTACAAAGTATATTGAAGGTATGGCCACTTCTACTACGCCACCTTTAATAGAAACCAAAATAATGACAAGGCAGAATAAATCAAGGATCAAACCAATCAAAATCACTTTGAACTTGAAAGATGCTAATTTAAATCACCTAACAACAACAGACATGCAACCACGAAAAAGAGGTAGACCTAGTAAAAAACGGAAAAGATCTTTATCACCCGCGTTACCACCGCCATCACCCTCTGAAGAAGAAGAAGAAGAAGAACTTGTAGACGAGGAAGAGGAAGCAAAAGAAACACAAATACACAAAAAAGAGAAAGCAAAAGATTTAAAAGAAGATTTATTTTTCAAGACATTTGGACATAAATTAACAGAAAAGCAAGCCAGCATAAAGAAAGGCACTCCTAATGAACTCGATCGTTTAAAATTCGAAAAAGCAAAACTGAAGGCTGAAAAAAAGTCCTTGATCCAACAACAACAAGAAGAAAAACAACTGAAAAAGCAACAGAAACAATTACAACGTCATGGTATCCGTCCTACGAGCAACAGCATGACCCACAACAGTCCTTATCCCACATTCGAACCTCCTAAAATCCGAAAAATCTACTTTAACAATTACATTATTGATACGTGGTATGTTGCACCTTATCCAGAAGAATACAGCCAGAATGCGACGCTTTATATTTGTGAATTCTGTATGAAATACATGAAGTCTCCTTTCATTGCTCAACGTCATATCTCCAAATGTAAAGTGCGTCACCCACCAGGAGATGAGATTTACCGTGATGGTAAAATATCTATATTTGAAGTCGATGGCCGAAAGAACAAAATGTATTGTCAGAACCTGTGTTTACTGGCCAAACTCTTTCTGGATCACAAAACACTTTACTATGATGTCGAACCCTTTTTGTTCTACGTCATGACCGAGACAACCACTATTACTACTGTTACAAAGTCAAAGCGAGAGGACAGAGAGGAACAAATACAAGAAGTGGATGATGGAACGGGATGTCATTTTGTCGGCTATTTTTCCAAAGAGAAACGATCTTCCATGAATTACAATGTGTCATGTATCTTGACATTGCCTGTTTTCCAAAGGAAAGGCTATGGCCAGTTCCTGATTGATTTCAGTTATTTATTATCAAAAAGGGAAAGCAAGACAGGCACACCAGAAAGGCCTTTATCTGACTTGGGTTTGCTCAGTTACCAGAGCTATTGGAAAAATGTCATTTATCGAGAATTGGTGCAGCAAAGGAAAGGCCAACAGATTACCATTGAGGAATTGAGTCACAAAACAAGTCTAACTTCAGAAGATATCATATCAACACTTCAGAAAAACAACATGATTCAATATGACGCTCATGGCAAACACTCAATACTGTTGAATTTGGATGCTATGAAGGCTCACTTGAAAAAACTGGACCGGAAGAATTATTTGAAGTTGAATCCTGACAAGTTGACTTGGACACCGTTCGTGCTTTCAAGAGATAGATTAGCTGCCTTATTAGCTTCCTCTTCACCAAATAATAGTAGCGATAAAGACGATAACACCCCTACTTCTCAAAATGGTACAGCAGCAGTAGAATCAGAAGAATTGATAAACATTACCACTTAATTTATTTTCATACAAAAAACACTCTGAATAAAAGGATTAGACAATCATTTGACTGTCCTCCTATCATAAATGCGCTGTGTGTCTATAACTCTTTTACTCATTCATATACAATGTAACAATCTTAAATGAGGTAGCAGCAGATAGCGCCTACAAAGGCACCAAAAATAAGCCAGTCAAGCACTAGACAGAACGCAATCCCAACAGATGCTTCCGAACTTTTTTGAAATTCAATGTAAAATGAGCGAGCATCCTGTTACCGTCGATACCGCTTTTTTGATTTTTCATTCCCATTAAGTAATATATATAAATATAAAAAAAAAAGGGTTGATAGCAACTAGAGAGAGTAGTCTCCATTGTGTTAACTATATCTAAAAGATATAGTATCCGCAATATCTATAACTATGACCAGAAATAATGGCTTGTCCTTAGAGCCCTTCCAAACTTCACACAAAGTGCTTCGTTTATACGGATTGGATAAGGACAAGCGACGTCAGTAGGACTGACGCATTTTAATACCCATTACAGGTACAGCACCTTAAAAAGATGCCACTATTGTCTGGAGACCTTCCCTAACGTCAGTTTTATTAGCAAAACTAATAAAGAATCGAATGACAAAGCATTCCAGTATGTAGAATTAATACACGTCAAGTGCGGATCTTCTCTTTTGCTATAAAGAAGAAAAGAGAAAAAAAAAAAAAAAGGGAAAAAAATTTTTTTTTAATAAATATCTATGTGTGACTGCTGCGTTTATTTTATGACTTCCAATCTATGATATGGAGTTTGAAAAAAGGGAATGGCATGATCTTACTGTCGTAACATGCGCAGCGTGTGTGTGTGTATGTGGCTGGTAAATCACTAATATCACTAAAATCACTCCACTTCTTGCTAATGATAAGTACGTTCCTTATCTTTCTATTTTCGAACTGCAACAGAACTGTTTAGCATGAGTTAGAAATCCACTCAAACTTATTAATATGAATAGAAAGTCTTATTACGTACATTGCTGTAGCAAACTATTTTTCAGTCTGCTTCTGCTACTGAAGTTTTATAATAACATTGAATAAATCTGAAACAAAGGCAGACTCTGTTTTCCTTTTTTTTTCCAGCTTTTACAAACTACAGTAGCCCCCGCTGTAGAAAAAGCAACATAGACACTCTTTTTCTCTTTCGCTAACAATATACTAAAATTATCATACGACGTTTTTCAACTTCTTATCTGTAAAAGTGGACACCAGATCCTTCAAAAAGTGAGTAGCGACAAATTATCTTTCAATTTTTTCATCTTTGTATAATAACATACGATTTATTCAAACTTTTAGCTAAATAAGCATAGTAATTTGGTTTTCGACAAACTTTCTTTCTTTCACCCACTCTTCATCAGTGCCATTACTTCATCAGTCACTTACCAACTGATCTGATCGTAACGTTTTGTACACAAGTCTATGCCTTTGGATATATAATCATGATAGCAAATGAAGAATTGTTACCCTATGCCATCATTATCACAGCTATCATCTCGATTTCCTATTATTACTATCAGGAACATATAATATGTAAACAGATAGACAAGAATTTATGAACAGAAACATGCTTTTAAACGGGCAGCAGCAAAGTCTAACTCTCCCTCACTCTTTTCGTTTCTATTAAATCTTGTAGCTAGACAGATTCTAAACCCTAAAGTTTTCAAAAGCTTTAAACTCATCAAAAAGACACATATCTCTCATGATACCTCCAAGTAAAGAAAACAAAAAAAAAAAAATCTTTCTACTGCAATACCTTTATCCGTCGGTAAGGAAAACATAATACTAATGAGTTTTGCAAAACATCTCTAAATATAGGTATCGTTTTCAATTACCATACCCGAATGCTATGTTGAATCTGCCAGTCGGTCAGCATATCTCCATCATGGCAGAAATTAATGGTAAAAAAATATCGAGAAGCTACACACCTACAGCAGAGAGTAAGGGACATTTTGATCTGGTTATTAAGGTAAACTATTTGGAAAGGGATAGCATGTCAACATAAGGAAATAGGTCGTTCAGTATGGCCCTCTGCAAGATTTGATCATCTCTTGTACCAACTCTTCCCTTTTTTTTTTGTTTCTTTTCCTTTCAAATGATTTTTCAGTCTTATCCTACCGGCAATATATCTAAATTGATGGGTGAGCTCAAAGTGGGTGACTCTGTCGGTATGCGTGGCCCCAAAGGAAACTTTAGCTATAAATGCAACATGGTCCGGCACATTGGTATGATTGCTGGGGGTACAGGTATTACGCCCATGCTGCAGATTATCCGACGTGTTTGCACGGACCCTGCCGACCACACCAAGATAGACCTAATATTTGGCAACGGAACAGAGGACGATATTTTGTGTCGAGAGGATTTAGATCAATTGGCCAAAGAGCATGATCAATTTTCTGTACATTATGTGCTTGAGAAACCACCTGTGGGCTGGCAAGGAGAAGTAGGTTGGGTGACGAAAGAAATGATACAAAAGTACTGTCCAAAGCCAGCCAAAGACATCAAACTTCTGTTGTGTGGGCCGTTAGGTATGGTTAAATCTATGATACAAGCTACAAATGACCTTGGTTATGATAAACCAAGAGCGGTGTCCAAGCCAGAAGATCAAGTCTACAAATTTTGAGAACAACAAAAAAAAGAAAAAAAAATAATCATCCAATTTTCTTTAACGACCTATCTTGCCTACTTTTTCCTACAAATTATTTATTCATCATCAATTATCCATCATCATCATTATCATCATCATCATCGTCATCATCATCATCATCATCATCCTTCTTCATTGTGTCCTTTTTCTTGCATCAGTCACCCAGTCTTACTTGTCACAATATAATAATATACTCTTACATCCAGAACCGCTTGCTTAGAAATGCACATGTCCAAGCGTCTCTATTAGCAGTGGAGAGAACCATGTTTCGCTTTTGGTCGCGACTGCTGTTGTCATTGACCCCGTTTAAGCTGAAAATAGGCCGTCAAAGAGGGGCTGACAAGAGGAAAGTAACACTTTTTAACAATAATGAAATCTATAAATGGCATAGATTTCGATTTCTACACCGTGTAAATTATACAATGAAAATGTAGGAAAGCATACATACTACATATTTTCTTGATTCCCATTCAGACATTAGTAAGCGGCTTTTAATGTCTAGAAACACTTTCGATTGAGAACAAACCATGATTTCCAGATATCTAATTGTGCTTTTATTCGCAAGGTTTATATATATATGTATATATATTTCTTTGAAGAATCTTCATGTGAAAAAGGTGTAGGCCTATGTACGTGCATTTTAAATGATACCACATATCTGGAAACTTAAGTTTAGAAAAGAATACAAAACTACTAGCTCAATCGCGACTAACTTTATGTAGAAATCGTATAAATGATTTGAAAAGGGGAAATGGAGAAAGTAACAAGGATTGAAAGAACGAGAATCGAGCCTTCTTCTTTTCATATCAGTTAGAAGTGAACAAACAAAAAAGTGCGACAAAAAACGTGTCTACAGTCCTTCTTTAGTGTTTTTATGGAACTCAAGTCAGTCGCCTTAATATGTTGGTGGTGGTACGAACTTGAATATTGTTGCACTTTGACTGAAGCTAGACAGCAATTGCCCGCTCTTTAACAATGCTGTTCATCCTCTTTCTTGGACTCCCTTTCCTCCATTTTTGTCTGCCTGACCTTCTGGTTGCATACATTGTCTAGAAATAGCAGTGCAAATTGCATTATATATATAAATGGCCACCGTCTTCTGACCATAATTTATCTTGTAACATTGCCTGGCTCACGTCCATTTCATTCTTTACTACTCCTTTCTTTTCTGTTTCTTCTTCTTCTTTCCTTCTTATTTGACTTTCACTTTCACATCGATAAGACTTTCTGGTTATTGGCTGTACTATACTCTTAGTTGAAGTACACGCTTTATTAAAGTCGTCGAACACCCTTTCCTTTCCTTTTTCGTTCTTTTATATTATAGTAATTCTTCTCATCCTCTTCTAACATTCCTTTTTCCACGTATATGGCTAATAAATGACGCAAAGTCTACCTTTCGTACGTGCATTAAGTATTGTGCTCTTTCTTTTTTTCTACTTACACATTCAGCTTGCCAACGCCAAACCAGCTTCATCGACATTATTGGCGGCTCATGTAAGATATGAAGAAGATAAAGAAATTAGGCAGTGAAAATGAAAGACTGATCTCAAACTTTTATTCATTTGTCTTTTAATTGATGGGGTCACGTCTATAGCGATCAAGTGTTGCAACAGCCACCAGAACTACAATCACCTCCACGAGTGCTATTACTACAACTCCTGTCAACCATCAAAAAAAAGAAAACACAAAAATAAATAATAATAGCAGTAGTAGTAAACAGAAAATCGTTGCCGTCTCGAATAAGAAAAAGAAAAGCGATGAACAATTAGGCATATTAAAAGTGATCGACACCATTCTAGGCCTCTCTTCCTCCTCCTCTTCTTCTTCCAAGACAACGACTACTACATTGAAAACGGCCCGTGTAACCACGAGTAAAAAGTCACAGAAAATAGACGCTGATAACAATGATTCGAACTCTGACGGTAACCAGCAAAAGGAAGAGAAGGTAAACGACGACAATGATTCTGTTCCTACTACTCGTACCACCAATACTCATACCATCACAAAGAGTTACTTTGCTGACAATTCCAGTCCAAAAAGCAGGGTCAGCGAAAATGTTAGTAAAACAGACAAAGAAGATCCAACAAAATCGTCTGACACACAGGATAACGAAGAGCCTACGGAAACACCCACTACCAACCATAAAACGGGCAAAGAAGACGATCCAACAAAATCATCTGATACAGAAGATAATGAAGAGGAGCCTACCCAAACACCCACTACCAACCATAAAACGGGCAAAGAAGACGATCCAACAAAATCATCTGATACAGAAGATAACGAAGAGGAGCCTACCCAAACACCCACTACCAGCCATAAAACGGTCAAAGAAGACGATCCAACAATATCCTCTGAAACCAAGGATAACGAAGATAAGCCTACACAAACACCCATTACCGGCCATAAAACGGACAAAGAAGACGATAGCGCCATTCCAACCAATGAAAAAACCAACGATAACGATGACGAACACCAATCAATCCCAACAGCTTCATCCGGCACCGTTCATGCTGATGTTGATGATGACGATGATATCAATAGCACACCTACTTCAGAAGCTGATAACCCTTCCGCGACAAAAACAGTAACAAAAACGGATACGAATGAAGATCGTCCTACTTCCTCACCAGACGATGATGAAAAGCATAATACAGTTGCGGCGGAAAATAATACAGACACCAAAATTAAGACGTACACTGATGGTAGTGATGATATAGAACAGCCATCTGCTACAGACAAAATCGTAACCTCGACTGTGCAAAAGTCGTCGTCCGCTGAAGAGCCTACTCCAACAAGGGATAACGAAGTCAAAACAGAAACAAAAACAGAAACAGAAACGAAAACAGAAACGAAAACAGAAGAGGAAGACGCTGATCCTACTAATACAGTTACTGAAATAGCTACGGCCACAGCTACGTCCAAAACGAAAGCTACTACTAAAGCAGATACTGACGAAAAGCCAACAGAAACCAATGAAAAACCATCAAATAAAACAGTAACTACTATAAGTACTGCTTCGCTCACAAAAAATGATGGCAAAACAGACGATGGAAAGAAGCCAACTTCTACAGAAAAGCATCCTTCGACTATTACATCTAATAATGAAGAAAGCAAGACAGCCAGCGAGACCGAGGACGATGATAACGCAAGACCTACAGCTACTGTAAATTCAAAGTCAAAGCAGGAACCCATCGAAACAGTGTTTGTCGACAACACCCCTTCTGCTACTATTATTTCCACTATCACTGTCACTGAGGAAGGGATGAAGACAGAAGAGCCCACACTCACGGCAATAGTTACTCCTACTATTGAGAGCGCAGAGAACAACCCAACAATCACTCCAATTACTCCTCCTCAACCCACAGCTAATTCTGATGATGATAGCATTTCTTCTGATTCTCTTTCATTCAATGCTGGTACTGCAGCGGAACTTACACTCACTGCTACGACCGGTGTAGATTCAAGTGCAACCCAAATCAATACACCCACTGTTACCGAGACCAACAATAGTGTGGACAGAGATAGTGACTCTTCTATAAGCATCACAACTATCACAGTTTTTAAGCCAACATCGACTTACAAATATCAAACACTTCCTTGGTTGACAAACACTTTCAATTTTGCAATTGCTACCTCCGAAACGGCTGCGCCAACAAATACGAATTCAGACGAAATCATTTCTATTCATAATCCCACAGCTACTTCAACTACAGCAACCGCTTCTTCGCCCTCTACGGCAACTGTTACTGTTACTGAGAATAGCAATTCAATTCCAAACATACCTGAGTATATTGCACCCAACGTCGATGCTATCATCCCTACAAGCAGCTCTGTCGTTTATATGAAGTTTGATCATCTTTCCTACGATTGGATGGTACAAGATGCAATTTTTACAGCTCAGTTTGTCCAATCTTTACCTATCTTGTTGAGCGAATCGTTATCTGTTATCGCGGATGATGTGATTGTTGTAGCAATAACTAAAGCGACTACCTCCGCATTAACATCTATTGATAGTAATGCTAGCAAAGAATCCATCTCTAAACGTGATGGTAATTCCGCGAATGCTCAGCCAGGCATTGTTGTTTCTGTCGCTATTCCTTCTAACCATGTTGAGGAATTACAAGAACAAATCAGTCAGAAAACTTCTAAACTATACACTCATTCTGACAGTGCTGGCAGTAGTAGTCAGTTAGCCACTTTAATCGACCCTTCCTATCCTATTCATGGCAATGTAGCAGCAGTGGATCAGAGTAAGCAATCCACGACTACCGATAATACCACAACAACGATGTCAAGCCCTACAATGCCAGGTCAGCAACAAGGACACTCCAACACTGTCGAGGACCCCAATAGCAACGTGAATGCAGGAAATAATCAAACGAACGGAGATGGGTCGTCATTAGCATCCACAAGTGCCGGCAGCAATAGTAAAAATAGCGGAAGCGGCCCCTTATCTACAGGAGGTATTATCGGTATCTGTGTGTCTGTTGGCGTGGCTGTCTATGCAGTTGCCACTGTAGCTGCAATTAAGCTTTACCGTCATCGTCGCATCATAAAGGAAGAAAAAGCGATGGCAGAACACCACATGTTTGCTCAGAGTATTTCCGATCCTATTATGCATATCGATAATCCCCCAGAACAACGTCGTAGCAATAATAGTATTCCATTCAGTTGGGTAGCAACTCATGAGGAAGTAGCATCAATACCAGCAGCAAGAGGAGAAGCTTATAACCATTACAGGCAGCCTTACCTGGCATATTCACAGCAGCAGCATCAACCTTATATTCTTGATAGCGATACAGTACGACAGTATCAATACTAGTTTATTTTCATTACATTACAACTTCTACTCTTTAGTTTACAAGGCTCATATATTTATATATATACTCACTAATGACCAAACACTGTTCTTAACTTATTAACAAATATTGTATTTTTATGATAAATTGTACAACAATAAATTGAATGGAATAAATTAACAATGGCGCATTGTTACATCTTCTATTCTACAATACATGTAATATTTGTTTTACTCTTCTTCTGTGCCAAAGTAACGATCTAGGAAACCCAACAGAAAGTTTAAAATGTTAATACTGACGGGAGATGATAAACAAACACAGCTTTAAAAATGTTTCATTTACCTCCAAAATTACCAATGCCAGGTTCGATCCATAGCTTTTCTCTGTTGAAGTCAGGATCCACCATAGAAGTTACAATCTTGATACGAGGAAAAGCATTCGTAATCACCGTTAAACCGATTCGTGACGCGAGGAAGCATACAAAAATGATACGTTCCTGGAAATGGTATGACAAATGAGTTTATAAATTCTCTAAATGTCTTGTTACTACAAACAACTTACTTCTGGCACTTCATGATCTAATAATACACGAATAGCCATAAGGGCAGCTGCACCTGTGCCCACAGTGGCATCCATCAGCATAATATCGTAATCACCAATTTCTTTGGGTAATTTACAATAATGTAGCTATATTGCGTTAAAATAGGCAGTGACCAGAACATTGAAATTAAAGGACTGCTGCGAACAGATGACTTTTCTTTTTTCTTTTTTTCTTCCCTTTTTTTTTTTACCTCTGGTTCCCCTGTATTGGGATTTGTCTGGATTAACAACTTGCCAAAGACTGCATCGGAAAATACACGTTTTAAACCAGCTTCCATTGTACCGCCGGCACGTAAAATGGATACACCACATATTTTCTGACTGAACTTCAACCCTTTATATACATCATGTGTGGGTGTGAGAACATCTATTGGCTGAGAAGGAAGGCAGCTGACAGCACTATGGGTACACGAAATTTGCATTATACATATTAATACCTTGTTTTCAGGCACAATCAGTGGAGAGTTCTCTGAAAACTTACTGTTCTATCAACAGAACAGCTAGCCTGTCTGCATAAAATACAAATTCGTCTCTGTCGGTATTACGATCCCTTAAAATGGTATGAACGCCTTTAATCTGATTTGTAGTTGGTAAGACGTGAACTGATTCGGGTAAATGGTCGCTGAGAGGAGTATCCAGAAGCCCCCAACGGAAACTAAACATGCTTTCTTGAAGTTGACTCTGGATATGCTTTGTCATAAGGTCAATCGCAATGGCATTTTCTAAACCTCTTGGTATAATCTTAACGGTAACAATTGAATAATCTAAGTATTCCTTCTATCTGAAAGACCACAAACTATAGGTCAACTTACAACATCGGCAAATTTCATTGTAGGTCTAACATAGTTATCGAAAGATGGCTTGACGAATCGTGTATATTGCTGCCAAAAGACAATTCAGTCAGAAACAATCTGATGAAAGCAGCAGTCGTAAGTAATGATAGCTTACATCTAGCACACCTGTAACGTCGCGTCCACGCATAAGAATGTCTCTTTGTACTAAACGAAAGATATATGTATAAGATTTTCATATTCGTTAGTGGAAATGTCTTCCAATAACCTACATCTTCTTGCCAATTGAATATCAGGGTCTGTATCTACAAAAATCTGGTATAAAAGGTTTGTGAAACTGTAAATTACTCTTACACGCTTTCCATTTTTGCTTGCATGAATTTTATTGTAACTGTCACTTACTTTCACATCCATCATGTCTCTAATTCTCTTATCGTATAATGCAAAAATGCCTTCGAAAATAATAACGTTTGCCCCATAAATTGTAGTCGTTTTTTCCTCTCGTGAGTGAGTACTAAAATTGTAGATAGGTACATTGACTGATTTTCTACATTTTCAAATACACACAATCGATAAGTATGTATATCAGTATAACCGATACTTAAATAGTAAAAGCAGTGCAAAAGACAATGGAAATAAGTATCTGTATATTTCTGCTCGTACCCTTCTCTTAATTTCGTCAAGGTTTCAAATAATAAGTCATGATCGAACGCTGAAGGGTGATCGAAATCAAACCGATTTTGATGCGCTAGTTTACTGTTTTCGGGTGATAATATATTGTAAAACGAATCCATAGAAATAATAATAACCCAAGGCACGTTTAAGTTTTTCAAGATGCGTCTACACATTTGCATAATCCAATCAAAAGAAAAGTTTGCCTGTTAATGATGAAACTAAGGCAAAGATCGCCATATTCTATCTTACTCAGCAACACTAGTTTTTCCACTGGCACTACCGCCTTGAATATGCAATTTGATAATAAACAACAAGAATAAGAATAAGACTATAACCAAGAGAATGTAACCTTCCTAGAGATCTAAATGATATACCTGCAATACCAATCATATACGGCTTAGCTACTGAACCATCTGCACTGTAAAATGGCATGGCAAAAATAAGGAAAGAGTTTATAGAAGATTCAATACGATTTCGTTTCGAATTTGCACGTATTCAAGTTTCCAATGCAAGCTGTGAAGGCAGATTGCTTACCGATACCAAGGCCTACAAATTAAGTATAAGGCGAGTAAAGAAAGCACTTTTAGTTAGCCATTTGTTTACAGAGTGGGATGAAACTACTTTACTTTCTCCCTTGCGAGACTAAACGAAGCGTCTTTTTGTTATTATTCATATGGACTCAAAATACAACAGCGAAAACGAAGAGAAAGAAAGCTTAACAGCAACTTATCGGTTGACATTTAATTTTGTTTGGAAAAAGAAAAAAAAAAATTTATTGCGTTTCTAATTTTAAGGTCCAACCCGGCTAGAAAAACAACTTTCTCAAAATTCTTCCCGGACAATCCGAGAACCCTTTTAAGGCATTTACAAAAGTGCGGTTCGAATTTCTATCGAATGCTTTAAATTCCTTTTCTTTAATAAATTGGAGTTCAAAACAGATTGTTCGCTGTAAAGCAGTTGAACGTAGACAAAGATCGCCATCATTTGGGTTTGAGTTTTAATGCTGAAGCAGTAAACCATATCAAACAAGTTGTCGGTTGTCTACTGAAAAGTAAATGCCTACACAGTTTTCAAAACCATGATCCAGTTTTGAGAAACAGCTGCAAAAACGGAACCAAAAAAATGTCAGATAACAAAAAGACATCTGATTTTAGGCATGAAAAATCCGACCTACTTGCTATTCATTTCAGAAAGGATTGAAAGAGATACTCAGCGTATAGAGAAAAAAATACTCTGTTTACTTAGTATAAAGATGTCAGGGCGGTATCACTACATGCTCTTACTGTTAACACGAAGAGTACAAGGGCTCATCCTCATTTCAGTAGCCAACTTTAACTCAAAATAGGAATAATATTTTAAGTGTAGGAAAATTGGCCGTATGAACAGAAGAAACCATACATGCCCTCTCGTTCTTCAATCAGTGATCAAATGAAAATACCTAACTTACATGTTCGTATCTATTCTTTTGACAAGAAGCATAAAGCAGCAAGCAATATGAAAAATAATCATGGAGATTACCCAGGCAAACCCCTCCAAAAAAAGGGAAAAAAGAGCAATTGAAACATTCAGTTACAAACCCATCTTGGACCGTCTTGTCGTGAATTGATCTTGAACTCTATATCAGTATTGCATTGGAGGCTCGTTCGAACGAAAGGGTAGACTTTCAATGTTACTAGTGTATTATACAAACAGTTACTACAAGAGCAAAAGGAGCACCTGATAGCCGTTACCAGTTTTAAAACAATGTCAGAGGTTATTCATGTGTTTGTTGGTAATGTGATATTATTGCATTCAAAAATATATCGACCATAACAAATTTTGATACGGGATGTTCAAGGTAGGCCAGCCCTTTCAAAACAGTTAACGCCTTAATGAAGAGAACCTCGTCGTTCCTAAAAGAATTGGCATTATGAGAATCATACGCGAGAATATATACATGCAGGGTCAAGTCTGCAAAATGTCATTCTGTTACTTCATTGAAATGTTGAGTATATATTTGAAAATTTTATTTCTGTATTCCTCAAGGATCATGTGTACCGTTTGCAATTGTATTATTTCTGTAAAATGCAGTACAAAGGAGTGAGAACTCTTCAGTGTGAAATATGAACGCTGACAAAGTTAACAGAAAATGAGAGGTTTTTGTTCGATTGAAGATGATGCAGAGTAGTTTCATTAAAATCATCTCCAAATTCTGTACAGATCACTATTAAGTGAAATAACATCCAATGTTCCTATTTTGCTTTCTACCTTCTTCGTGGATCATCATTAGTGCTAGCGCTACTTCGAAGGCCAGGAGAAGGACGATATTTCTATGCAAGTATACACATCAGTAAGCATTAATAATAGACCTCGTACAGGAGATGATTCACACATTACCACATGACCCCTTCCTTTAAACTTGACATCAGGATCAAGGAACCGTCTTCGCTTTTCCCACTCTGGTTTCTCTGCTTTCTTATTTTCATATTCTCTGAATTTCGACACTTCTTGAGAATGGTCTTGCTTCTTCGATGCTTCTGTTGATCTATCAATGGACTGTTTGCTACTATCATCAACACTTCTCTCCTTTTTTTCTTCTGATTTATCTCGTTTATGATGATGCCTTTTCTTCTTTTTATCATTTTTCCTCTCATTCTTATTCTTTCTTTTCTTCTTCTTGTCCTTATCCCTTTTAGATGATTTGTGATGTTTGCTCCTGCTCTTCTTTCTTCTACTGTTATCCACTTCATCTTCGCTGTCGCTCACAGACGATCGTGAATCTGTACTAGAGACAGAAACAGACCGCCTTCGTTTTTTACGATTGTCGGTTTCAGAAGTTGAGTCTTCATCATTCTCGCTGTCACTTGATGATGACGATGTTGAGTCGGATTCTTTACTTTTCTTACTTTTATTCATCTCTTTCACTAAACATAAAAAAAGAAGATAGAGAGGTTACTATTAATACATTTAACAACAAACACTGAAATCAGAATGTGCGAGTACATATAGCTTACATTTTACACCAGGAGGCAATTTTAGCACCAGCTCACCGCAGTTAGCGATCATAATATTGTGCAAAGGTCTATCATTAGCATCGACGGGTTCATTCTCCATTCTTTCCACAATGTTATAGCCTGACACCACACGTCCAAACACCACATGTTTACCGTCCAAGTGAGGTGTTGGTCTTGTAGTGATGAAGAACTGAGATGACTGCGTGTTAGGTCCACGATTAGCCATACTCAAGAGGCCGTGAGTATCATGTTTATGAGCAAACGATTCGTCAGGAAAAGTGGCACCATAGATCGACTCACCGCCAGCACCATTTCTACGTGTAAAATCGCCACCTTGACACATAAAGCCTTTGATGATCCGGTGAAAAATAGATCCTCGATAATGAAGAGGAGTATTACTAACTTTTCCTAACCCCAATTCTCCAGTGCACAATGCACGAAAGTTCTCAGCAGTTTTAGGAACTTCATCAGCGAAGAGTTCCATGGTTATTCTACCAACTGAATAGTATGAAAGAATTATAGTTAAATGCGGGCATAAAGATCAAAACTCAAACTTAGAAACTACAACGAGATCATACTTCTGTTGCCATCAATATCAATGTCAAAGTAGACACGAGGATTAATCTTCATTTTCTGAACAAGAGAAGTGCACTTCTGTTTCTTTCGTTTTCTTAAAATGCTGGTTTGACGGTCAAAGGGAGGATAGCCGAAAAAAAAAAGTTACAGTAACGAGATTGGGGGAAACAACCAGAAAAAAAATGTTGAGTTTGATTCTCCAATGAGAAACCTGGCTAGCAAAGCTTGACCAGTCTTTGCTCCAAATTTCCACTGTTGCCCTTTTTAAACACCACGCGTTGAAACCAAATTGAAACCTCTTCAAAATAATAGAATGTGAACTATGTTTAAATTGGAGTTACTACTTTTTTATTCTTTGTTTGTTTATTTCACACTTTAGAAAACTTAAATCGAACATAGCCAAAGATGTCCTTTTTAGACGACACCAAAAAGATCAGCTCTACAGCTAACGAAATTAATAATGACAGAAAAAGATTGCAAACGTATTGGTGGTTAGAACAGAATATGGATGTCATCATTAAACTGGTCGTCTTCACTGCTGCTTTATTCATATTACCCATTGTTACATATTATTTAACACTCAACAAAGCCTTCCACGGTATGTCATTAATATTATGTGCCACTCTAACAATTCTTGCTAAACTATGGTTATTTTTCTGTTTCCTGCTTCATTTGTGCAGGTAATGCTACTTACGCTGCTGTCGCTGCTGTTGGTGTTGCCAATGCCGTTGTGGTTGCTTACATCATTACTGCTTTCTTTGAAAAGCAAAAAGACAAGAAGGATTAGGCTGCTCTATTACATCGTACTTCTCTTGCCTGGGTAGTGAGCTATCTCATATACTGCTTTATATAAATTTTCATCTTTTAGATTCGCACTACATGCTATTACTATCTGTTTTCCTCACATAAAATTCCATTTTGTATGTATGTACATATATATATTTATATATTCATTTTTGCCCATGACATCGAACAAAAGGCGCAAGCACTTTATCAATTTCAACAAAATGGGTAGTTTTGAAAATTTTTGGCATCTCTAAATTGATAAATGACGCTTAACAAAAATGTGAAGGTAGTATGTCTTTATCAGTTTGCACTCATTTCATAGGATATTACCCATCATGATTGTCTCCAATAGAATCAGGTTGATTGAGTTTCCAGATTTTTGTAATCTTTTATTGATATACTTTTGAGAGTTGTAGTAAATATTATTGTTGACTAAAGGATTTTGTTGAGCAAGAATTTTGTTGAGCAAAGTTACGCGTGATGGTAAATACTGATCTGATATTATAACAATAATCTTTCTGGTGCTGTCAGTAAAGTGTTGCTATTGATTGTTATGGTAATGAACAAAACATGTCTCAACTAAGTGACTTGAAAGAGTGTACTGCTTGTGCCTTTTTCAAATCCCTGTGTCACTATTAACCGTTACACTATTGAATCACCCAAATGCACATACATCCATATTGAAATTGCCGAAATATGAATTTTGCATCCATTATTGCAATCAATACTTAATTCCTCCATTTTTTCAAGACCGAAATCAGACAGCTAATATAACCTTTTGATTTAAAACAGTCTGAGTATCCAAAGAATACAAAACATATGTATAGAATGAATTTATCAGAATCCATGCGTCATCATCAGTGACTTGTGGTTAGTGGCACAGTATTTTCGAGATGCAGTTGTTTTGACCAAGGAAAAGCAGTATATAAGTCTTACCGTCTTTAGGGAGAAGCTCGATAAAAGAAAGGAACATGTGTGTGACCCAAAAGCATACTAAAAACGAGGAGAAATGATAGGCATATGCATAACACATGCCTTTCCTAGGATCCCATGGGGAGCGAATAGCAATGCAATGTTGATGACCAACGGGTTGCAGTTGTTATGTAAATCGTGACCCCGACCGACCCCTTCATCGCCGGAGAAACAAAAAAAAAAAAAGCCCACGAGCTCACACAAAGTAAAAGCAAGCAGTCTCACAGGATGACCGCGTCCGACGGCCCCCCCTTCCCCGTTGCCATCACCAGATAAATAAACTGAACGATGACCTCCAAACCGTTAGTTTTCGGTTTTCTTCTCCCTTTTCTTCATTTCTCTTTTTCTCTACTACGTTTTAAAATTTTCTTTTGTTTTTTTCTACGTCTAATTTATTTCCGTCGTCCTTACTCCAATGGAATTCATAGAGCTATTAAAGAGTACAAAGCAAACGCCTCGTCTTTCTGAAGAAGAGCAAAGAAAGGTACGACAATGGGAAAAAAGAAAATTTTGTGCGGCAGAGATAAATTTTCTTTTTTCATCCCTCTTTTCATGGGCAAAAAGTTGCTCTGTAGGGTGTTCCACGATTTGTAACGATAACGTTCTTTAATAACCCATGCAAAACATTTTCTTATAGTTAAATAATGTCCTTAGCAATATCGGTGAGAATGTTGCTGAATTGGCCGGACTTTTATTAAAAGCCTATCACTTGATTCCTGAGGATACGCCCATTGAAATAAGGAAGCCTGAATTTATTGATTCCAAGAAAAAAACTGCTAGCCCTAGCAATGGTACTGTCTATCCAAGTACTAGTGATGCCTCTACCGCATCAAAAAAACGTAAACGATTTCCTGGGGAACCGAAACCTCCTAGATCCTCATTCTTTCACTATTTGGAGGATGCTCGTAAAAAATTGTTAACCGACACTTTTCCGGCTGGCACAGATGCCATAGCACAAACTAAAATTATTGCCGTTCAATGGAAGAATTTACCTAGTGAAGATAAGCAGGTAATTTATTCCTTTCTATAACAGGAATCCTAAGTTTACAGTCTATATTAACATTGGAAATCGGAAAAGGTTTATACGCTTCGAGCTCAGGAGGATAGGAACAGATATGACAGAGACATTGAAATCTATTGTAAAGAATATCCTGATCGTGCCGCTGATGTATTACAAGAAGCGAAGAAATTCAGAAGAGCTTCCGAGAAAAAGAAGCCGACAGCAGCAGCAACCAACGGAAGCAGAACCATAGCATCTGAAATAGTAGAGGAGCACACTCAAGATGTTGTAGCAAACAATAACGAAGTTTCTGATGATGACAGTTATTTCGCAGCAGATAATCAGCTTGTAATTAAATTGGAAGATGATAGCCCTCAATCCGATGAAGAAGAGGAGATCGATGAGATCAATGACTCTGATAACGATGAACTGCAACTGGTTGGAAATAAAAAACAACCCATTTTCTAAAGGATTATACCCCCAAATATAATGGCTAGTGAGCTGCTATCAATGTTATCCTTGAGTTCGTCTACTGCTATAGACTTCTCCAAATCTTCTAATAAAGTATTCAACGTCATAAATCATTTGTGAATAAGCTGAGTGAATATAGTTGAACTCTAAGCTAATATAATTTCAAGGGAAAACATACTGCTCGTTTCCTTTACTTGATTATATAATATAATCCATATGTATACAATAACAATTATAACATCTAAATAAACTTTTAATAAATATTAAATCCTATATACGATTAAGCATTGTTTCCTTTTACTCGCTTCGGCGATTGCTCCTGATTGTCTGTAGATTGGCTATCATCCATGTGAGTTATCAGTCGTTTTTTTGTTATAGCATTATCAGAAGAATCAGTATTCCCTGCTACTTCTGTGATCTCTTCTTCATCAGATATTTCCGGCATTAATAAAGAGCCATCCCCGGGGTATTTATAAACTGTGGGGACACCAATGGTCGCCTTCTGCTGTTCCGATTCTTTTTCCGCTATAATCCTCCTTTCAGAAGCAACAGGATCGTTACTTATACTCTCTTCATATTTATCCAAGGCAGGGACATCCATGGAACTTGAAATCATTTGTATAAACTCTCCAATACTCTTTTCAAATATCTCTAATGGATATCGTTGGGCTAATTGTTCCAAATGCGTCTGTAGACTGATGCCTTCAGGAACTCTTAAGAACTCTTTCTCTCTCTCTCTCACTTGAGTTTTGAATAAGTGCATTGTTCGTGTCTTAGGGAAAAGTAAATGATGATCAGCTGCTCGAATGCCCCATTCATCTAATACTTCCTCGAGAGGAGCATCTTCCTCCTCCTCCTCCTCCTCCTCCTCTTCTTCTTCTCCATGTCTCTCTTCCTCGTCCTCCTCTTCTGCGCCATCCTCATCTTCATCCTCTACATCGCCGTAGGAAAAGATCTCGAAAATCGGCTCAAGACCTGTCTGAGCATCACATAAATAACTCTCAATGGCTGCCTGAGTCAGCAACTCCAAAAACAAGTCGTACCATTTCGGCGGCATGCCTCCTCCCATTACTTTTTGACCGGCAAATAGCATGGGCTTAATTATTCTCTGATGTTCACTGTCATCTTCATCATTTTCCAATAATCGTCGTAACATGTCTGCACTTGTTCTTAGGAAAGTGGGTATAGCTTCAGTTAATCCAGCATGCTGATGTTGCTGAAGTCTCTTTAATTGGCGCTGCATGGGTATATTATCGCTTTCGCTACTTTTTGATATTGCTGCAGTGGATGCTTCTAACTTTGAATCTTTTTCCGTCTCTTCTTTCTCTTCCAGAGTATGTACTTTATTCATGTGAAGGGCTGTATCAGGAGTCGATTTTAGATAAGGTGATTGGCATCCATAACAATTTTGAATACGATGACGACGACAAAAAGGTGGAATGATAGGCTGGGAAAATATGCGCTGCCGTTTTCTCAGATCGTAGTGAATCTCATCAGCATCTTGATCATCATCGGCAGATTGATGATGATCATCTTCCTCGAACACATGCGATTCGTGGCGACGTATACGTCTTCGTGCAACAGAAGTAATGATGTGGCCGTGATTTGCTGCTGCTGATGACAAGTGAGATCCCTCAGTAGACAATAAGTTATCGAAGCGGCCGAAAATAAGGTTAGTGAGTTGACATAAATGGAGTCTTTGCTCAAAGTTGCAATCGATGTGAAAAGAAGGTGTTCGATTACGATGATTAGAGAGAATGCCTACGCAAGACAATCCAAAAGTAGTGAGCATACTATGGCTTTTCTACACAAGAGTTATTGCATTTACCAGCAACAACTGATTCTACTGCATTTTTATCTTGTTCTGCTTTCCGAGCTGATTCTTCCCACTGTTGCTTCCGTCTTTTAATGATAGAAGCATCCTTGGAGCTCAACGGCAATGGTGAGGATAATTCAAATAACTCAATACGAGCTTGCTTCAAGCGCGATTGAATAGATAAATATAATAAATAATCCAGAATGATTTTGTTAGTAGTTGACTGGCGTGGGTAAGTGACTATAGAATTTGTTGTTGCAGAAGTTGTAGAATTGTTGGGTGCTGTTGTTGCAGTTGTTACGGATGCTTGTAGGTTTTTCGATTGTATTTCGTGTGGAAAAGTATAATTTTGATTATTATTCATGGTTTTTTCTAATGATAATGACGAATGCAACGAACAAACAGAAGATAGAGGAAAGAATTTCTTTTTTCGAGGAAAAAAAAAAAAAAGAAAAAGCGCGCGGATACTGAATGACAAGTTAACTTATGGAGCTTTTTCTTTCTCAGTTTTACTGAAATCCTGATTATACTCAACTGTACAATAATGAGAGAAGGCTTTGAAGATTTTTGTTGATAATTTCTTACATAGCTTGGCCGCATGTATGATAACTAGCAAACAATATCTTCTTAATTCTAAGTCAACTCTCTAAATAAACGTCGTGTCATACTTCTTGCCTTATGACGCGCTCTTAAATCTATCTGTAAGCTGTGTAAGCTCAATAGCTTTTTGTCAAATGAGTTACTTTTTGTTATAGTCTCGGAAATACATAAGACGAATTTAAAAGAACATTTGGCTCTTTCGGAAACTATTTGATGACAAATTGGCGAAAAGACTTTTAAGTTATGCTCTCTTCATATAGTTTTCATTATTGACAGTTTTACACAATTAGAGGACTAAACTAAGTCAAAATCCAATAGCTAACTCATTGTTTGTTCAATACAGGATTAACATCATTGCTAGGAATTCTAAAGGGTAAATTAACTAATTTTATTGTCATCTAGTGGTATTAAATTAGCAGCTTATTGAATAGAATGCAAAAAAGAAAGAAGTGCGTGAATAAAATATCAGTGTGTTGTTTTTCAATCTTGTTACTGGTGATTCTTCGTCATTCTATGGTATATATACCAAGCAACACCAGCTACAGTAATAATAGACCCAAGCGTCACTATAGCACCAACGAAACCATTATCTTTTGATCTATTTGCTTGTTTCACCTTCTTTCTTCTTCGTCGCTTCTTCTTCTCCTCGGAATTGGTCGCTCTTTTCTTCCTATCGCCCTCTTGTCGACGCTGCTGCTCCTGTTGCTCCTTTGTTAGATCCCAGTCAATGGTAACAACACCCTCTGGAACTTTCAAGTTTCCAGTGTTGTCCAATTTCATGGCTCTTCCGAACCATTTGCTGGCAATCCACTCATTTGCCGTAACACCAATGCCATTCAGATATACAATACCGATATTGAAACAAGCATTAGCGTAGCCTAATATACCAGCTTCTTTCCAATATCTCAATGCCAAATTAGGGTCTGCTGTCACCTCTGTCACCGAGTGAACCTGTTCACCCGTCGGAGATGAACCATAGAGATAGATTAAGCCAGTCTGAAATGCAGCATTACAAAAGTAACGTTCGTCTTGAGTATGAGGTGGATGGCTACGCAACTTATTCTTGGGAATGTGTTCCATTTCTAATAAACTAAAGTCAACATCGATACGAGGTGCTGTAATGGTCATGCAACGGTTGTAGTAATGAAGAGCTTTTTGATAATCTTTTTCAATACCAATCTCTGCGGATCCACTCGCATAAATAGTAGCGACTGTATAGCAAGCTAAAGGATCGGGTCCGCAACTATACAATTTACCGGATTCTTGGTCACTGCAATCGGCCGCCTGCTTATATAGTTCAAATGCCTTTTTCACGTCCTTTTCAGGATATGTTGTAGCGGTAATCGCCTTCCTATCAGCTTCATACAATTCAGCTGCTCTCAGCATCGATTTTGTATGCCCTCTTTCTGCAGCCGAAACAAAATATTCTAACGCTTTCTACATTTTATAGAGTTTAGTATGATAACGTTAGACTCCAGTATATAATTTCTGCAGCAGGATTCATGTTAATTACTTACCACCAAATCCCCTCTACGCTCTTTAAACCATTGACCTAAAAGGTATGATGATGTCACATCCATTGTTGCAGACTTATTATGTGGTCCCGCAATGGGAACAGCCCAATGCATTACTTCCTCTTTTTCAAGGTGAATTGTTAGAATTTTATATTTAGGCTTTTGCAAATGCGGTGGAGTAATGATAGCAGGTGGAGTATGTATCAGTGTGGGCGATATAGGCTGTGATAATAAATCGTCTGTGGTAGAATCCGACATAATAGGCGAGTCTGCTGAAGCAGCTTGTTGTTGCTGTTGTTGCTGCTGATGTTGAGATAGCAGGAGATCCGACATTTCAGACATACCTGTCGTATCAACAGTTGTTGCAGAGGTAGCTGGCGGAGGCAATATAATAGACGAATTAGGGGAGTGTGTTGGTGAATGATTTGGTGAATACATAAAGGCAAAGGATGATGCTGCAGAGAAGTTTGGTGAGGCAGTAATGGAGGAAAAAGGTGAAATACTGTTCTTTTCTAGCTGCCACATGGAATCGAAATGATTGACCGGCTGAAATAATTTAGCCTGTAGTAAAATAAATCAGTCAAGATATTAGCACAATACTCCGTTGGCTTATTCCTTCATAAGAGCTACTACTTGCTTGAAATACGGGTTCTTCTCCTTTTAGACCAGCTTTAAGATACTGCCTTTCGATTGTAATGTCGACATCCTTGCTTTTCGCTGATTCGGGGACCAAGAAGGAAATGGTGACCTGATCGTCACTTTGAGACCAAGTATAAGTATTTGTCTGTAGCTGTGTCTCGTCTTCTTCCATTTTACTTATGTGAAGTGTAACAAGTGAGGCCAATATTGGACTGTTTACCCCGGTTTTTTACAAAAGTTTATAGAATCGAAAAATGTGAAGGGCCTCACACCACAGATTTGACGCTTCCTTTAAAGTCTTAAAGTGTGACTTAAGGCGGCGCGACAAACTGCGTGCATTGTTAATGCAAAAGGTACGACCAATTAGATTTGCAACAAGGCAGGTTTAACCTAGTCATAGAAAATGCTTGGTAATTAGGGTTTAAATAGTGGATGACATCTTTTTTAAATACATACGCTTTGATAGAATATAAACTGTCAAGTATTATACGATAAACGTTGAGATGAGCCTGTTTCCTGGAGCTGCTTCGTCATTTTTGCTTTTGATGAGATACGCAGTTGAATAACGCAACAGCAAAATTTCTCAAAAGTCCCATATATCGGTATAAAAGAGAGACACTCTCCATCTTTTTTTCAACCATAATGTCTGTTGTAAAACTATGCGTGACAAGAGTCAGTGCACGTTCAAATTGAGATCGTCAGCGGACTTTGCTTTCAATTTCAGTCTCTGCAACAGTCTTAATTTGTTGGCCCTTTTTTCCATTTTACTTTCTTTGCTCTTTCATCTTTAAGTAAATCTACAGACAATGTCTGAATTTCATTCACTTGCCAACCTCATAAAGAGACTTGAGGTAGCTACGACACGTTTAGAAGACTTGGCTATGTCTTCATCGTCAGCTACTACAGTGGTAGCCAACATGCCTTCATCACCCCAAAAGGTACCTGCCACTGTTACTTCTACAGCAGCGCCTGTCAATACCGAGACCTCACCTATGGTTGAAAAGCACGATGCTGCTGTCAACAGTTTTGTCGAGAAATACATGTCTTTATCACAAGAGATTGGTGGTGTTGTCGCTGAACAAGTACGTTTTTTTATTTCTTTTGCTTTCTTCTATTCTGTCAATGGGAATTGTTTTATATTGAACGTTTATTCACTGTGTATTTATGTATAGTCACGATTGGTTAAAGAAGCACTTAATGCCGAAAGAGATATTGTTCAAATCTCTACCATGGCGCAAAAGCCAGATATGGCATCGTCTACTTTTATGAAACTTCTAGAACCTATCCAAAAGGCTATGACCGCTATTATGGAAATTAAGGATGCTAACCGTCCTGACCCTCTTTTCAACCATTTGAGCACAGTTGCTGAAGGTATTCCTGCCTTGGGTTGGTTCACTTGCGTATGTGTCATAAGTTACAAGAATGGATTGTATCCTGTGAAAATTCGATCACCATAATTGACTTTGTTTTTTTCTCCCAGGAACCTACGCCAGTACCTTTCATTCGCGATATTAAGGATGCTGCACAATTTTATTCTAATCGTGTCATTAAGGAGTTTAGAGAGAAGTAATGACAATGTATTTTTAGTAGAACATGTTAATTGAAACGAAGGTACTAATTATAGAGCATGTTTTCCGTAATTTAGAGAACCTATGCATGTTGAATGGGTCAAGGCTTTCTTGGGTATTATTGAAAACTTGGCAGCTTATGTGAAAGAAAATTTCCCTACAGGTTTGTCGTGGAACGCCCAAGGAGAAAAAGCCGACACTTATATTGGAAAATTACCTTCCTCCACTGCCAATAATACTAACACATCCACCGTTGCGCCACCTGCCCCATCTGTACCATCGGCTGGGGCTCCTCCACCACCTCCACCTCCACCACCACCTATGATGCTCGATGACAATGACAATAAGTCAGCTCCTCAGCCCTCTGGAGCCGCCGCTGTTTTTGCCGAAATTAATCAGGGCTCTTCCATCACTTCGCACTTACGTAAGGTCGACAAGAATGAGATGACTCACAAAAACCCCAATTTGCGTGCTAACTCCTCCGTAAATGTTGCTGCACCCTCATCACCTAAACGCCAAGGCCCTCCCACACCCAACAAACCCAATAAATACACCATCAAGAAGCCTGCGAAGACCTCTCTAGAAGCCAATAAATGGGTCATTGAAAATCATGAAAACAACCACGAAATCGTTTTAGAAGAAACTGCTATGAACCAATCTGTCTACATTTACAATTGTAAAAACTCTACGATTCGTATTAAAGGTAAAGTTAACGCTGTTACCATTGACTCTTGTGCAAAGACTGGTGTTGCATTAGACTCTACTGTAGCTACGGTAGATTTGGTAAACTCCAAGTCATTCGCCCTTCAAGTGTTCAAAGTTGTTCCTACAATTGCCGTTGATAAGTGCGATAGCGGTGAAATCTATCTTTCCAGAGAATGTTTGGATGTGGAAATCTTGTCAGCTAAATCATCTTCGCTGAATATTTTGGTGCCTGAATCTGATGCAGAAGATAGTGAATTTAAGGAAATGCCTGTCCCTGAACAATTGAAGACAACTATTGTTGATGGTAAACTTGTCACTGCCACTGTAGAGCACGCTGGTTAAATAAGAACAATCAAAGAACTTTAGTCATCAACTGTCGTTGTGAATAAAAATTGTATTGAAACAAACAATCAAACAAAAGTCTATACATTTATAAACATCATTGTTTCTGTTACAAAAAAACAAAAAAAAAAAAAACAACCTTCAGTTTACTATCATTGCAGTCATTGACATCAAAAGCAATCTGCTGCTATTTCATTACCCGCTTTCTATTTTTATTTTGACAGATTTATTAGAACGTTGCTAATCTGTTTTTCTTTTAAAAAGACAGCATTTGTCAAGAAGATGAATGAAGATGCAGTTAAAGTATCGTCTCAGTTAGAGTCGAAGGCCATGTCTATATTACAAATAAAAAATGCTCTTGACTCGCCAAACTTCGACCCAGTTCAATACTTTAACAAACTATTTCCCAACGGTAAAAGAAATCATATTTATGCTGGCTAGGGTCACCTACGTTGGTTTGGTTTCATAAGTTACAAATTCTTGCTTATAAATGTCTGTTTAAATTTCTTTTTAGAGCAATCATTGGCATCAGTCGATGGCGTTTTGAGTAAACTTGAAAACAAAATGGATGAGATGAATGAGGAAGCAAAACGTTTGACAGATACTCAGTTCTTAAAAAACACACAAGAGGGAAATACCAAGTTGGATAAAGCGAAAGAAGCCATTCAAGTTTGTAAAAAATTGATAACTAAACATTGCTTTCTCAAATGAATAAGCAATCCTTATGTATAACTTATTGACATTGGGACATTTTCTCTTTTCACAATGAAACGTTTAGGAACTCTTTAAGCAAATTCAAGATATCAAATCTAAAGCAGCACAGTCAGAATCGATGGTACAAGATATAACACAAGACGTCAAATCTTTGGATTATGCAAAAAGACATTTGACACATTCAGTGACAGTATTGAAAAGGCTTCAAATGCTAGTTACAGCTGTTGAGCAACTGGAGATCATGTCGAGAAATATGCAATTTAAAGAAAGTGCACAGTTATTGCAGGTAAGAAACAGAAGCGCTTGGATCTGTTAGGTATATGATTCATCATCCGACTTGTCCTTTTTGGACATGTAGGCTGTCATCCAGTTAACGCAGCATTTCAAAACTTACAAGAGCGTCCCACAAATAGCTCGATTGTCTGATCGCATCAAAAAGCTTAAAAAGGAACTGGAAAATTGCGTTGTACGCGAACTGGGCAAAGGATTTAATCAAGAAGGGCAACTAGTAGGCCAGCCATGGCTGTTGCATGATGCTTGTTTGGTAGCCAACGTCTTAGGTGATGCGACAAATGAGAAAATCATTACAAAGTATGTAGATCTTCAGCTTGTCAACTATCGACAGATATTTCGCCCCACAGATGAAGTAGCACAATTGGATAATATTTCGCGCCGTTATGCCTTTCTGAAACGTATACTAAAGGTGTGCGACGAGGTACATGCTGAGATTTTCCCTACATCTTGGTCAATGAGTGGAAGAGTTTGTGAAAGATTTTGCGAATACACAAAAGCTGATTTAGATGTAGTTCTGAAGAATAATCCTTGTGATGTTAAAGATTTATTGAAAGCATTGCAATTGACAATTGATTTTGAGAGCCAGCTTTCAAAGAAATATAAAAGGTTCTCAAAAGAGAAAGAAAATGAAGAGCAACAACAGAAACAGCAGGTGTTAACGTTTGATAAAGCCATATCGTCTGCTTTCCAACCTTATCTTTTTATTTATATCAACGCAGAAGACGCCACTATAGCCTCGATGATCGACTCATATCATCAGTCTGACGCGAAAGCCGATGCTGAAGATGACGGAAGTATGGTTGTATTGCCTTCCAGTACGGACTTATTCTATTTTTACAGAGAAACGCTGACTCAATGCTCAAAGTTTTCTACTGGGAAAGCACTCTACGATCTATGCCGATTGTTTGTTAAACATTTGGATAATTACTGCACTATGATATTGCTGGGTGGTTTAAAACGCTTGGATAAAGAAACAATCAGTGCGAAACATTTTCGTTTCGCTACTTTAGTGTTAAATACAGCTGATTATTGTAGTATTACTACCTCACAGTTGGAAGAGAAATTGAAGGAGAAAGTGGACGATACTTTTAGGGAAAAGGTTAACTTAGAGGGCGTCAAGGAAAATTTTATGCGGTGAGTCTACAAAGGAATTACTTGCCAGTTTATTGGCTCATATGTTTTTGTAAAATAGAACCGCTTCCACTTCGATTGATGCAATGATTAAATACTTGGAACAGGCAGTTGACCCACAAATGTCGCAAATGACACGACTTCCATGGGGTACAATGGACTCAGTAGGAGATCAGTCGAACTATATCAGTCAAATGCTCGATATTATTCGGAGTAATGTCAATATCATTGCCCAATTGATAGCCAACAAACGCTATTTCAGAACATTTCATGACAGATTTGCAGAGTACGTTATTACATACCACAACAGCATTTTGCTCTACTGTTTCTGACCTTAGTCTAACTGGCCATTTTCTTCGGCAGATTTTTTATTACAAAGTTTTTACTTCAGATTTTTAAGTGTAAACCTATTTCAGAGATTGGTGCAGAGCAGCTTTTACTGGATACACATTCACTAAAGACACTTCTGATGGAAATACCTACTCTTGGTTCGACGGAAGGAACTCCAACAACATTAACAAACTCGTGAGTTCATAGTAAGAGCTGGATTTTTTTTTCAATAACGAAAGCCTTTCTAATATTTCCTGTTTAAAGCTATAGTCGAATTGTAAACAGAGGTATTTCAAAAGTAGAAGCAATTTTAAAGACGGTGATGTCGTCTATTGAGCCTCCCGAGGGCTATGTTGAGAATTATCTGTTACTTGTAAGCGATAAGCACGATGGCAATTTTACTCGCTTGCTTGATTTGAAAGGTGTGAAAAAAACAGAACAGAATCCTCTTTTGGAAATGTTCCATCGACGTATCAAGTATCATGACAATTTATCAGATAATAGTAATATACTACCTTTGGAAGTTTTGGCACCGACAATGTCGGGTAGCGGGTCAAGCAGCGGTTTATTGCTGTCTACTACCACAGCTCTATCATCTTCGAATCCTGCTGCCTCCATTTCGGCCGCTATACCAAGCTCTATCACCACTTCACTGAGCTCTATGGCATCGACGGCAGCTTCCAACTTCAACAACGCAACCAATATGAATGCTTCATCATTTTTAAAGTCGAATAACAGTGGTAGTGCGTCATCACTCATCGCATCTCCTACTACAGCTTTTTCTTCTGCTGCTGCGGAAGCTGCTCGGGGGCGAATCAACGAAAATTTCAGGAAGTTAGTCAAGTCAGGTATGGGCTTCCGCAATAAGGAAATTCAAGACAGAAAAGAATAAGTAACAGTAGAAATGTATCAAAAAATACTATACAATGCTGTAAAATATTCCACATCTCTAAGTTCTACTTAGTGTATTGATGCTATATTTTTTATGTATTTTACTTTTTTTTTCCAAGATACATTGCTCTGACCATGCCTCTCTAATACACATATCTTAAATTGAAGCTAGTTGTACAATTTTAAGTACATTTACAAATTCTTTAGCGATGAAGCTTTTCTCATTTTTGTAGACATGTCAATTAAAAAGGGCCAACATCTTAGTAGTAAAGACTTTTCGTCTAATGCTTAATATACTTTTCGTACACATTCTTTGTTTATCATTTAAATGTTTGGAGTGTTTATTTCATTTTTTTTATTTTTTTTTTTTTTGGTCTTACTTTTCTCTTATTTGAGAGTATCTATTATATCATGCAGCTTTATATCTCAAACCCTACTCAATTGCAAATTGCTCTGCTGCTCCTGTTACTTAGGATTTTTCGGGAATTTCAAACCATAATCCTTGTAACAAAAACATCTTGGAGCCAATGCAGTCTTGAAAGTTACTCAACCAGACTATAACAACCTTTGTTCTGAGAATAATTATACTAATGGTAGTGATATCTATAGCCCTTCCCTTTTGCTATGACCTCCGGCAACTTTCAGTCATTCATCGATGAACAACAGTTCTCTTCCAACGAATATCGTTGATATACCTTGTACTAATACTAATACTGCTATAGCTGTTGTTACCACGACGCTATGTATAGCAATCGCTAATACTGTACCTCTCAATCAACCGCTGAGTTCAACAATAATATAGGATATCAAATGCAGATAGCAATTTTTTTAAAACCACAAGCTGCAGCCTCGCCATGACCACAATCACAGCAACCAATATACAATAACAAATTTATTCCCCGTTATCTACCCTCCTTTGTGCAAACGCAGCAGTTTTCAAAGAGATTCCTCAGTGACCTCGGCTGAGTTGCATATAAAAAATCTTGTAGGGGACCTATAGCAATATGCGTTAAGACGGAGTTGTTGATGGTAAGAAAGAGATAAGCTTTAAAAAGGAATAGACAAGATAGCAACCGTTACAGGCGGCGTTATCTTATTGAGCACAATCAACCAACAGATTCTCATAAAAGCCGCCTGAAGATGTAGAATAAGAAATGAAGAATAGGTCAACCATTTACAAATAGCATTGAAACACTTTTAGGAGAGAACAGAGACCTTGAGCTACAATCATTTTCCTTACGATAAGACTTGTTGGCACATAAAGATTGTTCTCATGCTTACTTGAAAAACTTTATATTCATAACTCACAAACAAACACATCAGCTCCCTCAACTTCTATTGAATCAACTATCAACGATAATGCTTCTCTTCTTCTCTTCCTCCTCCTCCTCCTTTTTTAATGTGAGAAAGTACATGAACCATACGTACATTTACTTTAGAAATTTTCATCTACCAAGTACTCATCATTTCGTATCCTTCCTCCATTCCAAGCTATTTATCTTAACGTAATGATACTTCGTTTTCTTCCGCTTGCTTCATTCATTGCTACACTTCCTCTCCATTATCTTCATGATGTGTCTCATTGTATATATATAATACTTTTCAATATTATATTCAATACTGAATCACAAATGAACATATCGACACTACACAAATAAGAAGAATAAGAACAAAAAGCAATCTTGGCCAAGCATATAAATTTTGTTCCACGTAACACTCAGCATTGACCAACCACCGGTGTCATTAATGGCATCCTTAACGCTGGTCTTTTTTTCTTTTTTTTTCTCTTTGGACAAGATGGAACTTCTTTTTTCTAGTATTTGATCTGTTGCATTGTTCCTCTATGTTTAGTATCCGTATACTATTTCTGTATAAAATAATGACAGAAGAGGCTGAAAAATAGCTTAATGCGAATTATCTAATATCAATATCGTGTCGCTAACGATTGACGTATGTACGACAGGTGATACAGTAACTTTGAGAACTTTTTTGCGTTTCTTTAACGCCATAGAGTCATTTTTATAGTTTAGGTTGAAGGATCTGTAAGCTTATTCATATTAGATAGTTTATACAATGCAAAGAAATATAAGGTAATAATTGTAGCCCGAGACAATATAATTGCTGCTGCTGTCACTGGTCTTACATGGTTATCAAGCATCAAAGGTGTGGATGTGATGAAAAGAAATTGCTCTTTTCAGCTTCGTTGTTAGTGCCTTACTTTTGTTAGCCAGCTTTGAAGATTGTCGCCTTAAGCTTTTCACGGATGCTATATTAGGAGTAGCAGAATGGCTGATGGCAGAGGAAATGAGTGGCAAAATCAAAGGGTCCCTCTTTCCCCCGCAATTGTTACTCTCATCAAAATTCAAGGGGGAATCAGGTGATATATCGTTGTCACATCCAGGTGGATGATTCTGGTGATGGTTTAAATGGTTGTTTATCTTTTCCAGAATTAAACTGGTTCTGCGTCCTATATTCTTTACTGCTCTCTCATTGATACTTGATTTGGCGCGATGAATCATCCTTTGCGCAGAAGAGGAAAGCTTTGATGTAGAAGTTCTGTGTGACGAAGGGCGAGATGGTGCTAGAGGCAGTTCTTTAATAATGCGCGGATCTTGTTCGTCTTTTTCTTCCGCTTTTTCTTCTTCTTGTCCAGAAGAGTCAGCATCAGCGTTAAAGGTTTTGTATTCGGTTTTATGACTTGTCGATGTCTCTGCTTCTGTTATAACTGTTGGTACGGGTATTGTCACTTTAGAGGCGCATGTTGTGTTTTCGTCATATGGCTGGCCCGGTGTTTCTAATGAATCAGAATGGATTGAGTTTGGCATACTTTCTGTAAATCCAGGATTCATATTGATACTGCTATTGCTTCCATCATTAATACTTATTGTCTTCTTATAAGTATTGTTACTACAATCATCAGCCAGCAGTAGTAATACTGAAGAATCGGATGAACTCTTGTTGCTCTTTTTGTCGTTAGTTTCCAGTAGCGGTTGCTGCACTGAGGGGCTTTCTGATGTTATAGAAGCTTCGGTTTGTAACACGGCTTCTTTCTGATCAGTATTGTTATCCGCAAAATCATTAGCACCTATACGTTAAAAGTCATGGAATCATAAAGATAGCAAATTAGTTGTTATTTTTTGCCCCCTTTTGCTCGTATTATTACGAGAAGAAGCGACCCTTCCCGGAATATCAAATGGCATAGACTGTTACTAACCCACTTGCTTTGTATTCAACGTAGCATTATCAACTAGAATATCAGCAGCTGCTACATTGATAGCCGGGCATTCATCTTTAGGTCGTTCCCATACGTGCTGAAGATACATTATCGAATAGACACGCAACATGACTAACAATTTGAGTTACTATCGTTCTGCTGTATTCCGTACAAGTAGAGGTTGAAAGGATTTCTAATCGATTTGAGAAACGAAATAAGTAAAAGATGAGCGGTTAAAAAGAAACAAACAAAGAAAAAGGGGCTTCTACAACTTACACATTAATAAACAAATATCGTAAGCAATAGAGAAAAAAAAAAAAAAAAAAAAAAAGATCAGTAGGGGGCTGGAGGGGGGAGGGCAAAGTAAGAGGGTGTGACACATGCGAACACGCATAATTCGGAATTGCTAAGCTATCAACAATAGCATTAGCTGTATAATAATTGTTCATTATCCAGACTACTACATGTGCATTTGACGTAAGAAGCCACAATGCATATATTGGGTTTCTGTAAAAAGGGAATTCTTGATGATTGCATACTCAATACTGGGATTACTGCTGATTACATTTTTATAGAATATCGATAGACAGATTCCTATGTCGATCAGTCAGGCGTTGTTCAAAACAGCTCTTTCCGCAGAATTTGTATGCCATGTCAATGTATGTATCAGCTGAGAATTCAGATAAACAAAAGAAGTATCGAGCAGCTCTAAGAAGAAGCTGGGAGAGATTATCATGCATCAAAAAATAACCCCTCTTCTCCCAGCTAACGAATATTTAACAAGGCTTTAGTCATAGCAAAATTGATCTGATTGTGTCAAGCCCTTTCAATTGTACATGTGTTCGTATGCATCTTGTTCTTATTGGCATCAGAACAGACTTAAAAATCATTGATATGTGTATCAAATCCACTTATAGCCTATGAACATTACAGAGCTATTGTAGGCTGAATGATTGTCAGACAAAGTCATGAAACAGGGCATCAACTCAAAAAGCTGGTGTTTTTTATTGAAAATGCAAAAAATATCTAGTTCATCTAACTATTTAAAAATTCGATACAAGTAGCAAAAAGAGGAACTACAATCCTGCAATTTTAACGACTTGCTTGCCAAAATTCTTTCCATGCAGAACATCCATGAACGCTTGAGGAAGGTTTTCAATACCTTCCGCGACAGATTCTCTATATGTGATTTTACCACCCTTAATCCATTCAGTTACTTCTTTCCTAAATGATTCTTGCATGTCAAAATTATCATGGACGATAAAACCACGGATTTCCAATGATTTGACAACAACTTGCATAAGATTACGGACACCATAAGGTTCGGTGGTATTATATTGAGAGATCATACCGCAACAGACGATTCTAGCATAGTTGTTGCAATGGCTAATGACATCTTCCAGCATCTTACCACCAACATTTTCATAATAGATATCGATACCGTTTGGCAAAAGCTCTTTGAAGGCTTCTTTCGTATCTTGCTTCTTGTAATTGAATGCGCCGTCGAAGCCTAGTTCCCGTAAGTAAGCAACTTTTTCATCTGAACCAGCAGATCCAACGACATGTAAACCAAGAATTTTCCCCATTTGTCCAACAAGCTGACCAACAGCACCTGAAGCTGCAGAAACATAGAGACTCTCTCCCTTTTTGGGCTTACCAAACTTTTTCAACCTACAAATGAAGAATCAAACAACAGAGAGACAGTACGTTAGTACGGCTGACTGAAGCAAAACAGAGAGCAGCATAATGGATTTCAGTTTCATGGTTTTAGTATATTTACCCAACGTAGGCAGTTAGGCCAGGCATACCAAGGACTCCGATATAGTTTGTGAGAGGAATATTGGAAGATTTGGCTTCATTGCGTACTTCCAACTCAGAAGTATTCTCCTTAGGAACAAGAGTATATTCTTCAAAGCCGACCATACCAAAGACAATATCTCCCTTTTTAAAGTTATTGTTGTTGGATTTAATCACTTCAGACATACCATGACCATCCATAGGCTTGTTAAGAGTGAAAGCAGAAATATACGACTCGACATTGGCATCACGCATACGGCCACGCATGTAGGGATCCACAGATAAGCATAAATTTTTGACAAGGACGGCTCCTTGTGGAATATCTGCATCAAGGTCAATTTCATCTTTCTTGACAACCATATGCTCTCCAATTTCTGGGTAACCAGTAGGAATTTTGGCAAAGATGACTTTAGTATTGGAAACCATTTTAATGTTAATTATTATGCGTTATATGTGAAAAGCAGGGAAAATGAATACGTGGGGATTCATCAACAGAATGCTTCACTTTTATACTTAGCTATAGAATGCTAACTAACCCTTGTAAAAGACTCCGCAGTACTAGATTAATAATCGAAAAGTGCTAGTGCTCATTCTGAAGTTTTATGTCAAGAGCAATATTGTCTCAATGCTCGGGAGTTCATGTTTACCCGAGACAACGTACACTTTACACTCTAGAACTGTGCTTTACGACCTTGAGAAGTTTTAAAGGAGATGAAATCATGTATTATAATTGTAATCATTCAGAAAAGAGAAAAGCAATTCGCTGTAAACTGGGTATATCGACGAAAAGGCAAATACTCCCGTACATAAACGTATTCCTACGTTTATCTTTCTTTCTATTTCTGGAATACCTAAAATGCACCACATGTAAAAGCTGTTATGTAATACTTGTATAATTTGCTAGTTAAATTCATCCAACCAGACTGCGCCCATTTCTTCTATTAACTTCCACATCTGTGAATACGGCCTTGAAATCGTTGCTACCTTACCTTCTGAATCAGTGAGGCAACTGTACTGTCTGGAAACGCGATAGCCGCATTCCTGCATTCGCAAAGATTATTGAAAACTAATGCGAACGGTCTCATAGCCAAAGTACTTTCCAAAGCTCCTGGAAAGGCTGAATACTTACAGGCCGCGACAAATTACTCCATCGTCCGTTCTAGAGCGGATCAGCAGCTTTTGGCGACGTTTAGATCACGGAGCTTCTCCGCGCTCAGCAGCCTCTGGGAACGTTGAGATCACGGGAGCTTTTCCGCGCGCAGCAGTTTCAATTTCGGAGCCTTTTTTGTTTGTTTGTTGAAATTTTTTACAAAGTAATTGGATAGCACATATGGGCATTCTATATCAGACATAATTATTACAGCAACTTGCTTAATTGCGTTACGAGCTGTTGCCCTCAATGATATATTTTTGTGTCAAAAATACAAGCCGATAGAACTTAGTTATGAAAACGAAAACTCGCGACCTGCTTTTACAAAACTAGAGCTTGTAATGCGCATCATTTCTAAATAAGAACAGTTGGATAAACAGAAAGTATAATTTAAAGCGGCAGCAGCGAGCGGTACAACTCACTATAGGCTGCAATAGACGAAGCTGGGCCATTTTGATAATGGCAAGAGGATTGCTGTACTATGGCACTTTAAGTTCAGTCTTCGAACAATACGAACAATTATAAAGCTTTCTTTGATAGATGGGTGCAAACTTAAAACGAATATATATAGTCAAAGACGACTCCAACTTTATTTCACCATTACATTCAATATAATGCCATGATGGCCGTTAATACCGTCATATTTACCAAATGTTTACAATGCTTGGGTAATAGAAATCCTCGACCTGTATAGAACAGCCTAGTAAGTGATAACGTATTGCCAGCAGTATATATTGGCAATGTAATTGCCGTATGCATAAAGTAAGGAATCAGATTGCGTCAGATAGATTGCGATTCAAAATGCTGTTGAAGGCAACGACGTTATGCTGACAGCTAAATAATGCATCAGAATAAGGTTTAGGCTACTTAAACGCAATTGTTACTGAAAGTATGCGCTTTTATGAAGGAAACAGTTCATTCCTGTCCTTCTAATTGATCAATTTAATAGATTAAGAAGGGCCAACAAAAGGCTTAGTTTTTCCTGTCCCCAACTAACTTTATTCAATAAATTATTGTTCTACATCTAAAGTCAGTTGTTCCCGTTCAATCATTCCAAAAGCGTGGTGCATTCGACTGTTTGGCGGAATTAAGCTCTATTTTATTTTAGGTCAGTACAGCGCCCAACGTTTTCTCTTTTCCCCCCTTTCATTTCTTCTTAGATTATCTTCCTTTCCACCTTCAGGTTTAACAAATACTATAGAAATGGAGTACGACGATAGAGTAAGTTATACCCATTACAGACGCTGACCGTCTTAAATAAGGAACGCGAGCCAAACCATGGCTCTCTCCTGACGTATTCAACTGTATAGTTCGAATCTGGTGCTGGTGATATCAATGATCCTGCTTTCAATGCAGAAGACTTCCAGAACCCAAACCCCAACTACCCTCAACCTCCTGAGTCACAGCATAATCCTGGCCCCGACCCAGGTACGATTGAAAATGAAGCGTGAAATATATTACTTAATCACTTGCAACAATAGTCATTAATGCTTCCTTATTATTTGGCGTCTTTTTCCTCATGTAGTTCAATATGGTGGTGGTATGGTCACACATAGCGAAAACCAACCCGGCAATGAATTCTATTTGCATGTTGATCCCACTTCCGATCATCAAAATATGGAAGATTTTGAACTATCTAATTGTAGGTTTCTGTTTCCTTTTCTTATCAAACAAGCGAGGATTGGGTTACTTATTCTGCATTTCTTTACTTTCTTTCCATGCAGGTGGTGGTAAAAAGAGAGCTTTGTTGATCGGTATTAACTATATTGGTACTAGTAATGAGCTTAACGGTAAAGAATCATAGAGAAATGTAAATATGGAAGAGCGTGGTACTGAAAAGCACTTTAAACCCTTAAGGTTGCATTAACGATGTTCAGAATGTGAAGAGCTTTTTGATTGAATACTACAATTTCAGGGAGGTAAATAGTAGACAGCTAAAGATTGATATAGTAACTGGTATCGTTATTTAACAATCAAACTGAACTTGAATGAATTAGGAAGATATGGTTATCTTGACTGATGATCAACAAGATGAAAAGTTCAAGCCTACTCGTGCCAATATTACTGCTGCCATGCAATGGCTTGTTCATAAAGCTGAGGCTGACGATTCGTAATGTATCCATGTACATGTGCTCTTTACTGTTAGGAAACTCATTACTGATTGATTGTGCCTTTTCTACACCTACAGTTTCTTCTTCCATTATAGCGGTCACGGTGGTAGAGTGAAAGATTCTCATAATGATGAAGATGATGGTTTTGATGAAACCATCTATCCCGTTGACTTTGAAAGCTACGAAGGTGACTCTGGCCAAATTAGGGATGATGTGAGTTTTTTCTTTTTTTGAGGTAAAAAGGGGTATGGAAAAAGAGAAATATCTAACGCTCATCTGTCATACCTACGATAGGAAATCCATGATTTGTTGGTTGAACCTTTGCCGGCTAAATGTAGATTGACTTGTGTTTTTGACAGTTGCCATTCTGGTACTGTCTTGGATTTACCCTATGTTTATTCCACTAAGGGACAAATTAAGGAATCCGACTTGTTTAAACATGCCGGTAAAGGTCTTCTTTCCGCAGGCATTGCCTATGCTTCAGGTAACAGGGCTGGCGCTTTAAGCAGTATTCTGTCTGCTGGTAAGCAAATGCTTCAATCGAAGATGGTGAGTAGCAAGAACCGTAGAGAAAACTCCTCCAAAGCCGATGTTATCATGTTCTCTGGCTGTAAAGACGATCAAACCTCTGCTGATGCCAAGGAAGCTGGTCAAGCTACTGGCGCCATGAGCTACGCATTCACTAGTAAGTTCTAAATACTGACCGGTATTTTTATGCCATCGAATAAGCTTAGTGAATATCTTTCGTCTTCTCTGTAGAAACTCTTCGTGCCAATCCTCACCAAACCTATCAAGAATTATTGAATAGTGTCCGCGATATTCTTCGTGCTAAGTACTCCCAGAGACCTCAATTGAGCGCTTCTCATCCTATTGATGTTAATTTACAATTTACATGTTAAATTAAGCACTTTATGATAACCATCTTACCCCATAATATCTTGAACATGTTTTCTCTTCAATGGATAACCATATTCTTCTAAGCCTCACATCGTAGACCTGGAATTGAATATATATCGTAAACTGTTTCGAGATTTCATGACCGTGCAGTTATTTCAATAACGATTACCATATAGAAGTTGCATTACAGCCTACTCTTGGATTATGGAAAATAGAGTTGAAGTCTATGCCCAAAGAAAAATAATTCGGATCGGATACACAAAGGGCTATAATGTCTGTATTACCTAGCAGACATCAGAAAGTGTATGAATAGCCCTCAAAGAGATCAACGGGAAAAAATCACATAGAGTTTTCCATCTATACAGCACCTTCTCGACTCGCTTTGATGAACTTGATTGAAAATACCTAAGCATATATGCTGAAGAAGAATTTCACTTTGAGGTGTCTTCACATTTTGAAAGTTGTGCCGCTTCGCCTTACTCTTTGATAGCGGTGCAAATATAGACATGTGTGTCGTTAGGTAAAACTCAATTAACAATTATCTATGTTTTTTCTGCATCCAAGTGTTATTCTGTTTCGGTCATCGGTTTCTTTTTATAGGTAGTATAGCCAGTGCAAATAGGTTATTTGACACTCGCTTGCTAGCCATAGCTCTGACCAATGACGTTAGATTTTGCTTTCTAGAACTAAGTATGATTCTTCTATACTAGAGCTATAGGCAATATGCTTACTTAATCATTTTGCACTTAGTGTCGTTAGTTCTTTTCGCTTTGTCCAATGTGTTCAACATTAAAGAGAAATTCAGTTCTTTCTTCGATGCAATAAATGGTATTAATTGATTGTTTGAAAAATTAAGAGCAGGCTCTCATTATCCTCAACCATCAGCATATGAATGGGGTTGTTGCTCCAACCTAATTATCAAGCAAAAACATTATAAAATGAGCTCTGTTTATAAGCGCCGTTTTGCGGTTAATCAGAAAAGGGAGGCTGCCTGTAAGTAATTCCGGACAGTAAGATACTGAGTCATCCATAGTAGATAAAGACGCCAAAGGAGAGGACATTAATGTTTACATTACTGCTTATGGGCAGTAGTAGCTTCAGTATCAGCTCGTGAATCAGTAGATTTAAATAAAATGGTAAGTCCCACATATAAAATCACATTTTTTCATTCACAAAGCTACATAACAATGTGAACATGTATAAAACATGCGAGAAAATCATGAGGAAAACCATAGGAGCCGTATTTTACTGTCTCTTCCAGCAACATATTTGGTCATATAAAAACGAAGCTACACCTTGTGATGCTCTATCCGCCTTATCAATCAATTTGCTTGGCTTGTCGTAAACATTGTTTGAAAGGATATTTCCTGCTTGTGCTCACTGCTTTCCCTCAATGGAAGGTGTAGCGGGAGTCATTGTATTTTTAATTTTGTCTTCCGCAAATACGTAGATGCTCTCCCCTTTTCTCATTTACTTTCTTTTCGAAATACCTACTTAATTACTTCGCATTGCAATAACGAAATGAGCAGCGGTTCTGAAAGTGAATATTCCAAGTACTGGATAGACTGGTTTTTGGATACAAAGGGAAATGAATATTTCTGTGAGGTGGACGAGGAATTTATTATGGATCGATTTAATTTGACTGGTTTGAGTGCAGAGGTTCCCAATTATTTTGCTGAGGCCTTAGATCTTATTACAGATAATCTTGGTAAAGCGGGGTATAATCATCTATATCATCTGATAGTCAAAGTGTGTATTAACGATAGCACTGTTCAAGTAGACTTGGAAGAAATTGATGAAAAAGTTAGGGAACAGCTTGAAAAATCAGCACGGCATTTATTCGGCTTGATCCATGCACGTTTCGTACTTACCAGTCGCGGACTTATGAAAATGGTAATTATAGCTATGCCATAAAGTGTGGTGGGTCTTTTAGTCATATTCTAAACCTTCTCAAACATTATAACATTATACACATAGCTCGATAAATATAAAAGGGCAGAATTTGGTCGCTGTCCTCGTGTTCTTTGCAATATGCAAGCACTTCTTCCTGTTGGATTATCAGATATACCCATGACGAAAACTGTCAAGCTTTACTGCCCAAAATGCGAAGATATATATAACCCAAAATCAACTAGGCATGCTGCTATAGATGGTGCCTATTTTGGTACATCTCTACCTCACATGTTGTTCCAAGTCCATTCAAATCATATACCCATAAAAACTACCGAACGATATGAGCCACGTATTTTTGGATTTAGAATACATGAGATAGCAGAACAGCATCGATGGCAGGATCAAGTCAGAGAGGAGTTTGAAGCGAAACGAAGAGATAGACAGCAACAATATGAATCATCCACCACAATATCATAAAGGGTCTGTTTTGAAGTAAAAAAAAAAAGAGTTCGATTTTACGGCATTTTAAATCTTTTATTTTCTTTGTCCCCGATGTTTCTTTTGCATTGTAATGTAAAACCCAACATATCCCTCTGTGTTCTTCTACCCTTTTTTTTTCCTTTGAAGTTTTTGATCAGTTTGAGTTTGAGTTTTCGAATGGGAAACACTAATTCCACACCAAAAACAACTTATAAGGAAGAACAACAAAAGAAAGGAGTTGTTAAACCTGATTCACAACGGATTTCTGCTACTTCTTCTGCAGTTTCGACTATTTCTTCAACATCGTCCCATTTAAACACGCAAAGACATCGGTCGTCGATACCGACAGCAACGACTTCTACAGATTCGAAAGTGGGCAGTAACGTTCAGTCTTTTAAATTATCTGTGACAGAGCCTATCTCAACTGATACAGCTACAGTAGACGCTGGTCATGCTTCTTCAGCAGAACCCAACGTCAAACCTGTCAATAATTTGAATAGTAGTAACGATAGCAATGCTAGTGTTAGTAACAGCAGCAACAAGGAAAAACTAGAGCAAACTCAAGAACAACAAAATCCAGAGCCAACAAAAGCTGTACCGGTAGCAACTTCGAATAAACCTGCACAGCAACAAAAAATTGGCTGGCTTTCTAGTACAGGCGGAGCCAGCCCTTGGTTTAGCTCCCTATCGTCCTCTACCTCTTCTTCACATCAACCTTATCATCATCATCACCGTGCTTCTATTAGTGGTCCGTATTATCGTACGCGTGGAATGAGTGTGAGTCAGAATGAAAATGAAGACGATCTAAACGACATATTGGCTTCTTCTGCTTCACCCAATTCTAATCATTCTCAACAGCCACAACATTCACAACTTCAGAACTCTCATTCCTACCAGCAACAGCATGCTTTATCTAATCCAAGCAATATGTCTACTACCTCGAATACTATAGCCACACCTGTTGTCGGAAATACAGCAAGTGAAGGTAAGAACGTTCATGCAGAATATATTTCCCCTTCTTCGTTAATCACACTCCTTGAATTCTACTATGTAGGTGTGCCCACCATCATAACGTGGACTCAAGGTGGAAATAATGTCTATGTCACGGGTACATTTAATGGATGGAAGCATAAAATAAAGCTTGTGAAAAGGTAGAATGCCAAATTGTGAAAGAAGGATGAGGCAGCAGATTGATGAACTAATACTGTTGGTTGTATATTGTGTAGTGTGCATGACTTCAGCGCTGTGTTGGAATTACCTCCTGGAACCCATAGATTGAAATTTATCGTGGATGATGAATGGAAATGCTCGAACGACATGGAAACAGCTACAGACCCAGATGGCAATTTAGTTAATTACTTACAAGTGATGGATGAAGAAGAAGACAACGATAGTGAGAATGACGATGATGATGATGATGATGATGATGATGATGATGATATCTCTATCATTTCTTCTTTCGATTCTGTAACAGCCAAAGATCACCCTGAAGCAGCTAAAAAATATTCCAATGCGATACCTTATGAATTGATGCAATTAGCCAATCTAGTTAGTAAAACGGAGCAACTACAACAACAGCTACAGCAGCAACAGCGTACTGCCTCTACTACACAAAATGTGTCAACAATAAATGACGAGCTGGTGCAGCAGAAGAAATTGATATTAGAATGGGAAAAGAAACAACCTCAACCTCCTACTCTACCACCACATTTAGACAAAGTCTTGTTAAACTCGGGTACAGTCTCTGAGGAAGACAACTCAGTATTGAACGAGCCCAACCACGTTACCCTGAACCATCTATATGCCTGTTCAATCAAGGATAATGTAATGGCTTTGGCAACTACTACAAGATATAGGAAGAAGGTAACTAACAATACAATTTTCACTTTTATTATCATTGCTGACATAAGCCTCGAACTAACAGAATAACTCTTACATATCTGTAGTATGTTACTACAATGTATTATAGACCCGTATTTCCCAAAGAAGAATCGTAGTGACAATAGTCTGCATATTCTTCATTATGTTATTACCATATTTCACATATATTATATTCACATAAGTTGTATTTTGTAACATAAAGGATTGAATAACAACGGTTCTGTGAGTCGTAGGTAGTATCAATCTGGAATGAGTACTTCTCTACAATCATTTAAACATTGTTCAGAACAATGCAACCACCTTCTTTGACGGTAGCATGTTGCTTTTCTATTACACATTAAAATGATCAAGTAATTGAAAAATACTAACATACAATATATACGTCTTTAAATACAATAATCTACAACTGTTTTATCTAAATAGCAGTTATTCTACCCTTATCACCAACTAGATAGTCTTGAATTTGTCTTTTTGCGCTTTGTTTACTTTGTCCTTGAAGGTCTGAATCACAGCAGCAGGATCTTCGGCTTTAAAAATACCCGTACCGGCCACAATGACATTAGCACCAGCTTCAGCCGATGCATCAATTGTTTCTAAAGATAAACCTCCATCTACTTCAATATCCTTGTTAGGATATTTGTTACGTAGTGCCTCTACTTTTGGCATGCATTGGGCCATGAATTTTTGACCGCCAAATCCGGGTTCGACCGTCATCACCAAAATCATATCACATTTTTCGGCTACTTCGCCGACAACAGCGTCAATAGGTGTATTAGGTTTGATGGCAACACCTGCTTTCATGCCCGCTTCATGAATTTGTTTGATCAAACCAAGAGGGTCTTGGGTTGCCTCAATATGGAATGTGTACATTTGACCACCTGCCTTGGCAATATCATCAACCCATTGAGCCGGATTTGAGACCATCATATGACAATCTGCAACAGAAGGGTGTATAGATGTAGGTTAATTTTTGCATATATAAAAAACGTGGACTCCATGTCCCATTGTTCAACTTTACCAAAGTAAGCCTCAGTATGAGGACGAATGGCTGAGATAATAGGTGCTCCCCAAGTAAGGTTAGGTACAAAATGTCTGAAAGGGGATTGACTCATTAGCTCTAATTTATAGCAACCTTTAGAACTGTTTCTAACAATTTACCCGTCCATAACATCTTTTTTTAGAGAAAATAGTAGTGAGTTGACAGGAACAAGGGCCAATGTTATCAAATTCCTTAAATGTGGACATTTATCTAAGTTTACCTAAATGAAGCCAATCTGCGCCATTTTTATACATACGCTTTGCTTCGACTGCGAGCTGTGAAAAGTCACTGGAGAGCATAGAAGGAGAAATCTTGGCTACAGGCATTTTGTAAAATTCTCTGAATGTATACGTTTATTGAATTAAAAGAGAAAGAAAGCTTTGGAAGTTTATGCTGTATATTTGTCACGGATTATGTCAGATAAAATACTGATCGGGCTTTCTCCAAATTGTTTTTGCGATAAAGTTTGCCCATGCGCTTTGAAAATTCTGGATATCCATCAGCGGGACAATAACAGTAGCATAAATGAAATTGACCAGCAAGCTTATAAAGCCATACTACATGCATACTATTCAAAGCTGCTGTATTTATAGGGAATGCTAAATTGAGGTTTAGATATTGTAACTTTGTACGGCCCGTCAACAATAACTAAGAAGTGCATTCCATTCACTTGAGCAAATGTTCGTATAGCTGATACTGTCCATTCGTTTTGTCAATTCGAATTTTCAGAGTATAGCTGTGTTTAGTCCCTAATTTGAACTTTTTTAGCGCATGGCTTCTGGTGACAAACTATCGTGAGTTTATCAGTTGGCTGAACAATTTGAAAGTGTCACTCAATTCTTAAATTCGGATTCTGCATATTGTTTGATAAGTGAAAACGCAAAGCTTCAAAGTTTCAAAAGAATCTTTTCAATGTATAATGAACATAGCATCCTTATGAAAAGACTATCATAACAAGCATCGTTGATGGCAGCATTCTTTTTTTTTTTCCCTTCTTTTTTTGATAACGCTGTAAGCAAGGCTTGATCGATGACTTACAATAAACAAATACATAATTTCTGATACATTACATATTATTAAATGGTGTTTAAAAACAGCGGCCTTTCGTCTGTGGGCACTCTGCAGTCACCTACCAATAATTGAACATTACAGCCTGTTGCTGCTATTGCAGAAGCACAGGCGCATTTCTGTATTAATAACAGCTAAGATAGTTGTTAGTTTGAGCGTCATAGAAAGAAGAAGGTAGAGATTCTACATATTTCAAATATAAATGAAATCCTCCATTACTTTCAAATATTGGAGTCACATGTAGTAGGGATAGTAGCCATATATATGCACACATATAGTACAATAATTCAGAAGAAGGTATAGCTCTATCAGAAGCAAATATGTTGCTGTCACAGGATCGAAGGTTCACGCCAAAGTATATGAATGCTTCAAGACAAAACAACGACAAAGAATAAATACCTGACTGTATGTTGTCGTTGTACTTAAAATGCATGGCCAGAAAAGCTAAGTACATTGGTCTCCATACGCATTATTGAATATTGAAGCCTAGTTGACTCCTTGTACGTACAACGATCTACATTATAAACATTGCTTTGAATGATTGCCTTCAATAGCTTCAAGATCAATTCTGCTCAAACTGCTTGATTATCAAAATCAACATTCAAAAGTAATGCAAACTTTCTGTTCCTCATCTCACGGTCGTTTCTCGTATAATCGGTGTCGAATTTCATCAATGTTTCGGATACTTCACTATAACCAAAACGCTTTCCCCTTAACAATTACAAAACGTATTTCACATAATTTTACTGCAGTCAATTCCTGGAATTTAAAGATCCATATCCAGTCTCTGATTAAGCTGGTTGGAAGTTTAACGTTTATTTCTAAAGATTTAAAAGAAGAGATCAAATATTCATTTGAAAACGTCGAGCAAGTATTGAGTCGTGTTGGAAGCTCATGGGAAGATGTACAGGCTTCGTAACATGTTCTCCATGCACAAGAAGTCAGTGATATTATGCCTCACTTATTGAAGAAATACATTACTTAAAAAGACCACCGCTCCGACTTTGTATTCATCCACACAACCCATGAAACCTTAAATGCATGTTATATTTTTCCACTGAATACACGAATAAACCCATGATACACTTGATAGGGTATTTTCTATTATTTGCATTCCAAAAAGTGAGCTCAAGAAATTTTTTGATCCAGCATCAAGTGTTGTACAAAATTCACGCTGCCTTTATTTTCTAACCCCGCCGATCGATGCTTTCCGGAAAGAAAATGGGCTTTGCGATTTACCTTCGGACCTCAATGAAAGTGCAAATTGCAAAGATTGAACATGACAGAACAGTGAGAGTGTAGTAAATCCTTCCTTTTGTGCTTTAATATGGTATGTGCCAGTATATGTAGTTACGTATACGGTTGTGGATAAGCTCAAAGTAAACAACGGATGCACATCGAAAGGAAGATGGATAGACAGAATGCAATAGATGGATTGTTCAATCAAATGATGGAATATGTACAACTAAATATCCGTATCGTTGTCCAGCCAACATGAACACCATCAGTAACAAATTGAACGCTATGACAATTGGATCTTTGTTTTGGTGAACGAATAAATATATTGACGAAAAAGCCAGAGAGAACACTTTACGACTCAATTTTCCATCTGTTGCAAAGCTTGTCCACAATCGAATTAGACTTCACTGACAACTAAACATTGGGAACACTTTACTAATTTGTATGATGTGCATCTCTTACTAGGCTGACGAGCAAGCTACTCAGAGAAAGAGAACTTTCCGTAAGTTTACCTACCGTGGTGTTGACCTTGAACAACTCCTTGACATGCCTTCTGAGCAAGTAAAGTATCATCTCCCATCAACTTCATCTTTTGCGATAAATCATCGTGAAGGAACGGAAAAGCACTGAAACCATTAGTGTATCACTTTCTAACAAGGTTTGTTAATTTTTCCTTCCACTTTAGTTCATGGAATTGGTTCACTGTCGTGCTCGCAGAAGATTCCAACGTGGTCTTAAGCGTAAGCCCATGGGCCTCATCAAGAAGCTCCGTGCTGCTAAGAAGAACGCTGCTCCCGGTGAAAAGCCTGACGTTGTCAAGACTCACCTTCGTAACATGATCATTGTCCCCGAAATGATCGGTTCCGTCATTGGTATCTACAACGGTAAGACCTTCAACCAAGTTGAGATCAAGCCTGAAATGACTGGTCATTATCTTGGTGAATTCTCCATCACCTATAAGCCCGTCAAGCACGGTCGTCCTGGTATTGGTGCCACTCACTCTTCCAAGTTCGTTCCTCTCAAATAAGAGATTCTACTATTTCTCCTTTTACAACAAAAATGGAACAGGCGAAGAGTTTAATTTTATGTTATACTCATAGCACTGATCCCATTCTTTTCTTTTTCTGATGATCTTCTATACTTCTTTTTGAAGTGGAAAATAAAAAGCAGAATTTATTTGTACAAGTGTCAATAACCGGCAGGGATATTCTTGAGTGGAAGAATCGAAAAATCAAGCGCTTTTTCATTGTTAAATTGGACTTTGGTATTGGAGAACTGGAGAATAGGAGGGGGAATCAGCTTCGTTCATCCATTGCTTTATAGCGCTTAAAACATTTTTTTGAGTATCCTTGATGGCATTTGGTATGCTATCACTCACATAGAAGTCCTATAAAAAGTAGAGAAGAGATTATTATTCACGGATCGAATTATTTGTAACAATATAACCAATGAACTATGCTTATCATTCTTACCCAATGATGGACTGACTCTGGAAGAATAGCATATTTGGCATTTTCCCATTTGTCACGGTGAGGTGCATTAACACTCTGCACACTTAGCATACGCCATGGATCCCACTCTCCATCAATCCAGTAGACGCGATCAATCTTAGTATACCAGCCTTCATATTCTTTATTGATGTCGCGCCAATATGGTCTATGAGGTACATTATGCTCACCAAACATGAGAGGGCATTGACGTTGATACCATCGTGTATCTAATTTACGTGATACAATCGAAGGTTGCCAAAGAGGCGCGCCTGTTTGCCAATAAGCATATTCTGTACAAACCTGCCACATCCATGCACGCAAAGCTGAGCTTTCATCTGTATACATGGTGGAATGAGGATCATGCGTATCCAAGCATTCATTGACGGTTTCTCTGTCAAGATCACAGGCCTTTTGCAGTATAGACTTGGTGTAATTGCCATAAGCCTCTACGTAGTCTTCAAGGCTGTTTAGACCATCGAAAATGGTACAGAAGTCATCGACGAAGGGATTTTTAGCAGGCGTCATTTCTTGCCATAACCCTAGGGGATAGGATAGCACTATGTGTAGTGTTTTGAGAAGAACGATTTCGGAGGGTTATTCTTCTTTTCAGGAGTCTGTCCATCGAAAAAATAAATTCTGTGTAGTGTATAATTATTGATTTAACTTACGTTCTGCAAAATCGTCGTTGTGTTCTAAATCGGCTGCTCCAAATTTGTTCTTCAAAGCTGATATGGGATGCTGTAAAGAACTAAATAAAATATGATCCACGTACGTGATGACAGAATGAATTGCTTGAATACAATGGTCCGGTCCATATCGTCGGATAGGATCAAAATACTGATAAAAATTGTAACTCATTTGAACAGGTGCTGAAGAAGGAATGGCTGCAAAGACAATTTGAGGGTACTTTTGTCGCATCCATGCAGCTAAGTTGCCACTATAACTGCCTCCATAGACAATGTACTTAGTTTCTGGTGCAGATGGCAGCTCAATGTCTAAATTTGGTAACTGGTAGGTATATTGATGAGAATAATGTACGATTTATGTAACTGCTGTTACATTTCTACCTCGATTACCTTCAAATCAGTGATAAATGAAGCTATGTCTGCGAGTGCTTGTTTCGTATTCAAGGTGGCCAGCGACTTCGCCGAATAATTCTAATTGTAAACAAATCAATATAGCTCGCAACCAGGATTTTAAGTAAAATGTTATTGTAAGTATTGTCTTACTAGCGCAGGCATAGATTCACCATAAAATCTATGTTCCATAACAATGACTATACCATTAAGCTCTCTAGCAAGTTCAGCCATGGATGAATTAATTACATAAAATGAACGTTCATCAGCAGCTACTTCACCAGCATTATATACTGAAGAGAGTAAAATATTCGATTAGTAACGATTTAATCAATAAATCAAAGACAAATTATCCAAAATTTGGAAGTTTACAGATGACAGGACCACCTGCTGTATATGCATCTGTATTTGCCCAATATCTATGCTTAAATGTTGTCGTATCGGATGAGAAATGATCCACAGGTTGATCGAAGTAGAATGGTCCATATTTTTCTGGTAGTTTATCTTTTGTTGTTTGTGAACTAAGTTGTTGGGACAAGATTTTACTATTCAAGAAATAGGGGGACATTAAATCCTGCAAAGCCTTTAAGTACAATTTTGAATTACTTTTTGATAAAAAAGCCTGGCGAGTAAAATGCATCAATGGCTTGTAAAATGCTTGAAAGCATTAGCATTGCCAGAAAGTTAGCTCTCATTTTTGTACGATAGACAAATAGAAAAAGAGAAAAAGAGCAAATATACGAAAACAGCCAAATTCTGCTTTAAAGCTAACAAACATTTTTATTTATCCAAATGCGGGTTTTGAAACACCAAGATAAGTAAAGACAAGAACATCAATTATCTTTTCTGAACCTTTCTTAATCGATGAACTTCCATTTGACAGGAATTGCACCATGGCTAAAGTCGCCGAGTTCTTTGAAAGCTGTTTATTGAAAAAGATGTCTTTAGTTATTATACCCGGTTCAGAGTTCAAGCGCAATTTTTTGAACGTTAAACGTCTCATACCTTCAGGGCTCATATCAAGACCACCGGGCGTACAAGACCTACATTCGCCAATAACCGTAACACGTATTGTCTTCCCACTAGCACCAATAATATCTACCTGTTTACCACAGTGCGGATTTTCTTTCCCTTTAACATCACCCAAATCTTTTGAATTGACAGCCACCACCATATCCGAGTTCTTAGCGCTGATGCCACAGCTTGCATGAAGAGTTTCCAAATCATAATAACTGCCCATACCACGTATATAACCATCGGTAGAGCCAGCAGAAGCATCTGTAGCAAGACGTAAGGGGGAGGCAGCAGCACTAGCCAAATGCACGCCGTTCATAAACCCCATAATAGGCTCTTCGTGTCCTTGATCTAAGGAGGCTGCTATTTTATTAACTGCAGCATTGTCGTCGCTCTTTGGGCGTGAAGATGCCGACTGTCCACTTTCCTGTTGAAAATCATTAGCGGAAACAGGTTGGCCGACTTGATTACCATAGTGGGCATCACCGTTGTTGTTTTGGTAAGGATCACCGTCCGTAAGTTGACGCTCAGGTGAGTAAGCAACAGCAACAGGAGCAGCCATACTTTGAGAAGCACCAGCATTATTAGCAGGAGATGAAGGCATCCAATTTTGTGAGGCATCATCAGAGTCGTCCACGGAGAGTGGTTGACTAGGAGGTCTGTAATTTTGAGCAGAAACACCACTATCTTTACCAGCATCAGCTAGCTTATTTGACCAATCAATACTTCCATCTTCATTGTACTTAAGCTTCGAAACAGGTTCTGAAAAATTGATTCTATTCACTGGTCTCTTCTTTGGTGGCTCCTTGAAACGAGAGGATACTGGTGGTTGAAGGTTTTGTCCTTTTAAACGAAAAAATTTCTCTTCGTTAACAGCATTTTCTCAGAACAAACATTAGATTTTAATTCTTCTGTTACCATTGTAATTTTGCAACTTATTGGTCGCGCCGTTGAATTCATTTGGGTGATGATGATAATAAAGATCGTTCGGAAATTCCACAGCGACTGTGAATCCCGCTAAAGCTGTAAATGCAAGACACGACACGAACAATACTTTCATGGTTTCAATGGCAACTTAATAAAAATAAAAGGCCAAAGCAACCGATGAATTTACACCAAGAGCCCGTTTTTATAGTCAACTTAGATTGCATAAAGTAATCTATGACATATTTTCAAGGGTTAATCAATTGGAAGGTCTTTTCCTAATACGTTGATAAAACTGACACCTAAGCAATCGCACAGGCAATGTTTCATTGAATCATTCTATAACTGTTGCATTGAGATAAAGGCCTAGACTTTCCTGTAAATGCACCTGTACTGCTAAAACAATGGCGAACAACATATGATAATAAGGGCCTTTTCAAAGAAACTCATTTATTGCGTTAAGCTACAATTTCGACTTTCGTGATGGCGTTAGCACTGCCAGCGTGACAAGAAAGCCGTAGTACGTGTTTATAGGCTTAAAGTTTCAATTACCGCCACTATTGCGGTTTTTATGCTTTCTCTTCATATCGTTTACAGACATAACCCCTCTTTTTTATTTTGCGTACAAAAAAATACAATAAAAGAGATTAATATGACTTCTCAGGTAGGGAAAGTAGCCATGTAGATCATTTTGCGTATCCTGCTAAGTCTATCTGTTTATTTGAACAATTTTAGTGGCGCATGAGTAAAGAAGATAGCAAATACTTTCCTTCTGTAGTCAGAGGAATGACCGTTAAACAGGAACTAATTACAAGAATACAGGTCGTTTGTATGATTTTCACAGTTGGCTGTCGATTGCATTTGTAAGTCATTTTTTGTACGTCGTTTAGTCTGTCTTATATAACACTGACCTTTATTTTACTTTCACATATCCCAGGCCTATCTACGCCATTGGCACGGCATCAACTTTGTTTCATCGCTTCTATGCAAGAGCCGCATTCCACGATTGGCATCCCAAAGTAGGTTCTATTAAATCTTCAGCTGATTTATGTAATGATGGATTACTGATGCTTTACCCATGTCGTAGCATATAGCTCTAGCTTGTTTGTTTATAGCCTCGAAAAGTGACGAAGCGGCTCGTCGTGCTTCCGATGTCGCGAAATTTTGGATGTGGCATCCAGACTATCCCGTTGATAGAGCAAAGGCGGTAAAGTTTCTGCAACCTTTTGTTTCTGTAGATGCAACATGATTTTAAATGATACAATTGTTTGTTACTTGTGAATACAACTTATGTAGGATGAAGTATCTGAATGTATACTTTATTATGAGCTCGTGGTATGTGAAGAAACTTGTTTTGATTTACAAATTGATCTGCCATATTATGATCTATTCCAGTTCACTGCAGAGCTAAACAGTAAGTTTTCAAATATTTTTATCTCAATATTTACAACTTTTTATCAACTTTTTTACATCCAATGTACAATAGCTCCCGTTGACATAACTTATTCTGCTTACACGTTTATCAACGACAGGTAAGAACTGGATCAAAAGGTTACAGTCGTCAGTATGGAACTAAATTTGTTTTAATTTTTTCAGTTTCCGTCTGCCAATGACGTTGTGGTATGAGCCGAGACAAATTGCTGCTGGTGCCTTATACCTATCGTACGTACAAATGAGAAAAGACGAAAAATTCCATTATGATGATTCAACACGTTTTGGCGCACTTCTGATACGAGATGTTGAGATTATCAAAGGTTTGTACATAGTTTATAATTTGTGATACATTTTACTTTTTGAGCTGTTGTAGTTTATCGCGTGATATGTTCGTCTGTAGAGGTTATAACGACTTTAGTGGATGTTTACAAGCTACCCAAACAATCAACAGAAGCAGAGTCCAATGAAGAGCATGGCAGCAATGACTCTTATTCTGATAGTAGCCCACACTACGAGCAGAAAACCGACGATGATCACAGTCTTAGTGCCTACGATGAAATCGAATTTAGTACGAATAATGATAGTGGTGGCAGCGAGGATATCGACGAGATCTTTTGAAAAAGGGGCCGGCAGACGCGTGGGACTGAGTTAGAAAGAGAGAAATTCCGCCTACAAAACCAAAAAAAATTCATTCATATTTTTTCTTCTCCTTCCCTCTTTTTCAACATTTTTATTTTTATTTTTATTTTTTATACTTCGCATCCTACTTTTTAAAGTTTTATATCGTTACTACGTCCAATCATATATTCAGAAAGGAATAACATGTCCTTGCAGCAACCATCTGATCATCAGCAAGCACAATACTCACAAGTACCCACGGATGCATCCATGTTACGACATCCACAACAACAACAACCACCTCAACAGCAACACGTACCAAATACTATAACCAATGTTGTCGCTCCTACAGCTACAAGCTATCCTGCCTTTGATTTAGCAAAGTTCTGGACAGAACAAATGCATATAGCCAATTCTTTCCAATCCGACTTCAAAAGCCATCCTTTACCCTTAGCACGAATTAAAAAAGTAATGAAAACCGATCAGGAAGTCAAGGTACAGATTCTTTATGTGTGTCATTCTATTATGGTTAACCCGCAGTTAAATCTAACATAAGACACGTTAAATTCAAAATTGAAATAAATCATCAGATGATTAGTGCTGAAGTAAGTTACAGTGATATTATTCATCTATTAAAACTCTTACAGATACTTAATGTTTCTGTTCTTATTTCGCGAAGGCGCCTATCTTATTTGCAAAAGGCTGCGAAATATTCATCACCGAATTAACAAAGCGTGCATGGGTTCACGCAGAAGAAAATAAGAGACGCACCTTGCAACGATCCGATGTTGCCACAGCTATTTCCAAAACTGATATGTGTGATTTTTTGATTGATATCGTACCCAGGGAAGAAGCTATGAAGAGCCAATCGACACATTACGAACATCAACAGCAACCGGAATATAGTAATTATTATGCGCAAGCTGCTGTTCCTCAGTATTCTGCCCAACAAGTAATTATATGACAAGGATCGTGAAATATCGTTACATTCTAACTTTTTTCCCGTTCTATCTTTCTTTTACCTGAAGGTTGATCCTTCCACTGCTGCTACTTATCAATACGCTCAGTTCACCCCCGAGCAGATGCAATATCATCTTAATTTCCAATTACAACAGCAACAGCAACAGCAGCAACAGCAACAGCAACAACAGCAGCAACAGCAGCCGTCACAGCAAGCGCCTTACCAAACAGAGAATACTGCTACAGCTACTCAATCAACTGATAATGTTGATGTTACCAAAAATGAAAATTAGTCTAAAATTGACCCTTTCTTTTTACCCATTCTATCTAATGAATAAAATCGCTAACACCATACAGAAGCAATGCACTGCAGATGAATGGTCTCCATTGAAATTGGTGTTTAAGCTGCACTCAGACTTAAACTCTAGGCTTGAATTGATAACCCTTGGCAGTAAGCTGTTACAACCTTCAATATAAGTAACAAGTGGATTATTATACAGTACGATAGTTTGGAAGAACGAGTACAGTAATACAGAAGGAATTTCCTTACCAAACTATCTTTTTCGTTGTTCTCATTGTCTTCGTTTACATCTGAAAAGACCGAATTTATTTAAAAAAAAAAAAAAAAAGACATAGACAAAAGTGTTACGGGAGTTCTATACGGCAAAAGACCAGTATAATGTAAGTCCGTATCTATGCATATACTACGTTTTTATGTGCTGATAATGTAAGCTGATAATGTGGCAATTACCCACGATATGAAAATCTCCTACACATCGCAATTGAAATTCAGGGCTTTTCAACGGCTATTCTGCGATAAAAGGCAGTGCAGAACGCTGAGATCTTCAATCGCGACGACGTGCTATATAATACCATATTTAATCGCATCTATATGCCAGCCTCATTATTGTATCGGATTGACCCTTTATTTAAGACAATAGTTTATTATTTCTCAGCGTCATAAGACTACGCAAATATATTGGCAACTAGCAATTCAAGCATGAAATGAGGCAACTATCTTCCGCCCCACTCTCTTATTTGCTATTTTTATTGCCTTAGCTTTTCATTAAATACAGATATTAAAAAGGAAATAATAAAAATGATATATTAATTTTTGAGAACCTCAAGTGGATTGAAAAAGGAATTATTAATAGAAGCGTCCAACATTTTCATGTCGTGGTGTTAAACAAACACGATAAGAAGCAGGTGTCCATGTAGGTGCACGGATATCCTTCTGTGAATCCACGGGAATTGGTTTACCAACATAATCTATCTTGAAACATGAAACGAGCATAGAGGCGGCCATGAACAAACTACGTTCTGCAAGATGAATACCAACACATACACGACGACCAGTGGAGAAACTTAGGTGGGGCCGATCCTCAATAGATTGTGCAAATGTCTTTCTTTGCTGGTTCAGCGTTTCTTTCACATATGGCATATGGCGGTCAGGGTTGAATAGCTTTGGGTTGGCGAAGCGTTTACTGTCTTGATGCGCAGCATAAAGATTTAAAACGACAATGGTATCTTGAGGAATGACCCAATTTTTGTATACATCGTCTTTGGTTGTGGAATGGGGAATAGCAATAGGAGCAGGAGGGCGAAGTCGTAGTGTTTCCAGTATAATGCATTGTAAATATGGAAGATGCGGCTCTAAACATTGAGTATAATGCATTATTAAAGTGATTCAGCTAAATCACACCAACGCATTTCTCAATTTTCACATACCATCACATGAACCTGGAAGTCTGTCTGTTCCAACAACTTGCTTGATTTCTTCAAATGCCTTACGTTGAACTTCAGGGTTATTTGCCAAGAACGCAACCAGCCATTCCAAAGTTGAAGCTGTAGTCTCTGATCCGGCTCCCACAAAAATTCCAATAAAATTCATGATTTGCAAATCTGTCAATTCGTTCAACTTGAACACCTCTTTCACGAAGCAATCCTGAACAGCGTCCTCACCGTACGTCTCCATGGTTTTTTTGAATTTTTCCAACAGTTTACCATAAAACTCTGTAGAGTCATTCCTCACTCTGAAATACTTTTCTCGTTTCACTGGCCATATCACCTTCAAGATAGGGAAAAATTCTCGTAGCTGGTCAGCAGGACTCATAGTACTAGCAGCGCGTTCTGTAATAGCAAACGCTTTATGTAAAACGGGATCATTGGGTTCAAAGTTACACATGTCACCAAAGGCTATTGCAAGAATAGCTGTCATTGTATAGTGTTCAATAAAGTTTGTTAAGCAAACACCTTTGTTAAGATTAGCTTTCGCATCTTGGCTAAGGTTGTGCAGATGAGACAAAAGCACAATACGACGGTCGTCGAGAATAGGCTGATATTCATCAATTTTGTTTTTAACAAGCCCACCATGTGCTATTTTTAATATATGTGCTTTCAATCAGTAAAGTTGGGCTTTCGTAACTGCAGCAACAAAATTTGGCCATTTTCGAAAAGTTTTAAGGCTTACCGATACGGCGCAATCGACGCCAACTCGTGCCATACGGGAAAAAAGCGAAACCTCCACCTTCCTCTATTATGATGTTTAGCAAAAAATGTAATGTAAGAATCACCCACGTTATTATGGCCAACCTTTCAAAGGTATCTGCTGGAAGCAAATGTTTTCTCTCTCTCTCTCTCTCTGAATACTAACCTCCTTGCATAGCGTCATAGACAAGAGTATCGGGCAATTTTCTTGAAGAATAAATAGTACCGCGATCCACGATCAAATCTTTGATTGCTTCAAAAGAGTTCAAGATAAGCCATCGTTGGGTACCGAAATGACACATAAATACAGGCCCTACTTGACGGCTCCATTGATAAAACAATTCTTGGATTGGAAACGGTTTTACGAGCTGTAATAAATGCCCAATGATTGGTATATAACCTGGCGCACGCGGTGGTAATGATCCAACATTTCTGGTCTTCTTCTGTTGCTGCTGTTGCAAATGATAAAGATAGTAGGCAATACCGAAGACGATCGCCGTACTTGCTGTAGAGCTTAATGACAATTGCCGTACCATAATAAGTTTTAAAACTAATAAAAAAAGCAAATAATAAATGAATGGTGATAGCATATAAGGAATGGCTTGAGAATACGAAAGAGTCCAAATGGGATACAGTTTAACAATGTCTGATTGCGTTGGTATGCACTGAGGCATATTTAAATCTTTCGTGCTCTTTTGTTTGACTAATATGGAAAGCATCAGAACATGTATGAAATTTTAGGAGTTTAGGACATACATATTGATTGTTCACCATAATGAATTATTGCTGTCATTAATGGCGGTATGAATGGTTAAGTGGTCTTTTTTTGCATTATAACTTTGACCCAAGAATTGATGAATACAAAATTTCTCAGTCAGTAGCATACTTGTGAGGAAGTACTACATTAATTTTCAGATAACATGTGTTTTCTATTAAAATTACACTTGCTTGTGCTTGCTTAGAAAGACATACAGTTAAACTTTTGTTTTACCTGAAGCTGGTACGAAACTAATTGTTTGTAATGATACATTTTCATGGTGGTCGAAGAGCAAATTTGGTTAGCACATACCAAGACAGTAGAATGCGGAAATTGAAAAATACATATACTGCGCTTTTACTGAAACGTTACTTTTTGTCTTACAGATAGAAAATGAAGAGGTTGTTCCTCAAATTATGTCATTCTGTAAAAACATGTCTCCAAAAGAATTTCAAAGGTGTAATAACGTGCACCGCCAGTAGAGCATCGTGCTCTTGCAAATTAAGTATCTTACGAGTCCCGAATCCTCTGCTTGGTTCGACTGATTTATGCTTCGTTTTACAAGATACCCTTCCGCCATTTCTGGATCTTTACCATCCACTTTCTAAAACAACAATAGTCTTTTGGAATATGTACAAATCAACATCGTTCTATATAATTTTATTCAGGAAAAAAAAATGAAAAAAAGGGGGAAATAGTACAATTAAAGTGTCGATAACGAGACCCACAATTAGAGAGAAAATGCATGATATATAATTAGATCAAATCAGCCACGTTCATTGGCATTTCATCAATTTGAGTGTTGTAGAATTGTTCAATATCACGCATAGCGCGGACATCATCTTGGCTGACAAAGTTGATAGCAACACCCTTACGACCGAAACGACCACCACGACCAATTCTGTGAATATAGTTTTCACGGTTTGTAGGTAAATCGTAGTTAATAACCAAAGAAACTTGTTGGACATCAATACCACGAGCCAACAAATCGGTAGTAATCAAAACACGAGAGGAACCAGAACGGAACTCCTTCATGATAACATCACGTTGAGCTTGATCCATATCACCGTGCATAGCAGAAACAGTGAATTCACGAGCTTGGAGCTTATCAGTCAACCAATCAACCTTTCTACGAGTGTTACAGAAAATAACGGCTTGGGTGATAGTAACCGTTTCATACAAATCGCAGAGGGTATCGAGCTTCCATTCTTCCTTATCGACGGCAATGTAGAATTGCTTAATACCTTCAAGGGTCAATTCATCACGCTTGACGAGAATACGAATAGGATCTCTCATGAACTTCTTGGTGACTTCCAAGACTTCAGCAGGCATGGTAGCGGACAAAAGAACAACTTGGATGGTGTCAGGCATCAATTGGAAAACGTCGTAGATTTGATCTTTGAAACCACGTGATAACATTTCATCGGCTTCATCTAAAACGAACAACTTCATGTGCTTGGTGTTGAAGGCACGTCTGTTTTGAATCATATCGAAAACACGACCAGGAGTACCGACAATGACTTGAACACCGGATTGAAGAATTTCAATGTCTTCACGGACATTGGTACCACCAATACAGGCATGACTCTTAACACCCATAAAGTCACCGAGGGCCAAAACGACCTTTTGGATTTGAAGAGCCAATTCTCTGGTAGGAGCGAGAATCAAAGCTTGAGGCTCCTTAAGATCAACATCAATGGATTGAAGAGTAGAGATGGAGAAGGTAGCGGTTTTACCGGTACCGGATTGAGCTTGAGCGATTACATCATGACCCTTAACAACAGGCATGATAGCACGTTGTTGAATAGCAGAGGGTCTTTCGAAACTATAGGTCCACACAAACGAATTGATATTTAGTCATTAAAATCATATTTCTATTTCATTCTCTATCCGTCAATGTTGCCCCCATTATTTGCTGTATTTGTCTCACTAATCCTTTTCAGAGAATCTTAAATGCTCTGAAACTGACTTTTTCTCACTCTAAAAAATTGCTGGTCTTCGATAAACTTACCCATAAGCATAAACGCCACGAAGAAGCTCGGGCTTGAGGTTCATGTTGTCGAAGTTATCAACAACTTCATCCCAGTTGGACTATAAAAGCACAAAATGATTTATCAAATTAAAATTTTTATTTTCGAAAAAATTTTCTTGTCAGCCAAAGAAAACTCACTAACCTCAATTTCACCGTCGTTAATTTCTTGCAAAGGTTCGCTGCTACAATAATAAAAAAGGTGGAAGGCATTAATAAGGTGTTCCGTGTTTCAAATCTTTTGAGACAGATCGTTGTATAATAAGCTAATAGAAGATGTTAGCTTGTGAAGTTTACCTCATTTTTTCTATAAGATAAGTATTATAAAAAAAGAAAAAAAAGAAGAGGAAAAGAAAAAAAAAAAAAAAAAGAAAAAGGTCAAGGGTTCAAACTCACTAAAACGATGCAAAGTACGTCACAGCAGTTTTTCGTATACATGTTAAGCTAAGCCTTCCGCTTCCTTTTCTCTCCTGAGGCCCTTTTCTTTATTACTTTCTTTATATACATGCATATCATTTGCTTATTTTTCATTTGTGTCGTTTGATTCAGTACTCCTACTCTTAGGAGTAGGTTTTGCAACAATAAAACACGTTGTACCGAGATGCCAGCGAGAAGCCTGAACGATCTTTAGCTTATCTTTCACTCGTTCGCTGTCAAATAAACCCATAATATCTCTATTCCACCAACAACCCCACTTTTGCACATGTTTATCTACATTGGTATCGAGTAGTCTATTCAACCAATTGTAGTGCGAACGACCATGTTCTAGGAGCAATATTTGAGACTCTTCTGATTTACAGCTATCAGCGAGTTGTATAAGTGCTTCCTCTGGATCACCACATGAGCATAGGCCAAACGTATCGACCACTGTATCATATTTCTTGTTCTTTAGATTTTGTACGTCAGCTGTTTCAAAAAATGCATTATGAAATTTGTCCTTATAAGTTGCTTGGAATTTTGCTTTGGACTCATTTAACATGGACTCGTGTCGATCTGTAAATGTTGCAGAAGTAATCTGATTTGCTTTATAGTATGGATAATTTCGTCCTGTTCCGGTCGATACTTCTAGTACATCTCCCTATAAATGTATATATGTATATATATGTAAACTGAATATCCATTCTTACTGACTTTGGGTTTCCTTGTCGTTTTTGCCTCAGTTGCTTTATGTCACTTTTTTTTTCTGGCCTTTCCTACCTTTGCTTTACCAATGAGCCATCGTCTGAGGAGACCAACCCCCATGACGAATTCATCCCAACCAATGTCATTGTCGTATTCTTTTGCGACTTTTTGCCATACACTTGTTGTATCAAATGTTCTAGGTGTGACAGAAGGTTCTGGTGTCCTGCCTTCTACTATATCTATTGTATCTTTTTTGCTTTTATATACCATCATAGTGATATATGTAGCCGAGACATATAGTACAGCACCACCCATTAATAGAGGCCCTAATTTAGGCTTGGGTCGTGGTGGCTGCGGTTTTGGTGGAGGTGGAGCAATAGGCTTATATTTTAGCGCATTCGATGCAAGTCTCCTTGCTGACATGTTTACTTTTGGATATTTAAGAGAAATGCATAAAAATTGATATGAATGGATATATGGCCCTACACAAGTATGATGCCCTTGTTCGATCACCGCCGGTGAAATTTCATCGAACATTTGGTTTCAGGGTCCACCTCAATCTAGGATTGTGGTGACGATGGTTAACCTTTGAATACAACAGACATGGCCCCTCCAAGAACGTCCATGTATCGATTTACAGATAAAGAGTCATTTAACTGAAGTGACTTTAGATGCGAAAGAAAAGCCATTGATGCTTCTCATTGTCGCTTGCTGCTCAAATAAAAAAAAAGGCGTTTCCAGGGAAGGTTATCAATTAAAATTGGACCAAAATTAGCGGTTGCGCTGACATTTCAGAAGAGCCAAACGCATTATCGCGATCCGTAGGCAGAAAGTATACATAAACAGCAAAATAAGTTTATAAAGCATAGGGAAATGGATGTCATATTTTTTTTTATTTTTTTTTTCTTGAGCCAATATCATATGGCGTATGGCGTACTATCGATTAAGGTTATAGACATTTACAATTTAGCACCCATAAAGGTTCCAATTTTCATCGATTGCCGAACACCTAGATCCAGCATAATCTCTATATCCACACACACACACACACACACACGTAATGGAAGCAAAATTAGCTTATTCTGCTTAAAAAGAGTTTTTTGAGAAGATTGTTTTTACCTTCAGAGCCACCGGGTATAGCATAAGCACGTACTTCACGATACAATCTTTCAATCTTTTCACCTTGTCCGCCTCGAGTGTAGGCCAGGCCACCAAAGATTTGAGCTGCTTCACGTGCACAATACTCAAAGGTCTGAGTGGCTTGCGCCTTACAGAGAGCAATAGGGCCACCCAAACGGAAAGGCAACAACTTGGGAGGCATTTTTGTAGCTTGATAGGTCAGCATCTCTGCCCATGCATGCGTAGATTCCACTTGACGAATCATGTGTGCTATTTTATTGCGAATGACAGGATGGTCAATGAGTTTTTTACCAAAGGTTTTGCGTTTATTGGCATAGCGAATGGATTCTTCAACACAGACACGAGCAAATCTGTTGGCTTGGACGACGATGCCCATACGTTCACTGTTGAAATTCCACATGATGTATTTGAAGCCTTTGTTCTCTTTGCCGATCAAGTTTTGTTTGGGAACTCGAACGTCTTCGAGGGTAACATAAGCTGTTCCTGAAGGCCAGACACCAGAGCAGAGCATTTGACGCGTATGGACGCCAGGCATATCGCGCTCTATCAATAAGAAGGAGATGCCGTCGAAGCCTGCTTCGCCTGTTCGGCAGGCGACTACAAAGAAGTCAGCAAAAACACCGTTGGTGATCCATTTCTTCTCACCGTTGACGAGATAGTGATCACCCATATCCTTGGCTTCTGTCTGTAGACCGGCCACGTCTGATCCTCCTGAAGGTTCTGTAATAGCCAAGCAAATGAACTTGGTTCCTGCTAAACAATCCTTGACGACTTTTTGCTTGAGATCATCAGAGGCAAAATGGATGACAGGAGGAAGTCCAATGCCCAAACCGCCCGCCAGAGCCCAAAGTACCTATGATGACAATGAGGGAAAATTGTTAAGTTATAGTTCTCTAATAAATACGATACAGGAGAGCGAAGAATACGTTACACCTCCTGATCCGCAACGAGCTAGCTCATCAATGACAATAAAGGAATGAAACGCGTCCCATTCCTCCGCGGCAATATTAGCGGGCAAGGGATAGGCCATGTATTTCTCCAGTCCTTCTTGTACACCGACAACAGCGGTTAATAACCCCATTTGAGCGACCTTTTCAAAGACATGCTTTGGTATCTGTTTTGCTTCATCCCATTCGAAACAATAAGGCATAATCTCTTTGTTTACAAATTGACGGCAAAGATGACGAAGCCGACGATGGGAGTCTTTATAGAAGGGGCTGTACCAATCTTGATACCACATAGGATCTCCAAAGGGGATCATGTCGCCGAATGTCTCGTTGACGATCAAAGGGTTATCGTTCTGGCTTTCTTCGTGATCGTGATCGTTTTTGTCAGTATCAGCTGACAGTTCTGCTGCCACTGTCTTTTCTCCACTGAGCTCATCCTCTTCGTCCGCAGCAGATGCTATTTTGCCAATCATTAAGTTTGGAAGGTATTTGTTTAAAATGCTGGTATTGTGAAAGTTATCGAATTGAGTCGTCGCATCAGTTCCCGCTACTTTTAAAAGAATCTTCTTGCCTCCTATTTTATTTTATTTTTTTTTGAAGAAAAATGCATGATGATCAGAGTTACACTTTCAGACTTGAGTTTTTCCGCTTGCAACAAGTGTATGAAGGAGCGTATATTAATAGCTACTTGGTAAGTCTACCTGGATGTTCATTTAAAAAGTGCGTAACATCAAACACATAGTTGTGAACAATAACCCAACTGAGGTTGGCAAAGAATATTTATACATATAAAAGGTAAAGAGACAGATATTAGCTTAAGAGAGATACTCTCTGAAGAAATAGCGCGTTTCACTATTGAAAGAGTAATCATGTGTTTCTGTTTACCAATCGTTCTCAACGTTATGCTTGGCTACTTCTTGAACTGTATAGTACTTTGCTTTAGATGCCATTCTTTCTTCTAGTAATGTATGAGTGTATGCGAGAGGGCGGGGTGGAGTGGTGGGTAGAGGAGCTATTCGAACAATAACAACAATAACAAAAAGGAAAAGGAAAGAAGAGAAAAAAGAAGAAGAATACGCAAACAAGTATAAACAGAGATGACATGGTTTTCACATGTCTAACAAAATAAGGGATGAAGCAGGAACACTCTACGTAATATGTACGCACCCATGCACAAGAAAAGTAAAGAAAAAATTAAAAACCATAAATAACCAAACACTTTAAGGAGTTGTGTGTGTGTGTTTGTTTGTGTTTGTTTTATATACACTTTGCTGGCTCTTTTTTTATTACTGAAAAGGTTTTATGACATTCAATCAATGAATGGCCTTTTCTTTCGCATAGTATACATGTTTCAAAGAATTTGCTAGTAATCAATAAATCGTTATCATCTTCTTCTTCGTCCTCACTAATGGGTGTGTTCAATACATCTCTTCTGCTATGATGTTGATGATGGTGGTGGTGATAGTATTGTTGCTCTATCATCTGCTTGTTCTTTTGAATAAGGTGTTGATTTTTGGTCATTTTGTCTTCAAGAACAATTTCCAGCAAATCAATGTCTTTCAGAAGAAGCTCTACTTGTTGATGATAGGCTAATTTCTCTGTTTCCCAATCCGTTTTGAGTTTGGAGATAGTTTCAATAGCGTCAACGCTAATTGCTTTCAGATCCGTCACTTGTCTTTCAAGATCTTTATTGACTTTTTCGAGTAGATGGATGGATTCCATATTGTCTTGCTGCATCTCTTTCATTTTCAGATCTTTTTCTCGTTGAGAGGCTCGCAGTTTTTCGTTTTCTGATTCTAGGTTACGTATACGTTCTTGAAGTTTTGCATCCATTTTGGCGGTAGGCAAGGGAGGGACGGCCGGCATGAGGTGATTTTGATGAGAGGGTGATGGTGAACGTAAGATAGTAGAGTCGGGCGAATGAAACGGTGTCGATGGTCTGTTGAATAGCTGTTGTTGTTTGACTAATTTTGAATAGAGAACGAATAAGCCAGTTTTTGGTGGGCATTTGAAATAACGAATTCTACATAATGAAAAGAGAGATGAGTTTAAGCTTTGCCCCCACTACGCGTATCCTCTCCCTCCCCTCAAATGACACGATTTCTGGGTATACGTTACCCGTGTATTGATCCGTCATTCTTGCCCAACCCTTTTCTATCCAATTCAACGCCAGCCCAGGTACCCGCTTTGAACTCTGTTGTACCAATAAATCGAATGATGGCACTTGTATGGTGGTTGATTTTGACACTGTCTCCAACCTTCAGAGAAGAAGAAGGGTTATCATTAGAAAGTGGAGACAGAAAAACAAAGTTTTCTTCTGAGAGACTTGTATTCGAAGGCTTCTTTTGTAAGATGTGATGATGAGCGGTGGCAGCCGCCTTGTTTTGTTGGTGTTTATTGTTGAAAGGTGTCGACGCTGAGATCATTGGTTTTCGTAATAGACTGCCAATGCTGCTTGTGGTGGTCGTGCTCATGATGGACAGATCAGAGAATGAAGACTTTGCAGACAATGACATGCTCGCTTATTCAGAAATGGCTGAAAAGGATAAAGAAAAGAAAGAGCAGCAAAAAAAAAAGGAGAGGGGGGAAGAAAAGAAAGGAATGAGTTGTAGTAGCAGCGCACAAACGTTGAGCCATAGTAGATCTCATAGGACAGAAAAGTAAGCTTTCATATATAGAATGAGGGTCGTTCAACATCATATCAGGAAAAAAGGGAGCTTAACTTATTAGCTTCATCTGTGATACCCATACCCTTTCCCCATTGTTTTACACTCATTCAATGATAGGCTTTATATTCGAAGCAATCTCCCTGTTTTAATTCATTAAAATCCCTATTGGCTTCATTTTTTGTACTGTAAAACTTAACCGTGCTTCCTCAACAGTAACGTCTAACAAAAAAAATAGTGGGTTTTCTGCTCTTCAGCGGTGTGCTACTAGGGCATGAATCATTTTTTAATTTTTGACATAATACCCAAAATTGCATAAGTTTGCCATTCTAGAACAGTTGAAACGTTCTTTCACTTTTCAGCCAATCAAATAGCAGATATTTTAGCCTGAGATTATTTTTTCTTTTTCAATTGACGCTGTTCCCCATTGAAGTACTTTTCTTTCTTTTTTTCTTTTTTTTTAATTTCTTTTTTTTTTTTTTTTCCTAACTCTATCAAACAAACATAAATAACAAATTCTAACTAAAAACCGAAAAAAACGTCTCCTTTTTATCTTTTTTTCTTTTCTTTTTTTACTGCAAACTTTTCTTTTGTGTACATATTAGAATCAGTTTACATACTTACTACATCCGCAGCTACCAAGCATTGTTTATCTTTATAACATTACGTAAAGAACTCATCTGAAAAATGTCCTTGAAATCATCACCGTTACTCTCGAACAGCACAGCTGTAACATCTGCAAACAATGCATCGAGTAAATTAAAGAGCAACCCATCCGCTGCCTCTTCAAAGGTCAAAGATAGCTCCTGCTCCGGCTCTTCAGAGAATGGCGCAAAGGTGGCATCCCCTGCCAAAAACCAACAGCGAAAGCCAAAGCGACGAGAAAGTAGAAAAAAGTCGAATAATAAGGAGGAAAAGAAGAAGCATGCCGAGGAAAGCGATTCATTAACAGAGACAGTTGCTAAACCTATCACTATCCCTTCCAAATCCCCCAAAGCCGAAACTAACAGCAAGAAGAAGGCCTCGCCGCAAACAAAAAAGGCTTTAATGCCTGCCAAACAACGTCGAGCAGATCGTAAAAAAGAAGTTGAAGAAGCCATTGCTGAAGAGTCATCGTTGTCGTCGTCGTCGTCGTCGTCATTTGTGTCCTCTTTGTCTTCCTCTTCTTCTTCTTCTTCTTCGACGGATAACAATGAAAGCAAGAAAAAGAGAAACCAACGTCATTCAAAGAAAAGCCCTATCCTCATTCATGCTACGACACCTGCCGAGTTCAGCTCCAGCACTGCGACGTCGTTTACTACTCATACTACCATTACTACCAACAATTTACTGAAAAGGTAAAACCTATTAAAAAAGAAAAAAAAAAAAAACCTTATCTGCCTCTATTTATAATATATTTATAATTAACTTTATATTTTGCAGTCCTCAGCAACCATCAAAGAATCGTCGTCGATCAAATAGTGCTATTGTAGATATGCGTAAGAACAAAGCTTCATCCATTAACAATACCAACTTTTTTGCTGGACCCATGTTCAGTAATGCACCTAGTCCGGATAAGTTACCTATACCATTCCCTAATACGCTCTTATCTATGGATTTATCTGCAACTACCAGTACCAGTACCAGTACAAGTACCGCTATTACGACCAATCCTACTACTACGACTACTACTACCACCAGCATTGCCTCCTCCAATAAGGATTATTTAAAGAAATATTCTGAAGATTTGATGGGTTTATTAGCATTGACAAAACCCATAGATACCACTACCAGCACTACTGCTGTCAATACAGCCAGAAGGTCATCCTTTGTTGTGGCTTCACCCGTTATCGAAAGTACTTTTGACAGAGATCTGTCCGAAATACAAAGAGGACTGAGATCTATGTTGAGGATTTAAAGCACCTCTTGACAGACTGCATCGATTGGTTTTTTTTTTTTTTTGTGCCTGGATACCTTGTATCATTAACACACCTTCATTTTCAAGCTTTTCCTTTTGGTCGTGATCTTCATTGGATACCCCCCTTTTTTCTTCTTATCGCTTACATTGTACATTTATTGACTTTAAAAGGAAAGGACTGGCATTGAAGATGTTTATATATCTTTTATGTTTCCAGGCTCTTTTTTTTTTTTTTTTATATATATATATATATATAACCCTTACCCTCACCCTCACCCTTTATTTACTAGCTACAACCACTACACCAACACCACCACTACACTCGACTTACACAAAGACGCTTTTGCTTTATTCTATATACCTTTACACATTTGCTTTTTTTTTTCAATTTTCATTGTTCTTTTTTCCTTTTTTATTTTTGCATTGCTCCCCTTTTTTGGAGCAAGTCATCCGCATATATGTTTAGGATGCATTATATAATCTTTGACACGGTCTCCGCCCTATCTTTTTTTTGCTTTCTTTTACACATTTTTCTCCACTTTTTTTTCTCTGCTTTTACATATACTCTTTCTTTCTCTCGTTTTTGCTTCAAACCTATTCCTACTAGCCCCTCCCCTCCCCTCCCCTCCCCCATAAAAAAAATAAAAATAGCCAAAAAAAAAAGAAAAAAACAAAAAGCAATCCCCGACGTTGACAACGTTTGCATGAATTATCGGACATTAAAGGAGGAAACACGTGTTGTTGCCTAAGAAAAGAAATATCTTTTTTATTTCATACCAAATTAGGCCGTTGCATGGGCTTGCTTGCACTAAATTGAATCGAGTATCTCTCTTTGAAAGCCATCCTTACTATAACCATTTCTTCGTTTCAGTAATTGGCGTAGTAATCGTATTCTTCTATTTCGCAACTGTCTCTGCTCCATCTCCTCCTTCACTTGCTTTGATTTTTGTTTAGCAGCCCTTATCACGGGTAACGGTATATTGGCTAACCTTGCTACGTTCATCCTAGAATACAAATTTTTGCATTGGGTTCAAAACAGGCTTTCAAGTGAGCTATTTCACTAAAAAAAATCATTTCTCCCCTTACCCGTAACTATTCATTGCAATACCGTCCACTAATTTGTATAAAAAGACTACTTGTCCTACATCTGTACACCCCAAACCCACAAGAATAATTTAGTCTACGAGGTACTAAGCTAAATCATCAGATCCCCCTTTCCTATTGCTTTTGCTACCTGTCACGTCATCTTTTTCTTCAATATAATCCATATAGCAATTTCTCACCTGCCCCGGATACAAGCTCTCCACTCTACTCAATGACGGGTAATGAGTCACAAATAGCGTCACTGATTGAATATGAGAAATAAAGTGGTCCAGGACCGCATACGCAATAGCTTGTCCATCATGTGTGCTTGTACCCCTTCCCAGCTCATCTAAAATCACCAGCGATCGACACGTGGCTTGCTTCATGATATCACTCGTTTCTTGCATCTCCACCATAAACGTACTTTGTCCGCGCATCAAACGATCCGACGCGCCCATGCGTGTAAACACTGCATCAAATAAACCTAATTTTGCAGACGTCGCCGGAACGTACGACCCAATCTGTGCCATGATAGCTATGAGCGCTACTTGACGTATGTAAGAGCTTTTGCCGCCCATGTTCGGTCCTGTTAAGATCATTGTTTTCTGCTTGTCTCTAAAATCGATATCATTGGGTATATAAGCATGGTCATCCTTCATTGCATGTTCTACCATCGGATGTCGACCTCCTATCACATCCATCCGTACTTCTTGATGACGACGGGGCGACGCAGAGTCGGTGGTTACAAATTCTGGCTTTACATAATCAGAAGAGGATGCTACCTTCGCTAACGAAAACAAGCAATCTAACTGCGCGAGGCATATCACTACCTCACGCCATTTTTCATACTTTGCTGCTATTTCTTTCAGAAAGCTTTGGTAGCCTGTGTCCACAGCGATCGCTAGTCGTTCTCGATGAAGATCTCGCTCTTTCAGTTTGTCCAAAATGAACTTGTCCTGAAATCGACTCACAGCTTTTGTACCACTCATCTTGATCCAATCCATGGGCACTTTTTTAAGTCGACTATTCGGGACTTCTAATAGATACTCGACAAGAGCCACTGTAGTGTATTTCAGTTGATCTTTGAGCCCTGTGGATTGCTGGAGCTCTAACAGATGTTCTCGTAATTCTTGTTCGACAAATGCAATGTTGTTCTTTTCGCGAGGTATGTCTGTCCATTGGCTGTCTGTTTTGAAAAATTCTGCTTTATCTTGCTGCTTATTGGTGGTAGCTGAGAAATGAGGGTTGATTTGGTTTCTAAAAAATTCGATATCGTCTCGTATGGTGGGTAGGGTATCAAAGAGATAATTGAGATAAGCAGACCGGAAACGAGGTTCCGGTAGAATAGAACTAGATATTGTGTAAAAGGTATCAAGTACTTGAATTAACTCTATGGGTGTAGCCTATGAAAAGGAAAAAAAAAAAAAAAAAAGGCGGGGTTAGCCAAGACATAGCTTTCAGAATTGTTCCCAATAAAAAGGGAACCCTTTCGCTTTTACCTTTCCGTATTGGATACGGCATAGACCCTTTTCTACATCTGGTAGTTGTCTTTTAGACAGTAGTGATAAAATGAGATTCCTTTTTGGGTTTTCTGTAGTCATGAGCTCTTCTATGGCTTCCGTTCGTTCATTCAGTTTTCTAGAGTCAAAAAGTTAGTTCATTAGCATGCGTAAGCAAAATGACGGATGGTCCCTGCCGTAATAGCACTTACTGAACATCAACCAACGGCCGTCCAATCCAATTCCTTAACAATCGTTGTCCAAATTTTGTTTTCGTATGATTCAAAATTGAAAACAGGCTACCTTTTTCGCTAAAGTCGGTGCTGTTTCTGTATATCTCCAAATGTGTCAAAGTATTACCATTCAGCAGCATATGATTCTCTTCTACAAAGTGTTTAAAGAACTTTGTTGATCTCAACAAAATGCTGTCTAAATAGAATTCCTTCAGATATCGAATCAAGCAAGCCAGGGCTTGTCTGTTTGTTTTGTTTGACATAGTATGAAACTAACGTTAGTATCAAATGACTTCATTTGTTGTTTTTTTTTCTCCCTTCTTCTACACCGTAGAATTATATTACTTTACACAACCATATCGGGCAAGTGAAAGACATTCGACAGGGTCTCTGCTGACTCATGAAAGAACTCTGTAACGTATTGAACGGCAGCTTTGTAATCTCTTCCGAAGTCTTCCTTACTAGCTGATATATACTCAATTCGTACGTCATCCACACGACTTTTGTTGTTGCTATGCTGTCCATCACCACCGAAATTCAAATGCTGTATCAACTTTTCAGTCGGTCGGCTTAGCATGTCTGCAGAAACCAACAATTCACTGGGTTCTAAATGCAAGAACCGTGTCTCTAGCTCTTGTCTCAAGTAAGTATCTTCAAACGCGTCGTAAATAACATCTCCTGTAGCAGGCTGAATGGCTATCATCGCAATTTGCACGCGTTCATCAGGACCGTGACCTCCTCTTTTCTGTTCCAGGAAACACATCAAATGGCCTCCTCCGTGATTTAACCTATTGCTCACAGAATCTATCAAGTCGTCATCCTCCGTCAGATTGACCATCGTGCCTTTTGTAATCATCTCGGTCAATTCTCTTTTGAAAGGTTGACCTCTATTTGATCCAGCTGCTTTCAAAGCGGCTGTTTCGGTTTGTCGTACGACTCCTACGCGATAGCCTGCATTGACAAGCTTCCTTACATGGACATTCAGCCGATGGACCGGGATACTGGCTACATAAAAGTTGCGATCGATAAAATGAGCGATATGTAAGATTTTGGAAGCGATCTAGCGTTGAAAAGTTCAGTCTTGCTAATATGAATACAGCTTTCCAATGCCTCTGATACCATATTTTTTTATTTTTATTTTTATTTTTTATTTTTTTACCTTTGCGTCTTCCCCGAAGAGTCGAAATTTGTATCCCACTTCAATCAATAATAAACATTCAGGATATTTTGCTTTCAGTTCAACGACCTGCTGTTCCAAAGGCGTAAACTTTTGTTTGGCTATTGGTGCTGCTTTGCTACGTAAGCCAGCAGTAGCATCTTGGCTTTGAACCTCCATGATATCTGTCATCAATTGATCCACCTGTTGTCTTCTTTCGTGTATCTCTTTATCCATAGAACCAAACTTTTGACTGAACTGTTCATGCAGTTTCTTCAGCTCTTGTTCCGTCAAATGAGCGGAAGGATTCGCCAATTTCTCTTTGACAGGAATTCTTTTTGTTTCTGCTTTCTGAATACCGTTCTTCTTTGAGGCACTCGTGCTGGAAACAGTTATGCCGTTGTTAGTGTTCCTGTCACTTTTATCATTGCTCGATGTTGATGTAGATGTTGACAGACACTTGTCGATTTTCGGCTTTTTGGTCACAGGTGATGCTTGCTTTGCAAAAAAAGAGCTGATCGTCGCTTGACGCTTCATCGATCTGTTACTAACAAAAGACGATTTTTTCCTGTTTCGTAGCAAAAGAAAAAGGAGAGGTGGGGAAAGATGAAATGCAGCGGGACAAAAAAATGAAAAAAGTAATCATGACAAAAAAATGATGCTTCAATGTATAAGATTTAGCTTTGTTACTCTACCTAAACTTGGAATAGCATGTCTGCCAAACCAGCCTTTTCCTCCTCGACTTTTTTTTTACTCTGTGGTCATTGACTGAAGTCTGCTGCATTGTTTAAACAAGCAACAAGCTTTAACACATTATACTGTACAAATCAGCAGAGTCAATACCGTGTTTGTGTGTGTGTGTGTGTGTTGTGTGATGCCTTCAGTTTCAATAGGCCTTAAATTGTCTACAACAGCCTTTTTAACCATCAAGATGCTAATAAATAGTTTATTTGTGCAAAATGGATAGCTGTCTTGTTTACAATAATTTGCACCTGACATCATAGCAGCTGCTCTACACTCATTATACGGACGATGCAATAAATATATGCTGCACTATGCAAGTATCCACTTTTGATAGATAAGCTTTTTACCAATTCATCTGATTTGAAAAAGTTACCATACGTGATAGAACCGTCAAAACTCTGCAGGAACGGCTCATTGCGTTTCTGTTTAATATACAAAAGATGACGATTTTCTTGATATACTTTGAATGGTACTTTATAAATTGACCGTAGAATATCTGCGGCAGCTATTGTATTGCTATCATCGTCTTTGTAATGTGGCCAGTCTGAAATCAGCGTTCAAAGATGACACAGCTAGTTTCAAACTCCAAGTGAGACAAGAATTTCACAGCTTTCTTTTTATTCATTGGGGATTAAACTACTCCATCATAGTAAGGCTTCTTGGAATATACATAACTTGGTTATCGTATGTCTAAGTGGTAGTAGTTCAATTTTCGAACATAAAAGAACAGGTTTCTTGCTCCTTAACCCCAGCCTTCATCACCTGTGTAGACTACCTCCTCCACTTGATAAAAAGCACTCATGCCCGCATCAAAATGAGCTGCTACATGACAGTGGAACAGCCATTGCCCCACATTATCGGGTACCATATCAACCACTTCGAAACTGATGGGTGTCAAATCTACTACATCCACTCTTCGTCCGTGATATAAAAGACTTGCGCCATGCCAATGTGCTGTATGGACATCATTGTCCCCTTCATCGTCAATAGGAACATGTTTGTCTTCTTCTTTTTCTTCAAACGAAATGACATACCAACGTACGCGTGACCCATAGGCCAAATTGATGACAGGGTGGTTATTATATACGTACCCATTGATGTGATACATTTGATTCGATTCGTTAAAAAACCGATCCGTCCTTGCCAATTCCTCCATACGCTCCATACTTAATCCAGCACGTTCTCCAGACTCTTTGAAATAAGTCGATTTGTTTTCGTCTGTTGTAGTCATCAACATGAATACTTCTTGATCGATACCTTGAGGCCGCTGAAACATAGCGCCTGGAGACGGATAAAACAACATGCCCGGTTGGTAAACGACAACAAAGCCCAGTAACCCCGCTTGAACATCGCCAACAGCTGAACTCAGGGAGGAATAGGCCCAAATGACAGATGACTGATTGTCAGGGAAGGCATAATCGGAGGGAATATCCCATACATAATGGTACGTGTCACCTGGTTGGACTGCCTGACCCGGCCAATGGTCCTGATGAGATGCCGATCGATAAGGATGGAGACTATGTGGGTAGTGTGCTCTGTTTTGAAAAAGAATATGTATTTGATCCCCTGCTTCCGCTCTTAAAATAGGTCCCAGCACACCCAAGGCTTTGTCATGAGCAATGGGAACGGTGAATGTCGCATCCGTGTATTGTCGGTAAAATACCTTTTGATAGACAGAACCAATACGTTTGCCTTTTCGGTGAGCAGTGTAAAGGGATGCAGGTCGTTGCGTCAGAGGCTTATCGTTGATATTGTTCCATCCCATAGGCGCATAGTCCCATACTTCTTCCTCGGCTGTAATATAGTATTGACGAATAGTACGATTGTTCAGAGTACTACTATTGTTAGTGACAGGTGCACTAAGAACAAGTTGAGATAAAAGAAACCAAAATATGAAACATAACAAAAGTTGTGATTTTTGCTTCAAGCCCATTGAGGCATGGTTAATGTCAATGTTCAACAAGACGAAACAAATGTCAAAACTCAATGGGGTGTTGAAGAGCTTCTTTTTATTTTTCTATCTAACGAAAAGGAAAATACCTTAAAAGAGGTATAATATGACACAGGTAGTCTACGCATCCAATCGCAACTTTTCGTCCGAAGAACAAGCAAAACCTTGTAACACTTGACCGACCAATTCGCCTAATTTGTCGTAGGTGTACCCACCCTCCTGAACAAACAAAACGGGTTTTCCAAACGTAGCTTCTGATTGCTTGATATACTGCCCTATTGTATAGTATGTATGCTTCTCTCTCAATCCCTTCATACCAGCAATAGGATCCTCGAACCATGTATCTAAACCTAGCGAAACAATCACTATGTCTGCTTTGAAATTGACAACAGTTTTTTCTGTGTTGAGCACATGGTAAAGATGCTTAAGATATACTTCATCCGTCGTATGTTCAGGATCCAGCGGTATATTGATATTGTAGCCTAGACCTCTGCCTCGTCCTTTTTCATCAACGGAACCGGTGAAATGAGGATAGTCGGGGTAGCCATGAATTGAAATGTAGAATACAGTAGAGTCATCATAGAATATTTCTTGCGTTCCATTACCACTATCAGTTGTAGGAAGAAGTACTTTAGACGTCAAAAGCTATTTTTTTTTTCTAATACAGAACAGATACTTACTGATGATAGTCAATATCAAGGATTAATATTTTCTTTTTTTCGTCTATCGGCTTCTCGTCGAGCATCATGTTTTCAAGATTGGTTGTTGTAGCAAGCACTGGGTCGTAAGGTCGTTGCAGAAGTTCCATGTCTTTTGAAGAATAATTTTGTAAGAATGCTGCAGCAACTGCAGCGTTATTGATAAAACAGTAACCAGCAGCTAAATGGTCTGATGAATGATGGCCTGGTGGTCTACATAGTGCGTAAACCATCTTGCTCTGTTTGTCGTTCGCCTCACTATTTTCAATTGATCTCAAAAGCTCATGTGCAGCGGTTAGCACTATCTGCACTGAGGCATAAGCAGCACGCCAAGTTTCTGTAGAGAAATACAGTCATTCATGTGTACAAATGGTTTTATTAGCAAAGTGAGCTTTCTATATCTATATCGTCAAGAGCGGTATCACTTACCATTCATGAAGCTAACGGACATATCGCCCAAGTAATAACCCATTTTACCAGTGGGATGTTGATTGGCATTTTTCAAAAGCACTTCTTCTGATAATTTGCTGGCAAAAGAGAGTTGGGCAAAAGTATCACCAATACAAGCGTCCTTTGGCAAACCAGCATTCACCCATTCCTGATAAATGCTTTCTAGGAATGCAATATAATCTGGGCGATGAATGTCTAAAATGGGCTTTAGAGTATAGTCGCTTATAGGAGAGATGAGCTGAAACATAGAAGGATTTTCATCGATATACTTCTTGATGGATTTGAGTCGTTCAGGAGATTCTATTGAATGTTACAGCAACAAAGTGTTAAGTGAGGGCAAAAGCGATAGTTGTGTGTGTAATGCCTTTTCTGACAGTGTTCGAATGATGTTATCAATGGAGTGGGGGAGTATATTATTCATAGGGTAATATTACTATACTATATTAGTTTATGCATTTTACCAACATATGGCTTTATTTTGCCACTTGTGACTTCAAAAGGAGGATTGTGTAATAAACCGTCTTCACAGTAAACTACTTTAATCTTGTCGCTCGTAGCCGTACCTTGTGTCATCGTCGTAAAATGGCCTGATTCTTCTTCTCGTGCAGCTAGTAAAAGACAAAAGTCTTTCACTATAAAATTAAAATAGGGGATAAGGGAAATATGGGAAAAACGCAATAAAAAGAAAAAAAGGATAGTCTCTGTAATAAGGTTGCACATTGATTGTTATCAATGTGTGTTCTTTCTCGTTGGTCACATGGAAAACGCGTATTTTTTGCTCAAAAGTTCTCAATTGTTCTCTAGCTCAGTTTCTCATCTAAACTTAAAGTGATGTAGTTCCCAAAAAAAAAAAAAAAAAAAACGCCTTTAAACAATGAATAGTATATGTTTGTTGATTGCCAAACTTTTTTATTATTTTAGATATTCCGTGCAGAGAAACGAATGATAAGAATAAAAATTGGAGCATATAAATTTTTCATAAGCAATAAAGATATACGTACATAAGCTAAGTGAAATGATGGATATAGATATAAACGGGTAAAGAACTAAAAGCAGAAAAAGTCAACCTTGGTTGTTTTTTTTTTTCATAAACTAAAACGATCTGCTATATTTGTACATAGAAGAAATATGTTTATGTGTAAGTAAAGTGTCAAAAGAGAATGTATTTACAAAAATAGGGCGAAATAAATAGACATGAGGGAGAGTGTTTTAGCTTCCTTTTTAGAGTAACTTTATGTTCTAGAAAGGAATAAATTAGTACAATGGATGTTGTGTCATCATGTCGTGCTGGTAATGCTGGTAATCATAAGGAGGCGTTGCTCTACCATTGTTAAACAGATTACTGGTACCATTTTCTGATGAAGTCACAGACGATGTGTCGCCAAAACCAACAATAAGGGACGACGAATGATGATGAGTCGATCCTTTTCGTCCCCTGATGCTTCCACCGCCGCTACCGCTGCTGTTACTGTTGCTGATGCTGCTGCCGATTAAAGCTGCTGCTGATGATGATGACAATGAAACTTTATTTGATAACTGTTCCGATGTACGACGCAAATACGTTTGCTATAATGTCGAAGTTTTTAAACGTTGAAGCAATGAGATGGCTGTAAAAACATTGAGTGGATATTGAATTGATGTACTTACCACGACTTCACAGTTACAATTACCATGGGTTAATAACAAGTTACGTAAATAGATACTCTCCTCTCTAAGTTGTTTAATCTGTCCTTGGAGCTCTTCGTTCTTGGCTTGAGCGATCTGAGATCTTTCTTCTAAACCATTCACCCATCTCTTTTTCTTTTGGCGACAACGAGAAGCAGCTTCGCGGTTCTTTTCTAAAAGCCTCTTCCTTTGTTGTTTAGCGGTTGCTGTTGAGGGTATGGATGTGTTAGAGGAAGCAGTACTCGTATTGGATTTCGGTGAAGTGGCAGTAGCAGCAGTATTAGCAGTAGGAGCTGTTGCGTCTGATAAATGTGTCAGTAACGGATTGGGAGCTGTCCTCGTCGTCATTGATTCTGTAGGCAGTGGGGAATGCGTGGGGCTCGGTGGAGAAGGAGGTAATGCAAGTTCTGGCCGGGGAGTTCTGTTCAAGTTATATTTATTGAAGTTCGTGGTATCCAAAGGATGGGAACCCACTGCCTCGTCCATGAAATCTGCCATAGTAGCTTGATTGAAGTTCCAATTGGAGCTAGTCAAGGGATCACTTAACAATAATTTTGTTGGTGTCAATGTGGCTGTCTGATAGTCGTTTACTATGGGTGTTTGAATAGATCGAATGTTAATATGCAGAGATAGAGCATCTTTTTCATACAGGGAATGAGTCATACCTTTAAACATATATAAGAGTTTGAGGCGTACAAAATACTATGAATTCTAAGATAAAGAAATAGTAAAAAGTATCGAGAAATAAAAAAGTTGACACTTTTATAAATACCAGTTTTTCTGGCTTTTTATTGCTTTTAGTAAGTGCTTTTTTTTCGTATTTTTACTAAAACGTCTCGCTTTCAAATTATGCAAAACCAAACCCTCCCCCCAAACGTCTAAACATCATCGTTGGTCGGAGCTTGACTATTCTTGCCAGCCCATCAATTTTAGTCGCTAAACCTAATTCAGACAAGCAATTTACAGTGGCTGTTGGTTACGTTTGTCAATTAAATGATAACATACAAAGGGGAATTTTAGGTTGAAGGAGAATTAGGGAATTCGTTTTTTAGTTACTTGCCCATTTTCTCATAATGCGGGGAAAACGTCTTCTTTGTTCGTTCGCAATAAACGTGAGACCTTTCCAGAACACGTCTTTGGTTCAATTAGAATAAAATTTCCTTTACCTTATTACATACAATGCCATTGTTAAATAAACGCCCGATCTGATTAAAGTCTATGCACAAGTATACAAGTGTAGAAAATTTAACTTTTCTTTATTAAATGCCCATATCATTGTTAAAAGTTGAAAAGAGTTAAATTTCCCGTTTCGAATAAAACTTAACTTTTAATGATAAGAACTATTCACTATAGCTATATATATGTGTTTGTTCGAATGGAGCTATCCTCTCTCTCTCTCCCTCTCTCTCGTTTTTGTTTTGTTTTTTCTTTTTTTCTTCCATTCAAACAATTGAACATCACCTTTTGCGGTACAGAAATAAACGCGTTTTGCGAAACAATGGATAACTTGCCTACAATACTCCGTGACTGGGACAACTCAGCTACTCTACTTTTTTCCTCCTCAAATCAAGAAGCACAACAACGACAGCAGCATGAAGATTTGAAGCCTGACATGATTGTTGGTGTGAATGATCAGCAGCAACTAGAAAAACTCAGTTTCAGTGCCCAACAGGAGAGACAACGCTGGAGGGAGAATTCGATGCAAGACTATTATCCACAACCTCAATCAAATCAACATTATACCTATCATCCGCCTGCTGCAAATTTTGGGCCATATATGGGTGAGCATCCAATCTACTTTGACTCTTCTACTAATACGACAACTCCTTCTCCTCCGCCTGCTCTTGCTACTAATAGTACTACGAGTGCTGCTGCTGCTGCTGTTACAACTGCTCCTACTACGACAAACAATGAAGGCATGAATCTTTCTTTCAATACCAATATTTTTGCTTTTTCGCCTTTGAATGATCATCACCCTCCATCGTCCATGCACTCTTGTATGGATCTGAATGTGTCAATGAATACTCGTACTACTGATGCACCTTTGCCAGACGTCCAATCTACTTCTCTTCCACAACAACTTCCCTACTTTCAACACCAACACCATTATCAACAAGCAAGTCATCTTCCTTCTACTACCCCACAACAACGACACGTTGTATCGCGCTCACGATCACATCAAGAACTTCAATACCATCAACGACAAATACAACATCAACGACAACAAGTATTGCACAGTGGTGGTATCCTACCAGCAGCCAACGCAGACAGTGGGGAATCTCAAAAAGGGCATCCACCATCCCAACGTCCTATACGCAAAAGGAGAAGACCTCCCTACTCTTGCGCTACTTTAATTGCCCAAGCTATATTGACATCTAAACACCAGCGTCTTACTTTACGTGAAATCTACCATTGGATACAAACCCAATTTCCCAATCTCTATGAAGAAAATGAAGTCAGCTGGCAGGTAAAAATGAAAAAAAGTTGCTGATTTTGATCTGCATCCATTGTTTGCTAAACCAAAGAAACCAATACTAGAATACTATTCGACACAACTTATCCTTGAACAAGTGCTTTACTAAGTTGCCTCGTTTGGAGAACGACAAAGAGTGCAATGCTGTGAAAACAAAGGGCAATAAGGGTGGTTATTGGACAGTTGATCTTCAGCAATTAAATGATATGAAGATCGTCAAAAATTTGAAATTTATGTAAAAGGCCTGCCGTCTCGCTCAAGATGATGGCTTTCCTGATTCTCTTTTTGTTATAGACTGTTTATTTATTTATTTGTATGTGTACACTGCTTAGAGTCACTTAATAAAAAATTTTCCTTTTGACTTGAATCTTCTCTTTGGTTCGGTCAACTTCGATAGATACCTCGATCGACGTTGAGATAGGATAAATGCTAAGTCAGCTTGAGTTAAACAGAAAAAGGCGTTTTCCTGTGATACCTTACAGTTCATGCAGCTTTTACCAAATATATCCCTTGTGCATGTTTTTTTCTAATGTTTACTAAGACAAGAGAAAAGACACAATACCGGAGATCTTTTTGGAACAAAACAGAAAACAGAAATTCTTATTTGATACGATTATTTGCAACAGACCAGCCTTATTTGCTCATTCCTCGATGGTCTATTTATGTAACGTTTCACAGGTACATACACACACCCACAAACGCACACACACTTTTGAATCGGTTTTGTGAGTGGGTCGATGCCAATCTACGATTACTGCTAATTTTTTTTTTTTTTATATCAAATAGCGCCAAATCATGAAAAAACTATGCTATGCCCATTATGGTTCGAACATTTGTAGTGTATACCATTCAAGACAGCATATCACTTTGGAATCGAAGTAATGAAATGCTATTCATATTCAAAAAGTCAAACTAGGTTATATACAGCTTTTTTAGACTCTATAGCTTAAAGTCTCTTTTTCTTGGAACCTTTACCGTTTTTGGAGTATTGATGTGCCGGAAAAATCCTACCTTGCGCGCTGTACACATTTTTTTAATGTGGTTGAAAGAGAAGAAGAATTTGGGGGGAGGGGCGGGATAAAGGGCCCCCGAAGAGGGTACACTGTATTGATCGGATGTTAGGCATCTAATGTTCCGTCCTCCTGAGTGTTAAAGGCAATATGTCTTTTTTAAAAATCGATAATTGAAAGAGTCCATTTATAAGCTGTTGTAGAAAAAGTGAATGAGTGTAAAGTTGATAGACAGCTTAGCATAGTGTAAGTTTTGTTTTTGTTTGTTCTCAAATGCGCTAAACACGCAGCACCCTAAACTCAAATCAAAGAATATGACGCATATCGACGAGATAGTCCTGAAAAAAAAAAAAAAAAGCAGATAAGGATTGTACTGTTCTTCAGACTCCTGGAAAGTGGGAACACCATCCTATATTGTATTCACACAGACGGGTAATGTTGTAATATGAGAAAAATTAAGTGTGAAAGCGTTGCTGTTCTTCTCTAATGACACCCCTTTTTAAAAGAAACAATTGTATAATATTTTTATGACATAATGTTTCCTTTAAACTGAAAATTTGCATGTCTAGATGAAAAAGAAATACTGCTTTTTCCTTATTTTGCAACTTTATACCAAGTTGTTGGTGTTAGTGTAACGCATCTGCGTATCAGAATACGATTTTTTGTTAGTTGACATCAGATTTATTCAATAATTTAGTTCTCTAAGTGTTCTATCAATTATCTTTTTTACAATCTTTGCATGAAACTCATGGCCATTTCATAAGCAAAGAAAGTAGCAGCGTTTGCTGGGAAAGCTCTGACGAGTGTTGGTCCAATCCCGTTAAAGAAAGCTTTGGTCCCCCCAGATCTGTAGAGAGTCCTGATAACTTGATTTAAATTCTTGTATCTACGGGAAATCAAGAATGTTTCAATCAATACACAAGTCCATGTTTCATTTTTGAAATAGTCCATCAACTTTACCGAACGTCATTTTGGAAATTGCTCTTTATCACATCTTGAGGATAAGCAGGAATCCAAGCTGCTAAACCAGACAAACCGCCGGCCATCAATAATTCAAAGGTGCCAATCTCGCCATCTTTTTTCTTTGCCTGGAAGAGACGCTTCAAACCCTCATAAGCAACTACAAATAGGAATGAGCTGATGAGTTGCTTGCTTTATATGTCATTGCGTGATTTCTAAACATACCAAAATATGAAAAGTAACTCGGCGAATCTCTAAGCAAGGTAACGCCCATGCCACGATATATACCAGATAAACCCTGAGCACGAACGGTTCTAAGACCACAATCAAGCACACCTTTATACTAATAGAAATAAACAGAATTTTGGTACTTTTTATCCCAACATGGCCGGCTTTTGAGCTATTTTATCCTTACTGCAGGTTCATGCTTTCCACTCGCGTTTATAAAACCTTTGGGATCTTGAGTTTGTAATTTTACTTTCAAAAGTTCAATAGGGCAATTAAGAAACGCCATCACAGAACCAGCCATTGAACCAGCAAGACCAATTTCAACTAAGAACGAAACTATCATCAGAACACAGTCTTATCTACTGTAAAGAAAGGCACACCGCTTACCAATAGATAATGTCTTCTTTTCATCTCCATTTTGCAGATAACGCCTTGACCAGCCATTGGTCATAAACATGACAGCATTACTATTTTATAGACGCGTTTCAATAAGCTATCCCATGCACTCACATCACCATTATATAGAGTCTCATTTACCAGAAACCTATGCCAGCCAGTGGGGACATAACACCTCTATAGAGTCCCTTTGCCTACACTCATCAAAAAAGCAAAAATCGAAAAAGATGATTCAATTTCATTGTTACTTTCCTTTTTTTGATGATGGCGCAATTCAACTCCACATTTTTTTGATGGGGCCAACACCTATTGAAAAATCGGTTTCACATTCTTCCGACTTACTCCTTCTTCTTGAACAAGCTTTCGAACACAATCAATAGCGCCATTGTAAATGGGAGGAGATGGTTGTGTTTGCAAACGAACTTTTATGGTGTCTGGAGGATGACCTATCCATCAGTTGCAACAAAAATAAAATGTCTGCTTTAGTACCGTGTATCTACTGTTATAAGGTACTCATCTCCTTTTTTGCTACTCTCTTTTCGCATCCTTTCTTACCGACAACAACTTGTGCCCAACCACCAATTGTACCAGCAATCAGATCTTGGGCAAGTTTAGGAATGAGAGGTTTTTTCTCACGTTGCTGTTGCTGCAGTTGTAAGGCCATCTGTCAAACTGTAGAAATGAAGAAAGAGGAGGGGGTATGAGGAGAAGTAAGTTAGGGCAGTTGAAGGCTTGGTTTCTTTGTCAAAATCGAAACCATAAATCAAAAGAGCTTCGAATTTAAGATCTATCGTCCCTTTGTGACGGTTCACTGTAACAGTGTGTAATAACCAATTTTGCGGAGAATTGAGTCATTTTCAACAGAGACTCTGATTGCTTTGTTCGTATCTGAACTTATCCCAGTCAACTCCACTCCTGGCCTCCAACGTTTGAGCCGCTCTTTATCTTTCCCTGAGCCACGAAATGCGTGGGAAATGCTATGAATGATAATCTAGTTTCGCACGTACACCGGTTGTTCCAACGGTTTTGAAAAACTCATTCGTGAACGTACAAGGAGTGAATAGGTACTACTTTTAAACATCAGTGAGTATTAGGAAAGTACTCCCCAACAATTCCAAGACAATTTTGAAAGATACAAGCGAGACATTAGCAAATATCACAATAAAGGTGGACAGTTGGCAAAGAGATCAACAGAAAAATCCAATCAAAGACTTGGGAAATTATGCAGTGGACACAGCTCAAGTGGCTATATCCATTTGAACATCCTTCAAACACAAGGGAAAAAACTACTTGGGAGTCAGAGGCGTGGGGCTCCGGATTTCCACAACCAATCCAATCCGCACACCCCACAAAAACCAATGGAATGTTTGACACAATAACCCAGACAACCAACAATAACCTCACGAGCTATATATATCATTCATAGCAGACAGAATTAAAAACATATCAACCGATGGGATCAAACTGGGCGACCGTTCACAACAAAACGAATAAAAAGCGGCAACTAAACATCCATAGCTATTGTAGATAATTCAAGAAGGTTAGCAATTTACAGTTTGCAAGGAAGCCGATACCGTGGACCACTTCTACCAAGACATTATCAGGGAAGACTAATTTTATAATCCATTCATAGCTCTATCACTGAGAAAAGTTGTTGATTTACTTGACATTGCTGGACTTCTCACTAAAAAAATAGGTTCTTAAATGCATACGTGTGACATTTATAGATTGAATGCAGCTTAGAACCAATTCAATGAGTCGACTTTATTTTTTATTGATAACAATGGAGAAAGTGTTCATCGGGCAAACAACAGTTCAGATTTATGATAATTACTGTTAGGAGAATTCTTATCCTTGACATGGCATCTTTAAAATCTATTAAATGCCCCAAGTATTTCTGTGTCTAATATGCCTTGTAAATTATTATAGATCACCATTTCTTATCGCTGTGAGGGCAAATTCGTATATTGTATGTTTAGTGCTGTGATTGGCAACGCAAACTATGCAGATCCATATTATCTACGTCAAAGGGTAGCTAAATTGTATTGTATCTAAAACTCCACAAATTATGCCTGATTTACTACATGAAAATTATAAGCACTAAGGACAAAAACTACATTTCCCTCTTATTTCGGCGTGCTTCGTTTCACTCTTTATAGTCTCATCACAGTATCTTTTGCCCTTGTATATATTGACCAACTGATTTCGCGCAAAATACAAATGGTATTGTTAAGTCGTCCTAGAGCTATATTTTCGATGTCATTTGAAAATTCTATGGCGTGAGCCTTGCTGTATGTATGCAAAACCATGTTAATAGCCTTCCCGCGTGATGGAATGCCTATGAATATTTAATAATGTAACATTTTTTTTAAAAAAAAAAAAAACAAAAAAAAAAATAAAAAAAATACCGGCGTAAACCTACCGAAAAATTAAAAAGACAACATAGTTGACAAGGTTATCCATTATTGTAAATACTGATGATGTGGCAACACCGGTTAACCCAATTCTCTAGGCTTCTCATCGATGAGGAAACCAAGACACTTGCTATTTAAAGTTTATTTCAAAATGTATGGATATGAAATGATTATACAATTTTGTTATGAAAACTTTCTATTGTTTGCCAACGGTTTTCATTGACTTCAAAGGCAAAAACTGTGCAATTATAAACTGCCTAAAAAGGATATCATCATCCTAAAGAATCAGCCAAATTTCAATTTTTATCTGGAATGGGACACTTGACAGAGGCAGTATTTGGAAATTGACCCTGCTTCTCTAGGTTTATTTCTTTCGCTTTTTTTCTTTCTTTCATTGTTTCTTCACTTCAAAGTTACTCGCAACTGATTATTCTACCGAATATCAACCCAGAGCATTTTGATATTCAAAAAGAAAGACTCATTTTTTTTTAATCGACATCATTAGCCTCTCGATAATATCTTTTAGTATCGTCCTAAGTTCTTCATTAAAAAAGCTGTTTGTATAGAGCAACATTATCTTTGTTTCTCATTCAGAAGAGAACAAAAGTGACAGAAAAATGGCTTTTCGATTTAACTGGCAAACGTTTGACCCTCAATTCTGCCAAGTGGCTAGAATCCAGTTGGAGGCAGCATTGAATAAAGGCAATAAGCCAAAAAATATAGTAGATTATATCAGTGTAAAAGAGCTGAATATGGGGACAATCGTAAAGTGAACACTTTGAAAAACAAATAAAATGCTAAAGAAGAGAGGCCTGGCTTAATTTTGCATAGAATCATTGTAGGCACCTGAACTGGAGGTCTTGGAGATTGGTGAGCTAACAACGGATAGTTTTCGTGGTATGTTCAAATTAACCTATAACGGAAATGCTTATATAGTCATTCAAACAAAAATTCAGGTAATGTATTTTGATTTCACGTGAAACAAATAAAAGACCGTAACTTATTTAAACGCATGCAACACCGTAGGCAAATTCACTACATACAAAGCAGCAATTTAAAGCATCCCATCATACCAGGCCCAACATATTGGCAGCAGATCAACCATTGATAGTACCAATGCTTTTAAAAATAAGTCATTTGAAGTTACGTGGTATCATTTTCCTTGTTGTCTCAAAAACGAAAGGCGTAACTCTAGTGTTCAAGAATGACCCTTTGGAAAGCGTATTCGTTAGCTCAACATTTGATAGTGTAGCAAGTGTACGGGGCTTTCTTCAGCTTGAAATCGAAAAACAATTGCGTAATCTATTTCAAGAAGGCCTGCCAATTATGATACATAATCTCAGTCAGCGATACATTATTAACGACGTAGGCCCACATCTAACAAATTCAGCTACTACAACAATGAAAGCCAATACTCTCGAACGAAATAAGTTCAATTCGCGTCGATCTGTCTTTCCTAGTACTGGATGCACATCAGCTGCACAGCAAAAACAATGTCAGCAAGCTACATTTTCTTTATCTGATTTATATCCACAGCATCAATTTGGCGCCTTTTCAGCTATTACTGCAGTTAGAGCTTCTATGTTCTATCCACCGTGCCTTTACAGCGTTCATCAACACTATCGATATCAATTCTACAATTCTGGTGCTTTAATTTACTCTCAATTGCATCCGCCTTCAACTATTCATACTTGTCCTTTGTCAACAAAAGATGAACAAGACGTAGAAGATTTAAATCATATCCAACCACCAGATTCTGTTCCTGATTCCTTTCGCTTCTTTCCTTCCTCGTTAGATATAATTGAAAGAGAGAACGAAAACTCTGTCAACGCTACTGCTACCAAATGTCATAGTCATTTAATGCCAGTAGAAACCTCGTCGGTACTTCCTACAACAACATCATCATCAATTGAGCAACTCAATGAAATATATGCAAACGATGCAAATGCTCCTTGGTACGTCAAAGAGCTACCACCACCATTCTTGGACAGAATTTTGAGCGATGATTGCAATAAAGCGTTTATACCAATGGAGGAGGATATATTGATTCATCTCGAAGAAAATACGCTCGCAGCTAAGTTAGCTAAGATAGTTACTGTTCATTATACTTTGTCTCCTTTTTCCTCACATTTATTCGAACACTTTACGTTTCGTTCAGTACCTCATTCAATAAGTACAGTGCTATTAGCATCAAAGAAAAAGCATAATAAAAGGATCCCAAAAAGGCGAATCATACGTTGGTCTTCGTCTTGATTAATTACTTTTCCATGTCTATTATCACTGTTTAGCACTACTTTAAGCACAGACCGAAATCGTTCGTGTTACAAAACTTTTATACTCAAGCAACGTCTCTCATCTTTCGCCCAAAATGATAACTCAATTTGAAATGGAACAGCACATTAAATACTGTATGAGTCAACCAAACGATGACGACGACAAAGACCAAAAGCACAGGTAACGATGAATTGGTCATCTGCTAACTTACCGAAAAGGGAAAAAAAAATAAAAGAAAAGAGTCGTAAGCAAAAGTGAGTTTCTACCTTTTTCAACTACTACTTTATGTAATGTAGGCGAGTTTTCTTTGTCGCCAAAACAACCGACTTTCCCCTTCCTCCACCTTCTCATAAAAAGATACATATACAAATATATGTATAAAGCTTGGAATATGGTGCTTTATCATCGTTGGCGGCTGCGAAAATTTGAGTGAGAGCACTTTTTAAACCACTTTCCTTTTGTCGGTTATGCAAATGGAGAAAGAAAAAAGAGGGCAAATGGCGTCTCGTTCTTGAGAAAGGCCTCTATTTGAGGTGCCAGACACAAGCAAAAGGGCTAAGTAGGCCGACATGGATAGATAGGCCCTTCAAAAAGACGGATCGGACGGGTTAATAATCATTCTATCTTACTATCAGAGACTTGCATAGAAGACTATCAAGATGTTAGGCTGGTTATGTTCTCGATCGTACAATGTGTGTAAAAGCCTTGCTTTTATTTACTTGGATTTTTTTTTCCTTTTTTTTTTTCGTTACCTCAAAATAGATCTGATTGAGAGGCTGTCATTTACAGTAAAGAGAGAGTCAAGTATACATGTTGGAGACTATATTGTGTATAAGAAAGTACTCTAATATTTATAAATAAGGATATACAATCAGAAAGAATAAATTCTTCTCAGTAAACTGTTGACATATGATATCTTGATTCTTCAAAGTCTTTGATTTGTTGATCATGAAGTCTATGATGGCGAGCACCACTTCGGAGTCTGGCGGCATACACGCCAACAACCGATGCAAAGTAGACCTAGTATATACAAGATTCTCAGCGATAAACGCCAATAGATGCGGTTTTGAAGACGCTTGTTCATCAACATACCTGAACTATTTGCACGACAAATACAATTACACCCCATAGAATGATCAATGTCTTTACTGATTGTTCGCAATTTTCCATGGATGTAGCATGAGCATTGAGGGTGTTGGGGTATTTAACTGGTGTATAATAACCATTGAGAGAAATGGTAGTAGGTAAAAGGCCACTTTGTGCATTTCCAATACCGACAAGTCCTGATCGAATACAAGTGTTGATCATATTTTGACGATACACAATCATCAAAACCAGTGAAATTAAGTATTTTATGAAGGATACAGCGCAGCTGATCCAAACAACAACGCTAAAGAATTTTGCTGATTTCCGTTGCGCCTGTGTAAGATATGAATAGCATTTTTAATATTTTTCTCTCTTCTAGCACAGAAATATAAAAAACTTACAATTAAAGAACCTATAATACCAGCGAAACCACCGACAAACAGCAGCACTGTAAATAATAAATTTATGTAGTACCATGCTTTGGCAGTTTGCCCTGAATAAACTATCACAGCTGTTTTACAATAAGTGTTAATAGCAATCCTCTTCAAAGGTTGTTGTTTATTCTTACAATTGACTCCTAGAAAGCCTGTTATTGCGTCGATTAGATATACAATCTAGTGCAAAGAGAAAGAAGGGAAATAATTTCAGTTTCAATTCGTAGTCCTTTAAGATAAGGTTGTCAAAGAGATGAATTTACAAAAAACCATAGTGCTATAATGAAGGTCCCTATACGAAGGGGTATGAAGCAGCAACACTTTTCTAATGCTAAGCCCATGTTGGTGAAATGTCAAAAGGAAATCTTGAACAATGGCAATTGAAAGGAAGTGAAAAACTGCCTAAAATGAGGGGTTAAAAAGGTTAATTATAATCTTTTAATTGATTCGGAGCACAAGAAAGACCGATAGATACAGTTTTTTTTTATTCAAATCGGAAATACTACTAGGCAACTTTGGAAAAGTGGAGTATATTTATGAGAAAAACTATTTATATATTTAAGATAAATTTTATTCAGACGCACTTTCCAGAAATTACCCAAATTGTTATCGAATTGTGAGTTGAGTAAATAAAGTAGAAACAGTAAGCATTCGGCCTTTGGTTACTTTACGAATATATTACAACTTACACTGTAGGGATGTGCGAAGGAGTGATATCAATCACACATGTAGGTCTCGTTTGAAAGATGTTTTTGACAGCATTGACGTCGCGATTCTAAATTGTATTACAGTTTTATATTGCAATACAGCATGTACTCTTCGCTTTGACGTCGCTGTCGTTACATTCTCCAGATGTCGAATGCTTGCATTTATTACAGCTAGTCATATATTCATTGATGAAGCAGATTTCCACCTTTTCATCTTCACCATCAATAAGTACTTGTGCCTTCTTGTTCGGACACAGATTGCTTGTAGGCCATGCATGTGTGGCTTGCTTACAGGACGGATACGTAATCATTTTCGTTTTTTTATTATCAGCTTTGAATTCTTGGAGAGCTTCTTTTTTTACACCTTTTTTGACAACAATGGCTTAGACGAAGAAGCACTCAAAGAATCATTGTATGCCATTGGTTTTAGTGTGTGGGTAACTGGAGCAACATAGATGTTTTCTTGACAGAGAGTCGTAAATAAGATAGCTTACCTATGTGCAGCTTGGGCCTTCATAAGGGCCGTTCTGAGCTGGGGGGCGTTGTTTGTCTTTCCACTTTTGTGTAAAAGAAAGAAAGCAAAAAGGATAAGAACACTGTGTGTTCTATTGTATATCGCATTCCTTTTTCTTTTTTTTTTCCTTTTTTTTTGTTGTCAAAGAATTGCTTCATAGACAATATCACGACCAACTGACTCAATACGTGACGGCTCTTACAAAGTTTTGAAATATCATTGCTATCTACAGACAGTGGCGTATCTTTGCTCCTCAGCTAGTTTTTTGGTGTTATAGTATGCTTAATATTACACAGGATAGTTAAGCGCGCTGGTTATTGCTCTTGTTTCCTCATCACCCCTCCGTTTTTATAGTGCCCTGAGTTCAACTTCTAAAAAATTCATCTCAAACTAAAATTACCAAAATCTAAAAAATATTTATGGTATTTCCAAAATTCTTTATTCTGTTGGTCTGAAGCAAACAGTATGAAAGTCCGAATCATAAGTTAAAAACTGTAATTTGTCTCATTTAAACGGAATTATAGAAAATCAAATAACGTTGCTAAACTTATAATCCTTCCCGCTGTGGAATTCAAACTTAGAAGCACTGCTAAAACAAGTGGAATACATGTCAGAAACAAAATATAGCTTGGGTATCCTGTTTCTACAGATCTGCAACACATAATTAGAATAATTCATATATTCCCATAGAAGATGCATACATAGCATTCGGTTTACTGATGTTACTGACATAGATTCCTTCTGTTTACTTTACTATTTTCCCACCCCCATCTTCTACTATATCATGTATACCTACTGCAGCAAAAACAAAAAGTACATAACCAAAAATAGATTAGAGCAAGCAGGTTGAGGTTTTGTGAATAACGATATTGGCTTTTGCTCCGTTTGCTCTTCATCGGCATAAGTAGGATTGTAAGTAGCGATTTTAACGAGCATTTATTATGCAAGCAGCTGGAAGTGCTACAATTCTTAGAGGAGTTTAAAAACGTTTGTAATGCCCTGGAAAGCTTGCAAAGTATCTTCAGATCAAACATCTAAGCTTTTAGAGCACTCAGATTATGGTAACTATTACTTCAAAAACTTCAACTGTTAATTGGCATTGAAGCAAGTCTTTTATTTCGAAAGAAAGGGTTAAAGCAGCGTGTATCAGTGTGGAGAAAGTCTTCGAAGTATGCCGCTGTAACAAGCATGCATCGAAAAGCGGAAAAAGGCCTCAATATTACTACGGATGGTGACAAGCTGTGCTTTCTGATATGGATGGGGAATATTAGACTTAATATAGGCTAAATTCATCAGTGGTAGGGGCAGGATCCAATATAGCACATTTGCTACGGTTCCAATGGTAGTTAAGGGAATAGCTGTGTTGTTTGCATTTGGCACGTAATGAAATTAGTGATACACGAGGCGCAGTGAGAACCGCATCATCAGCACATAGCAAATCGTGGATGGGATAGGGCAAAAATATCAGGTTGAGCTGACCAAAAGTGGTATGTGAGATATTCGCTTAGTTGTAGATAATTGCTAACTATTACAAGTCGATGACTATGAACTTAGCGTCTTTATTATTCTTCAGTTGCAGTAGAAAGATTATTTACTATGAAAGGTCTGATGGGAATTACATTAAATTGAACACGCGTATGCTAGTCACAGATTTCAGGTTCAAATGCTTAATGTGTTGATTATTATACTTGGGCCTGTATCTTGCTTTGCGTTGTACAACCTGTATTAGATGCAATATAGATAGACCGGTGGTTTTTTTTTGTTGGTTGGCATGCTCTTATAGCGTTTTTGACCAGACACAACAAAGATACTCTTTATTCAAGTTTGTTGAGAATACCCGATCAAAAAAAATATCGGCTGATGAAACTTATATCTTTAGAAAGCGCTTAAAATCGACCCCCATGTCTCAACATTCCTCTTCTAACACGCAGCAATCCATTCCGACGCCATCCTTCGATTGATTCCATAATTTTGTAAGTAACAAAGTAGATCCGCTATCAACGAATCTGATGTCGGCATCGGTCTTGAGGATACACATAGTCTCCATTATTATTGTTCTGAAGGACAGCAGCCGCCTGTTGCCTATCGCAGTACGTATGGCACCATCATTGAGAGAAGCAGCTTTCGTTCTCTCTATGATCCTGATTCCAACGGTTAGTGTGGTTACTCTTGCTTGGCATTCGCCGTTTGTTCTCCCCTGCCATGGCCGACCGCTTGGTATCCGCTCAACGATGGCGCTAGCTCATCAATCTGCGGGATCATCGCCCGCAGTAGAGAATATATTCTCTAACTGGTTTTACGTACTCGAATATTGTATATTATCTCACCAAACACGTCAACACTGCCCAGGTAGTCCCATCTACAAGAAAGGTGACAGGAAAGATTCGATAAACTACCGGCCTACTATCCAGACGTCTGTTCGCAAGCTCTTAGAACATTGGTTGAAAGATGATTTTCAAACCCATAGTCCACCTATTGACATAGCACAGGGCGGTTTTCGTACAGTCCGTGATTCTATTGATCGAGTATTATGTATTGCTGAAATCTGTAGTACTCTGCGCCGTGAACACAACATCCAACCAGTGCTCGCCTTTTTAGACATCAAATCATTATATGGCATAATCAAATGCAATGTCATCTCGAACCTATCGTCTTCAGTTGTGCCGAGGTCATTGTAACTCTTTAAAACTATGCGCCCACTACCATCATAACTTGATTGTCCCGTTTTTACCTAGTCTGCATTGTGATCCACTATCTTATTTCCTAATCCCTTTGAGGGTTTTTTAATTCCATGACATATTTTGACCTACCTAGGGTAATCCGGTTATATAGTTATCTGTGGGCCCATTGAGTTTTTGTCAATAAAAATCTTTGTTTAATTGTACTATATGTTCTTCGTTGTCTAAATTACTTGAAAAGGTTTTGGGTTTTAGTATTTGAGCTCAGTCATTCTATGTTAAGTGTATACGTAAGCCCGTTAGACGTACCATACATATTTAAAGTTGATAAATCGACGCGTTTTAGTCGAGCAGAAGATTAGCAAGTAATGTGATAAAAGAGTAAATTTTCAGTTCTGCATATTTCATGAGCATGAGTTTTGAGTTTTGTTCAAAGCTACAGCGGTGCACAATTTTTTCATCAATATAAGTGGAAAGCTTCAAAAAAGAAAATGTCTCAAGCCAGCTACAGTCTATAAGATTCAAACCTGAGAGTAGTCTTAAGGGTTTGTCTGATAAATGTTAGGCTCCTGTTGAATGTTGTTCGATAACTACTTGTAATAATAAACATGAAAAAAAAAAATACCCCGCAAAGTATAGTTAAAAATGCTGTCAAGAACAAAATAGTTTTCTTTCCTGTCATAATAACTAGATGAATTCTACAAATTAAAAGACACTTGATCCATGACTAAATTTTATATGAACTTATTTGACAGCAATGGTCAATGCGACAAAGAAATAATGGGCTTCCGGGGAAAAATGATCCCGCTCCACGTACCATGACTGTTATCCAATAAAATTAAACTCTCCTGAAAACCGAGAATGAGAGTTTTTGACAGGCGAATAAAAGTGCAGAATCAACAAATGATTTGAGTTAATGCCACTGGGCGTTTAGCCAATGACTTCATTTTATTTCCTTGAGTCAGGATCAATCCGAAAACAACCATTAGACAGAAAAAAAAAAAGAAACTCTATCTAATAAAAGAATAATGTGAGGTTGGTTTCTTTTTTTCTTCTTAAATTTTTCTTACATTAAGTTAAGGTGCATTTCTATATTCTCGAACACCCTTTAAACAATTCGAAGGATATTAGATTCTATTACAATGGCTCGCACGCTCTATGATAAAGTCTGGGACGACCACATTATTGACCAGCAAGAAGATGGTACCTGCTTGATTTATATCGACAGACATCTTGTACACGAAGTCACCAGCCCTCAAGCTTTTGAAGGCCTTCGCAACGCTGGACGACCTGTTCGTCGTCCTGATTGCACTCTTGCAACAGTCGATCACAATATTCCTACAACTTCCAGAAAGAACTTTAAGGATATTACCTCGTTCATTCAAGAGTCCGACTCTAGAACGCAATGTGAAACTTTGGAACAAAACATTCAAGCATTTGGTTTGACTTACTTTGGTATGGAAGACAAACGACAAGGTATTGTTCATGTTATTGGTCCTGAACAAGGCTTTACTCTTCCTGCCACTACTGTTGTTTGCGGTGACTCTCATACATCCACTCATGGTGCCTTTGGTGCACTTGCTTTTGGTATTGGTACGTCAGAAGTAGAGCATGTGCTTGCAACTCAAACGCTGCTTCAGAAAAAATCAAAGAACATGCGTATCCGTGTCCAAGGCAAAGTGTGTGCCGGTGTTACTTCCAAGGATATTGTTCTTCATATTATTGGTGTGATCGGCACTGCTGGCGGTACAGGTTGTGTTATTGAATTCTGCGGTGATGCAATTGAAGCGCTTTCTATGGAAGCTAGAATGTCTATGTGCAATATGTCTATTGAAGCAGGCGCTCGTGCTGGCATGATTGCTCCTGACGAGGTTACATTTGCCTATCTGCGTGATAAACCACTTGCACCTAAAGGAGCTGATTGGGATCGTGCTGTCAAATATTGGAAAACGCTTAAATCAGATCCTGATGCTAAATACGATATCAAGGTCGAAATTAATGCAGCTGATATTGCGCCTACTGTCACTTGGGGTACTAGCCCACAAGATGTTGTTGCTATTACCGGCTCTACACCTGATCCTGCAACTATTTCCAATCCTGCACGTCGCGCAGCAGTTGAACGTGCTCTTGAGTACATCGGTATTGCTCCCAATACACCTATGAAAGAAGTTAAGATTGATAAAGTCTTTATTGGAAGTTGTACAAACTCTCGTATTGAAGATCTTCGTGCGGCAGCAGCTATTGTGAAGGGTAATCATACTGCTGAATGGGTATATGCTATGGTTGTTCCTGGCTCAGGTCTCGTTAAGCGACAAGCAGAACGTGAAGGCTTGGACAAAATCTTTACAGATGCTGGTTTTGATTGGAGAGAAGCGGGCTGTTCTATGTGTCTTGGTATGAATCCTGATCAGCTCAAGCCTGGTGAACGTTGTGCTTCTACTTCCAATCGTAATTTCGAAGGTCGCCAAGGCGCTGGTGGACGAACTCATTTAGTCAGTCCTGCAATGGCTGCTGCAGCAGGTATCAAAGGTTACTTTACTGATGTACGAGAAATGGAAGTCTCAGAAATCCCTGGTACACCCAAGCAGCAAAGTCCTCGCGAAGTCGTCGCAGAATTCGAATCTGAACAAGCTGAGGACAGTACGGCTGAATCTAGCTCTGAGGAATGCTCTCCTATTACTCCTCCTTCTGACAGTAATTCAAGCTCTGGCATGCCCAAATTTACAAATCTCAAGGGTTACGCTGCTCCTCTAGATATTTCCAATGTTGACACTGATATGATCATTCCCAAACAATTTTTAAAGACAATCAAGCGTACTGGCCTTGGTAGTGCTCTTTTCTGGGCTCTTCGCTACAATACTACGACCGGCGAAGAAAACTCTCAATTTATACTAAATCAAGAACCTTACCGACAGGCACGTATTTTGGTGTGTACTGGTCCAAACTTTGGCTGTGGTAGTTCTCGTGAACATGCTCCTTGGGCATTCAATGATTTTGGCATTCGCTGTATTATTGCACCAAGTTTTGCTGATATCTTTTACAACAACTGCTTCAAGAATGGTATGCTTCCTATTGTACTTCCTCAAGAACAAGTTGAGTCTCTTGCTGCTGAGGCCAAGAAGGGTGTAAAAGTAGAAATTGATCTGGTGAACCAGAAGATTCACTTTGCTGATCAAGTGATCTCCTTTGATGTGGAACCCTTCCGCAAACATTGTCTTGTCAACGGATTTGATGATATTGGACTCACAATGCAAAAGTCTGATAAAATTGCAGACTTTGAAAGAAAACGAACAGATACTTGGCCATGGTTGGATGGTAAAGGATATAAGGGTAGCGCAACAAAAGTTAATGTTAGCAGACAATCAAAGAAAGCCAAGTTAGATTGGTAGAAAGCTTGTATATTATAGAGAATAGGATTCAATGCTTGTGAAAAGTCTACGTCCATTCAGCCCCCTTATTCCAATCATCGTTTTTAACAAACTTCATACATCATTCATATACTTATTATAATTGCTCAAGGTTGATAAATAAACTATTCACATCGAAATTCTTCTGTAAAACCGTTCGTACAAAGTTAGGCGCGGTTTACGGAAGCAGATCTCCATTTTTTTTTTTTCGCTTCAGAATGTTCAGTTACAAAGTGAGAATTCTTAATGTAATTTTACGGTTTGAAACACCTAATTGTTATATCGCATAAAAGAATTGTGAAACAAAAAGTTTTGATGCGGATAATTCTCACGACTTACCCATCATCGATCTTTATTGTTCAAGTAATCTACTAAAAAAAATGGTTTGAAAAACTCATATTTTACACTGCAATATCCAGTTATCATATGTTGCAAATGAAATAGTATTTTATTGAATATGGAAATGGTCAAGAATGTTGTAATGTTTGTTTATAACAATGGTATCTTTTAAAGTACTATTGAGCCTAATATTTACGGTTTTATAATTGAGAGGAAGGCACATTTACTCAGCTTGCCAAAGAGAGTGGGCAGCTCCGGGCTGCCAAGTAGGGTTAGAGGTATGGCCTTGGAGACAGACGTAAACCTGGCCGTGGTAAGAGACGCGATCACCAGGAGCGTAAGTACCAACAGGGTTCCACTTTCTGGCATCACCATCGTAATCGTCATTTTCATGACGACGTTCGTGTCTTCCCTCATTTTCATTATCATGTTCGCGTTCATCGTTTCTGAGAGGCTCAGATTCGTCACGTCCTTCTTCTTCTTGCTCATCCTCAGCTTTGCGGTCATCATATAATTTCTTACCTAAGAAGCCGGCTCCAACAGCAAGAGCACCACCCAAAAGGGCGCCACCAACAGTAACACCGGCGGCCTTACGGTTAGTGGATTTCATACGAGCACGGTGGCCTTCTTCAACATAGCTTTGACCACGGATAGGTTCACTGTTGAAGTTAGGAGGTTGAGAGTTAGGAAAACCTTGAGCAACTAATTGTAAATGGATTTGACCAGCACGGTTTTCCTTAGTGTCATAGATGTCAAAAATAGCATTCAAGTGAGCACCAGGAGCATTAACAACTTGGTTAAGAGGGATAGCAGCAAAACCAATAACTTCATCAACGGAGCGCTCTTCATCAAGAACTTCGACAAAGAGGTCAGCTTCACCATTCAAGGCAGTGTTGAAGGCTTCATTCCAAGTGGCACTGTTACCAGCATCCTTCTTGGTAGAGGTTCTCAAATAAGCATTCTTGTTGTTGTAATCCAAAGTGCATTGAACATAAGGATCATTCTTGCCAAGGGTTTCAACGTCCTTTAAGTCACTGGCAGCGATAACGTGGATAGAAAGGCTTGTGTTATTTCCGTGGTGAAGCATCTGTGAATGATTAGATTCAAGTTGATTTGTTTTTGAAAAAAAAAGGGGTAGGAAAGTAAAACACGAATAAAGGTACAGCGTCAAAATTGCATTTTTATATTCAAAACGTCCAAATCAGCCAAGCCCTAAACGTTTCATTTATCCAATTAACGATCAGCTATTCACTCGCATTGTAACAGTAAGTGCTTCCTCTTTGAATGAGTACAAAATGGAAAAACACAGTGAAGTTACCAAAAAAAGGTCTAACCCCGTTTCTTTTAACACAACGAAATTAAAGTTATATAGAAAAATACTTTTTATTTTATTTTTATTTTTATTTTTTCTTTTTTGATTGTTGTAATCACATATATGATTATTGCTTTCCTTACTTTTCGCTGCTCATTTTACACCTGCAGTACCTTAAGTAAAAGCATACACTTCAAAATGACTAGGTCTGGTTATGAGCCATCTTGGTATGTATGGAAGCGGAAAATAGGATGGATATGGTCAATCTGTCACACATAAATGCCGGCATAACATTTTTAACAATATTTGTTTTCCAGCATACTGAGAGAGCATAGATAAATAAAAGCTTACAGAAGGAATACGCTTTATGGAACCTTTCTGGTTTTTTTTTTTTACTTCCAAGTCATTGACAGTAGCTACATGATGAATTTACAATTACAGTATCTATCAGCATGTTTTGTGGTAAATTATATCAAATTAAAGATACTGACATTATCAACTCAACTGTATAAAAATAACCTTCAGGTACCACCAACGTAACGCAGCTCAGCCAATGGTGCCAGCAGTTTGTACTGACATATTATGCAGCAAAAAGGGAATAATCAAAGTTATCTGAAGTACTTATAATAGGTGAAGCATTAGTGTGGTTATTGCATCAATGATAGGTATACAATGAATCTGGAACACATAACCTATTAAATTCTATACGCACTCTTAATTATTCATAGCGAGAGGGACCCGATGATATGTTTTAGAGTGTCTAGTGCAATAATTATAGTGTGACAGAAAATCTGGACATATAAATTGAATGATAATGTTTATGAATTAAGGAAAATAGCTTAACTTAAATTCTCGTTTGAACATAGTTTGAAGATTTCTAACAGCAATAATATGAAGATGCCCTTAAAAAAGGCATCGCTGTAAGAACTGAATTAATCAATATTCGTCTGCAAAAATGCAAACTTAAGGCAAATATCTTTATACTACATGAAGTTTTCAAACTGGAACTTGCAATATGGAAGCTTATAGTAGACACCTCATTGCCTTTTATTTACCCCCACTTGCTCGAGAGTAGTGAGGCGCTAATGTTAAACATTGAGCTCTAAAAAGAAAATTAAGTCGGTCGTGACACTTAATCGTTGTCTGGCTAGAATATAAGAAGCATGTCTTAATGCGAATATAATGCTCGGAACTAGCAGTGGGAATTTGATGTGAGATAGTCTGCAACTATGCTACGGTAAACTTTCTTGAGTCTCTTTACCATAAGGCTACTTTTCCCTGAGACAAAAGTGCGAGCACCTACAGAGTGCCAAGATCAGCAACTTGTGCTCCATGCCAAATATTTCTCACTCTAAAAAAATAAATAATAGGCTTTTGTGACACAACAATTTTCACAGTGCAGGTTCCTTTACGTGTCGTAGAATGAAAACATATTTGCATCAAGAACAATTGTTGCATGATTTATAGTGAGTTGCTTCAGTTTTGCTAGTAGGGTTTGGCCTTGGAAATTGATCATAGTCAAGTCGATGATATGAAATGGGGAAATTTAACGATCAACGACGGGCTTTCCTTATATTTTGTCCGCTAAAAAGTTATTAACGATAATAGGCAACATTAATAAGGCCAAACGCTATTTTAATTTTACGTGATAAAACCCTCCTCCAAAAACTTACATACCTCGTGTCTAGTCAATGCTCTCATTATGTGCAATCGCCCTTCAAAAAAGCCTTCGATTTTGAATATGAATGATTCCATCTATGCTATAGTGAATTTACTACATTATATGTATATTCTTATACTATTTTGAGTGATAATGTTTACTTAATATCAATAATGCGCAGCCTTAAAATCTACTCAAAGAAGCTAAAGCTGAAGGACAGTACACTTATGAATAGAAAAAGAAACCTACGACTGGGGAGAGTCAAAGATCAATTGTTGATTTTTCTCAGAAGAAAAATTAGTGAATAACATACACAATACAGTTAGTTAAGATATTTTGTTTGTTGCGACTGATTTTCCTTGTTGATCATATCAAATTTTCATGATGAGCTTATTATAGTTTATGTGACATTAAGGCTGCAGCTTGAGCCAAGACAAGTAGATGAGTAGCCTTTTCTTCAGTATCTGATAACGCCGAAAAAAGGCGTTATCAATGAGTGCTGCTTTCGTTTCAAACAAAACGTGTGGTACAATCTGGAAAGTTTTACATTTTGAATTCACTCAAAGAACAGGTATTCGTTGTCCTAGAGTTTTGTGCTTTAGAGTACTCAATTGTGGCCTGAACTATTGTACTGTGGGTAGCCAGCCTTGGAGGACGAAGAGATAAACGTTCATAAGATCAGTTAAAGAAATACGTCAACTAAAAAAAAATTCAAACAATGAGTCATTTATAACTCCGTAAGATTATGCTTCTGTATCGTAACTATCTCGTTGCATAGCTGCCAGTATTGATGAAAATGAAGGTGATGGTGCTCTTAAAGGCTAACGTTCGTAGTTAGAAACATAGAGTAGTATTAACGCATGCTTCAGAAATGCGACAATGTTGAGGAAAAGTGTATAACAATGCAGCCACATCTTGTTAAAGAAAGATCAGACAGTCACTCCAATTGATCTTAGTCAAGTTCAAGCCCCACATTTTTGACTCCCCCCACATTTAATATTTTTCGGAAAAGCTGGCTCCTTACACTTTTTGAACCAGCAGACAGTGTTTTCCTCATTTTTCTACCGTCAATATGGACAGTCAAAGAGTTGGTATTCTCGGTGGTAAGCGTTAAACTATACTAATGTTATACTACTTCGTAAAACACTTTCTTAACTTTACATTCTCTCCTCTGTATGTATTTGTAGGTGGGCAGTTGGGCCGCATGATGATAGAAGCAGCCTCTCGAATGAACCTCAGAGTTACAGTCCTTGATAAGCCAACTGACGCTCCGGCCAAGCAAATTGAATCTACCCAAGAGCATATTCACGGAGCCTTTAGCGATGCTGAAAAAATAAAGGAACTTGCAATAAAGGTTGACGTTTTAACTGTAGAAATAGAACATGTCAACGCAGATATTTTGGCTTCCATTGAAAAAGAAGGTTCTGTGCGTGTTTGTCCATCCTCATTTACGATCAAAACAATCCAAGATAAATTCAATCAAAAAGAATATCTTTCATCTCATGGCATACCGGTAGCCGACTATCGAAACACACCCACAATAGAGGACATTACAAAGGCCAGTGAAGTGTTCGGATATCCCTTCATGCTGAAATCAAAAACGATGGCTTATGATGGAAAGGGAAATTACGTCATAAAATCAGCATCTGATATTCCTGAGGCAATGGTGGCTTTAAAGAACCTTCCCCTGTATGCTGAAAAATGGGCACCTTTTGTAAAAGAGTTGGCCGTTATGGTCGTTCGACGTGCTAATGGTGAGGTTCGTTCATATCCTGTGGTGGAAACCATTCACAAGAACAGTATCTGCCATCTCGTCATAGCGCCTGCTCAAATTGACGGTAGCATTGCTAAGAAAGCCGCGTCGATTGCTGAGAATGCCATCAAAGCTTTTCCTGGTGCCGGTATCTTTGGTGTAGAAATGTTCTTAATGGAAAGCGGCGAGATCTTGTTGAACGAATTGGCTCCCCGCCCTCATAATTCGGGCCATTATACAATTGAAGCTTGCGAAACGTCTCAATTCGAAAATCATATGCGTGCTATTTTGGATCTGCCACTGGGATCTACAGCGATGAAAGTGCCAGCATCCATTATGGTGAACATTTTGGGAGAAAATACAGATATGGACGCATGTTACAAACCCTGCCATACTGCTTTACTAACAGACGGAGCCACGATCCATTTGTATGGTAAGAAAGAATGTCGACCAGGTCGTAAAATGGGACATATTACAGTTGTTGGTGAATCTATGGTGGAAGTGCAACATCGACTTAAACCAATCTTGGAAGTATTGGAGCCAGGTGTCGAACGCCCCTTGACCGTAATACCTTTGGTGGGTATAATTATGGGTTCCGATAGCGATTTGCCCGTGATGAAAGTGGGAGCTCAAATATTGAAAGACTTTGGAATTCCATTTGAATTATCCATTGTTTCTGCTCATCGGACACCTTTACGTATGGTTGAATATGCACAATCAGCAGCTCAGAGAGGAATCATGGCTATTATTGCTGGTGCAGGTGGTGCTGCTCATTTGCCTGGTATGGTAGCAGCGATGACACCGTTACCTGTCATTGGTGTTCCTGTGAAGGGTAGCTCATTGGATGGTGTAGATTCTCTTTACAGTATCGTGCAAATGCCTCGTGGTATTCCCGTTGCCACAGTTGCTGTGAATAATAGCACAAATGCTGCTTTGCTTGCAATTCGTATTTTAGGTGCATCTATTCCCAGTATTCAACAAAAAATGGCTGCTTATATGAACAAAATGGAGAAGGAAGTTATGACAAAAGTCGAAAAATTAGATAATGTTGGATGGGAAAGCTATTAGATTATGCTAAAGGCAGGGAGATATAGTACTCTAAGCTTAAGATCACTCTTATATATTGATCGCAAATTGTATATACACATATATCCTTAGTGTAATCATTAACAGAATTGCACTCGACAAATAAAGCACTATAAATGGTAAAAATTGGCTTTTAATGAAGGAAGTAATGTTTCCTTCTGATTCTCAAAGAAATCAGAAACGAGAGATGGCATATGCGTTCTTTGGGCTGCACTAGTAGCCGAGGCATTCTCAGTATCGCCTCTTATTGTTCATCATACAAGTATTTTGCGTAGGTATGAAATAAATATTCGTCTAAGAACTCTCCGAAAAACATAGCAACCTCTTTCGTGACATAACCCTCTAAATCAAAAGCTCCTTTACTGTATTATTCAGCATGAAGATACTACAATATCTTTGGAGGATGATAGACTATAGTCCTAACCTATCCAAAGCTGTCAATTTACATTTGTGGAATGATTGGTCTCCATACGTTTTTGAGCATAGTTCAAGTAACTATGGTCAATTCTCAAGAATACTAGGATATTTGCGGTTGGTAGGTTAACTTAAAAATGTGAACGGAAGATGTTACATTCTAGTGATTAAGAAGAAATGTTCACTAGGCCTCTTTAATTATTTTACTTTACATGAAAAAAAAGGAAAGGAAGAGTATTCAAAAACAAACAGATGTTTTTTGAAACAGGGAAAAATACTCGTTCCTGAGATAGGAGTATGTGTGATCCTTATGAGGCTGTAATAAATAGTACAAAGCGACGTGTATCAGCTATCATACAAGCACTATTTTAATGCTTTCAACATAATAGCACGCTTTATACCGAAGACGTGATCTAATTTGTATATGCATACGGTAAGAAATGTGGATGTACAATTGATGTGACTCTCAAATTAGTGCTATTTCCAAACAAAAACTTTCCATCATAGTGACCAGCGTCATAAATGAAATTTACTAACAGGTAGCTGTGTTAGATACAGTATATAATCCAATGTTTGCGTATGAAAATTGAACTTATCAGATAATCACAGAGAAGAGCATAATAGCGCTGTAAAAAGAAAAAAGTATACTTTGATATGGCTTGTTCCGCAATGCGTTTATACGCGTGCTTGGTGTGATTACCATGGCTTTTCGACCCATGATAGTCCAAATAGACATATTAAGGCGAATAGAAGAGTGTATATTCCCTAGACACCTAATTTCAACATTATAGCCGCATCTAAGAAGTCATATAATCGTCCAGTTTAGTGTTTTCTGATATCTTTGAGAATTTGGATTAAAGTTCCTTTGTACTTTTAATACTTTAAATGTAAAGCAGCTGTGAGAATATTTTAGCAGAGAAGAGAAAACATGGTGATGAAGCTGTTAAAATTATTCTCAAATAATCTTGCTTTGGCTTCAAAAACGCACTTACTGACAGCATTAAACAACGTGAAGAAGTAAATACGACATGATAATAAAAGAAAAGGGTCTTTTGGATGCTTTCGCTGTTATCGCCTCAACATGCTCAGCGTTTCTCATTCTATAAGGACGTCATTTTGTTCGTAAGAGTCTCCAAACTATGACAGAGCAGGCTGAAATCTGAAAAACTCTCTTCTAGGCCAGAAGAGGTTGCAGAAAAGTTTAAATCCAGTCTAGTCCTGCTTGAAGGGTAAAAAATTCTCCTTAAAAAATACTGAGGATGTGCCGGAGACAAAAATTGTGCTGCTGGGTGTATGTTGCTTGGTCACAGATTTGAAGTTTAATTGGTCAATTTTTTGAACTTCATTTGGTCATCTTTTCGAACCCTGGTCACTTACCGCAGTTAGTTCCATACTTCGACCGTTTATATAATGTAATAGAAGTAATTTATACTAACTGTTACTCTAAAGTTAACATATCAACAAGAACAGCTACAGACAGTAACAATGGTACTTTAGGTACTTTAGAACCTAAAGTACTTAAAGCAATTACTGAGAAAACAGTTGATAGAACGAGATACAATTGCTTCTATCAATCTTATCATTGATCATTTGTTTATACCTTTTATTTTTCCAATAAAGTTCATTATTCCCCTTCCATAATATATGTTATATCTCATTTTAAACAGTTGTATTATTCTCATAGTCTTAATTTGTAAATTGTATGTATTTTTAGTGACATTTTAACATGCTTTATTTTCAAAAAAAACAAAAAAACTAATGAATGCATATGAGATCAATAGAAGCTAGACAATAGCTGCTACAGATTAAGAGATTGTCCATAAACCTCCTATGTTTCCGTAGATGGCATTTCAAGTAACAGCCGAACTCAGGGTATACTTACAAAAAGGAATAGCATAGCTACATCACTAAAAATAAAATAAAAGTCGGTTTTTAAGAGAAAAAATCAATTTCATTTCCAAGCAAATGTATAGAAGCCATTAAGGCTACAGAGACGATATCAAACCTAAAAATAAAAAAAAGGTCAGTAAACCGCCAGATTCTTACACGGAGTTGTCCTGACACGAAGGCCAGCAGGTCCTTTAGAAACCTGACACAGACGTCAATAGATGCTCGCTTTCTACAGGGAGTTGTCCTGACACGAAGGCCAGCAGGTCCGTTCGATCGCTAACAACAGACATGAGGGAAGTTCAGCTACAAGGCTTGTCCTGACACGAAGGCCAGCAGGTCCGTTCGCCTACTAGACGTTGTAATGTGACCAGAAGTTCGAAAAGATGACCAAATGAAGTTCAAAAAATTAACCAATTAAACTTCAAATCTGTGACCAACGTTTTCGAAAAAATATCCAATTGACAGTGGAAGCACTGTATCTTCATTGGAGCTGGCATATTTGACTTTTTGCAAAGGTTGCATAGATATAGTTTCATTTGCTTTATTAATGACGATCCAACTTAAAACCAAACGTAATCGCAAGTTACCACGGCGAGAAATTTTGGATGCTGATTTAGTTGCTGCATCCTCAAATTCCTCAACTCGAACAAGCCGACTAAAAACCGATGAGTTATTGTTCTTGTCAACCACAGCGCCTTCACAACACGATCGCACCATTCTAACAGAGTTATGGGGTCAACAAGAGAATGCCTCACCATATAATAGTAAAATGAACAGTTTTATTAGTACTGAAAAGTCATTACCTCGAGTTTCTATCAACAAAAAGACACCCTTTACAAACAATACGACAGCCACTACAGCAACAGCCACTACAGCTATTACTACTATTATTCAAGACAGAGACCGAAAGCAAGTGCCACATTTGAATGAGACCCTAAAGAAACACAGTATGAATGACATCAAAAGCTATAAAGAACGCCTTTTAGAGGCAACGACAGTAAAAGACAACAACAAATGGATGGCGGATTTGAGCAATTTTATGGTTATACCACCTATTTTTGCAAATATTGAACAAAAGCCCCAGAGGTCGGCTTCACCGCTATCTCCAACTATTCCGAGTGATGACAGTGTGGATGAACATAAGGGAAACGTAAATAATGATAACGATTGTACAGATGTTATAGATAGCATTGGTGAAGAAAGAAAGAGAAAGAGCCCCAAACCTGGCACAATCTTGACAGAAGCAACAACAGAGAGTAATCAAGGTAATATACTAACAGCGGGAGACGAACGAAAAGAAGCAGCGAAAAATGAAGTTTTCAACGTTGACAGTGTTGCAAATACTGTTGAACTGACCCAACAGACATTGGCAAACAAATTATCAAGCAATGAAAATCCATTGATTGATGATGATCATTCATTCGGCCTACAAGGAAGAACGAATTATAGTGATATTTTAGAAGCCACTCAAATTGAGAAAGAGGCTGATATTACCTCATCGAATATTTTGAACGAACATCTGGCGCAGAAGGAAGAAGCAGAGCAGGAAATAACTGTAAAATTACAAGGTTCAGATAACAGACAAAACGAGAATGGCGAGTTGAACGACAATACATCCATTACAGACAAACCAGCAGTAGAAGAGTCAAAGGTAGATTTATTGCAGCCTACAACATTAACAAATACCCATGCGGTCTTAGCAGAACAAATATCAACCACGCAAAATACCTCAAGTAAAGCCGTTCAAATGGAGGTGCCTGACATGGAGACGATCGAAAGTGAACAGACTAACGTTAACGACAATAATGATAACTTTATCATTGCTAAGAATGAACCTGCAAACAAGCAAACGGAAAGCGACTTTGCTTCAAACACCCCATCAACCACCTATAAAGAAGACAACAATACCAGTGTTGATACTTCAAGTGTATCTGTTACTGATTTAACCGTGACAAAAAGGTTTGCAGAAAATGAAGAATGGTCTGATTCAGAAGTCTTTTACGTGAAAACCGAAACAACTCAAGAGAACATGGTGAATGATAAGCCAGATGCAATAAAACTTTGTAAAGTTGAAGCAGCAATTGTTCAGATTAATATTCCAGAAGAAGCCAAAGCCTTCATTGGCAGACAAGAAAAGGAAATAGTGCAGGAAAAGGTTATGGCAGAAGATGAAGTTGTGGGATCGACTGATTGTAATACAGAATCCGGTGCTGTATTATTACCAGACGCTCTTAAAGAAGAAGCTTTTAAAACAGAAGACATGGCAGTTGTCGAAACAGCAGCGGACTCAATGGACGAAATCTTTACAGATACAGATGAGGATATGGGTAGAAATTTCGATTTGGATATTCAAGACCATCCATCGTATGATGGTCTTTTACATACGACAGCTGCGCAACCTATTGTAAATAATGAATTACGTTCTGCCCATCCTTCATTAACAGATAGCAATCTGCAACTTGTAAATATCACTGCTTCCGATTCTCTGCTATATGAAAACTTCACTGGCAAAAAAGCTGGAGAAGATGCTTCCTTTATACCCAATCCGTGCAACCCTGCAACCACTGCAATAACTGATACCCTCTATTCGCCTTCTTGCTCACCATCTTCTTCTACAATTTCAAGTCTATTCCAAACTATTAAAGATGAGACAAGGCTTGGAATTTACGATGAATTTCTTGAAGATGATGATGAGATTGATGGCGATAAGGACTATCTATTGGAAAACGACGAAGATGCTGGGCAGGCCGAGGTGTATGATCAAATTTACGGAATCATGCTTCGGGGCCAGCCTTCGTCTAGCAGTGAAAGACGACCGAATGCAGAGGTTCGTATGACAACACCGCTAAACATAATGAAGAAGTGGGAACCATACAAAAAGAAGCATTCTATTCTCAAAATTTTAAAAGCGGCGAATGCATTGGTTTGGGTTGAAAACGGTCCAGACACTGATGCAAGAAAAAAAGACATTGGTTTAGTAAGAAAACGCCAACTTTATGACAAATTAGAGCAACCTTACATTTTAAGAAAACGAATCAAAAGCAGTTGGAAAATCGTTCAGCAAGACGTATGCCTCAGCAATGTGTAGAGATTCATTACTGGTTCTCTCCAAATTTGCGGTAGCTATAGAAATAAATTTAGCACCTTTTGACTTTGTACTATGCCGCCTTCGAACCATTGACAAGGAGTTTTGCAGAGTTGATCTGTTTCTTGACTTTGCTCATAATAACGCTGCTTCCGTTGGTGTCGGCGTTCAATTTTAATGGAATTGGTTACTGAATTCAATCATGTGCATGATTCACCGTCGCCTTCTTTCCTTAAAGAAGCTGTAATTGAAGCATCGGTGCTGGATGTGCAAAAGTGCCTTATATAGTCTTGGTTAATAAGCAACAAAGCAAGCCTGCGTAGCCAAATCATTTCAGGTTGGCCCAACTTTTACAGTTTTGCTTTGTCGATTAGCGAAAATCGTGTATTGTAAGCCGACTCGGCGACTTTTTTTTTTTTTTTTTTTTTTTTGCTTTTTTGCAAGCGAGGAAAGACTACCACTATTTGAAGCAGTAGGATGTCTTTTTCTTTGCTGTTTATTGAAATTTACAGGTTGAATACAGCATAAAAATTTGTTCAAAGCAATTCACAATTGATCGCAGGACAGAGGTTTTGCTAGAGTTGGCAGTTTATAATCAATACAATATTGGAGAAAGGACAGCTAGAGAGCGTCAACATGAGTGTAAACCCAAGGAAGTCAAATTATATCCAGCACGAAAAGCTCATAAAGTTGTACATGTTCTTATTACGAAACAAAGATCGCAGCATCTCCAGTTGTCAGATCATTGACCCTTTAGAGTCTTCAACAAGGCAAGATGCCTCACTTCGCAGACTTATATCTCGAAATCCTAGTGAGAACTCAAATAAGACCATCCAACAGGATTCCCTGAGTTAACATTTTTGCAGCAGCAATAAGCAGAATACAGAAATTTCACTTTGCCAACGCTGTAGTAGCACAGGCTTGCGAAATTACCTTTGTCAAAGCAATTAAGTCAGACATCCCCAATAAAAATATTGCTTTGCACTTGCGCTCTGTCCTTGAACACAATCTTTGTAACAGTAAAGTAATGATCCAATCACTTTTTACTTTCAGATGTGAGCAATACTTTGTTAGCCAATCAAAAGACGATTTGAAATTTTTTTTGCTGCCAATCTTTCTATATCTTTGACCCCCTTCTTTAATTCTGTTGTTCTTTTTTTCTCTACTCGATAAACAGCTGTTAAACCCTTTTTAAACCTATCTCTATAAACTACCCTTTAGAACTATTAGAATCTGTTTAAAATGATTGCTTTTTAAATTGTTTATCGTGTTTCCCGTTTGTTATTTGACCATCCCCTAATATCTGTATCTGTTAAACTTGTTAAATATTTGATATTTTGTTAAATTTGTTAAACATGTTTTTTGATTGTAACTGTCAAAAAATGTTCTTTTGTAATCCCACCTTCAAGCCATTTTTCTCTTATACTACTGACGAACCCTCAACCTGCACCAGAAAGAAAGTCTAATTTATCCCAAGCGCGCCACTCAAGTAATTTTTCTTAATCGATTAAAAGGAAAAAAATATAAAAATGAACATGTCTACTACAACATACAACCAGAATCTCTTCGCTACTACCACTAATAACAACAACAATAACAGCAACAATACTAATGCTAGTGGTAGTAGCAGCAATGCTTTCATGTCTCAGCAAGACCAGCTTGTCTTTGCTCAGCTTTTGAACAATCCAACAGCAACTCCTGCTCTTTCTATCCATTCCTCAACTTCATCTGCTTCGTCACCTCCCATTTTAGCTGATGATGATTGGTTTAGCTCTTCAACAATTACTCCGACTCTGATCAGTAATGCTGTTGCTGAGCTATTCCTCAAGCAACAACACTCATCTGATATTCTTTTGCAAGATATTCTTCAGTTATTACCTATCTCACCACCTTTGACAGCTGAAAGTCTCGGTTCAACATCATCAGAAAAACAACAACAACAGCAACAACAGGATGATCCTGTTTCGGCTGAAGCTTTGGTTGCTTTGTTCCCTGATATCTTGACCGGCACCCTTGCTAGTAATACACAACAGCAACCACAAGAAACACCTCCACCTATGCCTGTCAAAGTGCAACAACAACCAGCAGCAGCAACTCATTTCCGTCGTTTGGCGCCTATCACCCCTAAACCTATTATGCCCAGGACAAGTAATGCAGTTCTTATTGCACCCCGTCCTACAGTTGCTGGTGCTTGTGGCTCTCTAAACGTTCCAACTCTTTCTCCTCCTATTACTGCTGCTGTTCCTGCCACTAATATGGGTATTAAACGCAAGTTGATGACGAGTCCTCAACAAACAGATGAAGCTGCCTTGAAACGTCAAAAGAATACAGATGCTGCTCGTCGATCTCGTCTAAAGAAGATTATCAAGATGGAGAATTTGGAAAAGAAAGTTGCTGAGCTTGAGAGCGAAAATGCTAGACTTACGACCCGTGTTGCCGTGCTTGAGTCTGAGAAGAGTGCTCTTTCTTCTAAAGAAAAAGGTCTTGAAGACCGCATCCGAGTATTAGAAACTCAATTAGCCGAAGCTCATAAAGCTCTTACTTCCAAACTTTCTTCTTAATTTTACATATAATGCATCTCTTTATTATAACATTTTAGTATAGTATAATATTATCACTATCATTTCTTTTTACTATACTTTGCTTTTTCTATCACACTGACAAATCATAAATCATATTTACAATTTGCTTTTCATACAAAGTTGATTCAATAAATATTTTATAAACAAGATCTGTGCCAAGTCATTTATTTAAACATCTACAAATCCTTCTACAAATTCATAGATAGAATCTAAGGTACTCTGTTGTATCTGTTCGTTTTCCAGGGGCGGTTTTCTTGCGTAACAAGCGAACCAATCCAAATACGACCGATATCGGTCACATTCATCGAGAATAGTATGAATTGTCTCTTTATCCACTAGTGGCCAACTTGTCGTCTGCTGCATATGCATACGTTGGCTGTTACGACCTACATTATTTGTTGTGATAGAAGACAAGAGTAGCTGGAAATTCAAACTGTGAAGTTTAGCAATTTTCGGGTCTCCATTGTCAGGCCAGTCTCCCAGAGGCAACACAGCATGTTCTTGGCATATGTCGATAAAACGACCGATAAAGGAATTACCTGAAGAATGGCCATCATCGTTGGGATTGAGGAGAAGAAAGCTAAAGATAGGATGGTTGTTTGTGGATTCACTAGGAGCAGAAGCGATATTGGTGGCATGAATCGTGGGATAAGAAGTAGAAGCAGCATGAAGCGTGTGCTTTACTACGTACAAAAGATACACAACGTGAGCCATAAGGCATTGAAGAAGGATGCTATTGAGATTATTGAATATAATACTTACAATCAATGTTCACAATCTTATTAGAAGCAGGACCTGGATGTCGAATGGTATAATTTGTATCCACAATTTCAAAATATCCACCAGGCTTCAATACGCGTCCAATTTCATTCAGCAGAAAAGCTAACTCTCCTGGTGAGAAATAGTAAATCATCATCCGCATATGGATATAGTCAAATTCAGCATCTTTAAACGGCAATCCTTTGAATATGTTATGTAATCTAAAATGTGAGTTAATAGGCTTTATATGGCTTGGAAAGAGAGGGCAATCATCAATGCCGTAGAATTCTAAAAAGATAAACATTTAAATTTTACTTTAATTGTTATATTTATTTATTTTTTTTGGTTCACACAGTTATGCTCTATTTTACCTGCATTTGGGAATTCTGTAGCCATTTCCAAAATCCTAATTTTTTTTTTTAACAGAAATATGAAAGATTAGAATAGTTTGAAATTTGAAAAGCAAATATCAGGGGCGTGCATTTAATCTTGAACGAAAATGGTCTGATTTTTTTATGGATATACATTATCTATGGGATAATAATAGTAACAAGTTGTAATACTATAGTTTAACATACCATGTGCCAGGTCCACAACCTATATCTAATACTTTGGTACTGCCCTTCAACGTCAATGGTGACTCCAAAAGATGCTGCACAGGTGCAATAAAGTTGCCATGAAATGTCGCTTTAAGGATATAATGCTATTTAAACGAGTTAGTTGAAATAATTCGTTATATGAAGAAAGATACATTGCGTTTGAGTCTCTACCATAGTCATTAGCCTATCTGATTCGTCGTCATCACAAGGGAGCATAAAATGTCGTGTAGTATGACTCTTCCAAAACGTTTTGTTATTCAGTGTTATATAATTGGATGAAGGATCTGCGTCCAAGATATTGGACGTGTTGGTTTTGAACGTGATATTTGACTGTTGTTGATCGTGTTGTTGTACAATAGTAGGTGCTTCACTAGTGGATATCGTATTATTATTATTAGAATTAATAGTAGATGTGATAGAAGACCGTTTTCTATTGCTAAAATGCGTAGTAGTAGTAGTAGTAGTAGTAGTAGTATTGGTTGAAGGGGGGTATACGTTGGAATTTATGGATGACTTGGTACTTGGATGATGATGTAAGGATGCAACAGAAGAAGACTTTATAGATGAAGATCTGGTAGACGAATTGGAAGAATGTACCGTAGGAGATTTTTTTGCAGGTTGAACAGTGACAGCTGCTGCTTCAAAATAATTGAATGTAACAGGCTTTGTTGATATGCTACTTGGAGTAGTAGGATTACTACTGCCTGTTCGATTGCTGTTGATAGAAGTTTTGGTATTCTTCGGTGTACGTGGCATAGAAGCGCCCATGTGTTGATTGGTGAAAAAGCTACCTGTGTATGGTTTTTTGATCGTGCTGGTAGACGAATGGTTTGATGATGAGGTGGATCGTTTTGATAGAATGGTTGGATATGTCCGTTCTGTTTCAACACTCAAGACGGATGCAGCTTTAGAATGTTCATTTCCCATAATAACAGTAACTCGCAGTGATTTATTTTGATGAGGAGTGGAGGTATCAGTGTAGCAATTTCTATTCGTTGGTAAATCGTTTTGTCTGTTCAAATTTGGAAAAGATTGATCTTAATAAAAGAGAGGCGTAAATTATACACTTAGTGAATAGAAGAATGGGAAAGCAAGTAAAACGAGAAAGAAAAGAAAAAAAAAAAGCACTACTTGCTACTGCTACGGCTGCTGCATGCTCTAATACGTTCCTGCTGTTGCTATCGACGCTTGTTTTCGTCGCGCGCGCTGGTATAACTCTCCTGACCATTCATATTTTGTAAAGTTAGAATCTCTATAATTTCGTTCAATGAGGATCGACCCCCACCCATAGTGCTCGTGCAACGTCTAATCTCATTCGTTTATTTTTCACGGGGAAAAAAGCTTAATTCTGTTGATTTAGTTTGACGATTTCTTTACTCGTTCCAGTAAATCGAATATGGTTGATCAAATTGTGTATGGTTGAGATTGTAAAAACTTACTGAATAACCCACAAGAGAGTTGTGAGGTACGCCAAAAATATAGAGGAGGTTTCTCATGAGAGCACCGGTTCTCACTCGGGCGACATGCCAGTCTGTGAATAGATACAAGGACCCTTTCTTTTCCTAACATGACTAACAGCTTCCATATTAGAGGCTTTCAATTATCTATCTGAGCTTTCTGATATAGAATGTGTGTGTGTTTGTAAGTGGGGCGTAAGTGGCCATCAGGAAGCCAAGAACTTTAAATTCTTTGTCATGTGTACTACAGTAGTTACTATTATTTGTGGGTGAAAGTATCGTTTACATTTCGTAGTACCTGTGTTATATAGAGGCTATGTGTAATGGGTCTTTTAACAATATCTCAAGCCTACTTGCAAAATTTGAGTTGCAGAAATTATATGTATAAAATCCCGTATAAATTGCATATCCATCTGTACAACAACCTTATAAGAAGCGTGAGTATATATGATTGCGTTTTATTTTAATTACACCTCAATGGACGAAAGGATGTACCTGAATTCAGGGCATAATACAATTCTTAACTTTCAGCCATCCTGGTCAGTAGTAAGGGCACAAAATTGTATGCTACCCATTGTGATATTAGAGACCAATGATTGTTGATAGGAATTTGAAAAGATGCAAGCCTGGATCTTATACGGACAGATTCGTATATAAATTCCCTTGACTGTGTTACGTTAGATAATAATCTCGATATACACATTTTTTGCTATAACTGATCTGAATTCTGCCATCCGTGTGCTGCTTTTTATTGACATTCTGTTTTCTCGGTTCCCACCTTTACGGGCGGAACTCTCTTCCAAGATGACTTGGGTAAATTTTTCTAACGTCGCAAATAGAAAAACATAATGAAGTACTACCAAATGGGCTCTGGTAGGGCGATATTTTATCTGTGTAACCTAAGATAGAGCAACCATTCTGAGCAGAGTAATTGTTATGTACATGGTGCTTTTAGAATACACATTTACAATATTTGCAGCATCTCTGTATGGCCATCGACTGTATAGAATTTGAGCTATAGGTCAATAAATAGTCATTACAATAATGCAGTAAGATAGCAAAAGACGAGTCTTGTTATCTATCTGAGGAGTAGCAAGCGATAACTCTATTTAGGATGGTTAAGCCTAGAACTGTTAGCTCTTAGCCAGAACTGTCATAACCGAGAGACGAGGAGTCAATTTCAAATAACATCAGGCCTGTACGTTTGCCAGCCCTCTTATGATGGATAATTCAATCTCCGTCCGGAAAGGCTCTAGCGGATGATCTTTGTACTGCTCTGCAGCAGGTGTGCTCAGATAAGTAAAACTGGATGCAAGGTAATAGGTAGTTCCTTCTTCATTTATAGTATTAAAGTGAGTATCACAAAGATGCACGATCAGCAACGATGGATTATCAAAGGATGTATTTAGATGAATGGATGAACTGATGGATGTAATTATTGATGTTAATTTGGTAGTATGGCTGACTCAGCAACGGCCGGTGCTTCTCGTGGTAATTATCGAATCTGTCAATGGACTTTGACGTCCATTCAACAACAACAACAACAACAATTAGATGATGCAATTTCTGACATAATCTACATTCCTTTTTCATTCAAACTTTAGGACGTGGTGGATTCGGACGTGGACGTGGACGTGGTGGACGTGGACGTGGACGCCGTGGAGAAGAAAAGAACGAATGGGTTCCTGTCACCAAACTCGGTCGTCTCGTTAAGGCTAACAAGATCAAATCCATTGAAGAAATCTACCTTTTCTCTTTGCCTATCAAGGAATACCAAATTGTTGATTATTTCCTTCCTAAGCTCACTGATCAAGTCATGAAGATCATGCCTGTTCAAAAGCAAACCACTGCCGGTCAACGTACTCGTTTCAAGGCTTTCGTTGTCATTGGTGACGAAAACGGTCATGTTGGTCTTGGTGTCAAGTGTGCTAAGGAAGTTGCTACGGCCATTCGTGGTGGTATCATCTTGGCCAAGCTCTCTATTATCCCTGTCCGTCGTGGTTACTGGGGTAACAACCTTGGTGAACCTCACACTGTTCCTTGCAAGGTCAGTGGTCGTTGTGGTTCTGTCATGGCTCGTCTTGTCCCTGCCCCCCGTGGTACCGGTATTGTCGCCTCTCCTACCGCTAAGCGTGTCCTTCAATTAGCCGGTATTACTGATTGTTACACTACCTCTCGTGGTTCTACCCGTACTTTGGGTAACTTCATCAAGGCTACTTTCGCTGCCATTGGTAATACTTACGGTTTCTTGACTCCTGATCTCTGGGAAGAAACTGAATACACCAAGGGTCCTTATCAAGAATTCTCAGATTTCCTTGCTCAAAAGCAAAGAAAGTAAACATCTAACAGATTGGATACTTCGGAATCAAGCAGTTCTCTATTCTGATAATAAATTGCCCTTTGTTTTTTTTTATTATTCGTATGGTTTATCTGCGCTGCTTCCTCAGATCGGTTGATATTTGATAATTGTTAAAGTGTGTGTAGGTAAATGGGATGAACATGCGACGGCGAATATCTGTTGACAATCACATAGATAAAGCGAATAATGAAGGAGAGAAACTGTAGAGGTACAGACTTAACTAGCCTTATCTTGCCAATGCAATTCCCACTGTAGTCTATCAATGATCTAAGCTGTGAGGCGACTTGAATGCTATTTATCTCATTAGCGAATGGCTTGTTTACTGAAAAAATTATGGATAGCGTCAGCATTTGATTATTTAATTGCTTATTTGTAAATGCCAGAACGTAATTGATTACCGCAAAATGTTACAGTGCATTGATTAACCTTAACCTGCCAACCACCTTCTTTTTGTTCGTCAAATACACCAATTTATATTATTTTTTACCAAAATGTCATCCAACAACTTCCGTACTAGCAGTTTAAAGCGCGAAAGAATTGTTTATGAAAAGTTCAATTTTTTTAGATGCTTCTCTAAAGGAAATCCCACACACATAAGGAAAAATGTAGTGATAATATCTTGTGCAGATTATGGAACAGATTGGTCATGCGCAACGGTCACTTATTTGAATCATTACAGACTTTCCGCCATCATCAAAAGTTAGTAAAAAATGTGTAAGGTTTTGATCATTATTAACGTACACAAGTAATCTTTAGATATAAGTTGATAAACATGTGATTAACATTAAGAGTCTTGTAATATTTCAATACTTTAAGCCATCTGCCGTCTACAATTGACAGTATCAATATTTGTAGAACAGAATTGTTCATTAAGAAGTAGCAAAATTTAAAGCAAATTTAGCTGGTTGCTGTTGGACAATATTCTTAACGTATTATTTAACGTATTATTGCTAAATAATATTTTTTTAAGGTGAACAATAGTATAGTAAGGCTGTAAATTGCGAAGTATCTGTTTGACGTGAACTGTAGTGCAATATCGTAAGGAATAGAATGGATAAAGCGCCTAATATTCCAATATCCTCATAACGCTCTTTGTTGGGTCTTTTTTTTCATTATTGCTAAAAAGGAAATCAATCAATGGTACGGTATACTAATGGTTCAGAAGACGTAGAAAAGTATTTGTAGAAGAAGAGTTTGCCGGGATTCGAGGGATTCGACAGAAATAAATTACTAACTGTATGGCATACCACTAGTAATAATGAATGGCGCAAATGAGTAGCGTAGCAGAATAGATTCCATTTTCTGTAAGCCGATCTCCTGTGACTTTTGTTCAAAAGCACAGTCAGTTCGTGTTGTCAAATTTGTGTGCGCACACCCTTTTTTTAACCTTTTACATTCGCGTCCAACATTCCTTTACTCTTGCTCCAGCATAATTTTTGGAAAAATTCATATTTTGCGACTTATTTTGTTAAAGATACACCCATACGTACACACCTGAACATTTATTCATAATTCAAAAAAGGAAATTAACAGCAATTAAGAGCACACAATGAATGATTTGCATCCTTCCAAACCATCAGCGGAAAGACTCGAATCAACTATGAATACTGCCAAACACATTGAGCAAGTCATCGCTCGTGATCAGGAACAGGTTGATCTAGCTACTCTATTACCAAGTAATGTAACGATTGAGCAGTAAAATATATACAGATAGTAGGAATGTTTACTGATGTCGAAACATTGTTCATTCATATTGATAATTCAAACAGGTGGGCCATCCAGCAATTACATGGCTCCTTTGCTTTCAGCTCACGATGAGTTCAAACTCACAAACGAGATAAGAATTCCTTCTAGGCTGACAAATAGGGTTACTGGTATGGTTTTATTTACTGATATAACGAAAGTCTGACCAAATTTAATAAGCCGAACAAATCATCCATAACACATAGAAGGTGCACAGTGCTATACAAAATGTGGTGTATTTCCAGAGATTAATAGAGCTTGGATTGCAATTGATAACAATCTTTATATTTGGAGTCTTACAGACGCGTAAAAATCACTCTTGGAAAATACGTTAACAAGAAAGTCTTGAGTATGGAAAACTAACGGTAGCATTGTTACCATAGAAATGAAGTATATGAATATTCTGATCAAGATCAGATTATTGTCAATTGTGCCCTTGTTAAGCCAAGACCTAACATTTTTCAAGATCATATCAAGTATCTTTTGGTGGTATCGACCCCACTTCAAGTCATTCTGCTCGCAGTTGAAGTCAATGAAGCACCTATGAGAATCAATCTTTATGCTACAAATCTGCAAGTCTCCTCAGATGACGAGCAGATGAAGCATATAGAAGGTACAGACGATGGACGTATTTTTATGATTGGACGTAGAGGTTCCTTATACGAAGCGTATTACGATGTAAGTGGATCGATTATCTGGCTGAAAAATAGAAGGAAGCGAAGGAGAAAGCGTAATATTGACTCCTGAAATTACATGTAGGACTCTTGGGCTGGAAAACAATTAAAATTGATCAACAAGACTAGCCGCTTTTTGGATGCAATATTACCTACTTATACACCCAGATTCCTTCGGCCAGAAGCAGCACGTAAGAATGTTGTTAAAGTAAGCTGAACCATTTTTAAAAGCATAAGACTAACATTAAGGGGATATTTTTTCGCGTACACAACAGAGCCGATCAAATCGATGGCAATTGACAATGAGCGAAAAGTGTTATACCTACTTTATGAAAACAATGCAATTGAGGTAATGAGAATAAGGATCACTTAAAACTTGTTTATAGATTTGCAAGGCCAACTAACCATTTAATGAAATAGGTTGTTTATTTAGGAGGCAGTTTCAGATCATTTAGATCCATTCACAAACATGTCACAATTGCGGATAATGCTATCCAAATGTGTCGACAGCATTCAAAAATATTCAATGCATCAGATTTTATCATCGATTCTATCCACATTGTTTCAGAGAAGGAATCAAAAAAGGCCCATCTAATGGCAATAACCACCGCTGGATTTCGATTATATTTTACTCACAGGAAAGATTCTTTCCGTTACACTCCACCTAATATATCTATTTCAACAACGACAACAAATGTTTCTTTGGAACCAAATACCCTAGAGTTAGGATTTATTCGAATTCCACCACCAGAGCCGCCTCGTTCTGCTGGCGATTACGCTCTCATGTATACCAACACCTATTACGATTGCGGTATCGCTATTTCTATTAATCCAAAAAACGAAGAGTTCAACACCATTCGCATAACTGCAACAGCAGCTAAGAAGCCTGCATCAATGCCTACTCCAGGTCAACCGCAATCCAATACAAGCAGTTCCTTGTCGGTAAGAAAGAAGCTTTCATTTGGATTTATCCACTTTAACGAATGAATAATTCTTGCTTTACTAATAGCCCATTTAATCTGATAAGCAGTATACTATGAGTAGACAACCATATTTAGAAACAGATATTGCCCTTGATTTAAAAGCTCGAACTGTTGTTACTGTCACAGAGGACAATCGTGAACGTTACGGAAAGCATTATCTGAAAGAAATTTCTCAGCAATTAGCAGATCCTCCTCGTCGCTTTATTATCTTAACGACTGAAGCCGTTCTATTTTACACAAAGTTAAGGCCCGTCGATATATTACATGATATTATTGTCGAAACACGTGGACAACCACTAGCTGTTAATGCAAAGGCGATTCAGGCATTTTTTGAGCGCTACGGTCAAGTAGAAGCCTGTGCTATGTGTTTATCCATTGTTTGTGCTAGTGATATTTATGAAGTGGTTGCCAAAGCCTCTGAATTATTTTTCGAGTTTGGCGGTGTACCTACAGCTTCAGTGTCAACGCAAATCACTGGCAATCATTTAGGTAGAGTGATTGGACAAACAGATGTTACATATAGTGGAAAGCATGATGGATTTCTACTTTACTTGGCCCGTATCATGTCTCCTGCGTGGAAACTGAAAGCATTTATTGATTGGTAAGAGATTTTATAACCACAATGGCGAAGAAGAAGAGGAACACTCACACTGTTATACACCATATAAATAGTGGAGACAATATAACTGCTCAGAAATTATTTACACAAGCACAAAGCACACTTTTCAATACACAAATGAATCTCAAAAAATTGAAAGCATTTGTCGAAAGGTATTGAAAATGGATATTTTACTGACATCTGCTACATTTACATTCGCTATATAAGAGACTAATGCTTTTCTTTTACTATGGCCGTCAGCAACCCTAATTTCTATGATACGAATGATTTGTCTGATACCAAAATTCAATTGAATCGAAATACTGTACTACTAGAACTGGTAAATATAGACGATAGCTACCTTTACTTATTGTTGCTAGTGACTATTGACACCTTTTTGTATTTGAATCTATTATTGATTAGGCTGAACAAAAATCAGTCCATGAAAATTATCTGCTACTTATACAAAGCATTGAAGCGATTGCTTTCATACAATTCGTCTTGGATTCAAATGTTCAACAAATCAGTAGTGACTAGTAAAGTAGCAAGATTATTAAAATATTCGTTTATAAAGCTTGTCATTCTAACCTACTTATAAAATGTAGCCTTACGCCTGATCAACAAAAAAATGTGCAAGACTTGGACCTTAATACAATCCTTACTAACCCTAAAGGTCGCGAATTAACTCGTGAGCTTGTTATTGCTGCTATTGTAAAGTATGCCTCAAGTCACAACCATGCAGGTTTCGATATTGTTAGCAGGCATCTAGAAAAGTTTTGCAGCTCATTTTTCGGACAAAGTGATATGCTATTCTTCAAGGTAAGGGAAAAGGTTCAATGTTTTAATTCGTATATGTTGTTTACCAGCCCCACCTCTTATTTGCTTTCTTTTCATAAAGGGTATAGAATATGTTAGACAGGCATTGTGCGAAGAAACAGATTACGAAATGGGATATTCGTTGAAACAGTCATTATATCACCTAAAGATGACCGCTGATACAATCACTGATCAGAAATTGAATGCTATTGGAGACGTTTACCTGAAGTGCGCTTTTCATGCTGGTGCTATAGAACTTGCTCTTGAACGCGCACGACGAGTCGATCCCCAAAATCAGGGTTTGATTGCATATAAATCCATGCATTCCAGGAACAGCGATATTCCAACTTCGGGCACACCTGATGAATCGAGTCACCGCTTTTTGGATGCCCGTGCCCAATCCTATCAATTTATTTTCACAGTTTTGAATGATGCAGACTTGATAAAACTTCACAACCGTGTTCCTGAAGGTAGACTTCCTATTGCCGATATCAACCTTTACATCAAGAATCTATATGATACAGCATTCCAAAGTGATGATGAACTTTTCCATTATTGTTTGTACGATTGGTTTCAACAGAAAAACAGACTGGACGAGCTTATTCCACTTAATTCACCTCATCTGATACCTTATTTCATGACTTATGTAAAAGATCGCAAGATTGGTCTCGACTTTCTTTGGCGCTATTATCGTATTCACAGCAATTATATTGAAGCTGCGAGGTGTTTGGAAGAATTGGCTTCTCTGCCAGATCCTAGAATAACACAAAGCTTGCGCGTGGAATATATGGCTCATGCGTTAGTCAATGTGCGATGTGTAGAAGTCCAGCCTCCAAACATCGACTTGGCTGCTTATACACAACAATTAGAGCAACAACTTGAAGAGATAAGAACACGTAAAAACGAATGACATTAAAAGGAAAGGTTCCCTGTTGCATAAGTATCCTCTTGTTCTTCCTCCGTTGAACTTTACCCTCTTTTTTTTTGAGAAAAATTATCTACGAGCAATGATACTCAGATGTACTACACACGAATGAATCCTTTATTCTTTAAGGAGCTCTAACACTGTATTATAATTATATAAACTCTTAATAAAGATGATCAACAGATTACGTTTTATGTAAATATTATTATGGTCAGCTGCTTTTATATTGAAAGTTAGTTCCCTCAAAGATTCAGAAGAGATTCCTTGTATGTTACAAAATATCCTTCAATTCAAACCATGTGTCAACTAGTTGGAACATCCAGCCTTTCCTCTTTTCTCAGAAATATTAGCGTATGTCCGAAGTAAAAAAGCAAACGCTTTTACATTGCTCATCTCTTTCTTAAATGTTGTGCCTTGCAACTATACTTTATGTCGTCTAACAATCCATCTCCAGAGTGAATCTATCGTTTTTTCTTTCAATTTTGTGATCTCAATAATGGTCACAACATACCCGTTGATCACTTCAGAGCGAATATCAGTAAAATAGTACCAAACTTTTTGATGGCTTTGGTAAATATAATATCAATGTTTGCGTCCTATGCTTCTTATTTCAAGCCGTGCAATGGAAAGAAAGTGATTACTTAACAATCATTTCTAAAATGGATATAAAAAATATGGGGCCAAAGCTTTGCGGCACTTAATAGCTCGAAGATAGCTAAGTGTTAACGAAAGCTTTTGAGAAGAGCAGCTAAGCATTGTATTGTTTAATGAGGCTTACAGAAATACGTTCTGTCATCCTTGCGGTATTTGACATCTATAGGTAGAGTAACAGAAAACTCTGCCTTTACAGGATATTAATCCATATCTGCGTTAAGATTCATGGCTTTCAAGGTGTATAAATAAGTTTGCCAGCAGACTGCGGCTGGACTGAGTTATGGAAATGGTGAGGCTGCTGCTGCCTGCTTAAACATGCTCTCTATTATTCAACGTCTTTTACACTTTAGCACTTACACTCAAATATCCTTCTGCGGTGAAGAAGCTGATGGTCGAAATTGTATGCGTTATTATATGCCTGATGTTATTTAAAAAGACAAGATGATAACAGTGATGAATGTTGACGAGCTTGCCAACGCGTTAAAATAAGTACGATACTGGAGAATACCTGGTAAGTGTCTTATTAGTATCACAATCGGAAGGACATGTATATACTTTTCAAATAATTTACTTTTTTTTTTTTTCTCTTTGCTTATTGTACTTGCTAACTTAGCCCTAAATTTTGGACGCTACTTTTTAAATAATGCAGCATTTCAGCTTTCCAAAAAGTTCGGCCATGTTTTGATAAAAAGGTGTGCAAATAGCCAAAAAACCCCGTTTACCATTTTTGCTTTCTGTTCCACTTCTTTCATTTTTATAGAAAAGTTCTGTTTTTCCTTTCTCTACAACTACTTTATACTTATCCAGCACATACACGCTATTCAATGAACCCAGCACAACAAAATAAGGTTGACATTAGTGTAAGGACACTTTTTCTTGACTATTTGACAAGATTAGCTTCCATTATGACTGAAATTGCGATCTGTTTTGCTAAATTTTCTTCATTGTAGTCGTTAAGTGACGAGGAACGTAAGTTGCTCCGCATGTACGGTAAACTCCCCGATCGTAAAGACCTTTTGGGACATAAGCTGAAGGTATATTCTTTTTATGTTAGCTTGACAGTAGTTTGAGGTATGCGATTTGTAGTTAACTCCCTTCTAACATTCATTATTAGGAACGTAAATATTTCGACTCTGGGGACTATGCACTTTCTAAAGCAGGAAAAGAACCTGTGTCGATAGGCTCAGAGCACCCTTCACCTGACACTATCCCTCATTCTAATCCAATTTCGGTGCCCGGAGCCAGTCCAGTCAAAGAAAGCCCTTTGGTTTCTTCAGAATCAGATAGCAATAATGCTTCTTCCGATACCAAACAGTAAACGCAACTGACAACAAGCAATATTAGGCTTTTTTTTTTTTGAACGGTCAAAGATAACATACCTTTTATATATACGAGTACGGTGTAACTTTCCTTTCTTCCTTTAGTTTAGTTTCATTTATCTTCTATATTACGTACAAAACGCACCCTCATCTTTTCTCACACTCGCACACACCCACACACCCACACACACTCGCACACTCACACACGTAAAAGCTCTATACACAAATACACAAACATTTTACAAACGAAGATCTACAGCCCATCCAAACAGAAAAAACATCCATAAATGTCAGAAGAAATGATGTGCAAGCACTTCTTTTACTGTAGGATTTAGGATGCTTTATGCTTTAATGTTATGCAAAATATGAAGTTAACGTGTACGATGAGGTTACTGTTACATATTACGAATTACAAGTTATAGCCCTTCAAGCTTATGATGAATGAAAATAAAAGATGGGAAGATACTGAGAGCGATATCGACTCTGTACAGGCACCTTCATTCATGGAAACCTGAATCTTCTCTAGATGTATTGACCGATCCAATTTTTGACCTTATATTTAAACGGTTGTTGACCAAAGTTCACAGAGATAGTAGCAGGTCCGTCAGCGCCTATACTTGGGTAATAATAATGTCTTTGTAAACCTGTGAAAGCTTGACCGACCATCATCCCGTTCACTGTAAAATATACATTCCCGTATTCTGGACTATATCCACATCCAATCACATCCCCTTTTTTACCCCAACTGGGACCAAAGGGTTGTCCACCCGTAGCATCATCACAAAACTTGTGTCCATCATCACTATGGAAACCTACTGAGAACTTATTCCAGCCGGGCATACGGAAAATGGGATAAGGTCGTGTACACAATCCGATGGCCAGCACGGTTTGTGGTAGTTTGTCCTCTACTACCATTTCAAAATAATGTTCTTGACCTGAAGAACTGTGGAGACGATGGCGTTCAGCGTTATATTCTTTCAGCGTTAAGAAGGGATGCGTGGCATGAATAGTTGCATCAAGGTCTTCGGGTGGGTAATAGGGCGGGTTTGGCCAGAATTGGACTTTGAACGGTTCGTGGAGGGTATAAGATGGTGTTTGAGAACCGTTTACCATCATTTTAGGGTGTTTAAAAAGCTCATTGTTTTGTGGTGAAGCGTCAAGCTGAAGACATCTGACAAGTCCTTTTTGTCCTACCTCCTGGGCTTGAAGGTCCGGAAAAGTGTCTATTTGAGCTGAAAAGGCTTGAATGAACATTTCACCTCGTTCAAATGAATCCAAAGAGGCATCATTATACTTTCCAAACTGGTAAACTTTGTTATAATCAGATTTACTGTTACTGGGATTGTTGGGGTCGGTTTGTAGGGCATGATCATAACTGGGAGGCTCTTGCTCAAAGCCAGATTGTTGTAGAGGAGGAGGAGGAGAAATTGGAGGATACATACTTCCAGAAGGAGGATAAGGTACTGGTTGAGATGCCGGTGGATAAAGTTGGGAAGGGCGCGTCACGGGTGGGTAAGGCGGTGATGATTGTTGCTGTGGCGGGTAGAGTGGAGAATATGTATTCTGAGGAGGATAGCCTCCTCGAGCCTGAATAGGAGGGTAACCACTTGTCTGTGGGGGATACCCTTCTATTTGTTGCGGAGGATACATAGGTGATGTTGGTGGAGGATAGCCACCTATATTAGTTTGTGGTCGATAAGCGCTCGATTGATGTGGATAATTTGATGGTGATGGCGGGTAACCTGATTGCTGCGAGTAGCCTGGTGGTGATGACAAAGGTTGAGGTGGGTATCCTTGTTGGGTAGGAGGGTATGGTTGGCTACCTGAAGATGGAGGGTAACCATAGCTTTGTTGCTGTTGTTGACCGTAAGTCATATACTCAAATATGTGCGAGTGATAAGAAGAGACACTCAAATAAAAGAAAAAGAGGTACGCCAAGAAACAATTGAATGTAAAAATTATGGTCAACAAAAATAAAAGAAAAAGCGGCTGACAAATTTCGGTCATTTGATCCTTTCCCATTTTATATCACGAGGCTGATGCTCTTTATAAAAAAAGTATTGCTGTCTAGTTGCTTGTAGGGAATCTTACATGTTTCAACAAAAATGTATGTATAGTGCTCTTTTCTTGTTTGTGGAATAAGTGTATAGCGCTTCGCCTTGTACAGTAAATGGGAAAGGCTGGTTGTAATGTGTCAATATAGTGGCAGTAGTAGTATTACAACTAGAAAAAAAAAAAAAAAAAACTCAAGGATCAGATGAATTTTAAAAAAGAAGTTTTATGGACAGGGTTGTATTTTCTAGTAATTTGTGACAGATGATTGATGCTATTGTGATTGTGGTAATGGATGGGATGATGACATAGTACCAGTAGTTGGTGTGCAGGAAGATACAGATGATGACGACGATAACATAGAATGCTGCCTTTGCGATATTCCTGACTCGACGATAGTCGCTTTCTTTTTAATATCTGCTAAGCTTCTAACGCGTGTTAATCTGCCAGCATGCTTAACCGATGTGCCATCTTCTGCTAGTTGTCTTTGTAATAAGGCTTCACCAAGGCGTCTTCTTCGTAGTTCCTCGTCCTCTTCTGTGGATGGTATTATAAAACTATTGCTACCGCTATTGCTACCAATAGCCACAGATTGAGGTTGGTATTGATAGCTATGCCAATCATTTGTGGATGAAGAAGGCGATAATGGTATTGGCGGTGGCCGTAGTGGAGGCGTATTTGGTACAAATGGAGTATTAGGCGGTGAAAAGGGCCTTGATGATGCAAGTGACCCGACACTCGATATGTTCTCCATTGATGTCATTATTGCATTTCCTGTTCCTCCTAATCCTCCTGTGATATATGTCTTAGAAGTCATGGAAGCATTATCGTTATTATCGATTTGAAGCTTTTTCATGATCGGTATCAGCTTGTTATTTCGTCGCGTTTTGTTTTTTCCATTCCGTGATAGAAAAATTACCCAGATGAGAGCTGCCGCTGCGCAGAGAAGACCGATAATACCAATCACGATAGCAGCAATTGCCCATGCAGGTAATGATGTTGAGGGTGTAGAAGAAGGACCATTTTGTGAGCGGCTTCCATCGTTGTTGCTATTACTGTTTGTAGACAGTGGATTCGTATTATCTTTCGAAGAATTTGAGAGTTCTATTGGACCCGTCCATTTTGTTAAGGAGACGAGGTAATTAAGTTTAAGAGAAATGTAAATTCATAAAAACAGATTTTAGAAGAGTTAGGAACGATTAATAAATAAGACTTCCTATGCTATACTTACGGGTAACTGTAAAGTTAAAAGGTCGAGGATACATACTAGTTGGACTGGCTAGTTCTACAGCTGGGTTGGCTTTTGAAGGAAGATAGAAACCCATCATGGTCCAGTTTTTACTCGACTCTCCATTCTGTAAAGGTGACAAGAACCAAGAATCGTCTACTGTTACTTCAATACCTCCGCTTCTTCTTTCTAGATTGGTAAAGTTTTTGACGTTGATATATTCAAATTTGATGTAGTGGTATAAGTATAAATCTAATCGTTCCTGTAGTAAATTTTAGAACAAAGAAAAGTAATTTAAGCTTAATCTTCACCATGCTACTGCTGCTCAACTTAAAGTCTTACATAATCGACATAGAAAGGATACCTATAAATAGGCGTGTGCATGATATTGTGTTAAATTCGTCTGATTTTCGATACAGAAAAACAAGCATTGCGAGGCTTTGAAAAGGATTCCTTACTTTTTGTTCCAGACAAAGCTTTGAGTGGATCCATCCTGCCAAACATCTGAACTTGTAGGTAAGCAAAAGGGGTATTCATTTCCTCGGTCTGAACATAGTTCTGCTTGTTCCGAAAGATCTTTTTTTTTTCGATGAAATCCGTTAGTTCCTGGAAAAACTACAGTTTCTTTTCCATTTTTGTTAAACACAATTTACCACTTGACATAGTTAAACTAATGAAGTATAAAAGAGATAGCTATTCTATGCTGTGCTTTATGTGGTGTGAAGGGATCAGAAAAAAGATTTTAAGAAAGTAAGGGTTAAAGGGAAAGAAAAATATTCTGATAAAAATAGAAGTTGATGCTGTTTTCAGTAACAAGCGAATGATCGTTTTCTATGATAACCGTAATTCGTAACTGGGTACAAGGATGAGGGTCTGATATGTTTTTGTTTAAATTATTTTTTCCTTGATGCTCCAACGAAAGAAAAGTGATTATATAGAAGAAACAACGAATAAAGATAATATTAGGAGCGTTGTATTCTCGAGAAGCAGGGAGAAGAAAGAGATACAGAAAATGTTTGCTCCATTCTTCACTCATTTAATTTTTTTAATGAATATTTGTCTAACCCAAAAGAATGATGTGTGGGCGATGTTGCCGTTGTCCTGCCCTTTTAAAACTCCTCCTTCGCTTAACGTACTTCCTAGACGACGTCTGTGAGGAACTGAGAGTGAAGAAGCTATCGATTCGGTTCTTCCAATTTGGAATAGCTAGCTCAAGGCTTTCACATTGCTTACAGTAATTGCATTTCTTGGTTATAAAATTGGAATGGGTAAACTGCACCTCGGAGACAGCAGAATATTCAACGTTACTCAAGATGTCACTTACAAACCCTAAGGTCGAGAATCAAGAAATATGCTATAGGTCGATTTGAGCGACCCACGTTATCTCAAGTCGCTTTACATAAATGAAATAATCTAAATGGGTGTAGGGAGGCAAGAATTAGTAGTATAATTTCTCATAACAGCAGCTACCAAGGCACAATCAAGTCCACTGGTCTGATACGTATAAAGCGTCCTATAAAAGGGATAACATATCTTGCTGATGGCTCAATTCGCTTTTGACTGATACAGTCAACGAATATTGTCCATCTGAAAATTCGCATTGGTATCGTTCTATCAGGAGACATAGGTTAGACTTTCTATCTTTGAAAGCAGTTTACTAAGTTATATTTTGGGCGTGAAGAGTTTCAATGGTTGGTGAAGGCTGATTGTTCATAACTTTATATAAAAAACATGTATGCAAGATGTTTGATAACACAATTCCACAATGGGCTGTGCAACTCCTGATAGTGCATATATGCCATTAAAGGTGAAGAAAAAATTGATCTTGATTAGCATATTGAAGACCACTGAATTACGAGGAGCGTTACCACAAGTAAAAAATTTCAAGTGCTTTCTCTTATAAAGGGTGTCCCCAGTATGATTGTTTAAGACAAATATGAGAGCAGCTTAAACCTCTTGAACAATTGAGTGATACGGTCATGGTCAACAATTCTTTCCGTGTGCAGATTGTATAATTAAACAGTTCGCTATTCACTTCCATCTAATGCTTTTCTTCATGATGCGGATTGGAAAGTACAGTTTATAATTTTTGTATTCAGTGAATTGTACAATATCATCGAAGGCCTTCTACCATCATTACTCTATTTTGTTGAGTATAGCGAGCTAACATTTTATTATGGTTACATGTTAGGTTACATGCTCCCTTTGCCTTACAACAGTTTTTTTGCTTTGGATTCGGTTAACATTAGTTTTAGGATGACTTCAAATTTTGGAATGTTTGAATTTGATAAACGTGCAGGACCAACGATATTCAAGATATGTTTTGTTTTACATATAGATGTTTAAATCTCAAAAGAGAATCCGTGTTTGACACGGTGATATATTCTCGTCTTGATAGAGCTGGACGCGACTTTCAGTTTTTCAGCTTCCGTTCAACTCCAATTTTCTGTCAAAGTGAAGAAGGTTGTAGGTAACCTACTACGGATACGAGAAAATGTTTACGGCCTTGGCAGTAGGTATACCTTAAAAACCGTATCCATATTCTCAGCAGTCATCGTTTCTTGGATTTTCTTTTCATACCTTTATACCTCAAGTCTCCTCAAATCCATCGTTTAACTTTTCAAGTTTGGCTTAGTTGTGACCGAGCGCTCTATTCTACTAAACGGTACAATACTGTTAGAGTTAGATATAGTAAACCCCCACTTGAACGAAGGTAGAGGATCAAATGGGAAACAAGCGAGGATTATGTTGCTTTTGTTTTTGGAGCTATTCCTCATGCTGACTCGGCTACTGTTGTTCGTTCACCCTCATTAATATAGCATAAATGAGAATATGGACTCCAGTTAAAAATAAAGAAATATTCTCCCTTTTTTTTGGACTACTTGGGTTTAAACAGCAGTAGTATTGGTACATGGCTAACTTTTTGCGTCCACAGTATAGATCAACTGCCTGCTATTTTACTGCTCTATACGTGCAGCATGTCTATGCTTGTATAAACTACCGTAACAGCAGCTGATTGTAACTGAACGCGTGAAACCCAGATATACAACCGTATCCAACGATAAATTTCAAGCTTTGTAAGTGGGACGTTTTGAAGTAAGTAGTAGCGGCCTTTAGTTTCATCCATTGGACATTGCACTTTGCAGATGACTGCCAGTCTCACTCTGCTCTTCCTCAGATCATTCGAAGAGGCAAACAATCATAAAGAAACTGTCCCTCAGAGTAATTCTAGCTTTAGCATACATTTGTATCTGTCAAATTCTTTTGTCAGATTTTCAATGTTTGGTTTTATGAGATTTTGATTACCATTTTTCTCGTGCTATCTCGACCGCTCTGATAGAGTTAAGGCATTAAACTATGTTCATACAAATTTGAACTAGGAGTCCTAATTTTTTTGATTTGTTTGAGACTAAAATAATTGCAGTCCATGCTAAAAAAAAAGTAGAAAGGCTCAGGAAAGTGATTTAAAAGTTCAGAATCCCAGTCGAAAACATGAAAGCGTGTAACGATAAATTCCACAAGGACCTATATTTATACGTGCTCATATTCTCCAATCAGTGTGACAGAACCACGGAATGGCTATTTTTGATTATTTGCTTACAAATAGTTTTGCAGTAAACTTCATTACGGAGGTGTTCGCATAAAACAGAAAGCCTCCCCTTTATCACTATTCTTTTCATTAATCTAACATACTCGGTTCACTTTTGCCGAACAAGATTTGATGCTATGTCCAAAAGAATTTTCAGAATGGCAAACCTTATTAACAGTTTCTTTCGTTTGAGTATATATAGCAAGACCTAGATCATTTTGCACAACAATGCCTGAATATAAAAGGTATAGTGCTACAATGCTCTAGAAAAAAAGAAGAAAAAAAAAACTTCAAAATGCTAACATTAATTCGATAAGGGATATGAGGCATTCAGATGGGCCTGGAAAAGCCCATTATTCAAACAGAAAGGATGATCTGATTAATTGTTCATTTTACGAAGATGACTGGAGGTAAGACACAATTTAAAAGAACGTGATTTGAAGCTGGTTGCCTCAGAGTTGCAGAAAGAGAAGAATGCTCAAGTACAGATGATGTTAGGGTGATTAGCACTATCAGTGAACGGCGAGCATTCTTATCTGTATGGATGGGTACTAGACCTTCTGTTCTAGGTTGCACTAGGCACAGCCAACTCTTGTAATATAGACATGATACCAAGAAAAGATATTTGATCAAAATCACCTCGTATTCTGCTCGCTACTTTCACTTGTAGTATCCTTTGTAGAATTGCAGTTTAACGGCAGCATTAAAAGAAATTCATACAAACTGAGTGCTATTATTTGTGAGCTTTTTAACCACAATGTTCTTTTAGAATGTTCAGCTTAATCCTTTTTTATTGTTGCTTCAAACAGACGGCAATATCAGACAAAAAATAAGATAGCCTTTTTCTTTTCTGCCAAGTTCAATAGTTTCACTTCAAGCAGTTTTTTTTATGTGAGCTTCTGGCAATAGGCATTACGGGCCCTTTGAGCTTTTGGAACTTTGTTATTCGTGAAAAAATAAAAGCTCCTGATCTCCTGTTCCGTGCTAATCATGTTGATTACTCGGAACGACTTCCGTGAAATCAGAGATATCCAGGCATTCGGCATAACAAGATTTGCCATTTTGAATAAGCTTTTGTATAAATCTTCTCTCTTTTATGATAATGGAAGATATAAAATTTTCATTATTAGTCAAGTCAAATTCCTGGATAGGTTTTATTGGGGCTATAGAATTAGACTCCAACAAGTCTACTTATGCGCTGACGTGCTTGATGCTAAATTCGATTCAACTTTTTTCCAGCTTTCTTCAAACTGTAGTAGAGCTTTCAAAATTATGGAACAAAATGATGTTTATGAATAAATTGATCAGTGAGAGTGAGTTAGTGTAACTCCAATTGTATTAGTGTTTCCTTAACGATGTAAAAGAAAAACAAAATACTCGTATACATGAAAAATTCTTTATTAGAGTAGTTCGTGTAAAGAATGCTTTATATATACGTTATGCTCAAAAAATTGAATAGGTGACATAGAGTATGTGGTTTATATTAACTGTACAATAAATTCTCGTTTGAATGCCAAAGCTTAATCCTTATCCATTATTTCAAATTCTCAGTAGACTCTATGCTTTTCATTGGGTACAATGTATTTATGTAAACTGATCGTATGAAAGTCACCCATAACAAATTTCTGAATGCTCCTTTAAAAGGATTATCTTTTGTGATCAATTAGATCCCGATGTACGTGCACTTATCTTAAAGTATATCTTAAAGAGAAAGCTATCATCATGGGATCACTACTGTTAAAGGACATGTCTGATTTTTGTGAATGATGAACAGGGAAACAAATATATAAGCATTTCAGTGTAACCATATAAGCATACAAAGACGACTGTTTAAGTATGAAATGGAGTGAACACATGTTACATGTTCACTTCGAGGCTTTCATATATTTTCTCTACTTGATCGGAGGACTTTTCTATTGATGGCAATATGTAATATTTAGTAAGACTTGGTATAATGACGAATAAGTCTAAAATTAGGTTTACCAGTGGGAAGCAAATATGCAATTTTCTTTCTGATAAAAAAAAAGAAGCTTTTTCTCTTATGTTTATCTGTGTGTTACTATGCTTTTGAATGCTATGCATTTTTTGTTTGCCTTTTGCAGAAGGATTCACAAACGAAATAAAAGAGAAAGAAAATTCAATTGAATCTGGATAGAACAAAACCATTACGAGATGTATATCATTATGATGGTAGATAAACAACAAACATAAACAATTAACGCTCGAGCCATGTCTCCTCTACGAAAAGCGCATTCCAAGAAAGAAGTTCATTTAGTATTTGTCTCTTTGTACATCTGCTTGAAAAACAATAATTTATATCTTAGCATCAACCTTTCTTCCTATTTCTTTGTATATCTGAAGAGGAATATTACGTGAACACAGGCTATTTGGTGGAGAATAAGTACTGTGCTGAAAATCGTGATAAAGAGGCTTAATTCTCAATACAGAATGTAACGTCCAATTATATCACGGGTCGTCACTTTCTCTCTCGCTCAAAGGAGACTAAATTTGGTGCACAAAAGTTGCTAGTGCTTTGACACAAGAAAAATCTAGTGGTGTGCGTGTATGCTTATAGTCATTGTTGTCTTGGTTGGTTAAGAATAGGATGGAATAGCTAAATCTTTTGTTCAACGTTCAGTAACAAAATTGCTACAGATAGGCATCGGTACACTGTAACGGCCGTAAATTCATTTGAGAACTATTTAATGGAAAAAGAAACTTATTCCCGTGATCAGACTTGTGATTTTGTGCAATTCTAGACGACACCCAAAATATATCAAAGGATAATGTTTAGGATAAAGAGATTAGAAAATCCCTTTTGTCCCTCGTTCTCACCTACTTATAGTTCAGGCTTGTGAAATGTGCAACACCTTTCATAGCCAACGATCGAAAGAAATTTAGAAAATCCGCTGCTCAAAGACAAGCCGATATATGGTCTATATAAATAGATTATTTCATGTTGATCTTCTTTTCTCTTTATCATTCAAAGCAAGTTCTATCTCTGCAAATTTTTTGAAAAAACTCTGTCTCGCATAGACTCTATAATTACAATGGGATCCTTCTTTGGTCAAGTCGTTATCAAATCATCTAGAAACAGTCAGAAAGCACAATCAGCTTCCAAAAAATGCTGTGCCCGTAGTAAAAGTTATTGCTTGATTCATAAACGATACTTTGAAACCAGTTGGTGTCCTGACTGCAGTCGTAGCGGTTGTAAGTGACTAAATCGACGTAGCTTTTGTCTGTATTTATATCATGTACTCATTTTCCTGTTCCTTCTTTTATAGATTAACCTGATAAAAATTGACACAATATCTCCAAAGGCCATGTCATTACTTATACGTATGTTAAATCGCTACAGATCCGGACATATGCTCAATGACAATCTTAAAAACTACCCACAATATAGCAACGCTGATGTTATTAACCGCGACCGAATCACATTTAACCACGAAAAACTGTAGGCTTTTGACAAAAGAAAACAAAAAAAAAAAAAAAAAAAAGGGCACGCTTATGTCTACAAACACACTACGAGTCTTTCTTGACAATTGTACATTGCTTACTAGGATATTCTACCTAATTATACCTATAACCACTTAATATATAATATCTTCCTTTATTTGAAAACTCCAACTTTTTCCCACTTCATTTTTAGAAAAACCAGCATTTTCCTATTCTTATTTCAAAAGAGCGAAAACCGACAAGACTCGAAATAAAAAAGAAAACAAAAGTATCTAATAACATGTGTATGTGTGTTGACTTTTTTTTCACTTACATCGTTATTGCGGAATGTTCATCTTTCTTTCATCATCTCTGCTCATAACATTTTTTACTGCAAAAAGAAATCGCTGATCGCATGATAACGCACAAACACTTTTTCTTCTTTGCACTGATATTTGTGTCACTGTAACACTTGCCGTCGCTTTTTATGCTTTCTTAGGAAATTAAACAACACATTGTGCTGCTTTGCAGACATTATTGCTCCCTCAGCTCCCTATCACACAACAACAACTACAGTTTGAGAATTCAGATTTGTTGTATTTTTGAATTTGATATACGAGGTATAAATATTTGATATGAAATGAATATAAGTCGTGGTGTTTATAGTATTGGACAAAAACAAAGGCAAATTTAAAGATAATACTAAATGTGATGGAAAAGATCCATTCTAGAGCCTATAACTGATAGACATGGAAGTTTACGAGTATCGAAACCAAGATATACGCTTCTGCCTTTCGGGTATTTTTTCCTCGACGGGGGATGATCTATATTTCCATACAGACAGCAAAAATGTCAGCTTCCAAACAAACAGTTACGTCGTTTATCCCTTTTTTCTATGATTGATCAACTCACGCTTCTATTGTCGCTGCCCCTCCACTGCCACCACCACCTCTCAAGGGCTTAGCAATGCGACTGAAGTTAAGCAATGAAACACCGTTTGATTTATGACCTCGCGCTTGCTCCAAGCGACCTCTTACAGCTTGTAATTGGACTTCGAACCTTTAGCAGCGGAATATGTAAATCGCAAGTAAGCATATGCTAACAACTATACAGTGAAGTTATCTTTCTTTTTTTAGAAAAAAAAAAAACATAACTTACTTTTCATTGGAAACCAACAGTTTATTTTGTGCTTCTTTCAACAACAATTCCAAATTCTGGATTCGCTCATTCTTTGCTGTCAATTTACGTTCAGATAAAGCGGTTTCCTTCTTTAACTGTATATTTTGGTCCACTAGCTGTTTCTGTACGTTTGTTAGTTGCTCCAGGTTTCTCTCTAGAAGCGCCATCTTCTTTTGCTGAGCTTTGTTACTAGTGGCTCTCAATAAATTGTTCTGTTGCGCACGTGTCTCATCCAGAGTGATCTCCAATTCCACAACCTTTTCACAACGACTCTGTAAATCACGCATGAGTACCTTCTTCATGGTCTCAAATTCTGCCAATTCTTGCGCCATAGATCTACGCATCTTCTCTAATTCCTTTTCTTTTTGCTCGATGATTTCCCTTGTTTGCACTGTTCCTGCTGTTGCCGCAGTAGCCGAAGAAGTTTCCGCTTCCTCTTTCACTTTCAATAATTTTTCATGTGCCAGTTCCAACTCGCGTAATGTGTTTTGCAATTTGATCTCTTCTCTTGTTTTCTTAGCCAAGTCATCTTTGAGTGATTCTAATTCCTTTTGCTGCATTTGGCTCTTCATCAAGAATTGACTTTCCAGTTTGGACTTCAGTTCAGCCATTGTAGTTGCTAATAGCTCGTCATCCGTTTGTTGAATGTCCATTTCTTCCATCGCAATAGATCGGTCGAGTAGTTCTTCTAAATCGGACTCTAGTGTACTGATACGCTTTTCAAAATCTTCCTTCTTATGTGCTATAAGATCCCGCTCATGCTGAAGAGTTTCAACAGTTGCTTTATGCTCGTCGAGTAAAATCTTGACGCTTCGCAAATCTTGGCGTAAGGCTGTAACAGCCTCTGGAGTCATATCCGTAGCATTAAGCTCTATTTCAATTCCCATTTTCCTTTCCTGAGCACCTTTCTATAATACAGCAAAGTGATCGTTTCAAAATGAGGATGATCAATCAAACCAACAGTGATTTTGATGGCGCCTTATACTGTGCATCCTTACCTGTGCTGTTTCAGCAATATTTAAATTTTCTAAATTTTCAGCCTCTTTCTCTCTTAGTCTTGCTAATGTCGCTTTCAGTTCCTTTAGTTCCGCTTGATACTCCATATTGGCTTCTTTCAGCGAATCAATGGTGATTTCCACTTCTTTTTTCTCATAGGTTTCCTTTTCGAATTGCACTTGTGTTTCGTTCAATTGAGCAGATAACTCTTTGTTCTCCTGGGTCATTGATTTTTCTTTCTGTTTTAATCCTTCGAGTACTTTTTGAATTTCATCTATTTGTTTTTTGCGACAAGAGAGTTCATTTGCTTTTTCGGCTATCTGTTCCAGTAGTTCTTGTTCACGTTTTATAAATTCTTCCTTCTCATCCTTGCCTAATGTCACACTAGGCGTGACAGGTCGACTACTACCATCATCATCGGTTGATAGCTTAAAGGCTGGAGCAGGCGTTTGGGGAGGCGTGATAGGTGCATCAACATTTCTACTCGTTGTAGTAGTAGTGATTGGAGCAGGTTTGCTTTTGTTGCTGCTGTTATTTCCTTCAATAGAGGCCCATTTACCTTCAGGCACAACTTTTCCTGATCGCCACATACTAATTTCATTTTCCAATGCTGCAATGTAGGATTTGTAGGATACTGCATCGATTTTGACACGTTTCAGCAAAGCTTTTAATTCGGCAGGTGAAAGATCAGCGTTGACCTTAGCTTTGTTCTTGATGGTTTTAGCACGAGCGCCAAATCGCAATGTCGATATCGTCTCAGCTTCATTGTAAGAAGACGGCGAACAGTTGATAATCAGCGTAGTACGTGAATTACCGCCCAATGATTCTTGTAAGATACGCGTCAATTTTGAGTCTCGATATGGCACATGGCTTGACTATCACAATATTTGAGAAGATCAATTTGGTTTCTTTACATATTAGTTTCTTCATTACTGATGCTATAAAAAACAGCAGAAGATGCATTTTTATTGGTACGAACTTAATTACCTTTCCATCAGTTAAAGCATTGATAACCATACCCAAAGCGGTGAGTGACTTATTGATTTTTTTGGCTTCTTCTAAGGTTTGGCCCGAGGCTCCTGTTTTTCCAACTTTTTCCGAACCTGCCAGATCGACGAGGTATAATTTTCCACTTTTTGCTGCACCTGTGTCTATATTTTTTTGTGTGATTGTTATCAACACTAGAGAGTGGCTTCTTGAGCTTTCGGCGTTCATGTCTATTTTTTGGGAGAAAATGTGAGATTTTGCGTAATTAAATAATTAATCACTAAGGTAAATGTTAGAGAAAGATCGCTCTTACTTGTAGACGCAACAACTCTGTTTTCTCCACCGATTCGCATCACATCATAAACTTCAGCTGAATCAGCGACATAGACTTCTTTAATACCTTTTACGTAAACCCCTTTAACTTTATCTTCATGTATAGGCAAGTTATCATTATGGGCTATGAGGGTGATTTGTTAAAGCGGAGAAATCAAGGCATTTTTATGTCACTATCATTTTGTCCTTCGTTATGCTATACTTACGAACCAGTAGATCTTTGACTTTTTCCATATAAATCTCCATGTAAGCAACCTTGACTGTGAACTCCATGTTGGTAGGACACATTTGAATGCTAGCAAAGATCTGCTCGATAATACGTGGAATAATACCCTTATGTTCGGTATCATCAATACTGGAGCCCATCATAGTGTAGGTTTTACCAGCACCCGTTTGACCATAAGCAAATACGGTGCCATTGTAACCGGCAACCACATCTATTTGTGCATTTAATCAGAAGAGATTATTAGCACGATAATTAATGCGTATGCATTAGGAGCAACCACTCCATTCCGTGATAGATTTACCGTCGACAGTTGATTTGATTGCATATTCAAATATTTCACTTTGTTTCGTATTTGATCCAAAACATTTATCAAAAGAGAACGAGCATGCGTCTTTTCCCTAGACAGAATGATGAGTTCGAAATAAAACAAAAAAAGCTGTTGTTGAATGGGGCATTTGATTTTTTTTGATTTTTTCAGGTACCAGATTCTCTCTCCTTTGAAACTATATCACATATACACTTAAAACCTTTTCGCTACCTTTAAAGATATCCCCGTTCCGTCTTCCGATAGTTCGATGATGGGAACGCCTCCTTCTTTTATTTCTAATTTATTCTGTGGGCGAAACCGGCAAACGACTTTAATATTGTTTCCGGACATAATTTAGTACAAGAAGAACAATTCTCGTATTTTAAATAAAATCAAAGAAATTTTCCGATGCAGTTGAAGTGATGGGCTGAAGATGAGAAGAGAAGTTAGACTTGTGGAGAAGAGCGATTTAGCAAGCGTATGTAGGTTAGAGCTGAGAAGAGTTTGACGAATAAACAAAAAGGAAGGAAAGGAACAAAACAAGAGAGATTCTGTAGGCTGCTGCAGTCTGGAGAAGTAGAAGCGACAAAATTCAAAAAAAAATGCAGTTTATTTTTGACAAATCAAAAGAGAGGAAGATGAAAGCATATAAATAAAAATGAAAGGGAAGTATGGATACACAAACCCATGACGTCGAATATCAACTTGCGGATTCAAATTGAGGCATTCCTTTTGAGATCACATTTATGTTCGAATGAATATATTATGTAATTGTTTGAATTCTGTTGCATTGTGGATATCAACGCAGTGCCTGGCTGAAACATTTGATGAACTTGACCCTAACCTTGGTATCTTAATTTTTCCAAGTTGCTGCTGTAGTAGCACATGCTTTTTTGTTGCTTTTTGTTGCTGTTTATGTGAAAAGATTGAAATACTTTAGTTTTACTATTATTACTTCTCAAAACTAGTAAATTAGAAAAGCTACAAACCTTCTGTTCGTTATCAGTCCAAGAAATCCTGGCATTAGGCGACGTGATTTGGAGATCAACCATTTTACTTCTCAGTTGAAGACTTCGTTGTCTGAGTGTGTATAAGACAGATTGTTGCGCTTGGTACTGATAATCAGGTGATCTTTTCATACTTTGCCATGTTAACATTTTGTTGGTATCCTTCTTAACATGCTGTAGCCTGACTATCTTGGGAGAAGCACCTGCTGCTCGTATATCCTTCAATAACATCCTTGTTTCTCTAGCAACATCATTCAGACGCTCTCGCTGGATATCCTTTTGACGAGTCTTATCTACTAGTAGACTTTCTTTCAAATCTAAGCTACGGATGAAATCTGAGCTCTTGAGTTGAGCATTCTCAGCTCTTAAATAACGAATGGACGCTTTGAGTGTTTCCATTTCCGTTGCCATTTCAACGTAGTTACCAGCCATTTCTTGAATTTGCACAGGATCATCCCTCTCAGCAAGTTCAACAAAGTTAGCTTTCCTAAGCAGAGATTGTCGTTTTTCTTCTCGCTTGCTCGCTTCTTTCTTCAGGTTATTGTTTTCGGCTTCAAGCGTATCATATTCGTTTTGAAGATTCTCCATGGCCTCAGCATACATTTGCTCTTGGCTTAATGCTTTTTCCAGGTCACTCTCAAGCGATTTAATCTTTTCTGCCTCCCTTCTAGCCATCTCCATACGTTTCTCCAACAAGTTTATTTTCACTTCTGATTCTTGAAGTGCTTGATCCTATACAATAGTAAATGCGTAAATACAGCAAAAATGGGAATTAACCGCAAGGTAAAAAGTTCATTACTCTTCATTACAGCTAAGACTAACCTTTAACCTCACATCCTTAACAAGTTTGACTATTTCTTCATTATGTTGTTGTAACTTGCGTTCCAGCTCATGGTTTACAACCACTTCTGCCTTAATATCAGATGCACGTTGAGTCCAGGGCGCAACATTAGTCGTAACTAAAATGATAAGAATGAATTAGATAAAATGATTCGTTACATCTTCTCACTATCAGTTCCTTCATGTCTTACTCTTGTCAAGTTTATCAATGTGCTCAATTTGAACATTTGTATTATCAAGTTCGCTATTTAATGATTTAATGTTTCTGAGAGCGCTCTCCCACATTGAACTTTCGACCATTTCAAGTATTTCGTCTCCCTTCTCCAAAATAATCTTCTGAATAGCTGTGAGCTCGATATCTTCCTGACCTCCTCGCTTAGTATCGATGTAAGTAGTAATTGCTTTACAGGTCTGTATTCATGTTAAATGTATAAAGCTTGAGTCAATATGTCATTGCATTTACAGCGCGTGGGTTGATGCCTTACGTCAAAACAGAATTTACAAAGTTTGGAGCTAATTGCAAGTAAAGTATTGAACCTATGTAATTGATCTAGTTTCAGAGTCATCGCTTCTTCAAACATATCTTCTAAGCGACGCATTAGTTTCCTAATAAAATGGCAGAGGAGATTGTATATCAATATCAAGCTTTCAAAGCAATGTCAAATAGTCATTATATTGAAATCGTCATAATTACTTTGCTATTATTTTACTGTTCTTTGCTTGCGCAATAAATCTTCCTATAGGCTCATGATAGTTTTGCTCCATTCGCTCAACGCCCTCACTAATTACTAAACCTTCTTTTCTTACTGCATTATCCAGTGCTTGTCGGACAAACGTCAGGAGAACAATCATACGATCGGCATTCAAATCCAAGATCCTTGTTATTCCAAAGAACTGAATGGCGTTGTTTTTCTCTTGTTGAAGGTAAGTATCTGCCAAATGTTCTAATTGCGATACTATACGCTGTAATTCTGATAAACATTGGCCCTCGTTTACATGATCCGTTCTTAACGATTCAACAATGGCATTCAATCTATAGAGAGGAAATGAATAAGCAATTGATTACAGATTTGCAGTTAGGAGCCAGTGGCTTTACCTTCGTTCAACGCCGATCAAATCATGGTACACTGCCCCCATTCGAAGAAAGGTTGGAATATCGCACCCTTTAATAAATGAATGGAATCTTGTAGCTAAAATACCTAACCACCCTGCTCTTTGTTTAATCTAATTGTATATATCTTAGTCAGCATATATTTTTATACAACCCCAGAATTAACCTAGTCGAAAACGAAAGATGCGCTTACCTCACAAATAGTGACGAGGTTTTCATTAATATTGTTCATAATCTTCTCACTGATAGGATGATTTTGATCCAAGTGCTTAACAATAAGTTGTGCTTTGAATTCCAAACGTTTGAATAATAAAACGCAAGAAATTGAGTCATTCTCAGTTTTGAAAAACGCGTCGGGAAGGTAAGGTTGGATCATATTGAGACGGTCATTGGCTTGATTGACTTCCAGTTTGCGAAGCTCAATATCAACGGCTTTCGCTTGAGCTTTCATGACCGTATTTTGAAGTTGCAAGTTGAGAGACATCATAGCTTGTGATTGACTATTTAGTGTTTGTTTTTCTGATTGCTCAGTCTGTTCCTTTTGCTTCAATACGTCAAGATCATTCTGTAACATTGTCACTAGTTCTCTAAATTGTTGAATAGTGGCTTCATAATCTGCTGTGGTTTCCTCATTAGCTCTAAGTCGCTCTAATTGCTCTCGTAACAGCATATCGCGATGATCTATTTCGGCTTGAAGCTGCTTTTCTGTTTCAATATGGTTTTCCTCTAATTCATCCGCCAACTCTTTGAGTGCTTCGAGATCTTCTACTGTGGCATTTAATTCATCTATTCTTTCTGTCAAATTCAAGTTTTTCTCTGTCAATTGCTCGACTAGTTCTTCGGCGCCAAGCGCATCATCAAGCTGCAGTTTTAAATCCTCAATTGTTGCCTCAGCGTCAGCAAGCCTCTCTAGATTTTTTTCATATTGTGATTTATATTCATCTAGTTCGTGATTCTCTTGTTCCAAAATTTTAATTTTTTGCTGTAATTCGTTCTCTTGTTCGGCTGTTGCATCACGCAACCTATAAGAATGAAAAATCTCATCGATCAATATCATAAGTACTGAAGTCGATGCGTTTCATTCTCTGTTTACCTCAAAAGAGCCTCTTTCAATCGCTCATTATGTCTCTCTAACTGGATCACCTCCAAAGGTGTTCGCTCTTCGTTTTCTTTCTTAGTTAATTCTGGTGGTTTATTGAGTATGTCTGCTTCTTTTCTAAGAATATCCAAATCAACGGCCACCTCCTCGATTTTGTCCTTTAGCATATTAACTTCCTGCTGTAAGTTCTCTGCCCTTTCCTCAGCGACTTCTTTATCCAGAGTTAGCATTTCCATAGACTCCAACAAATCGTTATATTTTGATTCATATGTCTCTTTTTCCTCGATGATTTCTTTCAGTTCTCGCTTTGTATCTCGAACATCCTTTTGCAATTCTCCAATTTTATCTATTTTCAACATAAATAAGCTGTGTGGAACCAACCATAAATATTACAAAAACGCCTCGGTTACTGACCTTGTAGCTTGTTTCTCAACGTCAGAAATTGTTCAGCCTCTTCCTTTATTTTTTCATGTTCTCTAAACCTTTCGCGATCTTCATGCCGTTTGCTTTCTAATATTCTCAGTTTGAACCGTAATTCTTCATAATCTTTTAAAGGTACTGTCTGATAGACAAACGGGGAAAAGATCTATCAATACCCTATGATGGAATACAGACTTTCTTGGGGCATATTTGATACTTACTAAGTCAGACTTACTAACTGGTCTTACAGTTGCTAAAGAGCCGTAAACCCGCTCTTGGTCTGCCTTATTAAGTGCTTCCATGATTTGATGATGTTGCTGAGTTATTTCTGTAGTTACTGATGCGGTTGTTATTGTGACATCTTCTTTTTCTTCTAACGAAACAGGACTGGAAACCATACCTGCATTGGCCAATGTATTTTCCTGGCAAAGCATATCGAATTTAGCTTGTTCAATCTCTTCCAATCTTGAAAACTTATTATTATTTTCATTGTCAGGTTCTTCATTATCTCTTGTCACATCAGGTGTCGATGGTGCAGTAATAGGCGGTTTTGGTACTGCTGCTGCAGTAGCTTCCTCTATTCCTATCGTTGAAGCTGTTGATGCCGGTAAAGCAGCTGGTGGTAAACCTGAAAGAGTGCCTGATCTAGGTCTTCTTAGGTTTGTTGTTCCTGATGTTGTTAGGTTTGACGTGTTCGGGATCATGGAGTGTTTCTTTGTAGAGACACTTGATTTTCTTCTACTCATGTTTGGAATGGCTGTACTTCGAGTGTTTGATATACTACTGCTACTACCATTATAACTGTTTCTACCCGATGCTGCAGTTGTAGTAGAGGATGTATCTGATGAATTTAATAGGGATGTAGGTCGGCGTTTAGCAGTATTAATAGTTGGCGCATTTATCGGAGATGAAGGAGAAACGATGGATTTTCGTCGTTGCGGTGGAGTGGATGAAGAAGGTATCGCTGATTTTCTTTTGGATGATGCAATGGTTGATGTTACCGGTGTCGCTACTGTTGCTGTTGGCGAAGAAGAGGCAGTAGACTTGCGTCTTTGTTGCATAGTGGTTTGTGAAGCATTTGGTATAATGGATTTCCTCTTACTGGAGCCTGTGGGCTTTCAAAATAAAATCACGATTAAATGAAGAGCTTATTTTTCATCTTTTAGCTGTGTTTACGTGTACCTCGTTCAATAATTTGACATTTGTTGGTCTTACAAATACGCCATGATTTACTTTACAGTCAAAATATCGCTTCCCTTGCACTACTCCACTATTTTTACCGACTGCTTCGTCCAATTCTATTCCTACCCATTTTCCTGTCTGAAAACTAGTAGGTCCACAAAATCGGACGGTACCTGAAAGTTCGTTATTGACCACAACTCGTGATCCGATTGCAAAATCCTCGGATAGCGTTGAAGATCTTTTACTGATTGACATTGGTAATCTAGGATGTAGTCTGAGTGCTTCTCAAAATCAGTTTCTTAGTGATGAGTTTCTCTTCACCTTTGCTTTGGAGAAAGAGGCAAAGGATGTATTTTCTACTGTAATTATTACTGATAACTTTTATTTCCTTGAACCTTGTATTTCGTTATTGTGAACTAGTCAATAAGTTCAGTGAAGAAAGGAGTTACAGCAACTAAAGGAAGAGCAGTAATTTTTGTAATGGCTAACTTAAAATGATCAGGTTGCTTATCATTTAGCGGTCTTTTTCTTGTGGTGCTCGAAAAAGGAAATTACATTTTATGCCTTTAATCAGTTCCCCTGAATCAGAGTCTCTGCTGTCATTTATCTGGCCTTATAAACTAGAATAACAAAGTGATATAAACGTCACAGTCAAAAAGAGCCTCGTATTGACCTTTTTCTGAGGACAACTTTCCTGAAGCTCTAAGAGGAGTGTTGTGATGGCCATACCTTTGCAAGCTTTATATACTCGGATGTTCTTTTGGTTTTGGAACAATACAATTTTCTTCAGTTTGTTTGACCTTATGCAAGTGTTCTCTATAATTTTACTTTTTGTTTGTGCTGCTGTAACAATTTTTACTCTTGCCGACGCTCTGATGTGAATATACTATGATATTTCGCAGGACAGGCTTTGACTCAGTTTTGATAACATTGAAAACCTGGGCTGCAATAGTTTGGTGTAAGGTGAAAAGAGCATTATCCAAGCGAAAGTTGATAGCTACATTCCATTTTCTAAATGCAAGAGAATATTTGTTCTTTATGATACTAGGAAGACAACCTCCAGTCCATTGTACCCCTTTCAGATGCTCGTGCGCCATGCTAACGAAATAGTCTTATGTGAGAAAAACTGTCTTAAGGAGCAATACTGTGGTCCGCTAAGTTCTGCGGTTGAGTTACAAATAACGAACTGGTATCCATATCTTGTTTGCATACGCTTGCAGGTATATAGCAATGTTGACATAATGACTATACGTATTATTATTTTCAAGGTTTTTTTTATCAACTTTCCGATAAGAATTGTAGTGATATTGAAGTGAATTAGTAAACTAGGAAGCCTAGATAAAATGTTGTTAACAGTTATAAAAACCACGACTCATATCAAGGCATATGTCATTGGAATGGTAGTATTTGACGACATGTAAACCGTATATTGTTATGTAGGAAGATATAGGAGAAAGGAAAAAGTGAAGGACTAAAGGTTATGGTGTGGCGATATTTAGGCCCAACGCATAGTGGATTTGCAGTGTATACTAGTTCTTAAGCGTGATGTTTGTCCTTACAAATCGTTCCTGTAGTCTGTTATCAAATTATTGAAGATACTCAACTTGATAAATTGCACAAATTAAAGTTTCATCGGCAAAAAACCTATGCATTGCTCAATGCCGTCGGTCTCAAACCACACTGATAAGTTTAGTCTGAAGTATTTATGAATAGTGGCGGCTACTTTTTGTTTAAAAAGTATGTTTGTAGTCAGTATGGCACTTTTTTATTACTGTTCACATTAATGGAATCTAATTTTAAAATAGTTGAAGGACGTTGCTTAACCTTTATAAGGCTTAATCTAAGCGTCGTCAATATCTTGAAGGGCAACAAATGCGATTACCTAAACAGTTTTATTGTTTTACATAACAAAGATTGAATAAAAAATTTGTTATTCACATTGTGGATTACTATTTTTTCGCTTCAGATTCGAACTATTTTCAAAAAGAAATAAGACTCTTTCATTCAATAAAATTGGACAAATTTGGCAATTTGTTTTAGGCACTACCTAGGATAAAATCGGATTGATGGCAGCTGTTCAACCTAAAGCACCCTTAGGAGTGGGAGCATAGCAGCCTAAATAATCTTTCTTTTACATATTTCCCTCTTAGAGCCCCTTTTAGAGCTAAAATATAGACCTTATTGAGCGTAAAGCTCTGCTTGCAGATTCTGTTGAGCATACGGAAATAGATAACTATTACGCCATTCCAATATATCAAACAGTAATAGAGTGATAAATGTTGTCAGAAAAATGTTGTCATCTAACTACTCTCACTTTTCCCTCTTCTTTATTTTTTCTCCATTATTTTCTTTCTTTCTTAAAAGTTACTTAGATTCGTATACTTTTAAGACACGGCATAAGCTCTATGCCGAAGCTGAAGCTCTCATTAAGGAAAAGAAGAAAGCAAAGTTAGCTGCTCTCGATGATGAAACTACCAAAAGTTCCACAAAGAAAAGAAGATTGAGAAGTATGAATTCCTAGGATTGCTTATATCTACTGAAAACTTAATAATATACTGTAAATATTGTATTAGGCCAAAAACCAAAGATTCCGAAAGCGTTGTTAAAGGTAAGAAACGCGCAAAAACCAAGCGAAAAGCATCTTCCAGCACGAACACTACCAAGTGCAAGTCATGTGGAGAACTCGGACATGGAAGCAAAAGAAGTCCATTATGTCCTAATCATGAATGGACATTGGAGGAAACCATAACAAGGAAATTGGGTAGTTTTGAAAGGTTCACTATTTCAGTGCCGTTAGAAACATTTGTTACGAATCCTGCCAATTTTGCCCCCTGCCTTGAACGTGTGTTGGAAAAGTCAGCCTTTCTGCGAACAGTGGTCGTCAAGGCACAATTCATTGTCAACCATTACATTCTTACGTATCATAAGCATGTAACAAACGCGTTGTTTGAGCAAACTTCTGGTATACTGTCTGTCGGGTCGTCTATGGAAGTGCCAGAATTGAAGATGTGGAGGCTCGTTACCCTGAAATGACAGGTTTCGCAGAGGCATATTATACGCTCTTGATACATCATCATGAAGTCAATATTTCAGTATATTGTGGTTATTTGGCATATTACGGCCAGACTGTATCGTCAGCATGTATCACTTTGGCCACAACATATGAAAACTATTATGTTGAGAACTTTGAAGACACGATGGCAAAATACTTTATCTATTATCTTCGCCTTCATTACCCTGTAAGTATTACCAATGAATATATATATATATATATATAAATTCACCAAATTGACAACCATAACCATGTAGGATTTCAATGTTGGCCCTATCAAAGGCCTTGTTTATAATGAGCTCCTTGATTACATTTTTCTTCAGCCAGCCGGCCAACTTTTCAACATCAATCCCACTACTGCTCCTAGAGAGTTTATGCCGTTCATCACAGAGATGGAGCATCTCCTAAATGCTGCTTCAAGACCAATAAGAAACCACCTTCCAACCATACCAGCCAACAAAGTATCTGTCTCCTCTAATCCCTCAATGCTGATACCCCTCTACCATTATATTATTCTGCAGTACGAGGATTTTCAGTTGCGGGATGTATTAGAACAATTGGATTTCGAAGCGTACAAGCTTCAAAACCCTGGCATTGTTGGCCATCAATTTCCTGCCCGTTTGACACCGACCAAATTCGCCATGTTTCCAAACCCAAGGATGAAATGGCGGTTTATAAAACTGGATTCTCAAAACCTTCATCACTTCTTTCCGTATGATCGTTTGGCGAAACTGGACTACGAAACAGAAATTGACTACATTTCAAGGTGTTTCTTTCGATACTTTAACTTCACAATATTCAAAATAGATAGGTAAGCTTCTTGAATTATATCTATTTTTTAACTGGGAAGGGCTAATTCAGATCTGTTATATTGCTGTCCTAGCATTGAAGAGTTCATTAATTTACCTACAGGTAAAAATAAAATGTTCATCTACTGCATCTATACCGACGGATACACATGTCGGATTGCCTTTGCTAGAAAGACTACCAGTAGCATTATTGGAAATGTACAATTGAGCATATACGACTTCACCGAAGAGGAAATCAATAATCACTTCCGTCCCTGTGCTGTAGACCCCAGGCGCAAAGATGCGTTTGTTTCGTACCATGGAGGAACAGGTGTTAGAAAGTGTTCATCTCAAGAGTATTACCAAGCCATGGGATATAAGGGCAGGATGAAGATAGAAGAAGAATTGAAACAGCAACAGGGTATCAAAACCATAGAGTCACTAATCCCATCTGTTAAAACAACATCTGCTAGCCGCTATCGTGATCATATACAGTATATGTGCGCACATATGACTATTCTGCATCAGTTCTATGGATACAGAACCGCAGAGCTGAACTGGAAGAATTTTCGTGGAAGACAAGTATCCTTAGAATATGCTACAAACATACTGCTGAATGGAGGAAAGAAATATAACCCGCAGAAGAGATCACGGCATATGAGTAAAAGCAAAACAATCGCCGAAATCCCGGCATAGCTCATCAATCAGTCAATACCATGTAAATAGAATGATTCAAATGATGCGCACAGTATGCTTTACGGTAATAATGTATTCTCACTTTTCTCTGAATAGTCGTCACACGTACAAAAGGTCATTCGAAATTGGCGATAAGTCCAAAATGCCACTGGTACTGTTTGGTGACGGGTTAACCAATAGAGCGCAAGTTCGCTTTAAAGGTTTGCAAGCCGGTGTTTCTAGGAAAATGTACAAGCATTTGAAAACTAAAGAGAAACAAGGGCTAGTGTTAGTATTAGATATTGATGAATTTCGTACGTCAAAGGGTATGTAATCAATCGCATATAATCATAAACATAGCTCAAAACTCTGATTTACATCAATCTGTGTATAGATCTGTAATTCGTGTAAATCGTCGGATGTAAGAAAGCATCGTTCTCGTACACCAAGTAGAGAAATACATCAGATATCTTTTGCAGAAGTTGTAGTATTTTTTGGAATCGTGATGTTATGGCGGCTCAAAACATGTATCATATTGCTCAAGAGATTTGGATTGGTCATGGAAGACCTGGCCCATTTTGTCGTCAATCACAAAGCGCCACAACGAATGTGGTTGTCTCCCCTCGATGGGAGACTTATAGATTCTACAGGAAGTATGTCTACATTTTATCAATAATATATCCAAAAATATTGTACTCAAAATCCCAATTTTTCTGTTCTTTAATCTGAAAATCACCTCAATGCTGTCCGAAACTGAACCGAAAAGAATGTATTTACGTGCTGAATTGATATTAATCATATCAGACTGCTATACGAAATATTCGTTAAGTTAATTGTTTCTCAACAAATATCCACCAAGGAATTTGGGAATGTCGTGCTTTGATCGTTGGGTATCGAAGGATTGCGGACCACCCGCGTCTATTTTCGACCAAAATGAGAAACAAGGCAGTGTTCTGTTGAATTGTGCGAAAACGCTGATTTTGTAAAGCCTGCTAGTATAAGAACATGCTGGATAATAGGTTGACTTGGTTTTTAGTGTATGGAAGTTCGCTATTAAAAAAACTGCTTAATTTATTAAGAGGTAACGAACCGTATAGATAAAAACTAAAAAATAAAATAGAAATAAATAGAGAGATAATTCAAGAGCTGAGAATAGTCGCTTAAATCTGCGATACAAAGTATAAAGTACTGAATAGAGATATAGCAACACTGGAGATTAGAAAAACATAAATATTCAATGTTGTTAATAGGTGTGTAGAGTAGGTAAAGGAGCTTGAGTAGAATAGGAGAAATAAGTTCAACAGTGAAATAAGACTCGAGCGAGTAGTGAGCACCAGGTTATTAGTAACCAACATTTATTGTCTCAAGTGTTTTATAAAATTTGATTTATGATCTTTGACTAAATGAATAACTCTAACGATAAACTGAGATGTATCTGGTACAATCTGGTTGTGTTAAGAGCAATGAAGTCAAAAGAATAAGTTCTATGATTAATACTACTTCGCAGAAGTAGAAGGCAGAATAACACTTGATTAGTGTAGAATTTAAGATAAGATGTTTGAGATAAGGGAGATCTAATGTTTATTGTTCTGTCAAATTTGTGGCGTTTATATAGTTTTTTTTTAGAATAGGGGTCTGAATAAAATTGTTTTTCACTGGCTAGTTACGTAGGTAACAGCAGTTCTCCTCACAGTGTTTAAGTAATGTCTGGTGGGGACACTTTGTCAACATTCTGTAACGTGCTACTTAAAGTTACAGAGGATTGGAGTCTCTGTAATGCATTTACTGTGGATCAGGCTTCGTTGTTGATGGCTACATACCAATGATATTGCCAAAGGGTCTCCAAAAGCTATCAAATCCCGTAATAAAGGGATAGTTTAAGTGAATAGTAACAATAGAAACGTCTCATGATATTAAACAGAAAGCAAAAAATTAGCCCAACGGGGGGCTCGAACCCCCAACCTTGAGATTAAGAGTCTCACGCTCTACCGATTGAGCTAGCTAGGCTCCCTTGATATTGATGTGATCGTAAATAATTGTCATGGAAATAATTAGAACTCCGTCACGTGATCGGAAATAGCTCATGGTGTGGTCGGATAGCTCAAGAGATCGGAGCTGGTAGAAAGCATATGGTGTGCAATTAATTTAAGGAAGTGTATATAAAGAATAATTTGATCTAAAGAATAAACGGGGCCTTTCTCCATCAATAAACCTTGTACTATAAAGTGTGTCAGAAGCTTTATAAACACCTATACACGATATAAGCATATCATATTTGGATATTTGACTACGCATTGATAAACACAAAAATATTTGCTGCTGTCACGTGCCCAATGGATCCGGATTTTCTTTTCAAACCGGACATACAGTGACCTCATATCTGCGAAGTGTTTACAGATTTTGCATAAATCTCAACTCTACCACGAAGATGAGAGGTGTCAATAGATCAATTGCCTGTTGAGAAGCGATCTTTAGTTTGAGCGATGAGACCAACTTCTTATATAGAAAGATGGACATCCTATATAGACTCAATGAACAGAGTCAAACGGAAGTATTATCAAAGCCTTTTGAGTTTCAACCAAAACAGTCGACCGCCTTGCTAAAGATCATCAAGCGGCATAGACAATAAAGGCGGTAGGCCACGTAAAAGCAGCAAATCACTCGGTAGGAAGATAGTAAGATCTTTCTACACGGGGCATCTGCCACAGTTGTAGAGGCTACCCGGAGCCTACGTGCTCAAGCGTATGAAAACGCAGAATCTCAAATCATCAGAATTCGATTCGAAGATCAAAAAGTCGGCATTGGCATTAGTCAGTGAACGTCGCAAAAATTGGTTGAAATGGGCAAAGGCGCATAAAAGTTGGACAGTGGGAAGAGTGGAAGGAAGTGGTTTTTTAGCGACGAAACAAAATAAATCATTTAGGATCAGACGGAAAGACGTGGACGTGGGTCAAAAAACGGAGGGCCTCCCCAAGCGCACAATGCCAAATTCGCGTACAAAGGTGCTGGAGGAAGCTTGATGTTATGATATTACTTCATTCAATATAGATCTGGATTTAGAACCAAGATCGAGGGCTAAACTGTATTGCGAAATACTGAATGGGTGATTTCATGGAGGCCCTAAAAGACTATGGGCTCCAAAAGGAGGATGTTGTCTTTCAGCAGAACAATGATCTGAAGCATACCGCCAACTAACAAAAGAATGGTTTAAAAAGAACAAGGCGAATGTTTTAGACTGGCCTTCATATTCCCAAAAACCTCAATCCGATTGAGAACCTGTGGTTCTATCTGAAGTGCAAACTAGCAGAGCACGATACAGCATCGTCAAACCTGAATCAGTTATGGGAACGTCTTGTATAAAAACTTTACACCAGATCTATGCTTAAAAAAAAGTATGCCAGAGCGAATCAAAGCTGTTATAAAGGCAAAAGGAGGGTGGACGAAATGGTAAATCCATGTTCTTCTCTGTTATTTGTTATCATATCAATAAAGTGTTGTTCTGAATCAGTATGCCCTTTTTTAATCCCTCTCATCAGTGTATCAGACTATAAATTAGCATATCTTATAGTATTTGAGAGCTGAAAACCATAGCTTTCCAATGGTGTAAGCTTTTAATAGGTTTATGAGGGTCTATGCACTGTAAGGTCAGCAAAAAGATTATGTATACGAACATTTCAAAAACATTGTAGCAGTTTTGTGTGTCACTGTACAACACTTGAAGGCCCAATTCAGCAAGAATTAATGTCTCTATGATTGAGGCTTCTATGCTGAATCAACTCTAAACAATTTTGTTTTACAGATGTCCAATAATAAAGATCATCAGATGCTTCTAAAGCTTTTCGAAACTCATACTATCAGTTGCATTCTTGGCCCTTCGTTAGTCCTTCTTATGAACGAGTGATAATAACTATTCCTCTTCAATTTTTTCTACCTTTATAATTCATATGCCAACAATGATGATTATATACTCAAGAATACGACTAAGGTCAGTGACAATGCTTGCGATCACGAGCATCTTCTTCCTTTCCATTTATGGTTCGTCCAAAGTGTTTCAAAGGAATGTCGCCCCGTAAGTCTTCGTATTCGACAAAATTGTCTACTAGATATTGTAAATCAGCTGAACGAGAAGCACTTGCCGGCCATACATTATCACTACAAAAATATTAAGGTGACCGAAAGATAAAGGGTAAAGAAGAAGATTTAATCAAGTGATGCTTCTTGATGCTTCTTGATAACCTTGCCGTAGATGTACTTACGGATAACAACATTGTAGTTCGCGACGTGTTGTTAAGAATCTAGTGAGATAATCCTGCTCTGATTCTTGACTCATTCTGGGACCAGTTAAGGTTAAGATACGAACAATGTTTATATCAGGCTCAACATATTGATAACCATGCTGAATGATAGTATCTTCCATTGATGATAAAAGGTAAGCAAGTGTTAATAAATGTATTTTTCGAATAACAGATACTCAGTTATCTGGTTTCGCCCTTTTTCTTACCGTAGAAAATGGCTCGTCCGAGTGGTGAGTCAATACCATATTCTGCAGCATATCGAGCACTAGGTAGCATATAGTTTTTATAGACCCATTCTCTTTGCAGTTCGGCAAAATCATTGCTAGCGTCACAAGCTTCTTCTTGCCATGCTCTGCAGTAATTTTGTAAACCATCTACGCTTCCGCGACTCTTACGATCACAGTAAGGTAAGTGATCAATCTCCTCCAAACGTGGCACAAATTGTTGAAGTTGGTTATTCGGCTTATTGTTTGAATACTCTTTGATTAGTGTTAGAGCATCGCCTGTGCCAGTCTGTTCATTATAGGGGAGGATATTCAGGGAAAGAGGAATGAGTATTTTTACAAGTCTTTCGAAGAAAAAACCCCATCTATTGAATGCTGAATCAATAACTTACAGTAAAGCCAGCATAACCGCTGGTGTAACCTCGCAAATCATGAATGTTATTACAGTAGCTATATTTTCATTATGTTTAGTGTAAAAGTAAGACTATCATTGCCTTGAGACTTGGGAAAGGACTTACGCATAGGCAAAATTAGCATCACCATCCTCAAAGACATTAGTGATGAGACTAGCTACTTTTCTATCATGGCTAACAATACTGTTGACTTCAGGTAAATCACTCAAATCATAGAAAACTGTGCCATTTTTCAGAACAACACAACCTTTTTGAACAGCCTTGAATGTTAATATTCGAATGATTATATTAGTTTGAATGAGAACAGTATATAAGCACATCGGCAAGTTATATCATTTACTTCTTCACTTGAGACAAATTCAAACTTATCACATATGGCAGGGTGCGGCTGAAATCGATTACGACAGTTTCCAAAGATATCCTCTTGTAAAGAGAATGGTGTGAATAAAGATAAGGCCAGAAGGGCAGAACTGCCGATAGTTTTAAATTTCATTATTCTAGTTTTGTTAAAAAGAAAAAGTATAGACAGAAAAGGAGTAAGGAAATAATGAGTAGGGCGAAGGCTTCAATTTATACAAATGTTCAATGAAAACATGTGTATTAAGCAGACATGCAATAAAACTGTGCCATCTCCACTTTTTTTCTTTTGAAAAAAAGGAGGTTTTTTAACCTGTCAATTCTACAAATTGAAAGGGCCGCGCGCAGTTATATATCACCCCCAACATCTAGGCACCACACATTTCTCCGTCCTTTTTAAGCGTATTAGAAGGCACGTGTTTCAAACTAATTCTTGTTTGCCTCGAATAGAATACATTTACCTTCTACAATTATCTGGTAGGATGGAATGCAATGGAAAAAAAAAATAGTTCCTTGAATGGTAATTTGATGGGACTTTGTTTATTCTTTGATAGAAATAGAAAAGTATATGGCGCGTCGACCATTCAATATTTAATGATTATCGGTTACTACACTCTTTATAATTCTATACCCTTGTTACAGTATTACTACACATATTGAATAGAATGAAGATTCTGAACGTTATTTGGTCTGACTAGTATCCATATATAAGCATAATAATACAAGTAGATTGGTGCTGATCCCTTTGAATCGTTTGAAACGACCACTCAACAATTTACAACCGATTTAAAAGAGCTCTTTTCACAACAGTTTGATTGCTTACGAACATTTTGGAAACAGTAACCTTAAAAGTAAGGAGCAAGTATAAGCTCTAGAAACGAGAACCCTCTGCAAAAGTAAGAAATCAAACTGTTACAGAGATACTTAGAAAACACTAGAAATCTAGTGACGATTCTATCTCACCATACTATTCATTCATTATAAAAAAACAATGATTTATGTTAGTAGCCTCCGGAGAAGAATGAAATTAAATATATCATCATTTAATAAAGAAAAGCAGCTGAGCCTACTTAATCCCCAACTTATATAAGGTTTCTAGACCTTTGTAATAGATAAATTTTGAGCATAATTACATATCGTCCGAATTCATGTCTACTTAACTAGTGTTTCTTTTAAAACAACAACAGATACAACTAAAAGCCAATAAAGGGAACAAACTAGCATTGTACATAGTTAGCATTGTTTAAAGTCGCTTTGTCTTGTTATTAAATAATTATAATGCCAGTCGCCAGAGCATTAAGATAATTGCCTTCTTCCTAAAGTAAGGGTATTTGTTTCAGTAAAGGTTTTGAAAAGCTGTTCAGAGCAGTCGGGAAGGATTCCTTTGATCCCTCTGGTCAAGCCATCTTCTTCTTATGAAAAGATGTGAGCAATGAAATTAGAAGATATCATAACTACAGCCATTCACCAAATACTATCGTAGTGATAATCGCTTCATATTTATGAAGCTGCGAACAGAGTTCTCAATATTACTTATAACTATCAAATAATTCAACCCGTAGAGCTAAAGTTTGATCCAATTGCTTGTCTATAATAATTTATAAAGGAAACAAACGAGTCAAAAACTTGTTCACCAGGCACATTAAGGCGAAGTGGAGAAAATAAAAAATTATATAATTCATGCAGGTACATTGTTGATTACCCTTTTTCATGATTTACTGATGTTAGCGAAAGATCCAATTTCTCGTGTCGTGACTTTTTCTGCATTCTTTGATCCTTCTTTCTTGTTCCCTTTTTTTTTGTTGCAATCATCAATAAATAGGATCGTGGACAAATGGCATCCAGATTTAAAGGCTCCAATCAACTTGCCAGGGAACTTCACCAATTAATTAATACACCACCTGAAGACATACAGTTGATTGAGAATTTCAATACACTTGATGAAATTCACGCTTGGATTAAGGGACCAGGTAAAGAATAGAAAGATACCTTCTAATGGCAACGACAGTAGACTAAGTAAATATCGTCTATTCAAATTAGAGAGAACTCCATTTGAAGGTGGTTATTTCAAAGTAAAGCTCATGCTGGATGATGGATTCCCACAGAAACCACCGAAAGGATATTTTGTAACGAAAATCTTCCATCCCAACGTATCAGCAGCTGGTGAAATTTGCGTGAATACATTAAAGAAAGATTGGAAGCCTAACCTGGGAATTGGACATGTTCTATTAACTATTAAATGCTTATTGATTGCACCTAATCCAGAATCAGCATTGAACGAAGAAGCAGGTCGCCTCTTACTTGAACAATACGATGATTATGCAAACAAAGTAAGGTTTTACACTAATCTCCATGCGACCTTAGGGATTAAGGAATACACAGCACTTTACGAAGAGAGATCAGCCGCTAATGTGAGCATTGATTCAGCATTACTCAAAGAAAACACTACCACGATTACGACTACTACGGCAATCATAACACCAACAATAGCATCGGCAAAGATAGATACCACACGAACCAATTCTAGTAATACTAATATTATTGAAAACTTGAACGATACCACGATTCTGAAATCTTTGTCGAATAATTCCCCTACGACATCTTCAGCCACAGTAGACAGCGGCAACTGTGACAATAAGAAAAGAAAGCACTCAGATCAGAATACCGGAAAAGAAGAGTTGCAGCAGCAAGAAAATAGTAGTGGTAGCAACATGTCAAAAGATGTTAAAAACGATAATACTGAACCAAACAAACGAAAGACAAAAATTGAGAAAAGAAAGAAATCGTTAAAGCGTTTGTAGAGTAAAGAATTAAAGTATACACGCCCAGAATCCTTAATCGGTCGAAAGGATATATTGTACTTGATATGTTGAAAACGATAACTTAAAGTTGCTCGATTCGAAGGAACTGCTGGAAATTATCATACCTATTGAAGACCTTCCCATTTAAAGAAATTAGTAATTTATACATGGGAAGATAAAGAGCTGCCATTTTTTACAAGCTCAAAGATGTATATCCAAATTTCAATAAATACTCTCTATTACCGCCATTATATTCTCCCTGTCCTTTTATTAGCATGCTAGCCATCTCTTCTGTTGCTCGCTTTTTTTGTTGATAAAGGTGGAAGAACCCTTCGTTTGTAGAAGCATCATTCAAAGCGAAAAATATGTTCAAGAAGTTGGAAAACATTAGGTATATATGCTGAGTATTTTGTCACGCTTGCTGCTTGAAAAGACGGAATTTCATCGAATTTGACTGTCATATCATCATCCTTTATTTGCTTCTAAACTCTTCTTTGATGACTTTTGGGACATTGCAGACATCATATTCTCGTTAAAAGAGCACGTTATCTGATGATGTATAATACCATTCTGCATCAGAAATATATGGCTCCCCCCCCGAAGTTCCGAATAAAAGAGATAGATCAGTATCTTTTGTAGTAAATGCCTTCAGTTTCTTTATAATAGCGTCGATATTGTAATGATAAGCCATACTGCTATCGGGCATGCTTTTGACAAAAGGACAACTGCATCATCTCACCAGACGATAAAATCTCGAAATGCCAGTTTATACACGTCTCCCATACAATCTAGGGACTTCAGCCTAACAACGCTGTGAGATAGTTAGGTTTTATCGTACTTCGTTAGACGTTGTGAGTGATTTAATCATATGAATATATTACCATCGTGCCTCAAATACGACCGTGTAGACTTTTGTTCATATGACTTCCCTTAGAATTTCACGAGGCTTAAGGAACCATAAACTTATTTTGTATCCGAGTGTCTCATCTAATTCTGGAAGAATTTGCCTTGCACTTGAGTCTGTTTTTGGTTCAACAGCTACAGCACACAAGCATTGGTTAACCTACGAGGACAGATTGCTCATGTGAAGAGCAGGCGCTCCAGTTTTTTTGAACAACCGTCTACACAGGTCGTTGATAAGAAATTATGGTTAACTAGGACGGGAAAGTGAGGAATAAAAAATTCGCGTTCAACGCGCATTTGGCTCGCGGCATGAATCTGAATATTAAAATTAGGATTACGGTTATTCGAATCCTTTGCTTAGCATATTCCTAAGCTCAATTTTCAAGCAGCTCGACCTTTGTTACCCTCCTTATATAACCCACTTAACTTTTAACGGCATGTCTTCTCAAAATGTATATACTGGTTCAGCTGAAAGAGATGAAGGAGACCTAATGGGAACCGATGACGAAGACACTTTCAAGATTCTAATTGCTACAGATAACCATATTGGCTTTATGGAAGACGATGCCATTCGTGGTCAAGACAGCTTCCGCACATTTGAAGAGATTTTATACATTGCCAAGGTTGAACAAGTTGACTTCGTTCTCTTAGGCGGCGATCTTTTTCACCAAAACAGTCCGTCTCGTGCTTGCCTATATCAAACCCTGAAAATGCTGCGTCGCCACTGTTACGGCGATCGCCCTTCATCCATTTGGATCGCCAGTGATCAATCCGTCAATTTTCCTGAAGAATTCTGTACTGCCAATTATCTCGATGAAAATATCAATATCAGCCTTCCCGTCTTTTCTATTCATGGTAATCATGACGATCCTTCAGGCACAGGAAATTTGTGTGCTCTTCACTTATTGTCCGTAACAGGTATGGTGAATTATTTTGGTGCAAGCCCAAAAGTCGATAATGTCGTAGTTCACCCCATTCTTATGCAAAAGGGTAGAAGTAAATTAGCATTGTATGGGTTGGGCAATATTCGGGATGAACGGTTGCATCGACATTGGCGCCAAGGACGTGTCAAGTTTATGCGTCCGGAAGATGAGGATTGGCTAGGAGATAATTGCTTCAATATGTTTGTTTTGCATCAAAACCGCGCAGCACATGGACGTAAAAGTTATATACCCACTGAATTTATAGATGGATTTTTGGATTTGATAGTTTGGGGTCATGAACATGATTGTAAAATTGCGCCTGAACTGATGGAACGATTTGCCATTTCACAACCAGGCTCGTCCATAGCCACCAGTTTAGCAAAAGGCGAAGCCTTGGCAAAACACATTGGCTTGTTGAGGGTGAAAGGTACCAGTTTTAGCCTGGAGAAAATACGCTTAAAGACAGTTCGACCTTTTATATGCACCGATCTCCAACTGAAAGCGAATAATAAGAATTTATCAGTGAAGGACGTGAAAGGGATCCAGAATTATCTTGCAGAAAAAGTAGAGGAGCTTATTATTCAAGCTAGAAGTGAGTGGGAAGAGCAACAACGTTCCAGCCCTTACAAACTTCCTTTTTGGGAGTATGATGATGAAGATAACACATCAGAACAACCAAACATGCCTTTACCACTCATCCGTATCCGTGTTGATTACAGTGGTGGTTATGAAACCTTCAACCCTTCTCAGTTCGGTCAAAGATTTATCAACCGTGTTGCGAATGCCAGAGAAATTCTTAGGTTCCATCGATCTTCTCGAAATAGCAATGATGAAATGGAAGAGACAGCCCGTGAAAGTCTCCGTGCACAAACAGAAATGCTCACTGATTTGACCATGGCCATTCCGGATCGATTGGATACAGTCAAAGTCGAAAGCCTCGTCGAAGAATTGTTATCGCGCGATCTATTCATTTTACCCGAGACGAGGTTGGAAAATGCACTTTTGGATATTGTGACGAAAGATGACAAGACAGCTATCAAATCGTTTTTCAACAAGTCAATTAAACAGGCAACTCAAAACGTACAATTTGTGCCTGATATGGATTTGACGTTGGATTATGTGAAGCGTAAAACAACGGTTCTTAAAGAAAGTATAAATCAAAGATTGGATAATGAACGAGCAGCAGCAGCAGGAGGAGGCCATAGTGATAGAACCAGTACTACGCCCACCTTATCAAGGGAAATAGCATTTGGTACACAGCCTGGTACAAGTGATGCTAGTAGGACTATTTTTAACAGCGACGAAGGGGATAATGCTAATGATACTATACAACGAGAAACTCAACGTAGACAACTGAGAACTAGCTTATTATCTGATGATGATACAGAGTTACAGCCACTTGCACTGAGTTCATCAAACAGGATAGATGAAAATGCTACAGGTACCGCAATAAAGGGTAGCGGAGGCAAAAAAGGAACTGGTCGAGGTAGTAAAACCAGAAGTACGCGCGGTAAAACAGGCACTTCTACGTCAAGAAAACGCCGCCTTATTTCTGATGATGATGATGCTGATGATGATGACCATGAAGAAGAAGATCCTATAGAAGACTTTACAGACGATGAGAATGAACCGATTTCAGTAACACCTACAACGTCGCGTAGTATTACAAATAGGCGTAGAGTCACTCAAACATCTTCATATAATATCTCAAGTGACGATGATGAGGGTGCTGATGCCACTAATAGCAAAAGCATCCAAGAAGAGATATCGTCGAGTACCACACGAGGAAATAGAGGTAACAAAGCCAAAGGAAAGACGGGAGTGAGAACAAAACGAGCTGCTCCTTCTAGCTCTCCAGTACCAGCAGCCTCGTCTTCACAAACATTCACTACTAATACTCAAGATACACAAAGCAGTCAAAAAAAACGAAGAGTTCTACCTGGAGTTTCCCGGACAAAGAAGTAGTGGCACATTTATAGAAGAACAATACAATTCATAAGTGAGACTATACACACCTTCGTTTCGTTAAGAAAAAATGATACAAATATCCCAACACTATGATTCCCATTAGATTTTTGACTTTTTGTTGTGCGTAATATCCGAAAATGTTTATATTAAAGATACACAAAAGGCTTAATGAAGGTAGTAACATGCACACAAAGGACAGATAGACAGAAAAAAAAAAGACGATGCTATGTAGACGAACAGGAATGTATAAAAATGGTTAAATGTGATTTCTTTTTAGATGGTACAACCCTATCCATTGTTATATACTTTATGATATATATCTAGTGCAACTATACTGCTACCTTGTAGTTTCAGCCGTTTGATAACAGAAGCGGACAAAGCGTTCGATTCTACGGAACTTAAAAGAAAGGATACCCAAAGCCATGTTTATTTGTTTTAGTTTACAATTTGTCAAAAGCAACAGCATTATGTAATGAAACAGGGGTTTATACAATTCTATAGTGTTCTTTCAAATATAGAAAGATGTTTATTACTGAAAAGGAAACTGAACAATGCATGCAGCAAGTTTCGTTTTAATGCGTGGGTGGGTTGATCGTCCTTCATTGTGCGAACTCGGGAACGTTGTCTTGTTCCCTTTATGCACGACCAACGACCCATGAACTGTTTAATTATTAACAAGATAGTTATTTACAAAAGGGGAGAAATACTCTAAGAGTATATAGAAGAAGATACATACAATAATATTCTACACGGAAGCTAATAAGCCTGTTGTTTTCTGCTTATTAGGTAGGAAAAAAGAACAATAAGAAGCCAAAATGTCGATATAAAAGGGGATATGCCGAGAAATATGATAATTGTGATATGCTAAAAAATGCTACAAGCTACCGAAAAGTGGTATAACCTGAAATGGAATTCCGTTATAATGATGAAACAGTTGTCTTTTTCGAAATGATAAGTTTACGTATGAATTTCTTTGTGCTCTGCAAAAACGTCGTGTTACTAGAAGCATTTGGTGTTTTAGGCTTTTCCGAAGAGAATAATTGAGTTGAAGTGGGCGTTGTCATCGTAGCCGAAGGCTGTGATGACAATGGGTGCGATAATGATGTAGTGGCGGTAGTGGTGGCTGTAATAGCTTGTTTCTTATTATTTTTCTTCTTCTTTCTGCTGATATTGAAAGGTTCAAGAAGTTTCTTTTTTAGCCCTGGTTTCTTCTGCATTGTGATTGTGCTGTTTCCCCTGAATGCCTCGCATATAATCTTGCCTTCTGCAGTTGCTGCAACAGCTTGTTTTGTTTGTTGTGGTTGCTTCAAAGTTGAATTCTGTTCTTTCGGTACCAGCAACGGCTTTTGTCCTTCTTGAGTAGTAATGGTAGTAGTGACAGTATCATTATTAGGTGGTACAAGTGTCGTAAACTTTGTTTGCTGCTGCTCGGAACCAAAAGTAGCAGATGTAGCATTTTCATCCCGATCAAGATGATCATGTAATTGAGTTTTAGCTGTGGTGAATGTACCAATAGTAGAGTTACGATCAGTCATTGGGAAAGGACTGAAGGTATCTCTTCGACGTCGAGGCATCTCGATGGTATCAAGATTTCCAATCTCATGACGACCAAAATTAATAGCTTCATCAAACCAGCTTAGACCCGGTGGCGGTACTGCTGCTGTTGTTGATGTAGTCACGCTAGTATGCATGGTTGCTGTTGTGGGGGCAGTATTGGAAATAGCTGTGAAAGGGTGAACATGACGTTGCTGCTGCTGCTGCTGTTGTTGTTGTTGTTGTTGACGGAAGAGATGATGATGACTGCCGTTCTGATTGGATTGAATGTCATTCTGTATCAAAGTGAAGCCACCTTTCAAAATCTCGTGCAATTCCATACGTTCCAACGTTAAGAAGTGTTGAGAAAGTTGTGCTAGAAAGTCCTTTTCCTCAAAAGTAGGTAAGGTCAACTTTGGAGGACCATAATTGTAGTCCGTCAATACGTCCTTTTCCATTGGTAACAGTAACATGTCCTCCATATCATCCTGTTGGTCATCATCATCATCATCATCATCTTCTATGACTGGAATATACTGTTTGAAACTTAGCATGTTTTCTATTTCAGTTTCAGGACATGGTTTATTATTAGCTTGTTGGAGTGTGATTAAAAATTCATCCAATGCCCAATCACGAGATTCGGGAACTTTGGATGATAAGGGTGATGATAGTTTTGGTAAGCCCGTGTCATTAGGGAAGTGAAAGTCGCTAGAATCTGATTCATAATCCATTTTGCTGTATATCGTTTGTTGATTGAATTATGTGTAAATAATATGTAATGTAGAGCTTAAAGTTCGAGATAAAATAAATATGTAAGATATAACGTGTATTATGCGCCCCAATCAATTGATCAGATAAGACAGTGAGATATTTATGTGTACACGAACAGTTATTTAGGAGTTCAATATAGACAGAAAATAAAAAATCAAAAAAACAAATAAAAACAAAAAAAAAGTCGAAATCTTGCAAAGCAAAAGGATGAAAAAAAAAAACTAATAACCCTTTATATATCGAGTTTAGTGAACGGGGGAAGGGAAGCAAAAAAAAAAAAAAAAAAAAAAAAAAGTCTTGTTGCGTTTAAGTTGATTGCATCTTTCTGTACAACGTTTCCAAGTATCACAATGATTGAATCACGGAAGAGAAGGTACCGAACTGTGTCTACGTAAAAGAGAGCCCAGCCCAAAATAAGTGATGTTTTTTAAAGTTTCCTTAATTGAATTGAATATGTGTGGATCTTTCACTCCCATTATCGAAATAACGTATTTAATTGTGATACACAATGCACGACAATCAAAATAACAGCAAAATACCCTTATTTTATTCAAGCTAAAGTAAAGTTGTAGAAGTAAGTATTAGTCTAAGTGTCTATAGGTATAAAAAGTGTCTTATTATTGTGTTTGTTGCTGCTGCTGTTGAGATTGCTGTTGTTGAGTATAAAAATATGTGAAAAATGGATATACAAAAAGCCCCAGAATCATTGAAAAGACAATCAAAAGAGTAATCATATTACAAGCACCACGTTTGCTAAAAATTGTAAAGTTTCGTTTGGTCATTTTTGAGGGCGGAATCAGGGGTTTTGACAATGACAAATCCTTGTAATGATCATCAATCCAGATATAAAAATAATTGGCATCCTTTGATTGAATGCGAGGATGCATTTCTAAATTACTGACGTTGGACATGGATTGGTATTGATTGAATGTGGTTGAACTAGAACCGGGATGCATATAGATGTAGTGAAGTCCTCCTTTGAAGGATGGGTATTGTTGGTGATGCAGCTTAATGCTATCTTTAGGTGTTGTATGAGCTGGGGTTTGGATCATCGACGCACTGCTAAGAGTAGACGGATGGTGTAGCCTTCCGCCCCCTAAAAATCGCTGCCTATTATTGCTGGTATCAACATTTTGATGCTGTGCTCCCAGTTGTGTCGCTTTTTTTCTTGGTGTCGCCATTCCAGGATCAGAATGCCTGACAAGCGTCTCATCTCCTGGATGAACGCGTCTTTTATTGTTACCGATGATATGGCGATGACTGTTGCTCTTGTTCTTTAAATAATCATCCTGCTGCTGTCCCATATCTCCAGCCTATATTCGTTGTTGAATCGTAAAGGTATTTAATGAAGGAAGAAAAAGATAAAGAATGGTGATATGTCATATTCTAATTATGCTGTAGAAATATTTTAGATTTTAACAAGAATTGTCAAAAAAAAACCAACAAAGCCAGCCAAATATTCGACGTGGTATGTACGATAAGAATAAATAATGATGCATGCACACTTGAAAGTAATTGTATAGCCAAATAAGCTTATTTCTAACAAATTTGTATAGAATCATTCTTTCCTTTTTTCCTTTTTGCGTCATTCAAATCCACTACAGCAGCAAGTTTGAACCTCTTTTTGATTCGCTTTCTATTCTTCACGTCGTAGAGTCATTCTGAAATATTACTTTTCATAACCAAATACAAACAGAGAAGGTCACCATCATTTTCGTCAAGAAATCAGCGTTAAAGAAGAGAAATCATTGTCTACAGCAAGAAAGGAGACCTTCCATTCGTCATGCAATTGCAGAGATAGCACTTTTAAATTTTCGATGACTGTTGAGCAATTTTCTAAGAAAAAAAATTACGTTCGAGCCTTCTCTACCATTTCACCCATCATAGACCATACATATACATTCTCGAGAATATCCCTATTAACGTCTGAATACGCTTCTTGGAAGGATCAAGATATCCAAACAAAAAAGAAAAGGACGTTGATAAAGCAACGATGAGCTTGGCTAATTTTTTCAAAAAAAAGCTCTTCAAACTACATTTGCAGTTCGCAGTTGCTACGAGATACAGAGAATCAGTTAAAGAATAGCTCATCATCAATTGCAGGTAGATATAGTCAAAACTCATCGACATGCGTATTTTTTAGCAAGTTTACGCCATTTAGCAATAGCTATCTCCAATGGCTGTGTGTTGATCAACAAACAAATTTTTAAAGTATGCAGTATGAGCTTATTAACATAATGGTTATGTTTACAATTTTCTATGAGTTGAGGTGCAGTCAACTCTACGTATTAAGTACCTCAGCCAATAAAATGTTTTCATAATATTTCTTGCAGTGACAAATAGATATGCTACTTTACATTGATTCCTTGATCTTTTACTTTATGGAAGCTTTTCGCGCATTCGTATTAGGTACGGAATCACACTGACAGAAACCTGAATGGTAACGGTTTATTGGATTTGTTTCAAAGATAAAATTGAATCACTAAGACTTTCAATACCCTCTGCCACCAGAAAAAAGAAACCAAAAAAAACCACCTTTCTCATCTTTTTCTATTATTCTGTCTGTACATTTAGTTCAGTTTATGGAGAAAGGCGATATTCTGTGGGGTTCTTTGACGGAGGAGCAAAGTTTGACAGAAAAAGAAAACACAGCATCAGGAAAGAAAAACGAGGTTACAGAAACAACCAAAAATAATGCTATAGAAGTACGTCAACCACTGCGAGAGAATCAATCGATTGCAGCGGCGGATAACACAAATACCACCGGACTGGACGGCGAGATAGATTATGATCAAGAAAACAATAGTGAACTTAATGGTAGCACGAATGTAGCCACAGCCATTTGTGGATGCGGTAAAGTGTTAGGAAAGGATTGGCAGTGCGTCGCTTGTAGGAAACAATGCCCTACCTGTAATAGATCCTTCTGTTTATATTCTGAAGAAATTTGTACTCGATGCTACCAAAATTGTGAGTACCATGGCTTGTATATGATACCCAATGGCACCAACCCCAGCGACAATGCTATTTCTGCCAGTCATTCTGCAACATCAAATTGTCCTTTTCGTCATAGAAAGGAATAAGATGACAATTATCTTCATAAACTAACTGTAATTTACAAGAAAATACATATAATCTGATACGTCTAAAGCTCCATGTTGGTTGTATACGCCGCCTTTTATCACAATTTTTAACTTTGTACTATATTTTTGCGAATACCACTCTCTAAAAGCTGTTTACCTAACAAAGTATGTCGAGAAATAAGACTCGAAAAGGAACAATCTCATATTATTACCGGGGCAAGTGTATATCTCTACGCATATATGATTCCTCTCAATAAAAACGGGTTGTGCTCTTGCTTTAGCAGTTCATTTCTACGATATGTCTTCGTCTGAGTTTCAAACACGGAAAGAAGAGGAGATGATTGTCATTTCAACGTAACGCTCATCCAGCAATCTCTTTTATAGACTACATTTTACATTTTACGGCTCGATTAATTTATGAATCGATGAGCGATCAACGTGATACCAAGAGAATAAAACTATCCTTAGAGCCATTTCTCTCGAATAATGTATCAGATATACTCGACACAGGCCATGAAATTTTAAAACCGTAAACTAATGCATCAATTTTGAATCCCTTCATATGCATGTGTTTTGTTCCCAAGTTATTGTCGACTAAATAACCACCCTCCAAAAAACAACAACAAACACACTTTGTACTTTTCCTTTAGGGAGATAAATTTGTCTGAAAAATTAATGACAACAGTGGACCGTATATGGTTCGAAAGAGGTGAATGGAAAGACATAACAGAGAAATCGCTTTTAGAATCGATACAAAAGAAGGATGAAGTTGATCTAAAGGACGAGGAAGGTTCTGCTACAACAACTTCCGATGCGGTGACGTTAAATAAACCATCACAACAGCCACAACAACCTCAGATACCCGAGATGGACATCATCAAACTTCGAGAGTTGGTCATTAATCAATTCCTGCAAGTCTTTCATAATACATTATTCTGATCCTTTATCGAAAAAAAAAGACAGAAAATATGTCCTAACTAACATAGACCCCCTTTTTTTTTTTGCCTTTTAGACATGGTAAAAGTGAAGTGGATGTAGCGCTAGATGTTGTGAATATTTTGACGGCCAGTAATCGATCCTCGTCTGGCAGTGTAAAAGATCTTGTTTTACCTGCTGGATCTTTAACCGCGACTTATGTGACAAAACCTAAGCCAACGACAAAAGCACAATTGGAATCTGTGCAATTGAATTTGGGTTTGAAGCGTAAAAAGCAACGAGAAGCAGCTGATTTTTTGAGAAAGAGTGCATTCGCTTTGAAGGATTTGGTCGAGAAAGAGCAAGTGTTTTGGGATGAAGCTTTGGATTTAAGGAGAAATAATTGGCAGATGCAAGCGAGTGGTAATAGCGGTGCAGGCGGCGGTAGTGCATTCGTCATGAATCCGTCAACAGCAGCAGGATCATCATTTTATGTTCAATATGGATTTTTAGAGGGTAGAGTAGCAAAAAGCACAACATTTTATCACGAAGGTTAAGAAAAAAAGAGCTTACCTTCTTCTATAGTGGGATCCCAGTACAATGAAGCATCTGTTGGTGAACTACGGCGCTCGGAAGATACACAAAGAAAGACAGCCAACAATAAAGAGAGTTTACAACTACTCCTTCCGCACGCGATACAACGAAAAGTGATGGTTCAAGTGAAGCAGAGTCACCTAGGTAAACTGGGTTTTGTTCAACAGTACAATGATCCAGACGATGGTATTTTGGGCATCAAAGAACAGCAAAAGGACTCGACGACGATGGAAAGCGATGAGGAAGGAGAGCAGTTCGATTCGTCTCGTGATATTTTAACGACTTATTCTATCGATGCATCTCAAAGCGCGGTGCAAAGCCGCCTTGTTGAAGCTTGTTCGACTGTATTTGATGCTGAGCTATTTGCTAATGTAAAGCATATACAAAGGGGGCGGGGGCGGGGGCGGAGAAGACGCAAAAAGTTCACTCATTTTATTTTACACTACGTTAGGTCTTGGCGGAAGCTCAGGCATTAAGTAGCAATGTCCGTTTTCCGATGGATGAGATAGTCATTAGTATCGATGGACAGTTAGACATGTCGATCAAGAAAGTGACACTCCATGATAAACAGTCAACGACTACCAAAACAACAGCAGCATCGACAAGCAATGGAAATAAACAAATGGTGAGTCGATCCATTGGCTTAGCATTCAAGTTATTACTGCTACAGCAGCAGCGTTACCATGTTTGGAGAGCCAGAGCGAAAACACTCTCGAATAATTACAGGTTACGACAATTACTCAAAGAGCAAGATAGTGCAGCAGCGATAGCAGCAGCAGCAGCAGCAGCAGCAGCAGCAGCAAATGCTTCTGGAGGCGCAAATACAAAAGCCAGTACAAATGCAAACGCCGGAGCAGTAGCGACACAGTCACCCAACCCGAATGCTTTTGCTGCGAGTAATACGGGTACCACTTTGAAATCCACCCCGAACCTGAGCAAAGCCAGTTTACCACCCTCTTCTGCAGCCACTGCATCGGTAGCATCGGGTGCTACAGTAGGGTCAGGTGTTCTCGGTACACCGTCTATGACGGCCACAGCGGCTACCACAGGTGCGACGACTTCCAATTCCAATGCAACGAAATCAAGCACAACGGTAGGAAGTAGTATTTTGTCTAACCATCGTGCACAGACAATGGCGCATGACTCTTCGCAACCACCCAGCCATCTTCCCATCCTGGACCCCATCTTATCTTTTCTGCGATTTTGGATTCAGTTTGATAAAATGAACCATGTGGTGCAAACTCTGTTAACATCCTTTCAACGTATAGGAGGCTGTGGTTTCTTTACTCATGTTACTTTCTTTTCTGATCGTAACCCATGGACATCATCCTCTACGGCAGCAGCCAGTAGTAGGTATGAAGATGTTTACCCAGGGTTCGGAAAAGTAGCACTTGGATTAAGTATTCATCTAGCCAAAGGGTAAACAACAGAAATGCCCATTGTGTGTACAACGCATCTATTCCCCGACGGGGTTAAACTAAAAGCCCATTCTTTATTTGACTTAGCCCCTCTCTACAATTCGGTCTGGATCTCTCGGGTTTTATTTCCGTATATCTACCACAAACAACAGTGGTTTTACAGAATGTATCTGAATTTGAGGCATTTTTATCGCGAGAAATTAAGATTATTGTTTTACGAAGTGTATGTGAAGTAGCCAATGATATCATTTTAGGCCATCATGATGACAGCGTTTCCAATAAGCAACAACATTACTTATGGCAAGTCGATCAAGTCGATGAATCTATTCATGGCTATATGTATTGCGATCAAAAAGAAAATCATCAAGACAAACAACGAGCATCCTCCTCGTGGAGAAATGTGTAAGTTGCGAAAGTATCTTGATGGAGAGATTCATGCATTTACTTACTAAAGCTTTTTTTTTTTCTTTTCTTATGCAGTATCGTTCGCTTAAAGATGAATACTCGTCATCATGAGATTATACCAGCCTTAGAGTTCAAGTCGACACCTGTTGCTGATGTACATCGGAATACGGTCGGACAAGAAACCACCTATCAGATGTTCTTGGGTGGTGACTCTCCGGAGAAGATAGTCGTTGTTACAGGCACTCCTACTGCAAGTACGACTACCGCTACTATTTCAATACCCACACTAGCCATGAACTTTAAGGAAAAAGTCCGCGTTTTGATTAAAAAGATGATCGAATCATGATATTAACCTATCAATAGAACACACGCCGTTGTAGAACCAGAAAGAGAAAAATTAGAAAAGACAATGGTTAAAAGAGTTGCAAATTTTTGGTTTTCAACTTTTTATCATCATTACAAAAATGGTAAATATTTTGGAAAAGTATATAAAATAAAATATATTGGGAATTATATCTTGCTGGGTAAGGTACAGAAAAATAAAGAATAATATGTTTCCTTTTTTTTTTTATTTTTGAAATTCATGTAGAACGGAGTAGTACTTTTTTTCTTTAGAGTAAAAGGTTATATTGTAATATGATGTAAAGATGAGAGAGAGAGAGTGTGTGTGTATGTGTGTGTGTATGAGTGTGTATGGGTGTGTTTATCATGGTGATAGTAAAGTATATAGATTGCAAATACAGGGTCTAGTCTTGCAGAGGATTGTTTTGCTGGTGCTTCCTCCTCTTTTTAAAATTACCACTATTACTACTACCATTCTGGCGAGTCACTGATTTCACTGAGGATGTCCAGTTTTCCCAACCAACATTCTCATTTATGCTAGAAGAAGTCAGTGAAGGTGACACTTTGTAAACAATTTCGTTTGTTGATTGCAATGGCATAGTACCGTCAAAGAACAGCGAAAGATCGTTCAAGCACTTGGTACGTTCTTGCTTGTCTGTACTGATAGTTGTCACACTGGGAGCACCAAATTCCAATACAGGTGTAGAAGGCTTGACGAGCACAGGAGGAGTGCCTGTTAAGCCGCTTGCAAACATATTCATCGCCATATCATGGCAGCCAGGATGCTGGTCGATATAGTGGTGAATTTGTTCGGGTATGTTGCAAGTATAAGCGTAGAGATATTCAGTCTTCATGAAGGCTGCGTTGGGTTGGATCATGCTGTATTCGTTGGTTTTGGGAGCAATGTTGTCGATATATTCATAATTATTTCTTAGGATGCCGCCTTTACCATCCGAGGGGTTGACGCGTTGGTGAGAGTTGGCACGGAAACCTACAATGGAGTCCTGGTTCTTTTCCCAAATGCTGTAAGCAAATTCGAAATCTTTGGGAGACACGATCACCTAGAAACGATACAACACGATGTTGTTAGCACGGCACTTGCCTCTCTCTCTCTCTCACTCTATCTATTTGCCCCAAAAGGGCGACAAACAAAACATAGACTTACATTATCTTCCGTCATGAAAACGGCGGACGTGCTGAGACCCTGAATTGGATTATATCGATTATTTGCTGTGACATACTGTCCTTGAGCGATAGCCGCAATGGGTTTTCTCAAACCCAACTTTTTCAAATAACTCGTCGTCAATTTGATAGATTTTCCTGTTTGTTGATCTTTAATATTCTTGCCGTTGATAAAGATACGTTCAACACGTTTTGATGCAGCATAGATTCTCAACAAATCATGTAAATGGTCGATATTGACAGATTGTTCATTGATGAAATTGAGGATGACGGTGAACTGATGGGTGTTACGATAACGACGGCCATAAGATCGCTTTAAACGACGATCACAGATTTCCTCAACACGACCTTTGTTGTGCCAGGGTAAAGTTAGGTCCAAAGGTGTGGGCACTTGAGCAAAGGACAATGGTTTTTCTTCACCAGAGTTCTGTGCGGAAGGTGGAGAATTGGGTATAACAGAAGTGCCAATGGTGAGTTCAGTAGCGTCGTCTGAATAAAGTCCACCTTCCGTTAATTTGGAACGCATTTCACGTAGATTACGAGTCCAATAACCGAAAAGGTAACTGTCGTAATTTTCTCTCCATTCACGTTGGTGCAAGAAATGGAAATTCCATGGCTTTGTCTCACTGGTATAATGAAGTACTTTGACGGTATTTTCTCCAATAAATTTGGAAGCTAATGTAGACATTTTCTATAACCATGTTTTCTATTAGCTTTTTTCTTTATCTATGAAATAGGTGAAATAAAACCGCGCAAAAAAAAAAAAAAAAGAAACATTTTTTTTTTTTTTTTTTTTTTTTTGCGCCTCTTATAAGAATGGATCAACCTACCGTAAATTTAATCATGACATTGTAATTTCCTGGTAAAGGTTTTGCGGATTGATTAAAATAATAATTCAAAAAGCCTTGATCACCCTTATTGTAACTGGGTGCGTTTTCGTATGTGTTCATCAAGTCAGTGTATGTATCCATATTAGGTTCTGCCACGAAGACACCAGTGTTTAAAACCCCACCGATATCGACTGTGGCCGAGAATTGCGGATACTCAAATAATTCATCCATATTCTGTAACAAAATGCATGCAAGCGCACAGACAAAAAAAATTAACCCAACAAAAAAAAAGAAAAAAAGAATTGTACGTTAATTCCATGTAGGATTGGAACACATCTTGGCAAAATCTTGGTCTCATCTTACGTTGGCAACCATCGTATCTGCATCCAGATAAACAACCTTTCAAGGGAGAAAATCAATATCAAAACCGTGTCCTGCACCCTCTCATTGTATACCTGTTGCTCTTACCTTGTTGTACTCTGTCAGACGCCACAAGTTCAATTTGGAATATCGACAGGCTTTATTAAAGCCTTTTTGTCTTGCCTTATCCGAATCCCAAGGGTATTTCACCTAGGATCGACTCATTGGTTAGATCACTATTGGTTTAAAGGGCTAATACATCATAACGTACTTGTTCAATACTGATTGTCTTTGCACCAAGGAATTCTAGTCTGTCTCGAAGTCGTTGTGTGACTTCGTCCAATACCAAGACAAGGATATCGTGTTTTGTATTTGTCTTGTTTAAGGAATAGACGAGCACTTCCGTAGCTTCACCCTATTCATCCAACGAAAACGTCGTCGATGGTTGGTTACACATAGCCATACCCAATGACTTCTTTTTCCTCCCTGTCCTTTTGTCTTACCATCACATCATCACATAAAAATGTAACATAGGCATATTTCTTTTCACCCTTCAACAGATCGACATTATCCACCAATGAAGGGTTGGTATTAGAAGTTTCCGTTGAATCTTGCGGTGATGGTGCTTGCTGCTGTTGTTGTTGATTCCGTAGCTGTTCTTCTAATGCTTGTTGTGACGATGGACTATTGCTTCTCTGCGACGTTAACAAATCATTGGCTACTGAAGCATCTGTTGTTGATGTAAACTGTGATGTAACAGAATTGAATTTCTCAAACGTAAATGTACTTGAATGTAGTAGGTAGACCAAGATGATCATTAACAAGACACCACACAGTAGTCTCCAACTCTTTTTTGTGATGTAAGCGTTCATCATTTTCTATGTATAGGATACTTATTGATATGTACAGACGGTGGGTGGATTGATGCTGTAATATGTGTATATGTATAACGTAGGAATAGGCAAAAGAAAAAAAAAAAGGGGGACAGATAAATTAGCAGTAAAAAGACATGAACAAACGAAAATAAATAAGTAAAGTGCTGTAAAGTGTCTAGAAACAGAAAAAGCAGAAAAAGAAAAAAAAATAAAAAGAGAGGTTGTTTAGAAATTGGGAAAAACGAAAAACGAAAAAAACCCTGTCCTTGTGGAGTCTTAAAAACTTTAGGCTGTTGTTGTCTTCTTTTAACCCAAAAAAATCTAAAACCTGGTTTTTTTTTATGGTTGAAAGCACATCAAACACATCGCACAGACACAATGACACCTAACGCTGGCAGAAAAAAAAAAAAAAAAAAAAAAGATCGACGTTAATATTAGAACTCAGCTCACCCTTTGTGATTGTCGTACGAAAAAAGGAAATATGTTTTGGAGTGAAAAAGCCCAAAAGAATCTTGACTGAAACGTGTACATTTGCAAGATTCTATACGCAACAAAAAAAAAACAAAAAAACAAAAACAAAACAGCTATTTGCACATGCAAAAGAATACAAATGGTAAATATTATCCAACTGCTGAGAAGCAATTTGCCTTGCAAGCTATAACATTTCTTATCTCTTGACAACAATGGCTCATCTGAACCTAACATGTGTCTATCGGAAAGCAAATCATTTCTGTATCAACTTGCGCCATTTTCTACTGTATTCAAGTCCATTTCTTGTTTCAAGATAACCTAATTGAACGTGATCTTTATAACCCACAATAACTTTTTAATCATTATATGCGAAACAGCCCTCCTGTGCCTTTTCTATCACTTGAATTTATTAATCCTTTGAAACGCTTATATACGCGTCATTGTTGAAGAGGGTATAGTTTGTGTTGCCGCGTCGCCTCGCCATCGAGCGAGTGCGCTTTATTTAAAAAAGAAGAAAAAAAAAGAAAAACGTGTCAAGTGAAAATGGAAAGCACATGACACTTCCGGAAAAATAGGCTATACAATTTGAAGGGGTGGCGGGGGGGTATGTTTACCGACTATCCGCTCGTATTTTTCATGCAGACACGATGTCTCTTAATCGTTCGAGTATTTCTGTTTTCCACGTTTGATAATCTCGGAATTGCTTTGTTGTTGTATAATCAGTATAGTCCACCATAGACACAATGCCTGAAATCGTTTTCAGTTTCTTTTTTGGGGTGCCGTTGCCTGTGACTGCCGTATTAGGGTCTAATTTCTGACGTTTTTTCGTATTCCTGGTTTTCGATTGATCTGCCATGTCGTCTTCCTCCTCGCTACTATCACCGCTATCTTTGTCTTCGAAGGTTCTCTTTATTCCTCTTTTTCTTTTGTTACTGCTGCTATCACGTGTCATCCGTTCTTTTAACTCCTCAAGCTTCTTTTTACTCTTTGTTTGAATCTCTTTAATGCTTTTGTTCAGTTCTGTCATTGAACAAGCGCATAATTCCTTTAATTTTGTTTTATTCAAGTTATGCTGTGATAACTGATCAGTCACTGCTGACATAAGCATCTTCCTACTAAAACTCCCTTTCCCGACCCCCACCCCCCTCCTCCGCGCACGCTTACCTTGAGTGCTTGTGCACAACAGTAAACAGTGGCTCCTTTCCAACATGGCGTTCTATTGATTTCTACTCGCATGATATTCTTTTGCTGGACACCCTTGAACTGTTCCAAATAAAAATGTTGAAAGTCTTTCCATAATTCGTCGACTGGCACCTTCATGGTAGAAGATCCCAATGCCACCATGAGATTATCAAAGGTAACATCCGGCAGCATATTCAAATGCTTACGAACCGCACTCATTGTATTTTCATAAGCTGCCACTGTGCAGCCTGCTAAAACTGCTGCATTTTTTGTGTTCCAATCATGATACTTTAAACTACTTGCAAGCATGTGAATTGAGCAAAAACGCCCTCTTCTTACCCCTTGGATTTGTCATGGTGGAACTCTTTACCTTTCATGTGCTAATTGTAAACTGCAGACATAGGTGCCATGGGGCCCTTTGAAAAGTTTGTTTGGCAATTTCGACACTTTTGTTAAAAACTCTTCCGCCTTTCTCTTGACACGATCGGGATCTTCCAAATTGAGTTTATCAATGCAGTTTTGTAAAGGATCCGCCATCTTTATTTGTTTTCAAGGCAGTCAACGAATCAATGGTGAATGGGGACAAGCGATCGATGGTGGTAAGCTGTACATGAAATAAAAAAAAAAGGACGCAAATGGATACGCGTGAAGCGAAAAATAAAATTGACTCAGTGCGACCGACAAAAATTTGATAACCATCCTATCACTCCCAAATGCCCACTTTATTGTTCACACTGTCTGTCTTTTCCAAGTCTACTACTAAAGAGAGCAGTGGATACAGATTCTAGGAAAGAAGGGGAGCTTTTCAGCAGGTTTAAAAGGAGGGTAGAAAGACCACCCTATAAGTATAAAGATGTATCGTTTTCGTAACAATACTATTTTGTATGTATGTTTGTAGCTATATTTGATGATGACAATAAAGGCCTGTGAATGACGCGTCATCATTCAATAGCTGACGTTTGTTTTCGATACACCAGAATGGTTCAGCATCAAGAAAGCTTTTTCATCACTCAACAAAAACACAAGGACAGGCCACTTGATAAACACTCCATATCATTCACGCTTGCATGGTTCTGTATCATGTTTGTGCTTCGGGTATGCGTAACACAATCGCACGCAGGTTGCATTTGTTATTTCAAAGACGCCATACGGTTTCCGCTAAAGGAACACTTTGACGTCATGTCCTTTATACTGCTCTTCTTTTTTTTTTGTCTGCCTGTCCATCCATCAAGATATAAGCTTTCGACTACCCTCCTCCTCCTCCCCCCCCCCTTGTTTCAAGTCACCCCTTTCACTCCCCTTAGCGTACCTAGGCTGAAGGCGTAGATAGACACGCTTGAAAAAAGATTGCTTTTCCTTCCAACCCCATTGAAGTTACAACACATTCAAAGGGAGCACACTCTCTTGCTTGTCTTGTCCTATAGCAGTGTAAGATGTACAAGACAATGTAGTAAGCGATAACATGTTTTTCCAGTAGTCGAGTATCCGTGAGGTAGGTTTGAGATAAACGATGCGCACACGTCATTTTCCATGCAAAACACGCGCATTTACAAATGTATTCACGCAGGCAGCACACAAAAAGGATGCATTGTTCACACCTTACAATAAAGATGAATGGCCGGTGAATAAAAAGAAATAGAAATGAAAAAAAAGAAAAAAAAGAAAAGAGCACGAGCTAGTGTTACTTGATTCGGCATAGATGAAAATATCCTGTAGGCTTCTCCAGGTGAAAAAAAGAAAAAAAAAAGGCGCTCCCATGTTTTCTATACAAGGCTTTCAAAGATAAGACCCAAAGTTGTATGTCAGCATTTGAAATGGATCATACGTTGGTTAGTTTCATAACAATCCCACAAGATGCAAAGAGAGCTGCAAAATAACCAAAAGATTTCTGCGGCCCTTTTTTGGGGAGGGGACGGGGTGTGGAGCGTTTGTGTGTAAAGTATGTGCAATGGCAAAAAATAAAAAATAAAAAAAAAAATACAGTTTTAAGGGGGTTCAGAGGTAATCTCATCTTTTTTGTTGTTTTCTGATTTATATTATTATTAACATTTCTTTTCTTTTTTTCCCATTATTACCCTTCTTTTCCTCTTCTTTTTTTTTTTTTTTTTTGACATTTGTTTGTGCTTGTGGAATAGCAAACGCTTCTTATTACAATAGAGTTAAAAAGAAAAATTCACTATGACGACCATGACCTTGGATCAAAGCTATTGCCCTGTCACGCTTTGTAACAACGACAACAGCAGCAAAAAAGATCTTGACACAAACCCATCTTACGATGGTGGCGATGACAAGATTCTTCAACACATACTGAAAAAACTCGATGAGGTATACTCTATAAAAACGATTTTCATCCCACCCCTCAGGAGGGCAAAACGCCCAAGAAATCAGAAGGTTCTTCAATTTATCCCTAACGGATAATCTTACCTTTTGCATGGATAGGGTTCTGAAACGATTATTAATTTACACTCACTCTTGAACATGAAAACAGTTGAACTGAATGAACTCACAAATCAATTACAATTGATCGACCAAGTCTTGACCAATGTAGAAAAAGGCACTGAGCAGATGGAAATGATATTGAAAGATATGGTTGGAAACAATGATGATGGAAGAACCGCCAGCAGCATCAGTATCCTCAGTCGGAGTAGCAGTACAAAGAGCATGGCCACCTTATATTCTCCACAGGACAGCAAGTTAGTGGATGCAGAAGCTGCTTTGGACTCGGCCATTAAATCTGCTTCTTGTCTTTACACTATGGATCACAATTCGGTGAGTAGACAAAGCACTATAGGAGCCAAAAAACGAACCAAAAAAACGAAAAAAAAAAAATCCGAACAACTAGATGACAGCCATCTCTCTCACTCTCTCTCCTAATAACTCTTTTACTCATCCGTTTGCATTCTTATTTCTTTTTCTGTTTCTTTTGTTTTTTTTTGCAGCGTTATGAACCAATTACAGAACGAGAAATTCTGTTAAACAAGATTTACAGTCTATTGAAGCAGTTGAATATACCACTCTCTTCCATCGAGGATTATAAAAAAGGCAAGTCATTTTCAAAAGCTATGTCATAGTCTATGCATGAGGTACATAATTTTGACTCTTCTTTTTTTTTTTTTTTTTTTTTGCCACCGACACATGCCATCCATTGATCAGATGACATAAAAGTGCTACAGAAAGCATATGTGGATCTTGATTTGGCAAAAAATATCGCCACTTCTATTCGGAACAATTACAGATATCGAACCACCCTTTTGAAAAAGAGACATCCACCCGTGGAACGAATCAAGCAGGTAAAGCCAGAGAAACTTGCCCCCCCCCAACCTCCCCCTTCGCTCTCAATGTATCCATTATCTAAGCTTGTGCATGTGTGCTTTTTTCCTTAGATGGGTGAGGATATTAGAAAACAAGTCGCTCTCTACAAAACATACACGAAAAATGCCTGCTTATGTATTCACGGAAAAGAAGACATACTTTCTATCTTGGATCGCGAGGATGCATTGGTTTCAACCACCACCATGCTTACGAAAAAGGTAATTCATGCGTGCCGTGTGACCCACACACTCTATTGAGAACAAGTGTAACCATCGTATTTAACATGGAGGCGCTTGCCACATTTTCCTTTTCTGAACCCCAGAGATACGTGCTTACTTCCGCCACAACACTGACTAAGCAGCGCCAGACTTTGCTTCCATCATCCACAACAACAACAACAACAACAACAACAACAACAACAACAACAACAACAACAACAACGACGACGGCTTCAGGCAAAAATCATTCCCTCGATAACAAAAAGAAGCGACAGTTGTCGTCCCCTATCCATAACGGCAATAGCACAAAAAAGCTCAATCATTGTGATACTAAAAAGAACACGATAACACCAAAGACAAAGAGCAATGTTCAATCGACAACAACATCCACCGCTCCTTTGGCAAAAACAACAAAGACACCTGCACATGCTACTCAACACCAACAGCAACAACTGTTTGCACGACCCACCTCAGCCTCCATCGCTAAAATGAAAGAAAAGAAACAACCCACTGGACCAGGATCTGCTTTAAGATTACGCAATATGTTGGCAAAGAAAAGAAACTCAATGTATATTGACCATCCTAATTGCAGTCAACAAAGACAATCGTTAAGAAGAATGAGCAGTGCAACTACTGTGTGTTAACATGTCACAACACACCTACTACGCATACAGACATTCATTGTATAAATCTTGGTAAAGTTATAAAGTCAAATAGCTGCCCTCTCTCCACCCACCCCTCACCATCCAACGTACATATCACACAACATTATGTAAAATTTCATTATTTATTCCCTCTCATGATCATCACATTTTGATACACACACACACACAAACTTTGTATATTTGCCCAACCCCAAAAAGAAAAAAAAGACGTTTTATATTTGCATGTTTTCCTTTCGTTTTTATGTATAGCACAATTCTTTTCATAACAAAATCATTTCACTTGAACCCTCAATTATGTATTGACCAGATAAAATAAATAAAATAATAAAAAAACCAACAGCCACAAGATTGCTCAGAACATCGCGCGCCAGTCATTTTGAACCAAAGAAGAGTGAACTTGTAGCAATCCATTCGAAATGGACATACCCGAAATAGCACTTCTAATGCAAGGGAAAAGATGGCAATGGCCACGTTGTCTCCAATGGAGCTTGCAGTAAGATACATTTCAAAGATACCATATGCTTTTTTATGTGTGTGCTTGATTCAATGTTCGACTGCGCCGATTCCATCTTTTATTTTGAATAATTTTGTTTATGTTATTGCAGTGATTGAAGGCTTCTAGACTACTTTTATTCATGACCAGCTAATTTTATTACAAACTTTACTTTGCTTTTAGCCAACTTTTTTTTAAACTTGATCATTTATGCAATGACATTTTCAAAGTCCTTTCAACGACACAATGGATACCGAGCCCCCTTCTAATGTTACTCAATAGGAAACGAACTTTTACAAGTGGACGAACGTCAAGCGCATTTAAATGATCGCTAGATGAACCGGCCTAGAGAGAGTGGCAAATAACCCTTTTACCTTGTTGATAAAGATGATTGGAAAGTTGTGTGGGTGTTGAATGGCTGCCTAAACCTTAGTTTCTTCTACCTTCTTTTCAATAAGATTCTTTTTGACGCGTTTTACACCTTTTTTGAAGTAAAATAGACCGCTTTAAAAGGAAGCGCCTCCAAGATAAATCTTCAAAAGCGAGAAGCGGTAAACACACGTATCCGTTATTTGCTATACCCATTTATTTATCAGCATTCTATTCTTTCGAGAGCATAACAACTTACATCACTGACGAGCATCTGATGACACGACATACAACCTTAGCAGAAAAAACCCTATGGGAGAATTTGCCAGATGCTACTCTTCTTCTTCTAAGTTGCCATGTCGTTTTGACTTTATTATCCAAAGATATAAAAAGTACATTCTTACTATAGCATTCTCAGAAAAAATTCAAGAGCTCTTTGAGGATAAGTCACTCATTGTGTCCTATAGCAGAGTTTTTTTTTATTGAACCACTTCAAAGCCCAAACCTTAGTATCACAATATGTATCGAGCCAACGCATAATGAAACACATATAGACTGACTGCTCCCGCTTTGCTACACAGACATACAATAGGATAAAAGGAGTGTTGTTTACAAAGCACTTAAGCAAAGAAGGAGACGCGGGGATTCCAGTAAATGAGAGGGTTGATAATCAAGCTTCTTCTTTTAATATCCCTTTTCTTTTTTTTTTTTCCAAAATTTTGAGAACCTACTGCTAGTATAAATGACATCGGTGATATTCATATTTCTACTTGTGCTACTATTACGGATACAATGTGTTCGCTCTCAACAACAGCAAGATTTTTTAGATAAAGCATACTCGAATCAAGACGAGCTACCTTTGGTAGGTGCATCGAATCACCCTTATGGTAACACTATTTTGTTTGACGCATACACCCTACCATTTGTGTTTTGATTCTAGTAAAAGTGTTGATCCCTCTTTCCATTTATCATTTTTTTTTGTTGTAAAGTGGGTATTCCTGTCACGAGATGGAAAATCAGTAATCTAAATGCAACAGCAAAAGAACACGTCTGTTCCGATCAACTCAAGTTCTGCGCTGTAAAGTGTAACGCATTTACGATTCGTCAGTGTTGTAAATAACGACTAAAGTTTAATTTATTGTGTTATTGCACAGACTGAATGTGGTGGTGAACAGCTCGTTGTAAAAAAGTAAGGCTGTGGATACGATGAGAAGACATACGAAATGACTGACAATGATAATATCTTGTTTTATCTCTAGTTTCTGTAACATAACCACGATGGCATGGAATTGCGCCTGTCAGGTAAGATAATCGTTTCACATAAAGGCATACTGCATAGTGAAAGGTTTAGTTGCGAAAAAGGAGGTGGGCCCTTAACCATAGTTGATTCTTCTCTTTGAATGATAACACTATCATTTAGAATTCTAAGGAGTTGTCAACTGTAAAATCACGTTTCTAATAAATCGGCTTCTACTCCTATGAAATAAATCTTCTAGAATCATGTACCTGATACACCGCCTTACAGCTGGCCCATAACCATTGCGGAATGCCAGGGTAAAGAAGCATCCTGCAGTCAACAATGCAATTACGGTGTAACCCAAAATGTCTGTTTGAAGGGCTGTAAACGATATTTTAAATGTAACAAACCCGGTGGACCGAAAAGTGGATTGCAAGTGAAGGACGAGAATCAATTACCGGACTATGACTTACCAGTTGCGAACGACGGGAATGATGCTTCTTCTGCTTCTTGGATATTCAAAAGAGAAAGCTTTGATTCAACCCAATGTTTTTTTATCCTTTGTTTACTTATTTCCCTAGTATAGATAATTTCTCTTGTTGTGTGTTGTAATTAAATCATACCCTTTTAGCTTGTCTCATATCCGTCATCATCAGTAAAAAGTAACCTATTTTTTTATTCATCATCTGCTACTGCTATTATTTTGTACATTTTTGAAATGACTGTCCGATGCGAGACTCTACTATGCGAGACAGAAATAGATAGTGTTATATGGGTAGAAGGTAAAATGATTCGTACCAGGCCTGGTGAAAGAGTCATGGTTACGTAAACATGAAGAGAGGAGGCCAGAATTATATACAGTGCTTAAATAACAAGAGAAAAAAAAAATGAGCCATATCAATGCATAGTGATAGTTGGTTGTTATCAACTGATAATACAGCAAGCACCGCAATTATCTTCCATATAATTCTGCCTTAGTAAATGCTCTCGTCGCAGAAATCGCCTATTGATATGCCTAGTGGCGGCTCCTGCTCTACTGGAGTTAGCACCCGTTTTATTTGTCATAGGTACTGCTGCTGTAGTCGTCGTCGTCGTCGATGTAAAAGCTAATCTATCTATATTACTGTCCAGAGGATGTATATTTTCTTCCTGGTCGTCCTTCTGAGAATTGCTCTTCCTCGATTTTCTATTCTTCTTATCAATGCTTTCTTCACTACCGTCGTCGTCCAATAAAATCAATGTGTCTAAACTAGCGTCACTAATCCGCCATAACGGTGGTTGTCGATATAATCCATAATGAAGGTCACCCGCTGTCATTGTGCCTTGATATGGGTTCGCCGTAATGGTCACGATGTGCTTATGTTGCTGCTGTTGCTGTTTTGGATTGCTACAAGTCATACTGCCGCTAAAGAATAAATCTTCTTCTTCTTCTATCAAGAGTTGAATACGTGCATGCCGTTCAAATGCTTGGTCAAGTATTGCCAAATGATGAAGAGGCAGGCGACGCTGCATCATGCCGTTAGTAGAGTACCAATAACAAGTGGAGGTCATTGATTTGAATGTTTCCAAAAGTGGTGTTGTAGGAATGCAATAGACGGTTTGATTGAATAAGACAAGGAATTATCTAAAGTAACAGTGAAAAGAAGAAAGGAAGGTGTTCTATCTTTTTCTCAAATTATAGGAGACGCCAGCAAATAGGTCGACAAAAAAAGAAAAGAGAGGACAGACATTGAGGACCCCCCCCTTATCCACACATGCTTTATTTAGCTTTGTATGCAGATCCCTTTCCTTTTCATTCTTAAAAAGACAACACGAAGGCCAACCGACAAGCACGGCGTAAAAAGCATTCCTCATATGAGTTACAATTTTCTTTTTCATCTCATTTATTCATCTCAAACTTTTTGTTCTTCATCTTCAAAATAACCCAAAGCTTCACCCATCTTCACCTTTTGTCCTGCCGTCACGTTGAACTTGAAGTTCTGAGGTGCTTCGAACACCAACACTACCGTGGATCCAAGATAAAATCCACCCATTTCATCGCCAAATCGTAATGCCTTACCACCCAATATTTTACTTGCTGACTTGTATGTAACTTCTGTATAAGTGCCCAAAGGTATATCTTCTTTTTGATTCGTCTTAAGGGCTTCATCAAAATTGATACGGATCGACCCCACATTCGTCGCCCCAACAGGTATCATAGAAAAGAACCCATACTTCCATTTACCCAGCAGAGCAACACGTTCGTTCAACACAAATAGATTCTGCAAAAGTTTCACAAAATACGGCGAAACAGAGAACAATTCACCAGCAAAATGACGGCGAGTTTGCACCACCCAGTTTGTAGGAGAATGGAAACGATGATAATCACCTGGGGCTAGATAGACCACACAGAAGTAAAGAGCATTTCCTGGTTTAAGAGAAGGGATATGCGTCGTATCTTCATCTGGTGTCACGTCAGCTAATGTGACAAGTGCACGCTCATCCTTAGGATCAGTTTTTTCTGTTCTCGCCAAACCATCAGGTCCGACAGCTGACTCAGTCTTTACCGAATGACCCTTGTTCATCATATCATCCAAGGAATAGTCAATACCATTCACGTTGGCAAAGTCTTCTTCATCTACAATAGTGGCAGTTGCAGAGCCCAAAATAGCATCCTCTGGAGGCCTCGAAGATTTTTCATCGTTGCCTAAAAGAGCGTCAAGTCTGTACGTGACGCCTTTGATTTGTTCAATATCCTGTCCTTGCACTAGGCCAAAATGAAGCACTTTGCCGTCTGATGGAGATACAAGTGGCGCATCTTGAGCAATGGGTCGTGCTCCATCTTTCAATTCACGGTAGAAAAAAGCAGATAGATTAGGATATGAGTAAAGGTCTGGGTTTTTCATTTCTTCTAAATTGCAGCCAAAAATCCAACTGTAGAATTTATATCCCATGGGACGTAAAGGTGTGGGGATAGTAAGGGAATTGAATGCTCCCCAGAGTCGGCTCATGGTTCTCAAAGGTAAAGCAGCTGCCACATGAACCTATCATTGTAATTAAATGGTTAATAAGAGGAAAAAGGCCTTTGTGTTTGTTCCAATATTGCAAAATGGGGTTTTCACATGTTTCAACTTGGAAACTTTATTTTACCTGCCATGGACCAGTTGCTTTATATTTTTTCGGCCTCTTAACGTGCGAATCAGCACTTTGCTGTCGTAGTTGTTCTTCCTTTTCCTGTTCTCTTTTAATCACTCTTCTATATTGGATGACTCCAATGACAGTCAACCCTAATGCGACTGGAATTGGATACCATTTGACCTCTGTATTATTCCAGCTATCAGCCAACCGATCTATTCATTCAGCACGAAAACAAAAAAGAAAAGAGTATCGTGGTTAGAGACGAAGCATATCTATATGCATCAAGGGACTGATCTTCCGAATTCAAGAGTTGGAGGATACATTACTGAATAAAGACTTTTGCTGCTGCTGGTGCTGCTGTTCGTGCCGTCGAATGAGCGATGAATGGAAAGATCTCTTATAAGGTGCGATTCTCCAGCTTTGACAGTGTCTTGAACAGTACTTAAAATTTGAACTGCTCCACTGCCGAACGGGTATCTTTTTGAACATTTTTCGTTAGTGGAATATTTGACAGGTTCAAGGGGAATTTAGGAGGAATCAGAAAATAAAGAAATAGACTTGCTTAAAGCGGGGAAAGAAGGAGGGGGTCAACTTGAAAGCAGCAGGTTTTCTACGCTGAAGCTGAGTTATTTTGCAATTAATTCATTGAGGTACAGTCTGGCGAATGATGTCGTCTGGCTTCTACACCGGATTCAATACTGGCTTCAATGCTGGCTTTTACACTGACTTGAACGCTGAATTCAACATTAAACCAATTGTCCGTCAAAGATAAGCTAGTAAGCTTAATTGATAGCACTTGACCATGCTTTAATGAATAGGATTAAATAGCGTCTTAGTTCTTGCAACAGTTCAGTTTGATTTGTGGCGGTTACGCAATGAAAAGCTTGGGTCTGTAAATTTCTATTAATTGGGTACAATGCCATTTGCTTTGCTGCAAAAGATATATATGCTTTCCCAAGCTACTGTTGATAGTCAGAAGAAGTAGCTCTCAGAATAGAGATCAAGTCGGCTTCTGCAGTTAACTCTCGGAAGTTAGCAGCTTCTCCCCTTGGTATCACATCCCGAAGCCATTCCTTCTTAGCTTGCATTGAACCTTTATTCTTCAAGAAGCATCGATGCTCATATATTAGACGTCAAGAATTGTCACATTACTACCTATTCTTCTCTTGTTTGAAATACTCTGAGGTGTTTCTACCTGCAGGCTCCAATTAGACATTTTGAATACTGAAAGTCCTTAGTCAATCGTTGAGTTTTTTTTTTTTAAGCAGCTTTCTATCGCTATTGAAAGAGCTATGATGATATGGACAGATCTAGCTCTTAGAAGCAGGATAGAATCTCGTCATCCGTTCGTCTAGTAAATGAAATTATACATAGAATTTCGCTGTACTTGGATAGTGCTACAAAGAAATAATCATAATTCTGAAAACTAATAGCAGTGTGCTCTTAATGTCTATCTCTTCAATAATTCTCAAGTATACTCCAGTAGCTCATTCCGTACAACTATTTGAAAAAAGCTATGGGCATTACATAATTTTGTGCTTACCATAAGAAAGTCAGTAAGAAATCTCGTTTGATAAAAAGTTGAAAGAGTATAAAGTATAAGCTTAACAGAGCTCATCCGTTAACGAGAAGCACAGAATTTGCCAAAGCAATCAGACCTACTGAAAAGAAAGCTTCATTCAGTAATACTTGGAAATATGCTTCATATATTACCGAGCCTCTGAATGCTTAAAGGTCCTAATAAAATAACCCAAATTACAACAATCATCTTACTCGTATAATATTCTTACATGTTCAAATTTCATATTGTTTCGTCTAGCTGATCTTTTGCTTTTCTCTTTGAACTCCTTAAAACGATTTATATTGAATTGAAAGTTTATAAAGAATATTATTTGATGAAACGTGGATTCACATGGAAATAGCAAGAAAGAAGTACGGCCAATTTAAGTATCCTGTTTGAATAAATATATATTCAACATAAAGTACGATTTTCCCCCCCATAATCTATTTAAAGCAAGCTTATTCTTGCTTCAAAATACGCATAACCAACTTAAGAGATCCATAAAGATATTCAATCCGTTATCTCCAATTGATTACATAAATTAAAGAATACATTAGATGAATCGCACGAGATAAGACATCACATGAATAGCACGGGATAATATAGCAACAGGCGATACAACATTGGGTTCGTATAAATCAATAAACTAACTGTACAATGGCTATGTAGAGCTGGTTGGAGATACGTTTCCAAAGCACTAATACTTTACCTTTTTCTCATATGACAGCGAAAGATGTTTAATTGGTTTAATGGAAAGCTGTTTTAGATGAGATAACTGAGGTACTCTTTTTTTTTTGGAAAATGTCGGAACTGATGTCGAATGTAAGCAAATCACACAGCGACGCACGCCCTTTTTTTTTAGTACGCGATTTTTTTGAGATCGAAATTGTATTTTTCCGTGTGGGTTGTTCTAATTATACGTTAGCTGATTTGATCTCGATCGAAAGTCAATCAAAACAGAAAGTTACCAAAATGATCCCAACAGCAGCGTATGTTAATGTCGTGTTATGAGAACCGAATAAAGCCATTTAAACTATTTGTTGTTGACAACTTCTCACTCATGGCACATATTGTTATTCACATGCATCATAACATAGTGATCAGTTTTGCAGTGCAGCCTCTAACGACTTTGATTTCCCTATTATTGAACGAAAAACTGCTACCTACGACGATTTACCGGAATTCAAAGAGCAATTTCTTATTAAAAAGCATGTTTATACACAACAATATGCAAGTCTTTACTATATTCGACTCTTAAAACTACGACACTATCTACTAAAGGCTTGTCAAGATAAGTGGGATTGCATTCCTGGTAAGAACTCGCCTGACTTCTAGTTAGTTGCAAATTGAGAAGAAGTAAAATTGTTTCAAGACCTATATTTTAATGAATAATCTACCAGAAAAACCACAGTACGTACAAAAGACTCTAGATTTACAGCCTGGACAACTATCCTATATGCTGGGCACAATTTATATCGAAATGCCAAAGAAACCAAACGTCATTAATGATTTGGAAGATGAAGTATGTAGAACTGAATGTGGTAGAAGAAAGAATATGTTTGGATATCTTGATAAAACTAATTGTTATCTCAATGATTTTAGGATACTATTATTAATCCAGAAACACCTGCAAAATACAGAAGTGATGATGATATCATTTCTCTGGAGGATGAACATGGACGTGTTAAAATTCATGGATCCTGTCTAAATAGAGAGTTCTTAATAACAGGTTTAGTTGTAGGTATATTGGGTAAAGAGATATCCACAGGTGCATTTGAAGTTTTGGATATTTGTTTGCCAGGCATGGCCGAGCAAGATCCATTACCATCGATCGGTAAATTCTACAGTAAAATTGAAATATGAACGGATAATTGAATCCATCGAAAACGGCTAACCGAAACTTGTTGTTCATATAGATAACAATGAACCTGATAAATTCGTTGCACTATTATCAGGATTGAGTATAGGCGCCGATGATCAATCAGATGTCAAAACACAATTACTAGCAGAATTTTTAGGTGGTGAACTGGGCAGTGGTGAGGATGAGATCTCTAGTTCGTGTATAACGAGAGTTATATTAGCTGGTAACTCAGTGATGAAGCCAAAGAAAGAGAAAGATATGAAGAAAGCTCCCAAAAGATATGGATATGATTTTTCAACTTTCGATGCAACACCAATGTTGCAGTTTGATGAGTTATTAGAAGATCTTTGCACCTCTATTGACGTAGATATTATGGCGGGACCGACGGATCCAGCTCCTTCTCACTTTCCACAGCAACCTATGCTAGCATCACTATTCAGAAATGCACGAAAGTTGTCCTCATTCCACACTGTTACAAATCCATATTGGTGTAAAATTGATGACGTTTCGTAAGTGATATTACTGACTTAATACCATAATAACTTTACATGTACAAAGAAAAACCCCTCATGCGTTGTCTCTCCTAGATTTTTGGGTACGTCGGGACAAAACCTGAATGATATTTACAGATACGTTAATTCTGAAGATCGCGTTAAAATGGCAGAGTCTTGTATGTTTTGGCGTCATATAGCACCTTCTGCACCCGATACTCTATGGGCTTATCCTTTTATTGATAGAGACCCTTTCATACTGGAGAAGACTCCTCATGTTTACTTCATTGGAAACCAACCTCAATTTGAAGATAGTTTATTGTACGGCCCTAATGGCCAGAAAGTTCGAATTGTTTTGGTACCTTCTTTTGAAAAGACAGGCATTTTAGTACTCTTGAATCTAAGAACTCTCGAATGTACCGCTATTCAAATTGACGAAAACGGCATTAAATCCATACAATCGCATTCGCATATAGAAGAAGATGTTGATGAAATGGATGAATCGCTGTAAAGTCATTTTCATGCAATAAAGACTGATACCGTTTTGTTCTTTTTCCGTCCAATTTCTTGAAGAGGTACTTGGCTGTAGTACTTGCAGAGACCGTATCTAAAACAACTTGCTGCAAAATGTTTTAAATGATCTTAATCTAAGATGCGATTGACTAATAACCAGAAGAGCTTCGCCTTCACTCTTTCAGTTTCTTAAACTTTCTTATAATCGCAGCAAATAGCCTGTCATCGCGTTTATTGACGGCATGAGGAATAAAGATGCTATTAGAACAGCGGGCCACACGGTTAGACACTATTCTATTTATCATTTAGTAACTGCTTGATTAAATGCTTTTCACTCGTTATCAGGATTCATTTTAAAGCTATGGAAACATAACTAAATCATAACAGTCAATTTTAGGTAGTATATAATGAAGAGAAGGCAGTGTAAATGGAATGAAGAAATTGAACGGGTCGTACAAGTAAATCTATGCGCCTAGATAAAGCTATAGTAGGATGCTTATCAAAATGTAATTTTAGACATAGTTTACTTACTTTAATATGAGTTTGGTCTCTCAATCTACGCAATATCATGGTTTTATGAACCAAAGTGAGAGAAAAAAAAAAAAAAAAAGATAGAACAAAGGTTTGATAAAACCTTATCAATTAGGTAATTAGATATAAACAATTAAGGTTCTGCACCTGTTTACATAGCAATAGAAGGCGCTTTGACACCGAAGCTCAATAAAGCGCCTAGAATCGTTGTTCCAACATTGGTTTCTTCCCTTATTTCGTCTGGTAGCTGATCATCCCACAACGGTTGCCCATAGTACATTTACACCTTATAACTTATTGCTTTTTTTTTTTGTTAAAAGAAAGGTTTTCTCTGATTATTTAAGGATTCATTATCATATAGACGACTCTGCTAAGTATTAACAAAGTCTATGTAAAACAATTAGAGTGTATACAATGCAGAATTTTCACATGATGCTGAATGACGCTCCTCCCTTAGAGCGTTCATCTCATAGAGAAGTAATAGCTGTTTGATATTTTTTTTGTAGGTGCAAATACATATTGATCGATCTATGATTTTCTTTTCCTTGTCCAATACAAAAAAGAAAAAACAAAAACAAACACAGGACATGAGGATTTCATATTGACTTGATAATTGTCTCTTTTCAATACAGATCTGAAAGTAAGAATTGGTTACATGGACTATAACTCTATACATATCATGGCTTAATTACTTTATTCCCAAAGCCTTACTTTGTAAACAAAAATTTCTCAGGTGTAACTTATCAAGAAGCGCTGTCAAGGGGGAAAAGATTGTACACAAAAGATCATAATTAAATAAGAGGCTATAGAAAGTGTGAAAATAAGCCTTACTTTTGTAAACAATAATTTCCCAGGTGTAACCCATCAGACATTGCCAAGGGGACTACTCTATACACAAAAGGCCAGAACGTGAAGGTTACAAATAAGAGGTTATAAAAAGATAGTTTGTGAAGATGAACGTAGCCTTCTTTCTCTTTCTCTTCTCTTCTCTTCCTTGTCCTTTCCATCCAAAAACCAACAAAAAGCAAGACACAATGACTACATTTAATGATGATTACATCATGTGGCAGCATGCCCTTCAAACCGGATGGCGTCCGCCATGTAAGTAACAGCAAATACGAAGCACATAATAATAGAAGTTCTAAGCATAATATCGCGTTTGCCCTTAATTGTTTATAATCATAGATCAAGACACCATTATGACGGACGCGGAGGTCGACGACCTAGCTGACCTCTTCGCCGGATTAGCCATCCGCTTCTGGTAAATGCCCTGTGCATTTGTTCATATAAAAAACAAAAATTATGTATATATTTGTCCATAGAAAAGGCTACGTCCTTTGTAAATAAAAATATAAACTTTTTCTATTGCTGTAAAGGAGGAAGATTAAGATTTTATTTATATTGTGGAAAGCGCTTTTTCCATGCTGTTTTAGTACCCAAGATATAGAAAAGTAGATATGTGTTGTGTCTTTGTTCTGAATTTATCAGTATGGTAATAAAATGGCTATCGCTTTGTTTTCAACGGTTCCATCACAAGTTCCATCAAGAAAAAATAATAAAATAAGAATGGTGCGGTGCGCTGGGTCACTTTGAAGCTTCTCATAAGCAGACCATTGACAAAGCATTGCTTACTAACGCGTGTTTGTCCAATAAGTGGCTTTGCTTCTTTATGAAATTCAGCATTTTCGATTGAAGTATGTTAATACATATACTCAAGCGTTGTTATTTTTTTTCTTATTTTGAAAAGATAGGTACCAAAAATGTAGTGACCTTGTATTATGAAATATATGAGATAGATCAATTGAACAAGGTAAGATAAGTGTGTCTTTATAGAGCTTTCAAAGCTATGCATTCGAAAGGATGCTAAACGATTCTAATAATTTGTTTGAAAAATTAAAGTAAGGTAACATCGTCGAACACAGCTTTTAATTCTGTTCAAATTAGTTAAATAGGTTATAAATGGTGGCTATGAAGTCAAGAAACAGCATATAATATCGCTCATAAATTGTCTTTTGAACTATATATGAATTGTGCGTTAACTGTAGTCATATAACGTCCCCGCATCTCATGTCTAACCGGTGTGTAAGACACAAAAGATGCTCAACACAACAATATACTTTATTGGCATCCTCTTGTGTTATTCTCGGTTATGCCTCCTATTACCCCTCTTTTTCTATTGGAGATTTACGCCTCAACTGTGATAAGTATACCGCTGCTATCGTGTGAATGCTTTAACAGCTATATACCGCTTTAATTTGTCGAGCTTTGATAAGATGCATTTTGAAACCACCTCGCCTTCAAAGATACACTTCTCAAATCAATCGTTTATTTTTCTGCAACTTATTTATTCTTCAATCCTATTTTAGCAGCAGTCAAGAGTTTTCCATCGATATCTTATGAACGATTTTGCTTGATAAGATAATCAAAGAGCCAAGATAGAAGAGTATATTTCAAAGAAACAGCATTAAGCAATGCATGAAAGCATTTCATGGTGCAGTTGGTAAGCTTCTCGACGAAAAAAGCATGATCTTAGATTGTGACTCTGTATTCTCTTTTGATTACTTTCCTTCTTTCGTCTCCAAAGATACGAAGCGTTCGTGAGCCATGCTTGTGATATAGGAAAAAAGGCAGTGAAACGCTAGAGGTTGATACTTTTCTTATAAACACAGGAGGACTTTCAATTCAGTTTTTTATTGATTACCTGTCAAAGTGTGATTAGAAAATAGTGTGTACAGAAACGGCTTATGACTCTGCCACAGAACTCGTTTAAATTCGAATTTGATGTTGTAAGCAATTATAACATTTTTTATTACGAGTACTATAAGTCAGACAAATTTTCTTTATGTAATAGCAAAAGGTAGAAAAATATCGACTCAAGATTTTTGTTTTCTTCTTTTCTTTGAATGATCCCTGTTATTGCTTGGTAAACTTCTTTTAACAGGAGATCTTACTGCCCTGGATACTGGCGAAGAAGACCGTGATAATGAACGCGTAGACATTAATGTGGAAGGGGGTCCAGAGGAGGTGATGGCTGCACGTAAAGAAGATAACGAATGAGTTGATGATGAGTGAGATAAAGAGGTAGTCGTCGGACTCGAAGAAGAAGAAGTGTAGGAGTGAGGGCGAGAAGTGGCAAAGGAGGATTGACTCGGTGAAGGCATGAGAGACATGGCAGGTGATGATAATGAAGAAATAGTTGTTAAATCTGCTACTACTGCTGTTGATGGTCTTATTGAAGGAATTGGCACTTCAGTTGCTGTTCTGCAAGAAGGTAATGGTGCTGGTATAAGGGTGGAATCGTTGTCAGACTGACTGGTGGCAGTGGTTGTGGGAATAACGTGAGAGCCAGGGGTTTTAAGTGTTGATGAAGGCTGTTGAATTGTGATTTTGAAGGTATCATTCATGTCGTAAACGACATTAGTGGGTATACTGTGACTAATATTGACAGCTTCATAGGTTGTCGCTGCATTGTCTTCAGTTTGTGGATAATTTTTATCTGCATTGAGGTACGGTGCCCATATTAATTTCTTGTCGTCGGCATTCATGTAATAACCACTTTTGGAGGAACTCGATACTGGAAGGACAATTTCGAGCATTCCAGTAAACATGTTTTTTTGGACCATCCTGTTGTATTCCAGAGTTGTGATTATATCTGCTATTATAATACCAGTGTCCTTACTCAACTCTATGTAAGTAAAATTGTTAAAAGAGAAGTTTCTTATTCTATTAGATGGTTGCAAGATGTTAGCATGTATATGCTCTTTGAATTACCATCGAGTGTTGTGATTTTATCAGAATAACATCTTAGTTGCTTTTGAATGGCACGAAGCCAATACTTTCTATAAGTGATCAACCCTAAATCAGAAAGTGGCTTTTCTGGAGACCCCGTTTTGCCTTCTTTTCTAGATAGTAAATAGCTGAAATCAATCAAAAATTGACCGTAGCCCTTTCGTTGGCAAGAAGGCAATGCCATTATACATGACAAATTATAATTGAAGGCTGATTTCTTTTCCTAATGAAAACAGTTTTTACTGTGAGTTATAGGTTGTCTTTTTCTTTTCCTTCCTCGAATATGCTTACCTTAGAAAAATAGCCAACAAAATGACATCCATTTTTGTCTGTTTCTGTCAGAATATAGAATAAGAAAGGCTCTACATCGTAGTATAAAGTTTTATGATCGAGAAACATCTTGGCCAACAAGCACAAGTTTTGGCAGTAAGTCTTGTTCTTTTTGCCATCCACCTCAAAAACAGAAATATAACCGTCTCTGTATATCTCATCACCAGGAGGGAACTTGTAAGGACATTTGAGCTGCAACAGAACAAAGAGGGCTAGTCTTAATACAAGTTCTATGTTTATTGGAATTTTAAACTGCGCTTTTTTTCCCTTTTTTTGCTTGTATACCTTGTGTCTGTGGGCTACAAAGCTCCCTTTCATATACTTGAGACAAAACTCGCATATATACAGGACCTCCAATCTACTATATTCTTCTGGGTAAGGCGAAAAAAACCAGACATTTATCAAATAGGTGCCGATTTGGATTTTCTTAATGTGTGAGACATTATTTGTATGCCGCGAGGCGATTGGTAAGAAGGCTTTGGTTGGCAGAGCAAAAATACTTCTACCACTACTGCTATATTTACGATTTCTACCAAATTTGACGCTTTTAGTAGAGCGTCGAGCTTGTTGATGGGTGTCTTCGTTGCTAAAATTATGTGTATTGGTTTGCTCATTATTAGCTCCAACCGTCGTTGCTGATCGCTGTGCTGTCTCTTGTTGTATTGATTGAATTTTTCGTTCCTGAAAATTTTCCTGCTTTCGTTCCTCCTCCATCTTCTGCCGACGTCGGTCTTCAACGGAGTTATTAGCAATGGCTGTGCCTGTAATGTTTTTGTGAGTATCGTTGTAATGCTGATCACATTGTTCTTTGCTGCCCCTTTTCTCAGTGACCTATTATATATGCAGCAAATACATGAAAAATAAAATAGAATGATGAGGTAACTCGAATTATGAAAGAATCAGTTTCACTAACCATCTTATTACCTCTGCTAAGTTTTTCGCAGATTCGTACAGATTGAAACTAATATTATTTGGTATTCCTCTCGTATAGTCATCTTTGGTTACAGCTGCTCCTGAGAAACCATAACGATCTTCACTTATTGTCTGATCAATAGGGGAGGCAGCAGCATGATTCTTCTCCATGTGTTTAAGATTTTTAAGGGAAGTATAATAGGGTATGAACGTTGCTAACTTGGCTTTATCATTTTTTGCTTTGTTATGATTGGTGTTTGTACCGGTATCGTAAGTTATGGCTCTTGCTCGTATAGAGCTTTTCCGAATTAGATGTTGCTCATTTGCAGAGTTAGACATTAACCTTGTTGACTCAAGATGATCTCAGTCAGTAAGGAGAGAAGATCGCTGTTGTTGTAGTTGGATAAAGGAAGTCGGCTAGTGAAAAATAACAGAAAAAGTAAAGAAAAGCTTATTTATCAGAAAAGAAAAAAAAAAAAAGTTACTTTGTTGCGCGATTCGCTCAGTCAAAAAATGGATATGATATTTTTGTTCCCTCAAATGTGGAAAGCATGCACATCCATAAAATTTCCCCGCTTTAGAACAGAACAAGAACCAAATGAGAATGAATTCCCGAAACGATCTATAGTCATTAGCTGATATAGTAGTTTATATTCAATAGCCCAAAGTCTGCATGTAACTGAAATGCTTCAGATAAAGAAGAGCTTGGTTAATAAGGCATCAGCAGAGCAACCTAACTAGTCAACCATATCAGTAACATAGATCTTCCCTCTGTACTTTATGGGTTGCGGGAGCAAGAGTATTACCTATGCTTCAAGAAAGGATTCGAGTACATAATTACGAGGTCTTTAAGTGATAATCACATTTAAGCTGGCTTCTTAGTATCATGATAAAATGCAACCAGGACACTTTATGCTGGTCACAGCAATATTGCCTGTGCTTTTTATCCGATCGAATGCTTTATCGAATGATAACAAAACATAAACGTCCTCTGTGGCTTAATAGCAAAGTGCTTTTATCACTATAACTAAACGAAGGTATCTTAAAGATGAAACATAGATAATTCGATGTCTGTTTCAACATATTTTCATAGCATCAATAACCACTCCTACTAATTTATCCAAGTAAAGCAGCGAATGCTGTTCATCCATAAAGAAAAAAAATAAATAAATTACACCATCTTTGAATAGAGTAAGCTTATATTCTACGGAATGTGAATTATTGTAAACTCTTCATCTTTATACAAGATCATAAAGAATGCCTTCCGCTGCTCAGTCCACTTCCCGAAAAAATATATAAATGATCGTCAACCCTATTTTGCTAGCTGCTCAGAAAACATTCAACCCAACAAAGTCCTTTATCCAGGTGTTTAAAGAAAAAAAAGAAACCTCTTTTTTATTTATTCAATCAGAAGACGAAGATGTGAAATGGTTATTATTAAAGGAAGATGGGCCTCCACTTCGTTTCTTATTAGTAGTTGTATCATCTATAATCATACTCTCACTACTAGTTGTAGCAGTATTTGCATTATTATTAGTATTGACATTTGTTGCAGCTGTTGCGGCCGTAGTGCTGCTATTATTATTCGTAGTAGTGGTTGCAGACTCATCATTATTAGTAGTAGATCTTCTTCTAATATGATGATGTGGGGTGGTTGAAGTATTGCGAGAATGATGGTGATGATGGTGGTGGTGGTGATGATGATGGAGGGATGCATGGTATTGATGATATTGCGAATGATGCTCGTGCGGTGATGTGGAGCGACGAATAGGATTTAAAACATTAGTGGTATTGCTACTATTACTGCTCAGTGTCGTTGTTGTCGTAGTGATCAGATTATTGATAGAAGCATTTCTGCTCATACCCACCATGGGTGATGTACTAATGGTAGAATGACTGGTTGCTGAGTTTGTTGTAGTCGTAGTAGTAGTGGAAGAAGAAGAAGGAAGAGTTGATGAGGGAGTTGAGCCTACTGTGAAATTAACTGCAATATTGCTGTCGTGGTTATTATTGCTACCATGACTAAGTTCTGCAGCATCCAAATCGGGCGATAGACGGAGCCGTTTAATATCGTTCACATCGTTACTTGAGGTTCGGCGATGATGCCTACGATTGTTCATTCCCGTTGCGCTACTACAATTGCTATTGCTATTACTACTACTACTTTCAACGTGAATACCACTTAGATTGCTTGCGCAATCCAGGCTGACGCTACTGCTGCAATGATTTGAAGTTAAAATGGTAATATTTAAATCGTTATTTTGGGCACTAATCATATTGATATCATCATCAATTTGCATAGCATCACTATCTTTATCGTAGTGTGCTGCTGTTGTCGTACTACTTGATGGTGCTGTAGCAATGGATGCTGAACTTGCTGACAAAGAAGTTGTTGCTGCCGAGGATGACGTTGTGATATTGGATGAGGAAACAGAGGACGAAGCGCAAGATGCATTTGCGGTTACTATCGATGCCTTGGCTTGATCTGCTACCGCTTTCGCTGTTGCTGCTGCGGCTGCAGCTGCTGTGGCACGTTTTTTCTTTCGAAGTTTGGCACCTAAAGTTTCTCTTTCTCTTCTTGCTGCTTCCTGTAGCATAACACATTTCACTTTATAATCAATGTTCGCTGGGCTCTGTAAATACATGAAAAACTCTGATAGTTTAGAGAAATCCCAATCTTTTGTGAACGCCCGCAAGAATCGTTCTTTTTGACAGGTTGTGTTTTGAGTGGTATAAGGTACAGAAGAAAGCACCATTGCGATGAGTGTTGTGGTATATTGAGTAGCCCAACTATGCGTTAAATGACGTAAAAGGTGTGCGCGCCGTAGATCACCTATTATATCATGAATTGAATTAATTAATAATTCATTGGAAAATGGAAGCTTTTTTTTTTCTTGACAATAAGGAGTCGAAAAGAAAAAGGGGAGGGGGCAGAAGGGCAAGGGAAAGAAACATATTCTTGTGGGTTTCCCTCTCTTTCTTATTTCGTTTTTTGTCATTTTATATCCTTTTAATTTGTGTGTGTGTGTGTGTATGTGTGTTCTAATACTTTACCTGCTTCATCACACCAATCTACAGTCACATGTCTTACAAGAGTACTGATGCTTTCTAATCGCCAATCACTGATAAGCCATTTCAAAGCATTTATGATTCTTACAAGAGGATACTCGTTCGCAATTCGGTGTAAATACATGGCTGTCACAAGTACGTTTTCCTCAGACTTTAGCCATGAATAAAATGAAGCATCATAGAGTTGATCCATACATTTTATATTTCGATAAACGTCTTTCCATTCGTCTTCATCAGTTTCTTCTTCTTCGTTGTGCTCATCTTCTGTATCAGCTTCGTGCTCATTAATATTATTAGTAGTAGCTGTAACTGTAGAGGCAATGGTGTTGTTGTTATTAGTTGCTGTGGATGAATTTGTGGTTAATCGGGGTATATTATTGCTATTATAAAGATGGTGATGATGTGATGCTATTGTATATTGTTTGTGACAATTATCACTTACTAAACAGATAAAAGAGAAAAAAAAAAAAAAAAAAAAAAAAGAAAAAAAAACCATCAACGATAAGATTTTTTTTATTCGAGAATGTAGAGATTCCCGACTCCATTCAACATTTAATTACTTACAGTGCTGATTACATTGTCCGGTTGTCTTTCTACCAGCCCATTCACCTACTGTTAAACCGAGGTGTGGTCGTCGAGATGGTAAATGGAAATCTAAATCTTGGGAAGGAGGTGATGTGGGTATATAATGTAAAAAAGGGGCGGTTAAAAGTGGTATATTATCATTATTATTATTGTTGTTATTGTTGTTGTTGTTGCTGCTATCAATGTTCTGGATATGATTACTAGACTGGTTATTGTAAGACATTTATATTATAAAGATAAATGTGGTGTGTATATGTATCGAGTGAGAAAAGAAGGAAAAGCTGTGTGGTAGGAAGCAAAAAGAAAAAAAAAAAAACCCAAAAAAGGCTGTTGTGAAGTTCAAAAAAAATGGCTTTTGTGTGTGTGTGGTAGGTGTATGGTTAACAAACCACAAAACTCCGACGATGGATAAGTTTAAAAAAGCCAGCATAAAGGCAAAAAAAAAAAAAAAAGAGAAACAAACAAAATGAAAAACAATCCGCCATTTTTATCAGGCAATAATTTAAAAAACTTTTTATTTGATTATAATCACAAATGAAAGACCTACGAAGTAAATGAAGAATAAGTCAAGATTATAAGATGAAGAAAAACAAGTGATAATCGTCAATGAATACTTACTAACTGATTCTTTTTCGGCCAAAAAAAGGTGCCTTTTTTTTTTGAAATTGAATGCATGTCGCCGAATCAATAATATGTTTTGGTACGATCTATCGATCGCAGGATAGGTCTAGCTTTTATGATAATACTACACATTTTATTTATAAATAATGCATATAGTAGGTTGTTATACTAAACATACTCTTGGCGCATTGAAATAAGTAGAAGGTGTACTACCATATCTTGGTATATCTGCAGAAGGTGCAGAAGGCTTCTTCTGCAAGTTGGATAGTCTTCTATATCCATTATAGCTATTATTCATAGTAGAAGAGCCTTCGTGCTGCTGATATAATGGCGGCGGATAATAGTGATTAGAACTTGAATGGTTTCCTGACGGACTTATAATGACAGGTGAAGGAACAACAGTAGATGGCAATAGGAATGATAAATAAGCCTTCTCTTCTTTTTGTTCACGTTGAACAAGATATGTTAACAATACGGAAACAAGCAAAGCAATTGACTTTATGTGAAGTGTTAACATGTAAATTATAAAAAAGAACAACGTGATAGTACTGTAATGATTTCTTTACCTCTACTGCTACAAATATAATTATCCATGGATACCAATTCTGGATGTTTGAACGTATTGACTGTTTACAAGCAATATCTGTGTTTAAAGCTATCGAGCAAGCTTTATCGGGTATAGAGCGATCGGTTGTAGAGTCATATCCACAACAATTAAATCTGAAAACGATCAAGTAAAGAGGTGTCTAATTCCAATTTTCCAACTATAAGCAGAAAAAACCATATCTTACGTTTGCTCAATCTCAAAAATGAATTGTGTGTCTTGCTGCCGAAAGAAATCCCACAGCAAACTACCGTAAAGCTCAATCTAAGTAGTATAAAATTTGACAAGGTCAAAAGGCGTTCTTTTTAAGTTCCTTTTACAATTGTAATCCCTGATTCACTGCTTACTTTCGCCTTGTGTGTGTAAATTAATCCGAATGTAACTAGATTTTCAGATCAGAAAAGAGTCAGTGGGGGGGGAGTGGACACGTCTTTTACTAACTTCTCCGTCCATCTCTCTCACGTTCTCTCCATTTTGATTTTGAATAAGAATTTGCAACATACTTAGCTCCATAACCAGTGCAATTGCTGTGATGCTGTTATAGATATTTAAGAAGGATGTCAATTCCATATAAGAACCAAAACATCCAAGGAAACTTGTTATAGTTATGATGCTTCCAGTCACAAACAACATTGTTGAAACGGTCAGGCTATTTGTATTCATGACATAGGCACCTTATCATTTCTAATAGTAAGTAAAACGTATTTGTTGTGCATCGTATATCTCTCGAATTTTATACCTATTGAGATTATACCCAAACCTATCAGCTAAATAAGAGAATGAAAAATCTTAGAATAGCAGTTGACTAAAGCTGCCCTAAAACGATCAAAAAATTTGATAATGATATTCACCATAAATGCAGCATGAAACAATGTCATCAATTCATTGATTCCTTCCGACTTTTTATCCTGTGTAGTGTTGTTTAGTAAGAGTGGTATTCTACCACTATCACCTCTACTTCCACGTCTACTCCGTTCAGTCATGTTGTTCTAATGCGCCGGTGAAGATGACTCTACAATAGAGGAATGAGGACGGAGGAACGAAAAGGTAATTTGCATATAACAGTGAGAAAGGAAAAAAAAAAGGCAAAAAAAAAGGAAACGAAGAAAAAAAAAAAAAAAGTGTGTGTGTGTGTGTGTGTGTGTGTGTAAAAGAAAACAAAGTTTTTTATTGTTTTCATTTAAAAAGAAACGCCCTCTTGTGATGCACAGACTAGATATATCCATTGACAATCAATGTCTTTTTACCATATACAAATGTGTTATACGCAACAAAGCCTAATAATGTAAGCGGAATAGGTCTTTTAGACTGCCAAGCATTTTTAGCATTTAAGAAAGACCAAGATAAACACCAAGCTGTGATGATACAAGAAAATGTACGGTTTCGTAACTGATCTAAATATAAGCAAGTTATACAATGTAAATATGTTTTTTTACCTGTGGCAATACCGGCACCGTTATCTGAATCACCTGCATTAGTCACATATCTAATAAATCACGGGTTTGTTTATTAAGGCTAAGAAGGGGGACATATTGATCACCTTTAATAGCTTACCCAGCACCAGCGAAAATGGCCGGAAACGCTATTGTTTGTATCAGTGAAGGAATACCAGGATATTTCTTGACAGATAAAGGCAATGTAGCTAATGCTATTCTTTTTCGACAGAAAAATGAAAGGCCATCTTTAAGTATGTCTTTTCCTTTTGCATGAAATCCATGGAATAGCATTGATTCTTACAAGCTGCAGAAAGGCCCCATATTGAATATGGCAGTTCACCTTGTTTATCAATCCATTCAGACATTGTTTTCGGTGATGATGATTGTGCTTGTCCAGTATTTTTTGACATTCTTATCTCTTTTTGTTGAATAGAAACCAAGTAAAAGAAGAGAAAACAGGAAACCCAGGGGTTCACCACAGAATTTGATAGCAGGAAAATGGAAGTCGTTGGTTTTGTCTGTGCTTTTCTTTTTTTTTTAAAGCTCAGTTTGCTAGATAACTCAAATGATAGTTGTGGTAAATCGAGTGCACAACTGTACCATTCTTTTCATTTATTAAGAATCATGTCTTACGAATGCAGCTTGCAAGGGATCGTTGTTGGAAATGAGCAGAAAGAGAGAACATTCCAGCGCTTAGTGGGTTTATGCGGTAATCATTCCGTGGTAGATCTATTCGAACATGAACTTGTCTTTATACCCTCCCGTAAGATTACGTGCATCGCAGCTACGAGCGACTTATGAACTATGATTAACTCATACTCAAGAACTGACCTACGCGGTTTGATACAGATCAGACACCGATTGGCCCGGCAAGAAACGACGATGTTGTTTTAAGACTTCAGTCGAAGATCACCAACGAAAAAGAAATCAGCATGAAATACAGACAATGGTAATTCGGTTAACAAAAGGGTGGAACCGTACGTCCAAATTCTAACTGCATCGATGTTTGCTGAAGGTTTTTATGTATGCAAGGAAATTCCGAACCTCAGCGTACTAGAACTGTTACTGTCCGTCCTATGTCTCGTGTACAATTATCAGGCGATATATTTCGATTCATGAAATCATTGGGTTATAGCTTCTCTTTCGATGTGGTTCGGAAAGGATATACATTTGCTTACGATAAAGTACTGAAAATTACCATGACGCAACTATATAAGGTAATAACAGCTAAAGGATACCAAAAAACTCATACTGTCAAGGGTAGCTTAGATGGATTTTTTCCCATTTTTTCTTCTGCTGCAATAGTGTAAGAAGTTGAAAGTGGAATCAGCTCAGCCTGTATTCTCAGACGAGGAAATGTGGGTAATTGAAGTAACATCTACAGCAGTACCACAAGAACAAGTGAATCAGATGGCAGAACATTTAAATAAACTGAAAGCGTTGCTAGTGGGCGTTGTCAATCTGGAATATGTAGATACAAGAGCTTTACAAAATAGAATACCCTACAGTAACTGATCATAATTGTATACAGATGGTTTGGAAACGTTTATTTAAGCACATATTGAGACACTCTCGTCTAGATACCATCAAAAGTTTCATTTTTAGCAATAAACATTATTATGACGATAAATATACAATCTACATTTGACTGAGTAAGAATAGCCTAACCGTATTCTAAGTATGCGATAACGATCCAATCACTACAGTATATGAGGCATGGGCGTATATGAATTGTTGAACCGAAGAACCACTTTTTTTTTTCCAGTTTGATGGAAGATTTAATAATGTCTGTAGATAATGAAAATGATGAACGGATATTTGATCCAACCTACGTAAATTCGATGGTTTCAGTTTACATTTCGCATTCCTTATGGAAGCAGTTACTATACAGCAATAACGAGTCTTTTTTGTTAATTAGGGACTAAATATCCATATATTGAATGGATATTACATCACATCCATTTAGTAAGCCTATCAGTAAGCAACAAAGTGATGTTCATGATGTTCCTTGTTTCTTCTTGTGCTCCGAGACAAATTTGTTAGACAATTGGTAGAGTATGAAAAAAAAAAGGAAAACGTGGAAAGAAAATTGAATTAAGCAAGCTATACGTCTTTTTTCATTTCTATTTCCTCTATAAGGCAGTAACCTTGTCAGCTTAACTCAACCAGTAATAACATATGAACTCACTATCCAACTTTCAAATTCCTGACGTTTGGGAGGTGAAGGTAAGAGTTTGCTTCTTTCCTCGCGACATTTATAAACGTCCAGCTTTTTTTATGCATGCCTTATTCATTATTTACTCTTTTTTCAATATGCATAGGATGTGGTGAACAAACTGTAAACTTGATGCTATTACTGTCATCAATTCACAATACGGGAACGAACACTAACACGTAGTTGAATTATAGCAAGAACGTCGTGTTGAACTACACAGAGATGGAAGCCAAGGTTCATGATGCTACCAATAATGAACCTTGGGGTGCATCGACATCTCTTATGCAAGAGATTGCTCAAGGCACATATAACTAGTAAACTATAGAAAAAACTATGACAGACATCAAAAATAGAACAACAATTTTACTCACTTTTGCGTCAATTTTCCAATATAGCCAGTATTTCAATGAAATTATGCCTACCATTTATAGGCGGTTCACCGAAAAAGCACCTAATCAATGGCGTCAGATATATAAGGTACAACGGAATAAACAACTTCTATGAAATGAGGGAGCAAGAAACTCAGCATACATTTTAATGACAAAAACATAGGCTTTAGTGCTCTTGGAATACCTTATCAAAAATGGATCTGAACGGGTAGTGGATGATGCTCGTTCTCATGTATCCATGATAAAAATTATGCGCAATTTCTACTATATTGATGATAAAGGCAAGGATGAGGGTTTGAATGGTAAACTTTCAACAATTGGCTCTATTTGAAATGCCTTGGCTATAGCTAAATTAGGCACTTAATCACATGCTGATCTATCAATTTCATGTTTGAATATACATACAATATAGTCCGTAACAGAGCGAAAGAAATTGTAGAGTTATTGGGCAATACAGAAAAGATTAGAGCAGAACGTAAACTAGCGAGGAAGAACCGTAATAAATATGTCGGTGTAAGCTCTGATGCTGCTGGTGGCATAGGTTCCACAGGTATCAGAGGAGGGTTTTCTTCTTCTAGTGGATCATCTTCAAGGTTCGTTGGTTTTGGTAGCGATTCCTTGTTCGGTAGAAGCGGAGGTAGCAGTACAGGGCATGGCATCAGCTTCAATGGTGATGCAATGAGCTTTGGCGAGGAGACGCCATATCCTCATCAAACAGGAAAATATGATTTAGATGACGATGAGGAGGATTTTGATAGCAATAGTAATAAGAACAGCAGAGAAGATGAAGATGATTTTGCAGAATATACCTCTGCTACTTCTGCGAGTAAAGACAAAGGAAACCAACATACGGACGACGAAGATGATTGGGGAGACTTTACATGTGGTGAACAACCCAGTGTGACCAATATGAAGGCGAATGAGAGTAATATTTTGGATGATGATTTTGCTGATTTTCAAAGTGCCAGAAATGACCTCGTCTTTACATCTGCAGCAACTCCAACGACAAGTAGCACCAACAAAGCAGCTCAGCAAAACTTGTTTGATTTATTAGATGATACTGCTAGCCCAACTACAGCCGCATCTTTATCGCCCTCTACTACAGCTGCTAATAATATTAACCTATCTACATTTGAAGCAAAGCAACCTATAACCCCTTCCTCAGCCAATAACGGTTTTTCCAGTAGTCAACAACAAACAACGCAACCATCAAACAAGCCGACCCCAACAACGGTTTCAGAAGAAAAGAAAAAAGATACTCCTCTGGGCATGTGGGCGCAAGCGTCTAACTTTGTCTCTCTTGATTCGTTGGGTAAGAAGCCTCAAAACAACAGTGCAGTCGCTGGTCCCTCTATAAACTCATTAAAGCATACAAGTGTGCAAGCCAGTTGGAATAATTGGGCCAATAATAACAGCCAATCACCTACTCCAAGCACAAAACCTGTTACTGCCAATGCTGCTACTTCCTCTTCCCCTACACCTTTTGGTGACCTTTTAGGTTAAATTATTATATCATTCAGTGATTTGTATCTCTTAACTATGTATAGGAATAAAATTTTAAATTAATTGTAAGCAGAAACAGAGCACGAGGAGCTGGAGCCTTTTCCGACCAAAGGCGAAAGTAGCATTTCCCTTTATCTCATCAGCCACGCATAGATCTGGGAATACAGGTTGGTATCTTAGAATTGAAGTATGGTGATTGTCCAATCATATCTTTTTTAATAGTAGTACGATATATATTTTCCCCAGAAAGTAAAAATATATAAATTAGGAATACTTGGACAGACCCAAGGTTTTGGCTCTTGTTTTTCTGGTTTTCTTTACGATGACAAAATATACAGTCTATCATGGCACATTTGTTCACTCAGCCTCTATTAAAGAATTAGACATTGTATCCAATGGTATTATCGTTGTAGATAATGAAACAGGTCTCATTGCTCATGTTGAGAGAGATGTCAAAGATCTCGAAACCTTTTTGAATAGCTCGTCCTTTGAAGATGCCACTGTAAGTTTTTCAACAAAGCGCAAAAAAAAAGTAAAATAGAACTGGGAAATAATAGCAACTGCATGCTAATTAAACTGATCTGATTTGATTCACTTTTATCAGGTACAAAAAGTTGAAAAGGAGCAATTTCTTATTCCTGGCTTTGTTGACACACATGCAGTAGGTATCATTTGAAATGCCTGTCATTCATATCCTTGTACTTCGTTTCTGACTTTATTCCACACTTAGCACGCACCTCAATATATGTTTGCTGGCTCTGGTATGGACCTTCAACTCCTCGAATGGTTGGAAACCTACGTCTTCCCTTGTGAATCTTCTTTTAAAGACGCAGATCATGCCAAACAAGCCTATGAAAAAGTGATTCGACGTTTTCTTAGAAACGGTACCACTACATGTAGTTGGTTTGCTACTATCCATCTCAACGCTTGCCAAGTTCTCGTTGACATTATTGAGCAGCTAGGACAGCGTGCCTATGTAGGCAAAGTCAATATGGATCAAAACTCACCCGACTTCTATATAGAAGAAACTGATTCCAGTCTTAACGACACTCGGGCCTTTATCCAATACGTTCAAGGAAAGAAGAACGAACTTCTCACTCCCGTGGTTACACCTCGTTTCGCCATCACTTGCAGTTCCAAACTTATGCATGGTCTTTCTGCCCTGGCCAAAGAATACCAAGTTCCGATCCAAACTCATTTGTGTGAAAACCACAACGAAATCGAGTTCACTTGTTCCTTGTTCAAAGAATCCAAAGATTACACCAGCATTTACGATGACCACGGTCTATTGACAGAAAAAGCTTACATGGCCCATTGTGTGCACATGAAGGATGAGGAAATTGATATGCTGGCAGCGCGTAGAACAGGTGTTTCTCATTGTGCCAATTCCAATTTTTCTTTACATAGTGGTGTATGTGATGTAAGACGCTTTTTAGAAAAGAACGTGAAGGTTGGGTTGGGTACGGATGTGGCAGGCGGATTTTCTCCTAGCATGTTGGACGCGATTCGCTCTACGTTCTTTGCTTCAAAGACACAAAAAATTATTCATCGTGACATGTTAGAGAAGGGAGAGGATAGTTACACACCCTTGAGCCCTGCTGAATTATTATATTTAGCTACTGTGGGAGGCGCTCAAGTGCTAGGATTAGAAGAGAAAATCGGTAGTTTTGAGAAGGGAAAGGCATTTGATGCTCTGTGGGTTGATTTGCTGGGCGGTTCAATTGATTTGATGGGTGGTGAAAATGAACTTCAAAAGGTGGAGAAATTTTTATTCAATGGTAGTGATCAGAACCTCAAGCATGTATATGTTCAAGGAAGACGTGTTTCTAGCAGAGATTGAAGCGAATAAACAACAGCCATCTCTCTAAAATTACTAGTATATAATTTAAACCTTTACCTTCTGTTCGTATTTTATCGAAAGGTTGGATGTATGTAGTAATAAAATAAAACATTGTGTTTGATTATTACATCTGTATATAGCATCAGTGCGTTGGTATGTCAAGCGAGTAAAAGCTCGTTAATTTTTATGAATAGAGACCTCAGTTCCACTATTTATTTTTCATTGACATGACTTTGTGGCATGGAAAGCATTGAAGGATCCATAGGATAAAGTGCATGCATAATGCGTCAGAAATTGAGTAGCATTGACCTTGTTGCGATATCTATTTTTATATAGTCAGCATAAAAAAAAAGGTCTAATGAGGAGCTTCAATAAGTCACGGTTGGGAAGGATTAAAAAGCTTAGAAAGCTACCATAAACCGATAGAGAAATCGAAAGCCGTTTTGAGGGCTGTTTATCCAGCCTATGATCCCACAATCATGTTATCATACTATTTTAAAGCCTACCGCTTTGGAAAAGGAACGGAATAAAAGTGGGTAAAAGTGAATGAAGGTAACAACTGACGGCATGACTTCAGGTGCCAACGTGAGATAATGAATCACAATATATACTTAGGCTACCTTACGTAAACGCTTACTTAACAATGGTTGATGAGCCATAACACATGAAATGAAGAGGGATAAGCCACAGGATGAATCCAGCCAATGATAGGGACTGTTACTAAATTTTTTGCTGAGGTCTATTCGAGCCCCTTCCACCCACTACCCAACTTAATAGGGCAAAAAGCACGCAAAATTTTTTCGCTCTTCCTCTTTCGTTTCACTACGTTCACATAAATGTAAGTTTGAGGATCGAATTCTACCGTTTTACACGAATCTTTTCAGCGTTCAATTTACGTGACATTGACCAATATGATTTGAACCTGTCGATTTGACGAGAAAAATTTTTCTCACTATAATTCTGTCATTTGCACACTTTCCATGACACCAATAATGAACAACCGGAATTAATCAAAATTTAACATTTCTAATTTTTTCTAGAACAATGAGTGCTGATTTGGTTTGGTCTATCATCAGAAACAACAACTCTTTCCTTGTTAAGCGTCAAGGTGTTCAATTCTCTTCTGAACCCTCCAACTTGATGAACGTCAACTCTTTCAAGTACTCCGGTCTTGCTAACCCCAAGGTAATTTACGTCTCCTTTTGATTTATGATGGGAATAAGATAAAAAAGAAAAGAAGCGGCCAATACATGTTATAGGATGCAGACGGTGGAGATAGATAAAGAGAGCCAAAGAGAGTGAGAAATAAGGGAAAAACAATTGGATATTGAGTCTTTATACTGTTTTTCATCATATAGTCCGTTGCTATCTCTTCTGCTGCTCGTGGTGTCCGTGTCACTACCACCAAGAAGGGTAAGCAACAAAACCCTGCCAAGGCCACCAACACCGTTGTTATTGCTAAGACTCGTCGTCAAACCGCCAAGTCCGTTGCTAACTTGATCGCTAAGAGCAAGTACAGACCCGATCTCCGTGCTGTAAGTATTGCTATTGCATTTATGTGATGTTTGCAATGTAGGATTTTTTGACTGATGTGTCAATTGACTCACACATAGGCTGCCGTTGCTCGTGCTTCGGCTCTTATCTCTGCTCAACAACCCAAGAAGGTTCACGCCAAGCGTGAATCCAAGGGTCGTCGTGCTCAAAAGAACTAAAGTGTTTTCACAATTTCATTCATGAGGATCAATTGTAATTTGTTGATATATGAAAAATAAACCCAACACAACCAAAAAGGAAGCAAAAAGCTGTTATTTTGCATGTTGTATAATTAAAGTTGTGCTGAATTCATGGGATTGTCCTAAACTATTCTATGTATTGCTTTTTAGTGTAAGAAATGTTGGGAACAACGTCCTTTCATAAGCTCTGAAAGGATTGCGTGTGCTCTCTATTTGAAGAGTAATTTCCTTGTTAATGGATGAACGGTAGTCTCTCATCCCCGGATTTTACCACAATGCCTTACAGCATGATTCTTTTTTTAAAAAAAAATATCGCTTGGTCAAATAAGAGAGATATGATGAATGTAGAAATCAACAAGAATTCAGGCAAAGCAATAATCTATAAAAGCATAGGCGGCATGACATCACCAGCGGTTTGACCAGAATTTGACTATTGAAGTAATATGAAAAAGTGGAGAAACAATGTCATCAAAATTCAATTGTTATATCTTAGGAGATTATCCTTTTCTAAGTGAGCAAAGCTAACAAAAAACCACCTTGCCGCTCAATGATAAGGATGAAATTACAGTGGCAGACAAGAGATTTGAAGTGCAACCCTGAATCTATTATGTAGAAAGAAAAAACAACATGGAATGTTTAAACAGAAACTGTTATGTACCTCATTCAGATTAAATGAATGAAAAATATGCAAGCATCTCCAAGTTTATTAAAGGCAAATAGAGGTGCTGACAGCATTAAGCATGATATGTTTTGTTTATGACTAAATATAAATTAATAAGTGTTTAAGTATATATATAAAACTCTGGAGGTAAAGGTAAGAGTTGAAGATCAACGCAATTAAAGGACAAAATTACAAAATTAGAAATGGAGAGAAAAAGGGAATGAATGATGAGCTATGTGGTAATAGTAGGAGTAGGAGTAGTAGGAGTGTAGTAATAGTAGTAGTAATAGTAGTAGTAATTATACTACTACTCTAAAAATGATTTGTATAGAGTGATAATAAAAAGAGGAAAAAGAGTCTAAAGAATACATTGTTTCATGGTTGCAATTATTGCTTGTGTTGAATGTTGCTGTTTGGCATCATTGATTAAGAGGGTGTAATTCATCATTTTAGAGAAAGCATGATCAGCCGTTATGAATGCTTTTTGCTTCCAAATTTCATATGATCTGTCAAATAATGGAATGTAATTCGACCGTAGTGCGAGTCTAAGAAATGAAGTAGCAATAACCAAGCAACAAACTGGTTGGCTAAGAAATAGATCCAATGTGTGTACTTGATACCGTAAAGAAAAGCGTAAATGATGATATGGTACATGATGAGGTAAGTGATTGAACTTCCTAGTCTGACAATGAAATAAAGAAATAAGCAGAACATGTATTAGCATAAAAATGGGGACATACGCTCTCCCTAATTTGCCTTGTCTATCCTGACCTGTTGCATTGCCGAGGTAACATCCTTCGATTACCGATTAAGATTTCTACGTGAATCATAAAAGGAGCAATCGCCAGCACGCTGTGATCAGAAGAGAAAGGTACGAACCAATGAACTGAGATATTACGAATCCAAACCATGAGAATAGGTAAATTAAATGGCAATAAGGTAAAAAAGAGCAGTAGAATGGATAGTAGATAGTTGTAACGGTTGAGTCTGCGTAGACCCGCTTGATTTGACTAATTTCGCGTAGAAAAGAAAGAGAGTCCCTTAAGACATGAACTAGTATTCAAAAATTATAAAAATAATAGAACACTTACGGATACTTTGTATCGTATCAACGCTCTTATACAAGTAACAATTTGCACCAAAAAGGCGACGACAAATACAAATTGATAGGGAATAAAGGTCGCTACTGCCAAAAACAAGATAACAGTAGTCAATGCTCTTCGCTGCACTTGCTGTTGCTTTGTTTCCTGAGAACGGTTCACCATGGACCAGAAGCCTAAACCTACATGCTTGGTAAAGGACATCGATAGGTAAGCAATGAGACGAATTGCACCTTCGACCACTAGCCACAACAGGCTGACGACCCCGATACTGGCGGCTAATCCGGCCAAAGGAATCCACCAAAAGAAGGGATCTGTATTGCCATTCATAATATCTTGCCAAGAGAGACGTTTGGTAGAGGAAGGTAAATACCAAAAATCATCCAACGTATAGTGATTGGGTGTTGTCGTGGTGCATTGCAGTATACTGCAAATGGAGACAGAGAGTAGGACGAACGGCAAGGAGCGTCGGAAACAATAGGACAAGCCTTGACCAAAGTGTGGGTAAATGCCGGTATGATTATAGCATCTAATTTGTGCAGCAAAGACCAGCATGACAGTGATAAACGAAAAAGTAGCCAACATGATGCCGTTTCGAAAACCTAAACGGCCCGCACTTCCGTACCAATCGATGGACAGATCCAATTGAACAGGTTCAGGACAAGTAGGGTCCATCCAGATCTGAAAGGATAAACCGTTTTGGTCCACATCATGAGAGGCACTGACAATGGAAGTAAAAGCTGAACGGCCGTGAATTGAAACATCTGTTTCGTCTAACCCACCCAACGTGTTATCAGCTAAGTTAACGTAAAATTTCGATTCGTGCATGGTAGAGATGGATTGCCTTAAAAAGGGCGCGAAATGAACATCAAAGGATCGACAATTGGGTCGTGACACTTTGAGATGATAGGCTAGAATGGGGCTTTCTATAGCGGGTATATGAATAGAGGTAAATAGCCCAGGCCCTGTTTTGACATGAACTCCCTCTAAGGCGATAGACAACATGGATTGACGAATAACTTGAGTATGTGTGCTCTTTTTGAAAGGCTCTACCATAAGGAATTGGCTTCTACTTTTCTGTGGATCACCTTGGTCTCCTCCATCTGTTGATGCCGCGTGTTTATCGAGCACAGTGAAGTAGGAATAAGCTCCCATTTCTTTGAATTCAATAACACCAAATGAAAACGTGTTTCCTGAAAATGGGTGAATATCATTCTTGGTAGATGCTGGAACCGGTACAGAAATAGAGTTGACGGATCGACAAGCAACACGGGTTATATTTGGTGTTGGTGACGTTGATGTCGACACTTGAGAGCATAACAAAAGCTCAAAACGATTGTCCTTAGGTCGATGTACTTCATCGTCCGATAAGATGGCAAAGGCATCGGCATTGGCTACAGTCGGCAGAAATGTCATTTTGACTTTCGGCTCTTTTCCAATTGTCCACCGTTCGCCTGGGTTGAGATACAATACATCGGATGACGGAAGATTATAAAAGCTCAAATTGCCTAAGAAAACCATTTTAGTTTCGGTTAGTTTCATTCACACTTTTGTGTAACATTTTGTCAATATTTCATTTTGATTGTTACCGAGTTGAACGTCCGAACCATCCCCTTTACGGTCTTCTAAACCGCTTAAAAGCGTTTGACGCAAGATCTGCATTCTTTCTTCCAAGGCTTTAGTTTGAGAACCTCTTCTAACATCGACTAGATCCAACAACGTTTTTGCTATGACTTTCACAAATTGATTGCAATTCAAGATAGAGACATGATCTGAGCCTGTCCATACATAGGGCACGGCTGTTGTAAAAACGGTAAATCCATGAGTGGCAGGAACAATGCTTCCAATATTTGTAGAATCGCTGCATACGGTATTGTCCAATGTGCCTCCTGCAATAGACACAATGGATATATCACGTAAAGAAATATGAGGGGGAGGTGGGTAAGCATTGTTATGGTTGTAGGAAAGTTGAGGTTGTTCCTGTGGAGAAAAACCTTCTCGCCAAAACTGATTTATATCGTCGTAGAGTTTGGATATTTGCCAGTCGAACGGCGCGGGTGGCAACATATGCGGCGTAGACATGGTGATGACAGTATTAATCGTACCGTGTTGATAATTGCTCATGGTGAACATAGTTCTTGCAACAATACCGCCCATCGAGTGACCAATGATGATGACAGAGGTAGGGTCTGGCGGTGGAGTTGTTTCTATTTTATGACCTGACGTTGTTGATGTGGTAGTGGTAGCGCCTGTTTTGTAGCTATATTTTTGTTGACGTGATTGCGGGTATAACTTTAAGATATAATCTACAGCATCGTTTAGATATTCCGCTTGTTCTAATAGAGATTGTCCATGCAGTGCTGAGAACTCTTCATGAAAATCGACTACGATAATTTAAAAGAATATAAGGACAAAGATCGCATTAATAATTGAACTTTAGTCATACTAGATATAGAATCACACACATACTAACCTGTGAAGAAATCCAAATTTCTAACGCCACTGTGCCACTTTTCTGGATCATGAGCATAATGCTTATAATAGTAGAAAGTCGCCTCAGCGGCTATTGATCTGACTTGTTTATAGCTGCCTGCATGACCAGGAATAAATAAAACAGGTACACCTGTAGGCTATAAGATAGGGACCTAATGGATCAATTTTTCTTCTCTTTTGTTTCGAATTTCCGCTCAAGAAGATCGTCTTACAAATTGTCTTTTTTTTTTTTGTTCGTACCTGCTCTGAATCATCTACGCCTTTCTCTCGGTAAAGATACAGATTATATTTTCCTGCAAATCTTGTCATTTCACTATCAAAATCCGTTTGTTTGATATACTTCGGTCTCATATAGCTTATTTGACAGCCTGAGACATCTCTTTGATGGTGTAGTAATGAATCCAACATGATATATACTGAACCGAGAGAGAAGATAATCGATAAGAGAATGAAAATTCGACTAAATCTGCGCATTTTGTATTGTCGAGGCAAAGGAATCCGTGGTACGGTAGGTGAAGTCGGCGGTGGTGGGGATGATGATGGTGATGAAGTGGGTGTTGTTCGGGATGATGACGACGATAGTGCGGATGACATGAAGGCAAAATGATTTTTTAGGTTGTTTTGGTTATGGCTACGGTGTGTTTTTCCATTTACTGAGGACTCTTTCGTTGAGGCTGTTGATGAAGGGAGAGAACACTGCTGTTGTTGCTGCTTTTCATCAGTAGTTTCGGGCCTATTCCTTGTTAAGGCGCTCTCTATACTTAACAGAGGTATATCCTCCTTTTTGTTACTCTTCTTTTCTTTCCCGTTTATATCCGTTGTTGTAGCACTGGTATTTATTGATGCAGGTGCAGGTGTTGGCGAGGATGTTAGTGGCGATTTTTCCGTATCATTCATTTAAAAATAAAAAAAAACAAAAAAAAAACAAAAAAAAAAGCCTTTTGTTTGAAAAAGACAGTTTGGGATCTTCAAGCGTTAGGGAAGCGGCCCAATAAGAAGCCTTTGGTTTTGGGTCCGAAAAAAAAATATTCCAAGCTAATAATGATAAGTAGCGACAACGATCGGCTTTCCGACCAACCTGTCAAAGCAAAGTAAAAAAGAAAATTCGTTGATCAAAGTGATCCGACCTTTGTCGAACAACAAATATTATCCAGTTATTTGAATGAACTATAGGCCACGGATATGGCACTGTTTAAAGTGTTTTTGAAGCGTAACCGAGAATAAGAGTCTAAAGATGAGAATAACAAAAATTTTCGAGAAACCTTTTCCTTAAGAAAAAAAGTTGCATCAGACGGGTAACACAACTGCTCTCAGTAGCATCAAGACATTGCAAAATTGTCAATTTAGCGAAGACGGCTAATGGCGATTACATAGTGATAGATTCGTTCCATAAGCAGCCCAAACACCAAATAGCTGAATGGTAGACAAATAACGTTTGGTGTTCTTATTCTATGCTAAACGGAAGATATGTTATCCTCCAATCCAACTACATGGTCTCCTTCAGATACAAGTAACTTGGTCCTTTTTTCTCTTTACGTATCTTTTTTTAATCTTGTGTCTAGCACATGAAATATTAGCATAGTATCCCTTGAGCGTCGTACAAAATTATTAAAGAAATTTTTTCTTTTGTCTGGTAGGCAAAAAAACACGGATGGCATGAATGTAACTTTCTAAGGAAATTGACAAACGTAAATAAAGCTCAAGGTGGTCATACGTCATCACAGTAGTATATGTTAAAGCTGCTAACGAAAGAGTTGCCGGTTGACAAGAACTTAACAATCACTTATCCCACTCTCAATAATGCTATAATGAGCAATCTATTCAACTTTACATTTAATAATTTATATTGTGTCAAGCAGTTGTGGCGTACTCTCTATTAAAAAAAAAAGAAAGGCGTTCTTTTATGATCTGGTCAGTATCTCTGATTAGCTGAACAAAACCCCAAAAAAAAACCAAAAACCAAATAGTGGATCGGTCCGACTCAGCTTCCGGACAATGAAGAAACTGTCGGGGTCCTTTGTATTGATAACGAAATCCTACAACTGTTTCTAAGTTCTCTCTCTCTCTCTTCATATCATCAATAATATGGTAAAGTACTCCCATCCATCCATTGGAAAAACATACAAAGCAACCATAGTTTACATGTCGTACATTATGATTAACCTAATACGTTTCATCTCTACAGTCCAACAAGAAGGCTGCTCCTAAGGCTGTTGAAAAGGTCACTCTCGGCCCTCAAGTCCGTGAAGGTGAACTCGTTTTCGGTGTTGCTCACATCTTTGCTTCCTTCAACGATACTTTCGTTCACGTTACCGATCTCTCTGGTCGTGAAACTATCTCCCGTGTCACTGGTACGTATTCATCATCATTTAATTATCAACGAAGATTAAGAAAGGACGCCACTTTTTCCTTGATTCATCAGACAGCGTTGATCTTTCTGTGCGTCATGCCAGTGTTGACATCCTATATGTATGTTCTGCATATGTTCAACAACTTGGCATTGCGATGGATAAAGCCTACCCGGGCGAGGTTCGGAAAAAATGACCAGGTTAAAAAAAGATGTCGGCATTGGACATTGATCTGAACTGAAAGAGACAATTGTTGATTGATGAATTGAGGGAAAAGTCGAGCGGCGTGTGTATATTTTTGTTGTATGTATTCTTCAATGATACTAAAAAATATACGCATCCCCCTCCTGTGTACCTTTTGTGTATATTTTTTTTTTGTGTGTGTCGTTCGTTACTCGAATGAATAGGTGGTATGCAAGTTAAGGCCGATCGTGATGAATCTTCTCCTTATGCTGCCATGTTGGCTGCCCAACAAGTAGCTGCTAAGTGTAAGGAACTTGGTATCAATGCTCTTCACATCAAGATGAGAGCTACTGGTGGTACCGGTACCAAGACCCCCGGCCCTGGTGGTCAAGCTGCTCTTCGTGCTCTTGCCCGTGCTGGTATGAGAATTGGTCGTATTGAAGATGTTACTCCTATTCCTACTGACTCTACCCGTAGAAAGGGTGGTCGTCGCGGTCGTCGTCTCTAAACGTCTTGTACGTATTTTCGATTTTTGTCCGCTTCTTTTCTCACACTGTTACTTTTTCTTCTGAAGTAACAGTGTATGTTTAAATAGTTGAATATAAAAAATAAATATTTTTTATGCTGCCGGTGCGTGCCTTTTCACTTGTATATAGAAACGAAACTATTCTTATTTGTAATTAAATTATTCTGATCTTTCATCTAATGCTTTTCCCCATATATTGACTTTGTTCGACGGACTTTGTTACTTTTTGAACGAATAACTCCATGCCTATCTACGATCAGTCTTTGAAAACGGCCTTTGTTTTTCACCGACTAAGGGCTCAGAATCAGATTGCATAAGCTTGTATATCATTATGGGAAAATATGAGTTGTCCTTAAAAATCTACCATGTTGCAAATATAGTCATTTGGACACGTCGTTTTGCAGATTCTCGTCGTTGTTGCATCATAGCTATTATAACGAGGAAGGAGTAAAGTGTTCAAGTCAAAGGGATCCCTATTGTTAGAGGGAGATGGCTCTTAAAAAAGCTGAATAAACAACAACAATAACTGCCTTTAGCAACCTCATTGATGCATAGAATGGCTGTTTTACACTGTAGCGCTATTTATGGAAGGGATGGAGGCCCTTAATAGTCGATGAGCGTACGATACTAAGCATGATTGTGTTATTGACCTACGAGTTTTCCTGGTGCACAGCGTATTCGCTGCCCCTTTATTCATATCGTAAAGATAATTAATTGCACACAAAGTGAGACCAGATCGGAATAGGAATAAAAAGGTCGCTTTTTTTTAAGCTGAGATCAAGACCACCATGCTCTACAACACTTGGTTTTTTGCCTTATTCTTAATTTTTCTTGTCTTTTGTAACGCGGGAAACACATTTGTAAAGCCCGAGTTCTCCCGGGAACTTACCTTGAGTTGTTTTCAGCAACTGTCCACAACGTCACTGAGCCCTAAATTGTGCAAAAGTGAAAATCTCTCTCCACTACGAATTTTCTTTTCCCCCTTGATCAAAAAAAAAGTCTAAACCTTTTCTTTCTTTCTTCTTTTTACTTTTTTTTTCCTGTAAATATCTTCTCTCGTTTACCTAATGTTCTCTACAACAAAGGCGGCTTCTGTTTTGCGTTCAACTATCAATGGTAATTAAAGAAAAGTGTCAATGATGGGAAAAAAAGACACTATCAGGACGTTCATTAACGAGGCTTTGTGCACTCATCCGTTTTCATCTCGTGAACGAAACCTATGCCATAGTTGCTCGTCGTACCTATGCCAACTCTTCAGGCTACGAATCAACCTATAAGAACTTGTTAATCAATAAAAATACCAAGGTTATCTGTCAAGGTTTTACTGGTAAACAGGTAAACATACAGCAATTAACTTGAGATTAAAATTTTTTGTTGCGGGGTAGAAAAAAAAAGACTTATTGTTTTACTTTTTGGTGGGGTAAACCATTAAAAATAAAAAATACAGGGTACTTTCCATTCACAACAAGCTATTGACTATGGCACCAAAATGGTAGGCGGTGTCTCTCCTAAGAAAGCCGGTCAGACTCACCTTGGTCTACCTGTCTTTGGTACAGTTCGTGAGGTAAAGCGAAATAGATTTGTCTTTTTTTTTGTTTTGGTTGTTGCTTAGAGAAGGAAAGCATATCCACGATTAACAGAAGAAAAAATGTTGACCTCTCACTCTCTCTCTCTATCTATCTATAGGCTGCTGAAGCCACAAAGGCTGATGCTAGTGTCATCTATGTCCCTCCTCCCGGTGCTGCCCAAGCTATTTTAGAAGCCGTCGAAGCAGAAATTCCTCTCGTCGTAGCCATCACTGAAGGTATTCCTCAACACGACATGATGCGCGTCAAGCAAGCCTTGATGACTCAATCCAAGACTCGTCTTGTCGGCCCTAACTGTCCTGGTATGATTTCTGCTGAACAATGCAAGATTGGTATCATGCCTGGTTCCATCTTGAAGCGTGGTAAGGTCGGTATTGTTTCTCGTTCTGGTACTTTGACCTATGAAGCTGTGCAACAAACAACCGATACCAATTTGGGTCAAACCCTTTGTGTCGGTATTGGCGGCGATCCTTTGAATGGTTCCAATTTCATTGATTGTTTGAAGGTATTCTTGGAAGATGACGAGACAGAAGGTAAACAAAGGCATAGGATGAACGACACCAAGGCGACATGCTAATGAGTCTTACTGACCTTCTTATATCTCTTTTTTAGGCATCATTATGATTGGTGAGATTGGTGGTACTGCTGAAGAAGAAGCAGCCGACTTCTTAACTCAATACAACTTGTCCAAAGAGAAACCCAAGCCCGTTGTCTCCTTCATTGCTGGCTTGACCGCTCCTCCTGGTCGTAGAATGGGCCACGCTGGTGCCATCATCTCTGGTGGTAAAGGTGGCGCCGGTGATAAGATCAAGGCTTTGGAAAAGGCTGGTGTTATCGTCACTCCTTCACCCGCTAAATTGGGTGTTACTTTGAAGCAAGCTATGCAAGATGCTGGTCTCGTCTAAAGTCTTTTTTCCAAAAACTAACTAATACCAATGTATACTTTCTCTCTCTCTCTCTCTGTCTTCCTCGTTTATACACACACATACTTTCTCCCCCTCTCTTGCTTCTTTAATTATTTATTCTCCATTGTAAAAGAAAGAAAAAAGAAACCCTTTTCTTAGAAATATAGTAAAATCAATTAGTTTTTTCCCTTTGGATTTGCGGCTGTATTTTACTGCGTGCCTATGGACGCGTTCTCTTTATCCCTTAAGGGAGAAAAAAAAAAAAGCTGAGGTAATGCGGTTTGTTCGACTGTAAAAAGCGCCTGCTAATGATTGCATTCCTGCATAATTTAATAAGGGCTTGTCTATGCATAAGAAACACGGTCCCTTCAGCTTTGGAAGATCAATGTTTTGCATATTTCTACGAAAAGGGTCCTAACCTGCTTCTTTCTTTTAGTTACAGAGAAACAGTTTTTCCTTTTCTTCTTGTCTCTCCATACAAACGCATGCAAAAGCAAACACTATCGTCGCCGAATGCAGTGGCTACTTCATCCGTAACATCTTCTACAAATCCGTTCAACACGCTGATAAAAGATCAGTCATCCTCCAAAGTACGTCAACATCTACCTACATCGTCTATAGCTACCATAGAAGAGCTGGTAGAAAAAGGTAAAAACCAGCCGTCTCCCCAGTTGCTTTGAAAATAGCACCACAATTGTCTTATTATGAACTATCCTCTACTTTCTGTAGTAGAAAAAACCCATCTCCATAATGAAAAAAAAGAGAGAATACCTGTTACCGCCGAATTGAATACCTCACCAGCTGCTGCCTTTCTTGCCAACTTTATGCTCCCAAACTTGACGCCATATCAACAGCAACGACAACACAACAAAGCCACCCATCTGTATAATCCTAATGATCGTGAAGGTATTGCCAATTATATCTTTTTGGACACGATAGGTTTTGGTGGTAATTCGATTGTACGCAAAGCACGCCATGAAGTGACGGGTAATATTGTTGCTATCAAAATCATTGAAACCATCATCAAAGAGATAGAACATCCACACCCACACCAGCAACAACAACAGCAACAGCTCGAGCAGGCTCGTCTGGAACGCGAATTGAGCATTTGGCAGTCTCTCATGCATCCCAATATTGTTCGATTGATCAAGACGATCCACGTACCGAACGAGCATACCTATTACGTAGTGAATGAGTATTGTTCAGGAGGAGATTTGCTGACGTACCGCAACAGTATGGAAGTCATGTCAGAAGAGGAAATGAAGCTGATTTTTCGTCAAGTGTGTGAAGGCGTGCGATATTTACATAAAGAACGAAATGTCTGCCATAAAGATTTGAAGTTGGAGAATATCTTGTTGTTGCATCTCCCCAAAAGCAATGCCCAGGAGGATAAGCAGCGACTGCAGATCAAGATTTGTGATTTTGGTCTTTCTGTCTTTGCGAATAGTAACAATAGCAAAGACTGCTGTAGCAGCAACCTCTTGACGCATAGCCATCAACACCATCATCATCGTCATCACTGTAAAGGCGTGAATAACAAACATAGTAATAACCCTCAAGAATTTCCCCATCACCAGCATAATAACGACAACAACGATTATCATCAACATCATCCGCAAGAGCAAGAAGTCGCGGGCGGTTCCTTGGCTTACATTCCTCCTGAGCAAATTCGTAAAAAGAAAGTATCTCTCGCTTGTCGCAAAACAGATATTTGGTCCCTAGGCGTTATTCTCTATTCATTAGCAGTAGGACAGCTACCGTTTGTCAACACTTTTGAGCTCAAACTACAAGAAATGATCCTTGAAGGTACTTATGCAATTCCTGATAACAAGCACCTCTCTGCTTCACTGAAGACCCTTATTCAAGGTTGCTTGGCCTATTTGCCGGAGGACCGATTGACTATTGATCAAATATTAGCATCAGATTGGTTTCGTTAGAAATCTGATATCACCCACCATGTACTCTGATGCCATCAAATCAGGTTTTGAAAACCCCTTCGCCACAAACCAGACGCGTGTCAACTAGTTTACCAAAGCGTCATAGTTATGATTAGATAGTTTTATTTTTCTATATGAATAAATTATGAAAAACAACAGAACGATTGCCTTATTATCAAGACAACCTTAAAGGGGACAAGAACGAGTAGTAATAGGCTTGCGAGGATCATGACGGGGAGGATGATTATTTAGATGGCAGTACTTATAAGAAGCTCTCCACTTGGGATCATTAGAATGCGATTGCCAAGGAGTGAGTTTTCTGGTAGTGGAAGTAAGGACGGGCTTCTTGGTTATTGCCATCCTTTTGCTAGATGAAGCAGGAAGACTGACCTTGCTGAGAGTCTTGATAAGAGGTTTTTTGCTGGGAGATACTGTGGATAACTTGGCAGCAGAAGCAATAGCAACAAGGGCAGCAACAACGACAATGAGAAAGAATGTGGAACGCATTTTTGATTTGTTTGAGTGTAATTAGCAGACTTTGTACATATGTAAAGAAAACTAAACACATCAACAGTTGATCTGAAAAAGAAGGGGTTTATATATTAATGCTCGTTATTTTTAGACTAAGAACCTATTGAAGACAACAGCAGCATTTGTTGGGATGTTACTGAAGAGTGCTTTCCTGTTTTATACAAATTTTACAACCAGAAGAATTTTCTCCGTTTTACATGATGAAACCATTGGGCAAGAAAATAGGTGCTACTCCAGATTTCTATAGGATATATATTAAGCAAAGGTCTATCACAAGAATGGAATGACGATGGAACAATCGTTTATTAAACTTGAGCAGACTTGGGCGGGAAAGTAGCACACGCCATCAACTATCATCTTTTTTCGACGGCTAGCTAGCTACGTAATATGTAGGGAGAGGGGCGAAAAAAAAGCTGCATCGTCTCTTGATGATGAGCTAGAGTAATGGAAACGATATTTTGACATGTTTTTACTATTTATACAAACGATGGTATCAAAGAAGGAGGGACACCAAATCTATCCTAATTGTCTTCAGTTTGTATGTTGTTTTTAGATAATAACAAAGGTAGTTATAAAATTTTTTTCTAACATTTTCCAACGTTGAAACGGAAAGACTTTTTTAATTGAATATACTGTTTAATGAAGTTCTCTTTTATTTCGATACTTTAAAATGTGTTATTGCACTAGTGGTGAGGGCAATTAAGATGAATAGGCAATTTTTTTAACTTCGCGCAAAACATAGTTTTATTCTCCATAATATACACAAAAGAAGTTCTAAAAAAATAGAAAAACTTTTTAGATTCGGATAGAAGAGGCTCGTTTCCCTAGTTTTACTTAAGATGGAGATACACATGTTATCAAGGGAGTCCAAGACTTGCGAGGATCATGACGAGCATGGTTATTCATCATAATGCAATGATGATAGGATTTGTATTTTTGTACACTGGCACGAGATTCCGAAGGAGTCATGCCTCTCTTAGTGCTAGAGATAGGTTGAACTGTTTTGATCATCGTTTTCGTTGGAGAAGAAGGTGCAGGAGGCATATTGGTCAGTGTCTTGATGAGAGGTTTCTTGTTTGGAGAGGGTAATGCACTCTTTGTAAGCGTCTTGATCTGTGGCTTTTTACTGGGAGAGACGGTAGATAATTTGGCAGCAGATGCCACCGTCACTAGGGCAACAATGGCCGCAAAAATAAACAAGAGAATACGCATGGTGAGTTGAAAAAAGAAATACGTTACTCATACTGCACCCGCACAAGCCTATATATTGATACTTTCTGTACCAGCCACAAAAAGAGTTAGTACGGTAATTGGAAATGAACAGATTTGAAACAAACTGCTTCCCCTCTGAAGTTCTTTGTTGGGATAATCATGTAAGGTTTGTATAGTTGCCATTCCACTCTGTAACAGTAAGGTTCCTGTTAATACCATGAGTACATAATTCGAACAGACATTTAGAATAGTTACAAAAAAGCATCGGTGGGGAGGAAGGAAATGCAACAGCTCAGTTTATAAGATACCATGCTTCAAGTCATTCTTGGTTAGACAATGTTATGACTGCCTGCGTTGCCGGTGCAGTAGAACAGCATTCTTCCAAAATTGCAAATGGACTATTTTTAGCAACTCTCTTCCTTATCTAAACATTGACGATAGTATCGGATATTTTGCACAAATATCCATTTCATTTACCCCACTAAAGTATTGTCCATTTGTATGTCTGCTAAGTGTAAATGGGTAGGTTACATATAAGGTAAGAATAGGGAGGAATACCTGTAGCGACTACTATAACCTATAGATGATTAAAATGGAGGTAATCGGCTGCCCCAGCTCAACATCATTTCATGGTGAAAATGCCATCACTATCTCACTGATTGATTTTATGTACGGACGCTCAAGTTCGTCTAATGACGCCTCAGCACGGTCAATTGAACACAGCTGTATACAAATCTTAAACGCACAACCAGCAGCTGTATTAAATTAGCAAATGTGCGGTAAGAAACTGATGTAGGCTCATAATATCTCAACATTGTCTAGCAAAGTATGCCTATCCAGAAACAGTATAAACGTGTCTTTTATTGCAGGTAACAACCAGTGATCAACAGCTTCCTTTTTCTGTCTAAAATAATATCCACAATTTTAGAGAACCTATCTAATTATTCCGTATAGATAAAATCGTTTCTGCTCTAATTACAAATACCGAGAGTCAAAATAAACGAGTGCTAACCATTTGCCTAATTATATGGAAGCCTTATTTTTAGTAGGAAACAAAGGTTTTGCTCTGTCTCTACGCTGTTTCAACAAGAGAAAAACAGCATCAACAATACTCATTGATCTGTATGATTTACCACACTTTCAACTTTATTAATTTTTAAATATATGCTATAACGTAAAATATAGCCTCAAAAAAAGCTCCTGATTTTATTACAATTAATAGTATGAATAAATATTATAAGAGGGGATATCTACGTATAAACAACTCTTTTTTTTGTGTCTAATTCTTCGTCATGCAACAGACTAGCAATAATTATACAGAGGAGATGAAACAGAACAATATATTTACAAATGAGCAGGAAGGACGGTAGGACGGTTAATAACTGTACCTAAGGTGTGGTGAGGGGCTTCACCGGGCAGAATTGTAGGATGGTTGATAACTGTACCTAAGGTGTGGTGAGGGGCTTCACCGGGCAGAACTGTAGGATGGTTGATAACTGTACCTAAGGTGTGGTGGGGAGCTTCACCAGGAAGGACAGTAGGATGATTGATAACTGTACCCAAAGTGCGATGAGGAGCTTCACCAGGGAGGACAGTAGGGCGGTTGATTACAGTAGGTAAAGCCTTAGCAGAAGCAGCAGCAACGAAAGCAGCAACAATGGCAAGAATACAAGTACGCATTTTTATAATTAAGGAAATGATCGACAAAGATTAAATGATGCAGTGATCCAAACAATTATCCAAACTAAAAAAAGTCTCTTTTATATTTTTTGATTGCTACAAAAGCAATCCCTACGTCTCTTTGTTCTCTTTAACAAGAAACAAATTGTTGGGAAGGTTTTATAAATGTGAACACATTTTTGTTGTCCAGCCATCCTATGAAGAAAAGCAAAGCACGGTCTACAAGCAGAGTTATGTAGTTTGTACCTTCATTGTGCGATATTGAGTGGTTTTGTTGTTTAGTAATATTTGCCTCAGCGTCAAAACTATACATGTGAATTGCCTATTAAAAGAACCACTGTAATTACACTAGTATACCATTGAAATTCTTACCGACCCAACAAAATGTTACTGCGCTTTCGATTTTTCTTTTTCTTTTTCAGTTAGTTATTATTAACCAGTCGTTACTGTTGCGAAGCTCATCATAATTATTTTTAGTAACGAGCTTTTTTACTTTTTTAGCTGAGGTCCAGTGAATGTCAAGTTTACAACAAAATTAACAACGAAACAAACATATTGACAGCGCGCAAAACTATACAATCAACGAATTTTCGATTTGTTTGGTCCACTAAATTTACTGCTCGACATATCAACCCTAATCTGAGGTACAGCAGCTTCTCTTTTTTATTTTTTTATTTTTTTTTTTTTTTTCAATCAATCATAAGATCAACTCATTGAAATTATTGCCCTTTTGCTGGACAGTGGGGTTTGGCGAGGAGCTAAGCTGATGTTGCCCATTATCTATGACAGGGTTTGATCTATCACTACAATTGAACGCCCATCCACACTATTTTGCATGACTTGCCTCTATAATAGCTGTTTCTTTCATTAAAAAAAGCATTCCACGATAACCCAACGCTTTTGGCTTGATACGAGGGGATCTTTTGCTTCTTAGCAAAGCAAAGATATTTTTGACGTCAAGCTGTATTCGCCTAAACTCACTGTTTAAAGAATATTTTAGCGTTGTTTAAATATAAACAAAGATAAAAAGATACACAGCTTTCATTTTCAGATTGACAGTGTTGTTGAAATCGAGCTTTTTCATGATCAATACAACTTGTAATTCAGAGGAACCAAAACATCTCTTTGAAAGCAGCATTGTGCTTCGTAATTTAATTTTCCAAATAATGTTAACCATATGAGTAAACGATCCTTAATATCATCTTATATACAGCCAATGAAAGAAATGGATGCTGCGTTCGCTATCCATATTCAAAAATATGAAATGCCTCTTCGACAGAACAAATTGCGTTTATTATTTTTCGAACGCGCCCACACGACAGTAGTTATTTTTAGAACATGATAAGGTTGCATGAAAAGGGATTGAGCGTCGAATACGTAGGAAGATCGAAACATTGAGCGCGAGACGATGGGACTTTCTACAACATCAAAAACAAAACTATAGGAAGTATTTTTTTGATAGCCGCTCTCTTTTTTTTGTTTTTTGTTTTTGCGAACTATTGTCATCATTTTATGCCAATACTAGGCGTCTTTATAAAGTCTGAAATCATGATGGCTAATAAAATTAAGAGCAAATTTGAGAGCGATTTTAAATTTTTAGAAATACTGTGGGCCAGATCAATTTATAAGCTTTTAGTTGTTGTAGTCTATCAATGCGGTGTAACTGACCTAAAAGATGATATATAGCTGGATATGCTATAATATAGTTACCTGGTGAAATAAAAGAGTAAGCAACCTGTATACGTAAAAATTAGGCTTACAAAGGCCTGCAAATTTGCGAAATTGGCATCACGTATTTCCAACAATCGACAATCTTTCCTTTTACATCTGTAAAACCTAACAGCAAATATGGGCGTTTTTTTCATTTTATGGTAACTGTTGAGACGAATTTGGATGGATAACTCGTCTACCATTGCAGCGATATACTACGACTCACTGCTCAAGTTGATGCTTTTTTGATTCACAAAAAGAGCGGGCATTACTTCTGACTTTAAGGCCCTACAAGGGATAAATACATTGTTGACTTGCTCTGCTTACAACTTACAATAACAAAGAATAGATGAAATGGAAAGCGAAATTGTTTGTCGCTGCCCATAAGTTACTCTCAAACCTCCCTTCAAAGGGAAGAGATAAGAAATGTTATATAGTCAACTAACCAAAACTATCTAAAGAATAACCTGTAAGAAACCTTAAAACAATTGAAGTATATGCTGCTCGCAGGATACAATAAGGACGTTGAAGACTATCGGGTTCAATAGTAAAAATCCGTGACGCAAATCGAAAAAAGTCATATTTGAGATACACTTCAACTCATGTTCAGCTTCTGATAACCTTATATGTTTTACATTCTCAAGGAAGCATTTTACCGTTTCCTACAAATCAGTAAAAATAACTGAATGCCACGTGTAATTGTGGCTTTTTTGGTAAGGAGATTGATATCATCTCTTTAGACCACTAGGATGAATAACAAAATGCAGATGCAATGCGATTATTGTTATTTCTGTCAATGCTAATTTACACGCTTGAACGCAACTGAGGATGGCTTTTTTTTTTCCTTACCTTGTCGCGCTCATCTTTAATGATCTGCGATAGTATTGAAACATGCCTTCTTGATAAATATCGTTTGCAGTAAGCATAAAAAAGATGAAATTAATTGCCGCAAAAGAACAGATACGCAACGTTTGTAGCGGATCAAGCTTGATGAATAGTTTAACGTGGCTTCTAAATCTTCGCCATAGCCTTGATAACGTTTCGTTTGAAACTCCAGCTAAGCTGAATCAGATCAGTTACTGGACCAACGGAGCAAACAAAAAAAAGACCCAATCATCTTCTTTTTCATGCCTGCTAATACTGTTTGCCAACTCTCTAGAATCGGCTCATCCTTTTTCGTTATTACCTCATTCTAACAAGTTCATTATGGCAGATAATTTACTTAACGCCAATCCTACTGTTTACAATACAAGTAATCTTTTTCGACGGGAAATCAACGAGACAGATTTTGATGACACTGTTGAAGATCCTATTGACGAACAAGAAGTTTTTGACCTTGTGCGATCTATTTCCGATCCTGAACATCCTTTAACTTTGGAGCAACTCAACGTTTTACAGTTCGATCATGTAGAAGTAGACAATGACAATAATAAGGTATTGATTGAATTCACACCGACCATTCCTCACTGCTCAATGGCTACCTTGATTGGATTATGTATTCGAGTGAGATTACTGCGTAGTTTACCAGATAGGTTCAAGGTAATATATGAGCTGTATTAGTCATCGACCTTTTCACTGTCTTAACCCCACTTCTTTTGCCCCTCCTCTCCTGTATCTCACTTTTAATAGGTGGATATTCGTGTACGTAAGGGAACTCATCAATCAGAGCATGCTGTGAATAAGCAATTGAATGATAAAGAAAGAGTAGCGGCCGCTTTGGAGAATACCCATTTATTAGAAGTTGTCAATCAGTGTTTATCTACAGCAGGATTAAGAGGACAAGAAGCACAGCTTTAACTAAACAACAAAGAAGAAATATTTAAGCTATTTAATGTAAATAATATAAAGGAATATGAACAGAGAACTTTTTAACAAAGCAGCTATTCTTGTCCAATAAAGAACACATTCACAATAAGTTTATTTGCTCAATAAAAAAGGTAAAGCAACAACAACTTTGATTGATCAACTTTGCTGCTCTTCTGCTTCTTCAGCCTCTTGCTGTAGCAATTCTAATCGTCTTGTATCCTCTACTAAATCAATCATCTCCTCCGTGGTGCCAACTGAATTTTTACTTACTACAAATGGATGCTTTAACAATGTACTGGCATCTGGTCGCTCATTCTGATCTTCCAATGTACAAAGCCTTAGGAAGTCTTTGAAATGATCTGACCAACGCTCCGGGTGTTTTAGAGCAGGTAATCCATTCGACACGATTAAAAAGAGAGCTCGTAACGGCGGGTGATCAACGTAAGGTGGGTCTCCTTCGGCCATCTCCATGAGCACAACACCTAAACTCCAAATATCCACTTTGGCATTATACGATAAACCCTTGATGACCTCAGGAGCCATCCAATAAGGTGTTCCTACGATTGAATTACGTTCTGGATTGCTTTTTAATAATTGAGCACAGTGACCAAAATCGGCTGGTTGAATCAAAAAAAGTGTTAGCGTATTTTTTTATGCATTCCTAATCGATATGAGCCATGACACAATCTTACCTAACTTGATCTCGCCTCTCATGTTTAAAAGAATATTATCACTTCTGATGTCTCTATGAATACGATTCAATTTATGTAATTTACATAATGCTCTAAGGGTATCACGAGCTACACGAGCAATTTGATGTTCTGTCATTCTTGTGGTAGCTTCTTCTACTATTTCTTGTTCTTGTGGTTGGGTATTTGTATTTGTACTTTCAGTTGGATAAGGCGGTATAGATATAATATCCGCTAACGATACGTCCATACATTCCATCACTACCCAAATTTCGTCGCCTTCCTCACTATTCTCGCTGCCAGCCGTAGGGTGATATTTATAACAAGCAATAAATTCTACAATATTTGGATGTCGACTCATTTTCATTGTAGTTAATTCATTACGTATTTTTGAAAGTTTTTCTGTTGCGGTAAAAGGTATCTTTTTGATAGCCACAATACGTTGAGTAGTAATTTGCTTGGCTGCATACATAGGCCCTGATTCGCCTTCAGCAATGAGAATGAAGTCGGTATAAAGCGTGGTTGGATCTGCTGAATAGTCGATCAAGTCATCTAAAAAGTTAGACGTCAAAGCGAATTGCTTTGCATCCTCTTCAAATGATTCTTCTGCGTCATGATTGTCCGATGTATCTACCTTGGGTTGTATACCATAGTCCTTCACTGCTGCTGTTCTTGTTGGCACAGTAGCTGGTTTATTAAGGTCATCTGCAGCGATAGAAGAGAGAGACGTAGGTATAGAAGGAACAGGCGGTACAGGTGATGCAGGCGATGCCGAAGCAAGAGGTACAATGTCACTGGTATTGATGGATGCAAGAGATTTTCTGAATTCTGAAAGATGCAATAGTTTAGAAGACCTTGCCCTAGAAACAGGCGCATAACCCACAGGTAAAGAAACATTATCATCTTTGTAAGTATCAATATCAGCATACTCAGCATCATCTCTATTTATCGTTGTTGTTGTTGAATTATCCTTATCACCCATTGTAAAAATGGAAGATGCCGACGGGATATGATTCGAATGGTGTTGAAGTTGTTTCGATTGCAATGAATCGGGCATACGCACATGCTGCATCAACTTTTCTATCGTTGTTGGATTATTCCTCACTACTTCTTCGGGTACGCCTGATGCAATTAAAATTTGTTGCCATTGTAAAGGCAACCCTTTGAATCCATATTTACCCACTTGAACGTGAACATTGTGCTGTACATTGAAGGGTTTACCTATGAGCGTAGGTGCCGTCGAGGTGTTATTACAAGTGTTATGATGCGTAGAAGTGTTATTATTTGTATTGGTCGTTGATTTCACGCTTGTTGGTGTGGTGGTATGAGTGGTAGTGGAAGGTGTACCAGTTGTGGTCGTGGTGGTATTATTAGAGTAGGCAGAGGTCGACTTCTTTATACTGTAATTAGAGTGAGACAACGAAGAGTGATAATGATGTGGTGATGATGGCTGCTGTTGCTGTTGTAAAGAATTCGGATCACCTATAGTAGAGATAAAATTAGGGAGTGGAAGAGTGAGACCTTTTTTAACAGATTCTTTTCGCTAGTCTGCAGCGGATAATGTGTGTTGCACCGTTCCTTTCGCTCCTTATTAAGAAATAGAACACTTACGTTCTGGTTTGACAGGTGAAGGTACAAGATGAGGAGTAATATAGTGCGTATCAAGGACGTCATCACTTGGTAGATTTGATTGCCAAACATCTGGCAAACCCATATATTTCCCACTATCTTTATCATATTCCACATGAATCCCATGTTCGAATTTCGTTGGTTTACTGATATCCAAAATTTTATCTCCAAAAAACAGCTGCTGATCTTGCTGTTGAGACAACGGCTCATCTGTAAGTGGTGGTGATGACGAAGAATTCAGTTGATGTTTAGAAGATCTCGAAGATAGTTTGGAAGAAAAGCTCGTTTCTGAACGATTATTTTGTCGATACATTCTATTCAAACTTGATAATGTAGACGAGGATTTCATTTTACGTAAGCTACCGCCTATCTTATGTTTCTTATTACTGCTATTATTTTTGCTACTGCTGTTGCTCTTCGAGGCAGCGGACGAAGATGACTTTTTTCGAGAGGGTAGCGATTGTTGATGTTGAAGATGACGGTTGTAATAGCCTGTAGTGCCGTTGTTTAATCCATTATTACTTTTGCTTGAAGAAGGTGTTGCTATAGTATTGCCCATGGTTTTTCTTTTGTTCAAAAAACGTTCCTGAGAGTTATTTTATTGGTTTTTTTTTTCTTGGTTATAAAAAGTGAAGTGGAGGGTATAGGTTCTATTGGCTATTGATAATAGGTATAAATTGAAAGTAATAAATAAGTAATAAAGGCAAAAAATGAGCGAGTTTGGTATATTTTCGTAAAGGAAAAAGTAAAGCAAGTAATAAGAGATGGTCGAATAAAGGCAAGAAAAAAAAAAAAAAAGGAAATGCACACACAACGAAAAAAAAAAAAAAAAAAAAAAAAAAATACCGCACGAGTTCATCCTTTTTCATAAAATCGGAAAGTCCGAGCACATAATTGTTAATGCGTCCGTTTGCCTGCACGTCACTTGAAAAGGAAAAATAAAACATAAACCAAAAACATTAACACTGAATATCGTCTTAACCTTTTTCCAGTTCAACTACTTGAGCTTTTAGAATTGTTAAAGAAATTCTTTTTTTTTGTCTATTTTCTTTTTGTTCATGTGTTTACTGAATTTCATAGTGCAGCAACTACTATAATATTCTAGATTCCAATTAACTTTAAAACATTAGAAGATTTGAATATGAAAAAATCGCTCGGTGCACAAATAGTCCTTCCTTCACAAAAACCTTCTGTCATTCCCATTGTCAATCCATCAACCTCCACATCAGTCAATGACGGGGATGAGGACGGTTTCGAGAAAACAACAGCAGCAAAATCAAAGTCTAAAACAAAAGTGTCAACAACGAAAGGTTTGAAAAATATATGCCTTCTTTTAGTCAAGTGGGGGATCTGCTGGTTTTCTTAAACTCTTGAAAATGTAGGGAATACCAACGCTGTTGGCACTAATAATAAAAGACTTTGCAGAAATGTCATTATTCATGGATATTGTAAGTTTGAAGGAAAAGGATGTGAGTTCAATCATGACTCGGTAAGTTAAAATCAAAGGGAAAAAAAAAGAAAAATGACAATCTTGTTATCCCATGCTTGTCGTTGCTTTGCCTCTTATTAGCCTTCATTAACGATATATTATTCTGTTAAGAGCAAATCCTCACAAGCTCAAACCGAAAAGTGAGTTGTATTTTATGTTTACACTACATAGAGACGAATCATTAATGTAGGAGCTTTTAGTATCAAGTCAAAGTTAAAATCGTCAGCAACAGCTTCAGTACCGTTGGCAAGTATAGTGAACGCACCTGAATTTATACCAAGATCAACAACTGCAACTGCATTAAGTAAATCAAAATTAACGTATCAATGATTGATGGCTATTACTGCTGATCTCACATCTTTCTATCCATTTTTTATCTAGGTGCAAATTTGAGCAATACAAAAACAACAACAGCAAAACAGAATGGTACAGGAGCTGATATGACAGCCATTACGAATGGGTTCAGTCAGTTCGGTATAACAAATGATGTAAGCGCTCAATTAGAAAAAAAAAAAGAGAGATGGCTTAGTGGGAATGAATGGTAACATTTCTTTCTCATATAATCCGAATGACGATATCTACTGTAGAATCAACAAATTGCAGCATCAATGCAACCACCGCCACCGCCACAAATGATGATGTTATCTCATTCTTCAGCATCAGGAGTAAATCCTTATTATTACATGGATCAAATGCCTGTGTTCCCTAGACGACCGGTATGATTGTGGAAACGATTTAATAGTTTATTGGGAAACAGTTGAAGGAAGGAAATGGCTTATTGATTTTCTTTATTCGTTTCCATAGTTGCAACATCATCTTTATTCACAACCGCCTCCAACACATTTGAGCCGCCTACAACCTCATCAGAGAACGATCCATTCTTTTTTCATTCCAGATTCACTTCGAGAATATTTAACGCAACGTAATGAAGCTCAATTTCTGACGGCTTCGGCACATGAGTTAGGTTTACCTTCTGAAGTACATGTATATCATTCACTGTATCCTTTAGAACCCAATGCCGCACCCGCATCCGCCGCTGCTACAAACATCGCAGCTTCATCTGTTCCTCCTATATCACAACTACCGAAACAACAATCACAACAGCAGAAACAGGAAACAGAGCAAAGAACCAAAGACGAAGATTCTAATACTGACCCATCTTCTACCAATATCTTATCTCCCTCACTATCCGCATCATTAACCACCACTATCAGTCCAACCTCTACAGAGCCAATATCGTACTTTTATGGCTATCCATCTTCTGTATATAAAGCTATCAATAGCCTAGATGGTCGACAATATGCCATGGTCCGCATTGAAGGATTTCGACTCGTCAACGAGCAAGCGATGAAAATAGTCGAAGGATGGCGCTGCATCCGTCACTGTAATATAGTTTCCTTACGTGAATCCTTCACCACTAGAGCCTTTGAAGGGCCTTCCCTTATTTTCATTTATGACTACCATCCTTGTTCTATAACGCTTCATTCCGTTTACTTCAGCACTAGCTCACCACCGTCACAGCAACCGAAACAGCATGCCATTACAGAGGATACTATCTGGAGTTTCATTACGCAAATCGCATCGGCTATAAAGGCAATCCATGGTCGTGGACTAGCCGCTCGTAATATCGATCCAAAAAAAATCTTGATCACGGGCAAAAATCGAATTCGCATGATGGGAGCGGGTATTTTGGATGTATTAGAATATGAAAAGTTGACAGCACATGGGAATATAAACGCAAACATTGCCATTCAACAACAAGAAGATTTGTTATCGTTTGGTAAACTGATTGTGGCACTGGCTTCTCAGTCCTATGATTCTATTTCCACCGAACAAAATTTAGTGCAGTCCTTGGAATTTATGTCAAGGGCTTATTCGCCGGATTTGAAGAATGTAGTGTTGTATTTGCTGAGCAAACCTTTACCGACAAAGACAATAGATGAGGTGGTCGTGTTAACAATGCCACGAATTTTACACGAGATTGATAATAACCAGTTGTAAACTATTCAATCTTTTCACTTTGTTAGATGTACCTCTTTTCTCTTTTACTAACTCTTCGTATTAGTTATAATGATGAGTTAGAATATCATCTAAGTAGAGAATTAGAAAATGGTAGACTTGTTCGATTATTGGCCAAGATGGGCTTTATTAACGAAAGACCAGAGTAAGTGTCAAATAAGCACATGTGTGTCGGCTGTTGTCCCTGTCAACTGAACCATTACTCTCTAAATTTTTTTTCTCTGTTAGGTTTGATATGGATCCTAGCTGGTCAGAAACAGGTGATCGATACTTAATTAAATTATTTAGAGATTACGTATTTCATCAAGTAGACGAGAATGGTAGACCTGTTGTAGATATAGTCCACGTTTTGACCTGTCTTAACAAGGTAATGTTACTACTATCTGCAAGGTTTCTATTTCATTTCATATTTTAAACACTTGTCTTCTTTTTTCATCAACAATAGTTGGATGCAGGCGTTGAGGAGAAAATTATGCTTACGTCAAGAGATGAACAATCTTGTCTTATTGTAAGCTATAAAGAAATCAAGAATTGCATCATTACAGCTTTTAATGACTTGACTTCAGGAAGAAAATAATAAAAAAAAGCAAAAAAAAAAATACTTAAAAACATCCATTCAATGGACCTCAAAGAAGGGTGACTATCATAAGGTTACGTTGTTTTATCCAAACAACCGTTCTGAGTGCGAAGAGTGTTCTAAATTATTTCTCTCAAAATTGTCAAAAGATCGACGTTCGATCCTCTTTCTTGAATTATCAACGCTTTTACTGTTATGCACCGCTGCTATTTTACACTTATTGCAATAGTAATATCAAGTATGTAGATTTGAAAAGATGAATAGAGGCGAATATAATCTTCTATCATCGTTAGGAGAAACACCTAGGATCTGGCTTCAGTAAGACAAACAACTGGAACCTATTTTTCCTTCCAAAGCAAATCATCACATACTTTAACATTAGCGAGCAGTTGTAAGAGTGTTGCTTAATTTTCTCTTCCACTGACATACTTTGTAAAGCGCTTTTACAATGAGAAAAGTGATTTTTGAGTAAACTGACCTTGCATTCATTCCATAAAGATTGGAATAGTGAACAGGTATAATTCGCTTTATTGTAGGTTGGCCATACAACGTACGTGTTTAACAAAAGTTCCTCGTTAGGACAAACCTTATAATCAATTACCAAAAATACATATCTTGGTTAAAATGTGCAGCTCAAAATATTGGGAGCTTAAAGGAAAGCATTGGTGTACATTTTGTCAATTCTGTATTTTATATCATCAATATCGCTTATTCAGTATATAGAGTGCTATATTATGTGACTGAGGGACATCATTTTGGAACTATTACAACCTTCCTTTCATTTTGACTCTAAAGCTACTTTAGGCGAATTCCTCCGAATTCATTAACGTCTCATTGATCAGTGATTTGTATCTTGTAATTATATTTTTAATTAAATATAGCTCTGAGGTATAAGGTAAATAAATAATTAATAACAAGGTATATTGTTATTCTTAGTTTAAGCTTATTATTCAAGAATCGTATGTGACGGTCAGTTGTTACGGCTTGTACTTGAAGACAATGCCGTTAGACTATCCATCATTAACCAAAGAATCGTAGCCGTCTAGTATGAGAAAAAAAAGAAAAGAAATATGAACGATTTAGCGATTTCTCAAAAAGTAAAGAGCCTGAACTATAGTCTAGCCTTACAAGCACAAATGCCTTGCATGTAACAAGCAATGACAATACCGGCGGCAACTTGAGAAACCGGATGTGTGAACCTATTCATAACAGACAAGCGGGTGATAATGTCAGATTACCATATGCCTCTAGGTGATTATCTTGCGTCGTGTTCTTTATGCATACCTAGTAAAAAAAGCCAAAACATAAAAGATTTGCCAATGATGGATATGCAGATTGACTCTTTGGGTATATGGATTTTTTGGTGGAGGTAACTGTTGCTGCTGCTGCTGCTGTTGTTGTTGTTGTTGTTGATCTTTAGACGAATTTGTGTTTCCGACTGTTGTTGCACCACCCATGCCTTCTTCTTCTTGTTTTAAGGAGTCATTATGCGTATTAGATGCTGCTTCTGCTGCTACATTTTCGTTTAAATCTGGTTCATTTACTACGTCACCTCTTCTCAAAACAGTAGGAGCAGAGTTACCGTGTCTTTTCATTCTTGACACTTTGAAGCGATGGTACAAGGAGCGCGTCCAGTTTGAATTCACTTCTCCTTTAAGACAAATGGAGACAACCAAGAAAAAAGCCGGTATCAATAAACCACACACGTAATAAATGACAAACGGTAATGCAAGTTGAGATGCAAAATAGATGTGAACTGCTGCGAATGCTAATATGACACTATCAACAGTTATAGATAAAAGGAGGCATATGAGTGAACTACTGAGTGGCGTGTCGATCACAATTGCATTTTTGTATACGTTACGCTAAAGCTACTAAGAAGACGACCCACATGCCTTTAGGCCAATTTCTAATGTTGGGTAGAGAAGTCTTTGTAAACGGCAGCTCGGCAATGAGTGCATAACCGAATAATGAAGGATAAAAAGCTAGCACCGTGATCCAGCTATAGAGAGTCTAATTTCAGCATTATTCTGTCTGTAGTTGAATCTCAAAAAACCCTCTGTCGCTTATGTACCTGTATGCTTTACTGTAATTGCCAAATACAAATAAAATCAATCCATAACTAAACCCCAACATCATATCACTCCAATGCCTAGCTACAGATTTGTAATTCGTTTCCCACTTTAATCTCTTTGCCAAAAAACGATAGATAGGATAAGGTATGATAACGAATGACAATATAAAGTACAAAAACACGAGCGGATGGAATGAAAACAACGCGGTAGCTGGCACAGAAGCTGGATCAGAGAAATCCATGACATTAGGTTCATGGACAGTAGCTGTATACCATGTTGTTGTCATTTAATATATAGATAATACCAGCTTTAGCGGATCGATGGATAAGTTTTGGACAATAAGTGGAGAGTAAAACAGATGAATACAAAGAAGTAAGAGGAAAAGAGAGTGAAAAAAACTGCAGCAGTCGAAATAATTAGAGAAAGAGAAGAAAAAAAGAGGTAACATGTCTGAATTGAGTCGTATGTTTTCTCCGAGAGAATGGAAAACATGCTTGCGCCGTACTCCCGGATAAAAGCCGTAAGATGGTGTGTGCCTATCAAATTTTCAATACAAGGAGACTTCCGTTTGGTGTGAGCTTCAAATATGGACGAACGGATTAAAAAACCCAAGTGCATTTTGCTAACAGGACTATTTGTTTGACGAGATTGTTTTAAAGCTTGACGTCAGCCGACTACCATAGTGTAGGTGAGTTTTTGTTGGGGACATATGGTTTGCTTATTGAAGGACAAAGAAAATCCATGTTGCATTCACAGTCCAAACATTTCTCTCTGTAAATGCATTCAGAAAGACATGGACGCACTAACTGTTGCCTGCTACGAATGGAGTAGCTTACCTGGGCATAGTGACAGTTCTTACCGAGGAATTTTTCTATGGTTATAAGTCATTGGCGGTATTTTGGTTCAAGCAGCCATGATCTCCAAGACCCACAACGCGGGGAGTGACAGACTTTACTAAAATCGATAAAGGCGAATCAAATATGTACGAATTATGCTACAGTAATAGCGATTCCTTCAAAAACACGATCGAAATATGCATTCATCAGGCAGCACAAAAAGCAATGAAGTTATTTAGGCACAGACTGCTTGTATCAGCCCTTGTTGGACAGATCGCCTGGTCATCAAATGTTTCTTACTTTGGTTCCAGTTATTGATGATCGTACAGTGTGTATGTATCGTTGACAGCTTATTTATTTTTTGAAATAACATTTTCTATTATGAAAGGAATGAAATAACAACTCTGTAGACACGAAACATTTGCACAACAAAGACAGTTCGGATTTATTGTATGAATGATCAATTTTGTACTCTTCGTCTTTTTGTTGCCGAAATAGGTCAAGAGCCTCATGTGACATGCAAATAGTCATTCTTTTTTGTTTGATGATTCATCGAACGTTTCCAATTATGCAAGTGGGCTCAAATTGTAATGTCTTGTAGTTTAACTAAACATAACAGTGACGTTTCTATTTACACAAGTAACTCGATGTGAAGTTGTTTGTCAATAGCGTATATCAAGACAGTGGGTCCACCGGGCAAAACTTGGGTAAAAACTTGAAGAAGCTGCGTGCCTATCTACTCAACAAACGGGTGGGCGTATACTGTGAGTGTACAAAGCGTGTTTGGTTGATATGCTTCAGTTAAATTTGCGATTGGGCAATCCGACAAAAGGGCAGATGATGTTCCGATTTGTGTGGTGCCAGAAATGGTGATATTACAAATACATAAAGGGTATCGTGAGGTTGCTGACATAGATCTACTAGCTGCTCCCGGGGAAAAAGAAAAATAGAAAAAACTTCTTTCCTTTCAAGTTCAAGAGCTCATGGTTGGACTTTGATGCATTAAAACTAATAGATGGGCTGCATCTTCATCATCTGATGACAGGGTTGCTGATAATTTTCGTGTGCTACTATTGGCCTTATTAGTGCTACTGTTGTTGTTATTGCTGTGAACGTTGCTATAATAATGTCTACTACTGTTGATGAAAGGGTGAAGTTGCTGTTGAGAGTAAGGATAATAGTCTCGTCTGTAGTAATACTGCGATCTTGTTTCTGATAATGGAACTGCGGCTGTTGCAGGAGAAGATCTAGACGCGTTTTTCTTTATCAGACGATCCATGTCATTATGTTGTAAAGGGGGCGATGTGGGATAAAACCGATGATGAGACAGCAGTTTATGCTTCTTCTTATCAGGGTACGTAGAAGATAGTCGTGGTGATATTGTTGATGAGGCTCTGTCATTATTACTGTTCATTTTCGTGTTACTCCTGCTGCTGCTGTCGCTGCCCTCTTTTGTGCCAAACTTATGTTCATAAAGGCTCGATTCCAACGTCCTTAAATCGACATCCCCTATACCGTGTTCTAGTTTGAAATTAGCGAGCGCCAGCCGTGTTTTCATTCTCTGAACCATCTGTTACGAAATAAAAATCTACATAAGTCTTCTATGTCTCTCTTTCAATGAATATTTATATCGCATGGAAGCTTACATCTGACATATCCTTCTCTTGCGGTGATTGTGACATTTGAGACATACTGTGGTTTTTGGTTGTTTTTTTCTTGTTTTCTTTTCTTGTCAAAAAGCGTGTATTTGAAGGAAAGAAAAATGTAAAGGGAAAAAGGAAGAATAAAGAAGTGACGAAGAAGAGCAAATCAAGTGAATCAAAGTTTAAAAACCTACGTATTTATGGCAAATAAAAGAATTGGACGAATGGGAAAGTGCTTAGTACAGGTCCGTATTTTGCGCTTTTCGTTATTTTTGTCATTCAATCGGCATGAACCCTTGTGTATTGAAACATCCAATCATTGCTCGCCGTATCTGCCTTAATTTGTCCATGTTGCAGAAATGGGAATTTTGTCATCTGGAATTTTATTTTCTTTTTCTTTGCTGGTGTTTTTTTCTGTTCGTTTGACACGGTGCTTTTCTCCTGCCGTAGTCTTTAGAGCAACCCGTGTTTTCAACCAAGGTGACAATGATATGCTTCGTGGCTAGTAAAGAACAATAGCTTGGGTGTTTTTCTTCTTCAAAGTTTGATTTTCTTCACTCAGCAGTAAAATGATTTCACAACAATTAACAACGCGATAGCCATTGCAGAGGAGGCTTTTCAGTTCGCGGCAAAGGATTGGCTTTGATTCACGAGCCTATTTTGTATAAAAAGTCTTTTTGCATAATAAAGTAAACGTCCAGGAAAATAGCGCTGTCATCAATGGATGTCGAGTAGTCAGCGATAAATTTAGCCTTCACGCTTTAAAGACGATCAATTTCAATTTCTCGATTGTCATGCAGCCGCGAAGTGTGAGTAATGCTTCCAAGTAGAGACAATATGCTGCGGATTAGAATGATTACCCATCCTTCATCAGAACGCAACTCTAATGTTCTATTGCATTTCATGCTACTCCAACTCGTATTCTTGCTCAAATTGCAATGAACTCGCATTTATCTGTCAAATCGTTGCATCTCTTCTGGAGCTACTGTACTTGATGTTTCAATTCATCCAATGTGGAGAGGCTCTCTGTCTGATGTAAAAGAGGGCCTACCTCTCTAGCGTTCATACCTGTGACAGGCTGCATCTCAATGGCTATTGACGAACACTTTAACGTGTTTTGAATCTATTTGATGCAATTGCGCCAACTTGTCATATTTCTTTTTTTCAGAGTATATGCATCAATGACAAATGCATTTTTTCAACGCATTAACTATTGTGCAATTTACTGAAATACAAGTAAAGAGTGAGTTTGAAGTAAGTGGCATGTCTATGAATGAACGCCATAAAGAAAACAGAAGACCTTGCTTTTAGTAAGAAATGCAATCGACTACTTTTAAAAGAGTAATGTCGCTTGTGATACAGTATTGGAGATCTTTTTTTTTTTTTTTTGGGTTGCTGATAAGAAGGTCATCCATTTTCAATACGTAATTGACACAAGGCATGTAGAAATGGCTCTCTTGGTTGCAACAATATTCTCTTACATTCTCTTTACACTAAAGGCAATCTTTTGTTGCAGCGGCAGAATAGTTTCAAAATTATGTTTGTCAGGAATTTGAATTTACAGTTTTTAGATCCGTTCTTTTTGTTCCTGAAAAAAATAAAAAGGCATTATGGACTGTTTGATGATCCGACCCTAATCTAAACTTCTTGGTTTTTTGCTATTGTTCATACAAAAATCTAATAACTCATCTGATATTACAGTGGTATATATTTATAACATCAAGATGAAAGTGACAAAAGGGTCAAACGCCCACAGCAAAAAAAAAAAAAAAAAAAAGCGTCAAGAAAAAAGAAAAACCACATGTTTGAATCACAGGTTGCCCCTTAAAAAAGCAGAAAAAATTTAGATTAGACATACAAAAAGTCAGAGATTTGCTGGCACAAATATCTGTGCTTTATTATAAATTATTTGATTTTTGCCATCTTTTCTTTCATTGCACTCCTTTTTCTCTCTTCCTTTATTGCTACAATTTCAACTATATTCATTACGCAGTAAAAAAAAAAAAAAAAACCCAAAAGAAACCCTCTCGATTGGATGCAACAGAAAAGTTAGAAGTGCATTCTGCAACCCTATCTAAAACAATAAAAGAATCTGTAACATATTTCATTGTATGCTCATTCATAATCGAATTGGTTACAATTTGCAAACATTTTATTCTCATACTTTACCGCCATCACCGCCACAAATCTCGGATCCTGTCAAAAAAGTACAAGACAAAGACAACATCCATCACAGTGAAGAGAAATCATTCACCATGTTGCCGAACGTTGTAGCAACAAAAGTACTTCCTACCGTAAAGGCAACTTCAGTGAATGTCATCATTGATGACGTTGGTACAAATACAGCGCCCATTTTTGATGCGGCTGACGACAGTAATGACCAGAGCCACGATACGATCAGTCATAGTCAAAGTAACTCTCCGTCGTCAGCACCAACAGCTGTTGGCGTGGGCCAGGGTACAGATACACAGCAGGCTCCTGCTCTTCGCAAAAAGGAGAGACCTATACGTTCAGCTTCTATCTGCCTATCCATTGAATTAGCAAAGAAAACATCAATGCAATCCATTTTATCAGATACGCCGAGTGATCACGGCATCAAATTAGACCAACAAAAGCAAAAGAAATATGACGTTAACCATACGACGACTATGACCCCTAGTCATAGTAATATCAGTAGTCGTAGTCATAGCAGCCATAAACTGGCTGTAAAGAAAAATCACATTAAGGAATCAATGACGACGACAGCCAATAATCTTGCTCGCAAAGAACATTCGTATTATCAAAAGAATCTAGAACAACAGCGTCCGCCATCCATTGCGAGTCATTCATCCAATTCTATTTTACAACGAATTGCGCATTCCCCAAAAGCTGCTGCCGCCAATGTTTATTCAACAAGCGTTTCCGCCAATGGAAATGTTATTTTTGATCCGCATGTACCACAAGCACAACAACAAGCACAACAGCAGCATGAATTATTACATCAGCAACAGCAGCAACAACAGCAAGAAAAGTTGGAAGTAAATGATATGCCAAATGATAAAAAGCTCCCCATCGTGCGTCCTACTACAGCAGCATTGGAGAGTTTATTAATCAATCGGATACACTTTACGCCTCCTTCATCGCCGCCCAAACACCATCTTCATCAACGTAGAACAGCAGCCATCGTGAAAGAAGAAGAAGAATATACGGAAGAGGATATGCTTACTCACAATAACAAGAATCATAGCACACTAACAGCCACCACCACCACCACCACAACAACAACACCTGGCCATAGCAGTATGAGCAGTGCTTCATCAACGACTGTGAGTGATCATGACAACGGAAATTATTCTCCTAAATCCACGTGCGATCGATTTACAACGACCACAAAAGAAGCTAATTATGGTAACAGTAAAATTATAAACAAAAAGCAAGAAAAAAAAAAAAGAAGCGATAAGGAAAATTAAACAAAATTAAACATTTAACGGTTATTTTTCCTTTCTTTTGCGCTTTCTCGTTAGCTCCAGGAGCGTCTTCTCTCACATCACAACAACAACAACAACAACAACGTGATATTCACTGTACAGAAGGAATGCCTAGTGCTCCTAATAACTCTAGCAAAACCGAAAAACGTCATCCTAATTCGCACGAGACCCACAACGCAAATTTGGCAGCAAGTAGTAAGAACAGCACTCATCATTCTTCCTGGTGGCTATCGTACTTTTTTTCAGCGAAAAACCCAGCTACTGTCAAGACAGAACAACAGCAACCAAAAATAGCTGTAGATACCACGACTTTTCCTCCTGCAGATGAACCGATGCAATCCTCTACTACGGCCATGATGGAGAATACCGAATCTCTCACAAATAGCAGCACACATCTTGCTACAAAGGCCGCTCAGAGTGTAGACTTTTCTCGTAGTGACTCACTCATTGCATCCTCTAGCAACGTTACTATGTCTCCAAAACAGTATCAACCATCTCAGTTGGACGCAAACGGACAATGGATCGGTGATAGTAAGGATGCTTTATCATCACTCGATCAGAAAAGAGAACAACAGCAAAAGGACTTGTTGCGCAGAGCTAAGAGTATCTCGTCATTACCAAGTACTACAACTGCCACCACTACGATTACTCCTCCGGCATCCATTCATCATCATTATCAGCCTTGCACTACACCACTCGACAAACCGCATACTAGGGCAAACACGATTGCATCCTCCTCATTATCGATCAATACAACGGCAAGTACGACAACCACATCTGAGCAGCGTCCACATGGACATGGAGTCACCATGTCGCCCATGTCGTTTTCCCCCATCCAATCTCAGTCCCCTCAGAACCATCCACTTTATTCACGTAACCCATCCACAACGACGTCTATTTCTATTCTTCAGGCAAAGAAAAATTCAGTCGCTCACCATGCCCCTATACCATCACTTGCCTCTACAGTGACTTCTGTCAACACGACAGCGAGCGTTCCTCCTGCCACCTTGAACAAGAAGCGTAAAAATGAAGTTTTGCCACCTCTCTCTACTTTATTTGTAAAGAGACCTGATCCACCTGCATCGCCTATCCATCAAGCATCCACTATGACCGCTCCTACGAATACCCATCCTGTCAATTTTATAACAAAGGCGATGGATTATATCAATGCTTTACTTATACCCCCACCGCCTCCTAAAAAGGAAGCCATGACATATCAAAAAGAGGAAGAAGACGAATTTTATACCACAAAGCATTGGATAGCTAAACGCATGCGAGCCAAATTCTCTCATTTTATTGATGACATGAAATCGACTTTTGGAACGAGTGCTACTACTACTACTACGACGATGGATGATAGAACGGAAAGTAGTAGTTTAGGAAAACCCGACGAAACATTCAGTAACACGGAACATACGCAAAAAAACATGGTTCCACCATCGCACGGACACAAGGATCCTGCTGTTGCTGCTGCCGCTAAAAAAATGATGAATAATAAACGCATTGTCATTGTAGGAGTGCATGGTTGGTTTCCTATGAAGGTAAGAAAAGTCTGAGAGTTTTCTTTTTTTTTTTCTTTTCACAACAAGGTTATTCACTGCCATTCTGCCCCCCGCCTCCTTACTTTTTGTATAGCTCGTACGTAGTATGATTGGTGAACCTACCGGCACATCCATCAAATTTTGCGAACAAATGGCTACTGGCATTAAACAGTATTTTCAAGAGGAACACGGTGTCGATCTCCCTCTGGGAGATGTCGTCACTCTCGTTCCACTGGAAGGAGAAGGCAAAGTCGAAGACCGAGTTCATCAGCTGTATGAGAAATTACTCAACAATTCTGCATGGTTAGAGGCAGTATCGTCAGCGGACGTTATATTATGGGCTACCCATTCTCAAGGAACACCTGTATCGATGATGTTACTGCGTCATCTGCTTGAAAGAGGTCATATCCATTTGATTCGACAGTCCGTTTGTCTTTTGGCAATGGCTGGGATTTCACAAGGGCCATTTCCTGCTTTGAAAGGAAGCTTAATTGTTAAGGTATAGCCCCCTCTAGATGGACAAACATGGTGTTGTTTTCTTTCTCACTCATAACCTATTGACTCTATGATTCTATACATCCTAGTATTTTGAAGCAGATGCAGCACGTGAATTATTTGAGTTTATGGATTCTTCCAGCCCCATCTCGGTTCAATTCCGCACCTCGCTTGCTTACATCCTGCATCGTGGTGTCAAAGTCGTCCTCACAGGTTCCATGCAAGATCAAGTCGTCCCACTTTATTCCGCTATTATGACGTCCATAGATCATCCAAATTTACTGCGATCTATCTATATCGACGGTCACCTGCTGACGGAGAAGAACGATTTCCTGATCCATCTTGTGGTGTTTGCTGTCAAACTACGTAATTGGGGACTGTCGGATCACAATTTAGTGGTACACTTGAGTGAGGTATTGGCAGGAAGCTTATATGCTTTGGAGGGTGGGCATTCAACCATTTATGAAGAACTCGAAGTGTATATGACAGCTGTAAAGTATACATTTGAAACAGCTCCATTCGGACAGTTTATTCGTAAAACAGCCATCGTAGGTGAGCATGTACAACAAGCACAGCTCAGCGTAGAAAAAGAAGAAGCAGAAGAAGCAGAAGAAGCAGAAGTCAATATGACCCCTTTCGTGGCCAAGCAACAGCAAAACCCTTTTTATTTGCCTTGGATACTCCATGGTATCATGACAGATCCTCAAGTATTAGCCAACGCTTCCCTTGTAGATGACTTGAAGCAACTCTTACAACTTTTCGAGCAGTGGCATCCTACCAGTGCAAGACTAAAAGAGCTCAAGTATAGATTAGATCCTATTAGAACAGTAAGGTTATAAATTACATCTCATCCAACATCTGTACATAAGTATTATATATACATTAGATTACTGTTACGAATTGTAAATTTTGACTCTATGGCTATTGTATTGTCCTAAACACCTCACTCTACGATTTGCTCTTTCCAGCCCCCGTCCCTTATCCCTTCCAGACTTATCTATTGTGTCTTTTTTTTTCTCAGTTCTACCTCTGTCAATAATATAGTTGAAAATCATAAAAATTTAAAAAGATACGAAAGTTTTTATATATTCCGTATGCAAAGCGAGCTTTGCTATGGTAGCTCTAAAACAACAAGCAAAATGTCAACCTATCATGACGGAAGACCAAAAAAAAAATAGATACCACAATAATTCTCAGTTATTGTGTCTTGTGTTATATAGCAAGTGATTTTATCTTTATTAGAAAGCAGAAAATATGAGTGGGCCAAAGAGACACTGACAATGGCAATCAAACCTTGTCAGTGAATGTTTTTGTTCCTGATAAATTGTTGGCCATTGATTGGACAAGATGTGAATAGGATGCATAGCTCAGACCAGTAGCTTTCCTTTTTCGGGTGTGGGTGGGGGTGAGAGAAAGGAAAAAAATTCATCCTCTCAATGGGGCCAAACCATCAGCTAAGTAAAACCAAAAGCGGGTGAAATAAGGCCCCTTCCTCTTTCCATATATCTTAGTTGAAATCATGGCATCCAACCGGTAACTATCAGAATATCCAATCCATCCATATAGATTTGATCCTTTTCGAATCTGTTACAGCGTTGAACAACCCTTGCGGAAAGCTCATTTGACGTTGGCAGCCCAGAAGTAGAACATTGAGAGAATTACATTCAAGTGCTTGAATTACAGCAACTCACGATTCGAATGCATTTCATTTTTTTATCACGTCATGTATTTACAAATAGTTGTTTCAACTCTACTGCAACACTAAGAGCTACTAGTTTGTACTATTTTTCTATCAGTACCAGCAGCATTCGTCTTTAACGATCAATTAATGTCATCTAACACATGTTTTATGTCAGCGATGCAAAGAATTTGTCGATGTGTGTATATTGACTTTGGTGATAATGCAAAAAGAAGATAGCAACTCAATGCGAACGATTTTACGTACAATAATCACATGTTACAGCTAGTTTTCACCTCTATTCTCAATTGAGCTTTTCCGCTGGGGCTGTCATCGTTTTCTTATTGAAAAATTGTACATGTTGGTTCAATAAGCTGACATTTATACATTGCTTGTTACTCTATCAATAATGTAGTCTTTACAGTAAGGGTCGCGTTTTGGGTTACGAACGTGCCAAGCGCAATCAAAACCCCAATGTCTCTTTGATTCAAATTGAAGGTTGTCAAACTTCCAAGGATGCTCAATTCTACCTTGGTAAGCGTGTTGCTTATGTCTACCGTGCTCAACGTGAAGTCAACGGTTCCAAGATCCGTGTCATCTGGGGTCGTATTGCTCGCTCTCACGGTACTAGCGGTGTTGTCAAGGCTCGTTTCCGTAAGAATTTGCCCCCAAAGACTTTCGGTGCTTCCGTTCGTGTCGTAAGTATTGATTTATGAAACGTTGCTTAATGTATATCTAGACTACTTTTTACTGATTGAACAATTTTTGTTTGTTTTTTTTTTCCGGTAGATGCTCTATCCTTCCAACATCTAAATTGTATGATATCGTCGATATTTAATTAAAAAAAAAGTGATTTCTTTTTTGCATACAACATATACGATTTGATAACGAAGCGTAACATGTTTGGTTTTCGTTTGATTTGATTTGATATTGGGGGGTTTTTGAAGGCATTGAAAGAAAGTTGAGCAATATGGAATAGCAATGGGAAGTTTATGCAATTGATTCAGTATGTGTGTAAAGTTGGCTCAATAAGATTGAATTGTCGGCACGTGCATTTCAGTTGGGAATAGGAAAAAGAGTTAAAAGGTTGTGATAATGATGCTTAAATTCCCCGGTTATCAATGATGCTTGTGTTAAAGGGTTTTCAGGAGTTAGAAGCGTTGTGTCACTGTAACCCTAACTCACCTTTTACATCATGATGTTCTCTGCTAAGTGAGGAAGAACCATCGGAGGTAATAGAGAAAATATAGCCGATGGTCGTATCATAGATCGCGAGTGGATACGTTTTATACCTACTTTGGACGAATATCATTCCCTGCTTTTTCAATGTAACAATTTTATTCCCCATTTTTAAAGTTTTGTGCAAAGTTGTGTAGATAATTGTAACTACATTGTGTCAAAAGCAGACAATAAGCTTTTTCAAAATTGTAAAATGAGCAAAAAGCATTATGCCTAACTGCGCCCCTTTCGATGTCATTGAGCAATTCGTGCTCGGTCTTCAGCATTTAAGCGCCTGCTAAGACAAGTCAAATTGCTTTTTGTCAATCGTGAGAAAATTTAATCTATTGGGGAAGTCAATGCGAAAATAACGGGAAACTCGTACTGTCTCCATACGGATCACTGCGTTTAAGGAATTTCATATATAAAAGAGGTTCTCTTGATCTCGGATATTATAGCTTTTTTCTCCTGTTCTATTACCAGACTCTACACAAAATAACACAATCTCTAATTTTAAAATGGTACAAAATAAAATTATCAAAAAAGCATTTTCTAATATTCCTTATTAGTTATTTATTAACCAACTTTGTGACAGGCACCTTCCGTCAATAATAATCAGCCCGTTACTACTGCAACCGATAATGGCAACGTAGACTACAGCGCTGCCTACACGGCTTCCAATAATCCTTATTCTGGCTTTGATCATCTTCGGTTCACTGTTACCAATGCTAAACAAGCTGCTTCCTATTACTGTACTCGATTAGGCTTCCAACATATCGCTTATCGTGGATTAGAAACTGGCAGTCGAGAAGTTTCATCCCATGTAGTTAAGCAAGGAGACGCTGTCTTTGTTTTTGAAAGTCCCATTCATCCTGAAGCCCAAAGGGAAATGGCACTTGAGATCGCTCGTCGCGGTGATAGTGTAAAAGATATTGCATTTACTGTCAAGGATTGTCGAGCTGTCTATAATGTAAGTTCCTTTCATTTAAAGGGTTGGCGGCTCTAAAAAAGGAGGCTCCTGTCAGTGGATAGGGGATAACTGATCTCAATTCAATTTTTTTATGACTACCAGAAAGCAATTGCTAGAGGAGCAACATCCATCAAAGAACCCGAGGAGATAACGGATGACGATGGCACAGTTATCATGGCTACATTAAGTACTTATGGTGATGTCCACCACACCTTGATCGAACGTCGCAACTATAAGGGCATCTTTCTACCAGGTTACAAAGATACTTTAACAGCTTTACGATACTCAGATCCATTGGAAACATTATTGTAAGTTTCGCCCCTTGACCTTCTATGGTTTGAGATTAACAAAAATTTTATTTGAAACTAAAACCCATCATGAAAAACACGGATAGACCACATGTTCCTCTTGGCTATATTGATCATGTTGTCGGTAATCAACCCGATGGTCAAATGAACCCTATTGCCGATTTCTACGAAAAAGCTTTTGATTTCCATCGCTTTTGGTCTGTCGATGATAAGCAAGTCTTTACAGAATATAGCGCACTTCGTTCTGTTGTCATGGCTGACCCTGCCGAAAAAATCAAGGTTCCCATCAACGAGCCTGCTGTAGGCAAGAAGAAATCTCAAATTCAAGAATTTGTTGACTTTTATGGTGGTGCTGGTGTACAGCATATTGCCATCAATACACCTGATATTATCACTTCTGTGACCCATATGAAGCAACGTGGCTGTGACTTCCTCACCATTCCCAGCAATTATTATGATACCCTACGCAAAAACTTGGAAGTCCATAACAAAATTGCAAAGCGGCCCATTACAGAAGATTTGGACGTGCTGCAAAAGCTAAACATTCTTGTGGATTATGATGAGAACGGTTATCTTTTACAGATCTTCACAAAGCCTCTGGAAGATCGTCCCACTTTATTTGTGGAAATCATTCAACGTAATAATCACAATGGTTTTGGTGCAGGCAATTTCAAGAGTTTGTTTGAGAGCTTGGAATTAGAGCAACAATTACGTGGTAACTTGACAGATATGGAACCCACCGTTTCCACTGCCACCACTGCTTAAGACATCTTTGTTTCGCCCACCCCCCTTCATCTATAGCACACAACCAAAATAATTCTTTTTTCCTTTTCTGTTCATAATGTATATCTCACTTATTCATAACAATTGTAAATGCTACACTCCTCTTTATAAATAAAAATGGACATTTTATATCAAACTTTTTATAGCTGATGCCATTACCATGGGTCCTTCTTCTTTTTTTTGCAGATGAGGAAAGGCGGGGGGGGAGAAGCATAAAGTATGTTTGTGTTTCATGAAACAGGTCTAAGAAAATGTGGAGCAAAAGTATGTCTGTGTTCATTGGATCTTGTCTGGACAATCACTATGTCTCTCTGTGCAGATCAAATAGATGGGGTTTCGAAAGAAGAGTGTTTCAAATTCAATTATAAAGCAGTTACAATCAGTAATACCAGGGAATGGTGTTTCTCAGACCGTTCATGGAAAAGAAAATGCATGTTTTTGCTTTTCTGTACATACTTACTGTCTATATAAAATTGGGTATAAACGGTATCAATCGCTCTTAACCCATGACATATCCCAACATGATTGTCTAAAACCTCAAGGTAACAGCAGCAATAGCAATATCCATCACATATAAATAGGGTTCTTTTTTCTATGTCCCTCTTATTTATTTTTGTAGAAACATTCAACTTTTTCTAATTCAAGATGCGTGCCGTTCTTTTCGCTCTAGTTGCTATTCTTGCGGCTTGTGCTGTCGTATCTGCTGCTCCTGCTGCTCCTGCCGTTGAGACCACTGATTTGTGGAAGAGAAGAAATGACCACCAACCTCCCAATAAGCGTCCTCCACCCAAGCAACCCCCTCACAAGCAACCTCCATCTCATAAGGAGCCTCCTCACAAGCAGCCCCCTCATAAGAAGTCTCCTCACCATTAAGTGTTGAGCTAGCTTAGCATGCCTGTTCGGATTCGTACATCAATATATATTCGCTTCATTATCATAAAGTTTGAAAGCGTTTTTCTAAAATTTACTTGTTTAACTTTATATTTATCATTGTCATAGTTGGTGATCGCATTTCCAACTATCCCATAAAATGTATTCGAGTTAAATAAAACCTGCGTAAATTTTTTCTCTTATTTTATGGCATTATCGAACAATGTGGCTCTATCTAACTTTAATAAGTACAGCCTACATGTCGTAAATAGTAACAGTAGTTTAAACAACTATTGAAAGTTAGAAATTCATTGTCAACGTTGTTGACGCTATTCAAAAAACAGCATCTCTAAACGAGTATATTGGCAGATACAATCCCAATAAGGGCTGCCCTCTAACAATTTATAAATGTTTTAAAAGTATACAATCCCATCACTTTTCGTAGTCTTTAAAGCATTGTGGAAAAAAGGCTCAGGCTGCGCGGCAATGGATGCAATGTTGGTCAGGTAACGTGAGATAAAATTTGGATGTAAACGCAAGAGAATACATTTAGGTAATCATCATTTGAAATGTGTGCCCTTGATATTCTTTATTATACACTCAAGCAGCAACGCATTATTACTATATGCCCTGAACAGCGACATAGTTAGTGCATTTCTTTCTGTTGTCAATCTTTCGCGTTGATAACAATAGCAGCAAGACTCTCGCAGTCAAAAGTGCATATAAATAGTATAGAGTTCTGTCCCTCTCCTTCATATTCAATCCAGGTCACTACCACTCTGGCAGAAACGCGTCAGATTTGCGAAAACCAGCTACAAATTCTGTTGCCCTATGTACGAAGGATATGTGCAGTTACTGCGCAATTTTGAAATTGATATCTATGCCCGGTAATAAGAAAGGAAATACTACAGACTGTAAATTTATGATATATTGTATGCTTTTGCTATTCTCTAGTTGCTTTTTTTTTCCGTTTCAAGATTTGACAGCTGAGCCATCTTTGAAAACTGTTCATCGCGACCATCGCGTAGTAAATTATTAAATTATGGAGAAACATACACACTCAGCGTCAATATCACACTTGGAGTAAATTGATTTGTTGAAAAAAAAAAAAAAAGAGAGGTACATTCATTTTTTTTTTTTCGTTTCCTTTCTCCTCATTTCTTTTTTACTTCATTGTTTTCCTCTTTCAGTTCTTTACCGACTCAGTAAACCCGTTAGAAGGAACTAGAGAAAAATTAGAAAGAAAAAACAATGGGAGTTGTGAGAAAGCTATTTTTTCTTTTACTAGCAGCCAATGCTATCTTTCTTGGCTACGACTACTATCAAGGTGGAAAAATTGCCTTGGACCTCGTCAACAATGCTCGCAACATGGATAAAGAGAAGCTTAATTTTTACATCAATGAAGTCAGTTCACCACAGAAGCTCGCTGGTTATGTGAATAGCGCGTTTGCTCAACTCAAAAACATCAACTCACCTATGGACATCGTCAACGCCATTCGCCAAAAGAGCGGTCATAGCGCTGCACCTCAGTGGGAAGGTAATGTTCTCGTTCTCACCGATGCCAACTTTGATGCTGTTATGAATGGTGCTCATCCACCTGCTCTTATTGAATTCTACGCACCCTGGTGTGGACATTGTAAAAACTTGGCACCTACTTATGCTGAGCTTGGTGATGCCTTTGCTTTGCAGAAAGACAAGGTGTTGATTGCCAAGTTTGACGCAGATAGTAATCGTGAAGTAGCCCAACGTTATGGTATTCAAGGCTTCCCTACTTTGAAATGGTTCCCTCAAGGTGTCACAGGTGCTGATGAGGTGGAGCAGTATCAAGGTGGTCGTGATTTAACATCTTTGGCTAATTTTGTTCGTGATAAGAGTGGTGTTGCTCCTCGTATCCGTGCTCAAAAGTCTGATGTCATTACTTTGAACACCAAGAATTTCCATGATATCGCTTTGGATCCCAAGAAAAATGTGTTTGTTGAATTCTATGCTTCCTGGTGTGGTCATTGTAAGAACCTTGGTAAGTTGATATATTTCTTTTTCACAAAGCCTTAGATACAAAGGTGAAAATGCGGGGAGTGGTGCTATGGATTTAAAGGAGGTTCTTAGCAGAAAACAATCTTGATGACTTTCGTTGACCTTATTTTTTTTTTTTTGTTTTTTTCCTTCGCGTATTGATACAGCTCCTATTTGGGAAAAGCTTGGTACTGCTTTCGCCAACGAAGAAAACTGCGTCATTGCCAAAATCGATGCTGATAAAGAACGTGATATTGGCACTGAATTTGAAATTCAAGGCTTTCCTACCATCAAATTCTTCCCTGCTGGTGAAAGCGATCCCATTTCTTACGAAGGTCCTCGTACTGAAGCCGGCTTCATTGAGTTCTTGAACGAAAAATGTGGCACTCAGCGTAAAGTCGGGGGCGGTGTTGAGGCTACCGTCGGACGCATTCGCGAATTGGATGAATTAGCCATCCGTTTCATGAAGGACGTCAAGGAACGTGAACAAATTCATAGCAAGGCTGTCGACGTGTCCAAGAAATTGAATACACGTTATGCTAAGTATTATGCCAAGATGATGGAAAAGATGATTGAGAAGGGTGACGTCTTTTTAAACACAGAAAAGGCCCGTTTGACCAAGATTGCCAGTTCCGATGATATTGTACCTAGTAAGCTTGACGATTTCAATATTCGCCAAAATATCTTGGCTGTCTTTGACAAGAAGGCTACTCCTGTCGAGAACTAAGCAAGCTGTTTTCCTTCAAGAAAAAGAAAGCTCATTAGATAAGATCCTTTATCCTCTGCTTTTGCCAACTGTATGTGTATATAAATATTAAAGATCCAAGTTAGCTTTCCTTTTTTCTACACCAAAAATAAATTTTTGAGTATGAACGTAATGTAGATCTGTTATCAATTGAATAGCGATACTCTATGAACACGCGCCCCCACTTGCAGTGTATTGATGTCTTTATTGTTACGTAAACGAAAACTATGCCTTTAGAAAAAGAAGAAAGGCCAAGAGAAAAGAATAATTCTTTCTATAAAGCAGTGTTTAAAAAAAAAATATGATTATAAACCGTAGACCAAGCGGAAGATATCGTTGAAAACATAGTAAGAAGAGCCTTCAGGAATCAACTGGAAAGTTTGAGTGAACAATTGGGGGTTTTGTTCATCGTCAACCTAGTCAAGTTCATAAGAACATCCGTAAGAAAATGATACCCATCCCCTTCCTTCCAATGCTTACACTTACCAAGAGAGCACCAGTAACAGAAACAATGATAGAGCCGGTGGTATCGTTACCGGGTTGAGCATCAATAGTGATAACTTTGTGCTGGACGCGACCGAAAGGAAGAGACTAATGTAAATTGAGGGGTTAGAAAGATTGTTCACTAGGCGTATTTGCAGGTCAATGAACAGTTCAACTACATCATTCTTTCCATTGCTCTGAAAAGAGTAACTTTGCTGTCCTTTTTCTTTTGTTCCGAGTTACTTACAACTAACTTTTCAACAATGCCTTGAACACCTTTGAATTGTTGACCTTCAAAAGTAAGCATAGAAGCATCTCTCTATAAAGCAAGGAAAAAAAGAAACAAGATCAGTCAACACGTCGCCACGAAAAGTAGAAAGATTCATTTCAAGCCATCGATAGATGAGTAAGGAATAATCAAGGACAGAATCTCACAATAACGTCCTTCTCTCAACTTGAAGATGGCTTTTCTGAAACTTTTCCAAAACTTTGTTCACAAAATATTTTGTTTGAAGCTTACGTAGAGAGGAGCTAATTCTTGTCTAGAACTATCAAAAGTTTGGTAGTAAAAGTTGGTGAAAGCCGTAGCAACTTCAACGATGTTAGCCATTGTTTACAATATAAATTATCCAAAAGAAAAGGAGAAAACCCAAGAAGACCGTAGAAAAAAAAAAAAAAAAAAAAAAAAAGTCAAACGCGTGTCTGAAAAAAAACAAAAAAAAAAACTTTACATTCTACAACAATTTTAAAGATCTGATTGGTTGAAATCAATGATGATTGTGGAGTCCAAGATACAAGAGAAGGTACGCTGCATGTTTTATCTTGACGATATTGCAACCAAGCTTTAAAAAAGATTAATATAGTTATATTTTTATTTCATTTTGAAAGAAAAGGTATCTTTGATCCAAAGGCGAAATTATTAGCCTTCAGTCTTTGTACAGGTTATTAAAAGGGTTGTAGATTCATACAAGTGTTATCCCGTGAACAAGTCTAAGCTGTCAATCTACTTTTGCTTGGTTATTTACATTAGCAAGCAGGTAGGTATGCTCTACACACTGGACATTCTAGTTTAATTCTCATCCACTACAATATGGAGAAGCAAACGGCAGTTTTAGCTGTTGGCTCTACTTTACGAGTTTCAAGAGATATGTCATTTACCTTCTCTAAGCATTCTGTATGGAACATATGGTGACAAGGTGTCACCATATAATGTGTTCGTGCTAATACATTTAAGCTTGAATGTCCGTTTTGGCTAAAATCAATGGGGAGCATACAAATAGCACAATCTTTGGAAGAGGGTGTTTCATTTGAGGATGAGCCACCTCCCACTCCTTGTTCAGCTTCTTCATCATCAGTCGTCAGTATCGGATGGTAATCATAAGTATGAGGCATATACTAATAGGCAGAATGTATAGGTCAGTATTTTCTATACTTTGGGGAAGACCTCCGTATTGTCTTGATCTTCAACTTACTCTGGATGGCACAAAGAATCTGGGACCGAAAGTATCTTGAAGGAAGAGAATAAGCACTTGAATAGCAACGTACAAGACAAACGCCCATACCCAAGGTGTCGTTTCATGTGCAATTAGGTTATCTGAATAGCCGTAAAAATCTGTACACATCCCACCCCAAAATGATATTTGTTAATCACTTTTAAGAAAATAGGGTGGCCGACTCTTCTTTGTTGTCAAGATGTGTTCACTTACATAATGGCAAGCATAGTCGAGTTACGCTCATGACAATAATATAGCGATGGCTTAAAGGTCGACGACAACCTCGAATCACATTTCGGGCAATCTGTGGTATCCAAAAAGAATACAATATAAATCCAAGCGTACCAATAATGATGTTCTGAACGAAAGCGGAACGTGTTATGGATTGATAAAACAAAAATAATCCCAACAGCATCACAGCATCTATTAGAATGGGTTTCGAATGTTATATATAATACTTCTTAACCAAAGGATGAAAGGAAAATACAAGCTGCACTTACATAACCGATAATACAAATAGGTCGTTTCTCTTTGTGGGTTATCAGTATCTTCGGTGGTGGTAGTAGTCGTGGTCGTGTTTGTTGGTCTTTGCGGTTGAGTTCCTGGTAGACTGTTTCTGCTGTCGTCTTCATCACTGTCACTATTATAACCATTCTCTCGTTGTGCTGCTGTTCGAGGAGGTGTAGTAGGACGACTATTTGCTCTAACAGATTCAGGTCTCTGAATCCGCCATACGACCAACAAATACCGCATACCAAATATAGATACAAGAACAAAGGTGAAGAAGGCAGCCGTTGCGAATGGAATAAATACATTTTCAATAACCACACCTGTTGTTAAGTGCAACAAACATAAATAGCCGTCCATAATGGCTTGCATAGCAATCGTCCAATAAGAGACATTCGACACACTCTAAATAAATGAAATAAAAACTCCCTTTCCGTAAGTATATAAGCAGCAGTGAGTTAACACGAATACATAGCAAGCACTCTACCGAAGGTGTAGGTGTACATTCCATTTGATGAATGAGTGTGAATATTTGTATGACGGCAATGACACTCGCTACACCAGCATAAGTCACTGCTTTATTATAGTATGATTCTATCTTGATTCCTTTCTCTTTTTCACTTAATAGTAAAAGTTGGCAGTTTGGAGAATAGAGCTCTACGGAGAGCGAGGGCGCTGGTGGATGAATAATCGAAATACCTTGGGGATCCTCCAGTTCTAATTGTCGGGTGTCGTTTAAAGTTTTTTAGTGGCGCGTTCATCACTCACAATGATCTTTTAAAGTCCATACCATCCTCAAAATCTAATAAATCAGATTGATTATAAGTAGTAGGTAAGGGGGAGAGCTGGCCAAATAGCTGAAAAGTGCAGTTCATTGATAAATCGACAGACTGGTCTATACGATTGAGAATAAACATAACAGTTTTAATTAATTGACATAGCACAAAAGTTCTTGTGCTTTTACATGTATTTACCAGAATCGTCAACTGTTTGCCAATCCCAAATTCTGTTCGATTTTAATTCCTCTATCCGCTTTTCGATTTGTTCATTGATTACATTCCTCGCCATAACAAATGTTTCGTTGTTAGGTAGCATGTGAAGTAATTGTTTGAGTGGTAATGATTGACTACAAGGAAATGTAATTGTTCAGTGTTGTTTGATGAGTAAATTCGTACACTGCTGGTTTTCTTTTACCCTTCAGGTACAACAATCATAAAAATGGATCCATTATTTATAAACTGGACGCCACCAGCTAATAGCAATGTACCGTAATTGCTTTTTTCCGCATCTTTCATACGAATATAACCCTGATGAAAACAAAATGACGCACACTATAAATACTTTCTGCTCTTCTTCTTTTTCTTTTTCTCAAAAGATCCATTCTATACCTCCATATAATTCATTTCACTTTCTCTTGTTTTGCTCGTTTTGAAGTTGACACTGAATGATCCTGGACCTGCAAAGTCAAATGTCTTTCGAGCTTCATCTAATTCAGTCTTATTGAGGGTATCGGGTATGCTTAAGTTTCTATTCTCCCATTCGCCTGTTTGCGAAACAACAACACGTGTGTGTATAATGCATACGTTAGTAAATGTTTGAATATTGTCTGTTCCCGAGCATACAAAAAAGTGATTTGTCATGTACCTCTAAAAACACCTGTGATATTGTGATAATAAACTCCTTCTGGTTGTTGTCGAAGTGACCATAAGTCATGCTTCAGTGTGTCTTCTACAGTAGGAGGTATCGGCTACTCACACAGTTAGTCTTGTATCTATCAAAATCATTTTTATTGTTCTTTCTATTTTACATGGGTAACATTAACGCCAAAGGTCATGTTGTTCAATGAGTCGACTTCTTTTTGTAAATCTTCCATTAGTTCAGCTTTCGTCTGTTTTCCTGCTCTCATTGAACTTTCGTCTGTGAAATTGAAAAACAGCAATGAAAACAAGAAAAGCAGCATATAAAAACTGGAGCGATTTATTTGTTGCCGTTGCTGCTGTTGCTGTCCTGTTGCTTGTATTTGCTGTTGCTGTCGTGATGGTTGTGGTTGTGTGTCATCATTGTCTGTTAAATTAGTTTCCATTGAAAAAAGAGAGAAAGACAGTAGTCTTCAAAATACTCTTGTTTTCTTTTCGCATCAAGTAAGAGAGGTTCACAAAAAGGTGTACTTTTGGCCTTTCAACCGGAGTTCCGGAGTTTTTAAATTACCGCAGAGGACGGCTGCTTGAACGTCATATGGATCTGATAAGGCAGCTCTCAGAGTAAAAGTAGATCACGCTTATGGCCCATAAGAACATACTTATGCTATAGTAATGTATACATAATTTTGCTTCTTGAACTTTAGCGGTCTATTTGGAGCCAGACCGGTTTCTTTGAGCAAACCTATTAAATAGTAATGGATAAAACTGTAGCATGGACAATATGAAGCGTTCACGAGGAATAACATGATAGATTAACACATAACTGGCTGTCACAGCTTTAATACTCCATCCGTTTTTGAATAAATGCATATAATCAGACGATATCATACTACCATTTTATTATTGCAATTTGCCACAACAAAAAAACGAACAAGATTTACAGTGGACATTTCAGTGTGATTATGAATGGCCAAGTCTTCTTTTGTTTTCTTTTTGCGGCTGAACAAGATAGTAAAACCGTCCGACCTAACCATGTGTCGAAACATTACATCAGAACTCTCCTTCAAAGCGGTTAGACTATGCCACAAGCAAAAATAGGGGTGTGTTTACTATTAGGGATAATTTTGCTGAAGAAGTTCTTCTCTTAAAGCCAAACTTTTTGAAGTTGAAGACTTTGCAGAATTGTTCGAGTTGTGCTGTATAACCTTTGGCAACTTTTCCATTCGAGGGAACGAGAAGTAGAATGACCCTTTATATCACAACTGATGCACTTGATATCTCCAGTTGTTTGCTTCTTCTTTCTCTTTGCTTGCTTCTTTTCTTCCTTGATTGTAGCTGATTGCTTACGTTTCTTGCCGCTACTTCCAACTAAATTTTCGTTAAGCAAATATAAACTTGTCTTGCAGTGAGAGTATGATACTTACCATCATGCGCAGAAACTGCTTTGTAAAACTTGCATTCATGGTATGCCTTGTTGAAATGTCCGCGTGTTTTGCAATCCTTGCACTCGATGCTTACTAGTCATACGAAACATAAATTGAGGATTACCACTATAATCTATTTGTGGCAGCGCGATGATGTGTTACTTACGGAAGGACTCATCTTTGACTTTATTCTTATGGGCTTCTGCCACCGATTTGATTTTTTGCAAGGTTTTGGCTTTGTACATGGTGAGTAGTAGCTATCAGAATGAGGAAAGAAAGTATAGAAGAAGAAGATGGAAATCAAAGGAAAGATGTCAAACTTATTTTCTATAAATGCTTTTAATTTAACAACATCTATTTTTTATTACGATTGACAACAACGACCGTTATCTACGTGGTGGAATAACATGTCTGGGATCAGTTTAACGCGTAGATCAATTCATATGATCCATAAATAAAGTCTCGTAAACCACAACCCTGTATCTATTGCTGATAAGCGTGTCACACTAAAATACTCTGTACGTCTTGTAGTACTTTAACATAATGCCACTCTCAATTGAAAATGTCCACTGACCTTCAAAAAAATGTCTCCAATTATTTATTCAATGAATTGTCCAATAATATTATACCATTTCATCCTAAAGTAATTTAAAATTATCTAAAATAAAAATATATATTGTCTGATATAATTTGTATAAAGTGTAAAGTTGAAGCTAAAAGACCGTACTTCGCGCTGTTTTTTGCGGAGTTACATACTTTTATGCATTGGCTACGAATGATGTAAGCATAAATTCTCGTTTCTTTCGAGCAAAGTTTCTCCGCTTTTGACTCGAAGAGAAGTAACTCAAGGTGTCCTTGAGGTATTATATTAATGAACAAAAGGAATATGTTATTTCATTTGATATAAAAGCTATCCAATTGGAAAGGCTTATAAAGGGTGTGATAGCATAATAGGGAGGCGTAAGTAGTGTTGAATTCGACTATGATTCATGGTTGCTGGAGCCCGCTTTTCCTCTAAAACCATGAAAACACGAATTTTTGTGTGCCTGACAAAAAAGAAAGTTTCAAAAGCGGAGATAAAACAAAAAAAGTGTGGTACGTGCGACAAAATGTTACTTACAAGGAAAACTCAACAAAACAAGTGTTGTGTGTACCTGTAAAGTATATTCTAGAGTCCATCTACTCCCACTTTAATCAAAGATGTCTATAATGGCTACATGTTAAGGTTTTCTGAGGCGTTAAAACGGATAATAATCTGTTTAGCAAATGTGGCATTTTCTGCTTTCCAAAATTTGGAACATCCTTTAATTGAATTCTTTTTTTCCTTTTTAGAGATAGTTGAATTAACATTTATTATTTTTACTTCCATTATAAGTGTATAGCAAAAAAGTTCTAGAAGCATCCACCGAATTGCAGTCAGCATTATTCATCTGGATTTGAGGACGGGTTAATGTCAATAATGAGACTATCTCTGGCATGTACTGAACCTAATGAACCCTCGTGTTAAATATCTGTCAAACTCTGGTATACTGTCGATAGAAGAAAAAATAAATAAATAAATTGTAATGCACCTTTTGCTCATAATCTTATTCCTGATAAAAATGAAATACAAGATACATCTGCCAGCAGAAGCAGATGTATTGATTAAAAGTGTATAATAGGTGCAGGTAGATTGAAAAGGGGATTGCTTTTGTTCAAAAGTATGTCTAAAAGCGTGTCAAACTACAGATCAAAATACAGTGTTTTAACTGCTATTTCAGACTTTTCACAAATTTTATTAAACAATATTAAATCTTAATTTAGACAACTTTCAATTATTTTACGATGAAGCGGTATATTATTCTTGGACGATTTCGCTGATAATCAATTATCTAGTAACATCCAAGCAGCATTAAGGATGGCGTACAAGCTAGCCCTAAAAATGAGTCTTCATTAGTAAGGAAGTCACTAAGAAAGCTCTGATTGGCGTCACTTTGCAATAGGGTGAGCTCCAAAAAGCTTGACAACTTTTTCGTCAAATGACGACGTGTTATAAGACCAACCAGATGTTCGTCAGTGCCCTTTTTTTTAAACTTGGCCCAATGATAAAGACGTGTCTTTCCTTTCTCGCGTTTTTGTTGTCAAAGTTAAATTATAATGAAGAGGTTCTTTTAAACGAGAAAAAGATCCCTTCCAGCTAAAGACTCTGTTCTCAAGATTATTCTTTCACTTATATCATAGCATTGCTGATCTAAAGATAAACACAAGTATGCTTTTTAGAAATCTCATTCGATCTGATAGCTTCACTGTAGACTTTCTATTTAGTCGTAAGAAGAAACCAAAAGAAGACGCCATCATTGATCATCATGACTTGACGTTGGAAGACTTCTCTTATGAAGAGATCACGGCAAACTACAGACCCACATTTGTTGATCCTGGCCGAAAGACAGTATTTACAGCAGCAATCGGGTTAGAAACAAACAGACATGAGATACGGCGCTGCTCGACAAAAGAATATTAGCACATGACGGGTAGTACTCGTGTCAATGCAGAATTAGAAAAGAAAAAAGGCCGATTGTACGATAAAAGCGATAGTAAGCAATATATCGAGTAGTAAAACAGGCTCGCCTGAACAGTATAAGAGATATACTATTTACATACTACAACATTTAGAGATCCTGTTCTCATTCTATGGGCCTGGTATGGGTGAGACAAGATTCCGTCTGTATCAAGGGCAGCAAGCGTGCTGCAGATACGATGGTGAACATGCTTGTTGATGGAAGTGTCAAATACGACAAAGAATTACGGAAAAAAAGAAGGGAATTAGACACCGTGCGTGGCTGTAGTATCCTTGTTTGCAAAACCTGTAAGATACTATGGAACCGCGATGTCAACGCAGCAAAAAACATGATGGCCATCAGCATTTCGGTATGGAAAGACAAGGAACGTCCTACGGAGTTCAGCCGGAAGACAACTTCTTAGTCTTTTGATATTTATTATCGCCAGAACGAAACTGGCTTGATATTTACAGGTAAACGTCTCCATTTAAATGTAGTTCGATCTTCAAACTCTAACTCAATCGTCTCAAAATTTTGGTCATTTCGTCCAGTTATTTTTTAGCTTTGTCTAAAATGTGTGCTATTGCAGCTCCATCTCAAAAAAGAAAAAAAGAAAGCTTATTTCGTGCTTCCACCATGACGTGTTGAAAAAACAAATAAAAGATATGAGATCGTGTTTTGTAGTTTTACTGCGCTCGCGATGTACTACCCTTAAAGGCAATGAAAAAGACTCAATAAGAATAGCGGAGGAAGACGCCAAAAAGCAAGTTTCTGATATACCTGTCCTATACCGTTTTATTGTCAAAGTATTGTCTGCAGTAAACAATGAATAATGGACATGTCATAACTAATTTCTATAATAAATTGCAAACTCTTATAACTACATTGTTGAATAATAATAACTCCATTAACAAAAAAAAAAGAAATAGAGTGTTTTAGGAATGAAAGTTTTTTTTTTTTTTTTTTTTTTTTTTTTTTTTTTTTTTTTTCTTACTCATACTTTACTCAACAAACACAGAACAGAAAATTTTTTTGGCTGCCTTGAACCCGTGGTTCTAAAACTTTTGACTTTTTGGCCCTTTCAATAAAGATATTCAGTTTCCATATTTTTTCTTTCTTTTTTTTTTTTTTTTTTCGCTCATCTTCTATACGCAACTCAAATGTCTTATCCATCACCATTTGAGTTGTCGACTCCTTCTACTCCTACAAATCCCATACATACAAACCATATCCAACAAAATCAACAACAGCATCAATTATTATATAATGAACATTCACAGCCACAACAAAAAACAACACTTTGGTATGTTTTGCCATTCGGACGCACCGATCACATTCTTTCTGTCACTTTTTAACATTATTTTCATACAATGTAGGATGGGTGAATTAGAACAATGGCAAGATGAAGCTTATATCCAACAGCTTTGGTTCAACCTGGGTGAAAAAGTCATGGTTAAAGTGATTCGTGATAAAGTCACAGGGTATGAATTATATTCACATACGAAACACATACACACACACACACACACACACACATTATTGACGTATCAAATTCTGTTTAGAGCAAGTGCGGGTTATGCCTTTGTTGACTTTGGTAATGCCGCAGCAGCCAGAAGAGCCATGAACAACTATAATGGGGTATTGATGCCTAACTCACTCAAACCTTTCAAATTGAACTGGGCTTCGGGTGGTGGTTTGATTGACAGAAGGTAAATCAATTTTAGCTCTCAAGAAACAAAAAAGGGTAACAGTTGACTCAAACAAGATCCCTTGTAAATAGAGAGGATCGGCAACCGGAGTATTCTATTTTTGTTGGTGATTTGAGTTCTGAAATTACCGAGACTGATTTATTGGTAAAGTATTCGTAAGAATCCATGATATTTGAGAAATGAAACTGATGTTGTTTCTTTATTAGACCCTGTTTCAATCTCGTTATCCTTCCTGTAAATCAGCCAAAATAATGACTGACCCTAGAACAGGAATGACACGTGGTTACGGATTCGTACGGTTTTCGGATCAAATTGATCAACAAACAGCTTTGATTGAAATGCAGGGTTATTGTATTGGGTCTCGCGCAATTCGTGTTTCGGTAGCAACTCCTAAAAATTCACGTACCAATAATAGCAACGGTACGAATCAAAGCAATAACAACGCAAATCAACAACAGCTACTGTTACTGCAACAGCAACAACAACAATCGCAACGACATCAATTACAGCAATTGCAGTTACTTCGCGAATTACAGTTGCGCCAACAGCAACAACAACAACAACAACAGCAGCAGCAGCAGAATAATGGTCATTATACAAATATCTCCACTCCTTCCTCTGCATCTTTATTGACTTCACCTAATAAATCGCCTTTATTAATGTCATCACCCATGATAATGAATGTGAATAATAAGCAACCGTACTCCATCACGTCACCAACAATCCCCCAGATGTCGGATGCAGGCATGAATCTCACCAATACCACCGTCTTTGTTGGTGGATTGTCTGCACCTGTTACAGAACATGAATTGAGACAATATTTCCAACCTTTTGGTGAAATCATCTACGTTAAAATACCTCCCGGTAAAGGCTGTGGATTTGTTCAATACGTTTCTCGTCATTCTGCAGAATTAGCTATTCGACAAATGAACGGATATCAAATTGGCAATTCGCGCATCCGATTATCATGGGGTAGATCATCTCAACAACAGCCATCACCCACCTCTGCGACCACGAGTTCACCATTTATGCTTTCTCAAGCGCCTTCCTTCACTACAGCTATGCAACAACAGCAATTACAACGACAACATTCCTCACCTATTCCTATCGCTTCAATCAACACTGCTAATATTTATTCCTCACCTCCACCTCCCTCATTCATCTCTCCTTCGCCTTCTTCTTCCATCACTATTCTCTCGCCTCCTCCCATGATGTCCCCACCTATGACTACAGCTATAACAACAACGGCTGCTGGTGCTCCTGGTGGTAGTACTATCAGTAGTAGCAATCACATTGGACATTATCCACCCGTCATGTCTCACTATACTACGGCTACTGTGCCTACTGCTGCTCAGCATCATCATCCTATTCTTAACCATCCATCTGCTCTTCATATCCAACCTCTCCATCAAACGATGTCTTCTATGAATGATGGCTTGCACAATACTAAGGATTTTGGATTCTTGGATGAGATGGACTCAAACACAACGAACGACTTGTTAATGAACTCAGTTACGCGTTCGGTTCTTGGTGATGATGACCCACAAGACCATCATGGTAACAGTAGCAACAACAACAGTAGTGCTCATCAACATCACGACTGGAGATTGAAGCATATTTATGCCCAATAGTAATATAATATTATACATATCTATATATACTTTCCTGACCTTCCCTCTTTCGCTCTTTTTCCTTTTTTTCTAATTCCCTGGTTTTTTTTTATTTTTGTTTTTTTTTCTATTCTCTCTTAGTTTTTGCTATTTTTTCCCTTTTTCTTGTGTTATTCTAGTTTCCCCATGTTTTTATTTTTTTTTATTTTTGTTCACTATTTATATATACACATTATATAATCTTTTCTTTTATATCTACAGCAACAGCAACATCACTTTTGTGCCCTCCCCCCTCACCCCCCAAAAAAAACCAAAAAAAAAACCAAACAAAAAACACCTTTTCTCTTTTACCAATTTATTTCTTAATCTTTATATATACATATACTCATTATATCTTATATTATATAAACAAACTCTATTATACACGTACACAGAATACACTTATCGAAATCAAGCAGTCTTTCAATGCATTTGTATGTTTAAAACCGTAGAATCTTCTCCACTAAATGTAAACCTTAGCCTAAATACACAAATCTAAAGCCTTTTCAAAATTGGATGAGGTAGAGGATACAATCTAGCACCGACACCAGCCTATTTGCTATGGCTGTATAATAAGGAAATATTTGCATATAATCATTCAAAGTATTTTGACAGTATCAATAATTACAATTGGCAGCAATAAAGACCTTAGTTTTCATATGGAAGGATTGTATCTGCATGTATTTGAACATGTACCTATTTTTTATTCTATTTGGCGGATAATAATGTTTGCGTAGCTTTCTATTTCTGGTACAATTTCTTTTTGTAACCGTTTGATGAGCTAGTTCCTATTTGTTGCAAAAAAGATACACCACATTGTCAAGTGAGCTCAGGGGATTAGGTAGAATCTATTTTATCTTTATGCAGCAGTTTTGGTTTTCTTTGGCCTTCCTTCCCCTTCCGTGCGCTTCGAAGAGCAATTCACATTTATTGCCTGGATGTTTTGCAAGTAAGTATGAATTCTCCCAACCGCCTTCATGTCACCCATATGGGTCAAGTTCTTTCTTGATTTTTGCTTAGTTAAATAATTAGGGCGCGTTTCTTTCCAATAATTGATAATGTGGTTACGAATTCTCAAATATGTTTCGGGAGTTTTGTACCGCTTGCCTGAAAACCACTCAGCATTTGCCGTGCGTTCGTCATCTGTGATTGTATTCAAGGGAAGCTCCTGTTAAACAAACCAGTAAAGGAAAACCAACCAAAAGAAAGTAAATAAAAAAAAGGGGGGGTAAGGTAACCGATGAACGCGAGGGCAGTGGTATGAGGTACAGCAAATGACGTAAAATTAAATCTTACAGTTTCTCTATGGGTAGACATAGACGTTGACATAGGCGTTGAGTTGGCGGTAGTGGTAATGGTTGGGATGGCTTCTTCTTTGTCGGCTTCTTCAGTGTCATTCAACAATTCATTGATCGACATGAATGAATCTTGTGGCTCGACTGATGGGTACGGCTGATGACTGTTATTATCATGTTTTACAGTGTTGTTCATATAAGCTTCGTAAGGATAATAATATGGGCTCGTTAAAGAGGACATGCTCTGTAAATAAGTAGAAGGGTAAACATCAGGTAAACTGACAGACTGGGAAGTTATCATATACAATGGATAAACCGGGGTCGAAACAGTATTGAGCAGACTGGGAATTCTGAGAAAGTCTTGTTGTAGTGGTCTGCTCTCCTCAAGGATGCCTATGTGTGGTGTGGCATCTTGCAACTGTGCTAAAAACGAGGTGGGCGTAACAGTAGCCGTGTCTGTTTCAATATCAGACATGATGCTAACAGAGCATTCTCTTCCGGATGGCGGCCCTTCAACAGACTGTTTCTTTGGCTAGTGTACGGTAACAACATTAGCAGTTTGTCATAAACAAACAGTATACTTTGATTATAAACATAGTGCATGAGAAATGGAAGCTTACTCGTAAAAGCTTCTTTCTATGTTTCGCACGGTTTCTACACTGCTTGGCACTTCTCGTTCTTATGTAGTTTGCAGCTGCTTTCCATGAACCATGGCCGAATAGATGCTACGATGCAAAGAATCAAAAAATTGTCAACGTTTGTCTATGCATACGAGTCATCCCGCTTTGTTGTTGTTTCGTAAAGCATACTATTGCCTCTGTCAACCTATCATCCTCTTCTTTTGACCATCTTTGATAATGTTGAGCAACCATAACAGCATTCCTGACTGGAAGGGTATTCTTTACTACTAAAAGAGGTTAAATGTAGTCAACATCAGTTTTCGAGAGGATAAAGAAAGATGTTATTGATATTTGCGTTACTCATTTCTGTATCTTCATTAGAGTTACTGTTGCTGATATCCTCTTTAGAATTTTCGACGGCACTGTCAGAGGGGATAATATTGCTGTCTGCAGCAAAGGTTCTGTAGTTTGTGAGAGGTAACATGCTTTCAGCGCTGAAATCTGAAGCATTTAAGCATTGCCGTCTTTCTGGTGCCGTAACTGCAATTGCATTATTGTTCAAACGATAGCAATGCTTCTCATTAGCAATCATACGATCGATCACGTCATGCATTGAATCCTCCATTCTGTGTAAAATGCTTCTTTCAAATAAAGGGTTAAAAAAGTTGACTGTATTCAGAGGGAAATTAGGGAAATCAAAAAAGATAAAGCGCGTTTTAGCAAAGGCAATGATAAATTATTTGAATTAATACTACAAGACGCCAACTGTTGGACTGCCTTTATCATGTCAGATAATCCTTATCTGCTGGTCATATTTTGAAGAAATAGATTTCTGTAATTAGGTGCTCTCATTCTCTGTTTACAATCTATCAAGGACTCAAATAAGGTTAGTCGATCAAAAGCGTCAATACTTAGAATATAAGAGAGGCCTAATCAGTAATACTTTTATTTATGGAGAGAAAGACGATTGTATATGAACCTGTAACGTATAGAGAATTACTACATAACGGGTTTTCCCCTTAATTTCTGCTGCTACCTATATAAAACACTTTACTGACATGGTCCACTGAGGATGACGAACTTTCCTTGCAATTTTTGTTCACAGAAGGTTCTTGGCGCTGTACAGTCTGTTTTTATTGTATCGGGCGTGTAGTAAACGCACTCTTGAGGTGGAGCGTCTTCGCATTCAAAGTTAGGATCTTCTGTCTGGATTTGTTGGATTTTCTCAGCGGTAGGCTTCTCTTGACTACTTGAAAAGTCGCACGCGCTAGCAACAGAAGTATAATTGTCTCCAACAACGAAAACCATCTGAATACTATCCAGTAATAGATTTTGCGGAGAAGACGGTTGTTGCTGTTGTTGGCCAGACTGCTGTTGTTGGTCAGACTGCTGTTGTTGGCCAGACTGCTGTTGGTCGGGCGGCTGTTGTGCTTCAGTGAGGCAGGCAAACAGGACAACCGTCAGTACCATCAGCAAAAGATAAAGTCTTGTAATGAACTTGGTGTTACTCATGATACTTTTCTTTCAAATGAACTGAATTCTAGAATTAAAGAAAATAAAAATTTAGACAATACGTTTGAGGAAAAGAAACAAGACGAAGGAAATGTCTTAAATTCTTTGCTTTTATAACCAATATTAGCATTAACAGCAGCTTTCAATCAGCAATAAGTATACTGCATAATAACATACTGTTTATAGAAGAAAGAAATGGATGTACATACGCCTTATGCATTCTGCGGCTTCTATTTAGACCAATATTATTTACATCCAACATCATCATTTACTATTATTGTTTACATTGGATGTAAAGCCTTTATTTTAATCAAACTGAGTCCTAATGACACCAATAAAGTTGATTGCACAACTAACAGTGAACATATTCATTTTGTCAAAGTTGTAATAACTAATATTTATTTTTTTCGATTGACTGATTCGCATCGAAAAAGGAGTCAATCGCTGATGATACATATGTAAATGACTCCTATACTTGTGTTTTATAGAAGCATTATTACCCGAGTTACATCGTCCTTGCGATAATACAGTACCTTTCAATAATGGTTCAGAACCAATCGCATCGAGGCTTCTCTTCTTTACTTGGTTAGTATGCTTTCATACACAACAATTTATAGCGCAAAAGCAATTTGAGTGGAAAAAATGAACGCATTTGTAGACAGCATCCCTCGTTCGCCTGTAATTCAGGGATGCGGAGGACATTTGGAGTCGATCCTTTTACAATGATCTTCATAGAATAACTCCATATTTCTGCATCTCAAAGAGTCATCGTTCTTCAACAAACCCATCCAAATGGAGAAGAATGAAAAGAAAAAAAAGGGATAGCCTAAGATAATGCTATTGTTCGAAGCGTCATCATTAAAAACTTGAGACACGCCGTTACAACTTTGCTCCTGTCTTGGGAAATCAATTACCATCCACAATGGCATCTTTCTGATTAGCACGGCAAACATACTTTTTCAGCTGCCTTAGTATTAGGAAAACGCCAAAAAGATAATCTATCAAACCTTATTCTCTTCTTGCATCGCATTCAATAACCCGTAACACCCTAATGAAATCGTAATGACAATCTTCCTTATTGATCCCAAAACTTTAGACGGAAAGGAACGAAATACTGAACCCAAAACAAGCAATTCTAGAAGAGTATGTTGGTATCATGACCATTTTTTCTTTAACAACTCTTTGAATTGAATAAAGAAGGGTGTAACAGCTTGTATGTCTGGTTGCATGTTAATTTACTTCAATATGTGCCTTTAAGAAGATGAAGCATTAAGGTCAAGCCAAATGCAATTCATGCATCCAACTTCCGCACAAATCTCTCTGCTCTTCTTGCCACGCAGATTTATAACAAAAGTATGCACTGCGGCTCTTAAAAGCTTTGTCTTGTAGAAAATGAGAAACTTACCTACGCCGACTGGAAGTTTTGTCCTTGACCACGTATTGTACAGTAATACTAAAATTGTATGAACATGCATTCACATTTGAAAAATTATAAATGGTATGTAACTGTACAGAAAAGAGATCGTTTCTTTATTTGATGTTGAGTTGTAGATCAGAGTATTGACTACTGAGCGCAGATTACAAGCTTATGTTTCCAATACCAATCTCATTGATCTTTGACTTTATGGAAACTTCCACAATAAGTTGAGACGTGTCTTTTGTACAATATGGTTATCTTAAGACTTCAAAAGTTTGAAAGTATCAATTGAATAATTATAGAACTATCTACGAGCAAGAGGTGGATGTACTGTTGAGTATAAGACCTTGATTAGGAATAAGACGGAGATCCAGGTCTCTTTATATAGGAAAATATTGAACGGTTAATATGCTCATCAGAAGGTGGGGTTTAATTCTATCTGATAAGGATTTTTTATTATTATGATAGGAGTAAGTACGCAGGAACAAGGAATCTATGACTATTCAATAGAGTCGATAGAGAGAAGCAAGTACTTTTTATTGACATTTGCTAGACTTTGTAAGAGTCATGTTTCTTCAACATTCCATTGTCACTATTAGTTTCCGAACGTTTGCACGGGGATGGAATGATCTAAGATCAAAGGCAAAATGGAAAAAGGTGGGGTGGGTGGCCGATCTCGTTTACAGATGAAACCCAGCCACCATAGAAATTGAAACTGAGATTGAAGGATCCGTATAATCATTTACAATACAAATATACAATCAATCAAACTTCCGGACCATCAAATGGAAAAACGTGCAGCCCTTTTTCATCCATATCTCGTATCATTTTTTCCTGCTTCTTGGTTCTTCTTCCCTTATACCTTTTTCCATCAATTTTCTAAAAAAGAAAAAAAAAAAAACTCTGCCTCTGTATGTTATAACATTGTAGACAAACAGAACAAATGGTTATACCTCAACGTCCTTTTAATCCTTTACATCAACAAGAAAATATCAGTCATCGTTCTACTACCAATACGTCATTGGATGATCATGCTGCTTTCACTTCCACTAATAGTTGTACAATGACAGCAACAGCCATTAACTCAACTCAAACCACTTCAACAACGCATAAAAGACAACGTAGAACCGATACCAGCCAAGAAGTCTCTGCGACAGTGTGTGCTAATTGTGGCACAACCACAACACCTCTATGGAGAAGAGCACCTACTGGTGAAACTATTTGCAATGCTTGTGGATTGTATTTGAAAGCGCGTAACCAATACAGACCACCAACACTGAAACGTAATCATAGTAAGACAGCAGCAGCATCTGCATCAGCATCAAGTACGAGTAATAGCCAACAAAGAAGTCAACACCAACATCAAGACCGCAACACATCACATCATGCTGTTTTAACAGGTCAACAACCAACGAATGCTCCACCGGGTAGTTGCCCTGGTGGTGGTCAGTGTAATGGTACGGGCGGTTCTGCTTCGTGTGAAGGCTGTCCTGCTTTCAATCAACACCAAGTGAACCGTCAACACAGCTTAATTTGTGCTAATTGTCGTACGACAACTACTCCCCTTTGGCGTAGAGATGAACAAGGAAATACGATTTGTAACGCATGTGGTCTCTATTATAAGTTGCATAATGTACACCGACCTGTCAGTATGAAGCGTACAGTGATTAAGAGAAGAAAGAGAGTGATTGTCACTACAAACACAAATCAATTGGATGACGATGACGATGAGGAAAAAAATGCTGAAGAAAAAGTAACAGCAGGACAAGAAGAAGATAATGATAATGAGCAAGATGAATTGGAGTCTACTTCGTCAGAAAATAGCCAAACTGACAACCCTATTGAAAGAACCAACACTATAAAGGCAAAATCAGGTGTAGGCAATCAGCCGCAGGTGAATGGTAACAAAAACAACTCTAATGCTGTTGTTGGTACTGAGATGGATGATGACGATGACGATGATGATGAGGAAAAAGTAAAACAAAAACTACACAAATTAGGTCTAAATGCAGCAAATATGAACAAAAAGCGAAAATTAGGGCATAGTCAACCCATAGCCCGTCATCCCAAGAAGAGTAAACCGACTACAGTATCGCCCACAGATGCTATCGACAGCAAGCCGAATCATGTCTCTTCATCATCATCTTCTGCGGTGCCGCCTATTGAAGACTATGTCGAGCCGAAAAGGAGAACTTTTGAAGAACAAGCATACCACATGGAAAGAGATAGACAGCAACAGCAACAACAACAGCAACAACAACAGCAGCAGCAACAGCAACCTATTCATCAAAGATTATCACCACCGCCTAGAACACCGCCTTACCATCAGTCAAGAGTCTTACCTTCTTTACCACCACCCCCACAACCACCGCCTCCGCCGTCTCGAGCTTCTTCTTTTTCAGCTTTCACGAAAAGATTTGATCCTTTATATGACTATCGATCTACCCATGCCACAACGACACCTTCGCCGCAACGCATAACAACAAGTGCATCACCTCAGCCTTACTCTCCTTCAGTATCTGATCAAAAGGATTTAAATCTACCTCCCATCGTTCCTGCTACCGCCTCGGGCACGACGTCTACACCCTATCCTTCCATGAATATGAATGCTAATAGCAATTATCATGGACAAAGCAACCCAAATACACACACTGCACCGACAGCAGCAGCAACCTATAATAACAATATGAAGAAATCGAACAATCCTTATGAAGATTTGGCAGAATTTGATGAAGCAATGACGCGGTTGGAAAGGTTGAGAAGACGTATTTTACCAGAACAAGGTAAAATTCTTGCTACTTTGACAGATCAATTAGAAGATGTTGTGGGTAAAGCGGAGACTATTTTAAGGGAATACAGTGATCACAACATGTACACTATTACTACTACTACTACTACCACGAGTTCTTCACACTATAAAGACAGCAACAGTATTCAATCTATGAATAGCAGCCACTATCCGTCCATGCCATCTTCATCATCCTATTCTCTTGGTATGCATTCGTATCATCGACCCTAATCTGCATATTGAAAGAAAGAAGAAAAGTAATACCGATTGTCAAACCTCAGCCTAGATTTTTTTAATGTACATACATATACACATTCGCGTAGTTTATATGTATCCCTTATTTTTTTCACCTCTTTTTTATGTATATATTAACAGAGAGAGAGAGAGAGAGTCTGTGTGTTTCATACCTGCCCTCGAAATCAGTGTATAAACGACCTTTTTTTAATTTTCTGTACCATGAAATAATACTTTCTGAAGACAATATGATTATTGTTAACACCGATCCTTTAACATGAAATAAATGAATTGCTGCTTAGATCAGATAAGGGTAACCATTTTTTATCCTCAAAACTTAACAACGACAACGGGAGAAGGCCCCTCTCCCAAAAATATTAAATTTTCCGTTTCCGTCGACTTTTTTTTTTCTGGGTCTAATCAAGCAAAGGGAATACATGTTATTATTATTTGCAAATCGCGTGACTCTTTTTAGATCTTAAGGAAAAGAAAAACCATTATTATCAACTGCAACAGTTAGAGTATGAAAGTTCGAAAAAGGAGAGTCATCCAACAGATGAAAGCTTATTTCTTTTTTTATTATTCCAATGGAACGGTTTTTTATAAGATAAAAAAAGGAGGGAGAGAGATAAAAAGGTTACTATTGATTGCAAAATGTATTTAAAAGTATATGTAAATATAGAGGAGCAACTGTCTATGCTCTACCCTACAGATGTATAGATATATATACTGACGTTGGTAAGAAAATGCTAACTTTTTTTTCGGGTCTTTTTTTTTTGGGCGTTTTTTTTATATATGTGTATATATTAAAAAAGGGGGAAGGGACAGGTTGACAAAGGGGCAAATAGTATAAAGAGATGGGCTATTACAAAATGGGATCATGATTATTACACAACAAAATGAAAAGAAAAAAGTATTAAAATGGAAGAAGAACACAAGTTGAGGATATTGTTGGAACAAAAAAAAAAAAAAAAAAGGAAAAGAAGAGGAAGTGTGTGGACATGAGAGAAAGAGAGTGAGAAAGAGACAGAGTCTATTACTATGCAAAAGTATACTTGTATACAAATGTTTAAAAGAAAGGAGAGAATTGATATTGCTGATGATGTTGATGTTGTTGTTGCTGTGGCAGATGGAAAGGAGTTGCTGATACGAAATCAATATCGTTTGAGTTCATTAAAGGATGAACCGCAGTAGCAGATGCTCCTATTGTACCAGTGTGTTGCTCTACTGATGCTTGTAACGGGACATGTGTTGCTGCTGAAGCTCCTGTGATCATGCCGGCAGCATCTGTGTACAGAGTGGGATGCTGAAGATGATGAGGATTGTTATTACCATTGCTACTCGTCAACATATAATTGTTCAAAGTCAAGTGGTTAAGTGGACTGTTATTCGTCATAGCGAATGGAGATGGCTGTAATACATGTTGTTGTTGTAATAAAAGTAATGGATGTTGCTGTTGCTGCTGTTGCTGGTGGTGATGGTGGTGGTGATGTATGTGATTCGAATGCTGTACATTTGAAAACTTATTCGTTTGATGGTCTCTATTTTGTAACTTGCTCTGAATACGCTTACAGTAAGCTGTATTCCGAATGGAAGGCAACAAAGGACGAATACAATCCACCAACTTTTGATATTGAAGGTCGTCGGCAAAATCTAATGCTGTTTGCACGACGTAATTAGCAAACGAATCCTTCAATAATTTCTCTAAGCGAGGTTTATCCACGACCATTTCATCGATCAACTGCCGACGTGTGTCTTCTTCTGCTACACGAATGCATTTCTCAATGACGTTGGAGCTGTATTTTTGGACAGAAAGCTCAGCAATATGGTTCAAGAATTGTCGGATGAGTTGATCAGAAAACTGAGCATCGCCTAGTTCGAGGACGTATTGCACGACGTAATTGCCATAAGGGTCTTGAACAAGCGTGAGTGCGTGTTGTATGATCACATCAACAAGCTGTTTCTTTTGGTGGTCTGCGGAGTAATCAATACAGCGCTGCAAGACACAACAGCCATGACGATGTGTAGCTACTTCGATACAATAACGGCTGACAGAATCGTAAATGAATTGCTTATTGTGATGAGAGAGTTTGTGAAGACATTTCTGAACGACATGGTTTCCGTTGATGTCCTTGATAAGGGTTACAACGTTGGGCGCTAATGCTTCGATTGTTTTGTTGATTTGTTCAGGAAGAGTGAGGAATTCAATCATTCTTTGAACTGCTCTTGTACCATGCATATTAAGCGAGATGGGAATGATGGCTTTCGCGACTTGTTCGACAATCAATGTACGCTGTGAGTCAGTACAATATTCCATCATTTTCTGGCATAGATAATTTCCAAAAGGATCTATAGGTAAATAAAAAAAAAAAAAACAAAAAGGAAGAAAGGTTATCCAATGTGTTCAAGAGTCCTTTTCTTTTTTTCTTTTTTAGTTTTACCTGTCATGAGTTCAACGAAATGGGAATAGATTTGCCTAAAGATGATATCGCGATGTTCAGGCTTTTGCCTTTCCTCTAGTTTTTTCTGAAAGAATCGACAACCATATTGGTCTTTACAGAGAGCATATATATCATCCGCTACATCTTCCAACTGAAACATGGCAAAGCGATCCTCCATTGTCAAGGCCAGAATACTACCATTGTTAGCAGGTGCAGTACCAGCAGAAGTAAGTGTGTTTGAGCTTGTTCTACGTGAAATAATATTGCTTTCATTACTTCCTCCGCCTCCTGGTCCATTCGCGCTGTGCAAATGTTGCTGCTGCTGATGAAGATGATAAGGATGAATTTGTAAAGAGTTCTTTCGACTATTTATAGGGGAAGGAGGTTTGCTAAGGCTGTTATTACTACCACTATTATTGGTGGTCAGGGAGTTATTATTCGAACCATGATGTCTCATAAAAAGATGTGAGGCCAACAATGACGAGGACGACGATTGCAATTGTTGTGGTTGAGGAGTAGTAGATGAAAAGAAATATTGATGATGAGGATGAATACCCATCGGTGTCACCGGACTGCTATTACTACTATTACTATTCAATAGCGCAGCGTTTTGAAATGTATGCTGCTGCTGTTGTTGTTGTTGTTGTAATGCCAATAGTTCATTTAAAGCCACTGCTGTTGACGAAAGTTGATGCTGGCCTCGTTTGTGAATGATGCCTGCATCCAAACTTCCTCCACCCATACGTCTTGCTGTAGAAGCCAAATCAGGGTTAGAATAAGATGCCGATAACATTTTCTTGTTATCTAATAAATCCAATCTCTTATTGGTTGGATTACTATTATAAGTATTCAATAAATCAACCGAAAACGTGCGTTGTTGTTGTTGTTGTTGTTGTTGTTGTTGCTGCTGCTGCTGCTGCTGCTGCTGCTGATAGTATGGTTGTTGTGTTAAAAGGTTGTTATTGTTGTAATAAGAAGAAGAGGAGGCGCCCATAGGACTCATTGCACCGGTTGTAGGAGTTGCATTTGAAAAAAGGGAATCTCTTAGAGAAGAAGCAGTAGAGGAAGAATAAAGATCAACAGTATTGGCGGTAATGTCACCCACGCTACTGCGATGCTGTGTTTGATATAATTGGTCAGAGGGTGTCGTCAGCGTATACGTAGTACTAAGATTAGGTGTACTTTCGCGTCTCAGTAATTGTTGATTGTATTGTCGCATAAATGGATTTTGATGACCCGCAGCATTATTTGTATAACCTTGATTTTGATACTGATGCTGTTGGTAATCTTGAGAAATAGCTATTTTTACGAAAGTTTTATGTGAGTCAGTCATTCTCCATAAACGTTTATGTCAAATTGATGAGTACATTCAAACATACAGAAAGAACTATTACGAAATAAATGCCTGTCAATGGATTGAGGGGTAAATGTATTTTCCGAGAACAAGTGATGAAAGGCAGTACTGGTAGAGGGAGCATTGTTATTATTTTTCTCTGTTGCGGCTGTTGTTGTTGTTGTTGTTGTTGTTGTGGTAGTACTTGAGCTACTTGCTGTGGTTGTAACTAATGATTTTGACAGACACGAAGAAGATGATGTCGTATTTCTATATAAGTTTAAAGCAGAAAAAATGAGTCCTTTTGCAAATTTGAGCTTATGCTATTTTTATTCGTCTGTTAGAAAAAAAAAAAAGTGCGAGACAGACAAACAGACAGACAGAGAAGCCCCCCTTCCCACATTGGCTTTTTGTTACATTTCAATGCCCATTCACATCATCTACAGAGACACGTCCCCCTTTGTTTTGTTGTCGCCCCTTAATTTTCCTTTCTTTCTCTACTTCCTTATCTCAGGAACCATCCAAAATCGACCATGATGACTTACGTGTTTATTAACATTTCCTCATCATTCCTACTATCCGTTATAGTTAGACTTGCAATTTGTTCCTGAATATCTTGCTCGAAATCTTCATTGCACTCGTCTTTGGATAGCATTGCAGCTGTAGTAGTAGTAAGAGTAGTATTGGAAGTATCTAAAGGTGGTATACTATAATCACTATTGTTACTAGGACTGCTGCTGCTGTTGTTGTTATATAGAAAAGAGGATGTGGGTTTTGAAGTGGTCCTGTGCAAAGACAATGGATGCTGTTGTTGAGGTTGTGGGCTATAATCCAAGATCATTTGCTTTCCAAGCTACTAATAATTGAATACGCACAGAGACGGACACAGAATAAGAGAGAGAGACACAGAAAGAGATAAAGGAAGCCTATGATAACAAAATATTAAACACAAAAAAAAAAAAAAAGAAAGGAAGTAAATATCAAAAAAATAAAAAGAAAAAGAAAAGAATTGAAAAAATAAAGACAGACCCTCTCTTGCCCTGTCTTTGTCTGTCTCTCGCTCTCTATATAACAAAGTTTATATTCATTAAGGGGTAAAATGAATTGTTTGGTTTTTTATTTTTATGCGTAGGAGATCGTCTTTGTATTTTTTCATGGAAAAAAAAAGGGATCATCATCACCGGGAAAACTACGAAGTGACAGACGCAGAAGGAGCAGTGTGGGGTTTCAAAAAAAAAAAAGGGACGCTTGTGCGATAGATATGTACATACCTTAATATACCTCATTACACAGGACAATCTTTAAGTCAATGTTATGACCTTTGATTAGTGCAATACAGATTCTAAATATGCACAAAAGATGGTAAGCTACCTAGGTAAGGAGAAGGAAATGGCCCTATACATCCATTTCTGGAGGAAGGGTTGCTTTTTTTTCAGATTTCTTTGGTTTTATGAACTCCAGGAGCCCTTAGGTTTCAAGGCTTGTACAACGGTAAGGCTTTTTGCTCTATCAAAAATGCTGATATGGAAAAGATGACTCATGAAATTATCATAGAGTAACTTATTGCTACAACAAAAGGCCCCCTTTCTTTCTTTATGGATTTGGTCGGTAATCGAATAATTCAATGCTTTTGATCTGAGACATGGTCTGTTAACAATCCAGCATCATTTATGCACATCATCACAGGATAACTCCCCCTCCCATCATACAAACCAAAGGCCGGTTTACCAGCATTTGAACATAGAGGAGCGACGAGCTGTTGAGTATGATCAATGTTTCTCTCCTTCTCTATACTCCTTCTACGTCCTTTTGTCTATAAAATACACGCCTTCTTCAATCTCCAACAGCACGCTGTGAGGTATCATCACAGAGATGTGAGTAGCTTTAAATCCAAAACTCATCAATAAAGTCTTATAGTTGATTCATCCCAAGTTGAGTGTAACTTCTTGCATGGATTGTAACGTCATTCTTTTGAAGATAAAAAGAAACTTTCAACTTTTAGTTACTCTTCGATCATCCCACAAAGACCGTTCCTTAGCGACAATGTACATGATAGGCTCCGTGATACTTGTTAACAAGCCTTTTATGGACGTTACAATCATGTTCTATTTTTTTTTTTTTTTGTAGCTTACAACGATAGCATTTGAAGCCTTTATGTTATTTGCTTCGATGGTGGAGGGGGTGGGGGTGCGGACGCGGCTGAATTGTCTCCTTTTATTGTTATTATAGGCCATGAATACTATGCTTGTATATGTGGAGAACTATAAATAGTATATGTCACTTGAGCTTACCTAACAGGGCACTCTATGACAATAAAGCTATTATTCAAAAAGTTCAATAATGATCATTCTTATTCTATGTTTACAATAAATTTCAGTTCAAAGCTGGATTACATCTTCCAAAATGCTTGACAAAAATAATGTAGGATTGTATCGTGACAGTATTGACGTTTGTTATTCGGCACTGGTCTACCAAATGCTGCTGCTTTTCTCGGAATGGCTTCTTGATAACAAACATTGTCAAACCGTGTGATATTGTCATTGTCACAAGGCTACGATATCGGAAGGAGATTTTAGCAGTAGTACGTGGTCGAACTGGCCGAAAGGAGTCATTTGTTTCAAACTATCTTTCTTTTTATAATAATATGAAATGCACATTGAATGCTCTAGAAGGACAGAATATTAGTGCTCAGCTCTACAATCGCAAAGGTGAATAGCAAACTCTTCTTTTCTATTGTCAGTATTCACAGTAACTCTCGAGAGCAAACATCCATTGACTAAATGTATATTACAAGCAGGTGAACATTTTTTTTTTTTTTTTTTTTTTGTGAGTTGCTCAGGTTGCCCCTTCAATACAACTTATTTTGAGTGTTTGTAAAGCAATAGGTATTCTGCTTTTCTTTCTTTTTATCGCCCTCTGTATATATTAGTATGTGTGTTATTCAGGATTTCTGAATGGTGTGAATGTGCATGTATATATGACGTGTTTATAGGTGAAGAAGAATATGTTTATTTTATGTTTTTGCATATTCCACAGAGTGGAGAACCCCTTATTCCTTTTATCTAATGGAAATCTGCGGCTTTACCAGTCTATAAAACAGAAAAAAAAAAAGGTTAGAAAAAGCAAATCAAGAGCTGCCCTCGTCTCATCCACTCGCTCTTCCATCGCCCAACAAAGAGTTCAGGCAATACTTACTGTCAAGAGCCCAACGATAAGACCGAAAAGACCAAGAACAGAACCGAAAATTTCAACAACCAAAACCTTTACAAACAATTCGGGATTCTGAGCATCAGCCAGAGCAGCACTGGATCCGGTAACGCCAACCGAAAGACCACATAATAGGTTGCAAACACCAACCGTTAAACCACCCCAAAAGATAGCATGTCCAGTGAAATAGTTGGACGTGGTATAAAGGTTTTCAGGAGGCACATCTGCTAACTTGGCTGAATAAACAATGGCCATGATGACACCGTAAATAGCAACCACTTCACAGAAAATAATAGAAATTAGATTTCTACTTTGGATACGAGGTGCTTTCACTGCACCACCCAATAATGCAGAACCTGTAATAAAGATACCCCTTAAGTGTATTATAATGAACATTTCGGATGAGTCAAATTTATTTCTCGTTTTCATAGAACTAACAACATGATACACAAAGGCTCATTTTTTTTTCTCGTCGTCGCGTTCCTTTTCTCTGCACAGCAACTCAAGTACATCCACATCACGTTTCTAATTCCTAATGCTTCATCCCAAACGAAGGCCATCACGAATGGAAAAAACGAATAAGAATAAACTACTTACCAAGCAGCACCTGCAACAGATAAACCAATACATAAACCCATACCAGTCAGGGCCCAAGCATAAGGTGAGGTTTCTTGAAGCACTTTACCAGGATTAAACTGTTCACCAGATCCGGTAAATAACATATATAGTCCAACAATGGTCAACACGCATGTTGTAGCAATGCTGTAATAACTGTAAAGTCCTAATGCCATTTCTGTATTTTGTTGGTTCTGCCGCTTCTTTTCTTTTAAATAAAATTAATCGCTGTATCTAAGGGTTGCTGTTATAAAATATTGACGAAAACCTAGCCGTTTTTCGTTATTGTGAAATGGGTATGAAGTGATATAGGGGAAAACGCTAAAACAAAAAAAAGGCAAAGAAATGAGAGAAACGTTTCAAAAAAAAAAAAGTCTTTTGTCGGACTTCCCAGCAACACAATGTCTGCATACTGATGTATAAGAAGTATAAAATAATTGCCCCTCGGAAGCTTGACGAAGTGTGTTGTTTATCTGTTATATGCATATGGTACGACGAAAGCTTTGACATGTTGAGTTTTGGCACTTTTATTTATTGAACTGCTACGTAGAAAGAGCATGTGAATGTTTTTATCCGTTGTGGGGTTCTGTCAATCCTTGTCAGGGCCTTAATGCTACTACTATAACATGTAGACCTCAACCATGACACCAATTGATATGTCCACAAAAGTAAGTAGGCTCTATACATACTACGATAACATTATGGCTATTCTCTCATGTTCGCGAAAAAAGCAGAAGTTACTATTTTATTATTCTGTAAATTGAACTGCTGACATTGAAGTCGCGGCCCCCACCATCACCAGCACCACCAAAGTACATCACAATTTTTTTTATTTTTTTTTTTTTTTTTGCCCTCTTTTTCTTTCTCTTCCCTTCTTTCGCCACATCTTCAAACCCTCAAATACCTTTTTTGATCATTTTTTATTATGGATCAACTCAACGATTTTCGTCGTAATGCTTACAAAGAACGTAGTCGTTTCAAACCAGAAGAAGTGAGACGTAGAAGAGAAAACACTCAGGTTGAAATCAGAAAGCAGAAAAAGGAAGAAAACTTGGCCAAGAGAAGAAACTTTAACAATGCGCAACTATTGGATGATTCTGATGACGATGATTTAGATGAGTTTAATCAAGATGTTGTGGTAAAAAGTGTTTATTAAGCCGAAATAATATACTAGCAACGTATTTATTGATGTGTTTCGTTTCCCTTGTCATCATTGGAAAAAAAATATTGAATCTAAAATAGCTGGGGACAACATTACCTGTACTCGTCAATCAAGTTTATTCAGCAGAGCATAATGACCAGCTAGAAGCTACAGCTCAATTCAGAAAACTATTATCAAAAGAAAAGAACCCACCTATCAAGGAGGTTATTGAATGTGGTGTTGTTCCTCGGTTTGTAGAATTTCTTTCTTCACCAGACAGTCAATTACAAGTAACGTCATTACGTTTCATAAAAGACATTGCATAGAGAAGAGGAAGAGAAAGCAAAAACTCATCTCTATACTGTCCAACTTCTAGTTTGAAGCGGCTTGGGCATTAACAAATATTGCTTCAGGTTCACCTGAACAAACAAAAGCAGTTATTGAAGCTGGTGCTGTGCCTCACTTTATTCACCTGTTAAGTAGTCCTGTTGCGGACGTGAAGGAGCAAGTAAAGTATATGAACTCAGTTCACAAGCGAAAAACAATTGAAAAGCAGATTTATAATAGGCGTGCTCACAAAAAAAAAAAATTACGTTTATAGGCTGTATGGGCACTTGGTAATATTGCTGGCGATAGTCCACAATGTCGTGATTATGTGTTAGAATGCGGTGGACTTCCTCCTTTATTAAGTATTTTTGAAGTAACCGATACTAAATTATCCATGCTACGTAATGCAACTTGGACATTATCCAATCTCTGTAGAGGCAAGAACCCTCAACCGAACTGGCAATTGGTAAAGTGATGATTACAAAATAATTTTTTGAAAAGTAGACATGACACAGATATATGCATGATCAAAAATTGGTGCGTTGACCAAGCTAATTCGATTGTATCATTTCTTCAAATTAGGTTGCTCCTGCATTGACAGTCTTGTCCAAGTTAATCATGACGACAGACGAAGAAATATTAATTGATACCTGTTGGGCCATTTCTTACTTATCCGATGGTCCTAACGAACGCATTCAAGCTGTTATTGACTCTGGCCTTTGCAGTCGTCTTGTCGATCTTTTGAGCCATCCTGCCACTACTGTCCAGACACCTGCTCTTCGATCCGTAGGCAATATTGTTACTGGTGACGACAACCAAACCCAAACTGTCATTACAGCGGGAGCCTTGAGTGCCCTTTATCATCTTCTCAGCAGTCCCAAAGATGCCATTCGCAAGGAAACTTGCTGGACACTTTCCAACATCACAGCCGGTAACACGCAACAAATTCAAGCCGTAATCGAGACTGGTCTCATTAGCCCGCTCATACAAATCCTCGCTCATGGAGAGATGAAGAGCAAAAAAGAAGCCTGTTGGGCTATCTGTAACGCTACCTCTGGTGGCCTTGACAAACCGGACCAAATCAGATTTTTAGTGCAACAGGGATGCATCAAACCCCTCTGTGATATTCTACAACTTCTCGATAATAAGATCACCATGGTTGCTTTGGACGGTTTGGACAATATATTGAAAGTAGGCGAGATGGAAAGACAAAACTCGATCGATGGCATCAACCCTTATGCTATTATGGTAGAGGAGTGTGGAGGCGTAGAATATATTCATGCTTTACAACATCATGATAATGGAGAAATTTATAAGAAGGCATATACTTTGATTGACAAGTATTTCAATGGAGACGAAGAGGATGATGTAGAAGGCCCTGATACAGATATGATGGCTAATGGAAATAATCAATTTATATTCCAACAAGAACAGGCTCCTCAAGGAGGATTCAACTTTTAGTTATTGAATATTTGTTGGTAGTCTTTATGTCGACTCCTCGTTTGCTCTTTTCTCTTTAATATCTACTCTTTCTTTCTTTTTTTATAATTCATCATTATTTTTTATATTTTTTTTTTCCCTCTCTCCATATCCCAAATGTATTTTGCATACACGAGAAACACTCTTTTTTATTTGAACGAAAATTAACAAAAAACAAAAAAACAAAAAACAAAAAGAAAGCCAAGTTCTACTGATAAACAACCTAATAATACAAGCGTTGTGGGCTTTTCTTTATTTCATTTTTTCTTTCAGTTTATTCCAATTTATTTCTTTTTCCTGTACGTTTGATCCATTATGAGTCAGCTCTCGCGTTTATTAACAAAGACTTGCGATTACGCAATCATTATTCAAGTGAGCAAAGGTAAAATCCTCTGAAGTATACAGTTCCTAAAGTTGTGTGATCAATCTCGCACCATTAAAAAAAGAAAAGAAAAAATGAAAAAGCCAGAATTATTCAATTACTGTTTGTAAATACTCTACACGTTAGTTCGCCTTTCAACAACGCAAAGAGGAAGCAAAGTAGTAGTGTCTGCCGAAATGGACCTAAACCTACCTGAAACAACCGCAATTAACAATTCCAACACTTTAACCACAGGCTGTTTTAAAGTGGGCGCCAACGGACTTTGCGACGTAGATACGCCTCTCTGTTATTTTCTGTCCGAGAAAGAATTCTTCAGACTCTGGAAAGAGAATACTACCGTTCGGTTGCATGTGAAAAAGCATATCAATGCAGCTACCGAAGCAGAAGTGGCAAGGTTCGATATTGGGTTATCAAGCAGTGAAAGAATCACTGATGAGACAAGTGAAGGCAGAATAGATAGGATCAACCAATATTTGGAAGTGTATGATATTTGGCATCAGCCTACAGTGTCATCATTAGACACTGCAATTCAGGAGCGTGCATTAACGCTTCAAGCAGGAATTTTTTATGCAAACATGTCAAATCTCACGTATACGAATGTAGTTATTGATAAACAAATGGCTGCTGCTGGTGGTTTTCCTGTCACAGCATCCACAGCTCATGATATTCAAAAATCATTAATTACTGAACAACGATATGAAAACATGATTGAATCAAACGGACGACAGCATGAGCCACAAAAGAAGTTTCAGGGCCATAGCAACAATAACAAAATGAATTCCATCATGCTGCCTCTGTATGCCGCTATGAAGAAGTGCAACAATGCTATCTTTTACAAGGGAAGTAGAAATCGATATGGTAGCATCCTTGATTTTGACAGCACTGAAGTTTACGCAATCCTTCGTACCAATGAAAATCTTCTTCCTTCATCACGACTGTCAAACTTGCATACAAGTGATGGTACAATTGCTGCAACCACGAAGGTGCAATCAAATGTGTCCTACAGAAAAACAAGACAGAGAATTCACAGCACGTATTCTAAAATGGAAGATGAGACTGAAACGTGCTCTAAGATACTATGGACACTGGTGCCTATGTTAAATTGGCAACTGCAACGATTAGATCAACTTCCTGCTACGACTTGTTCTCTGAGGCAAAGACACATAAACTTTTCTTTAGGTTATTGAGGGATTGATAATCTTTTAATCCCTCAATAACATAAACATTTCTTGTTAGGGAAGCTCTTCCAGTACTGCATTTTGAGATACTGGCCGCATATAGTACACAATAACAGTCCTGGTTCTTATCCATTCATATGAAAATTTTATTTGAAGAAATCATCAATAATCTACGTCCGATCTGTACACAAAAACCTTCTCAAATAAATTATGGTTGCTAATTAACTTTGCATCCAAGCCACACATAGATAAACTATCCAACAGAATTGTTGTCCAAGAACCTTGAACAACGGAACCAACAAAATTTTCCGCTGCGTTTAATATTGGTTTTTGTCGAGTTTTTCTACAGCAGTACATCTGTTCGTTGCTAGGTTGTTCCAGCAAAATCAACAAGTGAAGGGAATTACCTTTTTAAACAGCGGAAATGTGGGGAAGGAAGCAGTAGAGCAACTTTAAAGATGAAACGCGCATTAACCAGTAAAAATAGATTGCTCAAAACGGTCAAAAAGTAAAACGAGTCTTAAGAATATCTTGCTTTTAGCTTTTGCGCTCTCTGGAACTATTTTTACACTTTGAAATTCATGGTAAAGAATAGCAACAGAAAAGGAGTGTGTGCAACTCTTGAGCAGAATGAGCCGGTCATTATGCGCAAAATGTATTTCAAACTGCGCATAAAAAAAGAAAAAAGAAAAAAGGTATACGAAACAGTATAAATGAGGAAGTAGGAAAATGTTAAATTCCGTTCTCCATTTCATAGCTTTTTACATTTGAACAATTCTTTTACACTTTTCATACAAGCAAAGCATCTTTCTCAAACAACTTCTCTTTATTTAAGATACATTTCCCAAAACAGAAGTTTTCATTCTAAACGGCTTTTTATCTTTGGCGTTTGCATTTTACAAGACAAAAGCTCCTTTCTAAATATCAATCCTACACGTCCTCGTATATAATTTTTTGGACGTAACCACATTTCATTTCAAGTACTGTTATAAACCAAACTCTCGTCTAATAATATTGCTACGGTATAACATATCCATACCATGAGAGCACAACTTTGGTTTGCGATATTTATGCTCACATTCGCAGTCCATGTAAGTAGATAACACTTTGATTTCACAGACTTAACGTGTTAGATCTTATTCCTTAACAATACAAGACGTTAAATTTTACTTTCCGATTAGGTTCAAGCCTCTGGATTTGCAAATTTTCCCCAGAAATACTCATCTACCAGAATCAAAGAGATCAACAATGTTGATTACCCACACAGTGCACATCGTAAAAATTCAGCGGCATATAACTTAACTCTCGTGCCTCGCTTCTTTGAGTACTTGTCTTATCTCAAGCGAAAGGCTGAGGAAGCCAGTGTAGAATACAATAATAACGAACACTCGCGCCCCTCTACTCTATATACTGTTGAAGATATTATATTTACTGTAACTTCCCGTTTGCCTTCCTTCGTTTTCCCTTCTTGCATTTGGAAGCAAGATTCTACTACGCGCAGAAGGGAAATCAACAAGATTTTCCGCAAAGCTCCTATTTCCATACGGCCTCACTTACTCGACGTAAAGCAAGAAACCCATGCCTGGACAAAGGATAGCGCTTCAAAAATCAACAAGCAATACTTGTCCGCTACTCTGAAATCTCTTGATGCCCTACGTATTCAATTGGAGGACATACTGAATCAAACACATGCTATAAAACCTCTTGACAAGTCCGTTGATAATGGTTATATGCCCCAAACCCAGGAAAGACTCTCTCACTATAATGTGGTCAAAAAAATTGAACATGAAGTTGCACAATTATTGAAGGATAGCCATCGTAAATATGCTCAAACTATCAAGTCTATCAACAATGATTTCAACGACCTAGCCATAATTTCAGGAAAGCTTCGTCGCCCACTAGAAAGTATCCGCCATGATACACTTCTGAACACTGACTTAGCAAAATCCGCTCTAGATGATGTCCTGCGCCAAGGCTTGCATCATCTTCCTCAAGCCCTTTCTACCAAATTAGCACACTACAGGGAGCATGGAAATGAATACATCAGCGAAAGTCTTCGTGAAATCGTCGATGACATCTGCCGACAACTGCAACTGCACGTTAAATCTGCAAGCCCAACATTTACAAAGATTTGGGACAAAGCTAGCATTGAAATACATCAAAACCCTGTCAATTATGAATTCTGGTTTGATACTCTTAGTGAAATCAGAAGCGCTTTTCAAGAGTTAGGAACAACTGTTCTACGAACACAAAAGCGGACGCTGCGTTCACTTATAAAGTCGTATTGTACTTGTGGTCTCTAACGTTTTTCATCCCTCCTTCCAATCGTCTAAAAGTAAAATTTGCCTGCATATTTGTCATAATCTTGTTATATCGTCTATTTGTCCTGACCTTTTATTAGTCTTCCTTTCCAATACTCATATATTTTAAAGTATCATGTAGGAATACTATTTGAAGAAAACACCGTTATTATTTAAAGAAACACTCGGTGCGCATTGTACTTTCATTCCATTTCCATATTTGCCATATGGAAGTAAACTTTAACAATTCAGAAAAGGGGGAACAATAAATGACGTGAAGGTCTATATAAACATATTTTTTGCGATAAAAACAGTAACAGTTAAACGTTAGTGTCTAACTTTTCATAAAACTGATCATTAATTGAGTTGAATTGTGGAACGTCCAAAATTGAATGAGGTAGCATAGCAGTTAAAATCGATGTTGCTTTACTGTGCCGATTTATGGACTAGGCAACATTCTTAAGTTAAGATAATTCAGGCAAACACATAATCTGAACTTGATCTCTGATCAAATATTTTCCGAAAACAAGTACTACCTGTGCGCATTGTATGATCGTTTCTATTGACACTCGAGCAGATTTAGGAATTCGTTTAAGCTATTTTATTAGTCCCATGCACCATTTTGATGCTTAGTTGTATATGGCTGGGCGTTGAAGTTACGAGTAAATTACATAGCTCGAATAGATACCATCAAAAAGGTAAACCTAAGTTTGGGAATGAGCTATATAAAGGCCTGAATTATCGATAGATTCATAATAAGGGTCATATGTGAAATCAATAAGTCAAACTTACACAACGTAGATTATAATCATCAATATTCTGGAAAATGTAACTTATTGCGGACGGTAGAAATGCGGATTTTACTGTTACAAATACCAAAACCATTTAAAATAGGACAAATGTATACAAGTTTTTTAAACTAGATGATGGTGGAGTAGGGAGGGGGAATATAGTAACATACGAAAATTTAATACAGAATAAATATATACAGAAATGAATGTGGGCTAGATAAGAAGTTTAGAATGAACAGTAACAAATAAGCAAATATTTAAACGAGGCCGAAACCTTGAGTATTTTCGATTGCTGTTATCAGCCTTTCGCGCAATTTTTGCTTCGTGGCATATTCAGGTAGTAATAGCCTGCTAAAACAAGTCAATGCGGTGGGTAACCTATAAACGTAATCATTAAGTATTAGACAACCAATAACTGATATCTAGCATTAATATTCACGCTTCTCACCTGTCACTATCAGGACCATTCCTTTGAATATAGAATGTAAGTTCCTTCAAACCGCCTACAGGAACCCGATCACTTGCTGTGACAAAAAGCAAGAGCTGTTTCTTTTGTTCATGCGTCAAATTATGGTGAACAATAGACCAGAATTGTCTATGATTCGCATAAGGAGAATAAACAAATAAGTAAATATACAGATATCGAAACAAACTTTGTCACTGGATATTACCTGATAGTAGGGTGATCCGCACTATAGCCATCATCGTACTCTGTGACGCTCTCCAGTTCGGCCATGTTTAAGCTAATCGCATCAGGACCTTGGCGAAGACCACAGGCAACCATTTCCAATTCGTCAGCTGTTAACAAACAAAGAGCCCGACTGCCTAGCACACTCCACAATCCACGACGTAAAGCCAAGATTTGCTCTTTCTGGGCAGTATACATGTAATAGATACAGTAATCACGCACATAAGCATCACGATTCTCTTTGGTAACTGGCACTGCAGGCTTTCTTTCTGGCATTAAGGAAGTAGTGACTACTCCTTCACCAAACACTTCCATAGAGATATCGTAATCACGACAAAATATATCTTCTACAGTCAGTCCTCCTTGCTCTTCTTCGTCCCAATCTAGCAGTTGGCGCAGACCTTGAGCTAAGAAAGACCAACCCTCTTCTAAATCTTCCAAAGTAAATAGCTGTCCTCTGCTAATCATCACATCTATTATCTTTTCATTTGGTGCTATCATGACCTTCCATAACACTTTGGGAAATTGCAAATTCATGATCACACCATTGTATACAGACAATCCCATCAAAACACCCATCATTTCATATAAACGTGTCCACGAACTGGCGGTATCAGCATGTAACTTAAACCAACATAATCTCGTGCTGTCGTCCTGAGTAAATAAGCCTAATGACGGTGAAACCAACTTTTTGAACAAGACATCAAAAAACTCTTTTTGAACGCCACCTTGATCCATGCCTTCTTCACCGCCTTCGACAAATTTTACTTTCAAAGGCTTTTTCAAATCAGTCCAATGTTGAGATAGTTGTACAAAAGTATCTTGAACAAAGTGTTCACGGCGGATTTCCAACAGCAAATAAGGGCAAGTGGCACTTCTGAGAACAGATTCTTTGTCACGGAAGAAATTCGCCATTCCGTTGTTGTTCGAAGAAGCTCCACTACCGTTATTAGAGTTTGCTGCTGCTGTTAATAGTTTCTGTGCATGAATGAGGAGAGTATGATTGACACAGGCATCCTCGTATTCTTCCGACATTTGAGACATGGCATCCATAAGGACTATTTTTCGTTTGATGCGAAGAGGTAAAATGAACGGATAACTCAGCCATGAAAATCGATAGTCTTCAGGAGTGAGAGTACCGGTTTTACTATTGTGAAAAGGTGATGAAGTTATTGTAGAAGATAAAGATGTAAATAATCGGTGGTTGTTAAGCGAGGCAGGTTTTGTGGTTGGCAAGAGAAGGTTTGATCGACGATTTGTTAACCCTTCACCGTATAATAGGACTTGTTTCCAACGGCGGAATTCAACTTTGAGATTGAGTTTGCTACAGATTCTTTCATTGTAAAACTTAGGTGGTGAAATAATGGGTGCGCTGGGTATCTTCATATTAGCGTGATCTAATATAAAAAATGGGTGCCTTAAATGTTAGAAGACTGCTCCTCAAAGACTGTGCATTGCACACGTATTTTAACTTACATATAAGCTCAAGGCTTTTCAAAGCAATTACAACATTGTCTTCTAATCCATGTTTGTACGGTCCTGCTTGAAAGTGGTCCGAGAGATAATCTTGAGCAATCTTTACTAAATGTTCCACTCGAGAGGAATCCAAACCAGCAATCATCTCTACTAACACCTTCCTCAGCAGAGACTTCTTTTCGTTTCCAATCTTACTGAGGACTAAAAAGGCTTTATGGTTCAATATAATGTGATTTTTATAGACAGCAGTCGATAACCGACCAGTTGCATTCGCATTTATATTTTCATCTTGCTTCTTGGAATTGACACCAGTAAATAAAGCTGTTATTCCTTCATCAGGTTCATCGAAAGGATCAATATCAATTTGGCTGTTTTCTTCCTTCTGTTCACTCTTCTCCAATCCATATAACATCTGATCACAGCATCTCATCCATTCGAATACTCCTATGATAGAGCGGCCCCATTCAATAATCGTGGTATGAATGCCTTTATCATATTCCGCGTCTGAATCTGCCTGTGTTCGACTATCTTCCTGGTATTCTAAAAGTGAATCTAAATTTGCGAGCATCCGATCAAGAAGTGTCTCAGAACTATTGGAAATAGTTTCAACTAACTGTAGTTGCCATTGTTCCTTTTGCTCTTTGATTTTCGGATGAGTTGTTTTCAATTCTGTAGCAAGATCGCTCTGTGTCTGCTGCTGCGGTAAAAAAGCTTGATAGAACCTGTTTAGTTCTTCCAAATTCATGAGTGAAGCTGAAAAAGTGTTTGCGCGTTGTTGTTGCTGTTGTTCTGACAACAAGAAGCTATTACCAATTCCTTCCCAATTTTGAAATATTGATCTACACCATTTCAGAAGGCTTTTCAAGGGAATATCGCCATTAAGAGCTAGTTGCAGAACTCTGGCAGATTCATCTGAACGACTGACACATGTGGGAAGAATGACAAAATAATCCTCTTCTTCGGATTCCGTAGACAAAGAAGAACGGTCTATTAATGTTCTACTACTATCGCTATCATCAATCTGGTAATACGCTTCAAACAAATTCGTAACGTCCTCATTATCGCCATATCCAGTTGGTCTCTCACTTTCTATTTCACCAGCTAAGCTATCTAATTCATCCTCCTCGCTGAGATCGATAATGTTTTCTTTAGTGCTATTGCCATCGAGATATCCTAATAATTTCCAAAACCTTGTACTCCAGCTATTATTCCTATCATTATCACCATTGATAGTCGTACGATGACGCTTTTGTTTGTCGTACTGTGCCTCATTCCTACTCTCATAAATTACTTGCTGTACGTTGATACTATCGGTTCGCTTCTTATCCTTGAGCAGTAATTCGTTATTGAAGAGTCCAGAAAACGGTGAAGAATTAAATAGAGACTGTAAAAATGATTTTGATGTAATCTGTTCCTGACTTCCTTTATCAATCTCTCGCTTTTCGATATTCATTTTCTTATGTTCACTAACTTTTGAGATCGTTTTGCTATCTGATTGCGTTATAGCTGTAGTTGGACACAACCTAGAATCTGGGTTAGGCATAGAGGCAAGTTGAATGGACAGAATTAAGGCTGCTTGTGGTTGTAAGCTCATCAGTCCTCGCCGTCCCGAGGCACAAAACTTATTCTTACAGTGCTCTTGCTGACAGCCTAAGGTTAATTGTTGGTAAAACGCTTTGATTTTTTGTTCATATTCGTTCTTGACTTGTGCGAATCTTTCTTTTCTACAGCGCTTTTGTAACTTCTGTTGATTTGACTGTTTCTTTTTTTTCTTCGTAGGGGTAGTATTACTGTTATCAGCTAATGCTGCTGCTGGAACTGTACTAGTAATTACAGAATGATGATGATGAGGATGATAATCGGGTGTTTTGATGGATGATGCAGCGGCGGTAGAAGAGGGCGTGATATTTGCAGCAGCAGAAGCAGTAGTGTTTATGATAAAAGAACGACTATTGGTTGTTGTGCAAATAGATGGTCTATCATGCAAAATTTCTAATTTGGTGGGCTTAGTAGTATGAGAAGGTTTGGACGCCGTAATAGTTGTAGCAGTGGATACTGAATAGTGAAACCCATTTTTCAGGGACGAAACCGATGACGGTTGTTGATTCGGTTGGTGATGATGATCCTTAATAATGTTTGTTTCAGAGATTTGTACCGGTTTTTTCAAGTTTATAAACGTTGCGCCTGATTTTATTGAAGAAGTTGAAGAGTTGGAGGTCGAAGAAGCGGAAGAGTTTATGGAAGAAGAAGAAATGCGACGGTCATGGACGTTGTGAATGGACGAATCGTAACTAACTACATCATCGTTAGAAATTGAGAGATTAGTAGTGGATGATGTCGTTACTGTTGAAGGCTTCGCAGATGTTCTGTAGTTAATATGGTCGGCTGTATTTGTGAAATCAGCATTTATTGCTGCTTGAGCCTGTTGTTGTTGTATATGTTGTGTTTGCTGCTGTTGTATCTGCTGATGACTGCTGTTATTACTATTGCATATTACAGGAGAAGAAGATGAATCATTATGGTATAAGAATGAATTTGTATTAGATGCGCTTGTCCTTGAAGGGTCTATAAAGGTGGACATGCAATAATAAAGGAAGGAGATATAAAAGAAGCGAAAATAGAACTTTCAGGTTCACACAATAAAATGATCCCTTATTTGGGAGGCTACGCAGTCAGGTTTTTGCGTCCCAGCAATAAAAAAGGCGTCCGGCGATTGGTAGTTCAACGGCGGACGTTATATTGAAGTGGAGACGAACAATATACGAATTGGCTTGTTTTCATCCTTTTCAAACAAAGCTTACCATACATAACTCAGTCCTGCTGCAAAACCTTGCCAGTATAGTATGCCGATGAAAATATTGAAGAACATAACCTAGCCCAGACCTCAGAAAGGCTACAAGAACAATCGCTGAAGCAGATCACACTATTTAGCTATAATAGCACCACTACAAGTATTAGCAGTTTCTGCTATCTAACTGAATGGAAAGTGATAGTTATCAGCATAATTGCAGTAAAACCGTCTATCGCGCTACGCTTCGACAGGCCTTGATGGCCGGAGCAGTGGCAGGAACAGCTGCTGACTCTGTTCTATTTCCCTTAGGTAATCTTTCAAGGGAAAGAAATCGAGCAGTCAAGGAAACAATATTTACTTGACGACGACGATCTGTACCCTATTGACGTTTCATTTGCACTTGCATTTGCTCCGTCTAGATACCATTAAAACAAGGTTACAATCGCAAGGCGGGTTTGCGCTGGCAGGAGGGTTTAGAAAAATTTACTCAGGCATGCTATCTTCTTTTGTTGGAAGTGCACCGAAAGGTAACTCATTGAATGCTGTATATATGACGGGGAGCAATTGAATTGAGCTGAAAATTGACCTTAACTCGCAACTTTTTTTTTTTTTTTTTTTTTGAAGCCGCTTTATTTTTCGTAACTTACGAAGCAATCAAACGACTTATGTATACAACCTCTTCAAATAACCATCAGGATTACCAGCACCAAAATAACCAACAATTACAATCATCTTATATTTATATGACAGCCGCCACTTGTGGTGAAATAGTAAGTTCAGGACAAATCGCACAGAGTACACACAGCTATAAATTTCTTAATTCTAACAGTAATCATTTGTTTACATATCTGCTTGTACAATACGTGTCCCTACTGAAGTTATAAAACAACGCATGCAGATCAATCAATTCAGCGCAACCTACAATGCATTATCGAGCATATTACGAACGGAAGGCATTTTAGGGCTTTACCGTGGATTTCTACCAACAGTTGCCCGAGAAATTCCATTCACTTGCATACAGTTTCCAATGTATGAATATTTTAAATACAAATACACCCAGCATCATGGAAATAGGATAGTACAGCCTTTTGAGGCAGCTATGATGGGATCAATCGCAGGAGGTATAGCTGCAGCTATAACAACACCTTTGGACGTATGTAAAACAAGGATTATACTTTCCACAAAGTCTTCAGAAACAGGTACTCGACCTTATACAGATATAGTGCAAACGATGAAACGGATTATATCAGAAGAAGGACCGAAGAAATTATTTGCTGAAATAGGGCCTCGTGTAATGTGGATATCGCTTGGCGGTACGATTTTTTTTGGCGTTTATGAGAAAGGCTTAAAGACATTCAATGAACTACAATTGTTAGAAAGATGATAATTATTTAAAATTGTGTGTAAGAAGGTTATTTTGAAAAGAATAGATTTGAATCCACCTCTCCTTTCCTTTAATGTAATATTAACATTTACTTGTATTTTGATACACTACTTTTGATCTGTTCATTGGCTTATGAAGTAATGTGAGGACTTGCTTTTGTTGGTTTGATTCAAACTTGTGGAACAGTGAAACAGCTTACAACAAATTCTGACATAAGCATTGAAAACCTAATGCAGCAATGCAGTAAAATTTCAAGATCAGCTAACGATGAAAATAGCACAAGCAAATATGTTGTAACATGAGCTTTTATAAAACATATATATCCCTTTCTCTCCTTTACGCTGTTTTCGAGTCCATAGAGCACACATCTTAACAGATTAAACCCACTAATGCCTGTCCCTTCACTTGCTTCAAATTATCAAAAACCAGCTGGCTTACCCGTTCATGCGGAAGACGCCAAACAAGTCAAGCTTTTTCAACCGTATCAATGCAAATCTGTCAAGATGCATAACCGTCTTGGGGTTTCGCCCATGTGTATGTATAGTGCTGCTGATGGCATATTGAACGATTTCCATATTGCCCATTACGGTTCATTAGCTCTTAAAGGGCCTGGTCTTGTCATGGTGGAAGCTTCTGCGGTGGTACCAGAGGGACGTATCACACCTCAAGATTCCGGTCTCTGGAACGATGATCAAATGCGCGCACTTCAACGTGTCGTTGAGGTCATTAAGTCCCAGGGTTCTGTTCCGGGTATTCAAATTGGTCATGCTGGTCGGAAAGCCTCTACCTCACCTCCTTTTAAAGGCGATTATGTCGAAAAAGAATCGAACGGAGGCTGGCCTAACAATTGTATGGCACCTTCCGCTATCCCATTTGCATCCCATTACCCAAAGCCGCACGAAATGACTCTAGAGCAAATTCAGGATACAATTCAAGCATTTGCCGATGCTGCTGTAAGAGCTGATAAAGCTGATGTTGAAGTTTTGGAAATCCATGCCGCTCATGGATATTTGATTAGCACCTTTTACTCTGCCAGTTCGAACCAGCGTACAGATAAATATGGGGGTTCTTTCGAAAACAGAATCCGATTATTGTTGGAGATTGTACAAAGTGTGAAGAAAGTATGGCCCGACGATAAACCTTTATGGGTGCGTTTATCTTGTTCGGATTATACCAACCCAGATCCCATGGGCGAAAGTCCTGAGGGCTGGGACATCTATCAATCGGTAGAACTAGCCAAAAAATTGAAATCATTGGGTGTTGATCTCATTGATTGTTCAAGTGGTGGCATCATTAAAGGTGTTAGATATCCTACTGAAAAGATGTACCAAGTACAATTTGCCGCGAAAATCAAACGGGATGCTGGTATTGATACCGCTGCGGTAGGCTTGATTGTAGAAGGTCGAGATGCTGAAGACATCTTGCAGAAAAAGGAAGCAGATTACATTTTAGCAGGCCGTGAATTTCTAAGAAATAGCGCTTTCGTGTTGGTAGCTGCTCAGGCTCTGAATGTTGAAATTACTTGGCCACAACAATACTCATGGGCCGTGAAGAAAGCCCGTCGACAAGATGTAAAGCAAAAGCCTTCGGAAGAGCAACAGCAACAATTGAAACAGACATCCGCTGGCAATGAGAAATTGTCAACCATTACATAGAGGAAACAGTCTATAATAGATATATTGTGTTTTTGTATTTAACCGTTTACATTATGTACAAGTTTTCATTGAATCGTCAATTTTATTGCTGGGAACTTCAATACTGTTGACCTTTGTCAATTTCTGTTTTCAGCTTTTGTGCAGTATATCTCTTGACATTACCATATTTCCTGTTATTTCTATGAAGCTGTTATGGGCAAGTCCTTTGTTCTCATAAACACATATGATTTGGTATCGCAGTCTTCTGCGTTGTATTTTCATAAAAAGTTGCTATAACCTTTTGATACCATGCCTAATCCAGCTTGTTCTGCTTTGTCAGGTCGAGGAGGATGCTTTGTATCATCTCATGTTGAAGTTTCCCAAAAAATGGTATCTTTGGACTCACATCTTACCTTTACATATCCCTGGCTTCAATATAGAGCAGTCATAGTGTATTTATACACTAAATGCTCTGACCTTAGCTGATATGTCCGTGAACAAATGCATGTTTATCATATCCAATGTAATTTGAGAAATATGGTACTACCACTGGCAGTATGCATCCGATGCTACTGTTCCGATTTCAATAGCTCATATGAAATGTCTAGACCTAGCCTTTATGAAAGATTAGCGTTCTTTGATTCATACTTGTCTTATATAATCATATGAGTTCCTTTCTCCTCCTTTTTCGTTCCGAGTTCCACCTCTCTGTGTATGTGTGACTCCAACTATTTAGCAATAAATAAATAACCATTACGCCCTAATGAGATAAATTAACTCTTTCCTGTTCTTTCATACACTCAACTTACTACAACAATATATTGTCGCCATGATTATTGAAGAAGTATATAAAGACGGTACGCGTTGTTAAAAAAAAAAAATTGATGTTAAATATACAGCGTGAGTCCTTATAAACAGTGACAATTTTAGAAATAGCTTCACAGCTACTTTGTCAAGAAGGAGAAAATTAAGCTGGAATAAATTTATCTTGGATATGAAAGATAAAATAATATCAAATTACAAGGGGGAAGAAACTAATCTATATAAATCACTATGGAAGCACGCGTATAAAGTTGTTGCTAAAAAGTTGAAATTGGATTCAGGCACAGCTGACCGTGAAGATGAATGGGAAGTAATCGAAAAAGAATTATCCAGCTCACACAACTCACAATCAAATTCTTCAACACCGTCAAAAACTAGCAACAAAGATAGCAATAGTAGCACTTCTTCGCTTAATTACCAAAAGAAATTAATCTCAACCGATTATATTACATTGAAAGACATCCATAGCAAAATAAAAAATAGATGGATATTGAGTTCAGGAACCGATGTAGAATATACAATTTACAACGTATCAAAAACGTTTAATTATGTCCAGTAAGTAAACCTATTAGCAACAGTTTTATTTGTATTTTATTATTGACACTTTTTTTCAGCCCTGCACACTCAATGATTTTCAATCCTAATGATCCTATTTGGCTCGATCATTTCAGTTCAGAGGATCTCGTAGAAATAAAGGAACACGTTGATCACTCGCTAAATGATGACCTACCTAGCGAACTGACAGACATATTATTATTACTAAACCAAAAGGTAAAATTTTTATTTTTTTTTATTTTTTTAACTCCATTTTCGTTAATGTTATACCACCAGACAACATTTAGAGCGATCTATGATGCTATGGAGACTGTGCATGCGGACCCGGTTCATGATAGAGAAAAGTATTGGCTCAAAACTAGCATAATTAATTATGCTTTGCTCTTCATCAATGGATCTACTTTAGCACCGAACAAATCTGAGGCAGATCATTTGGACGACGTTTACGGTTTCATCAAAACCAGCAAACAGCTAAGTGGCACTAATACTGAAAAGTAAGTCATGCACAGCATTGGTACTATGAGAGAAGAGCTGTCTTGACGGATATGAAATATTTTGATTTCATAAATAGAAACACGCGAAGCACTGCATGTTCCGAAGAAATTAACAAACATCGACTGATAGGTTCAATCAGCAAAATCAATAGGACAAAAGCAGCTAATCATGCTGATCTGGTATTTAAATATTTGACTCATGAAGTTGGATGTGTCGAAGTTGGTTTACACAACAATGGTCCAACAGGAACGAAGGAGTTGCAAGAATTAGAGATAAAAACACCACTAATGTTGAAAAATTTCATCTTACATCTTATCAAAGACTATGGAGTTATGCCCAAAAAGTTTAAAGTCATTGCATTCGTAATAAGTGGTAAAATATATATATATATATACATAAAAGGATTCTCGTCCATATTAATTTCATATTAATTGATCTCTTTGTTTGATAGGAACGTATATATCTGCTCAAATAATGACGTGTGATAAAGGATCTGTTGCCCTAGTAGGTACATCTCGACGCTATCATATGCCAGAATCCGTCGCTGAAATACCAAAACAATTGCCGCCCGTATTAAAGCTGGTGTACAATTGTGCTATGGCAATTCAATCAACCACTAACCATTTGAAAGCAATTTCTGCCTCAATTTCGCTGAATGAAGGCTCTGAAGTATATTTCCCTCCGTGTTTCTTTGCGGGTGATAGAAAAAGAACCCATACAACTGCTTTCACGGACTAATGGCAAACTTTATTCATTATAACATATGAAAATTAAAATAAAAGAACCCATCAACTGCTTTCACGGACTAATGACAAACTTTATTCATTATAACATATGAAAAATAAAATAAAAGAACAAAAACTATTTTACTAAAGAGTGTAATCGTAATAATACTTCTGCAAGATGTGTAAGAAAGAGTCTCTCTTCGCTTCAAAGCATTAAGCTTCTACTAACAGGAGTAACCACGAGAAGGTGAAGACTATATACTCCCAACCCCCAGAACCCAAAGTTGCCTCCTGTCGAACTACTTCTGGTGTACGAAGAACCAGTAAAGTAAAACGCAGCAACCAAACCTGATTCGACGGACCCCTATCAAGCTACAACTGGAGTACAATAACGGCAACATCCAATTCTCACCTGAAAAGAAGTCAAAGGCAACGATCCAAGCTACCAAAGGAGTAAAGTAGCAACATCCAATTCTCACATGACAAATAGTCATGCTACAAAAGGAGTACAGTAGCAACATCCAATTCTGACTTGGATCTGATCTGACTTTCATCAAGCTACAAAAGGAGTACAGTAGCAACATCCAATTCTCACATGACAGATAGTCATGCTACAAAAGGAGTACAGTAGCAACATCCAATTCTCACTTGAAAAAAAGTAAAGAAGAAATCCAAAAGGTTGGCAGTTGCACCGCTTTATATACGCCTTGTATCGTAAACAGAGCGCTCTTTCAAAAATAGTCTGATGACGTAGATAGGGCAAGGGGAATCGCTTATTTCACCCTCACTACAGTATTTTCGGTTTTGATTTAGACGTTCTTCTATCAAAATTGGATTTTTTCAATAACCTAATTCAGACAATCCAAGTAATTATTTTTCGATAACTTATTTCCAAAATTCGGACACTTTCAGTATATCCACCACCCATTCCTACCTTCGTCTGAAAAGTCTCGATTTTTCACCGTCTGCTTTAATATCCATTGGGAAATATGGACATCGTTTTCTCGAATGATATTGTATGCCATTCCGTTTGACACCCCCCGCCAATCCATCCTTAGTAAAGTTCACAATGTTAATTCATTGAGCCTGTCTTCTTCACAGCTCTTGCTGGAAGCGGCTGCCTTAGATTAATTACCCACCACAGAAAGTGTCTTTTTCTTCTCCATGCCCCATCCCTCAAAGATGTTTGACGAATTTATTTATTTTTGAATAAAATAATCTACAAAAAAAAAAAAACTTTCAATAAACTATCTTAGGCCCTCTTCTTTCTGTACGTATCTTTCCCTTCAGCATGCCTGATCTAAGGAATAAACGTTTTGCAGGCTTGCACAATACGTGGTGTAAGAGCTTATTGCTGTCTAATGGTGTGCCTTTGGTGTTATTTTTATCCTTAGCCAAGCGCTTACTTATAGGATCAACAACCGGTAAATAAGATGGATGAAAAAGCGGCCTATATCTGCTTTCGTTGATGGCATATTTAATAAGTGAGGTATGGTCATGGTATCTGTTTCTATCTGTTTTTCTACCATTATAAGCTCTTTAAATGTTGGAGACCATACATTGTCAGGAAACTTCTTATTCATAAGCTTCTGAACGATAACGTACTATTCGATTGATATAAGCACAGGCTGTGTCGTACTACTCCGTATCTGGTTCAAAACAGGCTGCCTTTTCTCTCAAACAGTCATAGTGTGATCGTCTGTAACTAATTACGTACATTTTTCTTAATTGCCATGACAACTAGGCGACCAGTTGTATTCTATGTAAATGACTCATATTTTTGCATTCTCATTGACTGTTCGGCATCTCTGTTCATCTAAAACTTTATCACTTTTTTTCTTTTTCTACAAGAGAAAGTATTCCCACTCTAATATTGTTTACATCTTCTATAAGCTTATGCAATTATGCCTTCTCGAGAAGCTAAGAGCCATCTCAAGCGAAAATTAGAAAGAAAGAAAAGAGAAATTGCTGAAGGTATGTCTTTGCTATCTTATGTTCAGTTACAGAGTTTTACAATTCAATACTCCTTACGAATGTAGGAATTTGTAAGGACTGTGGAGAAGTTGGTCATATCAACAAAAAAAGTTACAAATGCCAGCTTTACGATGCATGTAAGCCGTATTATCACTTTCTGAATGAAAGGTAAACAGATCTCTTACCATACCCGTTTTCAAGCCAAAAAAAGAAAAGCAGGAGCGAAGGATGATTACGAGACTAAGGCTGCAAAGGCTAGAGGAAAAAAGAAGAAGTTGGAAGACAGCAAGAAACGAGCAGAACAAGACGTTGTTTGTTCCTCTTGCGGTAAAGCAGGCCATAGTAGATCATCTTCACCACTATGCTTGAACTACAAGCCCCCAAAGGATGTCTTGCTCCGCCAGCTGTTCGAAGATGGTCATGAAGTCTACAGCAGGAAGCTGCTTCTAACCACACTGATGAGACCAGCGTTTGCTCAAGTCGCTACAGAAAACATCATCAAATTAGCAGAATTTACCCGTCAAGTGGTGTATAGTGCCCAACTATTTGTGAACTACTACATTACTGATAACTACGAAACAACGACTGGTCACCCATACCTTTATGAGCAGAACTTCTGGTACAGCATCTGCAATCTTATATTAGGGAAGCGGGTCAGAAATCGACAATACATGGACATGTCGGTCACGCTTGCCTTTGATGACTTTAAAAGCAAATTTCTTACAATCGTTTACAGTCTGAAGACACATCCCATGAAAGGATACAGCGATTCGCTGGCAGCGGCCTGCGTGACACTGGCCACTACTTATTCAAACTTTATAGTAGAGAATTTTGAAAATAGGCTCAAGCACTACGCTCGAACATGTTTGAAGCATCTGTTCCCTGTAAGTCATGATCGCATCCATAACAACTGTAGTAGCAGAGTGTCTCACGAAGTTCTGTTTATTTTATGTTCTAGGAGCATAAGAAAAGAGAAATCGACAGAATCGTCAACGAATACTGCTTCAAAAAGATAATGAAGGGGGACTACGAATGGCCAAACGGGGTGGCCGGTTTGGAGCGGTTAGAGGAGGCTAATGCCATATGCAAAGCTGTTGAAGACGTACTGCCCGCGATCCCGAACACAGAAAATCTTACTGCCAACGCGTCTATGTTCCTACCAGCGTTAGGCTTGATGCTGCAGAAGGTGTTGTCTATTTCCGAAGCTACTACAGACGAGCAAAAAAAGCCACGACTTTTCTCTTTGTTTCCAATGCCCTCTTTGAAATGGCGCCATATCCATATCAACCACAAAACGCTGTCTATTATAACGAGCCAAAAGTATCCTGGAAACACCTACAGAGAACAGGTTGAGGTTTTTCACCGCATTTTTAACTTATATACGTTTGGATACAGTTCCGTCGATGATATTGTTAACGATCGTGAAATAAAGCTAAACTGCACTGCCCAAAGCGATGGACATGGTATCACACTACAGTTTGTCAGACGAAAGGCTACTTCCGGTAATACAAAGGCACTACTACAACTAGACGACTTCAATCTCGTGGAAGTGGGTGAGTATTTTCACCCAATTACTGTTGATCCTGGGCGGAATGAAATTTTTACAGCTGCGGTTGGCTTCAACAATGTTAATCACGAGATACGCAGTTGCAGCAAAAGTGAAAGAGCCAACTTTGCGGGCTACACGAGGAGAAGCACTTATTCGAAGAAATTAAAAGAAAGGAAAGGAATAACGTCCATTGAGTCATCGCTGCCTTCACCGAAGGTCGTATCCAAAGAGGCCTATATTGTGTACTTGAAATACACATTGCAGCATCTGCAGACACTATTTGACTTCTACAGCTTCAAATCGGCCCAGTTCAACTTCAACAATTACCAAGGCAAACAACGGGCAGATGCTGAGGTAGCTAATGTGCTTATTGACGGCGGTCGCAAGTATAATAGGAGGAAAAGAAAACATACAAACAGAAACAAGAAAAGGAAAAGACGACTGAAGAATGGCCAGAAGAAGACAATTAGAAACAAAGTTAAAAAGACAAAACGGGAGCGTATGGAGGCTCAAGAAGAAAAAAAGAAAAAAACGATAAAAGAGGAGCCGAAGAGAAAAGAAGACGTTGACTTATGCAGGTAAGCGTTTTTGGTGGTAGATGGCTATTCTTAAGGCACTTAAAGATCTACTTCTGATACAGATACAAGGAAGATGGACGGAGAATCTGGCGTCAAGAGCAGTTTATGGACAAAAGGCTCGTCATTCCTCTTGTCGTGTTCGGGACGGGGATGTCGGGAAAAGACACAGTAAGAATGAAAGGACAAATCTCTGGTGTCACAGGTGTCCTCTATAAAATCTTATTAAAAAGGCAGAAGCAACAACTTGTTGCGGTAGTCGACATTGATGAATATTGCACGTCGCAGGTAATTAACATTTCCCTTATACTGTGCAATATATGCCGTATTTCTATGAGCCGTTTTTCTACATTCCTTACTTATACATGCACAATCAAATATTAGGTCTGCAACAACTGTTTGCTCAAAAATATGGAAAGTGTAAAGATCGGTGCTGGTTCACGTTGTTACAGTACGAAAGTTTGTAAACACTGCCACATACTTTGGCAACGTGATATAAATGCTTCAAAGAATATGATGACTATTGCCGCTTCAGTTTGGGCAGGTCATGGAAGACCCTCACAGTTTACCCCACAGAATCGCCGTAGCGAAGACGGTGCTGTCGGTTCCTCGAACCAGGCGGCTTAAAGATACTTACGCGTTTAGGTGAGTTCATCTTGTGAAATTTCTCACTGTACGTTTCTGAAGCTTTTATTAACTGCTGCTGGACGTTACTTATACTCAAACATGGTAGGTATTCTGTGCTTCGGCACAGTATATTTACCTTGTTTGAGTAAGAGTAGGTCGCACATTTGGCATTGAGCATTTGGACAGAAAAGGTATGATCTGAAAAACTATACATTTCATCTAAATAATTTTTTTAAATTAGTCTGAATTTAATTGTAAGATAATCTCAATTTAATAGCCATTTCGTGCGAAAGTCAAGCGAAAAAACAGTATCAATGGTAAAGAAACTGCTATTTCATTCTCAGTAACGAATTGTTTTAGCCGTATCCAAGTCACGCTGCCAATAGCATAAGGCAACTCACGCAAGCGAATATGCTATGGCAGTAGATAGGAACTTTATGACCACGGTTGAGAATTTAAGATCAAGAATATTCAAAACAAAGTACACATTGGCATATACACCGTCTTCTACCGATGAATAATGCTTCTTATCATTCGTAGTAAAATCTGCTCTGCAATCCTGCCTTTGCTGTAGGACCCTGACCTTTGAATTGAAAGATCACTCTCGTGTCGAACGCAACCGGCAAGTTTGTTTGATCATAGCTGTAGGAAAAGTTGTCATTGTTGTTTCTAAAAGTTAAACACAACTCAAATAATTTTCTGCACCTTTAATTTTCAATAAGATCTTCCGTGTCCTTCCCTTGTCCGCCATGGCGCTACTTTTCTTTGACGTAAATTGAATTGTTTTCGGCGGAACCTATATTCATTAAGTTTGGGCAGCGGTCAAATGTTGGAATGTATAATAAACATATACACAGTGTTGTTCTGTTCACAATTTTCATCAAAAGTATATTTTCAAGAATTTCTGTTTACTGCATTCAGAGAATTATAAGCCTACAATCCTTTGCGCCTTCAGGTACGGTAGACGCTTTCGAAATTCGTTAACACGCTTCATAAGGTAAAATAAGGTGGGTTTGAAAGCTTATAATATCACCAAATTAACTGTCTCGACGATAAGTTTTCCACAGCAGCGTGAATATGCACAACCACTATGCCTTCGATACTTCACGTAATAATTTGAACAATGCAAACAATTTTCAGTTATACTTACAACCACGTTCATGCACTAAAGAGTGACCTTCGAACTAGAATTTATGATGAGTCTGGCTTGCTAACTTCTCCACAAGCTTCCCATATCCAAGGGACAAAATAAATGAATCCTGATAGAATCTCTGCTTAAGTACAACCGCAAAGGCATCTAAATTCGCTTAAAAAAATACTAACTGAAAAAGATAATTGTCATGTATTTGAAGCAATAGTGATAAGAATAGAATTCACTTTATGAAGGAGATTTATCAATTAAGAGCAATTTTGTTATAGAAGCTATCAACTACTTATACTAGCTTAATAGGTACGGTATCACTTATGTGAAGCTGTGGTATTTACAGTCACAGACATAGTGCAATTCGGATTAACCCTTTCACATCTTAATCTCCCCTTCTGTTTTCATAGCTCCACATCTTGCTATTCAATACAACAAGTTTTACAGCTAGCTACATTTTTGAGATAAGTCTTTAACAAGATCAAGCAATCACTTTCGTATCTTACATTTATATATTTGGTTGTTCTAGCCTCGTCTAATTTATCTTCTTCCTTTCACTGTTGATTATTTTATCAGTTCAAACATTAAAGTAATCATACAGTGCTTGGAATGGGACATAAATTATGGAGCAGCTTCCTGCTGTAATATAATAACTTTATCAATATTGGGCACAGTGTCATCCCTTTTTGTCTTCTTTATGAATTCCGCTTCCAATTCTTATGGAAATTGCTTGCTTCTTCGCCTTTTTGTTACTTGCTGGACCATTGACAAAACGGTCTATATCATTGCATCGGTCTATCGCAAGTGTAAAGGTTACGAACTCACACGAAGAAAAGGCTTACAGCATCAGTACATCAGAAACAAGAATAAACCCTTTGATATGGTTAATGAGTTAACAGTTACAAAGGTAAACCTTTACAGCTGTAGTAAGTTCATAAACCAAGCCATAGTATGTTTATATCAAATCTGAGGTTGATTGCTATACGTGTGATATCAACAGAGTAAAGACGTAATACTAACCATTAACATTTCTTATAACGTGAGAATAAGGAAATGTCTTAGCCAACTTTTTGTTCGCATAAAACTCAACTGGCCTATATGTAAATATCGTAATAACAGCAGAAATGAGCTTAGAGTCAATGTATACAAATTTAGTATACAAAGATTTTCCAAGGCCTCTTTGAAAAGGCCAACTTGCCTTGAAAGGCTTTTGATGGTGGTCAAAGTCAGCGAAAAAGAATTGTATGAGAAGAATTAGAGCAATGATAGATCTCCATGAGAACCATACATGTATTTCCACACCCTTCTCATCTATAATGTCTGTAAGGAGATGTCGAGAATTGCTTGCATCAAGGAAATAGGCCTATCCTGTTCCACAGTGTTGAATTAAGAGTAAAAAACGTTTTCGAACACAGCTTTCATAAAAGATAAAATGTAATATACTTTAACGGAAAGTTTTATTATGTAATTAAAGAATAAAAACTGATTTACAAATTTAAAATAAGGATCTACCATAAGAAAAAAATTGAAAAAATATGATTATAGTAACAATGAAAGATTTCGGCTAAATGCTAACCCATCAAGACAATGAAATGACAATTAATAAAATATATGAAAACATGCAAGGAGGGGGAAAAAAAAATATACACAGAAAGAGAGAGCCAAAATGACTCTTTTTTTTTTTTTTTAGTTTGATTTGGCTCCACCAGCCTTCTTTTCGGCTCTAGCCTTCATCACTTGATTGAATTCAGTATTGAAAAGATGATCCCAAAAGGTGAAAAATGGCTGTGAGAAGTTAGTCTTGATACCATAGGGTTGGTGGTGAATATCATGGCTAAAAAGAAAAAACCCAACGCAAAATCTGTTAAATTCCTAGCTTTAATATCCACAAATGTCATTCTCACAGACGTGCGACCAAACTTACTAAATGGCATTATTGTTAAATAACAAATTCAAAGGATCCCAAGGGAAATTGTAACCACAATGATCGTTGACTATACACAGATACATGTAAGAAAAATAAGATTTACAACGTACGCAAATGATGACGAACTCTAGGGTAGACTGAACTTACTTGTTTTCATAGTGGAGAAAGTGAAAAAGATCAAACCGAGGCGAGGAGACATACCGGTCACTTCAAAGGCAATTGCAGCACCACAGGTATCTAACAAAAAGCCTTCCAAAGGATGATTGTAAAGAGCACCAAAAGCATAAGGAACATAAAGACGATGGTGATGAGAATGCATGTGTTTGTAAAGGAAAGTGTAGGTGTGAGCCAATCGGTGAAGGACATATTGGTGAGTATCAACAATAAGCCTACAGATTTGAATACAATGCAATAGTAAAAAATTAGTCAGCAAAACCAAATAACCATCAATTTGCCTTAATTAATAGCTACAAATCAGGTGTGTATGTCGACACAAAATTTTGGATCCTTACATAGCAATTACGAATTGTAAAGTAGGGCGAAGGTAATCTTGAGCAATGATAGCAGCATTGGTAGCATACAACATAGCTTTTTCCTTACTTTGTCCGAGATTTGTAAAAACATTTAAAGCAATTGCGGTATAGCGAGAGATAGCTGCTTCATATTTTAATTTGTCAGCTAAGGGGGATTGCTGCTTCATCAAAGCAATACCAAGAACCATTTGCACCACATGTTGCAGGGCAACCATGACAAGGACCTTTCCAAAGCCAACCTTATTTTGTCTCTTTTGTTCTTCGGGTGTATGAAGACGATATTTCTCAAGAAAGGGGATTTCGGCTCTTCTGATGATTTCAAAGATGGTACATTCAATCCAATAAACAGCAATAGGCACCCATATTGCCATCATATCGTCTGACCACCAGTTAATCTTGTTGTTTGTCAGTAAAGAAAAACTTTTAACAGCATCCATCATAATCTTTCGACAATTGTCAATTCGGCTGTTGTAATAATATAAGTTGCTCGCTTCTCTGAAAAGGCTTCGTTTACGCAGATGGAAACAAAAGAGAGTCTTTAAAAAAAAGAAGGGAAGAAAAAGAAAGATTAAGAATGAGACAATAAAACTCTGTTAAGTTGTGCAAAAGTGGCCTCATTTTTGACAGTTTACGGAAAATCAAATTAACAGGCAAAAAAAGCGGAACATCAGTGACCAGTGATCTTTCTGTGGCTCCATTTTTTTGCCGTCAGGCATACTTGCTTTTAATTTGCTGGGAGATGATCTTGCCTTATTTAGTAATAGAAGCTTTTTTTTTTACAGTAATGTAGCAAGAAAATCACCAAAAAAACAGAAGGCTGTGAGCAATGTATAAAAGAGGAATTACAGTGGCTTTTTCGGGCTATTCCATCTTACCGTTAATCTGCACAACAAGGGCTCCTTTTGAGATATTGATAAAAGCCATTGTATAAGCTGGTCATCATTCCTTCCCAACAATGGTTAATGTAGGAGTAACGATAGACGAGGTGGTGCGTAAATCAACCTATCCAAAATCTGACGGTTTGAGAAAGCCAAGCATATGGATTAACCGAACAGTTTGATAGACTTAAAATAAGTCAGAAGTGAGAATGTACCGTAAGTTGAGGAAGAGACCATGATTCAAAGCTATTTTCGCATTTCCTTACCACGGTTGATTGGTAAAAATTAATCTTTTATCGATTACCATAAAGAAATCCGTAGACTATTGAACCTTCACAGGAACACTCTATATCGTTATCAATAAAATCGAGGATTTATAATGCTGCGCTGATTAGAATTTAAAACGTAGCCTCACGATCCAGACTCTTCTACTATAACTTAGCTGATCAAGAAAATTGATAGGTTTTAAGGATAGAAATCGCAGCTTTCGTATCATTCAGAAAATTCATTGAACTGAAAACGGCTCGCGAAAGTTGAGGCATCCATTGAAACAATGATAGTCGTATTCTACATACAATATCATTTAGAGGAACAATTTGATAACTTCCCAACGGATCAGCAAAGCAGAAATAACAACCCATCCAACGACCATCACTGTCAACTTGAATCATTGATGAGAATCGCAAATATAATCAAATTATAAAAGCAAATGAAAAAGTGATGATTTGAGCGAGAGCAACGAGAAAATTGAAAAGGAAAATGTATATAAAAGTGGGTTTAACGCATAATACATGTTAACATACATATATGTTCTTTCTTTTTCCTTTCAAACGAGGAATAAAAATACGAACAAAAAAATGGATAGTTTATGATCTGGGCTTTTCCTTCTTTTCCTTGTACAAAGCAAGGAGAGAGACACCAGCGACCTTGACGACCTTGAAACGGACACCAGGAATATCACCAATAGCACGACCCTTACGACCGAAACCAGCAATCAAAACTTCATCGTTTTCATCGACATAGTTCAAACAACCATCGTTGGGAACGAAAGCAGTGACCTTCTTACCGTTCTTGATCAATTGAACACGAACACACTTACGAATAGCAGAGTTAGGTTGCTTAGCTTCAACACCGATCTTTTCAAGAACAATACCCTTGGCGTGAGAAGAACCACCGAAGGGAGATGAACGGTAGGCAGTACCGAGGGCTCTCTTCTTGTATTGCTTATCGGCCCAACGTTGATCACGACGGTGGATACGGAGCTTACGAGCAGCGTTCAAACCTCTAGGTTGTCCCTTACCTGATTGCAAATAGTTGTGAATAAAAGAAAATTAATTGACTGTAACCAGAATTCAATGGAGAGTAAAGCGTCGAATCCGTCGTAGAGTTGAAACAAAGGAGGAAGGACACTTTTTTTCCGTATCATTGCTAGTGTTGCAGAAAGTCGTTCGGATAATATCAAAGAGCAGCTGTCGTATCAATAGATAACGAAATTGCATAATGGTACCAAAGTTGAACAACCGTCTACGTCGAAACACTTGTTGAGAGTTCGTTATATCAGGCTTTGTCGTTAAATAGGCCTTCATTTATGTGAAAAGCTTCGTTGTTCATATGGTCGGTGTACCAATTAGATGATACGTCTATCTCTTTAGTTGTTGCTTTCTAAGCTGCGGGTCATCCATCCAACATAGCTTTACATATTCATCCATTTTACCCATTCATCCATCCAATCCATAAACTATTCTAGCATTTAGATTACAGTGTCCTCCTCCTGCTTTCTCTACTTCAAATCGAATTTACATGTTGTTTGAGATACATTACCCATGATATATAATTTAGAGAGTTACAAAAAAAAACAAATTGGGGGTTTCCTTTTTCCCTTCAGTTTTTAATGAATTGCTGACAGAAAGGTTTATCAGAAATTGCTTGGAAGCGGAGTCCGACTCGATCATAGCCGGTAACGCCGAACTGCCCAAACCAACTGTTATAGCCAGTCCATGCTTCACTAAGCTTGCTCTTGGATAACTGAGGAACGTCCTTTACACAAGAGTGTGAATAATTGTGTTTAAATTATTATGGATCTATTCCTCGTTTTTAAGCGTTTGATAACATAAAGTCAATTTTATCATACCCGCACGGAACAGCATGTGTTAAGTTCTCTGAGTATCTGCTGCATTGAGCCAATTTAAACAAATACAAGAGAAAGTAAAAGACTGATAGAATGAGCTCTCTAGTCTCCGTTCATACATCTTGGTTGTTTCATACGTAGTTTAATAATTTTTTAACAGTTAGGAAGAAGGCAGTAATTTATCGGTTTTAACTCACTTAATGTGCTGTGGCTATAGAAAAAATTGAATTCTCGATCCCATGTTTCTTTCCGTTTCATTTTTTTTTTCTTTACGACAAAACTTACAAAGCGTATATACGACGTATTAGAGCCCCAAAAAAAAGCAGACATATTTAATTGTCGCTCTTTTCAACGTGCAGAAGTATCTTTTTAATAATTGAGGCTTACTTTAGATAATCACTATAATTATTATATCGAATACGTACACCTCACAACATTACCGGCAATACACACCTTTGAATTCCGATGGGGAGTATGAGTGATAGTGACGAAGAGTATGGACCTTTGCCTACCACTTGGGGTTCACAAGCACCTACGAGTCCTGCGAAAGAATCTGGAAATGACCCCTCTCCGAAAGGATGGGATTCACTGTTGGATCCTGATTTTAATGTGGGCCCAAAAGGTCTTGGTAGTGGTAATTTGCATAGAAAAGGTCGTAACTTTATACCAGTCGACGAAGACGTCATTTTGGCACAACGATTGAATAAACCGCTGCCTAAAAAGAGTAAAAAGAAGGGAAATGAACGAGAAAGCAATACCTCAGCTATTACGTCGGATAAAGCACGCAACAGCAAAAAATCCTCTTTAAAGACATCGACAACAACAAGTACTCCTCAATCGAAACGGAATGGTCCTTCGAGCAGTAATAGCTCTTTTCGAAGATCTTCTGCACGTAAATCAAAGACAGCCTCTTCTCCATCCAGCACAAGTCGACCCATATCAAATTTATCGACATCATCCAAAACGACCACTTCGACAAAGATTAGCCCACCTGAATTATCGACGATAAGGACACCCTTACAGAATAATACTAATAGTACAGGTTGGGCCAATGCTACGTTAGTTGAAACACCATTTTGGGCAACGACAAAGACAAATGGCAATAATGCAGAAACAGATACTGGGCAAAAGGCTACTGCAGAAGAAGATAAAATATCGAAACAGTTGAATCAACTTACAATTGACTACAATGATGATAAAGACAAAAAGGTAGGTTTTCATCACGAATTAGATCATATTTAAATTGCCTAATCTTTCTGTTTAAAAAAAAATATTAAAAAAAATAGGAGGATAACGGTACTTTATCAGTGAATACATATAAGAAAAAGACAGATGAAAAGTGGGACAATAAGTTTCAAGCAGCAGTAGTAGAACATAAAAGGAAATCAATTGAACAGGAAAGAAAGAAGAATGCGAACGCGAATGTGGAAAATGGTTCAGTAGATGATGATGACTGGACATTTTCAGATAGGATGATTGATCATGACTTGAGTGCACAACAGAAGAGTAAGAGAGATCATATGGTGAATGAAGATGGGTGGGGAATATGGAATAAGACAAATAGCGGTAGCATCAACAATGGCGGTTGGGGTATGCCTGGCTGGACTGATGTACCGAACAGTAAAACTACGGGTACATCGACGGCCGGAATGAGTACTGAACCAGCTCCACCAGCAGCAGCTGATGACTGGACCATTTACCCTACAACTACAAATGATAATAATGATATACCCTCTGATGCTTCTCGGCAAAATTATATACCCAATAATAAGTCATCACCATCAACTACAGATCTGAACCACACTACCTGGGGCGACATGGATAATAGTTGGCTCAATAACCACGAGGATACCGCAAACATTAATAACAATTGTAACGACAGACCACGATTTTCTGATCCCACTCGTCAAAAATACTCTGAAGTTCGCAAGGGGCCTCGTAATACACCCCTCAACTACCAACGCAGTATACCCATCGTTCCCAGTACCACTGCTCCACCTCCACCTCCCGAAAACGCACTTCTCGTCACCATTAACGTCGAGCTTTCTGATACGTTGAAAATCCCTGTCGAAGTTCATGAACTTGATGAACCTGCTGATCTTGCAGTCAACGTTGGTAAAGAGCACAATATTCAACAGCCTAAAATCATTGCGGCCTTAACCAAGCTTTTCAGTTCTCAAAAAGAATTGGCACTCAAAAAGAGGAACCGTAAATTAAAGCGAACTATCCCTTCTCAAAAGCAATTACATCAGAACAATCCTTTCTTTTATCAACCTCATACCGAAAATACTGCCTATCAACGCATGACATTGTCGACAAATAACAAGTACTCCTCGTCTGCATACGCTTCAACGTTTTACGATTCGAACAGTCTGTCATTGCCTGCGGCTACACCACCTCTCTCTACTCCTTATTCTTTTGCAAGGCCTTCTACTACGTCTAACTTTACAAGGAAACAATATTATTAAGCCAAAGCATTCCCCGTCACCCTTCGTCACCCACTCATCGTTTTATAGCCGAAAAGATGATTTGGACATGGCCAAAGTAGGAGAAAATAAACCATCAACATAGCATATGTAAATATATATATCATTGATTTTCCATCCTAGTTTTCTTACCCTGTAATTGTTATATATCGTCTAATTTCCTATCAAAAATTCGCATGTACACCGCCAATTAAAAAACAAGCTTTGCTTTTTCAACGTAGACACAATAAGTGATTTATTGTAGGGGAGAATGCTATCACCAACTTGAATGCCCTCACCGCGTCTAAGCTGACTGAACCACACGAGCCTAAAAACAATTTGAAGTATTAGGTCTTGTCTAAATTGGTAGCTTGATCCAACATAAAGTCGTTTCTCTCTGCATTCTTTAAAGTTACATGAATTGATCTAGTCGCTAGGTTTTTCTCGATTATTATGGTAACTATAAAATTAAAGCGAGTTTACTGCATTCAATATAAAGACCAGAAATACCTGGTACTGCTTCGTAGATGATATAGGAGAATAAGTACACACTAAACACTTCATAAATGTACTTAGATTGAATTTGGCAACACGGACAGCTTTGCATTTGCTAGTCAGTTTTCTTAGATTCAAGAAAAAATTAGAAGTGGCTACATTTGTTATTCCTTTTCCAAGTTCTTTTCTAACTCTCCTCGTATTTGAACAAATATCCATGCGACAGAGTATTCAAGGGTTCTACGGTGGGCACGAACAACTGCGATTCTAACATCATAATAATAGAAGCCACACCCAATCCTCTACAAGGTTTCTATTAAAATGCCAACGGCGTGGGGGAGGGGCGCGCCTTTACTCTCAACGACAATAAATAAATAGTTTCTGGAACGCCTTTATCGTCCTCAGATATTGCGTACCCAACTAGTCAGCTTTGACTTTTTATCTTCTAGTTTTTTCTTTTTCATTCTTTGACTATTTTCAATATAAAGAATTTATCTTCAGTTTTAACCTTCGTTACCAATATGAATAGAGAAATCATACTGATGAAATGAAAGGTTATATCTGAAAATTTCGCTTCTTTTTGAAGCTAATCGTCCAAGAAACTCCTATGGATTTTAAGAAAGGAAGCGGACACTGTCTAATGCTCAAATTGGTTTTAAAGAAACGATCCCACGATTGCCCAGGCGGGAAAAGAATCTAATAACTAAATTTTTCATTTAACAAGTTGTGGGTCTTGTATTTTTTTATTGATTTTTTTGTCTTTTACTATAGTTATTTTGTGTATCTAGTAGAAATAAATTAAGACAATGAGAATAGTTCGTTACAACGTATTATAATCTGTAGCAGTGCGTGAAGAACTTATTAGGCAGTAAGATGGAGTATAATAAAGGGCTAATTAGTAACATAGAAAAAAAAGAGTTTTGCAAAAAATCTATAATTTTTAAACCTCAATCGTCATATCTGAACTACTATTCGCTGTCATTGGTATCATATCATTTGAACGCGCGCGTTGGTGATTCAACATAATTTCGTTCGGGTACACAGATTGTGATTGTGCATGATTATTATAAAAAGTTGGTGAAGTGGAAGTAGCAGTAATCGAAGCGCCCGTGATGACATTATCACTGCCACTATTATCATTGATCCGATGGCTATGGTTTACTATTGAAGTAGAAGAAGTTTCCATATGTGAACTGTTATAATATAGACTACGGCTTGTATGGTGATGTGGACTACTATTGCTACTTGCTGTTGAATAGTGTTGTTGCTGCTGCTGTAGTAGTAGATGTTGGGGTTGTTGTAATTGTTGGTGTGTTGAAGAGGCGGTCATTGATACTGAAGGATAATACCTTGATCTTGCTGCCACTTCTAACACAGCATATTCCGGCACAGCTTGTAGAAACTCGTCTCTGATGGAACCGGGTAAATCCATCAACATATTGGTCTTCAAGATATACCCATAGTTTTGAAACATGAATCTCAAAGTAAGCAATTTTAACCCGACTTCCTCAGCCATGATGGCTTTTTCAAATATGAGACCACAACTTTCGACTGTCAAATAACGTCTATATAATCGCTCACAACATAGCTTTTTAAGACGGTGCAGCATGTACATATTAGCCATCACCAACACGTCGCAAATCACCGGCCACGATTCATTTTCATCCAACCGGTCACTGTAAAGAAACTTCAAAAATGCCATAATCACTTCTACAGGCTCCGGTATTGTCATCCTTCGTTCAATAGCTTCTGACATGCCTGATTTATGTATGTGTTTAAAATGCGGCCAACGTGTTAATAATATGACTTGATGAACGTAAATCTCTTCTCCATTGGCGGCAATAATAGAGAAATCAGATAATTCAGGACTGTTAAGTAATTGGATGAACTCAGTTGAAAAGCGCGGTTCCGCAATGTCGTAAAGGCCCAAAGATTCACCGTGAATAACGAGTGCATCTCTAAAGTGATCATAACCTTGAGGGCGGTAAGGATCTGTATTGCCTAGGAATAGAAGACTATTGATATTGACTTGATTGTGCGATTCCACTGAGTGTCGATCATCACTACTTCCTATTCCTGTTTTCTCGGAAATGATGGTGAAATAGTTCCATCCTCCTTCATCAAAATGACCATCACACTCTTGTTTCTCCCAAACTAGGGTATCCAAATCCAACATCCATAAGCTGTAAGTGGTTTCACTGCTGTTCAATTGATATTGTTGCTGCTGCTGCTGCTGCTGTTGTTGTTGTTGTTGTTGTTGTTGTTGTTGAGATTGATGACTATTATTCGTACCACTACCACTATTAGTCGTTGGAAGGTATTTATGACTACTATTATAATTGAGATATCTTCCAAATACAATCAATTTTCCGCAAGCTGTATCACAAAAATGCTGACTTTTCAAAAGCACCATGCGTGGGTTGCAGGAGGCAGAATGGGTTGCAGCTGTTGCAGAGGTTGCTCCATTACCATCGCCACTTAATATCAAATGTGTCGTGTAAGGAGATTTGGCTAAGTTGACCATAAATAAATCTGATACTGTGTTTCCTTGTTCATCTTTTCCAGCATAAATATACATTTTGTTGCCTACAAGAGTAGCAGAATGGTTGTAACGTGGCGGCATATCACAATATTTTTCCCAAACCATGCTGTTTAAGTCGAGTACGCATAATTCATCCAAGACATAAGTACCTGTTATACATGGAGTAAGGTTGGTTGGTTTTTTTTTTTTTTCTGTTAAGAAATTGGCTTCTGTCTCCTTCCTTTCAGAATATGTAACCTCCTTTCTATTTTATTTTTTTTTTCTGTTTTGAAAAAGAGAAACACAAACTTACAATCTGAACTCTTTGCAAATCCTCCATAGATGATAAGTTTATCTTGGAAAACGGTCGCACTGTGTAGGTAGCGCGCACACACACTGCCTGTGATAGTAGGTTGTGTCCAAGTCGATGTTTTTAAGTTGAACAAATGTATATCTCCACAATAATCTTGGTATTCATTACAGCCACCTAATTTTAGAAAAAGGAACGGAGAAGTCAGTGTTACCATGCAAAATGCAAGCACAAAAAGAAAAACACTCTTTTTTTTTCCATATTTTACCAAAGATGACTATTGAATCTTTCCAACGACACGCTGTATGCCCATAACGTTTGCAAGGAGGTGCACCGGTAACATTCTTTAGAGGGAATGTCAGTCAGTTTTTATATAATAAATATAATTTTTCTCTTTTTTTTTTATTTTTATTTTACCTGTACTGTATGCCATTGCATTCTTTTTAAATCGAGGTAATGCAAATCGTCAGTGACATTACCGCCGCCTCCAAACACATATAAACGTGTATCCACTTTGACAAAAGACGGTCTCCATAAACCTGCTAGATTTTGTCCAACAGTTTTTATAGGCTGACCAGGTTTAATAAACATGTTCATTTCTTTTTTTTTATTTTTTTTTTGGTTTGTAAGTGTTTAAACGGGTAATTTTCTAAATAATTTGATGAGTTGTATTGAAGCGTATTTTTTTTTCTTCTTCTGGCTTTGCTGTATTTATTGAATTGTAAAGCTATTGTACTTCAGTTGATGAAGTAAAACGAGACTGAAGTAGGAAGAAATACAGTAGGGAATGAGGAGAAGTAGAAGAAAGAAGGAAAGTGCAATGTAAAAGTATTTTAATTTCTTATTTATCTTATATGTTTATTGTCATAATAACTCGAGTGAAAAATTTCCGTTTTGTGGATGGTATGATGGGTTAAGGATAAAAAAAGGGGGGTCGCGAAAGCTGCCGACAGCATTAAAGACTGAGCGACAGCCGCGCACTTGTAACTCTCGAATATAAAAGATGGACAAAGGAGGGGGTGATGGGGAGACGGAATGATTGAGGGAGAGACCACTAAGATTTTCTCGTGTATAAAAGAGTAACGACTTAAAGATAGTAGTAGGCACGCTACTTTTATAAGCAGGTGAAGGCAGTATAGGCTTAAACACTTCTCGTTGAGAAGCTAGCTTTTTTTCGAAAATTATAATACTATAACAACAGTGGCAAATTTGAATGGCGGCTCCTATTCTTTGCCATGATACTTCACCCTTTCGAAGCAAGAGTAATTTATACAAAAAAGAGCGACAGAAATAGAGTGTGTGTGTATGATGAAGATGCATAACAAAACGTCATTTAAGTGACACTATGTATAAATATTGAGTGTGATCTGTCAACCTTCTTTTCTTTCCCTGCGCTTTACTTTTTCTCTTTCTCTTTCTCTATTGCTTCTGTTTCCTCTTTTCTTGTGATTGATGACTTTGGCCTACTTAAAGAACGCTCGCAGTCCTTATAATGTGCTATTCTTACTGCTTTACCATAGTATGGTATAGCTGAAAGAAAGAGGAAGATACAGTTTGAATTCATTAAAAAAGATTTTGATTATTTCTAGGTTTTGTTATCAACTGAACATAACTTTATAGATTGTATATCTAAGATGGACCCGCACGATGATATGAAGACAAAATATGTAGTGATGTATTTCAGTCCTCATATTCGATAAGTTTTTTTTCTGGTATGATCTCCAAAGATGACGCAAACTTATGCTTATAGACAACGCATACTTCACCATGTCATTATCAAATGCCTGTCTTTTCATACAAATAAATGTGAATTCATTCAGTTAATCCTATCAAGGGTTGTTCTGCAGGGCGAGCAAATCCCCAAATGCACCTTTTCACCATTGGAAATTATCCGACCTGCGAGATTCGTATCACGATGCAAACACAGATCTACATCTTTCTTGAAAATCATTCTATTTGAAGATCTACTGAGCACGGTTTATTATATTAAGCATCTCATTTAAAGTGTTCAATGAATTCATTCTGGTTTTCTGTCTTTTAGTAACGGAAACTGGAGGTTTACTGGCTCTTGAGAGAGAATATCTTTCCAATATGGCAACTCATAATGAAGTTTATCAGGATGAATTTCTGGGTACTTTTCCGTAATGATACTTAGCAATAAATCGTACAATTCCTAATGGAACAAACGGCGATATCAGATCCTATTTGCTTCCAGATTTTTGGGCTTTGAACAGACAAGACATACCTTATAGCCACTTGCATTCAAATGTAACCCATCCAATAGATAATTCGCCAAGCCAGGATGGCTACCTCCAATCACTTGCTGCTTTTCATGCGCCTTGTCCATAATACGTGTCCATATATCTGCTACAGGAACACCACATTCTCTTCCTACGTCCTTCACACATTCAGCATATTCGCGAGCAGCCACATTTGTTCTATTCAACCTGTCACCTTGATCCTCGCATCGCTTTTTCCATTGATCTTCGTTAATAGGTGGCGGTGTAATCAAAATCAAACGCATATTGGGATTGTAAAAACGAGAAGCAGGGTTAATTATTATATCCACCATTTCTCTTAAATTGGCTTTGAATCGAGCCAAAGGTACATGTTGTGGCGAAAAGGGTAAAGCCGCATCATTGGCACCGAAAAAGATAGTCATCAATTGAATTGAACATGCTTCTGATTTTTGTTCTTTAACGGTGGGTAAGAGCTGATAAAGGATGGGAAGAGCCCAGTCTGTGTTGTAACCAGAAAATCCACGGTTTAAAACGTCAACTTTACGAACATATGCCTTTATAGAGGTAGAAATACTTTCGTTAAAGAAACAGGAGCGACATATTTGAAAAGGAAAGTATGAGTAACTTACATTTGCCAATAGCGCACCATAGCCTTTTAACTCGGGATCAAAACTAAACTGCACAACAGAAAGAAGAGTTAGCAAGAAGCCAATGTTAATTCAAATTGTTGTTTGAAGCAACTACATCTTTTGTACCTGAGTAATGGAATCCTACCAAATGAACCAAAAGAAAAAAGTTAAAAATGACTTCCTCCGTGAGTCACAAACAACACATACCCCAAACAAAACGATTTGGTTGTAAGGATGAGTTGAAGCCATTTGAAATTGTGTAGTAAAGAGGGAGAAATCAAGTTATTGCTTACAGAAATTTTGTATATTTCTTTAGCAAGTTTTTTGCTTAAATTCAGAGACGTCATATGAATGGGAGAAACGAAAATTTTTGAGCATTAATACAATACGCGTAAAAATATAATGCTTTCAAATGGCAATTTTTGCACATGTTAAGTTAGAATAGGTAACCCTACTTAAATACCAAAGAACGTCTTTTTCTATAATCCTTCTAGTAATAATATTGTAAGTGGACTCAGTAGCAAGCGAAATGAGAAAATAAAGTAATGAAAATGAGCGAAGAAACAGACGGGACAAAAGACGGTTCTGTCAGATAAACTGTTGCTGATGAAGTTTTTCATTTTTACAAGGACATTAATACATGTGCAAACCGCAGTAATAGGTCTTCTCTGCAGTCATTTCGGTTAATTTAAAGTGTTTAGGAAATATTCATACATGGCTGAACTCAAAGAAACGATACACTAGTCTGCTAGTGCACTGCTCTCATTCAACATACAATTGTATACTATTTCAAAAAAATACTATTGGCTCTTTGTTTCAATTATCATTTTGTGCAACTTGCAGACAAAAAGGTTTAGCATGTTCATTGTCATATAAATGTATACACATAATTGATGTTAAAATTCTTTCCTTTCTCATACCATTTCTTACAAAGGTTGAGTGTAAATTAGTAAATTTTTGAATGGAAGAACATTAAAGAATAGGTTTATACATCAAATACAAAAATAGTAAAATAAAGTATTGTTTGTAGTAGTAAGGTCCGTTTTTAGTTGAGACTATGGGTGGGTAGAAAAGAAAGAGTGAGTGACAGAGATTCAATTTTTGAAAGCCAAAATGAGAATAATGATACTTACGTTCCCTTACAGAATTTACTACCACACAAACAGGGTATCTTATCAGCTTCAATAGGGAATTTGTAGTCATAAGTGATTTCTTCACCAGGTTCGATGTCTCGATTGGCATAAATGACAATTTTTTTCTCTTGTTTGACAGTAATAATCTTGGCACTGCAATTAGGCTGCAAAACCACGAGGATCGAAAATAGAAATAAGTAAATATATTGTGATCGAGACTTTTCAAAGCTAAATTTTAACTACTTACCGCACAACAATGGTTAATGAATCGTGCCACATTACCACACTTTGTTGCATCAATGACAGTATCATCATCGACACGAAACAAATAACTACTTCCAATACCACAACGCTCATATTTCTTTTCTCGTTCCTCTGCCACTTGCTGTCGAATAATCTCTCCTACGTATTCAATCACCATGTCATTCGCGTCAATATGTTCTTCAGCAAACAAACCCCAATCATGAATAGGCGACTTAGCAAACCGTAATTGCTTTTTACGACTTTGAAGTTGGTTGAATTTGAGAATATCAGAATCAATAGTCTTCTTCTGCATTTCCATTCCAATTGCTAAACGGCGATTATTGACACGTGTGGCTCGAGAAGAAATGCGATTAATATTATTGGGGCTGGATGGATCTGTATGTAATATGTCAATGACAGCTTTGTTCTTAGGAAGATATGTTGCTTTTACATCATCCGGGATGGGTTCCATGCAACGTGCACGAGCACAACCTCCTTTTACATGTTGAATGATGGGTTCTTGAGGCGTTATACCAGCTCTTTCCAGTAAGGCAGCACGTAAAAAAAAAAACTCTTCAGGATCCTTCAGTTGATTAAAAGGATCCCATTCGGGGGGCTCCGTTAGTAATTCCTCGTCATCATCAATTTCAGAATCGTCATCAGATGCTAATAATAATTTCTCTATCTCTTCTTTGGTCAATGGCTCTTCCTCCTCCTCCTCCTCCTCCTCCTCTTCTTCTTCTTCTTCTTCCTCCTCTTTCTCTTTCTCTTCTTCTAGCATATGAGTTGAGTGATATTCTTCCATATGACTGTCGTACTCATCCTCCGTTATGGTTACAGTGCCGTTTGTGCTACTTGTGTCATTAAATGCATCTTCTTCTGCCAAAATCTCAACCAAACGATCCGGTAAAGGTGTGGACGGTTTCTTTTGTTTTGATTTTCGACTGCGTTTCTTTGGTGTTTCCATATCATCTTCCTCCACGCTGTTACTACGTTTTGATTTTTTGGAAGGTGAAGCTTTCTTTGGCGTTGACGATAAGTTACGCTTTCGCTTCTTTCGCACTGTTCTTATTACATCATCATGTTCAACAAAATCGTCCAGGTCATCCAATTCATCTTCTGATGCTTCTGATACGTCTGCAATATCCGGCTTTCTTTCATGGAGACGTTTCAAGAAAATCTCATGGCTTATATCATCTTCGCCTTCCGAATCACTAAGATAGTCGCGTAAGCGCCGAGGACGAGATGGTTGTTTTTCTAATGCTAGAGTAGCGGTAGAAGTAGTAGTATTTTCTTTTGTGTTGGGTATATTGTAACTGCTACTACCGCTATTATTGCTACTACTGCTCTTCAATCTTTTTAACTGTTCCTCCCTTTCTAATTCTCTTTGCTGTTCCTCTTCGCCAGAATGGTATTCTCCTTCTTCTGAATCGCTGCTTGAACTGAAAAAAGTAGTTGAATTTTGTCTCTTTTTAAAATTTGGTAATTTCACCGTTGTTCCGTTCATGGAATTTGTTTCTGACTTTAATAATGTTGGTGCTGCTGCTGCTGCTGCTGCTTCTTCTTCTTCTGCTTTAACCGCCTTTTCTTGCTTAGCGAGTACATATTGTTGAAGTTGCTGTTGCTCTTCTTCTTTTTTGATTAATGCTTCTGCTTGTTGTTGTTTCAGATGATTTTTTAGTTCTTGTATCTTGTCTGATTTCAAAAAGTCATGAACGAATGGATTGACAACGCGATTTTTGATATCTTTAACAAATACATCCGCTAATGCGTCGCATAATAGTTGTGCTGCTGTCAGAGGAAGTGGTTGTCGTTCTGGTGGCGTAGACCGAGCTAAAGTAGGTGAAGGAGTCATCAACTGACTATTCCCATTCAATTTCATGGTATTCAGTGTTGTATCGATGGAGGAGGGTGGTTCTTTTTTCAAAGTATTGTTGTGAGCAGTATCATCTATGGTATGTTTGTGATCCCGCAATTGAATCACTAGTGTATATCCTAATAGTCGCTGACCAATGGTTGCCTCATAAGCCCTTTTGGCGGATGTAAACGAATCAAACACAATCGACCAATCTGAATCATCATGCAAAATATCAATGAAACTGTAATAATGATAGAGCCTCTTGAGTTCCCCTAAAACATGTTCTCCGAAAGGTAAACAACGTTTTGGTATGGCCAATGTGAACTTTTCTGATAGGGGAGCAGAGGATGACATTGCCATTGCTGTTGATGTCGACGGCAGCCAATGTCCGTTTGTTCTTTCCTCTTCATATGAGTATCTTTTACTACTGCTGCGGCTAACCCTTCTCGAATCATAAGAATCCCTACTCGGACTTCGTTCATTATATTTTGACCTAGGGTGCTGATAATCGGGTGAATGTCGAGGTGAGGCATATTTAACGTTACCATACGAATAAAAGTAAGATTTGCGATCATACGCGTCATAATGGTGATGCGACCGACTACCACCGGCAGTAGTGGAATGATAATCGTGATTGTGTGGATAATGTCTCGGTGATGAATAAGGTCGATCATAATCATCGTACCGCCTTGTATGACTGGGGCTTCTTCCTCTTTTCCTATCCTCATGACGGTAATATTTGCCATCATATCTGCTATCATATCTATCATACTTATGGTATCGATCATATTTGTCATAACGATCATAGCGATCGTAATAATAATCATGTTTACTGCTGCCGTTTTTCGATGCATGGCCGTTTGGCGTTCCCGAACCATCGTATCGATGACTTGGCGTTGAAGAAGACGAACTGAAAGATGGCTGACGTTTTGCTGGTGATGTGGAATCCATAGGATGTACAGCCGTCGCTGATGTTGTTGTCACAGTGGATGATTCTACCTCTGTTGATAAACTGGGTTTACTGAGATTTTTAATCGCCAATTCCAATTCTTTACCTTCAGGAATAGTTCACCTTTATCGGTCAATAATCACATTGGATCGTAAAACATATTGTTTGTGGTGTTTTTACCTGTGGGATCAAAACAGACTTTGATTGATTCGCCTGTTGTTCCTATTCTACGCCTATTGCCTTTTTCTACAGCTAAACAAGCTGACTGGTGCCCATCATAAAATTCATCGGTAACAAATGTCACAATAGCAATACCTAATGATCCATTGGTGGTTGGATCCTTTTGAATATTGACTGATTTGACTTGGCCATAAACTGAAAAGAACGTTTCGATTTGTGTTTCTGTCATGAGCGGGGATAAACGTGACACTAAAACACTTGTTGCTGGTTTAGGTCCAACTGAAAATTCATCAAACTGTTAAGGATTTATAAATTGGATATTCATTTGTAGGTTATAAAAATATTTCAACTCGAGAAGAAATGAATGCGGCATGATCAAATGTACCTTGAATTGGACTCTTTTGAACTTGTTCTTGTAAACAAAACGTTTATTAGGGTTGAATATAAAGTTCCTTGCATAGTGTTCTTTATCAATACGAGGATCTTGTGGGGGTATCTTGGTTCAAAATAGTAAAAAAGTTAGTAAGATTAGATAGTTCCAAAAGACATAGAGAATGCGTTTGCGATGGAGTAGTACGATAGATGGCTTACATTGTTCTCTTCTTCTTGGTATTTGTATATGGGCTGTGAACTTGTTTTTTTTAAGTCAAGTGTATCCAATTGTGGATCATATATACACTGTTTATTACGGGAATCCATTTTTCCATTGATAGTAATGCTATGTAATCCAGAAAAGAATTAAATAAGTGTCAGACGTGAAGAGGTGGAGGAAGAGGGGAGGGGTGCAGGTAAAATAGTTTAACAAAAAAGTAGACCAAAAAAAAAATTAAACAAAAAAAAAAATAGCTCGATCTACCTTACCATTTTGGATCCATTGAGAGATTTCAACAATAACAAAGTAGTTCGGTATCAATTAGTACAATAAAGATTCTGAGGAAAGAACAGTACTGTAACAAGTAAAATGTTGTATCCACAAGAAAAAACCCAAAGTTATTAAAGAAAAAGTATTAAGAGAAAGAGACGACAGCATGAGAGGGCAAAAATCGAAAAGGCAACCAATAGTATAGTACGAAGTCACGAACCAATTATTACAACTTTTTGCGGTTCAGACTCAGATTGACAGAAGAACAATGGCGATTGAGCTATGATACTTCAGTCAGAATTACCCAGATTATTGTATACATTACAGAGAGTGGTTAGTATAAAGGTTTAGGCAAAATGTAAACTTTCAGAGAGTTCATCTATTCTTGGTGATGTTCCTGAGGGAAGGCGCAAAACTACTTTTGGTACAATGGATTATTCGCGGCATGTATGACGCTCGTTGTCACAGTGTACCATCATTTGACAAGCGAATATGCTCTATAAAGCCCACTGAAAGTTGGAAAAAGAGACCACAGTTGGAGCGGCTGCTACAGATTTCACAGAGAGACAACAACTATAAAGAAGTACGACAAGGTATATTACTATGATTAGCTTGCTTTGATTGCGAGGTTAAATACTCATAAAGGTATGCGTTTATAAGCTGTCATATGTTGGAGTGCTTGTAGGAAAATGTTAGGCACCAGTTTTGATGGGCCTTTAATTTCTAATGGCATTCTTGTTAAGTATACCCATTGCCGAAAGCGATGGACGGCAGTTTTGTAGCGTCGTATGTCAAATGAAGTTTATCCCTTGCTTCGTCTTGCGTTGAAAGAATTTTGAGCGAGTCCATTATTTGGCTCACTTAATTGCAATGTCAAGAACTGCTTTTTCAGTAACGAGAGAGATACACCTGTAAGGCATAGTCATGCATGTCAACACTATACACCGCAGAATGATTGTAACTATCAATAATCTAATATTACTTGCGGTATCTACTTTGAATTTAAACACTTACTATAGCACAACTATGAAATTAATCAGGATGAATGTATAAAGTACGGTTTTCAAAACTATTTTGGTCAATATCCATGGCCCCGGTAGCAACAATATCGTGCTTTCTTTTACAACTGATCCATTGCAGATGTCATGGGCTCGATAACGTTTAGTGTGTGCGTGTTAACAAAACGTTTGTGAAGCTTATACTCAACGCTCTTTTACTTTATAAACAAATGGGGTTTCTCTTGATAACTTTTTTTGTTGGGTAGGCTGAAGACGATTAGGCAATATCCATAGCTTTTTCGATTGAACTGTTCAGAAAGAGTTACTAGAGTATGTTGAAAATTATCGTAGAGAGACATTAAGAACACTCCGCTGTCAGTTTTTAAGACTTACGATTAGATAAATGATTACCTTAACTTCATTGTAGTCACTCTCTAAATTAGTGAGCTTCGATGTATAATTCGTTTACTAGACAAACGGATAAAGAATTCCTATCTTTGTTTCAATGGCTAGATGTTTGCATTGAATCATCAGCTCTTTCTATAGCGATAGAGGGCGGCTTGAATTTAAGAGAAAACTATGCAATAACAGTAAGATTAGATTGATTCCATAAACTTATTAGAGCGTTCGTGGCACCATTAGTACCTTGCATATCCACATTCACAACACACGATTGTCCGTCAGTATTCTGTTTATCAATTCGTTACTGCTTGATTCATTGCTTTTCACTCGTTGTCAGAATTCAAATTTAAAACTATAGAGACATAATAATTAAATAATAACAGCCAAGTGTAGGTAGTTTATAATGAAGAGAAGGCAGTGTCAATGGGATGGAGAAATTGAACGGGTCGTACAAGTAAATCTATGCGCCTAGATAAAGCTATAGTAGGATGCTTATCAAAATGTAATTTTAGACATAGTTTACTTACTTTAATATGAGTTTGGTCTCTCAATCTACGCAATATCATGGTTTTATGAACCAAAGTGAGAGAAAAAAAATTGATAGAACAAAGGTTTGATAAAACCTTATCAATTAGGTAATTAGATATAAACAATTAAGGTTCTGCACCTGTTTACATAGCAATAGAAGGCGCTTTGAAACCGAAGCTCAATAAAGCGCCTAGGATCGTTGTTCCAACATTGGTTTCTTTCCTTATTTCGTTTGGTAGCTGATCATCCTAGAACGGTTGCCCATAGTACATTTACACCTTATAACTTATTGCTCTTTTATTGTTAAAAGAAAGGTTTTCTCTGATAATTTAAGGATTCATTATCATATAGACGACTTTACAAAGTATGAACAAAGGCTATGTAAAACAAGTTGAGTGTATACAGTGCAGAATTTTCACATGATGCTGAATGACGCTCCTCCCTTAGAGCGTTCATCTCACAGAGAAGTAATGGCTGTAGGTGTAAATATATATTGATCGATCTATGTTTTTTTTTCCTTGTCCATTACAAAAAAGAAAAAAACAAAAAAAAACACAGGACATGAGGATTTCATATTGACTTGAGAATTGTCTCTTTTCAATACAGATCTGAAAGTAAGAATTGGTTACATGGACTATAACTCTATACATATCATGGCTTAATTACTTTATTCTCAAAGCCCTACTTTGTAAACAAAAAATTTCTCAGGTGTAACTTATCAAGAAGCGCTGTCAAGGGGGAAAAGACTGTACACAAAAGATCATAATTAAATAAGAGGCTATAGAAAGTGTGAAAATAAGCCTTACTTTTGTAAACAATAATTTCCCAGGTGTAACCCATCAGACGCCAAGGGGACTACTCTATACACAAAAGGCCAGAACGTGAAGGTTACAAATAAGAGGTTATAAAAAGATAGTTTGTGATGATGAACGTAGCCTTCTTTTTCTTTCTCTTCTCTTCTCTTCCTTGTCCTTTCCATCCAAAAACCAACAGATAGCAGTGGAAAAATGACTACTTTCAACGATGATTACATCATGTGGCAAGATGCCCTTCAAACCGGATGGCGTCCGCCATGTAAGTATATATGAATAACAGCAAATACAAAGTACGTAATAACAAAAGTCCTAAGCATACTATCGCGTTACCCTTCATGATGTATGATTATAGATCAAGACACAATCATGACGGACGCGGAGGTCGATGACCTGGCTGACCTCCTCGCCGGACTAGCCATCCGCTTCTGGTAAATGCCCTGTGCATTTGTTTCATATGAAATACGAAAATTATGTATATAGTTGTCCATAGAAAAGGCTATGTCCTTTGTAAATAAAAATATAAAGTTTTTCTATTGCTGTAAAGGAGGAAGATTTAAGATTTTATTTATATTGTGGAAAGCGCTTTTTCCATGCTGTTTTAGTACCCAAGATATAGAAAAGTAGATATGTGTTGTGTCTTTGTTCTGAATTTATCAGTATGGTAATGAAATGGCTATTGCCATGTGTTCAATGGTTCGATTAAAGAAAATAAAATAAAAATACTGTGGTGCGCTGGATCATTTCGAACTTTTCATAAGCAGACCGTTGACAAAAGCATTGGTAACCAACGCGTGTTTGCCCAATAAGTGACTTTGCTTCTTTACGAAATTCAGCATCTTCGAGTGTAGGATGCCAATACGTAAACTGAAGCGTTATTATTTTTATTTTATTATTTTTTTTTCTCTAAGAAAAGATAGGTCACGAAACTTTAGTGTACTTATTATGTAATATGTTGAATAGCTCAAATGAATAAGCTTTCATTGTCAAAGCATGAAAGCAAGTGGTGAGCTTTTCCAAGGAACGAATACAGGTGAAATCTACATGCTTAGAGCTTTGAAGAAAAAAGAGGCATTCACTATGTTTGCTCGTCCATGTTTTTATGTGCAATGTTGAAAAGCTTGTCTAAACGTACGTATTAGAACCATGGAGCGATGTCTACAATGCGTTCCAATTTTGTTTTAGCAATTATCCAAAAAAGAAAAGAAGCGACCCTTCACATGTCTGACTTTTAAATGTAACACTTGTCCCGCGTGCAAAACCCTTCTTTTTTTTTTCTTTGGTTCCTGAAATCTTTTTTAACTCAAACCTCGTCTTTCATGCATTACCCAATAACAACGAAATATGTTTTTAAGTTGTATTTGACATAATTATCGAAAAGTCTTTTGTAATATACCTATTGTTTGTTAACAGGCTTTCTATATTAAAAAAAGTAAAGCAAGCTGAAAGATAAATGTTCATTTTGAGAGTTTCATTTTAATGCTTGTACGCATAATACCCTGGCACTATTTTTTCGTTCATTGTCGGTAGTGAATTTTGCATGGAAAAAAACTAGAGTGGTTTTTTTTAGAAAAAGAAAGGAGCCAAGTCCTATTTCAATTTTTTTTGCATGACGATTTAATCGACCCTCATGATATCATCCATTTGAAAGTATAATAGTTGTCCAAAGAACAAGCCATTCGTTGATATATGAAGGAAGGTATAAGAGATCAGATCATTTTTCATGATTCATCACTCCATTTTTTATCAGATAGAATAGAGTATACTCAATAGTAAGGGATTAGGACAGTGGCAATGTTCATCCGGAACGTGACATTGTGTCAACAATAGGCGGATGTTTGAGGTTATTACAGTGTTTTAGCTTCAACTTTACACTTTATACAAATTTTATTGGACAATTTATATATTTAATTTAGATAATTTTAAATTATTTTAGGATGAAATGGTATAATATTCTTGGACGATTTATTGAATAAATAATTGTAGACATTACTTTGAAGGTCAGTGGACATTTTTCAATAGATAGTGGCATTACGTTAAAGTGCTACGAGACGTACTGAGTATTATAGTGTGACACAGGTCTTATCAGCAATAGATATAGGGTTGCAGTTTACGAGACTCTATTTATGGATCATATGAATTGATCTACGCGTTAAACTAATCCCAGACACGTTCTTCCGCCACGTAGATAACGGTTGTTGTTGTCAATCGTAACAAAAAAATAGATGTTGTCAAACTCGAAGCATTTACAGATAAAAATATGTTTGACATCTTTCCTCTGATTTCCATCTTTTTCTTCTTCTTCTATACTTTCTTTCCTCATCCTGATAGCTATTACTTACCATGTACAAAGCCCAAATATTGCAAAAAATTAAATCGGTGGCAGAAGCCCATAAGAATAAAGTCAAAGATGAGTCCTTCCGTAAGTAACACATGAGCGCGAAGCCACAAATAAGTTATAGTGGTAATCCTCAGATTATGTTTTGTATGACTAGTAAACATCGAGTGCAAGGATTGCAAAACACTCGGACATTTCAACAAGGCATACCATGAATGCAAGTTTTACAAAGCAGTTTCTGCGGCTGATGGTAAGCATCATGCTCTCACTGCAAGACAAGTTTATGTTTGCTTAACGGATATTTAGTTGGAAGTAGCGGCAAGAAACGTAAGCAATCAGCTACAATCAAGGAAGAAAAGAAGCAAGCAAAGAGAAAGAAGAAGCAAACAACTGGAGATATCAAGTGTATCAGTTGTGGCTTAAAGGGTCATTCTACTTCTCGTTCTCTCGAATGTCCCAATCACATTGCTTCAAAGGAAGAAGTTATTACCTCGACGCTTGGAGAAGGCTCCACTGTATTCACGAGGAAGCTCCCTCTTACGTCTGCTGTGAAGCCAGCGTTTCGCGAACAATTCCAAGAAAAAGTCATCTCTTGCTGCTCTGACATAAGGAGAATAGTATTCTCTAGTCAATTATTCGTTAACTCGTACCTCATTTATTATCAGGAGAATAGAAGGAATGCTAACAAAGGCGACAAGAAAGACACTGATAAAAACAGCAACAAAGGCAGTAAAGAAGCCAACAAAGACAGGTCTATTCCTGATGTATTCTGCCAGCAATTCTGGTATTCAGTAGGTCAGCTAGTAACGGGCAAGCAAGTTACTCACAAAACGGCATTATCCGAGGACATAAAACAGTATTATACAGACTTCAAGGCAAAGTTCCCTACTATCGAAGTAAAACACAAGCTGACCGTGGGATATAGCCATTGCCTTACAGAGGCAGCAAAGGAATTGAGCGTCTCTTACACGAACTCCATTGTAGAGCGCTTCGAGCAGCGCTTAACAAAGTTCCTTACTTACAAATTGAGAACTATGCTCCCGGTAAGGCTGTAACCGAGTACCTTCTTAATGCTCTGCTGTTTTATTCATTTTATTTCTCTTTATACACATTCTAGAATATCAAACGCACTGATGTACAAAGAATTGTACAGCTGTATTGTTACCAATCTGTCTGTCATGGTCATCCTCATTGGCCAGAAAACCTCGAGCTGGCGGCCGTTGACAAAAACCGAATTGAATTACTCTGCAAACAATTTGAAGAGTTCATTCCAGGAGAAGTAACCCTCGTTTCTCTTTCTGCTGCTCCTGCAAAGTTTGTTAATGCGTTATGGAACATACAGTTTACGTACGAGCAAGAACATATACAGCATAAACCGTACGATGTCCGTGTCCTACCACTTCCTCAGCGTTTCTTTCTCTTTCCTACTCCATCGCTGAAATGGCGTTTCATCGCGATAAGTATAAACGCTCTTACACCCTTCATGTTTCTCAGAAAAGTTGCCAAGGGTTATACAGCCCAACTCGAACAATTCTGTAAAGTCTTCAACTTCAAAAAGTTTGGCTTTAAGAGGTAAAACTATAGAAGAACTTCTTCAGCAAAATTATGCCTAATAGTAAACACACCCCTATTTTTGCTTCTGTCATAGTCTAACCGCTTTGAAGGAAAGTTCTGATGTAATGTTTCGAAACATAGTTAGGTCGGACGGCTTTACTGTAGACTTTTTGTTCAGCCGCAAAAAGAAAATAAAAGAAGACATGACCATTCATAATCACACCTTGACTTTGGAAGATTTTTCTTATGACGAAGTACAAGACAATTACAGACCCGCTTTCCTTGATCCAGGGCGAAGATCTGTCTTCACAGCGGCAATCGGACTAGATCATAACAAACATCAAGTACGCAGCTGCTCTACCAAGGAATATTATCATATGACCGGAAGTATCAGATACGCTGCAAAGCTGGAAAAGAAGAAAGCAGGCACAATTAAAATGATCGAAAGTGGCATACCAACCGCCAAAACTTCTATCATCGAACAACATGATCGTCATGTACAATATATGTTGCAGCACTTCGAAGCCTTGTCTTCTTTTTACGACGAGAGAACTGCTGAAGACAGATTTCGTTTATACCAGGGTAAAGAGCGTGCTGCCAACAACATGGTCAATTTGCTTATTAATGGAACCACAAAGTACAATAAGCAATTGAGGTTGAAGAAGAAGAAAGATCGAAGCAAGTGGCCAAAGAAGAATACCGACAGAATGGCCTTTTGTAAACGTAAAAAGAAGAAGAAGAAGAAGCAAAAGGTTCCAGAAGAGAAGGAAGAAGCAGATGCGAGAGAAGTAAGCGATGTTCTCGTTAAGAAAGATAGGTAAGGTTTTTAAACGATAAGCAATTCATCCACTATTCGCAGAAATATTGATAGAACTCATGCTTTCTACAGTAATCCCTTGAAGAACAAGTGGAAGCCTGAACCCTTTAGTGTAGGCGACACTAAAAAGATCCCTTTGATTGTAGTTGGTAATGGCATGTTCGGGAAGAGTGCAGTGCCCATCAAAGGCCATAAGACTGGTGTCGTGGGAGTTCTTTGGCGTGCCTTGAAGCGAAGAGAGACTGCTGGCGATTTGCTCGTATTAACCATTGATGAATACCTAACTTCTCGAATATGCAATAATTGTCGTTCCAACAATCTTGAAGCATTGAAGACAGTTCCCGGCCAAAGTATCCTTGCCTGCAAAACCTGTTCGATACTTTGGAACCGGGACGTCAACGCTGCTAAAAACATGTTGACAATTAGCGTTTCGACCTGGAAGTCAACGGGAAGACCTGCGGAGTTTTTTAGAAAACCAAAATCACCCGCAACAACCACTTAAACACCACCCTCTAATCGCCAGCACGAAGCTGGTTTGATTTTTACAGGTAAGCGTCTCAATTTTTGTGTAGTTCGATCTTGAAATTATAACTTGATGGTCTCAAAAATTTACTTTTTTCGTCTAGTTATATTGCGGCTTCGTCTAAACCCAAAGCTAAAAAACTGTAAGAAGAAAAAGCAAATATTGAATAAAGTTAACTGATCCATGATTTGATCTTGCACTCTAAATTAAATGTTGATAGACTATTCAAGAAACAAGTATGTGTTTTAATGAGCCGCTTCTAAATCATAGGTTAGAGTTCTAATTTCTTTCAAGTTGAGAGTCATAGCATTAGCATTTATCGAATTGGCTTTTAAACGCCTATAGGAAAGGAAGGAGAGTTCAACGTAAGAGCTGGTATTGTTTCTTAGATGGATGGAAGGAGATAGACGGAACTGTACAAAACTGTTACGTAAGAACCTTTTTTTAACTTTTTTTTTAGGAATGTTGTTACATTCATCTGTTTGAGTGCTTGAAGAAGCACAACTACCCTTCCTTTGATTCATCTTTGGGCAAAAAGAAAGTAAAAAGATTGAACCCTGAATTTCCTTTTTTTTAAGGGTTAACAGCTTAGTCATAAATTTAAGGGTCGACCCTTTCCTTTTTGTCAGCTTCTTCCCAAATAACAACACCACTGATGCTTCTTTCTGTCACTTTGAACCCTTGAGTAGTCGTCTTTTGTCTTTTTTTTTTTTTAGTTCAATTGCTGGTTATTTCAATGTATCAGCACTCTCATCAAAAGGATATTTCCACACGAGTCTTTTATGTTTACTTATTTAAAGTAGGTGGGAGGCGATGGGTAATATTGTTCCGGATTACCAAGAAAAAAGTAGGGTGAGGTAAATTGTAACCTGATGTCACGATGAAATCGCTTAAAATTATAGCAGCGAAAAATGGACACCCTTCGTTCTCATTGACTGTTCTAATTTGGGAATTCTGCAGAAATGTAAAACTGATCCCAAGAAGAAAAAAAGGGAGGGAAGGGGGGGGGTCTCTGTGAGGGTTTGTGTGTTGTCTGTGTCTGTGTCTGTGTCTGTGTCTGTGTCTGTGTCTGTATATGTGTGTGTGTTTTATTGACAATGATTATATAAATGTTTAATACTAGGGTATTTTAGTCAATAATAAACATCTGGCTTTTTTGGTAGGAGTGGGTGCCTTTCTGGTACCTTTCAGTTCCTTCATTTTCTTTCAATTCAAGCGTGGCCCTGATGTCGTAATTTGAAAAATACGTGCTCTACCCCTTCTCTAAATCTTTCTATTTTTCCATTTTCAATAACGGACGTTTGGTTTCCGTCGTTTCTTTCGTTTTCCATGATCCTCTGTGAAACAGTCAATGCAAAAAAACGACGATTCAATCTCCTACACAACAGCAAATTTGATGGGACGATCTCGCTTGTTTTGCCAAAAACAAAAAAAAAAAAGAAAGAGAAAGAAGGACCGTGCGGAAGGAACAAACCGTAATAAAGCAACACTAGACTTGCTACCTTTCAATCTTGTAATTTATCTTATATCAACAGTTTGCATCATGAGCAAACAATTCGCAAGATACAGCTAGTTAGTCCTTCTATTTGTCGTTAAAAGAAAAATGTAAAAGAAACGAAAAAAAAAAAAATCATGTGTGCGGGAAATCAATTCCATTCGTTGCAGCATGAAAGTGGACACACATACATACACACACAACTTTATCTCGCACAGCCAAAAAAACAAAAAAAAAAAAAAGACTAAACTAAAGGCATAACGATAATATCAAAATTATGGGCGGGAACCAACACAACACACATCATCATCTCCGCAAAATTTGTAATTTTTTTTTTCAAATATAAAGCTTTCAACTTTTGGGCCTGAAATACTCTTCTTTTCTTCCTTTTGATTTTCAAATCTTTTCCCCTGTTCTCTTCATTACCTGTTATCATCATGCCTTACGATAGAAAGCCCTCTGCTTCTGGCAACGAACGTCATCATCCTCATACACTCTCTACACTGGTAAGCTTCCACGGTTTGGTCATGGTCCAGACCTTTTTTTTTTTTTCTTTTTCTATTTAGCAACTCATCCTTGGTTTCTTAATCGTTTCATTAGGATTTCCAAGGTGCCAGCTCTGCTGCTGCTGCTAAAGCTATGAAATCTGAACTGGCCAAATTGGCTTCTCAAATCCAAAATGAAGAAGAACGCAAGTATTTCACTCAAGAAATGGATGGTTTCTACATGCTTTTCACTCGTTATTTGGATGAAAAGAGCAAAGCCAAAAAATTGTAAGTTTTTAATTTTTGATGGAGCGTAGTGTTCAGTGGGTGATGTTACGCGCGTGAACGACTCTTATACTCATCTATGTCCTCCTTCTAGGGATTGGGAAAAGATTCAAACACCTTCTTCAGAACAAATTGTTCCTTATGCTAGTCTTGAAGAAATCACTGATAAATCTGATCTTGACAAATTGGCCGTGCTTAAACTGAATGGTGGTTTGGGTACTACCATGGGTTGCGTTGGTCCCAAGTCTGCCATTGAAGTTCGTGATGGTATGACTTTCTTGGATTTATCTGTTAGACAAATTGAGGTAACGAATACCCGTTTTTTTTTTAATTTTTTTTATTATCCGGTACTCACATTTATGCATAACTACTTACAAACGTAGTATTTGAACAAGAAACATGACGTTAGCGTTCCTTTCATCTTGATGAACTCTTTCAACACGGATGAAGATACGAAGCGTATTGTTCAAAAGTACGCCAGTCATAACGTTGATATCATCACTTTTAACCAAAGCCGTCATCCTCGTATCAATAAGGAATCCATGTTGCCTGTACCTCGTACACCCACTTCACCTATCGAACAATGGTAAGTTTCTATATCCAGAGATTTCGTGTTTCTTTTCGTGCGGAAAATTGGGAAGTGGTGGTGAGTGTTCTCTTGTCTTTTTCTTTTTGTGTATTGCAAATAATGAAAAAAGACTTGATTTCTACTATACCACTATTATACACACCCCCTCCCCCAACTTGTGTCAATTTTCCTGGCTTTCGTGGGGTGTGTTCCTTTTTTTTTTTTTTTCCCTGTTTTTTAAAACAAAAAAATCCAACAAAAGTTCTAAATTTGGTTTCTTTTTTTTTTTTTTTTTTTTCCTTTCTTTTTCTGCCTAAAAGGTACCCTCCTGGCCATGGTGATTTGTATGAATCCATCTACAACTCTGGTCTTCTTGATCAATTGATTGCTCAAGGCAAAGAATATCTCTTTGTTTCCAATGTCGATAATTTGGGTGCCACGGTTGACTTGAACATTTTACGTCACATGGTCGACTCTGATGCTGAATTCATTATGGAAGTCACTGATAAGACCAAGGCAGATATCAAGGGTGGTACTCTTGTCGACGACGATGGTCATATCCGTCTTTTAGAAATCGCTCAAGTCCCCGATGAACACGTGGAAGATTTCAAATCGGTCAAGAAGTTCAAGATCTTCAATACCAATAACTTATGGATCAACTTAAAGGCTATCAAGCGCGTTCTCGACGATGAAGCCATGGATTTGGAAATCATTGTAAACAACAAGACAACTCCTCAAGGTGAAAAGGTCATTCAATTGGAAACGGCTGTTGGTGCTGCCATTAAACACTTTAAGAATGCTCATGGTGTGAATGTCCCTCGTACTCGTTTCTTACCTGTCAAGTCTACCTCTGACCTGTTCTTGGTCACATCGAACTTGTATTCTTTGGTTCACGGTCGTCTTGTCGTGAACCCCGATCGTATGTTCAACACAGTTCCTCTCATCAAGCTCGGTGACCATTTCAAGAAGGTGAACGACTTCTTGACGCGTTTCAAAACCATCCCTCATATTTTGGAATTGGATCACTTAACAGTGACCGGTGATGTTTGTTTCGGCTCTAAAGTCGAATTACGTGGTACAGTCATCATCGTCGCTAACCATGGTGAACATATTGATATTCCTTCTGGTACTATCTTGGAAAACAAGGTTGTTACCGGTTGCTTGCGTATCCTTGATCATTAGTCATACCTCAGCACGTTGAAAGCAAAACTTGTTTCAAGAAAAAAAAAAAAAAAAAAAAAAAAAAAAAAACAGGCCAAAAAACAAAAGCGTTTTCAATTTATTTATATCCCTTCTTATCATTTTCCACATTGTGTTTACTTTTTCTATCATATCATTAAAGCTTTATACAAAACAGAATTTGACAAAATTGTGTCCCTTTTTTTTTACAATGTATACTGTCTCCATCTTTTATAACTGATTGGCATCAGGCACGTCTACTTCTCATGCCTCACTCTGTTAACCCTATTCAAGACTAAAAAAAGCCCAGGACTACTTATGATCACCCGACGTATCTGTTACACGATAGGGTCAACAAATTACCCCAAGAAGAACAATACAAAAGATAGATGTTATGACAAGTGTTGTCCCCTATACTGCCTGGTAATGCATCACTAGTTTTTTCCTCTTGAAAACACGGGTGTTATCGTTGCTCTACGCAGCAGGCCATCTTTTGTTGAGAGAAAAAAAAAAAAAAAAAAAAAAAAAAAAAGCAAAGCAGCAGTAAGAATTAATTGATCTAAAAGGCTTTGTTGCAAGCTTACACCATAACAACGGAAGAAATCATTCTAAAAGTGAAAAATAGTGCACCCGCTTATCATTGATCACCATCCATTGAAAGATAAGCAGCTAAGAATCTACCATAGGATCTTTCACTGATGCATCCTCCATTTCGAGGGAATAGAGTGTTTCTTCAGGTATCACACGCGCCCTTGGTCAGCATTGAACTTTAGTACTGGAAGCAATATCTATGTCAATAAGGAAAAATAAAAGAACCTGACTCAATAGTATCAGCACATCAAAGTAACCTTTGGTTAGTATATAAGTATTTACATAGCGTCCCATCTTATTCAGTCTGGTCAGTGAGTTGAATAGCGCCAATATCAGTCAGAATTTTGTAACCGAATTTCATTTCAAAAGTATCCCACGATAATTTGTAGGCATAGGTACTCGTTAAGAAGAGACTACTTACATAAGAATAGGGAGGCTTGTATCGTTGACTGTTTGGAGGTCGCGTGACAAGAAGAAAATTTTGTTATAAAAAGCCCCCATGTTTTCTCTTTGGAGGTCTCTTTTTTTTCTCTTCTTTTTCATACATTAATGGCCATCGTTTACTTATATCCTTTGTAACGCTTGCTCCTCGGCTTTGGCGGCAGTCTACTGCAAACCATGTTCTTTATTCCCATTGATCTTGTTCTTAATTGACACCGGCAGACCATAGGACAGTTTCACTGGGCCTTGTAAATCCCTCTGTCGCTAGTGTTGGGGTTGAGCGGTCATCTGTCGTGTTCTGGGATCCTAACACTGAAGGACGGCGGTAGATTGTTTGTTATTGCCTTCACACCTTCCCCTTTTTATGTTTCCCCTTATATACCACTTGGTTATCAAGAGTTGTTTTGTCTGTCTGAAGCTTTAATCATAATCGCGAAGCGCTTGGCGAGGGGAGCAAACCGAACACCTGCTTTTTTGGCAGAGTACCTTTTATGACCTAGCTTAGGACTTCAACTTTTATAATCCAAGCCTCTCCACGTTCCATAGTTTTCTTTCTTTTGAGCAAGTGTTACATTTTTTAAGGATTATGAGGAAACCTCAGGCCAAGATTCCCATATTTGCTTATCTAGTTTAAATGGTTAAAACAAGAGTAATTATTTTTACTCTTATTCAGGTTCGAGTCCTGGGATAAGCTAACTCAATGCTATCATTTACATATTCCTTTTTGTCATGGTCTTATTTCTGCTACTGTTTTCAAATGTTTTCACGTGAAAATAACTGTTTTTGTGTGTTTGTGTGGGAGAGGGAAGGGGTTGTTGTTTTAACAAAAGATCCCTAGGTTAGTCACTGTTACGAGTGCCTGAATTATTTTTCTTTTTTGACGCATAAAAAATAAAGGTCCTAGGTTTTTGGCGGTTTTTTTCTTTTTTTTTTTCCTCAGCGATTCACTTCAACCTCTTCCGTCTTTTCTCTTCCTTTTCTATTTTTCTATGAACAAAAACTGACATGCCACCGAAACGTAAGACAGCTTCCTCTTCTTCCACTATTGCGCCTCGATCTGTCAAAGTGCGAAAACAAAAAGCAGAGTTTGTATCCTTGAGATAAATTGATACGGTGAAAAGTGGCCCATAACGTTGAGGATCTAACTTGCCCTTATATGAATGTATGTATATTCTATTGTCTCATGTACTACAACCTTGTTAGAACAGCACAGGTAGTTTAATCGAGGAAAAGTTGATCGTTGAAACAGTCGTAGTAAACACATTTTCTACCCCGAGCTTTTAGAAACGATCCATTGCCATTGAACAACTGAAATGGTTTAAAAAATATGCAGATAAAGATCAACCTGATCTAATATCACCAGAAGGCTGTCAAGCTTTATTTGCAGATCTGGGTGTGTCATTAGAAAGTGTAGGACGGCAACATGACAAAAGCTGGATCAGGTCATTGTCATTGTCATGATGTCATTAACACACAAAACAACTTTATTCATTTAGTTGCTTCCTATTATTGTTGGCTGGAAGTTCGAGGCTAGTCGGATGGGTCATTTCACAAAAGACGAGTGGATCAATGCTTTAGCGAAATATGAGTAAGTTTGAAAGACTTTACAGCTATGAATGAAGGGTACAACGAGAAAAGAATCTACGCAACAAGAAAAAAAAAAAAAAAACGCGCATTCTATTGAGAACGGTATCTCACTTCACTCTCTTCTGTACCTCTTACATTCAAAGCATCACAACAGTAGACACTTTTAAAACGGCTATAGCAGAATGGGAGAAAACAGTAAATGAAGAGCCAGTCGAATTTAAACAATTATACCTTTTCACGTTCAATTATGTAAAGACAACAGGACAAAAGAGTATGGATGTGGAGGTAAAAACAGAATGATATAAAAAGAGAAGGGTCGTCATGGCGTAAACTTGTGTAGCTTACTTGGGATTCGATCTGTTTCACTATGTTGTAGACCGCAACTACACTCTGGCAGTTGATGTTACAGAAAAAATACCCCTTAATTGAATCCTTCGTACAATTTCTTCAAGTATGTTTGTGTGTGTGTGTGTGTGTGTGTGTGTGTGTGTGTGTGTGTGTTGGGTAAGTGTCATAGGACAATGTTGGCTAATGCACACCATTCATTCTTAGGAGAAAAAGCCTGTAAAAGTAATCAATAGAGATCAATGGTCAAGTTTATTGGATTTTTGTCGGTCCATACCTAAAGATCTATCAACGTACGATACAACGTCCTCTTGGCCTGTATTATTCGATGACTTTGTAGAATGGAAACAACAATGTTAATATAAATATACAGAGTATGTCATCATGACAGAACAAAGGGAGCAAAACAATCATCCATGTAAAAATGAGGAAAAACCAAAAAAAAAAAAAAAAGAAAAAGCTGTAACCATTTCTTTTCTTGTTCTTCCTTTGCTTTCCCCCCAAAAAAATAAATTATGTTGGTTGAAAATGTCATTTTCTTAATCATACAAGCGTTACTATTGACATTCGGATCTACCAAGTTAATCCGACTCATCTTTGCCGACTATAAACGACCTTCTCTGTTGGATTTCAAAAATACGTCGTATATACCCCACATTATATTTTCCTCAACACTGAGTAGTTCATGCACGCTTTTTCTATTGGTTTTCAGTGAGATAACAAATCTGTTCTCGACAAAGTAAGTTGCCAGCGCTGTGGCACAACAGACCGTGACGGCAGAAGAGTAGAATGTGACTAATGATGTTGCTTTGACATGAAGTTCTCAACTTTATTTGTGGAAGTTGAATTTAGAAATACTTTTGCTACTTGTCATTCTGATTATTCCTTGGTTTCAACTTTATGCGTTTTTTCATTCTACAAAAGGTATCTGAGAAATCAACCCTACCATGTTATGGAAGCACGCACCGGAAACTGATATGATTTACTTTACAGCGTGCAGGACACAATTTTCATTTTACTTATCGACCCTTCTTTGGAGCATCTACCTTTACTTATTTCATGAAATATCGTATGCAACGACCCTAGGTAGATAAACAAGCAATTCAATGATTCAGTTTCCTTTTCTTTAAGACCCTGTGCTTATGTTCCTATGGGTTTCTATAGACGCAGCGTCATGGATTGAAAATGGCCTGATACGTATTAGTATCATTGGGATCACTTTCATTTCTATTCTATCTGGTTTTGGTGTTGTCAATACACCATTTACCACCTACGTTACGCATAAAAGAACTGTCAGTGAACATGAATATAGGTCGGCTGAACATGCTTTTCATCAAACAGAAACGATGATGGAAGAGAAGAAGTGTTTGCTGCAAAGGATGGAAATGCAAGAAGCTCAAACTGATTCAAAATACAATAAAAAGTCGTTTGTGTCCAACATAATAGCTTCCTTCAGGACAGATACAAATGGTAAGCTGAGGAGAGCTGCTATTCATTGTCAGACTTGCTTAATTTTTTTTTGTTGTCTTTAGAAACAGTAATGCTAAAAACAGAGATAGAGCAGCTGGAAAGCTTGCTAGTAGATATGAAGTCTGATTTAGATGAACTTGAACGAGGAAGGGTGAGTTAATGACACCTGCAATCCATTTGCATATCACATCCATCATGAAGAAGTATTGACCCCTGATCTAAAACTAATAGGCCAAAAGTAGATTCAACCAAACTGTCAAAGGAAAATTATACTATTTGATAGATAGACTATTCTCCGTGTATTGCATTTACAAACTCATTTCAGTAAGTAAAAAAGAACAGCAGTCATCCCTTCCTACAATCCACATACAAGTGCGTCATGAGCACCGAACACGTCAGTAATCTTTCGTTTATCTAATGACAGACTGCCATCAACGTTGTTTTTCAACGCAACACATCAGACCCCATTACCAATGCCTTATCTATCATGATATCTCACTTGGACAAACATAGCCATCTTGAAATTAATATAGACCGATCATTCTGGTCCCAGCAACTCAGTTTTTGGTTTGCAGGCATCATTGTGTTCAGCTCTGTACGTGGCTGTCTAAAGCTGCTGACAAAAATCCTACATATCTTTACATTCAAGATTACATTCTCACAAGCCAACATTCTGCTCTCTGTATCGCATATGATGGGAATGTATTTCTTGAGCTCCATCTTGATGATGCAAATGAGCTTACCACCTGAATATAGGTAAAACAAAAAAAAAAAAAAAAAATCAATGGATGCCTATGTGCCGTTTCCATAACATAGAGGGAACAAGACAGTAGATACAAACCATTTTTTTATTTTTTTATTTTTTGCCTGTTGTAATTACTAGATATCTCATGTCAAGTTCGCTGCAATCCATTGAATTTGAGTTTTTCAAGCACTGGTCAGATATCATCGTTGTCATTTCATCTCTCGTTTCATTTTTTATTATTTATATTTTGCATACAACGCATGACCCTAAAGCAATGGCAGTCGATTTTGCTGATATGGAGTTGCTCTCTGTTGAAAGCGGGGCTGGTCGCTAGTCATATGCACTCTATCGTGGTGGCTTGTCTTTTTTTGATTTTGCTGAAAATTGGGAATTCATGTGGGCTTCTTTTTTTTTATTCACTTTTCCCTTTTTTTTTTTTTTCCTAAAATTAAACATACAATAAGAATGCCTCCCAAAACTATTCAGAAGAAACATAAAAAACCGCTTACTCCTTTACAAAGAAAACGTATGATATAATGTAAAAATTGGTTTTTTTTTTTTTTTTTTTTTTTCTTTTTCTTTTTATGTGCGTGTAGGATGAATTCAACGGTCCATTGTTCATCTAATCTCAATTTGGTTTTCATCGATTGCAGTAAAAAAAAGAAAGCAAGAACTTATACATAAAGCTCAAGTGAAAAGTCAATACTACAAGCAGTTAAATAAAGATAAAGATGATGATGCACCGGATTATGTCAAAGAGGTAATTAGAAAGAGTATCTGTTACCAACCCATCACGATCTTTTCTCGGCTGACTCCAGACATTTCGCTCGACTATGTATATAGATCTTTGGTGCTGAACGTACTATTGATGAAAATGGTAACGTCGTTGAATTAGCACCAGACTCAATGAATAATTCTGATACCGAGGAGCAAGAAGTTGAAAGAGTGTATGATTTAAATCAGTCATCGTCCTCTGAAGACGATGAAGACGACCATGAAAGTGGCAGCAAGAAGCTGAAGACGGCACATAAACCAAATCCTTTCAAAAGTCAATTAGAGGAACGTGAGCGACGTAAAAGAGAAACAGAGCAAGAAAGGGAAGAACGTTTGAAGAAGCTCGAAGAAGCGAAAAAGGCCAGACAGGAATACTTTAAGCATAGAAGAGAACAACGTGGTAAAATGCTAGCGAAATCAAAACGAGGACAACCCAACATGGCTGCGCAAATGGATATATTGCTTGAGAAAATTGAACAGAAGGGACTATAGACATTCACAACGATGGAATGGAAAACTTGTACATAAATTATTTCAATTCAAATCATTTCATGCCTAATAAAATCCAGGCTCATTTTTCAAAGATATCTGCTATTTGAGATGTTTATGTTTCTTTATCCAAGCTTTATCAGTTTTGAATCAGTAGCTAAAGGCAAGCATTCGATGATTCAATAAATCGTAAACAATTACGCAGTTTTGGAAAATGTGCAAAATTAAACAAGTTAGACTGTATGTGCTGGGTAAATACCCCCGGCGTGGACATAGCTGTATTCATTATCAACAGCCTTCAACTTGCAACTGACTGCTGTCGATTCTCAATCGATAAAATCATGAACGGTCCCAATATTGGATGATGAAATGCGACTTCCATTGGGTTGACAATCTGAGCTTCGTCATTGTATCTCTTTTATCCTTTAATAGCAAGATAAAGAGTATACAGTTTAGACTATAAAGATGATTGACGCTTGAGTTCTTATCTTTAACGTGACATCATTATATAACACCTCGCTTTAACAGCCCAAGTCTATGTGTGTAGACCACCATAGATCACAATAACTTATCAAGGTTTGGACCGATTGGTATATTGTATGAGGAGTAATATGTAAATACGATCATTCTACTCTGTGCTCTTCACTCTTGAGCAGCAAAGAGGATAAAGCAAGGGAATAAAACGTTCTAGTAATCACCTGTCTTGTTCTATGCGAGATTGCAAAGTCCCGCATAAGGGATTTTTTAACCGTCGATGTTATTTCGTGACTTATTCGAAAGTCTACTTATAATAGATAAGGGCTAAACTTTTTTTTTTTTCTTTCTGGGGGAAAAAGCCGGTTAGACATCTCAACAGCCTTAATAAAGATATCCCTCTCTCATTAGAAACTTCTGTTCAGTTGGACGTATTGATCTCATTTAAGAATACTTTTTAAAGCATGATTGTATGATGGTACGGAACAATGGTCATAGACATGGTTCAGGTCCAACCGAGTGGCTAATAGTACGTCGAGAATGCGGACGCGTACCTTGCCACGCTCTTAGCTAGATGTGGACAAAAACAAAGACGAAAATAGAAAAAAGCACTACAGTAGGGAACAATCATTTGGGCAGTAACTCGTATAATGTAATGACATATCAAGAAATGAATCTTATCTTATCGATGAAAAGCAAAAAAGAAGCCTGTTTGGTGCCTTTGGTAAGATAATAAAAAGTGATGTTATCTTTCTATATGTTCATAGATTTCTGTTGGTGTCTCTTTCTCTAATGTATTCTTCGAAAGCAATCTGGTTCCCAAAAAAAACGATGCAGACTTTGCATTTCTTATTATGGCATTTTAAATTAAATTATATGCATGACAAACCGGTTTCAAGCAAAAAGGGAGAAGTGGAGGGTACACTGCCCGCTACCCAAAGGATGAATTTCTTTTTTTTACTCATTGTTAAGTTTTGAAGAATCAGCTGAAAATTCCCAACAAAAAAATTCGGACCCATGACCGTCGTCATCATAATGTAGAGGTTGCTATTTTGGAAACGTACAGATGCTTTAGGTTTGCTTGCACTGGTCGCACTAGACGACCGTAACACAAAATCACTGGAACGTTCATGCATTGTATGAATGAGGCTTGCTCGCCATTTTGCCTTATTGTCACTTATTCATAATGAAAGTAACAAAGGTAGGCTAGAACAGTAAGTAAGATTTTCTTGTTTCACTTTATGTCAAACAACCAAGATTTTTTTTTTTTTCTTTCTATTTTCTGCGTCGTCTTGGGTTAAATGATGTATATACATGGAAAAACAGTTGGAACTTTTTTTTTTATTTTGAAGAGAAAAAAGGCTTGTTGAATGGGTTGCAAAAGTACAATGGATACTAAACCATTTTAGTTGTGTATATATAGAAAATGATATGAAAAATAAATGTTAATTGTAGAGAGTGTCGCAAATAAGTTATTGTAAACCTTTCTATCAAAAGAAATCAATTTATTCAAGCTTTTGGCCGGTGATGGCAGCAGAGTTGATACCAGTAGTACGCATGGGGACAGCAGGAGCGACAGGAGTGATAGGAGCAGTAGCATGCTTCTTTTCCTTGTCTTCAGAGAGAATGGGACACAAGAAACGTTCGTAGACAAATTCAGCACCCTAATAAGTTTTTTTAAATAAGAGGTAGGTTAGGTTGACGTTTTTTTGGTTTTTTTTCTTGTCATACTTGAATGCGTAACATCCTTTCAAAAGGGTCCTCTTTCTGCTTTTTTTTTTTTTTTTTTTTTTTTTTTGTCTTTGTCAACTTACTCTGAATTGAGGCAACATGAGCCAGAGAACCAAAGCAGTCTTAATAAGATAGTAGAAGGGGCACCAGTAAAGCAAAATGTCAGAAAAGTATTCAAGCATGTTGGCGAAACCGATTACACACCAGTAGACCAACCATTGAGTATCATCATGAATATCATCGGATTCAATAGCCTTAAAAGAAGCAATAGCTATGTGATTGAAATAGGATGTTAATCAGTGAACCCTTCATTCAACAAAATGACAAGAGTAACAATTAAAAAAAAAAACGCGTCTTGTTTCTTTTGGCAAGTTTCTCTACTCTTCCTTTCCTCTTATTTCATTCATATTGAAACTCGTGTGGATGTTGCGCAGATGTAATGCCAGATAATAATCAAAAAAACTTACCAGGATAAATCCAAGCAATCATATTTGTCAAGAATTGAGCACCCAAATTGAAAAAGATCATCATGAAAATGGTGAAAACGGTGCCGATAACAACGTAAGCCTTGGGCAAACCAGTGCGACGTTGAATTTCGTTGGCATATTCATAGTTGGATAATTCAGCATCAATACGAGATACATAGTGGTCGGTCTTTTGCTTTAACTTGTTCATGGCGTTCTTGGCGGCCAATTGAGCTTGAGCTTGACGATTGAGTCTGGGGGCACCAGGGGCGGTGGTAGGACCAGTAGCACCGGGAGCAACACCGGGAGTGGAAGTAACAGCGGGATCAATAGGAGCACCAGAAGACATTTTGAAGGTGTATATGATAAAAGATGAAAAAGAAGAAAAAAAGAAAACAATGAAAAAGAAACCCAAAAAATACACACAATGATGGAAAAAAAAAAAAAAAAGTGACTCCTTCGCTTCTGCCAAAAAAAAAATACAGAGCTAATGATGATGAATCCGGTTTTACAAACCGCCAATGAAATCATCTCTTTTATTGAACATGATACTCTCTTTTTTGCTTTCCATAACCGAAAATAGCAGAACAAACAAATTAGTGCAAAAACGTACGTTGAGGTATAATGGAATCTACAAGATAGTTTCATCAACAGAACTCATATCATCCATTGAGCAAAAGGTATTTGATCGTGCTGGGCCTTTGGGTCTCATCACTTTCTTTTGGATCTTTTCCATTTCAGTCGCGTACGCCACTAATAAAGCTGAGGATTTCTGCTGTATTCGTAAAGCGGGATGATTAATGATATCTACCGCCGTCGGACGCCTACGCTCTGGTTTAAGTAGCCATTCGATTATTGCTATTAAATCTGGTGACACGCTCATCAGTGCGCTTTTTTGCCTTGAGATATCGCCTTCTCGAAGCATTTCCCAAGCTTCACCGGTATCGGGTAATGGAAGGCCTGACGCCAATTCGAGCAAAATGAGTCCCAAACTTTTTTTTTTTTGAGTGTTAATTTGGGCATAAAAACAAACCCCCCAAAAGAAAAAAAAAAAAAAAAAAAAAAAAAAAAGAAAAGAAAAAAGTTAAAACTCTAATGGCCTTTCTTTTTTTTTTGACAAGTGATTTAATCTTCAAAAAAAAAAATAAAGATATTACCTGAATATGTCAGCCGATGGAACATAGCTCTCTCTTAATAGCTCTGGTGCCATATACTGTCGATCACCTTCACCTTTTACCCACCGAGTATCCTAAAAATAGCAAGTTTAGTGCATAAAGTTTCAGTAGCGCCACATCATTTTTATGGTTAGAATATTACAGTAGGTACATGCACAGACGTGCCGAAATCGCTTATTTTGATGCAGCCTTCGTCATTGACAAGTATATTTGCTGGTTTGAGGTCCAGATGGGCTATACTAGCTTCATGTATATCATGTATGCCATGCACAAGTTCATGTAGGATTTGCCACACTGTGGCTTCGTCAATCTTGCGGTTGTAATGTTCCATAAATTTATCAAGACTATATCCAACATGCCCCGTCAGAAAAAGAGTTCAATACACGAATAGTGGGCCCACACAATGCCTGCAATTTACTATTGTATTTCAATTATTGCTTTTTTTTACCTTCCTCCTGAGCAGAATTCAAATTCTATATACAGATAACCTCTTTCTTCCCAAGCTTTATGCATATGAATACAATGATCGCTGTGTTTTAACTGTTGCAAATAGTTTACTTCCATTATTTGTCGCCATCGATCATCCCAACCTGCAAAGACTGTTTTCGATCTCTTTATTGCTGTAGCACGACGCGTTGTTATCTCTTCAGTTTCCTGTGTAATACTCTCTTTGCCCTCAGTTTCATCTGCTTCAGCTTCTTCTTCAAACTCTTCTACTTTTTCTTCCTGTTCTGAAGCAGTTGTTGATATGATAGAGTTATTAGAAAGGCTCACTTTATACACTTGTGCATATTCACCAACATCTAATAAACCCAGATTACAATATTCCGTTTCGAAAAAAGGGTAAATGTTGCTCCTATTACTATAGGGTTGCTGCTGCTTATCTTCGTCTGTGAGAACAATCCTACTTTCGCACGTATATTTCTCAAAATAGTCCTCTGTAAAGAAATGTGGCCATTCGGTTATCCATGGTCTTGGCTTTCTAATCTGTTCCTGTAGCTGACTGACTTTGGCAGCAGGCGCTACTTCAAATTCTGGTATTTTTGCTTCATCCAAATCGTCATTGAGGCCGGAAAAGAAGTTGGCTGCTTCTTCGTCAAATTTGCCTGCTGCTGGTCGTACGTACGATTGACTCAATGGTAAAGTCGTTTTATCTTCCATAGTAGTCACTTCATCGTCCTCTATATTCTCGTTCTGACTCCCCTCTTCTTCAATTGCGGCTGCTTCGTCTTCTTCATCGTCCGTATCGAGTACGAAGACATCAACAAAGGACGAACTTTTTCGTCGTTTTGGTTCAGGTTCTTCTGGTTGCCTATAAAGATTACTGGATAGTAATAATTCCCTCATAAGGGATCGTCGAACAGGCTGTCTAGAATGATTTGCTGTACAACGGCCAGTGCTTATAGAGGTATCTTCCTCTTCTACTACTTCTTCCTCTTCCTCTTCTTCCTCCTCCTCCTCCTCCTCCTCCTCGTTATCTTCTTCGTTCAAGTTGCCACAACGAAACAGATCTGGCTGATCTTGATGGTCATCAATAAACTTTTGCATCATGTCCATTAATCCATTTTGATTATGACTATTTGTTCTCGAAGGTGATTGATCATAACCACTTCCTGCTTCAAACAGAGATGAAAATTGTCTCTCTTCCATAACTGGCGATTCGTTGCCAGCCATAGAATCGAACTGTCCTATTTCTAGATCGGCCAGCAGATCTTCGTCATTTTTAAATGGTGTAGCTGTTCCTGCATAATATCTTTTCTGGGTATCTGTACAAACTTTTTTTAGAAACGGGCTGTCAGGTGCTTTAAAAGACGCTGCGGTAGAGATGATAGGTAAAGAAGATTTGCGCTTTTGCATTGATTAAAAAACAGTATTTATTAAGCGCCCAAATGATGTACAAAAAGAAAAAAAAAAAAAACGAAGAATGACGATATAGATGTAGTTAAAGTGCAAAGAAAAAAAGAAAAAAGAACAAAAACCATGCAGGAGTAGGTTGCAAAGGATTTTCCGTGCAACAAATAAATCCGCTCAAATCAAATCCGTTGCAGTGATCACGGAAGATGAAACGAACTCTATCGTCTAGAGTTATTTAACATCAAGGTACACTTAGTCTATTAAGCAATGTGTGTTTGCTAAGTTTAGTCCGCAGTCTCTGTGAAATTTCCCAATTTAAAAGAAAGTAAAAGAAGCACGATTCACGTCATTGCACGCTTAGTAATACTGCATACGATTATAAACACAACATCTTCAGAGCAGGATATGTATTCTAGTCAATGGTCAAACACTTTTATTTCTCTAAGAAGATTTGGGATTTAGCTTTTTTGTTCTTTTTTGAGTCCTTTTGTTCCTTTGACTTTCTCTTTTTAGTTTTTGCTTTCTCTTTTTCTTCTTCCTTTAGCTTTTCTTCCAATTCCTTCTTGACTTTTTTCACGTGTTTTGCTAATCTCTTCTTCTTCTTCTCTTGACTCCTTCTAAAGATTTCCATTTCTTTTTGTTTCTTGTATTCATTTCGATGACTAGGATTCAAAACAAAAGAATGTTAAAACAATGAATAACAATAAGCACTATGGCAACATGTCACTAACAAAGAAAAACACTTACGGTGCCATCATCTTGATACCAATGTAGTTATTGAGCTCTCTATCGTCTGCTAACAGGATTTCTTCTGCTGTCAAACCATAATTCTCTGGTTCAGTCTTTGCATATTTGAATCGAGTAAATGTATCGCCGCCAATGACATCTTCATAATTAAGGGAATAGTATTCGTCAAGTAACTTTTCAACCATCTCTTTCTTTTGTCGAACCTCTTCAGAATCCATTTCCGGCTGGTTAGTCTCTTCATCTGGGTATTTCTCCCCGCCTGGAAGGAAGTCTGCGTCCATAATATCATCATCCCACTGAGGTTTCACAGTAGGATCATCGTCTTGTTGGTTATAATAATCTTCGTCAAACACGCTGTTCATATGCGCATCAAAAGTCGCTGGGTCAAAATCACCTTCTAAATCAATGTTTTCTAACCCTAATGCCTTAGCGCCCGTGATACCTTGGATCTCCTTGAGTTTCTCTCTGATTTCTTTCATCTTTCTATTCTTCTCTTCCTTCAACTCAACCATCTTTTGTTCTTTTAGAGCCTCCTTATGAAGACGCTCTTTCTCTCTTCTGAGGGCTCGTTTACTCTTTTTTCTACGTACTGTTCCTTCGACATCACGAGCATGCGTGATAATGTTGGAAGAACCTTCTTCTTCGAAACGGAAATTATATTTACTCTCGAATCGATCTACATTATCGAGATATTCCTCATCTTTCTCGGGATCCACTTCCTCTAGATTTGTATTCTCCCGCTCTTCGCCCTTATCGACCCATCCGCGATTCAGCACGTAATCCATTAAAAATGCCTCTTCAGCACTGATGTCCGGGTTTTCTTTATAATTACTCCATTCTTCCACTGCCTTTTTGGAATGTTCGTCATTCTTCATTTCTTCCAACAAGAATCTGCGGTAATCATCCTCTTCAGCTTGTTTCTCTTCCGTCGTCTTTTCTTTCTTTTGTAAAAAGCCATCGTCATCATCACTCTCCTCTTCGTTTTCGGTATCTGACACTATCGCTTTTTTAAAAGCATCACGTAACTCGGCTTGTTCTTCTTCATGTGTTTTTTCAGCAGTTTTCAGATTGGCTTCATCTTCATCCTCAATGAAACCTCCATGTTCAAGAAGCATCTTTCGCTCATAGTCTTTCAATGTAAGAGGTGCATCCTCCTTTTGTTTCTTTTGCTTTTTATCAGCCTTGGTAGCAACAACACTATCGTTGCTGTCATTATTGAAAAAACGAGCATCTTTTTGATAAACACGAGGATCTTTCGATCGAATGGCGGCAATCGTTTTCAAAATCTGAGAGTCAACAGCCGGTGTTAATAATTGAGCATCGTCATCTTCATCTTCATCTGAATCGGAGGTTTCGCTATCCACGTCATCATTTCCTTCAGCTTGCTTTTGAGCCACTTCTTCTTCAATTTCTACGTAAACGGGTCATTTACTGTTAGCTGAAGGTACAGACTTTTTACTGTTTTAAATAAATTTGTTTTACCTCTGATGGCCTCTTTCACTATTAAGAAACAATTATAAAAAGGAAAAGGTATAAGGTTAGATCGATTTCAAGATCTAGATCTTTTTTTGTACTCGTAAAAGGAAAAAAATAGATCGTTTTCAACATACATAGTTCAGGCTTTTCGTATTCTTCTTCTGAATCACTCCTTTCACGTATGGCTACTTGAAATTCAGAATCTTGAACAGAGTCCTCCTTTGGACTCTCTTTGATCTTTTGATCTTTTGATTTTGACGATGATTTGGGTCCCATTTCTTTTCTGTTAGCTGATCAAACGTTTGAACGACAGAGAAAAAAAAATTCTATTCACACTTTTTTCCACAAAACGCTGTCGCAGTTTCAATATCATACCTGTTGAATTTTGCGACCTTTTCCTTTTTTAAAATGTTAACATTTTCACCCTGTGCCTGAATCACAAAATTTACCTATTGCTTTTTTAAAGATGATAAAAAAAAATTCCAAGATAGTTCTCGTGATGAGATAGTGGTGAATCTTCTCAGAAGAGGTTATATCAGCTCTACAAAATATGGTTTCTTTGTAGCCGACAACAACAGCTAACTATTTGTTTTGAATTCGTTTGCATTTTTTATTGAAAGCAGCTATTAAGAAAGAACATTAATGGAGATAGTATTGTCTTGATAGCATTTAATATGTTTGATGTTTGATCAAGAAAATCAAAAAATGACCTGATGGGTAAAGCATTGCCGTGTTTATAGCTTAAAACCGAGAAACATCACAAGTGTGTAAAACGAAAGCTTTGAGTACAATGTTGTTGCTCGCTTATACTTCTATTGAGAATCCACTATGACGTTGGTGAAGCTGAATGGGAGTCCTGCTTTGATACAGATGGAAAACTGACTGTAAAAGAATCAACAATAAAAAATAGGGAGACAAAACCTATTATGGCGGCATAATGAGAAAGATCTATATATAATTTGGGGGGGGGGTCTTATGTACAAACCCCTCATACTGAAGGGTTTTTACCCCATCTTTGTGAGGCGTTTTACTTTGGAAGGACAATAATGAGACCACCAATTTGATTTTAGTTCCACGACCTGTTGTCTTTGATATGATGGTGAAGTGATCAAATAACTTTTCTTTACTTAAAAGCACTACACAACAAGGATGATCATCAGATTGAAATGAAGAATATTATAACAGTGCTAAATGTAAGGCATCATCTAAGATTTCTATTATTAAATGTATGGTTTGCTCCTGTAATTCCCAATTCCAAGTGGGTGTGCTTTTTTACTATTGCTATCATTATCATTATTTCAGCTTGATTTTGTCATTCTTCGTTTTTATTATTTTTTCTACAAACCTGCTTTCTTTACCCATCAGACAATGCTATCACATTATCAGAATATACTATCTGTACCGATGAGTTTGATATTGATGCTGCTAATTCTTTTTGTTATGGGGGCAAGATCAATGAAGACAGCTAAATCTATCAATGGATGTCCCACACTGTCACGAAGACCTCAATCAGTTATAACAGACATAGCAAGTCTTCGAGTCAATGAGTTTGATATGATTGCTGGTTTGGGCGATAGGTAAAACAGGAGTTAAGAAGAATAAAGATAAGGATAAATTCCAATCTTCATCTTCGTATGCAGTTTGATGACAGGCTTTGCTTCAGAAAACGTTAATGCCCTCGAACGCTGGACAATGGCCATTATGCAAGAGCATCGCGGACAAAGCCCAATCATGGGAGGCGATGATAACGCTAACACATTGGCCAATTTCCTCAAACACTACAACTCTGGGATAGTAGGTGCATCGGTTGGTTCTCATTTGGCTTCGTTTTGTATTAATGGCGTATGCCCAATACTATCAAATTTCTGTAAGTAACAATGGAAAAACTCATTGTACTTTTCTTTGCAATACACTGTTGTTCACCTTTGGGTTTTACAGTGTGAATTACAGTCTAATAAAAATGAACTGTTTTTTATTTTCAAGGGGTTCCGTTCAAGGACAACTTAAACGCTGCTCAGACTGGTGCTATAGCAAAGAATCTAGATTACGAATTAGATTATCTTATACCTCGTAAGTGAATCTGTTTGAAAAAAATAAAAAGGAATAGCAAGTAATCAGAACATATCATGCTCATATACTTAGCGCTTTACCTTTTTGTTTTTTCCGCTTTTAGGTATGAAAACGATGATGAAGAATAATTTTGAAAAATCATGGAAGCTCGTCAATATTCAAATTGGGAGTAAAAAAGTCTTTATTTAAATGATAAACTGGTTGGTTTTTTCCTGACACGCTCACCATTCGGTATAGGTAATGATCAATGCAGTTCTTGTACGGAAGGACTCAAAAATGTGGTCTCTCCAGAAGCTTATAGTGGATACGTTATCAAGGCAATTGAACGTATCCGAAATGAAGTTCCTCGAGTGCTGATTAATCTGAGTATGCTATCTCCTTACATTAAATGGTTATTTTGCTTTTTAAAATACTGATATCTCATTTTTGTAGTCGGCACCTTTGAAGTCTCAAGAATAATGGATATTCGAGCTCAACAGACTGACTACTGTAAGCCTAATTTGTTTACAACAATCGCCGTTGAGTGCTCATGTCTCGAGCAAGCTGAAGAAGGTTTGAAAAAAATGGATGAACATTGCAAAGGTAAGCATGTATGAACATTAGAAAGAATAGGGAGGATAGGAGGGGAGATGGGGTCCTAAGCTTCAATTTATGAATTCAACTATTCTTGTGTGTATAGGTTACAATGAACAGTTGAAGAGAATTGCTGAAATGTATGTGCCTTTGCGTAATAAAACATTTGCTTTAACTTTCAATCCGGCTGCTATCAATATAAGCTCGCTTCCCGTTGATGCTATCAGGTATTTCAGTGAAAAAAAGACTTAAAGAAAAAAATAAAGTACTTAAACTCACGTCTATTTTAGTAATATCGATTGCTTCCATCCTAACGTAAAAGCAGGAAGCTGGGCATCAAAGGTTAAAATACTCTAGAACGATCCAGTGGCAAAAATCTTTTACCTGGGCGCGTTGCTGACACATCTATTTAAACATCAATATAGGCATTATGGAATCAGATGTTTCGTAGTAAGGACGCAAAAGAAACAGTTGCAAATTATCAGGAAGATATAGAGGTATGAAAAAGATGCTTCGATTATGTGTTAAAATGAAGTTCATTATATGGCTGACGAGGCATTTCTTTTTTCATGTTTTACGACAGGTTTTTTGCCCATCTGAAAATGAACACTTTTTTTTATGAAAAAATCTAAAGTGTATTGTCTAATAACTTGTATGGTACATATCAAGTTGTCTATAAATTATTGACTATGTACGCAAAAATACGAACGGTCTTCAGTGCAGTGATTTTTGTTGTTGTAATCCTCGTGCTAGCTCAATGACAGCTCTATCAATCACCTTAGCGTACTCTTTCACAAAAGTATCTGCGTAAGTTTCCTTTATCTTGTTCGTCGATTCAATAAACATATCGTGTGAAAGATAAATGGCTGGCATAGTGTCTACTACTCCCATTCGGAGCCCTTGTAACACCTGGCTCAATTGGGCAGCTGCCTTTTCTCCCCCTGTATAGGCGTAACTCACGATCATCGCAGGCTTATCATGCCATTCTTTGCACAGATAATCCAAAGCATTCTTAAGAGAGGCAGGATAACCCCAATTATATTCCGGTGTAATGAATATAAAGGCTTGTTTAGAATTAATCTTCGCGCTCCATTGTCGAGTAAGTTCATAAGTATAACGTTGCTCGGCCAGGGCCGGAATGACAGGTTCGTTACATAAAGGAAGATTCCAGTTGGCCAAATCGATTACTTCAAAATTGAGCGTTGGATGTTTTGCCTTGTCAATGGTTTGCATAAGCAGTTGTGCGATCTGATCGGCAATACGATTTGGGCGAGTGCTTCCGATAATGACACCAACATTCATTGTTACAAAATAAAATAAAAGACAAGTAGAAGAAAGAGATACAATGGAATGATTGGAGTAACGACGTAGATGAATCTCAGCTAAGTCAAGCGTTACAGGCAGGTCTCGTATGTAAATGAGTTTCTTAACTTCTTGTAACCCTGATGAATTGACCTTCACAAAGTTCGCTTGTTGCGCCCTGATAAATGATGGGCATATTACAATTTTTAACGTCAGTTTTAGACGACTTGCAATATTTATTGGCAACTTTCATTTTAATTTTAGACTTACTTGCATTTTTATCGGAACAATTGCGTATAACTTTATACGGATTGAATCATCAGTTCATAATGCCATGTTCTTTTCGTAAGTGATTTTCGGAGAGTGTTTCTGCATGCTTAGTCCAACCCAGGCAATCATCAGGCATAATTGTCTCAAACGCTTTCTGGATTTGAAGCGATAATTCATCTCCCATCTGCAATGAATTGCGTTGGATATTACTTTTAATCCTTGATTAGCATAGTCAATAAGGTTCAAAAAGTAGGAAGGCATGAATAAAAGCTTGTAGCCACGCTTATTGATACCCTCTACAACAAATTTACAATGGTGAATTCTATAAAAAACCCTTCTATATCGTGTTTATCCATTAGGTCTCTTCATTTTCTACCGATGATTCACTCTCCAGTCTGTAACGCATGTGAACCATGTAAAAAGTTTTATTGAACAGTTATGAGATCGAATGGTGCTTGCTACCTTACGCAGCAAAGATATCAGCATAGCATTGAATCAAATTTCCAATGTCTGCATATTTTAAACGTGACATTAAACGCGTAAATCATATTGTTATAATAAATGTTGTTGAACGAAAGCTTATGTCACCAAATTTAAAAATCATATGTATATGTTTCAACTTCCTCAACACCCTTCTTCTCTTCTTCTTTTTCCTCTTTATTACCTCTCGCTCAGTGCTCCCCTCTATACGCATGTATAAGAGTATTATCATAAATAAAATCAATTCAGTGAAAGAAAAATATACCAAGAAGGAAAATCTGTTTGGTAAAGGCAAACCACAATGCAATGTGTTGTTTGAGACATCAGTAACCTTGTTGTGCACTTATTCAGACCATACTAAATGTAAAGACTGTAATGAAATGGGTCACTTCAATAAAAGCTGCCCGAAATGCAAATATTATAAAGCTGCATCCGTTGACAATGGTAAGTTGAGATCGACCTGCTTTTAGTCACACAAGCCGAATAACAGACCGTCTCATACTCATAGTTGGGAGTCGCAATAAGAAGAGAAGACAGAGCGAGAGTGTTAAAGCAGAGAAAAAGGCAGTGAAGAAGAAGAAAACGGCCTCACAAGCTGTAGAGTGTCCAAGTTGTGGGAATGATAATCATGCTTCCTCTCGTTCGCCTCTTTGTCCTAATCACATACAATCAAAGGAGGAGGCTATTTCATTCGTCCTTGGTCATAATTCTATTATTTTTGTAAGGAAGCTTCCTGTCTGCCGTGCAGTTTTGCCTCAGTTTCGTGAAGAGTTCAAGGAAAAGGTCATTTTGTGCTGCAAGGACATTAGAGCTATAGTGTTCCGCTGCCAACTGTTTGTCAATGCCTATCTTGTTCATAACAAGAATGACATTCCTTCAGTAGTCTTCACACAGCAATTTTGGTATTCCATTGCGCAACTCGTTACGGGTAAAAAGGTTACTCACAAGAAGGTGTTGAACAACAGCATCAAAACTTATTTTGTTGACTTTAAGCAAAAGCATCCGACAATAGTAATCAGTCATGGCTTCACCAAAGGTTATAGTCATTGTCTCACAGAAGCTGCCAAGGAAATAAGCATTTCATATACTAACACCATTGTTGAGCTTTTCGAGAAGCGAATGCTTAAATATCTAACCTATAAGCTACAAAACATTGTTGTGGGTCTCCTTTCCACTATTTCAAGTTCAATTTCTACCTTTTCAATTGCGTGTATTTGTGTTATTTATCCATAGAACATGAAGAAGGTCGATGCAGCAAAAATATCAGAAGCATACTGCTACCAAGTAATTTGCCTAGGCGAACCCAAGTGGCCCGATAAAATCATGCTCAATAATGAAAACAAAAGCAAGATAGAGATGCTGTGCAAAAGCTTTGAAAAACTTGTGGCGGAGAAGGTTACACTGCTTTCCTTATCATCTGATCCAACCAAGTTTATTGAAGCCTTATTGCACATCCAATCCTCGTATGAAAAGAAACATGACGAACATGGAGCTTATGATGTCCGTAGATTACCATTACCTAAGTGCTTCTTCCCTTTCCCTTTCCCTTCGCTCCATTGGCGTTTCATTACGATAAGTATCAATTCGCTCGTCCCATTCTTGTTTCTTGGTACGCCTCCTAAAGGCTATATGAATCAACTCGAGGAGTTTCATCAGGTGTTCAGCTTCAAAACGATGGGATTTAAAAGGTAAACGGAAACAGTGTTGGCTGAAATACTGTCACTGGTATTTATTACCTTTCGTTTTTATGACAATAGTTTCAATGACCTTAAGACAAACCAGGAAACATTATTCCGTAATATTGTCCGTTCAGATGGGTTCACCGTCGATTTTCTTTTCAGTAAGAAAGGGAAAGCAAAAAAAGAGAAGACCATCGAAAACCATCGGTTGACTTTGGAGGACTTTGATTTAGCCGAAATCGAAGCTGGTTATAGGCCCTGCTTTATTGATCCCGGGAGAAAAGACTTCTTCACAGCAGCCATCGGGCTGGACGTTGAAAAGCACCAAGTGCAAAGCTGTTCTACCAAAGAGTATTATCACATGACTGGTAGCACCAGGTACTCTGCAAAGATAGAGAAGAAGAAAGCGGGTAGAATTAAGGGCATCGAAAGCGATATGCCAACTGCCAAGACAGGCTCCAATGCCCAATATCGCTGTTATGCAGCATACATTCTACAGCACTCGGAAGATTTGTTTTCTTTCTACGGTGATGGCACTGCCGAAGATCGATTTTATTTACACCAAGGATGGAAACGTGCTGCCGACAAAATGGTAAATATGCTTATCAATGGCAGTACAAAGTATAATCTGGATCTCAGATTGAAGAGAGAGAAGAACAAAACAAGGTCTCCAAGAAGAAGAATAAAAGCAAGATGGCTTTAAAAAAACGACGGAAAAAAAAAAGAAGAAAGAAACAGCAGAGAAAAAGAGTATGAAAGAAGAAACATGAGAAATTAGTGTGTAATTGAAGACGAAAGACAGGTAAAGTTCATAAACGATAATCATCAACTACTTATAGAAAGTAACATGCTTTTTATAATAGTGCATCAAACGCCAAATCGAATCCCGAACCCTTCAATGTGGGTGGTTTAAAAAAAGTGCCTCTCATCGTGTTCGTTAATGGCATGTTTGGTAAGGATAACGTCGCACTGAAGAGTCACCGATGCGGAGCGGTAGGTGTTCTATGGCGTGCGCTTAAGCGACGCGAAGCAGCCGGAGACCTGCTAGTACTAGAAATTGATGAATTCAAGACGTCCAGAATATGCTCGTGCTGTTCCAACGATACTTTGGGAGAGGTTGAAAGGCTTCCAGACCTACAGTATATTTGTTTGCAAGACTTGTCATATACTGTGGAACTGACACATCAACGCCTCAAAGAACATGATGAATATCAGTAGTGCCATTTGGAAGAAGTTGGGAAGACCGAAAGGGTTTACGCGACCAAAAATATAAGACTCCTCCTACCTTCAACATCGCTGGAACGAACCCAGTTTGATTTTTACAGGTAAAAAGAACGAAAGCTTGTAATTCCTACTGTTGTGCAAACTGTCTAACATTTACGCTTGACGGTCTACTATTATATTGAATTCGTTTAAACACAATCTATTTATCGTCTAAAAATTATGTTTGTGTTGTCCAAATCTTAAGTCAATAAACTGTATCATGTCATGATATAAAAAGGCAAAACGCTTATATTAAAAGTCAGAAATACAAGCATATCCCATTTCATGCAATTCACACACAATTGTCTACTCTCAAAATCGAATAAATAGTGTGCATATGTAAGCAAAAAGGACATTAAGCTTCTGACGTTTGTGGGATGTCTCTGCGATCAATAAATTAAGTGGGCCTTTTTGATTCATAATCCGACCTAATTAATTCAATAAAAGGAAAAACCAAAAAAAAGCCAGAGGTACGAGGTTAAACGCTATATATTCCTTCTCAAATTCGCTATATAACAGACGCTATCATTGTTCACTAAAAGTGTCTTTGCAATTTCAATACTGCAACTTATCATTACAAGCTACTCAGATGTATAACAATGTCAATTGCATATCAAAAAAACAGAAAAAAAAACGTGCTTTTAAATTGAAAGTAGACTTCTCACAAATTTTATTGGACAATATTAAATCTTATTTTAGACAACTTTCAATTATTTTACGATGAAGCGGTATATTATTCTTGGACGATTTCGCTGATAATCAATTATCCAGTAACATCCAAGCAGCATTAAGGATGGCGTACAAGCTAGCCCTAAAAATGAGTCTTCATTAATAAGGAAGTCACTAAGAAAGCTCTGATTGGCGTCACTTTGCAATAGGGTGAGCTCCAAAAAGCTTGACAACTTTTTCGTCAAATGACGACGTTTTATAAGACCAACCAGATGTTCGTCAGTGCCTTTTTTTGGAACTTTGCCCAATGATAAAGACGTGTCTTTCCTTTCTCGCGTTTTTGTTGTCAAAGTTAAATTGTAATGAAGAGGTTCTTTTAAACAAGAATAAGATCCCTTCTTTTCCGTATTTCGCTTTTTTTTTTTTTTTTTGTTGTAACTTACAGCTCTATTCATATACAAAAGTTTCATTATACAGAAGATTAGATCTATTAAAGAAAAGCATAAGAACCAGGCTAGAACGAACTTATTTGGTAAAATGTTTGATAATTGTAGGAGAACCGTCAGATCAAGATATAAGGATTCTGATATTCGTTGTAACTTTTTAGAACATACCAAGTGGCGAGACTGCTATGAACCAGGTCATTTTGAAAAGCGTTACTACAAATGCAAGTATTACAAAGCCGTAAATGCTGATGATGGTAAGCAATAAACCTAAATCTATCTTACACACAGCACTTAATTGCTTGTGAGTAACCTCCTTAAAGCTGGTAGCAGTGGTAAAAAGAGAAAACAGAGTGACCAAGTGAAAGAGAAGAAGAAAGCAGTTAAACGGAAAAAGACCACCCCACAAGCTGCAAAGTGCCTCAGCTGTGGACAAGATGGCCATACCACTGCTCGTTCGCAAGAGCTTTGCCAACCTTGTGGAGGAAAAGGTTACGCTTCTGTCATTGGCGGCCGACTGGTCAAATTTGTCAAGCCCTTGTGGATTATCCAAGACTACATCCTGGCCGAAAGACAGTATTTACAGCAGCAATCGGGTTAGAAACAAACAGACATGAGATACGGCGCTGCTCGACAAAAGAATATTAGCACATGACGGGTAGTACTCGTGTCAATGCAGAATTAGAAAGGAAAAAGGCCGATTGTACGATAAAAGCGATAGAAAGCAATATATCGAGTAGTAAAACAGGCTCGCCTGAACAGTATAAGAGATAAACTATTTACATACTACAACATTTAGAGATCCTGTTCTCATTCTATGGGCCTGGTATGGGTGAGACAAGATTCCGTCTGTATCAAGGGCAGCAAGCGTGCTGCAGATACGATGGTGAACATGCTTGTTGATGGAGGTGTCAAATACGACAAAGAATTACGGAAAAAAAGAAGGGAATTAGACACCGTGCGTGGCTGTAGTATCCTTGTTTGCAAAACCTGGAAGATACTATGGAACCGCGATGTCAACGCAGCAAAAAACATGATGGCCACCAGCATTTCGGTATGGAAAGACAAGGAACGTCCTACGGAGTTCAGCCGGAAGACAACTTCTTAGTCTTTTGATATTATTATCGCCAGAACGAAACTGGCTTGATATTTACAGGTAAACGTCTCCATTTTAGTGTAGTTCGATCTTCAAACTCTAACTCAATCGTCTCAAAATTTTGGTTCATTCCGTCCAGTTATTTTTAAGCTTCGTCTAAACTCGCAGTTGAAAAACTGTAACAGCGACATTGAAATCAAAGCCGATCTTTTTTTTTTTTTTAATTTACCAGTTTAACGTTGTACATTGTCTAAAGACTGTTTGTGGGCGACTGAATAAGCTCACCAGTCATTCACACTATGTACAGGTCTTCCTATCCATTGAACCTCATCTCCGAAAACTATATTGAATTGTTATTATTATTAGGCTGTAAAAAAAGAATGTCAGAAAATAGCCCCCTTTTCTCAACTTCTTTTCTTTTCTTTTTTTTTTTCATTCTGCTTCCTTTCACTTTATCCTCTTCCCTTCGCCTTAACCACATAACAGTACTTTCTCTCTTCATCCCGTATATTTATACGTTTTAACATTATTTGCAGCTTTTCAACATGCCAGAAATTATCAAGGAAGGATATCTTTCTCTAAAAGAAGAGGGTCTAAGAGCTTGGATTTGGTCGAAGAGATATTGTGTATTACGAGATCAGTCGTTGACATTTCATCGTAATGAGGTTAGCAAAGAAAGAAATGTGCGCTCGTTGTTGATAGAACCACAGACATTCTGAATGCATTTCTTCCTTTTCTTAGGCGGGACAATGTATCGGACTAATTTTTCTCAAAGAAATCGGATCAGTAACAAGAATCGATCTCAAACCTTATTGTTTTGAAATATCAGCCAAAGATAAAGCTTATTATATTGCTTGCAAAAATGATGAGGAATTGTACGGTTGGATGGACGAAATATACAATGTGAGTTATTAGATGCAAATGCGGGTAAAAGAGTACACGCCCCAGATCTCGTTACTGATCTTTTTCCCCTGAAAAATTAAATAACTATTGTAAACTAAATGGGTGTTCAATCCATCGTGCATAGAGATCATCAGTAGGAACTTCTAGTCCAACAAACTTTATTCACAACGTGCATGTTGGCTTCGATCCTATAACAGGCGCTTTTACAGTAAGTCATCTACTATTAGAGATAGAGGGTAGAAATCGAATACATCCAATTGAGCCTTGGTACTGACATTTATTGTTTGAACGATGATTAGGGACTGCCTGAGCAATGGACAAAATTATTAAAAGGCTCAGCCATCACAGCAGAAGATGCTGCTAAGAATCCTCAGGCAGTGCTGGATGTATTAGAATTTTATGCTGAACAAACAAAAAGAGAACAGGAAGAGTATGGTACATCCAATCTTCAAGGTGCAGTCGAACGTATGAGTGGTGCTAATTGGGCTAAAATGATGCAAGAGAGTGATTTGTCGTCTCCTTCCCTTTTATTTCCATCAGCATCACAACAGCAGCAACAAAAGAAACCACCAACAGCTAATGTCAAACTACCACCAAAGCATATACCAACAAGACCTGCTCCTCCTCCGCCTTCTGCACTTCAAGCTTTATCAGAACTAAAACTTCAAGTACGTACAAAGGCTTTTCATTCTCTGATTCGGATAAATGAAAAGCCAACCACACGAACACATACAAAAAGTCGTTGTCTAAATTTGCTTGTGGAATTAATTAGGATCAAAAAGCCTCACCTACTACATCCCGACCTTCAGATCGATTTAATGTGACTCCAGCATTACCTGTAAGTGTGATTCTCCTTTCATCTTTCTTAGAAAAAAAAAAAAAAAAAAAGCATAGTTATACATCTTGAGGTTTACATGATAAAGGGAAACTGTTTCTTTTTTGGCTCATTTTTATTCATACCCTTTTTTCCGATCTAAGGGCAATTATGCACTACCTTCGAGGGATCAAAGCGGTAGCCCTGTTGCAACATCGCCTACTAATTGTAATGTTATCAAAGATACCCATCTTGAGCGGCTTCTGGGATCTGCTGCAGAGACAAACAACTATCCTGTTCGCACAAGTAGTGTCGATTATTATCAACAACAGCATCAGCAACATACGTATCCTAAGCATCCACAACCTACAGCAGCAGAGATTGAAAGAGAAAGACTGCATAGAGAACGAGAGAAGGAAAAGGCTGCAGCTCAACTTTCCGGTACTAATAACCATCATCATCCCCACCAACAACAAACGAATGGTAACCATAGTAATAGGAAGAAGGATGAGCAAAGAATAAGTACAATGACAGAAAGTCAGATTATGGAAAAATTACGTAAGTTACGAAAAAGAGAAAAGAATTAGAGGAAGCTTAGAGAAGAGAGCTAATATATTTTTCAATTAGGCTCTGTTGTCTCCAAAGGGGATCCAAATGAATGTTATAAAAAGATCAAAAGGGTGGGCCAAGGGTAAAGTTTGCTACAATAGTTTATAAATTATAGACATTTGGTTTGTTGTTGTTGGTTTTTTTTTTTACTAATCCAGATCTCTATTCTTCTCTAGTGCTTCTGGCTCTGTGTATGTAGCCACCTCCCTTGCTACCAATACCAAAGTCGCCGTCAAACAGATGGACCTCGCCAATCAACCGCGCAAAGAGCTTATTGTCAATGAAATTCTTGTTATGAAAGAATCACAGCATCCAAATATTGTCAATTTCCTTGATTCTTTCCTTATTGGATCCTCCGACCTATGGGTCGTCATGGAGTTTATGGAGGGTGGTGCTCTCACTGACGTCATTGATAACAATAGTAAATTGACCGAGCAACAAATCGCCACTGTTTGCCTAGAAACGGTTGCTGGTCTTCATCATTTGCATTCTCAAAATATCATCCATCGCGATATCAAATCAGACAATATCTTGTTGAATGCGCAGGGTCATGTTAAGATCAGTGATTTTGGTTTCTGTGCAAAGCTGACGGATCAGAAAAGAAAGCGTGCAACTATGGTAGGCACACCTTACTGGATGGCACCTGAAGTGGTGAAACAGAAGGAATATGGTGCGAAAGTTGATATTTGGTCACTGGGCATCATGGCCATTGAAATGATAGAGAATGAACCACCCTACCTGGAGGAAGAACCGTTGAAAGCACTTTATTTGATTGCTACAAACGGTACCCCAACTTTGAAACATCCAGAGAGATTATCAAATGAGCTAAAGTCCTTCCTGGCAGTCTGTCTCTGTGTGGATGTTCGATCGCGTGCCACTTCAGCAGAACTTATGAATGTAAGCGTATATAAGCGTATACTCATAATATGCACTTTTTACTAGATCAATAATTTGTTTAACTGCTTTTTTTGTATCTTCTTAGCATGGATTCCTCAAAAAGGCTGGTCCTTTAGAAATCTTAGCCCCGTTACTGAAATTTAGAACAAAGACAAAGGTGTAAGTTCTTAATTCAATTGACCAACTCACATGATCTTTACCATTAAGGTTGTTAGTAGTATCTTGATCAATAAAAATACTCGATATTATTATTTATGTTGTAAAGACAAGTTTTGTTCTTCCTTTGTTTTGCTTACGAACAAGAAAACAACGTTAATTTGAAAAGTAATTGTATTTAATGAAAGCAAAAAAAAAAAAAATGGGAAGGTTATTATAAAATGTTATATATATATATATACAAGAGAAAGAAAGACAGAGAGTACATTCAATTTTTCTTTTCCTTCTTTTTTTACTGACTAGTCTCAACTTCTGATCTTTCGATGCCAGTAATGGCAAGAATCATATCGACATGCTTGGGAGCTTGAGGGACATCGATAACCAAATCTTCGTAAACATCCCAGAATTGTTTAAAGGCTTCTACGAACTGTTCCCTTGTCAACAAAGCCTTTTCTTTCATCAACAATTCAATCATGTCGCAAACAATTTCTACATCAGATGTCTTCTTCTCCACCACATCTAACAATTTTCTGGCAAAAATAACGCGATAATGAGGATGATCCAACTCCTTGACACATTCACATAATTCCTATTTTTTTTATCAGCAAAGTTATTGAGTCTTCTGGTTTGTGCCTATTCCAACAATTGCTTGGAAGAAAGAAATAGACTTACCGTTTTATCACGAATGCTAAAGTATTCATCGATTGTATTCTTTGATCTACGTTCTATCACTTCATCGCTTTCCTTAGGCTTATCTTCCTCTTTTTCTACAGCGGCAACAGCAGATTCGGCCTTGTTATTATCTTCCTTAACTTCAGCTTCCTTGCTGTCTTCAGCTTTTTCATGCTCATCTTCCTCCTCATCATCGCCACCTAAAGCACTGAACATATTGGACATAGCAGTAGGAGCAGGCTCGGGAGCGGTAGGGGGTTTCTTGTCAAGATTGTTCTTGGAGGCACTACGAGACAAGCTAGAGAAAGGACTAGTGGCAGGACCAAGAACACTGTTACTTGCGTTGGATCTGGACTTCATACCCAAGGTTGGGCTACCACGAGCAGAATTCTGTCTAGAAATGTCTCGACTGCCGGGCATACCACGATCACCAGCACGAGAACCTTGTCGAGACATAGGCTGTCCACCTCCGCCAGCGCCGCCACGAGAGCTGCTAGAACGCTTCATCATTTCCTTTTCTTTCACTTCCTTGGCCTTCTTAGCTTGCTCGTGAATTTGAGCGATTGTGGTAGGAGCAACTGCACCATTCTTCGGCATCCATTTATTCTTACGCAAATCAAACACATCCAAGATCATAAACTTGACTCTTGAACTCAATGTCGAAGACTCGTACATCTCTTGCATACGACCAAAGTAGGCATCTAGCCATTCCTTGTTCTTACGGCTACTGGTATCAAACACTCTACCAATGGTGGTCAACAACTTGCACATGGTTTCGGTTTCCTCATCTTCAGGAGCTTGAGGGTTGGCGCATAATCTTCTTAAGCATTCAATCATGACGCGATCAGATAACATACCAAGCTTGAAGAGCTCACCAATAAATTGAACAAGACCTAAACCTTGACGCTTAGCCTTAACCGCAGCATAATATTCATCGGTCATCATGAGATCAGGATTGCTTTCATCAAACTTGGGCAAATCACTCTTCCAACCCTTTTCGAACTCTGCTTGGCAACGATTCAGAAGATATTTACGGTAGAGAGGACCACCGGTGACCACTTCACCTTTGTTATTCAGGATATTGACATCCTTGATCTCGGTATTACTCTGAATGGTATCAAACATCTTCTTACACAAAGCAGCCCACATACGGGCAAAGTTGGGTTCATCACACGCCTTATGGAAAACCAGCTCAATAACGCAACGCAAGGATTTACCGTCTTCTTCTTTTTCAGATTGCTTGGCGAATTCCCAAATTTGATCAGAAATAGAGTCGAATTTTTCAAGAGTCAACTTGTTTAACAAAGCCTTCACCTTACGAACAATGACCTCTTGAGGAATCATATCCTCAGCTTCTTTTTGAAGGTTTTCAGAGGCAGTAGCGGCAGTGCCAGAAGTGGCTACTACTGTAGGTACCCAACGATTCTCGCTCTTTTCTAACGGAACCACTTGATCCAAAGGTATGGTGGGACCACCATTATTGGGGTCACGAGAACCATGACGACTCTTACCACCACGACCACCACGGCCTCTTCCACCATGAGAACCTTGACGTTCCATAGAAGGAGAGTTGGGTCCAGAGCTACCTTGACGATGGGAAATAGGACGTCCACCGGCAAACTTACCCATTTCACCACCACGACTATCACGAGAATTGCTACGTGACATACTGTCGGGGGTACGAGCACCACGACCTCCACGTTCGGAAGCTTGACGACGGGAAGAACCTCCGCCTCCTCGTCCGCCACGGCCGCCACCACCGGGACCACCAGTAGCGTTATCTCTGGCTTTCGCTTCAAGGATATCCTTGAAGAGAACAGCGGGATCATCATTGACTTCGTAACATAATTTTTCAAATTGCATCATGAAGTTACGATCATAAGCTATACGACCCGTCTCAGGATCACGGCCCTTGGGAGCCAAAAAGTCAGGAGGGTAATTGATAGTACTAAAATCGTCAATCACTGGCATAGGAGGTTTTTTCACGCGAGGTGGGCTTAAGCTGGTGGGTGTGGTCACAGGCGATTCACTGTAGACATGAGCTGGGATGGCACTGAGATCGAGACGGCCGAGAGGTAGTCCCTTGGCCATCATGGATGTTTCTTCCTCTGACTTCGCTGTTAAAGGTTCACTCTCTTTTTTCTCATCCTTACTTTCATCTTCCTCCTTCTTTTGAGTATCCCCCTCTTTCTTATCCGCAGTAGTTTGTTCGTGTTTTGCCTCTTCCTTTACGTCATCTTCGCCTTCCTCTGTGGCAAGTTCTTTTCGTTCATCCTTATGCTCCGTATTAGGCTCTGTTTTAGGTTGCTCTTCATTGGCTTCAACCTTAGGTTCTTCCTTGGGTTGTTCTTCCTTTGATATAACCTTTTCCTCATTTTCCTTATTCTCGTCGTTTTCTGCAACGCTTTTATTTTCTACTGCAACAACGTTGTCCTTCTTTTCTTCCTTATCATTTAGGTCTTCGTTCTTAGCCTAGCAATTGATTACATGTTAGTTGATAATGAGCTAGGTCTGCAGACTCTAAAGAACCCCAGGGGTTACAAACGACGCAAATACGTAGTTCTCTTTTGTCTTCCTGCGAAGAAAGAGAATTATATTAATATAAAACTTACATTAGGATCGACGATCTTGACAGGTCGAGATGTGAGGATCTTGAAAGGCTTTTCTTCACTGTTAGCGTGGTAGCTGTTGCTACTGTCATCACCAGTATTATTTTCCTTGTTGTTCTCTTTATTAAGGTTGATAACTTTACTGGTATGTGGATCCACAATGGGAATTGCTTTACTACCAGAAGGCTGAGGTACAAAATTTTGACCTGTGTAAGCAGGAATAGACCCTTGACTGTAAAAGTGGGGAGGACGATACTATAATAGTGTAATCCAAATTTTCTGTTAACCATCATGAAATACAATATCAAATAGCAAATGGACAATTGTGTCTCAAAGCTCTTTACATATGGGTTACTCATTCAAACCAACAAGACGGGTTTTTTTTTTCTTTTTTATTTATAAAAAGATGTTAATAAAAAAGACGAAAAAAAATGCTGAGGAATAAATATCAACATGACTGACAGATCTACTCAAAATATTAAAAAACTGTAAAAAAATAAAAAAATGTTTTTGAGCGGGATATGAAGAGTTATTGTTTCGTTGACATTTGGTTGGCTGATAAGTTGAGAATATACCGTGACGTCAGGTATTCGCGGTGGGTAGATATATTTGAAAAGGCAAAGCAGGACAACAAGTAGAAGAATGTATATGCTATCCAAATGTATTAATGCTTTAAAGTCATTTTGGTGTGCTATTTCATTCCTCTTTCTTTTATATTGCTTATGCACAAGGTAGACGGGTTTATGTTAATCTATAAGCCACCATTAGATACAGCCAAATTATCATTGTTCGACTCCGCAATAAGTGATAATGTTACGCTTTTCTTCTTGACCTGCTTGGTGAGATAACAATTACAACACTCATATTCGTACAACCATTAGAGAGTATATTCTACTACAGCCAGTTTGATATGCATATGATATAGGTATTCACAACATATATATCGAGATAAATGCACAAAGCAACTGAACATGAAATCAGTGACCAATATCGATTTATCTCGAAAAGTCATATGTTAATGGACAGCAGCCTACAAAAAATTCAGTCAAGAGTATTTTCTGATCGACTAAGTATTCCATCAGCGGGACAACAGCAACGTCATCGAAGAAGAGGACTTTTGGAATATTTACTTCGACTAGATCAACCACAATATGGGATCCGCGTGATATGAGAATCCACTTGAGTGTCCCTACTAGGAGTTAAAATATACTTTAGATTAACTTTATTTGCGTCACATTTTTGTTAGAATGAACAAAAGTAATTGCTAAATACTCATAGAAAAGCCATACTCCTTTTCTTTAATATCTGCAATTTATCGTTTTCTCCTCATCATTTTTTGATTCAGATTTAAAAAATGAGACATTTTCTAAAAGCTATTGCTGTATTGCGGACTTGATTACATCTCACTCTCTATATGGTTTTTTACGTTCAACTAAATACCTGCTTTGAAATGGATGGCTTGAAGAATATTTATCATTAGTATTCTTTTGATTAGAATTGCAAGAGAGGAAAAAAGAATGTATTTGAGAACTGTACAAGTTAGGTTTATAAAAAGCTAGCCAAGATGGAGAGTTAGAACAGCTTTGTTATAAAGGCACACATAGGTAGAATGGTAACAAATTCAATGGTTCTCTGGTTAGCTTGCAATCAATTTTCTTTCTCAAATTCCTTTAAAGGTGAAATCACAACTGAATTCTGGGGGTATCCTATCGTTCTCATTCTCGCGTTATCCAGTTTATATTAGGTTTCTTCCATCCTAAACCTATTTTGCTGACATTGATTTTTTTATGGTCTTCTGTGGGGGCAAATAGAGTCAAAATCAAGCTTTAATTTAAATAAGAGTATTAATAATATAGTACAATAGGAAGAAATACAGATCTATGCACAGATACAGATTATAGATAGAAATTAAATGAAGGAGGAAGAGAGGATTGTGAATCTTAAAGCTAATTGTTGGAAGCTGTGATATCAAGCGTAATATCGGCGGTCTTGTTTAAACCATTGTCATCATCAGAAGCATCAATATCAGCAATTTCACCATTATCATCGTCGTTTCTTACAGTATCATCTTTGGTAGGAGCAGGAGAAGAATTGTCTTGTTGCTCAGAGTCTGTATCATTATTATCTTCGTTATTTTCGTTATCATCATCATTATCTTTGTCGTCATCATTATAATCATCATCACCATTAGCAGCAGCAGCATCGTCAGAGGTACAGTCGTTACTTTCAATATCGGTTGTGTTGACAGGAACTTTGGACAAAGGATAAACAAAACTTTCTTCCCAATAAGGTTGAGAGACATTAACACAACTATTTCAAGAGGAAAAAAAAATTGATCATTAGATCAATGGATAAATCAATGGATAATTGAAATTACCGAAACTTACGCTAAAGCAGGAAGAACGTTGAAATACTTTTGAATAGTGGGTAGCCATTTTTCCGTCATATTTACCGTAGCATGATTCAATTCATGTTCCAATACGATATGACCTGTTGTTTGATTGTGCGCTTTTTGATCAGCAATCCATTGTTCGAAATACCCATCGACCGTTTCTGGTGACAAATCACCACCGCCAGGAGCAGGCATATCCCAATCATTCGTATCTTCATCCCAGAGGACGGTCCTCATACCCATCTGCCAAGCAATAGAACGAATACGATCATCCACATCCCCTTGAGGAGGTCTCCAACACTTGGTGGTGACACCTGTGGCTTCTTTGATTGCCTTCAACGTCCAGTACAATTCAGACACCACTTCTTCATTTGTCAACGTCGTCATGGGAGGATGAGACCAAGTATGGACGCAAAGATAATGACCGTTCTCAAGAGCACGCTTTGCAGCAGCAGGGTAGTTAACGACATTGGACCCAATGTAGAACAAGCTAGCCTTTTGATTGTTGTGCTTAGCAAGCCAATTGTACAACTGAGGTTCAGCCCATCGGTTTTCAGTTTTAGCGTTCTCGTCCGTGTATCTATTGAATGGACCGTCATCGTACGAGAGACCCCAGTCGCCTGGTCGTCCACATCGATAGTAGTCAGAAGGAATATCGATTTTGGGTGTGACGCAGTTAGTATCACTCCACCAGCAGTAAGGATCGTGAGGGCCATCGGTATCAGGTTCAAAATCACCGGTCTTTTTGTTAGTTTTGCGAACGGGAGCATTGGGAACTTTGGACCAGTCAATACGACTAATGGCATCTTTTACTTCCGGAGAATCAGTGGGAGGCGTCTTCCATGTTTCAGGGTAGCCAGAAAGAGTAGTGGTAGGTAAAGAGGTGGCGGTCTCGTAAGGACCGTAGTTGTATTCGGTAACGACATCGGTAGGCGTAGCTAATGAACTAGGAAATACAGGTGAATGCGAAGGGATGTATGACTTTATTGTGCTAGTAGATGCTTTGTTGGTAGTCTTAGTAGGATGGGCAAATACAGATAATGGACCTGCGCTACCAGTGGCAACTACCATTGCAAAACTGAGAATGGTGAATTTCATTTTCTTTCAATTAGATAGTTAAGGAAGAAAATATTAGGTAAAGTATAGGCAATTATTGTCTTTATAAATTGGAAATACTTCGATAGGGTTTTAAAAAAAAAAAATTATAAAAAAATGCCGTTTCCTTTATATAAGCAGAATATTAGGAGGAGTTGGAGTTTCAGTATGTTTGGTTCCTTTAAGTGATCTGTATTTGAACAAGATTATGGTTTCTGGTTTTTTTTTTTGCAATGTTCCTAAAAATAAAGACCTCTTTTAGCTTCCGCCCGCTCAAAATCCTGATCCTTGGCGACCTAGATTATTTTTAACATTGAGTTCGGCTTAATTTTCAAATTCTACGTCGAAAACGAGTCTATTTTATATAAGTAATATGTATAAATGTTCGTATTTCTCTATTACAGGGATATAACTATCCTCAAACAACAACAGAATAAAACGGAGAAAATATATTCCTTATAATATAGTGTGAAAGGATCATTCGGCTATACATTCAGCAAGGTACACAAATTTTAATGATACGCTATTAATGCAGGTTCTTTGTTATTGTTAGAAAACGATGTTTGAATGAATAAAAACAAAGTAATGACCGTTTTTGGTATAATTATCCAGAATTGGACATATTTTTACTGGCTGCTATATGTGGTACAAAGAAAAGGGCAGAAAGTAGAATCCATCTTCAACGTGCGCACGTAAAATCATTGGTTATGTGCATCGAAGTTTAATATAGATTGAACTAAATGGACGGCATCAGGTTTGTCAGCAATTACGTCGGGTCTGATATTCAAACTTGTAGATAAATAGTCAGCAGTAGTAGGACCGATGGCTGCGATTCTCGGTCTACGGCGGTGGTGTCTTTCTTCTTTTGTCATTTCTTTCTTATTATCTTGACCCGAAGTGGCTGCCAAGAGAATTTCTCTTGTGTTAGGGTCGTCCACATTGGACAATATGAATTTTATCCCTGAAGGACTAAAATAGACTGTCCACCATTCTGTCGTCATCATTGAAGTTGTTGTTACTGCGTCTGATCCAGCTTTTATTGTTGGGTCGTTTTCTAATAAGCAGTATTTGGCAAGATATGTTGTGAGATTTTGTTTCAAATGAGGATGAGCACAAGTAGCATAGACTTGTAGTTCTTTGTATGGTACATGAGCCTCCTTTAGTGCTTCAGGAATAACATCTCTTCTTTTATCGCCTGCTAAAAATAACAAAGTTACAGGGACGGACATGTTAGTCTTGGCTGTTGTGGTACCATTGGGTGACGACGGCAATATCGGCTGTTGTGCTTGTTGTTTTCGATAGTTTGCATAATGATCCAACAGTGATGGAATTAGTTCTGTTGCACGAGGCGCTATAATCCAGTTATTCTTAGTAGCAGCCTTATTATCACCAACGCTGGCATCGTAAGTATCAAGTTGGTTATCGTCGTCGTTGTTGTTCTCATGAAAGAGTGGAAGTTTTGCCAATGCTTCTGCTGTTTGTGGGCCTACAATATATGCAGGTACACTTTTCCATTTCCCGCATAACGAGAGCGAATCATGCTTCTTTTCCACTTCTGACAGAGCTAACTGGCACGCTTGGTTTAAAGCCTCTACTGCTCTTTGAGAGGTGACAATGAGTCCTTCCACACAGTTTTCATCGAAACAGTTGGTAATGATGATGTCTTTCAGCATCTCAATGTTTGTTAATTGATGATCAAGTACTGGTATAAACTCTGGGACATAGCCACGCTCTTTTAACAAAGCATCATATTTATCATCGACGTCTTTTTTTTTAAATATAAGAACGTGTTTGGATTGTGTTGCCTGTGGCATATTACTTTTATCGTGTCGCTTAAAATGATACAATGCAAGGAGCTGGGGGAAAAAAAGGTACAACGCTACTTTTTTCTGTTTGGTAAAAACTACAGGACTAGTTTGAGACACAGCAATTTAAAATTATCATTATGTTAGTACTTGAACAAACAAGATTAGAAGATAAGGAGAGTGTAAGAGAGGGGATAAATGAGGTAAGTGGGAGAAAGTCAGGATAGCCATGATTCGAACCAATAAATGTATATGATGGATAAACTACAAAAATCGCTTGTTTGAGACTTGCCGATGAAGCTCATTGAGTGTGTTATTGGAAAAGGGTAACGAGTTAGAAGATGTTTAGAAACCAATGGCTTTGTCTTTGATATTTTTGTCAAGTTAATACGGCTTGATCTCACATTTTGTAACACTTCGGGAGTGGCAAAGGTATTTTTTATAAAAGTATCAAACCCGTGGTACGATAAATGGGATATATCAAAGAATAAGCTTAGTAGCAACGCGTGAATAATATAGAGTACGCGGTAGTTACTTAACTAAATGACGAACGGACGAAAGGTTACCTTTTCTATTATTACGGCACGAGGATTAAACTCTGATAAGCATGCGTTTAGATAGAAAGTATTTTAAAAGCCTATCCAATGTTCGTATTGTAGTGACAGCCTTGTAAATCAAGAAGAAGAAGGATAAAGCGATCTTTTTGTGGAGGAAAAAGAATACGCGGCGGAAAAGCACACAAGATTGATGAATTGCATAAATATTCTTTGATTTTTACTAACGGAATCTATTAATCTACCTTACTTCTGCCGAACTGGAAAATAGACCATTACTTATTGCTGAAAGGGATAGAAAATGTTTATTGGAGTCTTGCATATGGAACGATAGAAGGTAAAAAAAGTGACAAGCTATGATCATACTGTCATGTTAGGTAGCAGTAATAAGTCCCGTAAATAGAAACTGTCGTCCATCTTTCAAGGAGTATAGAACATGCTTATAGGATCAGTAGTTTAGTTTTGATCGTTGTAGTTTTCCAGTCATTCTCTTTTTTCATTTCAACAGCCTTTTTTTACTACTTTTTCCGGTGTCTTTCAGTTCTCAAGTAGTCTTTCCATTAACAAAAGATGACTTTAAAATGGAGGTATATGCTGTCCTTATTAGAGTACAGTTTAGTTTCATTACTGTATAAGGAAAGCATTCGACAAAATGCGTCCTTGACAATAATACTTAGTTCTCCCGTCATTAGAAGAGAACGGATAAATGAACGAGTAGTAGGATCCGAAGGATATAGAGAAAATTCAAGTATGCTGAAAGCAATCATATGGAGATGGTTTTTATTTATTGTAAAACAGTAAGAAACTGAATTAACGAATCGGCTCACAACTTACGTTGATACAGGTATGAAGTTACAATTCAAAGAACAACCTGAAACGGCATGCGATCCTTGCAGTTGTTTGATCTGTGCAACAGTATTAATCAATCCGACTGTGTGCCTTTGTGAGTCTTTTTTTGCTGGTTCTTTCTTTTTCAAGCCTGCAGAAGAGCAAACTAATAGCATGTGCTACTAGAAGTGGCGCCTTGATAGAGCGCATGAAAATAGTAACCGTACCATTAGTATTCGCTTTAAATAGTTTCTTCTTCCAAGTAAACATAAACCGATACGAAGGAAGTTAAAAACAGTAGCTATACTGTAGGGTGCACCGGGAAGTAGAAAAGTTACGATCGTCGAATTGAGAAATAGAATACTTGCAGAAAAACTGGTATCATAACACATAGTGTCGATCAAGATTAAAGGACTCATATGACTCACTACGCGTTGTACACGGTTGCTGCTAGTACTTTACCCTACAAAAGTTTAACGTATTGCTATCAATGAACTAAAAGTCGTTATGGCTCTATTATCTGACAAGTTGCGCACAGGCAATTGATGTAAATATGAGGTTTTTTAACCGCATAAAAAATGCAAGGATACAGTTTATTGCATTGAACATTCGCCAAATTGACTATTCTGACCAACAACGCCCTTGATTGACGTTGCTAAAATCCTGCCAACTGTTTACATGAACTTGATCTATCTCAGGAATGAAAAATAAGACCTGAACACCGTCATGGTGTGATGGATACCGGAAATGATGAGTAAGTGTTGCAAGCCACCAGAGAATGCACCGTCAAGTTGAGGTTTTGGATGACAACGATTAACCTAAAAGGCGTTTTTGAAATCAGTTTTTATAAAAAGTCTAAGGCTCACTGTAAATACATACTCAACATATGCTAAGACGTTTTACTCGGTCTGTTGCTTTATTTTCAAGTTAATAAAAGAGCAATAGTGATACGCATGCAGTCGAAATAACAAGAAATCAATTGAATCAAGAACCTCGCGCCTGAGTTACTAAAAAGGGGCAAAATGACAGAGAAACTCAGCTTCCGCCCCACACAAAAAAATCTGCAGTTGCACACATGGAGTAATGGTGAAAAGAACGGTGTTCCTGTCCAAAAACTGCCTTCGTTTCTTTCTATTACAGCTCAATACTACCTCGATACTGTAGGACGGAGCAATGTTGATTTCTACTGTACCTGAGTTTACATTTTCTGTTAGCAAACAGACATTTGCTTTAAGGGAAAGGGAGTAAAAATACAAAGGGCTGTCGGAAGATGGTCCGAAAGAACAATAAAATTGTTTTATGTGGCACAAAGTATAATTTCATTGGTTTCTTTCATAGAAAACACTACAATGGTACATAAAAAATGGCTGATCTTTTTGGTATGTAATTTTTTATTGTAATGTCTGATCCAGCATAGAAAATTGAGGGAGGGCTATATTAGGCTTTGGTTCGATCCACCCTTATTCAAGGAGTGAAACCGAAAAAGAACTTAAAGGGTGTGCTGTAAAGCCCTTGACGCCTTTCATCCCATATAAAGTTCTTTTAGATCGCATTTACTAAGAAGAAGAAGGAAGAATAATGAAATTTGAACAGATTTCAAACACAATTGAACACATTCTTGACCATTGGAACTAATCTCACTAAACCAACAAAGGTAAGTTTCGCTTAATGAACTGTATCGATAAGAGCCCTTTTTGCACTTGCTGGCAATAAATTGTTCGAGGTATGAAGCTAATAGCTAATGTATAAATGAACTTTTATAGATTACTTCATAAATGTGACAGTGATAATGAACGCGATTAGTTGCACAGAAATAAAGCAATTGTTACATATCTTTGAAAACTGTATATACAGCGCGTGGCAGTTTAGAAAGGTGGGTTTTGTTTTATACTTAAAATAGTTTGGGCATTATCCGATTTGAATACGAGGAATTCCATGGATTCAGGAGGCATAAAAATAGGCACATCCTTTGAATGTTGTGGTTGTGCAAAAATTTTCTCTTTTTCGCTGCTGTAAACAATGAAATAAGCTTTTGCAAATCATTTAGAGCAAACATGGAGATACTGCTATTATGGTTACAATGCAGTTCTACACAAGTGTACGCACATACAATTGACTAGATCAACTCCCACTTTCTCTGCTTGCTTACAAAAGGCTTAAAATGTACCCTCATTCTTTCTATTCTTCGGATTTACCATAAGAATGTATGATGAGCTTATTTCCATCTCTTCGGACCCATGCAAGTCTTCAAGTTAAGCATGTGGTTAGTTTAACATCTCCACATAGCTTACTCTACAGACAACACCTCTTTCCTTGACAGCGTTTTTATTTTTAATTTCGTTTATTTTTCGTGACGCATATAATGAATTTGTTGGTGCAAAAGACCGTGCCTAGAAGAACCCAGACATTTTTAAATTGAGAATCTTTTGCTGCAAAAGGGTGTAAAAGTTGTATAGTGAAAACTTTAACCGCGCACAAGGAAAAGGCTAGAAATGAAAATGCTTGGTTTGATAGGTTTATTCTTTAAAAAAGTTTTTTTATACTTTTCCTTTTCTTCATTCCCTTTCTTTTCCTCTTTCTTCTATTGTCAAGTGGCCATTAGTTTGTTCACAGTTTGATCCTATTCACACATTCCTTCTGACTAATAGATAGAAACGTCAAGTATACCTTCCTGGATAAACCATCCTATATCCATCTCTAATCTATATCCCCCCACATTATATACCATTTTTGCTTTATTTATACATGCCTTATTATACCTCTTTGACTTCTATCCACGAAATGAACAGTGCTACGACAACAAGTATATTGAGTACGGATACCAAAGATCATCATTTACCACCAATCATGAGTGCCAGCTGGATGATCAAAGGTAAAAACGTCCCTTTCTATCCTTGTTCTCAAATGCAACCATTGTTTACTGATCATCAAAATCGATATTCAGACAATAGACTGCCCTCGCCAGAGTCACCGCATCTAATGCATTTCAATAAGAATAGTTATAATGCTCAACCTTCTGCTTCTTTAGCTGCCACATGTACACCACCACCTTTTCTGGAACCTGCACCCTTATCTGAAGAATCTGGGTCTCTTCAGATCAAAAAATTCTCTCTGGACCTACTAAAAACGCTATCACCACCAACCATATCAGCCGCTCATAGTGACATCTTTTCGCCCACAGATAAAGTGACATCTTCTTTAGCAATACCGACAAGAGTATCCGCATTATACACGACTACCATGTTTGCACATCAACGCCCGCAACCTGTTCAAAATATACAAAGTTCCCGTGTAAATAGATACCATCACCATCCACCGGCTGCTAGATATAAGCCATACTCTTCTCAAATGCACGCTCAAAGTGTAGCACGATCTCAGACTAATGACTCGCAAAACCATCCTTCATTTCCTGGGAATTATAATGATAGCACTTACCAGCAGCAACAGCAATTTAAACATGAAATGAGCAGCAGCAATAAAAAGACAAAGCCAGCATCTCGTGCAAATTTACGTAGCAGTTTTACCTTAACTGCTGATCCTGCTGCTGCTGTTACGGATACTGCTTCCTCGCATTTCTCACAAGCGAATAGTAGTTTTCGCAGGCATGAATTGCAGTTGTCACCTATCATGGCCGCTGCATGTGCCTCTGCCGCTGCTGCTGCTGCACAGCATCATCCAGATTCTGATCTTTATGCTCAGTTTCTTAATCCAGCTTCTCCATACTGTCAATCTAAACGCAATAAAAAAGTTTCTGTCATCTTTACAAATGAACATCATTATCATTATAATCATCAACAACAACATCAACAAATGCCAAGTATGAATAGCAGTAATAGTACTAGTATCCATACGGATGATGATGGTTTCGTCGATAATCGTACCACTACTGCTGCTGTTGACACTATCTCAAATAATGAAGTCAGCACTGAGAAAGCTCAGCAGCAACATAAGCAACAAACTTCTTCAATTAGTGTAGATCATACCATCTTTATTAGAAAGGACGCACACATTAAACGACCGCGTAATGCATGGATACACGTAAGTTTCCGTTTTCAAAACTGCTAAATGTTTGTTCATTGATTTAATTATAAAGGCATTCTTTTCTTCTGCTTGGTGCAGTTTCGCTGTCATTATGGACAAGCTTTGAAATGTCTAGATCCAACTCTCCGTGCAGAAGAAGTCTCAAAGTAAGTCTAACAGGCTTTTGCAATACTAATCGCAAAATGTCAACTCATTTCTCGGCAATTCTGTCAATTTGACATAGACGAGCTTCTTTAAGGTGGAGTCTTTTAAGCAAGGAAGAAAAGAAACCGTGGCATGGACTAGCGGAACAGGAGAAACAAGCGCATAGAGAAGCTTTTCCCGAATATCGTTATAGTCCCCGTCGATCCACTAACAACTTGAACACTACTACTTCAGCGCCATCTGCTAACTCAATGGCAACTTCTGCCTCTTCTCTTTCTCCGTCCCAACGCTCTCTCTCGAAAACTACGACGACGACAGCTACAAGTACTCAGACTCATTCAACAACCAACAGCCCTGAACAATCACGTTTAACACGTCGACAACAAAAAGCTTTTCTCGAATTTCCTACTATATCAACCACTTATCGGCAAACTAGTAATAGTCGTCTCCCTAAACAAATGCGTCGTCCTCGCTAAATGAAAACAATATTGCAATTGAGCAAAACAATGGCTATGGTTTATAAATGCTGGTTACTTTTATCAATAACAGCTACCTACCGTTTCAACTCCATTCTTTCTATTATATCAGGGCCCCAAAAAAAAAGAAAGTATTTTTGTTTAATTTTCATTCAAATCCGTCTTTTTTTATTGCAAAGTTGAGAAAATTTTATACTAGGTTTATAGAAAGCTCTTCGTTTATCTCTTTGAATAGATCTACAGAAGTTGTTTGAAAATTCAATGTATCTTTCGTTAATATGGTTGATGCATCAGTGGTAGAAGATAATAGGTTAGTGTCAGCTACGGCCTGAGGTTTGTTTTCATGGCCATTCTTGTGCTGATCAGTATGGCTGTTTACCGAGCACGCTATATCGCCTTCATCTTCGGATTCTGTGGTTGTTTCTGTTGTTAGTGTTGTTATTGTTGCTGTTGCTGCTGCTGCTGCTTGTTTTCCTTCTTTCAATTGTATACTCTTTTCCAATGCATCACAATAATTTTGATACTTGATAATTTCATGTAACAAATATTTTGATTTTGCTTCCCAATTACGCATCACCTTATTATAATTCTGGCATTTTGTAGGGAACTATTATTTCCTGCTTGTTTAGTATGTTTCACAGAACACACACCGAAGACCCTTAACAATATATATTCGTGTGCATTACCTTGATCAACATTTTAGGTTTAATGTCTCTATGTTCATTGATATCTCTATTCAACTCATCCAAGTACTCCTGCAAACTTGCAAGCTGACTCTTTTCATCCAGTTCACTAGGCAACTGGCTTAGCGAGGGTGGAGGATGCCAGTCGTTGATGGAAATTGTATCCGGATCCCTTTCTAAGAAACTAAAGTAATTATATTTCTGATCTCCCACGTTATCAAGATCCATAATGACATCATGTAAACAGTCGTTCCATCCATATTCCATATTACTACCTCCTCCCACAATACGTAGAGGAGTTTTGCTTTTGCGTGAAGCCCAATAGTTGCATGCAGACACCCAAGCGTGCGCATCTTGTTCAGTAGGTACTTGAAATAAATAAACGCCACCATCAGGTTGTTGAGTGGCGAAAACGTGAGGGCGATGACGGTTGTAACCGGGAGGGGGTAGAGGGTTTGAAAGAGTATGATTGAGAGATATTTTACAGATGAGCTGTTGTGGAATTGATTTTTGTTGTGGTGGTGAATTAGTACCAGTAGCCGCAGTAGTAGTAATACTGTTTTTATGATAATTTCCACTATGACTACTTTTGATGCTGCTATTAGTAGATGATCCAGAAGAAGCGAGCTTTTTTGCCGATGCATGACTGTTTGTATGGTTGCCATTACTATGACGCATTGGCACTTCGTGAGGAAATTGTTGATGTTGGTAATAATATTGAAACAACGAAGGAATAGTGACCGAAGAATGACGGAGTACACTTTTATCGCTTTGCTGCTGCAGTAGCTGATGCTGTTGTTGTTGCTGTTGTTGCTGATTGTTATTACGAAGTGCATACATGCGTAGTTCACCATCAGATACTTCTAAATAACACTCTTTCCATTCTCGATGTCGAGCCTTTTGTGTAGCATTTTCTAACAAATGCTTCCTAATGACAATACCTTGTTTACAAAACGGAGGCTCTGTATATGTTAATGATTTGGATGAGGTAGGTGAGGATAGGATGGAGTCATTCATACTGAGGTGAGGAGATGATGATGAAATATCTTTGAAACGCAGTTGGTTGAACTGTTGTTGAGGTACTGATCCATTGGTATCTGTGCCACCACAACGAGAACTGAACGAAGAAGTCGTGCCTGAATTAACGGATGAAAAAGAATCTTTTCGAGTAATGGATAAAGAAGAAGAAGGTGTGCTTATACTTGACCGTACAAGCTGAGGATTACTAATACTGCTTGGCATATACTTGAGCAAAAAAGAAAGTCAAAGTAGGATCAGTTCAATCTACAAAAAAGGAAGAAGGGAGAGTTTGCTCTGCGAGTAAAATTATTTTACCTGCTGCTGTTGCTCTAACTGCTCAAACATTAACATACTTTCTCTTGCAGATTTTCGTATCATTGAATTGACACTGCGCTTTAATCCCAGTACCTTACTTCGATTTCCATATAGAATGCTCGTTCGTTTGTTACTTGTAGTTCCACCACCGTTTCTGCTTCCATTCAGAGGCTGGAGAATTTGATGTTGCTTGACGGAAACGTACATTTCTTTCAGGGATGCCTCTAATTCTGCTTCCCATTGCCGGGTTTCCATCATAGTGTGTCGATTATTTCGTTCTGCTATGGTTCTGAACTCTTGATCCACCTCTTCTTGTTGCTGTTCACGTTGCTCGCGTACAGTAGACATTGTATTTTTTAAAAATTCAGATCGCGTCATTCGAACATGATTTCCTTGTGCCACATGTAAGTCAGTGTTTAAGAGTAACAAGGAATAAACAATGGCGTATACAACGTCTAATTTTGCATGAAAGCAGGATTTGAAGAAGAAGACGCAAGTTAGGTATGTTTTTCTTCGGCTGTCCCAGTTGCGTCAAATAATCTACTTACCAGCGCTTCTAAATACAGAAGCTTGCTGGGTTGAGCTATTACAATCCCAGTAACGTTGAGCAAAAGCTTCCAAAATACGATCTATCTGCTGGGCTTCTGCTTTAAAATAAAGCTTGCTGCAAAGCTTTCTAAATGCGCCATCTAAACGCATTGCTTTGAAATCAAAAAACTGCATATATTCATAAAGAACGGCTTGATGAAAAGGATCCTTTTGTCCTAACCATGAAGCCATCTTTTCTTTTGATACAACTATTTCAATAGTTGCCGTACTTTGGCGACTACTGCTGCTGCTTCGGCCTACGGTGCTATTACTGATATCTTCACGCATACTATCATAATCTTTAGTATAGGTATCGGTGTTGTTACTGGTATGCCATAAAGACATGGCGGTTTGTCTTACTCTTTCTTCTACTTCATTATCGCCATCGTTGACATTCACATCTTCTTTCTCCCAGTGTTCTTGACTCTCTGTCTCGTATTCTTCATCATTATGGACTTCAGTTTCTTTTAAAGTACTTTCAAATTGCTTTGTAAATGTGTGATCAAAATTTAACAAGTCATGATCTGAGGTTGCGTTCCATACTTCATCCAACGTTTTTGAAAATTCTGCTGATATATCTTTTACCACACTTTTATTATTCTCCTTTTGCTGTTCGTTCTGCTGCTGTTGCGGTGGTGATGATAATTTTGGTAATGAAGAAATAGTAGGGGTAGAGTTTTGAACTACGGGCTTTCTAGCGATCAATAATTGTTCCGTCTCCTCACGTAATGCTTTAATTTCTTTTTGTTGCTGCAGTTGCGATACGGTTGATATGGATGAATGAGAATTTGAGCGCACTGATAGACTTGCTTCGGATTTTTTACGCGTAATGTATCGCTGTGGCTGTTGTGGCGGGAGTGGTAGTGGCGTCGCAGGCATAGTTGACAAGTCAATGGCTGTAATAATACTGCTTTTAGATGAAAAACGTTTTTCCATTAGAGATGAGTACCGTTTGTTATTCAAACTACTCGAAGACGATACACGCTTGCTGCTATTACTATGACTGCTACCATGACTGTGGTTGCTTCCTAGACTGCTATTACTTGTAGACATTCGTTTGTTGATTAGCAAACGTTTTTTATTGCTACTACTGTCACTATGTCGTTTCCAATTCAACATAGATTCAGTTAATCCATCATCGTTATCTTCTCTTTCTTCATTTTCCATTGTTTCACCCGTTGTTATAATGGTAGGCCTTTGTTGTCGTTGTTGTTGTTGGATACTGGCAAGTAAACTTCCAACACTGCCTGAAAAATGTTCACCGCTCAATCTGTTGGATAATTTTCTTAAAATCTTCCTCGTGGCTTCTTCATGCTTTTCCCTCTCGATGTCTTCTTGAGATACACCTGTTGCATCAACGAACTCTTCGCTACAGTCAGTATCATCCTCGTCGTCATCTCTATCTGTTATAGTATTATTGTTGTTAACATTTTGTGGTGTCACCATCGCCTTCTGCTCTTGTTCTTCCTCTTCTTCCTCCATTGAATTTTGTGATTCACTACTACCGCCAAATGTGGAATAAACAGAGTATGAACCTGTTGATTTCCGCAAAGAAGTCTGTATCTTCGATGAGGAAGGCGGTGGCGTTGCCTCCTTATATGACGATGCGGATTGCCGTGCAGTCAATGATGGTAGCGGAGTTAAATAAGTATAATAAGAAGGTGACATGTTTTTTGGAGCAGTAGTAGTGGTAGTCACTGTTGCTGTTGTAGGAGTTGAACTCATTAGGTAAGGATTTTGTACTGGTATCGTTGTAGGTGTCAGCTGTGGCTGTATTTGTGGTATGGGAGCTAAAGGTATGTTGGCGTGTCGATCAACTTGATTTGGCTTTACTGGTCTTATTTGTGGTTGATTATCAAATAAGTCATGCTCTGATATCAGAGTTGGAATGTTTTTATTACTGATTGTTGTTGATGTCTTGCAAGGCAGATCAAATAAATACAAGTAACGTTAATTGACTAAAGAAAAAACGAAGAAATAACAAAAAAAAAGAAAACGAAAGAATATAGACTATTTTACCTTACTCCCTTTTTTTTTGAAAAGTTTACTGAAGCTATTAGCAGTACTATGATTTGTTGTGGTATTGGTTGTTGTAGCGGTAGTAGTTTTGGTAGTATTAGTAATATTTGTTATATTAGTATCGATTATAGATGCCTATAGTCAATACAATTGAAAATTCAGGAGTGGAGTGATTTCAGTTCGAAAATTTCCTATGCAGAAGGCGCATATCTTCGTACTTGACATTTTTACCTTGTGTGAAGTGGTTGTGATGCCCAAAACGGATTCATACTTAAGAGACTTCTGTGAGTAATTTAAACGATCATTTGATTTAAACCTGGACATGAAGAACCTTTTCTTTTCCGTTGGCAAAGTAGAAGCAGTAGTAGACTTTGAATACGTATGACTGCAATTAGTAGTTGCAGTATTATTAGGAGTAGTATTATTGGTGGTAGTAGTAGTAGTAGCAGTAGTTGGGATCATTCGAGAATTTGGTAACATTTCGAGTTGTATGGACATGTTTATTAAATTAGCTTATTACAACAGTAAAGGGTATGCTTAAGTGTAAAAATTAAGGAGAAGTCCCCATCAGTGAGTCAAATTACAGGCACTGTTATGATTTCTTCAATTGATAAAAGAATAAAGCAAGAAAAGAAGAAAAGCTGTGTAATGAGTATAAACTTCATTTTGGATGAAAAATTTGTTGTGTAACTGTTCATTTAGCAATTCCAACTTCTTTTGCTTCAATTCTTATTTTGAGCATTTCCACGTCACTTTTTAGGGTTTTCCATTGAAGTACACCAAATTTTCAAAAGACTCTAACGGTCTGCATCTTCATAATATGAACTTCAGCAATTGCTGTCTGATATCATTTCTGCTCGTCACTGTTATATCTTTTTTTAAGTGTACGGTATTTTCTGAGATAGTACATCATTTCCAGCTCTATCCATTATGAACAAGTTTTAAAGGACTTCCTTTCTTCAATAGAGCTTTTCTGACATTATGTCGACTCACAAACCTTTAATAATATATTCTCCAAACTGAATAGATTTCAATATCTCTTTTTCATCCGTCAAGTCTTTTTTCTTCATGAATGCTGCTTTTAATTTTGGACGGAAAAAGTTACTGTATCCTTCAGGGTACTCTCTGCCTAAAAAGACTAACTGATGCGATTTAGAATTGTCATCGTGTAATATAGCTTTTAATCCAAGCTCTGATTAACAATATATTTACTTGTTTATAGAGTGCAATAACTTGACTGCGAAGTTGCGATTGAGTATATGTCATTGTCAGTCTACCGAAAAGAGGAAAAGAAAAAAATGTGGGGTAAAAAAAAAATCTTGAACGTGAGTTTTATTTTCGTTCGGCGTTTCTTCATTTTATCAAAATGCGATGTGCCCATTAATCAATAGGGCGTTTAGGCAGCTTCTTAATGGCCATTAATTGTCTACACTGCTGAACCAATTTGACTTAGGAAAACTGTTATGCTTAGTCCTATAAGCACGAACAGTTAGAAAGGTTATTAATAATTGATGTCTGTACAAAATTTTGGAAACGTCGGACTGCCTTGAGTTAGCTGCGTTTACTTACTCGATGTCACTACATTAGTAACTAATTCTATAAAATGTCATAGTATGATGGCTCTCAACTTCAAAGCCCCAATAGCCCAGTGGTGAAATGATCGTGTTCTTGGGCTCTTCCTAAACAATGGTCACAATTTCTCCTTTGTATTTCCTGTAAATATTTTGAAATATTCCGTTTTTACACGTGACATATTTTCAATATTCTTCAACATATCTTCTCAAATAGTGAATCAAACTCTCTCAAATAATGCGTCATATTTTTTCTGTAACATCACACATTTGTAAAAATAAAAGGGTAGAATTCATTTAGGGGGAAAGATTCTTTATTGTTCATATCTAGCAACTTTGATTGGGCCCTGGTTTTTTATTGTATAAAGCGGGCTGAAGACAACTAACTTTTTGTGATAAAAATAGAATCCATTGTACGATCCAAAAAAAGAAGCTAAATCAAATCAAATATATAAACATCCGAGTGAAGATCTTTTTCTCTTCTTTTTTGTTCCTAGCACCTTTCATCTTTTGCTTTTTTTTTATCTTCTGAAAACGATGTCTGCAAAATCGGTACGCTTCGATCCTGTCGAAACTATATACACCACATATAGTGCAGACGAATACGATAGATCTCGCTTTGCCTTCAGATCTTCTCCGAAGCAATACACCATTTTCCGTCCTAACATGTCTGCTAATACTATTGCTGCTGTTGATTTGCTAAGCAAGATAACAACAGATGCAACAGATAAATGTAGTCCTACTGTCACTGCTGCTGTCACCGATTCAAGGCTTTTCATTCCGTCTTTGGATCTCTCTGTTATCCCTAACTCAAGACGACGACTGCTTGACTCGTCAACAGATGAGATAGAAGTATCATTCTCTTCATCTTCAACCACAAAGAAAACGAAAAAGCCAAAGTTAACCATTAATACCCATTCGCTGACACCCTTGATTTTCACCGAGCTTACAACGCACTATAAATGCAAACCTGAAGACGAAGAAGAAGAACATGGCTACCTCATTCCTGTGTCTGCTTGTTAACAATTCCATTTTGCAACTCACCTCTTGTACATATTATATCCGATCAGACAACTTTATCACTTATATACATATACATCACTCTACTTACTACTTGATTTCCCATTTGTTTTTTAATGGCTAATACTGTTTTTCCCTCGTAAATCGCACTGTTTAATTGCTATATGACGTATTTTGATGAATAAATTGGCGCTCTTGTTCATTCGCTCGTTGTACGCAATAGCTTCACTACACTAACCTTTTGCTGCCGCTTCACGGTGGATTAGAAAGTGCTAAGCCTAAAATTATCACCACGCCAAATAGAAGCTGTCACAATCATATTTCAGATTGGTTTTACAGATTCCAGTTGTCTGATACCGACCTTTGATGTATTATACTAATCAAACATCAAGCATGTTCTAATTCGAGTTCAATAGTTCGATATTTTTTGAGATACCTGAAACAAAGTCATCTTAGACTGTAATTCAAAAGATCAAGAAGCGCAAACTATAAAACTTAACGGCTGCAAATGTAATGGGAAAAGCCAGGTATAAGTTAGCACATTTTTAAGTTGCTTGGTTGTTTATGTACTTTACTTTGAGTGGAGGTTTCTATATCACTCATTCAAAGAAGAAGGAATTGGCCGTTTCCCCTTTTTTATATTGCCTTTTTCTTACCAACAATACTACTTATCCTTCATTGTTCCATATTCGTGCTGTTTTCACAGGTTAATTATTATCTTCCAATTTCTGATTGGGCGACTGAGGCATCCCAGACACTTGGCAGCACCATACGTAACTGATTCTTGTTGCATGTATGACTTAAACGCCACTCTCACTTTTGCTATATCCGTACGCGATAACAATAGCAAAGAACTCGATAATTTAACAGTTATACTTTTGCGTTGTAGCCTCTAAAAATGTATTCCCTTTTTCAGCAATGCGATAATCTGAACGAAGATTATCAACGCAAGCGAACCTTAGCATGAGGGTTATTGGTCAGATCTGTACACAAAACAGAAACCTACTGTACATATTTTCCATACATCATTGATATATGCCAATACACATAACTAAAGTCGCGAATTGGCGGGAGCAGTTTGTGCAAAGGGATCAATAGGTAAATCTAGAAGCAGTAAAGTGGGATTTAGTAAGTCAATATCAAGTGTGAGAAAGCTAACAGGAACTATAATGGAGATATAAGAATTTCTGAGAAAAGGAGAATGAGGTTTCGATACAGAAAAATAAATATAGAATTGCTATCTTGATATCAGAGTCAAGTTCGTATTTATCCTTAGAATACAAGATTTTATTAGAATATAATTAACTCTCACCGAACAGTACATAAATCTCCAGTAATTCCAAATAAATAAATAGATCAAACCTCTCTTTCTTTGATAACCACCTTGAACAAAAATTGCGTTCACTAATGTATCCTTTGCTTTACTTCTGAATTAAAATGTTCATATAAATCAATGCCTTAGCTTCTGATACCTTAACTAACCAGATATATCTCAGTTTACTGTTAGATTTCTTATAAAATATTAATGTATGGAACTGTTAAATACTAAGACATAAATAAAAGTTAATAACTCAGATCATGGTAATTTCTTTTACGAGTTATTACTCTCACTCTTTAATTCTGAATATACAAACCTTGAACTTGTGTTCTAACGCACATCAACACCAGTAAACACTATATATACGAAATAGGTACGATGCTTATAATTCTTCTAGGTGCCGGGACAAAATATGCTATCGGTGTCTAGAATAACCCTTGGGCAAGATCTAATAATACCTTGCAGCTTCAAGTAGACTTAAGGACATGACTATTTCAAGCATGTTACAAGAATTTTATATCTAAATGAATAGAGCCTTGATAATTGATGGCAAATTTTTATAGTTTCTCCTCGTTTTTACAAAATTTTAGTTATCTTAAGACAATCTCTGTTCGCTGAAAGACCATTTCATAAAAATTACTTCAACATAGATTTACATTACAAAACTGTTGTTTCACGCTATCATTTCCCAATTGGATATAATGCGTTATGAAGGTTTCTTATAGAATATCTCAGCTTTATTTATTTGCCAATTAGCCAGATTATTATAAGAAATAAATAAATAGAAAGTTATATCATTTCAAGCAAGAAACAAAAAGGAACCATAAGGAGTGTCCTTTACAATTTATCATTATCATTATTATTATTATTTGTTTTTACTGTTTATTTGGCCATAATCAACTGTCTTTCTCTACCTAAACTTAACTGGTTGATATTACTTTAATATTTATGCTTTAATTAACAAGACTATACATTTATCCTCTGATATTATTCTCATCTCTCTTTTTATCTCTCTTCTATCCGATTATAATCCACTTTACACGATTCGATACCTTATGACGGGATGCTCATTACCGTTTAAAGCAAGCTACTTCCAGACTCTCTCAGAGAAGCACTCTTATTCTAATCCTAAGACATCTCAATGAAGACTTTAGCTCGGAACAACAATGTATTAGTACAAGCTGGATGCTTGCAAGCCCAGTACAGTATTGATAGTTGATTCACGAAAATACGAAGGATTGCTTTTAGCCAAAGTTCTTCACCTACGCATATCATCAAATTGTTTAGCTTCTATTACACTCCCCCTAGCTTTCACTCACAAATCAAATAATTGCTCCTCGTACCTCATATTATAGATGGTGCTGTTCCTACCTATACCTCCAATCTCTTCTCTATTCCTACCTTGGGAGGCATTTCTTTTTATATAGTCATTATTTGATACATACATAAAATCCTACTTCCAGCGATATTAAGTATTCTCAATCCTCATCCTCGATATTAGCTTCCTGTCTATAATAAATACCAGCTTATGTTAAACTATATAGGCCACTGAATATTGACTTATAAAATATAGAACACCTACGAATACCCATTAAAAATCATCCTTCTTATCAACTTACTACTTACTGGTTTTTTTCAACTATTGAAGAGTCTATTATAATTGATTTATCTTATATACTATTAATAATTAGTTGTAATATTTATTTTTGAATACAATGGAACTTAGATTTCTTCTCAGACATTTCCATCTACCTTATTCTGTTCTATTTGATTACGTCTATTTCTTTTCAATATCTTAACTTTATTATCTTATGTTCGTTACTTCAAAGTCATAGTGCTCACTAGAGACTCTCGGACACTTTAGTAAGTTACTTACTATGTCAACATCTTCTTTAAATTTATAAGAATTCTACCCGTATCTACCAACTGCAATTAACGAAGAATACAGGTTTTTTTTTTTTTTTTTATTTTGTGTAAATACATGTGTGATTAATCTCAACAGAAAGACAGAAGATGAAAATTAGAGATGAAGACAAGTGGTATAAGAGGAGAAAAAAAAAGGGGTGGGGGGTGAGGGCTAGAAGAGGCACATGGGCGGCGCATTATGAACAGTCCTCATTAGAGTGTTTAAGTTATGTCTGGTGGGGGCACTTTTTCGACATTTTGTAACGTGATACTTAAAAGTTACAGAGGATTGGAGTCTCTGTAATGCATTCGCTAAGGACCGGGCTTCATTGTTGATGACTACATACCAATGATATTGCCGTAGGGTCTCCAAAATGTTACCTACTAATTCTAAGGCGTAATTCTCAGTGTAAGTATTTGTTGAAAGCTTTACTTGGAGGAGAAGAATACAAGCTGGGAAACACCCAATTCGCAACTATGAAGAAAAATAGAAACGTACCACAAAATAATCATAGAATGAAAAAAAAGCCCAACGGGGGGCTCGAACCCCCAACCTTGAGATTAAGAGTCTCACGCTCTACCGATTGAGCTAGCTAGGCACCTATATTTTGAGGTGTGGCATTTATATAAAATTGGTTCAACTAATTGGAGTTTGACTATTTCCATTTTTGGTATATGAGTGATTTGGTCGCTCTCATGTTACGTCAGCGAATAGCTCTCTTTCCTCGTCGGAGATTACCCCTCTTAAAATTTCCATTCCTTTTTTTTTTTCTGCAAATTTGTAAAGTTTATACTCGATCAACGTATTTGATCTGTCTATGTTTCTATGTCACACCCCATTATGTTAGTATCCCCATATACACTATAACCTATATTTAATTTAAAGATCAGTGCTTATAGATGAGTTGACAAAAAGTATAAGTAGCGACTGTGATGTCCTCTATAATTACCTAGGCCAAATATATGTAATTATTCACCTAAACAACATTACATGTATCTTTTTTTTTTGTTTTGTTTGATCCTTTCAAATGAAAACCTCTTAGTTTATTCCATCTGCAGCATTTTTTCCACTTTACAGCGATTCCTTTACATCGTAATAGTTTCTGAACTCAACATACGAATATGAGTCCGCTACCTTCTTTCTTGCTAATGATAGTAGATCAGGTACAATGATTGCAAATTGCCGATAAACCTCTTCAGTTTGAAGAAGTGAATGCAACCGATAAGTTATATCATTATCTTAAACTTATGAACAGAACTCACATCTAAGCGTACTATCCTCTTCAATAGAACGAGCTAACCACCTTACAGTCCTGATAGACAATGTATTTCGTTGTCAAGGAATCTTTGCAGAATACCTGAAACCCTGTCTGTTGTTTTGATATTCCTCAATCAAATTGTTAAGATGATGTACCCTGAACTATTGTTAAATCGCGTTCTTGAGTGCTTGTCATGTGCAGCTGGGGCTTTGAATGGAAGAAAAAGGTACGTATAAGCGATCCCCACACCAAAATAAGGATCCAAGACAAACGACTAATATTTCTCTCTGTCATGTCTTTATTTGAATGAGCCTGAATGGAAGACCTTTTTACAAGAAAACCAACAACATAAATAGAGATGGAATTATATGCTCATGAAACCCTGTCGTGATTCAAAAAACTCAACTTCATTAACAGTTAGTATCATGTAATCACAGTGATGCAAGTTAAAACAAATAATTAATTCCGAATTGTAGGTTAGAATGAAAAAGCTAAAGGAATTGACGATTTAATGATCCTTTCGCTGTGTAATTGGAAACTCCCCCAAAGTTTGAGACAAAGCGAATTATAGAGAGCATATTTGATGTACTGTTGTCTATTGTAGAATGAGAGAATGAGAACAATAACGTGGTAGAAATGCGTAAATGCTCTTAATATTTATAATTGTAGTGATTAACAATTGTTATGCCAGTAATGCTCAGGCTCACCGACTTACTTTGTCAGGATACTGCAGAGCGCCGATACGCTGAAAACTTAATCTGTTAGCAATGTCATCGAACGCCATAAGTGGACCAGCTGCTCGCAAGTGAAGTTGTGTGATCATCGTAGTTAGCTCATTTCAACCAATAATTGAGAGGAGACACAAACAGGATTTTTGCGGAAAAGTAACTGGGTGAGCCAGTGAGTAACAGCCATACGTTTCGTACACCAAATATGGCATCAATAATCAGTTTAATTGCTGTATCTCCTAGATAATCTGGACCATAATCTTATTTCTTAACCTTATTGAATCGTAAATCCATTTCCTAAACGAGTGCACAAGCCCATTTGAAGAACTACTTGATTAATCATAGAGTTGACGAGTATTCACTTTCTAAGTATTGAAGGTGATACAGAAGCACCATATTCTTTAATCAAGAAGATATTTTGTAAATTGAAAAAAGGGATAATACAGTAGCTTAAACTCAACCATGTAAGAAATATTGCTAAAAGAAGTAAGTGTAGGTTGTGTACGGATTTGGAGATGCCCTGAACTCTTACATGACTATGGTATTTAAGTTAGCCATGACCCTGCCTTTTTATTTTTTGTTATACTGTTCTTACACTTTTTGAAGTCCTTCGTATACATTCAAGTTTCTGCCAATTCAACGCATCACATTATTAGTACTATACTATTTACATGAATTTATCACGTAATATCCTATACAGCTCATAAATAGATATTATGCCATCCGCCTTAAATGAGACTTCACCGCTATTACCAGCAAAATATATCGGTGACAATGATTTTTTGAAGCCATCACAGGAGCGACAAAAAGGCTACCTCCACGAATTTAAATGGTTATTGAAAAATGCAATGCCATTAGTTGTCAGCTACCTTCTGCAGAACACCTTACAGAGTTTCAGCATTGTGTCTGCTGGACATTTGGTAGGTTTAGAGATAATATACATTGAGCAAACAGATACGACACAAGTGCTAACGGCCAACTTTCATTTCAGGGTGCAAACGAATTAGCTTCGGCAACGTTAGGCAGCATGTTTGTTACTATTACTGGCTTATCTGTAGCTACAGGTGCTACCCTATCCCTCGACACACTTTGTTCACAGTGCTTCACCAGTTCCAAAGATAAAAAATTAGTCGGCCTACACGTACAGCGTTGCTTAGCTTTCATGTCTTACTTATATATCCCTATCATTTTTCTTTGGTGGAATTCTGAAAAGGTGTTTATATTTCTCCGTCAGGATCCTGTTGTTGCGCACTTATCAAGCATCTACGTTCGCTGGATGATCCTTGCTATACCCGCTTTTGCTATTTTTGAAGCCCTCAAAAAAATGTTGCAAGCGCAAGGTATTTTTAGTCCACCCACTTACATCCTCATCTTCTCCTCTCCTATCAACTTACTTCTCAATTATGCCTTGGTTTGGATACCTCGATTTTCATTTGGTTTTCATGGTGCACCCATCGCCAGTTGTATATCGTATTGGCTCATTGTTGTATTATTATCACTCTATATTTATCGCATCGATGGTCATCAAGCTTGGCCTAACTGGTCCACGTCTTTTGTTTACCAAGTTCGATATTGGGGTCCCATGATAAAACTTGCTGTTCCTGGTATCTTACTGATCTGCACCGAAACCTGGGCTTACGAAATTATTGCGCTCGGGGCTAGTTGGATTGACACTCCTAATTTAAGTGCTCAAAGCATTATCCTTACCTCCATCACAGCTCTTTATACACTCGCTTTTGGTGTTGGTATTGCGGCAGCGAACCGCGTTGGCAACTTATTAGGTGCTCAAAGGTCAAATCAAGCTCGTACAGCTGCTCGTGCTGCTCTAATCGTAGGCACTCTTATTGGTACTAGTAACAGCCTGGTTCTGTTACTCTTCCGTCATGTCTGGGCTTATCTGTTTACAAGCGATGAAGAGGTTGTACAAATAGTCACACAAATGTTACCCTTAGTGGCATTGTTTGTAGTTGCCGATAACATGGCCGGTGTGGCGGATGGCGTTCTGAATGGTATGGGACGACAGCATGTCGGTGCTTGGTGCAATCTGGCTTCTTATTATTTATCAGCCTTGCCTATCGGATTATATCTATGCTTTAAGTGTGGTTGGTGGTTGTCTGGCTTATGGACAGCCTTGGCAGGTTCAATGTTTGTTGCAGCTGCTGTGACGGTATTAGTTGTTCTGGTTGCAAACTGGAAAAAGGAAGCTGAGAAAGCAGAAAAGAGAACAGAAGGAGAAACGTATTTAGCTACGAATATGAACTAGCAGTAGCGGTTATACCCACTTAGAAAACAATAATAAATACTGAAATAAATAATTGGATTGCCTTGTGCACTCCAATAAGAGTTTGTTACCGTGATAAATGATCTATTGTAGCTCTTATACTGTACGAAAATAGTACACCACCATTTGTTATCATCAGTAATCAACACTCTATATCCTGCATAAATGTACGCTTCGGGAAAAGATGCTTATTCCTTTTTTGTTTTATCAATTACAATGTATTATACTTGGAATAATACAGAGCCCTTTACACTTTACAGTAAACTCATATATGCTTAAACTAACCGAGGGGTAATGTCACTCTGTAGCATGGCTATCATCATTAGTTTTGGGTTTCTCTTTCCCTGCTGTCTATTAGAGGAACGATGCACTTCTTACAAAACTTATATGACTAATTGTGTTGCTTTGTTACGGAAAATCTGTGTAATAAGCTTTGTCAAATTTGACAGAATTCTCGTCAAGCTCAAGGAAACAGTACATTTACGCAACGATTAAAGCGAAATGATTTAAAGACAAGTTTCGTCTCATTTAAAAAGAAAGCAACGTTTTGCCAGTAAAGCAGTACTTATTAATTTGAATATCTACAGCACTATAAAAGCTTTTGCTTAGCAAGGTTACATCAAAATTATGATAATGAAAGTTTGAAGGGGTTTGTTATGGTCAAAAAGTAGAAAGAGAAGGTCACTAAGAATTGTAGATCCCGCCACATTTAATTCCGAAAGTAAGCCAAATGCGGAATGAACTGAACTATAAAAACATGGGGTAAACCCAATTGACTCAAATTCAATGTTCGTGCTATCCCCCTTTCTCTTTCCCAGCACTTTTTACAGATCGTTGACATGAGTACCATCAAAATCGGATCTTTATTGATAAAGTAAAGAACAAACAGTGTATGATTTTTTAACGGAAAATTGGCGATTGTATATCATAACAGTGATGATTTACACCCTTTGGTCTTTTTTCAATTCCTCTTTTCTACTTTCTGTCTTGACCAGAACATTAGCAAAACCTGTTGCAAACTCTATCAAAACACAAGCAAAGGCACATCCAAAATTCAGGGCTTTCTGTATAAATGTTGCGCAGGTATAGGAAGTGTGCAGGATTTCTATTCGAAATGAAAGTCATGAGGTGTCAATGGATATTCATAATAGTTATGTTACATTGGTTCCTTTTACAGGGCTCACATACATTAGAAATGACACTGAAAATGAAATTTCTGGGATATAAAAAGGAGAAGATACGACCATTGAATGATGCAAAGTAAACTATATTTCTCGTTCAATCATTTCATGAGGTCTCTCAGTTGCAGCTGCTTACAGCCTTAAGTATTCCTCTAATATTTTAGAGCTATTGAAAGTGGGGCCAATTTTCTCAGCGAAGCGTTTGTGTTCACGGTGGCAGCATCTGTCATCCTGGCTGAAAGTTGGAGGTAATCAAGGAGAGATGCACAAGAGCGATGGTATCAGACGCTTGTAATGTTAACTCAATTTTCTCCTTCAAAAAAATTAGATCTAGAGCTACTGCAAAAAATCGTCGAAATTATGTGGATGATGCGTTGGAAAACTTGGAAGGTCAAAATAAATCACTAACGGAACAGTTAGAGGAAACTCAGCACATGAATCAGACCATTGAGGCACGATTAAAACAGATAGAAGAAGATAACCTGCAGCTAAGGAATCTATTAGATGAGGTATTCATGAAGTTGGAGTTTTTGCTGCTCGTTGACAAAATTTTACACATGTGTTCCGATATTAATGCTTTCTTATAACAGATTCTATCGGTTAGTTTAGGACTGAAACGGCATACTGAATATCAACAACAGCCCACAGTAGTTACACTTCCTGGGTTTGGCAAAGAATAAACATGCTATTGGGTAGACTTACGAGTATTATAGATCTACATTTAAGACACTTCACCCACTAATATTGATAGTGCTATACTTATACCCATGTATTTTATGATAAAGAGAATATTTCTCAGTGTAGAGTTTCGTTAGTGATATTTACACCTCATTCATCAAGGCTCAATTCATACTAAAACAAGGTTTTGTTAATTGTGACTCAATTTTACTGGTTATTTGATTTAAAATAGAATGGATAAGCGAGATATCTGAAAATCTAAATGGGAATACAATAATAAAAAAAAAATACAATAAAAAGAAACGTGAAAGCAAAAACAAGATATAAGAAGAGAATGTTGGACTGAAACGAGGGTCAAATTGAGATAAACTAAGCAGAAGATCTCTTTACCAGTGAACACTTTTGAAGAGCGAGATGGGACATACGCTTATTCTCGGTAGCCTTCAAAGCTTCAGCATAGGGGATCCAGACACGTTGGCGATCTTTACTAGGCCATGATTCAAGCAAAGTTGGAGCGTGGACTTCGTACATCCAATGGTGAGCAATAACTCTTCCCTTCTTATTGGACTCAGAGTAAGAGCCGATACGGCTCGATAAGAAAGAAGTAGAGACACCAGCCTTCTCAAATAAAAGACGGATAGCAGCTTTTTCAGGATGTTCGTCAGCTTGACAATCATCGCGAGGGAGAACATAAGAACCTTCATTCTTACGGCTAGCTAACATTAAGACATTTTCAGTAGCAGGGTCAACGACAATCACACCGACGACTTGACGAATAGGCTTGGGCACCTTGGATCCTTTAGGGTCCTTGACTTGCTTGGCCTCCTTCTTGGCCTTCTTTTTTTCAAGTACCTCTTCAGAAACAGCATCAGCTTTAGAAGTAAGATGTTGCGTATTTTCTTCAGAAGCAACAGCAGGGGCTTGCTCAGGAACGACTTGTTCTTCTACCTTAACTTGGACTTCTTGCTTCAATAGCTCTTCAGTAGTGGCTTTTTTGTCAGCAACATCAACAGATACTTCACTAGTAGCAGCCTTCTTGTCTTTCTTTTCCTTTTTCTCCTTTTTTCCCTTCTTATCCTTCTTGCTATCCTTAGTGGCTTCCTTTTCTTTCTTCTCTTTCTTCTCCTTTTTCTCCTTTTTCTCTTTCTTCTCCTTCTTATTCGATTCTTTTTGACTGATTAAGTCTTCATCACCAATCACAGGAGTGCCGGGAAGGTTGTTGATATTACTATTACATCCAAGAGAATTGGTTTCAAAACCAGCGCTGGGTAGAGTTGCGGTAGCCATGTTGATATAAAATTGTACTTATATAAGAACAGAGGTGGAAGAGTCTTTATTTAAGTAAATGTTAGTAACGAGATGTAAAAGATAAGAAAGATTATTGAAGTTGGCTTGCTTATATATCAAAATGGATAAGACCCGCGGTTTGCAGCGGACCTTCTTTTATTTATGCCTTCTTTACACTTTTCAATAAAACTGAAGTGCAAAATGTTGGAATGGTTTCATCTGAAGTACAAGTTGAAGGTTTAATGACGCGTTTATATCAGAATGAAGCGAACTCAACAGTCCGTCCATTGGTTGATGGTAAAGGAGCAAAAAGAAAAGAAAAAGGCAACGTGCATTTTGAACATTCTTTTTCAATACTTTATCTTAATAAATTTCTTAATTTATTGTTTTTCTACTTCAGACTGATCTACTTTTACGTTAGCGCAGATCAAAGCCTTTCAATTCTGTTAGAGGATTTCAAAAGAAAGCATTTACATTTGTACAGAGAGGACAATCAACTGGAGACTACTTACAATAAAACAACATAAGACTTTAAACAATCTCGAAAGGTAATCCTCAGTTCAACCTAATACTACCGACATCAATAATGTGACAGAAAAGCAATATGCATCGAGAAAAATGTATAACACGTGAATGACGATTAAGATGATAAAGCGAATGATCTAGGTATATATCATATGGAGGAAAGATGGAAAAGGTGAAAAGCGTGCAGAGCTAAGAATCAGAATTGTTTAGATTCACGTAGGTATATCATTTTATTCTTCTTGCAAGTGCCTTGAGATCAAATATTGCCATTTCATAGTCTTTTAATGCTATATATAATAGAACTGGAGTAGGATCATCAGTCAGTTTTTGTTATCTTGCTACTTCCACGATTAGTAATGGCGGCTTCTTTTGATTCCAGAAACTTGGCGGACTTGAATGCATCGCCCATTCTGTTAAATTTGCTGGAAAAGATGAAAGCTAAAACTAACAGTGATAAACCAGTCCAGAACCAAGGGTTGCTATTGAAATATGTCAAAATCAAAAATTAGACGCCTTCTATATTGATGGGAACATATGAGCGCTTACTGCAATACCTGAAAGGTGAATTGACATAAAGCATTTCAACTTCATAAACAACAGCAGTATTTCCTATTGTTTGTTAAACATGGATGGTGTTAGTGCATTGATTCACAGAGTTCTGTAGTCCATCGCTTTCCTTCTTTTATGGTTTCTAGTGTATTTCAATTATTCTCATTAAAGAAGACTCCCCCCCCTTGTGTGTGTGTTTGTTTGTGTGCTTTGTACCTGGAACTGAGTTTGGAAGACCTAATTGCCCATACGCTGCGCATTTTGATAAGGTGAAACAATGCAATTTAGACCAAAAGTTAGAAATCAGCGACATCCTTAAAATGAATTTACCTAGATCCGCAGGAATCAATAGTCTACGGATTTCGCCCTCACACATGCCTTGAATTCCTTGCTTCAACCCTAATTTGACATAAATGTAAATTTACATAGCAGATACAACTATGTAGGCTTCGAATTGTTCCTTTGAATGTTATACCTTTCATCATCTTATCACGTCCTAAGTGTATTCGTTGTAATTTATAAATAAACTCTGATAAGAAGGTTCATTATCAATTTAGTAAACCAGTATCTCACCTAGTTTGAATTGAAGAGGCTCGTTTGCAAGATATGTATTATCATAGAATTCATCTGATCCCCAGACGCGAGCACGATAGTGTAGTTTAACTTTCGAATTGCCTGACACTTTATGCTTACAGTTTTCAGATTTCCTTAATATGCCTGAATGGAAAAAAATATTAAAAAAATAGAGATTGCTCGACATTTTAATAAACAGTAACGTATTGGGAAGGTATACAAAATTTCATCATATCTATTGCTGCTCTCATCGTTTTACCTCCACGTAATGTTTTAGGCTGCTCAATCTCTGCTTCAGACTTTGCTATGCATAATGCTACAGTGAACAATGTGAAGAGTACAAAGCATATTTTGCAAATAGCGGTATTAATCATTGTATATAGATAATAAGCGTTAGAATAAAATGTAAGAGATGAAGATGAAAAAGAGATAAAGCGATAGAGGAGGAAAAATATTATAAACTTTAGTGAAAGCTTCTCAACTCTCAATTTGTATATTCGAATTGGTGATTTGAACCTCTCACAGAACGTACAAAGAAAGATACTGACGAAAAAGGAGATTTTAACTGTTTACAGATTCCTCTACAATTACTGCTTCTTTGTTTCGCTTACCACAAAATGGTTAATAAATTGAGACATTTTACAGTTTTATTATAGACATATTTAAAAATGTTTTGGATGACAAGCTTAGTTTTTGGGATCCTATCTTTTCTGTCAAAATGCTCAATGCCAAATGTGTAACCTTTATCAAAGCCTTACAGAAACTTAGCTATCAGTTTGTATGGCGGAAAAAATTCCCATTAGTTTCCTATGCTCGACTTCTTATGCCCAGACACTTAGGAGGAGTTGGTTTGTTAAATGTTGCGATGCAACATTTAAACCTGCAAATGAAATGGTTAATAATGTTATTCTCACCACAGCCTTCCGTAGTTCAAGTACTCCTTCGCCATCAATTCCGGTGATGGGCATCACATTTACTAGTCCCATACTTCGTTTCTTTTGCGCTATTCATCGAACTCCTCATCTTTGTCACCCAACCTCGGTTACCGATTATGTTCACAGCGTTTGATCATTTGAATGTTACCCTCCCATTGGAGGATATTCCTCTCAAGAGCTTGTTACTCTTCCCATTACATTCTTTGTTTACACGCTTACCAGAGTCGCACTGGCTAGAACGCCATCCCAAGATGCTTGCCAACGCCTTTTTTTTCTGCGACCAGTCCACTAACCGCCTCATAATGAAACGACCAGGAGAATATAATGTGAAACCGCGTTTGCACTCATATCTTTGGGCCAAGTACTCATAGATTCTGCAGTGCAACTTCAAGCCTACGTCAATAGATTGCGGGCAGGCTCTTCTGTCGCTACCGACGACCCAGATAAGGCATTGGAAATTACACTAGTATGACGATTGACCAACAGTAACCTTTGGCGTCATTATTCGGCTTCAACGTTTAGACTTCATCATCACATCCAAATACACCAAACATCAGATATAGGGGTGATCCTCAAACGGATATTTACCCTGTTCTGGTCCCTTCCTTTGTTTCTTCCGGTTCGTGGCCTAGGCTATCGCACCATTTGAAAAAATCACCATGCTTATCAGTCTTACAAGCCGCAGGGGTAGTTTCATCTGCTACCTGCAGACTTTGTAATGATGATATTGATACGTTCGAACATTTCACAACCAGTTGCCTTCCACGCTGGCAGATATGGCAAGAAGGCCTCACGGTATATTTCCCATCCTTCGGCTTTGATCCTCAAAGCATCTCTGCCACCCTAAGATTACACCCGCCACCATCATTACCTTCGTCCGAGCAATCTCGATTTTTCACCGTCTGCTTCAGTATCCATTGGGCTATCTGAACGTCATTCTTTCGAATGATATTCCATGATATTCCTTTTCAACCCCCATCCGTCTCTAGTAAAGCACATAACATAATTTCTTTGAGCCTGTCTTCCTCGCAACTCTTGCGGGAAGCGGCTGCTTTCAACTAATTTACTTGTTATAGAAATCTTCTTTTTCTCTCCATGTCCCACCCCTCAGCGATGTGTGACTAATTTATAAAATAATCTACAAAAAAAAAAAAAAAAAAAATCAATGCCAAATGTGCGGCAAATATGACAAGAAGGCCTAGCGGTGTATTTCCTGTCACACTGCTTTGATTCTCAAAGTATTTCCGCTAATATTTGACTATACCTGCAATCATCACTGCTTTCGTCTGAACAATCTCGATTTTTCACCGTCTACTTCAATAAGAATGATATTTCATGCTATTCCGTTCCTCCCCCACATTCCTACATTGTAAAGCCCACAATGTAATTTCCTTAAGCCTGTCTTCTTCGCTGCTTTCAATTAATTAGCAATAACAGAAATTATCTTTGTACTTTCCATGTCTTACCCTACTACGGTGTATGACTAATTTATCTTCAATAAAAAATCTACAAAAAATATATACATATACATCTATATAATCTATTTGAATTTTCCAAAGCATATCATAATCTAAATCCTATACTTGCTCTTTGGCTTTATGCTTTCCAAAAGTACGCTAAGAATACATAGTGGATATATGATACTTGATTTGTTCTAGAATTTTATGTCTTTTACTTTTCAATTGAAGTTAAATTTCGAGGATGATACAACTTGCCTTTCAATTTGATCTCATGCGGGTATAGGGGCGTTGTTCATAACAGTAGTACACCCTTTAAAGTATTCATAACGATCCATCACATCCTGCCTACTGCATTCTCTGCCTAGTTGATTACATTTTCTTAGAAATATTTTGAGTAATAAAGCTTCTATCACTCTGATCTTCATAATAACAAATATTCTTGGTGGTATTTTTTTTCAACTCTTGTTTCAAAGGTCTGACAATGAAAGCCTTGGTTCACGTGGCCTGACCAATGCGCGACTCAAACTAATATAAAAACAGATTCATTGATAAAAACACATTTGCTGGGAGTTCATGTCTGTTTGCACAAAGCTAGTTGCCACTTGAATCGCTCGTTGATGGGTGTTGGTTGAGGTTCATTTTGAGAGTTGAAGTGTGCTTTCTTCACCGTTGAAGCACTGCTGTTGTAAAAATCTTTAAACCCATGAGCTGTGTGGTTAGGCTTTTTACTACTTCACATACTGTAGCCGTAAGGTCATCAGTTGGTACATTCGAGTCTAGAAATCACTAGGCCAAAGCCAGCATTCTTTTTTTTTTGTTTTCCTTGATCAACGTTCTTCCAATTACTAAACCCTTCAATGACCAATTTGGTCCGTCTTATACAAGGCATAAGCAATGCACTTAGAAACGTTCAATTTTTTTGAGGGATCATCCTTCGTCAATAGTCACGTCCTGTAAAGCTCCCTTTATTGAAGCCGTTGCACATAACAGTCTCGGCTGTCATTGCTTCTATTTCTTTCGAAGGACCTGGATCCTTGTACATTTTAGAATAAAGACTCGAAGGCGTTTGATTATAATTGACCTCAATTTCAACGGGCCAATTTTCTCTTCCATTACATGTCTTATGAACTATCTTCATGGTAAGTATTGTGTTCATTCGAAAACTCTCGGTTTCAAAATTGACGCAATAAGGAAAACGGAAGCTTTAAAAAAAGCGCCTTACAGATTCTTCCATTAAGGTAGAGGAAAGTTGTTACTAATCTGTTTATATGTCTTTTGGACTTGATAACGCTTTCAATTCATAAATCCGAACAGGTGCGGTAACATTTATTAGCACTTTATTGTAAGACTCATATATCCTCAGTAAACCGCTTTTCTGTGTCTCTGCTACACCTTCCTGATGATATTGACAATTATAGAAACTCATGGACAGTCATGGGATTCCTATAGCTAATCTTCGATATAAAAAACAACGTCTTCTCAACATAGTTTTTTTCTTTGTTTTCCCCGATTAAAAACAGTTGACGATGAACGGTTGTTGTTGAACATAAGGACGATCCAGAAGTATCTTCGAAGAACAAGAATTTTGAGGCGAAAGCATCATTGCGAGGTACTATATAAATTGTTTAACTAGGAAAGACAATTTACGGGTAGTAGTTGAACCAACAAGAACGCTGGATACTTATGACTGTGAAGTTCGGCATACAAGAGGAAAAAGGACAAATATCACGGACATTGCACGATTACAACGTCGACTACCGTGTGCTACGTTGTGTAAGCTTTGGAGCAAACTTAGTTGCTCTTTTTTCCCTTCCAAACTCTATACTCTTTTCTTTCCTTTTTCTTCAGTTTTATCTCTTTTTTTCTTCCCTCGTTATAGTTTCATTAACGTCTCTTTGCATAATCTGAATAGCGGAAAAGCAAACAGTAACTCAATTACAAGTATCAACTGAATGTTCGATAAAAGTGAACAATTTCCTGAGGGATGGTTCTACATCAAAAATCACAATAATGGCTACGTCCTGATGGTAGAAAACGAATCCCAAGAAACAGGCATTCCTATCGTTCTATCAAGTTTACGTACAAAAAACTACGCTTCCCAGCTCTGGCGTTACGACTCCGAAGGTTTTCTCGTTAATAAAAAGTCAGGACAAGTTATGGACGTGACCAAAGGTATGAAAAGAGCATAAGCAAGATGGCAAAAAAAAAATTAGAAAAAAAGAATAAAGGAGTTGCCGTCTTAAGAGAGCGGGATCCGTCCGTATAAGCATAATGATCGTTCTGATTGGTGTACCTTTATTCTACTTTTTATTTTTTTTCATTTATTATGGCCACATAACAATAATAGGAATAGCAAAGGCTGGCGTTGATATTGTTCAACAAATTAAATCAACAAATATAATCAGAGAGGAGAGTAATTTCCAAAAGTTTGGATTGTCGCCTTATGGTCACATTTATTTAGTAAACAAGCCTTCACTTGTACTCGGCGTAAAGGAAACATTCTTCTCCCGCCGCGAAGGATTACATGTACATCTTCAATCAGCCGATAAGCGCAACTTGGACCGTAAAGAACAACGTTGGGACTTTGTGATTCCAATCGTTAAGGAAGCCTCTCAAGAAGCGAAAAAGAGCCTTAGTGTAAGCACTATACAAAGCGTACCGTCTACAAGTGTTAGCAGTAAAACGTCCATGGTAGCTCAAATTAAAGAAGAAGGTATTTGTATTGAAGTCAGCTCTTACTGGGCAAACATTGTTTATTAATCAATAAGTACAGTTGATTGCTTTATAGATAACTGTTCAGTTCATTCGGATTCCAGTTGCCATATCAACCATACAAATGATGAGGAGCCATCAAGCGCATTTCCTGAAACAGATTTTCTTTTGAAATCAGATGCATGTGGGCTATTTGTCAGTTTAGAAGATACTGGTTCAAAGGCACCCAGAAATAAATTAACTACTGCTTCGCTCCGTAACAAGGACTACGATAGCCAATTATGGAATTATGATCCGAATACTTACCGAATTACGAACAAGTTATCAGGATTGGTGCTTAGCTCTGAATGCAATACTGTGAAAGACGGAGCAGATATTGTTCAAGCAACGTATGATGCAGATAATGGGACTCAGTCATGGACATTGACGCACAACGGAGAAGTTGCTTTGAAGGATGATCAGGAATACGTTCTTGGTTTTAAAGAGAGTTGGTTTAATAGCAGCAGAGAAGGTGCTCGTCTTCAGCTTCAAAAGAGAAATAAGGGTCATGAAAATCAGAAATTTACCGTTGTCTTGCCTGTATTTAAGAAAAGTGAAAGTACTGTTGCTACAAGTGAAACCACTGCTGCGCAGGCTGAAGACTATGGAAGATTTCCTGATGGTTATTTCTTTGTTAAAAGTCAAGCACATGGTCTTGTGCTTACCGTCTTGGAAACAGGTCTACTTGCTGCTGAAGTAGTTGTGACACAGCTTGATACTAGCAATTACTCAGGTCAGCTTTGGAAATATGAAGAGGGTTACCTTATCAACAAATCTTCAGAATTGGTGCTTGACGTTCGTGGAGGTGATCATCTGTTGAATACTTTTTCAAAGTCTTCAACACACTTCAATCTAACTTATAACAATCATTTACAGGAACACTTAAATGTGGCGCAAGCATTTGCCAATATACAAAAAAGAGGCATAATAATGCCAACCAGCAATGGGCCCTCAGTATCGACGGTGTGATTTTCATCAGAGCTAATAAAGACCTTGTATTGTCTGTCAATGAAAAAGTGGCCCTGCGTTCAAAACTTCACCTTGCAGCTAGACAGCCTGGGAACAAGGGACAACATTGGAGTTTCATATTGCCTGTATATAAAAAGCAGCAAAGTAAAGTTTTGTTTTTTTTTTGTGCGATAATAATCTTTATTTAATTATTTTTTTTTCGGGTTACATAGCTTCAACAATTACTCAAAAGTCTAAGTTCCGTTATGCCACCTATCCCGATGGATGGTTTTTTATTAGATCTTTCATTCCAGGTTCAACAAGCGAATTACCCTTAGTTTTGACAGCTTCTCAACACGAAAGGTGCTCTACAGTTGTGTTACGTTTGTTGGATCGACAAAATTGGCAAACTCAACTTTGGACTTACTACTCAGGAAAACTTACAAACTATGCCACTGATCTCCAAATTGATGTAACTTGTAAGTCTGCTGTTAGTTAACTCTATCGCTGACATGCTTTTTTGTTCAGGATTCGTTCATCTTTTCCTATATCATTTCGTAGCTCCCACTATAGATGCTCAATTGGTGCAGAACATTAGTTCGACTCAAAAATGGCGTTTAACCACGGATGGATATTTCTTTTATGGTGATGCCGATTCCGACCTCGTCATTTCCGCTGTTGCTAATAAAGATAATCAACCCCACTCTATCAAACTTGCAAAGCATAGTTTTGATCAAGACAGTCTGCGATGGGGTTTGCTAAATCCAGTTTTCCGCTATTCTTTTGGTGTTCAAGTTTTATCATACTGGTCAATTATTCACTTAAAGGAATGGCAGAGAGTAATGAAAACAGAAAGTACCAAGCCGTTAGCCTCTCAATCGCCTATAGCTGAAGTACCCCAGGTCGAATTTTACATTTCAGGAACTGACGGATATGCACTTTCCCCTAAAACTCTTGAAGCAGGCTCTGTGCTGATGATGAAAAAATTGGATATGAACAATCATGAGCTCTTTAAATGGTCCTTTAAAGATGGTTACCTTATACATTGTGCCACTAGTCTGGTAATGAGTGTTATAAATGGTAACCCAAAAAGAAAAAGAAAAAAGATTATTTCGTGAAGCATGAAAAGATTTTCTGTAACACCGTTATTTTATCTTCATACCGCAGAGAGTTTCAATGAAAGTGCTTCACTTCATTTGGCTGTTAAAACAGTGTATTTCAATACTTGCCAATTATGGACATTGCGTACAGACGGCTCTATTATCTCTCAAAAAGATGATAAATACGGTCTTACTTTGGTTCAAGTGGAGGGTAACTGGTCTGTTCAAATTTCTATGCTCGACTATTATTCTTGGCAATTACTTTATGGAAAGTATGAAAACTGCTATTCGCAAAAGGAAAAAAGGGAAGTGTCCTACTTAATCAGCTTTCATCGCATTGTTTTGACTATGTTGATAAATACTAAACACAGTTGTAAGTTTTTTCCCTTTTTTTTGTTTGAACTGTTGTAATTAGATATAGCTAACAATTTTTCTTTTCTCTGTAGATGATAATAACGAGCGCAATTTAGTTAGTTACTCTTATGGCGTCTTCCCCAAAGGCTGGATCTTCATTCGTTCTAAATGCGATGAAAATCTTTTCATAACTGTTTCTGACACAAAAAAGGGCGCTAAACTTATTCTCACCAAGCTCGATCATAAACTCTTCAGACGTCAATTATGGAATTATCGTAATGATGGTTGCTTGGTTAACTTTGAGACTGAATATGTTATCGATGTAGCAGGTGGCAAACTCTTTCCCAGTGCCAGTATTATTCAATGGCATGCTAAAGTGTTACGTTCCAGTCGCAAAAACCAAATGTGGGGCCTTTCCGTCGACGGCCACATACACCCTCAATCTTGCTCAAGTCTAGTACTTAGTATAGATGATAGTATTGTTCTCAAAGAAGGAGCAGAACTGAAGCTTGCTAAACGCGGAGCTATTATTTTGGACTATCAACAATGGACTTTCGCTGTCCCTATATTCAAGAAATGCACATATTTGACTTGCGAAGCCCAACTGGCTCACAAAGAAAAGCTTATATTTGAGAAGATTGGTAGTACTTGTTCTATTGGTGTTTCCACGGGTGACCACTATGTACATGTAAAGAAGCGCATCATTATTCGTCGTTGGGGCGTTTATCCCGAGGGAAAGTTCTTCATCCGTTGTAACGAGGGAAATGCTCATCTGGTGCTAACTGTTGAACGGATGAAAGCTTTTACCAAGTACAGGGTGGTAATCCGTACTTTAAATTTCAGTTCTTACAAAACGCAGCTTTGGTACTATCAAGATGGCCATCTGATTAATGAAGATACTGGTCTCGCCTTGGATGCACAAGAATTCGACGATAGTGTAATTGAAAATGAGCAGGCGCAAATACACGTTAAAGAAAAGTCAGCTAATGAAGGCCAATACTGGGAGCTTGGGGCCAACGGTGAAATACATTTGAGATCAAACCAAACTCTGGCCATTGGTGTCTCACAAGCAAGCGAAGCATCTGTTGATGGCGTTAATGTAGGCTTGCGTCGTATTCGAGTTGTTCGCTCTACAGTTGGTGATAAAGAATATATAAATTTAGAATCAGAACAATGGCTACAATGGCACTTTTCAAAGCCTATTTTTGGTAGAGTTGTTGTGACCACTGGCACTAGTCACACTTCTGCCACAAGCATCACCCATAATGATTCTACCTTATTCGAAATTGAGAACCAAACAGTTAGTATCAAAGAGGAGAGTGAGGAAATGGATGAAGAGGAAGCTTTTGAAGGAGACGATCTTATAGAACAAGTGGAGCATTTTGATGCTGAAAACAGCGAGCTTATTGTTCAATCGCCAACACAATCGTCTGATTCTCAAGCTGTTACTAGACCATCAACAGCAGTTACTGTTGCCATTTCTGCTTCAGCTGATGCCACTAATGCAATAGTCAAGAGTGATGTTCATACCTATGACATACACGTAGAGAAAATCAACAATTTAAAGGAGGAAAAACAGTCTTCAAAAGGTTCATTTGAAGAACAACATATTCATAGTACCACAAGTGTCGAGCAGCAAACCTCTGAATCATCCACAGAGATTGACAGGATAATTATTGCAGACTCCAATACCATTGTTGAGACTACTGAGCCGAACAGTGACACCGAAACTGCAAGTCAGAAAAGCACAGCTACTTCAACGCATGATGATTTCAGTATGTTGGAAACCAGTAAAGATAAGCTTTTAAATGAGAAACAAAGTACAACAAGCAAAAGCGCCATCACTGCAATTGGTGCTGCAGTGATAGGCACACTTGGTGTCACTATTGGAACCATCGTCGAAAAAACGTCTAACGCCAAGCAAATCACACAGGGCAACAGCATAGAAATAACCGAGCAGCCTGATTTAATTGAAGCTGATATTGACAATACAAAGCCTGTATCTGGAACAAATGTAGCTGCTGTAGTATCTAACACCACTAACGAGCTCGTTACAACAGACTCACGACAAACTACCATTATTACAACCACTGAGATTGAAACGACACAAATGGTTAAATACGAAGAATCCAGCGAAATTGAATTTAAGAAATCTAGAGTGACCGTTGGTAATAGCTACGAAGGGTCATCAAGTACGTTTGAAACCATTACAGAGCAGACTTTAAGCGCATCTGACCAGACACATCTAGAAGGGCATATGATTTCAGTTAATGGATTGAAGAATGAAATGACTAGTACTGAAACGGCAATGAATCTGGAAGAAGCAACAGCCCATGCTGAAGAGAAACATAACTCGAATTCTGTGGAAATCACCGTTGAAGCTAGAAAAGAAACCAGCTATACTGTTGTCTCGCAACTAGAAAAAGATATCACGTCAACTTCAACAGAAACCAACGAAGGAAACGCTATGACTGTCAATCAAAGTCATTCGACAGCTGGTACATTTGGTGGTGACAATGAAATTACTAATGTTGAAAATGCTGTATATGAATCAACTACGGTATCAACAGAAGTTGATGCATCTATAATTGAGGTAGAGACCAGCCTCTCTGGAGAATTTCAAAATACCCTATTTGCTTGTGCAAATGTCACTGACAAGCACGAAGGCGAATACTCTGATACAGCCATCGATACTGTTATTAAACAATCTCAAAACATCACTGCAATTGATAATAGCATATCTCACACAGTCAAAGAAGGTATTGATGTCAACTATGCTGAGGCGAAGAATGAAGTTCAAATTGATTTCAATGAAGAGTTCAACACAGTTTTAGAATGTACTACAGCAGATGAGAACACTATCTCAATTAAAGTTGATGCAGAAGAACAGCAATCATACAAAAGCACTATATCTGTTATCGAAAATGGTGAAACTATTAAGAGCAACGAAATAGCCATTGACAACAGTAATAGCCAGAAGCATGGCGCGGAAATTATAAAATCTCAGGCTGACGATAAAACAATCATAATGGAAGAACCATGCCGTGGGGATAATTATCATCATGTCTCCAGTAATACCCAGCAGGCCGAATATAATAGCAGTGATATGTCTATGGCACATACAACAACAGCAGTGATTGTTGACACGAGTGATATAACAGCTACTGATCAGATTATAGTAGAGGGTACTAAAACGGAAACCATCACCTCAACGACTGAAAAGACTACATCTGATTCTGTAACCCCTGAAACTGTATTCGAAGAGACCATTGCATGTAAAAAATCGTCTGCAGAAAATATAGAAGCTCATACTGTCACTGTTATAACCTCTGAAGAATTTATAGCATCCGTCCAAACTGATACAGCCATCAGAAATACGGAAAAATCATCTATCTCTGAAGAGATCACTCATGCCGTAGAGGCAGATGTTATGCCTACTGTCGAAATCGGTGGCGGCGTCTCGACTGAATTTCATGAATATTCAACCGAAGTCATCGAAGCCATTTCTGATGTGCATGAAAATGTTGGCAGCTCAAACAATAATGAAGCCTTAGAAGTAGAACAACATAGTGATCTTTTTTCTACTCAAACTGACAGTGGTTCTGATATCGGTGCATCAACTGATAATGTAGTAATTCTCAACAACCAAGAGCTTACAGTTGGAGAAGCCAAGCAGCAAACTGAGGGAAGTATTGCTCTTTCAAAAATATCAGAGAGCGAAATGATGACCCAAGAGACTGATATTGCCGAGAAAGACAAAATATTAAAAGCGGTTCCTGAGGAAAATAAAACCTCCTATGTCGAATACTCTGATAACACTACCGAAGCAGACCATAAGTCCGAAATTGTCGAAGAAGATACCGCTGTTGAAACTATTGAAAGGGATGCGAAAGATATCAGTGTGGACGGTTTTGATGTTTGCTGCGACAACACCAAAATATTTGTTGGTGCTAAGGCGAATGTTATTGCTTGTGAACAAGACAACCGACAAAACACAATCATCTGTGAGGAAAGCAACATTATGACAGAAAGCACCACTATTGAAAGTTCATCCGAAATTGCCGATGAGAAGGTGATTACTGTAACAATTACAGAAGGAGATACCGAGCAAACCACTACTGGAGAGCACCATGTTGGAGAATCTTTTTCCGATATAGTCATTGAAGCGCCTAAGTTTGCGAATGAGATTAATGAAGAGCAAAGCGAAGATATTCAAGTTCATATAGAAACAGCTGGTTGTGAGACTGTAGAACAAAACGAAACTGAAATGATTCGCCATGATAAATCTGAGTCAATCAACGATAATATTGTTTCTAAATCCACTTCGTCTATCAGTCTCGTCATTGAGAAGAAAGAAGAATGGCCGGATAATAGTAATCCAATGAAAATAAAAAAAAAGCACAGTGATGCATGTATTACTGCTGAGGAAATTACAACAAAGGATAATGTAACATTTATAACTATTATGAGCGAGGAGAATACAACTACCTCGGCGGTAAATGTTATAGATAAGCAGACTCTTACTGCTGACATTACTCTCGATACAACCAATAAAGAAGAAGCTATGGAATGCCAAAGAACCACACCTTTATTGGATAAAATTAATAAGCAAGCAGAGGCTGACGGCGTGTCTGTTATAGAGGTTGATGTGGTTGCTGAACATGACGGAGCCACTACAGTATTGGAAGCCAAACATCTTCATGCTGACGATGGACAAGAGGAGTACAATATTTCCGTGGTTCAAGAGACAGAATCAAATGAAACAAATACAACAGAAGTTGAGGATAGTTATGAGCTATTTAGAGCTATCGTTACTGCAGAGGATTGTTTCCAGGAAAGTGAAATGAACAATGCAAGTAAGGATGCTATTTGTGATCAACAAGATGAAAGCTGCGCCTCTGTCAAAGAAAATAATTTATCCAGCTCAGAGATAGTAACTCAAGTTGAAACAAGTGATAATGAAGCAATTTTCGAAGTTGTTGCTTCTTCCCAAGAGCGAGTAACAGGAATCATTACCGTTAATGAGCAACTGAACACTACCAAAGAGCCTACAGATATAATTGAAGCTTATATTGATAACACAGTCATCAAAAGTCATATCGATGTGTCTATTGATACCAAAGAGTCAGAAAACTTACAAGCTGAAACTGCCAACTCTAACGAATCATCTTCAGCATCTCAAGTTATTGAGAACACTCAGATTATCACTGTTGATGAATGCAGCTCCATTACTAATACAACAACAGAAGTTCTCTCGACTAGCGAGAAGATAACTGAACGTATAATTACAGAGGAAAAATTAGAAGAAGAAGGATCCCTTAACTCTGAGAAACAGAACAGAAAAACTTCAGCAACTGTCATTACCGATTATACTAAGGAGTCGAGTAAACACACCATTATGGATGATTCTGTAAGCAACATTCTAGAATATAAATTCGGCGTTATTGTAGGTGATGAAATAAGTAACGTTCAGTACGATGTTCTAAATGAAATGGTGACAGAGGTGGTAAATGACATTAAAGATGAACAGCAGCAACAGGAGAAAAAGAATAAACTTTCAGATATTTCGCAGGCTGTAGTTTTGACGGAAAAGCATGAGCAAGGTAAGTAAAGGCAGTAAAGCTACAGTAATATGTGGAAACTAAACTTCTATTTTAACTATTAAATGTAGTTCTAGCCAACATTACTAAACATTTTGAAAGTGTTACTGAATCTGTTTGTAATTGGTTCATTAAATTTGTCGAGAAAGTGATTGTTCTGGTCGAAAGCAAAGAGTGTGGCGTCGCAGAATTAACTACATTTAGCAAGCAAGAAGAAACAAAGTTACAGTCAATGATTGAGGAATATTGCAGGGATTTGAACGAATTATATAGCAAAATTGCTCTAGATGATATAGCTGCTGACTGGAACTCTTATTACCATACCTTGAGAAAAATAACTGAAGAGCAAATCAGCAGCTTGAAGATCTTAATAGACAAGCTCTATGAAGAAGACGTAGGCTCTGTAACTCAACATATTGATTGTTCTTTGATCAAGGGTCAATTCCAAAAAACTGTATTCAACCAATTAGCTGAAGCGAAGGCCCAATTCGCTGATAAGTTTAAAATGACAGCTATTAGCGAAGTAGAAGCTAACAAGTTTTCCAGTAATGCTGACCTCATCAACGACGATCCTGGATTCACGCGTACGCAAGAGGCCGTAGAACCTATAACCATTTATAATTCTGTTCAAGAAGCCCAAAACGTTTTTAAATCTAGAGCCACAAATACAATTGTTATATTTCAAGAAAAGATTGCTATTTGGTATGACACTTTGTTCAACAACATTCAAAAGGTTCAATTGGTAGCCACTGATTGTATAGAGTTGAAGAAGAAAGTTGAAGCCATTGTTAGTCAAGCGCTTGAGGAAATATCAATCATTATGGAAGATACAAAACTCACATTCAAACAGCAGTCTGTTGTTTCTGAGAATAACTCGACAGAAATAGTAAATTCTACACAGAAGGCTCAAAAACAAGTAATTACGTTGTTGGAAAATGTTCATGAAGTTATCAATGAGCAGATTACTACGCTGGTAAAGTTTGCGATCAACGAAGACCTCAATTCAACTGAAGAGAATTTTGTTATTCTGCAAGAGCAAGCAAAGCATAAGACACAGGCAGCCTTGGAAAATATAGTTTCCGCAGGTGTTTCCGTTGGTTTCGAGGGCAAAACTATTGAACTCGTGAAAACTGCCATCATTCCTGAATCTTTCAAAAATGTGAAATACATTGCTTTTGATATAATGGGTACTATCGTCAATTATCATGCTACGATTGCCAACGAATGGTCTCGGTTACTTTTCCAGAAGAAAACAAAGGAGAGTGTTTACTGTATTCTCAATCAAATCGATATTCATGCTTTTGCTATACGATGGTACGGGTTGTACCTGGAAAAACGTCTACAAGTCAGTTGGAGCCAATCGGACATTTCTTTGCTTCTGGCTACATTAAAGTCGCTCTTGGCTGAATATCTCATTCCCCCAACCGCGTTCAGTGAAGCTGAATTACAAACTTTGGCGTCTGCTTGGTTCAAGTTGCAACTTTTTGCAGATGCCTCTGCCAGTATCAAAAAGTTGAAGCAGCTCCGTAACATGTATGTCATCTCTATATCTTATGCCTTTTCTATTCGCTCTATGATGGATCTAGCTCGATATAATTGTTTTTGTTGGCACGCTCAATTCACGGCTGACATATTTGCCGCCTGCACCGTTAATAATGGTACCTTACCGCAAGAGACACTTATTTCCAACATGCCTATGCTGCTTGGTATTGAAAATACCGATGAAATCGCTATTGTTTCCGCTGATCCTGTCATTCTTAATGCTGCTAAAGCTCATGGTTTCAATACCGTTTATATTGACCATCATGCCATCAGCAACGATGCTTCCAATATTCATGCAGAAACCGTTAATAATGAACAGATATTTGCAGATATTGAATTTGATGGACTCGATGTGTTCGCTGAAAGTTTCGAAACGTTTCATGCAGTTAAAGCGGCTCCAGTTCCTGTGAGTTCCTTTGACAGCAATATTTCCGGTTCTCGCAGCTGGTTTCAAAGGATGGTTTCAAAGGTTACTGATACGGCTGAAGTCCTTAAACATACCATTATCGATTAAACTAAAGCCATTTCATTGATTGGAAAATTGGGTACTTTTACCTTTTCATCACCGATATACTATCACTACAGCAATAAACAAATTCATTGAGCTTCTAATCAAACATATAAATAAATATACGTTTAGCCTATACATGTCACGCCCTTTTTGACAGCGGCATACAGAAATAAATCCGTTCAAAATTTAAAAGTGTAATCAAAAATCTAATTTGTTTTCAGCGTCTCTTATTTAAATTAAAGTTTTTTCCGGTTAAGAATGTACTTTTTGACAAAAGTTCCTCTCTAGGGGAGCTTTTTACTTAAGGCGTTGTAAGATAAAAACTACATAATATTATACACTATCTGGAGAGATTGAATTTTGTTTTTTGTTACATCTGATAATCAAGCTTATAAATGAGAAGAGGTAAATGAAACGCAGGTGATGTTGAGAGAATGCTTCAATTTAATCAAAGAGAGGTAAGCCGAAACCATAGCTGAAAGGATCATTGAATCTTAATCTCTTGTCGAGGGATTCGATCTTTTTCATATCTTCACCATCCAACGACCATGAAAAGAGGTCGAGGTTAGATTTGATACGTTCTTCATGAGTACTCTTAGGGATGACGGCAACATTTCTTTCAATAGACCAACGAAGCAGAATTTGACCGGCAGTTTTGGAGTGCTTTTGAGAGATTTCCTTAATGATATCATGTTCCAGAAGAGGAGATGCAGTCTTACCATCAACGGTTAAGTCAACAAAGGAAGCAGGACCGAAAGAGGAGTAAGCAGTAATTTGGATACCTTGCTTTTGAACCCATTCGACCAAACGCTTTTGTTGAAGATAAGGATGAAGTTCAACTATAAAATTGAAAAATCGTTAGGCCATGCTAAGCGCCATTGTCCATGCACAAGCCTCGGATATCTATGTTATACATACCTTGCAAAGTGGCAGGCTTGATTTTAGCGTAGGTCAACAAATCTAAAATCATTTGAACGTTAAAATTAGACACGCCAATATTACGAGCTAACTTCGCGTCAACCAAGTGTTCCATTTCGCGCCAACATTCGTACATTGGGGAAGGTTCGAATTCGAGTTCTTCTTTACCAGGTTGGTACCATCCTGGAGGATAGGCAGTAGCATGATCAACATGCTTCAAAGGAACAGGAACTATGACAAATTGAATCAAATTGGGGTGATGATTTAGCATTTTGTGGAATGCATAACACACGGCTACCCAACCCCATCTCGTATTTATACTTACAGTGAATAAGGTACAAATCAACATAGTCTAAATTAAGGTCCTTCAATTGCTTTTCAAAAGCGGGGCGGACTTGAGCCTTGTTGTGGTAAGTATTCCAAAGCTTGGTAACCACTATATATAGTAACGTCGGTGTAATAGCCACGTAAGATGTCAAGAATTAAACTGCACGGATTTGAACCACTTTACCAAAAAGTTCCTCTCTTTTGACAATGCCTTCCTTGATAGCCTTGTTAATACCACGACCGACTTCAACTTCATTACCATAGTCAGCAGCACCATCAATCAAACGGTAACCATTTTTAATGGCGTTGTAAATGGTGTTTTCAGCTTCATCCTGAGAAACCTTCCAGCAACCGAACCCAACAAGAGGCATTTTGTCATTTGTTCGATTCAAGGTAGCATATTGTTGAGAGACCATTTTTGTCAGTTGCAGTTACAAAATTCTGTTAAAAGATAAAAAGATAAAAGTGGGAAAAAAAGGAAAAGAAAAATCAAAGGTCCCTTTTATAATTGAATTTAAAAGAGCATAGATGGTCCACATACTGTAGAAACTTCGAAAGACAGAAAAAAGTTGTGGTGCAACAATTTTCAAGAAAACTGTCGAGGATTTTTCCATAAGAAGCAAAGAGTGTTACTTACGGTAAAAAGAAGGAATATCAATTGAGAGAATGTGTATGCCCTGGAAGCACTCAACAAATCACACAACCTCTTTCAGCGGGAATTAAGCAAAGTTTCTTACATCATACTTGGATTTTCCGCAAATTTCGCAGGAGTACTTTTTTCATTTTGGCAGTAAAATCCCATCTTTTAATAGGCCGTGCTTTTGCAGTTATTTTGGTAAATGATGAGGATTTTATTGAGAGTATTCTTACAATATTTGACAATTTACAGTTTTTAATACGTTTAAAGAAATCTTTTTATTACAATTTAACATTGGTTTTGAGCATTACTTGAATCAGTGTTCAAAAGGTTATTAAAGCCAGTACAGCAGCCAATAAACGACGAGATTTTCCTATCAAAAAATTGTGGAGGGAAGCTCTTAATTGGGAAGGCTAACTGCACACCATTCAATGCGCTGTATTTGCATCTGCAATTTGTTTGTTCAAAGAGGCAACTGCATTTGCTCACATTTCGTTCTATTTAATATACTTTAATGGCTGTAGGATGAACAACAAATGCTAAAAAGAGTTGAATAAATTAAGATATTAACCAAATATTATAGATAAATTGGCTACTATTGGTTAGCAGACAGGGAAAAGTTCGCCTCACAAAATGGTTCATTACAATTCCCCCAAAAGAAAAAGCAAAGATTGTTAAAGATGCAACCCAATTAGTCTTGGCTCGTCGAGTCAAGATGTGTAACTTCCTAGAATATAAAGGTAAAACGCTTTCATTCTTAGCCAACGTTGATAGCCTTGCACATTAACTCATTTTATGCACGTATACAGACCAAAAAATTGTATACAGAAGGTATGATTGCGATTTTTAGTTACGCTTACGAAATTCGCTTTTCAGCTTTATAATGGACTTTAAACTCTTCCGTTCATCACACTTTTTAGATATGCGAGTCTTTTTTTTGTGGCGGGTATCAACCAAGACGACAACGAGCTTATAACACTTGAAATCATTCATCGCTATGTGGAAATTTTAGATCGTTATTTTGGCAATGTATGTGCATAAACTGCAACACTTATAAATACCCTCCTTTTGACACCACGGTTTTCATTCCTTAGGTTTGCGAGCTTGATTTAATTTTTAACTTTCAAAAGGTAGAGTGATTTCTTCTTTTTTTTTGGCTTCATATTCGTATGGCAAAAAAATTATGTAACTTATACATATGAAAATCTAGGCATATTTTATCCTCGATGAGCTACTTATTGCAGGTGAATTACAGGAAACCAGTAAGAAGTCTGTATTAAGAGTCATAACACAAGAAGACCAGTTTGAGGAACAGGAAGGAAATGAACTTAGAGCAGGATAGATTGTTAATCAACCCGATTTAGGACAGTTATTTTATCAATCCATATTTAACAAAAAGTTGTCGCATATGATAATGCTAGGAAATTAGCATCAGACTTTCAAATTAGCCTTTTTTGTTGTGGATATGAGGTGTCAGTGAACTTTCATGAAGAACCTTTCAAATTTTCAACATGATGAGCGTTTTTATATTCTAATCCTTCAATAATACATCAGACGGACGGTATTATTACGTGAATTAAGTAGAATGATTGACTCCTATGGGGTCCTGATGACTACGAAGACATAAGCAGTTGACCTGGATAATATAGTAGCATGCCAGATTTATTTTCTTTGATTTTTTCTACAGTGGTTACTGTTCATTGTGTGTTCTTACTGCAGTCACAGATTTTTGAAGTTGAGAAAACGCGATTTCTTTCAGGTAAAATGCTACATTTTTGTTTCCCTGCGATAGCACCAAAATAATCTGCTATGGAAAGACCTTTTGAACCCAAAATCGATCCTGATCTCGTCAAAATAAGAGAACAGGTAGATCAAATTGTATTTAAAGAAGAGAAACGAGTTGAAATAGCACCTTATATCCAAGGTATATATTTTTTCTGCCCTTGCAACTTAAGGATTAGAGATGACTGAACGCCACTGCCACGATTACCATAGATCCCGAATCTTTCCAATACTCAACGGATTATCCTAATGCTTTTGTTAAAACATGCACTACGCAATTTCCTGCTACTATAACAAGTCTTCTTGAAAGTAATAAATTACTATCGTTGCCTATCCTCTCTAAGTGCACTTTGTATACTAACGCAAAACCTTTCTGTTCCAAACGTTCGTAAAACTCCAGACCCTAAAATCAGCTATAAAATGGGATTCCTATCCCTGATTGATCAAGTATGGTTTTCAATGGGTTCTTCACTATTTATTTGGAATTACCAACAGTGTCATAAAAAAGTAGAGATATTCCGATACGACTCTCCTCGAGATGCTGTTGATTATACCGATGTTCTACAAATATCAACCATCCATCGTGAGCTATTTATTGCTACAAGAAATAACATTTATCTACACAGAATCGAACTTCCCAGCAGTAATAGCAGTGGAAAAATGAAACTGACAACTAACTATATCATCAAAACCAACGGTATGATTTTGTCAAATCCAATCCAACTTGCCACTTCTTCAGAAATGAGTCGGTATTTCTTGAAAGCTGATGATGGGCATCTATATGAACTCAAACTTTTCCACAACCATAGAAACGACACCTTGATTGATCACCAGTTAATACAGTTAACGGCCAATCCTCTGACTTATTACTTACCCTCTATCTTTAAAACTGTTTATCCAACCACTATACAATCCATCATCGTCGACAAATGCCACAATTTGCTTTATACTCTACGCAGCGATTCTAGTATCAACGTAGCCGATGTTTCTGAAAATGGTTATCGACCGCTTTTCACCTTCACTGAGCTTCCTTTTTTGGTCTCTTTACATCTTGTAAACAATTCAACAAGCAATATCAAATCCACAATTGTGGCAGTGGCACAAAATGGCCAACGACATTATCTTCAATTCTCAAGTCATCAAAATTCAATGACACACAAATTCACGTTACCATCCCCTCCTATACCAGGCTCGCTGTTATTCAATGCTCTGACAACCGAGCGATTAGAATACTGCTATATCGACAATGAACAGTTGGTCTTCGGAGCTTCCCTTTGTAAAGCAGATAAGAGATACTTAGTATTGACAGCATGTCAGTTAGTAGACGAGACTGCAGAAGGAAGGAATTATGTCCAAATGAGTGACGTGTATCAGGAAGAAGTGACTGAAAAAATATGGTCCATTAAGAAAAACAATTCAAACAGCAGTATGACATATAACACCACGCTGGAGGATATGTCAAAAAATGAGTATCTTATCCTTACTGCATCTGGTATCGCGCATTACGTTAAACAGACACCAGCTGACTTTTTGGAACAGTCTCTCTCAACTACTGTGCCGGCTCAGTTTTTTAAGTTTACATCTCGCTATGGAGCAATGGAGACGAACTATACGGCATATGTTTTGGGATGTTTAGGACGAAGTTTGGAACAGATAACAGACTTTCTACATCAATCTTCAGCAAGAGAAGATGGTCTTTTGTTGTTTTATACTAGAGTTGTGCGGGGGATATGGCGAACTCCTTTATATGAACGGTAAGCAAACAATTGAAAGAAGATGCAAATTCTTGCTCACTATGAAATGGTGGGCCGATGAAAGGTATCCATATAACTTACTTCACGATTTCCAGTTTGAACGACGATAAACTAAAATTAGCACGAGATTCTTTGACGACATTACTTAAACTACTCAATCATATGCAAATCCCAATTCATGTAAAGAAGAATAACATTTTATCAAGCTAGCCATTTCAACGTGATTTACTAAATGATTGCATTCCATAGGATAAATTGTTCAATATGATAACTCGATCTCTGGAAATCATATCTCTTTTACGCTATCTAAATGAGTTCAACTGGATTAAAATCTCAGAAAAGTAAGCAATTGTTAAGATTTCAAATGGTTAGGAGGGTACTAATGAACATTGTATAATTTAGAACGGATTGGGAAGACATTCGCTCCTATTCGCAACTGATGTGTGACGAAAATGGAGCTATTGTATTGCAAAATATTATCTTTGCGGCTATTCATATTATCAAATCGCAACAAATAGATCAAAAGACAACCATGATAAACAGTTCTACACCAGTCAGCGATTTCCTGGCATACAATTGCCCATCGATATATCATCAAGATGCTTTCACTTACTTTAAGGGTGTCGAATATTTGTTGGATGCACATTATACAGCAGCCGAGGATGATAAGAAACAGCTTTCTGTCAACCATTGTGCAGACTGTTTTAATAGTATCATACATAATATCGATGCTACACGTTTGGACCCTATCTGTACTATGATTTGTGACCTAGGATGCCATTATGATGCTATTAGGCTGGTTTATGCCAAAATCCTCTGCAATGAAACAGACGAATTTATCAATTACCATGAACAAATTGTCCACCCTATTTTCCAACGTGCACTCCATTCAAAAGGAAAAGAATACTTACTGCAAATCATAATCCAAACCCTTGCTCTCAGTCCTCAGTCATCACACCACTTCGATATTTATCGATGGCTACTTTACAAAAGTCATGTTGAACAGCTACTGATTGAATTAGAAGAACCAGATATTCTCGAGTTTTTACATTCGCCCTCTTTACATCCTACGGTCAGATATTCCCTTTTGCATGCTTATCATGCCCATCGTCAACAATTTAAACTTGCTATTCAATATTTATACGATTTGGCACACTGTGAAGCATCCGATGATAATCCTGTGACGTTTCGAACGCGATACAGTGCTTTACGAAAGGCACGTCAATATTATGCTTCAGTGCCTGATTTAGAGCAAGACATGAAGAACAGGATAGAGCATGCGTTGGCGTCAGCTGACATTCAAAAAAACATTTACAACGCCTTATTGGAGAAAGGCAAGACACAGGATGTCAGTGCATTAGAATACGGCTTACTTACAGATAAGGATTTATTGAAAGATTTTGCTTATACCCATCAGCTGTATGAAGAAGGTTTGATGTTGTTGGATCTGATGAAGGATTATAATTTCGAATATGTTCGAATGGCCTACGAAAAGATTATAGAATCAAGTAAAATAATCATAATACTTATGCGCAACTCCCACTTTTGCTGATGAAACTCACAAACTACTTTTTTCTTTCTTTTACAAAAAGGTCAAAATGAAAAGGACTTACAAAATAAGATTGTCGAAATGGCTAGATATGTTTATCCATCAATTATATACTTCCCTGTCTGTAAGTATAAAAAAGTTGTATACTTCCTTATACATTGTTTAATTTGTAATCTCAATTCCTTTGTATCAGATATCATCTTTGACATACTGAATCAGAAATACGGCGAACAATTTGCGAGCTCAACATTAAGAGCATCTGGCGTTCCTGCAGAAGTAATATCCGAAGCGAAAGAGGAAATAATCTTTCGATGAAGGAAGCTAGCAGAATATAGTTTGCTGGACATGATACACAAAAAATGATATATAGTTGTAAACCCATACGCAAATCCTCATGCATTTTTTTTCATGGTTCAAAAGCCTGTATCTACATGGATCTATACATACTGAATAATTCAAATTAAAGGTGTATTATAAATACAATATCAATTGAAACGATGCATCTAAGTGTCAAGGGCAGTAAGCCTTCGCTCAGGTTTGCTTTTGTCATTATCCTCCAAATTTTTACTACATGAAGAGGTGTGAAAAGACACTTGATGTGAATAAATAAAGCAAATTATTTGAAATTTTGACTATAAGAGCATAGTAGAGAGAAATGGAACGAAAAACCACAACATTACTAGTTCGGTACCTCATAACCTACAGTGTCTGACAAACATGTGATGTTTGAATTTTAATTCTTGAGCGTTTACCATTAAAGCAAGAAAACTGAACGTTTATAAATCCTAGTGAGTATCAGAAAAGTTTCCGTATGATGTAAAGACCTTTCCACAGGCAAGTGGCGGAGAGAAGCCGAAAGTACATTTTCCCTTATTCATCCTTTTCACGTTTGCTTCACTTATCAACTATCCTCGGAATTAAAAAGAAGCTATTATCCGAAATCTGAAAAGTACTACGGTTAGCAAAGTTTCTAAGCTAATTTGGATTACTTCACTTGCTACACGCATTTGACAGTTCACAAAACATGCATCTGGCATTTGTCAGAATTGGGCCTAACCCAAAAAAAAAAAGAATCTATCAAGACTAAACAATAATCAGTCGAACAGACAAATACCCAAAGCTCTTCACGTTTTCTCAAAACAGTTGCTAGGGCTGCCAAACAAAATCAGATCATCACAAACTGCGAGAAAGGTAGACCATCTAGATCACAATACTCGGTAGACTGATTGTCAGATCTTTCTATATCGGTCAATTAACCACAGCTGTAAAGACTGCCCGAAGCCCCTGTGGCCAAGGGTACGATATTTCGACTTAGACATAGTAGATTTCGAAATCTTCGTAGTTCGACTCTAGGCTCAAGAGATCCGCGCTGACATTATCAACCGAGGGTCGACATAGTTCTCCTAAATGGCTTAAAGCCCATAAAATCGCATTGCAGAAGTTGAGAAGAAGGTGATTACATCACGAGTCAAAAATAATCATTTAGAGTCAGTCAGCAAGACATGACGTGGGTTAAAATGTGAATCACTTCAGGCATATAATATCAACTTTGTTTACGAAGTGGAGACAGGAGCTTGATACTATGTGGCTGCTTTGTACAGTATGGGCTTGGCAAAGTTGCATTGACGAAATCCTTAAGGGTGATTTTGGAGACGCTAAATAATGTTCCAAAGCATAAAGCCAATTTGACTTTGGATTGATTCGAAAAAACACAAGGTAAATGCTTATGATAGGCCTTCATATGCACCTCACCTTAGCTCATCGAGAACACTTTATATTGTTCTTAAATCAAGATTGCATCGTGTGGTGTGCCTTCCAAAATATGGCTGAACTCTGGGATCACGTTTAACGTTTCCAACGTTAGTATGGGAATTTAACAGCCGAACTATGTATGAAGCATATAGAAAGCATACCAAAAGAGCAAAAGCATTAGCAAAAGCTAAAGGAGAATGAATAAAAGAGTATCAACCTTCAATAAAAATTTCGCTCAAGTTCTACCACTTCAATTCATTTCGACCAATTCTACAAGTGGTACTTTGATCCGGCTACACCCCATAACTAGCATCAAGCGGGAGCTTAAAGCGCTTCTATTATACCATATCTATTCAGGTCGAGCACGAAAGTGAAACTAAAGTACAGGGAATTTATACGGTTAATCAAAATAAATTGCCCGCATTTTTATGAGTACAAAGAAAAAGATAGTTGATCAAAGTTAAACTCAAGCCGATATTTGTGTATATTAAAGATAGCTAACTTTATGTTCCATGATATTGAGCACAGTGAAATTAACATCGATTATATTGAGAGATATTTAGTATTATATAGAATTAGTGTTTTGTTTAATTCCTGAAAAAAACCAACCAACAATGAATTACAGAGTAGACTTTGTGTTACTGAAAACCCCTACGATTCCATAACGGAAAAGGCAGCAGTGGGTAATGTAGGTCATTTCTGTCTATGTTGTTATTAAAAGAGTTCTAGACCTCTTCAGCATAGTATAGGAAAAAGAACTATGTTTAGCAATACGAAGAAGAAAAGTTATATAATGGTGAATGCGATCAACTTTACGATCGATATTTTAATAAGGTACATGAAGCTCCTCTTTAAATCCAATGTAAAGTAAAACGTGAGTGTTTGTTGTGCCTGGCCCTTTTTCTGTCGTATTTTCTGATCTCAAATAAGTGAGAACCCCTCCCCGTCTCCTTCACTAATAAGGAAATTGCATTTTAGCTTTTTTGTACCTATCACTTTCTTCTATTACGATTTTCCCTTTTCTTCTTTTCTATAGCACTTTCTTGCAGACAGACCGCAAGAAGGTTTTGAATCATATAGACGTTTATATATACTCTCCTTACTCTTGCTACTCTTTTTCTGAGTCCGTAAGATCAATCTTTCTGCCTAAACACACTCGCTTCTTTTTTCCTTTTATTCTTAACATAGCCATTTTTGTGCAAGTTTCATTCGCTCTACTTCTTACGCACACTCACTTTTACGTCCAGTAAACACAGCAAAACCGGCCGTAATTGAATCAAATTTCTTCATTCTACTTGTACGCACATACACCAAATGTCTGTACTTACGACTATAACATTACCATCGAATAATTGCAATAGCAGCAACAGCAGCAGCAATAACAACAATAATAATGCAAATAAGCTGATATGTACAGCATGTCAATTACCTTTGGAAGGTCATGTCATACGCGCTTTAGAAGGTGTATATCATGTCGACTGTTTCCGATGTTATGTAAGAAAGACTGTTGATCAATATTAAAAATAGAAACCTCTTTTCTCTTACATTGACACTTCCTTATAAATACAGGATTGTAGCGAGCCAGTTGCAGAGACATTTTTTCCCATCGAATTAGAGAATGGTCTCTTTCGCCCTCTTTGCGAAAAGCATTACTTTCAACGATTCGATTTACGCTGTGATACCTGTGGTGAAGAACTTAGCCGAGGATCTTATATTACAGCTGTAGGCAAAAAATTTCATTTAGAGCACTTTTGCTGTAGTGTGTGTCAATTTGTTTTCAGTCCTGAAGACTCTTACTACGAACATGAAGATCGAGTTTACTGCCATTATCATTATTCATTAAATTTCGCAATGAATTGTCAAGGATGCGAAACAACTATTTTGAAGCAGTTTGTTGAGATTAATCGGAATAACGTAGATGAGCATTGGCATCCAGAGTGTTATATGATACATAAGGTAACGAAAACAGAAGGTTAAAGACTTGAAGTCTGCTTGATCGAGTGAGTAATACTTAATTATATTGTCTAGTATTGGAATGTCAAACTTGCCCAAGAGTTCGGTGACAACACTCTTATAGGTATGCGCTAGATCCTCACATGCTAATGTTCTGCAATCAATCTAACATTTTTTTTTTAGATTTTTGTCAACTCAACTCAAGCGAACTGAAAGAAGTTCAAAATGCCATGGAAGATAAAGTGTATCGCATTTGGACAGTCTTATCAGCATTTGAAGAGTCAGCGGCAGGCTGCATTTCGGATATGTTGATTCAAATGTCAGAGGGGAACTATGTTGAAGGCGTTAAAATGGCCGATTATTTTGTTTCCCATATCGAGATCCTATTTTCAGCCATGGATGATCTTGCTTACCATTTTCAAAAGCAGTTTAAGCAAGAACTGGCGTATGATAAAGAAGCGACCATGTTATGTAAAAAGATATCCAGTTTCTTTTCATTGCTATCTCATACATCTCTGCAACAACAGCATCAACAGCGAGCCAGCAACGACATAATTACACCTGCCAGTACTGGTATATCAATGATGAATAATGATCCCAACTGCTTTTCACTTCAACAAGCACAATCAAGAAGTCATCCATTCAACTTGGGCAATAGCGGTCATAAGCTGGGTATTACACAGGATTTGGTGTCTCTTGTTACTGGACTAGCTCATTATCTAAAAGTTCTTATTCGCATCGGTTTGATCGGCACTTTACGACTTGAAAAAAAGCATGATCCCAATGCTGTAGACGTGAGCCGTTTCTTAAGCCAACTTATGGAATTAGCGAATAAAAGAGATCAAAGGCATCTGCAGCAACAATACGAACAGCGATATGATAATGTTTCGTCAGACTTATGCCAATTCTGTAAAAAAGTATGCGAACAAGCTTGTTTCCAATACAAACAGCACTATCTTTGGCATCGAGAATGTTTTGCCTGTTCTATGTGTTGCATGCCATTACGCGAGGACTATGAACAGACTTGGATAAATGACACATCAGCAGCGATCGTTTGTAAAAAATGTTATGTAGCGGATAGCAAATTGCAGCAAGATAGCGGATATAGTCAAGGAGCAGTAGAAAGTGTATCGAAACTAAAGCAGTCCTCATTTTTATTGAGAGTAGCATTACGACGATTATATTCCTTGTTGAATATACCAGATCCCATGCTGGTTTATGGCCATCAACAGCAGCTCCCTCCTTATCATCTTCAGCTGCAGCCACAGCAGCAAGAAAAACATTCATATAAACAGGATCAATCTCCTTATCCATCTTACCAGATACAACAATCACAACAGCAGCTGCCGTTACAGCAGCAGCAACTGGATGGCGAGCAACAATTGTCTCCTTCAACGCCTGTTCCACAAACGTCTGTCAACGATCACTTTAAAGTTGAACTATCATCACCGCTGCAGCAACAACAAGAACAGATTCCGCAGACCAAGATTAACTTGACTGATATCAGACGAATGAAGTCAACACACATGATGAGAAAAATGACCAATTCTCATCGTGTTGGAAAACGTTCAACACTCATGGAAACGCCCAGCCCGAACATAGCTTACGTATCCAATAAAATAGAAATAAACAATTATAGTCAAAATGAAGGGCAGCAACAACAGGTTTTGGACAATTGTATAGAGAAAGATATGAACCAGTTAAACATCAGCCATAGCAATCCTATCTCACCATCACATTTCGAGCATAACACTCGGCCGTATCATCAACAATATAAATACTCGAAATCAGTCCCAGAAGCAAAGAGCTTTTATTTCTCAGAGTTGGGTGCTCTTGAACATTTCATGTTGAAACATATTGCTGTGCTCTACTTGGAAGAAATTTTACATGATCATTTCACGCTAGAAGAGTTAGTAGAATTAATTGATGAGCACAGTAATCGCCGCAACCGAAAAAATGGACATCATGGAAATAGTAACAGCCATGGTAACAGTAGCAGCAATGGTGGTAGCACGTTATGGAGTAAATTTGTGACTAGTTTGAATAAAGCAGCTTACGGCAATCAGCAACAATATACCAAAAGCACGGGTGCAGCACGCTATTATGCAAATAATGGAACGACAAATAGTGTTACGACGGCACCTACTACATGCGCTACTTTTGGTGTCCCACTAGATGTACTCGTCGAGAGAAACGGCATTGAATCAAATTTAGGTCTGGGACCTACGCGGATGATCAAAATTCCGGTGTTCATCGACGAAGTGATATCAGCTATGAAACAGATGGATATGTCGGTGGAAGGCATTTTCAGAAAAAATGGAAATATTCGTCGATTGAAAGAATTGACGGAGGAAATTGATAGAAGTTATCCCGGTGGCAGCAGCAGCAACAATAATAACGATAATGATTCCGGAGGCCAACCTTTTATAAACGAAACACCTGTTCAATTAGCAGCTTTAATAAAGAAGTTCTTAAGAGAATTGCCAGATCCTTTGTTGACCCATAAATTACACAGATTATTCATCACCGCTCAAAGTAAGTAGCTTTCTATTCTTTTCTTAAAAGGAAAGCTAGTCCTCATCGTATTTGTTTGTTTATTTTAACAAACAGAACTTGACTCAGAGGCGGATCGCAAACGTGCAACCCATTTGGCATGTTGTCTATTACCCAAACCAAATCGTGATACGATGGAAGTCTTATTCAACTTTATAAAATGGGTATCAGAATTTGCTCAAGATTCCACGGAAGGTAATGGAAATGGTGGAAGCAAAATGGACATCAATAACCTGGCTACAGTACTCGCACCCAACATTTTATATTCAAGTTCAAAGGATCCTGTTCAAGATGAATCTTTTTTCGCTATTGAAACAGTAATTCTGTTATTAAAGAATGCAGATATATTTGCCACAGTGCCAGAGGATTTTATCCCATTGCTGCAAAATCTATCATACGAGGATAACAGCATTAACGATGCAAATGGTGATATGATGGAGATGAGTGTAAAGCATATACTAAAAAAATGTGAAATGGTCATGAAAATGAAGAAGACAAAGTCAATGAATGGGCCTATCCCGCCTCAATTACCACGCCAACATTCTTCCCCGGCAACAGTATTAACAGCTCATTTACCGCCGCCACCGCCCCATAGTTGCAGTAGTCCACTTACATCACTACCACTGGGGCCTCTCACAACTTCATCCACTCCTTCAACACCTTTTGCTCAACAGCATTTGCAGCATCAACAACATCATTATTTCACGTCACCTAATACGAAAAGTACTAACCATACATTGTCTTCCTCCCCTACATCTATATACCAACAATATCTTCCACCGCCACCACCACCCTTATCATGCTCACAGTCAGAGTCAGTATCTACAAATGAAGGAAGTTACTTTACATTGGACAGCCATCATACGAGCAGTACCATAACAGTAGCAGGGAAAGTAGATATAATATCACCATCACTTACCTCACCTCTGCCTGCTATGAATCGATCACAGTCATCTACAGAATGTCCAGAACGATATAGTAATTAGTGACTTGTTATATGATAATAACAGTGGTACTCGTTATGCAAAAGACGTTACAATGGAATAATATCATAAAACTACAAAAAAGAAAAAGAAAAGTAAGAAATAAAGTTATTCATTCCTTATTACTTGGTCTCAAGTAATTCAGTTTATGGACGAATTCAGTTTATTTCTTTTGAAAAAGAACTAAGAAAAAAAAAAAAAAAAAAACCAAAAAAACGAGACCTTGCATATCTTTTATGGAGCTTGTCTATATTTAACATCTATCTGTTTTTACATACATTTATACTGACTAAAAAGTCTTTTTCCAAAACAAACGCTTTGTCTAAACTTCATAAGTTTCTTTAGCATCAGCAGGGGCGAACGAAGAAGCAAGCAAAGCTTTACGTAAGGTCGGTTTGAATTTGAGTAAATCCCAGGCTTCTTGAAATGTACACTATACGTATATTGCATTAAATGGTTATCAATGACAGTTGCTTACATATATGTGTGAGCGCAATTGTTACCCATTTTCTTTCTCTAAACCTCATTTCTGGCCATTTGTCCATAATTTCTTGAACTTCAAATTCATAAAACCAAATGTTGCCTTTGATATGACCATGATAATCATAGTCTAAAAAGTTGCCGATACATTGTTTAATTCGACCTCTAACACCGCCTTGTTTTCAATGGTTAGTGCTGATGCTGCTTTCATGTCAAATCATAATATCTAAATTTGTCTGTATATGTTCAAGTATATACCTTCTTCATATGTCTCGCGTTCAGCAGATTGTTCTTTGGTTTCATCATTTTCCCAACCTCCTTTAGGCTTTTGATACAGCATTTCAGATAATAAGAGAGTGTACTATCACTTTACAACTGATGGGTATAAGAGAATTTATCCTACTTACCAACACCCAAACATCTTCATATTTGCTACTGGAGATAATCAATACTTTATTCGTCTTTGGATCAACGGCAATAGTCCCAGTCACCTGATATAAGTGTCAAAAATTGTTTGAACTATGCTTTTCCCACTCGTTTTCCCTTTATTGTTTTCTGGAATGACGCTTTACTTGTCGAACATTATTTTCATCGTAAACTTGATGATCTCGGCCTGTACGTGCTTCTTCTGAAAACTTTGTATGGCTGCTCATGTCGTAGTGCTTGTATTGTGAAGAAGATCTAAGAAGATCTAAGAAAATTAAAAGAAAAAGGTGAATCAAATGACAAGGCGGAGAAAGGTTCAATTATGTAAAATGGGTGATGCTCAAGATTACATTACCAAATACGGAAGAATGGCATAGGTCGGATAATCTTTCGGAAACAGAGTTGTCTGTGACAGATTGATTTAAAGCGAAGTCTAATGTTTTTTCTTTTTTTTTTTTGACATGAGTTTTATTACAATAGATTAAAATTCTAAAGGTCGATGGCGGAAAACGTGCAATATAAAAAAAATAAAAATTTACAAGAAACGAAGTGATATAATAATAGAATTAGGGAACGGCAGAGAAAAAAAAATAATGAAGATAAAAAACCACATATTTAACGACGGTCTGTTGTACCGTTACCACGTTTACCACTGAACAAATGCTTGGGCATCTTGGTTTGAATTTGTCTATCAGCTTCACCACGCTTACCCATCTTGGCTGCTTGTTTTTGAACATTTTTCTTCTGCTTATCAGCTTCCAATTTCTGTTTAACATTACGGAAACCTTCTTTGCTGATTTCCATGGCTTCAATTTCACCACGGTCAGTACTACCGGCTTCTTTAACTGCAGCATCAGGCAAGGCTTCATCTCTAGTACGTTTACGTGATCGTGCATGTTCAGCAGCGGCCGAAGCATCAATGCCCATTTCTGCCAATTTCTCGCCCATCTCATTAACACTTGTGAATTTGGCGGTCTTAGGCAGAGCAGGTCTCGTTCTACCATGGGCCGCACGGTGAGCTTGTACAATCAACTTCTTCTTTTGACGAATAGCATCAGCCGCCACACGCATTGCTTCCTCATCATCATCCAAAATCTCGTCGTCTGATTGATAAAATCCTTCAGCTTCTAAACGTTCTTCTTCTCTTTCAAGAGCTTCCAGTTTCTCTTCGATTTCAGGGTCGATGAAGTCAGCAACATTATGACCGTCCAAAAATTCAGGAATGGTATCGTATTTCCACTCATCACTAGCCAATAAGTATTTCTTACGCAAGTCGACGCTATAAACACCAGCACCACCATTTTCCACTTCCAAATCCTTTTCGAGAATACGGCGGTTAGGGTCATTGGGATCATATTTAACACGAGATTGAACTTCGGCGGGTATATTAGGAAGACGAGCCACGCCGTCTCTCTGTTGAGGCTGGGCCAAATGTATCTTGTTGATTACATCGTTAATCTTATTACTCTTCATCTTCATTTCAACACGGGCTTGTAAAAGTCGATCACAGGCGGTATTTCTGACATTCATCACGCCTTCTTCGTTATAGCAAGACATGGTTACAACCGTTGCATTTTCTTGATTTGCAATTTCTTGAATCCACTGCTTTTGCTCTTCAGGTAGGTCTTCAGGCTTGGCTTGATCAATCTTATTGATCACCAACACAATAGGCTTGTTGGCAAACAAAGGTTTGATATTGTGGAACAATTTCACCTGATCTTCAACACTGTAACCACATTGTTCTGACAGATCCATGAAATACATAATACATGATCTTAAATGAGCCATAGCAGTAATAGATTGCATTTCAATGGTGTTACGTTCTTCTAAAGGATGATCAAGAATACCAGGCGTGTCAATGACTTGCCATCGCATGTACTTATAATCCATATGACCAACAAAGAGTGATTTGGTGGTGAAAGCGTAAGGTTGTACATCCACATCAGCACGGGTGATTTTGTTGATGAATGAGGATTTACCGACATTAGGATAACCACAGATCAAGAGTGTACGAGTGTTGGGATCGATGGAAGGTAAACGGGATAAATGTTGGCGTACTTGTTCAAGATAGGCTAAACTGTCTTTTTGACGCTTCATAACGGTAGCCATACGGCCTAAGGCAGCTTTTTTCAATTGCTTACAACGGTACAGAGAATCACCGAATTTCAAAAGACGGACATAATCTTTAGCGATTTGATCGATCAAATGACGAGCAGTATTGATCTGACCGAGAGCCAACTTGTAGTGATCCTTATCGTACAAAACATTCATTAAATCAGCATAGAAAGGGTGAATATCCTATTGTTACAGTGTAGTAAAGAGAGTCAAAGATATCGGATATGAGTTAGGGGCTTTTCCCAAAGATGCATAAATGAAAAGAATACGCTGTTTGACAGTTGTTCATCAGACTTTACCTCTAATTTGGGAAACTCTTCTAAAATATTCTTGAATTTTTCATCAAAGTTTTCTTGCGTAAACTTGACTTTACGCATGTAAAACTGTCTGATACGACCAATATTGTAGTTCTTGTGAATGACAGTAGGAGTCTTTCTCTGCGTCTTGGACAAAATGATATCAATGAAATCATTTGACGTAGGCACAGGTTCGATCCTTTTGAAATTATAAAGAGACACACTCATTGCTATAAGTTTATAATACTTTGGTTAACAAAAGGAAAAAGAAATAGGATATAAACTAATGGTTGAATTAAAAAAAAAAGTAAACAACAGAGTGCAAAAAAAAAAAAAAAAATCTTTTTCTTTTGTTCTCTTTCTGATTTGACAAAATTTCAGACGCAAAAAAGTAAAAAAGTTAACTTAGCCATCATCTTCGAAAGGAAAATTTGTGACAGCTTTTCGTTTCCTCTACATAGGGTGTCCATTTATGGTTTATTTCTGTTCCTGGAACCAATTGGTCTGCATAAATTTTCTATTTAGCTCGTACGAAAGCCTTAGATCACCAGCGTAACATCGCTTTAAATCAAAAATGTAAAATTAGAGCCTGACCTTTAGAAGCATGGATGTAAATTGAGCAGCTGTAGAGTGAGTTCATGTTACTTAAGATAGCCTAGAATCAATTCCCCATTCCAGGCATGTTGTTAACTCTTTCTGTTCCACTCTAATAATAAGTAGTATACATAGAAAGAATCCAATTTTAGTATTGCTTTATACACTGCCATTCGGTTCACTGCTTTCTCACAAATGTTTTCGTTATCATCACTTATGCAGTTGTGTATAAAGAATTGTAATTCAATTTTATTGGTTGAAAAGTGGAATTTCATCAACTGCAATTTTATTGAAATATTAGAAACCATCATCATAAAACTTTTTACTGTCCACGTTCTTAGCGTCTAACGGGTCCAATGTATTCTGCTGATATCCATCACTGCTACCTGTGCTTTTCTCTTCTATAGTTTCATTGGCAGATTGTTTCCACGTCAAAATAAAGCTATGACTCTTCTTCTTTTTTAATATGGCTGAGGGATCAGTAATTTTTTCACTGCTCTTAGTGTTACCAAATAATGTCTTGCTACTATTATTACAACTACCACTACCACTACTACTACTATTTGTGCTATTTGAATTTTCTCTTGGTGTCAGCATCCATTTCAGCTTATTCGACGTTGTAATAGGATTTAGATCAGAATCGGATATCAAATCTTCAATGCGGTATTTTATGGGCTTTTTGAAAGGCGTAGGGTTCCTTGGAACATATTCTGCAGTAGTCTTCTCTGCTGTTGGTATCAGTTGCTGCTGGAAAGAAGAATCTTTTTTCGAGGAAGGAATATGCGTCACGCTTTCTGCTATCTTCATCTTTGTCGATGATGTTGCAGCATTGCAAGGTGTTGCGTCATCGTCCTTAATAATCCCACTCGTGTTTGGTGAGATAGTAGGGTGATTGACCATTTGCCAGTCATCTTTGGTGAGGGGAGAACTTGAATTCTTAAGCTCATCATTTGAGTTGACATCGTTATTATAGTCATCGATATTGATAATGCTTGGGTCGAAATGAGTTTGTTTGCCATTTAATATATCACGAATGTGTTTCAGTCCTACTAGTGTCATGACCAGTTTAGCATCTCTGCGTTGTTGCTGTTTTTGTAACTGTACGTCTTCGTTCACTGTAGGCACAACATCCTCAGAATTCATTTTGCTGCTATATTCTGTGCCATTTCCGTCCCCAGAAAATGTTGTTGACTGCTCAGCAAGCTCTTTCTCTTTGTTAGCTTTTTCCGTAATATCTATGCTTTTTATCACTGTATCCTTACTGCTTTTCTCTTCAAACGATTTTGAGGAAGGAGGGGTAACAGGAGGAAACATTTCATCTTCTAATATATTGATACATTTCGCTAGCATATCTCCCAACTGCCGTAGTTGGGAAGATGATATCATATGCTTTGACAACCCGGAAATAGCATCGACGGAAGATGTAGAGGCGAAGGGTTGATTATATGTCAGTAGTGATTGTTGATCGATAGAATTAGGCTTTACTGCTGTTGTATTCTTTGCATTCATTATGCGATCTATACTAGGAGGAAATTCGGAGGAAAATTCCTGTTGTTGCTGGTACCGGTTTCCAAAAGCATTAACATTTTTCTAGTTGAATCAATCAGAGGTAATAAAACCTACTTTAGCTCTTTGTTCAATGTTTGCTTCCATATGCTACGTGAGTTATTTCATTACCTGAACTGTACCCATGACACCCGCAATAGCTTTATTTAAATCTCTTACTTGTGGATTCTTCATCATATTTCTGGCAAAATTCTCAAAACCTTGTGATGAACTCTTGTGCTGTAGCATAGGAGGGGAAATTATAGGTGATGATGCAGCGGCAGACGAAGATCGAACCCTATTACCATTGTGCTGGCTAGTATAATTACTCTGAATGCTAGCGGATCTCTCGACTTCCAGCGTGAGACGGGGTTCTTTGCCCGATCTCAAATCCATCTGTTGCAAAATTTGAAGGGCTGTATCTGTAGATGGATTATCCATGAGCAGTTTGGCTTGCTCGACAATACTGGCAGGTTTTGAAATATATTGGTTCGGTAATGGTCGCATCAACAAACTGAGACACTCTGCATAATCCTTCTGTAATACTATGACAAATAACGTTGTACTTTTAATTTTTGAAAAAAGTATACTTTTTTAACTTGATAATAGTGGGCTTACATTGATCCCTTATGCGTAATAGCATTACCACACAAATGTATTCGACAATGTCCAAGCTAGGACTCTGAGCAAAAATTGCATCCCATAACTTTAATAACTCGTAAAAGTCAAATTCTCTACCGAATAGTAAGCGGATCCAGCGACTGTAAAATGATACCAAGGGTTTGAAGGTGAGTAATTGACTGTAGACTCAAGGTTCTCAAACAACTTACAGTCCATAAAGTTGAGGCTCTATACTAAAGCTTTCTAAATGTTTGTACAGTGTTGGATCCACCGTACGTAAATGCTGATGATGAATCTGATGGCAAATCATAACTATAGGGCTCAATCGAGCAGTCTATATTTGAAAAAGGGACAATTGTCATTCCTCAATCAGTGGCTATCAAAGAGATTTAATCTTCCCGCTCCCTCCGACTTACTTCCTCAACTCTGGGTACCTTTTCCGATAAGAGTTCAGACTGATTAAATAAAAATATGATTAGTATCTAAGAAGAAAGTGTTTTGGAAAAGTTGCTTACTCTATATTTGTTTTTGCCACCCATGGGCTTCCTTTCAGATGTTGCTGCGTCATCGTTAAAATCATACCATGTTTTTGCGGATTTCATGAGCTTCTCAAACAAAATATACGCATCATGTTCTACGTATTGAGAATCCAAGACTTGAACCATCAACTTGACTGTAGGGCTAGATTTGTACACAGAATTACTTAATCTCTATTCTCTGCAAATGCTCTACAACGACTACGTACTCGAGGAATTGGTCGTTACTGATTGATAAATCTACGCTATCTGTTTGCAATGCCCAATAAAAGGGAGCCAGTAACTCATGCATCCCTTGTCGGTAAGAAATCTTTCGATTAAGTTTGCAGTAGATGAATAAGATATCGGTGAGGTGCTGTTGGACAGTTTGTTGACGGAAAAAGTCTATATCCGGAAACCTATGTTATTAAGCAAGTTATACGTTACTAACTCTTTCCTAATTCCTTTATCTTCGTTTTTTTTTTTCTGCCTTCCACCAATTGCTTACGTTCGCTCTACATCTTGCTGGATGATTCTTCTCATCTCTGTATCGGCAAAATATTGCTGCCATGGGTTCTACATTTTATATGTTAAAGAGTGTCAGTAGGTAATAAATTAAAACAAATTTTCTAACTGTAATCATTTACGTGATCATTCAGTGATAATGGGTTATTACTCGATAAATCCTCCAGTTCATCTCCTTTTGTTTTACCACTCATTCTCTCTGCTGGCTCGTCAATATATTTTCTTTTCAATTCTGTATAGTGTTGACGTTCTTTTATCAGCAATGCAGGCCAACCGGAGACCTCCAAATTGGGCAAATAGCCGAGGAATATCTACAGCTGCTCTTTCAGTATACTTCCAAAATCTTTTCTTACCGTCGCCTCATTTTTCTTTCAAAGCGTATATATTTATTTGTAACTACCTTCCAACAAATGGAACGTAATCCTTTTTGACATACTGTGCCTGAAATGGCGCGGTGACGAAGTGTCTCAAGAGTCAACTCGGGATCTGTAAAGATCACGTCCCACGCTTTCCTTCAAAAGTGACATATCGTAGAAAACTTTTTGTCAAAGCAACTGTATCTTCAGTGTTATGCCCTTGATATTGGGGAACCAACCTTTTATCTTCAATAGCTTGTGGCAAGCTCATTGCAATAACTGCTAAGATGTTTGACGAAAAATAGCTTTGGGAAAATCGAAAAAAAGAAAGGCAGGGAAAAAGAAAGAATTATAGTTTTTATTTTTTTGTTACATGAATACAAACAGTTCATGCAACAAAAGCGCTGTTGTTTTTCTCTTTTTGTTATTCAAATAAGGAATGTACTAGGCATCAATACCCCAGTCTCCTACAGTTTTCATAGCATTTTTATCTCCTTGAGCAATTCTATCCTTATCTTCTCCACCCAGTACATCTGCCACACATTGCCATGGATCCTTTGCACCTCCCCATTTCAGCAGTTCATCTCTTAGCACTTGTCCTTTCTTTCTATCTAAAGGCTGACTCTTAAAATTCTTTTCCCAGATACGTTTTGCTAATGTGCGGTCAAAGAGATATGAATAGTAGTAGGATCCATACCCAAATAAGTGACCAAATTGAACAGGCCACATTGTATTCGGTACACTAGGGAAAAGTCCCATTTCATCTTGTAAGTGGTGCCAGATCTGGATCGTTTGACCTGGTTGATCCAAATGTTGCCTCTGATAATGCTGGTGATGATAGGCTTGATCCACAAGCGCCATGAGGATTTGACTATTTCCTTCAATACCGCTGAATCGCTTACGCTGTTTTAAAAAAGCTTGTACAGCAAGCAATTGTTGATGATTTTGTTGAGGCTCGGTATTTTTTGGCAGAAGGAGGGAAAGGACTTGAGGATGCCATACGAAATGCTCCATAAGTATCGATGGAAGCTCAACAAAGTCGGACGCACATCGCGTTCCTGCTACATTATGGAAAGCAGTACGCCCCAACATAGAATGCATTGCATGCCCCATTTCATGAAAGAGTGTTTCTACTTCATACATAGATAATCTACCATTATTGGCAAAATCACACGTTAAAGCAATGACGGGTAATTGATACTTTTCACCACTACCCTTGTTACTTGCAGCACGATGTGTATCCACTGGTGGTAATAAAGAATCATAATCAAGTTGTTGTTGCTGCTGCTGACGGTAGGAAGGGGTAGCATATTTCAAATCGTTTTCAGCGTCATCCCAATCTACGCGTCGTGAAGTTCGAATAGTATAATGTGCCGCATTGGTGGTTTTATGTGGGCGAGCAAAGAGATCGCAGTAGATAGTGCCTATCTTGCCTTCTTGTTCGCAAATGACATCTAGCTTACGAACTTGATTGTGCCAAGACTCACCGGGTTGTAAAGAAACGAGCTCAAAATGAACACCGTAAAGATGGGTATAAAGACGCGATAGGCCCTGAATGACAGAGCCAACTGAAAAATAAGGTGCAGATGCTTCAGTATGGTGGATTTGATTGTAAAGTTGAATATAGTAGTCGCGATCCCAAGCTTTGAGGCTGACCGCTGATTTTTTCTGCTCTTGTTGCTTCAAACTTTTTAATAAGTGGATATCGCTTTCAAAAGTAGGTGTCTGATGTCGCAGTAATGTTTTCAAAAATGCTTCTACGTTATCTGTCAAAATGATAAAAGCAAAATTAGTTTTCATTTAAGCCCATTTCCAATTTCAGGCAAGTACGCCCCAAAGTATTCCAATGAACGTTACTCGGATGTTTGGCCATTTTATCTTGCAAGTTCAATTCTGCATAGGAGTCTTTTCCTACTAGTCTTGCAAGGTCCAATCTCGTCTTCAGCAATTCTTCCAAAACCATCACACTTTCATCTGTGGCAGAATTCATGGCTTGATAAGCTATTTTACGTATTTCTTCGTCTTGCGCATATTTCAACAACATCAGACACTGCGACGAATCTGTTGGCACGTAAACATAATCTTTCTTTGACCCTTTTATTCCTGTATTAGATATCCAGCCATTCAATGCTGTCTTGGGGACTTTAATATGCTGAACTGATCTCGGGTTCATTTGAATAAACTCTCTTCCCAACTGAATGATTTTATCTGAAAGCTGAACAAACTGCTCCCGTTGTTGCTCTGGCAAATGTATGCCTGATTTTTCAAAATCTTTCAGGAACACTATAGCGGCTGCATATTCGTCAGCAGAAAAGTTTTTCACGATATCCTTGTTCTGTAATACAAGGGATAATGCCTGATAAATACGGGTATCAACATTAAGTGTATTCATATAGGAGCATAAATCGCTATAGGCTTGGTTGGCTGCTTCCATGATTGCTTTGTCAGGATGGGCGTTTCGTAGAAATTCGCATATGTCAATCACACTACATAAGGTATCTGAGAGTCGGTCCAAGTGGCGTACAATTCGGCGCATCTCCTCAGGACCGTTTTGAGGAGCATAGCAGATACGTTCAACAATGATTTGGGCACGTTGAATAGCTTGACGAGTAGCATATTTAATTCCTTCAATGCTTGTAAAATGAGGATGTTCTAAAAGGCCTGTCGTAGGTTGATTTATTTTTGCCTGAGATAGCTTTTGTTCATGCTTCCAAAGACTGGGATCGTCAAAGATCCATCGTAGATGCTGGTCGTTGTCAACATTATTGCTGGTGGCAATGGCAGGGTGTGAATGATACAGAGTGGCATAATAACGATGTTTACAGAAGCAAGATCGAAATTTTCCCGACGATTTCCTAGCTTGTGCTATTGCATTGCTTCGAGTGGCGGATAGTCGACGTATGAATGCTATAGACATAGTATCGTGGGCTGAATGGAAAGGGACGAGAAAAGGAATGGCCCAGGCGGATTTTGTTCTCCCCGCTTTTCTCAACTTTTGTGTCCAGCAGCATGAAGCTTTCCAAAATCCGACTGTTGTGTTTCCATTTAGTGCTACATGAGAAAACTTCCAATGCGGTTGCTCGAATTTTTGACGAGTTCTCATTCATCGTATATAACGACATGGCCGGACCTTCCAAGGGTAACAATTATGAACCGATTGAGGATTTTATAAGTTAAGTACATTGCCTCATACTTATTCTTTATTACGTTGAAAGGAATCCGCTTGAGTTTTCTTGCCCAAGCAGATCAGAGCAAGTATGAGAAGATATTCACCCAAGCTACAAAAGGAAACGACATCTTAACAGGTACCATAGTTAATAAAATAAACTACAAACGGAAAGGCAGCTAATTTCAAATAATAGCATCTGCAGCCAAAGAGGTTCTATCTCGTTCGAATATTGGCGATGAGAATCTTGCTCGCATTTGGTAAGTACGCAGACTTCTTGTATAATAGTATTTGATAAAACAGTGCTGATATGAAAGCATTGCTTCTACTGTAGGGATCTATCAAATGTTACCAATGCACCACAACTCACTTTTCCCGAGTTTGCTACTGCTATGTATCTCACATCGATGAAAATGACAGGCGCAGATATACCTTATGCTCTGCCCGAAATTATTCACAACGAACTTATCAACGCTGTAAGATCTATCCAGTCAGGTATCAACACTCAATCAATGGTACCTCTGGGGCAGCAACAACAGCAGCCAACACCTAACTTTTCCAACAATAGCAGTTTTATGTTATCGTCATCCAGTTCGCCATCACAACCTACTAGGCCTTCTTATGCTTCTAGTATAAGTAATGGAAGTATTTCTATGCAAGCCACTGGTGTATCTTCGTTGTCATCATCAACAATCCCAACAGCGACAGCAAGCTTGCCCACCGCTTCCATGCCCACAGGCATGCTTGGAAATAATTTAGATTTCTCTAACCGGATGATGCCTTACGAGCGTGGCAGTAGTTTTATGCCATCTACTGCAAATTTCCAAACTCTGTCAAAAAGTGTAAAAATTCCTTGGGCCGTTACAGCGGAAGAAAAGAAACAATACAAGAAGATTTTTAATGCATGGGATACAGAAGATAAAGGATACATAACAGGTGAAAAGGCAAAGGAAATATTCTCGCAATCTGGATTACCGCAGAATGTGCTTATGCAAATATGGTATATAAAAGAACGCTCCCCCTCCCCAAATAAAAAAAGGAGTTTCTGGCTAGCTAATGATTCGTATGTATGTTTAGGGCACTTGCGGACCCTCATAATGCTGGGAAATTGAATTTGGATGAATTTTCAGTCGCTATGCATCTCATCTATAGAAAGCTCAATGGATATGATGTACCGAAGCATTTGCCTCCTGAGCTAATACCACCTTCGACTCGTGATTTGGTAGACAGTGTGAGCCAATTGAAGCAATCAATTTTGGACAATATTGCCAAGAAGAAGAATTTGGCGAATTTCAGTTCTTCACCTTCTACTTCCTCTGATAGTCTTTCAAATAATGGTAACGTTCATAGAGCTTATAGCAGCAGCAGCAGTTTAATGAGCGCCGGATCATCAAAACAGCGTACAACAATAGCAACGGGTAGAGAAAAAAGGACAGACGATGAAGATGATAAAGAAGTGGGATATGTCTCCAGCGCTCGTCGTATGGGTCCTGATCGCAATCGTGTAAGAGATGCCGATGGTAACATCATAAGCAACAGCAGTAGTCCAGCAAGCAGCTACGGATACCGAGGCAAGCAAACACGTATTCATGATTTGCGTAAAGAAATTGATGAGAAAAAGAGACGTATTCAGGAGCTCGAAAATGAAGCACAGCCTCGTACTCAGACAAAACGTTATGATCAACTGTCGGCATTAGATAAGAAGGAGATCGATACTCTCAAAGAACGTATTCGGGAATTACAAAAGGAGATATCGAAGAATGGAGTTGATGAAGGACAAGGAGATGATGCTTGGAGTACTTATATTAACAAAACGGCAGAATTGACCAGTTTAGCAGAACAAGTACGATTATTAGAGGAAGAAATTCGGTTTACGGTTGACCATACATTAAAAGGATTGCTAGCACAAGTGGATGAGACAGAGAATGATCTTTTAGAAAAGAAAATACAAGCTGCAGAAGCTATGCACAAATCCTCAACAGCGAATAACCATACCAGTAACAGCAATGATTATGAGCTACCTTTAAATATCGTAGGTACCGGACCAAATGGTGAGATAACAGAAAGCGATCGTATTAAAGCCAAAGCAAAAGCAATGGTGGCAGCACGTATGAATAAACTTACTGGTAAAGGTTCAAATGGAGGACCAACACAGACATCATCATTAACTAAATTCACAGCAGAAGTTGATAAATATAAATCTGAGAGAGAGGAGTTCAAAATATATATCGATTCAATTACTGACAGCTTAACTGAGGTCAAAGACGCTTTACAAGCAATACATTCAGAGATCAGTATGATTGGATTAGATATTAGAAAGGAAGGTTACGATCAGAAGAAAATAGTGGAAAAAGGTAGATTTGAACATGGTGAAAATGTCGCTAAGGATTTAAAGGAATTCGTTCAGCAGTTGAAATATGATGCATCTCTGGCTAAACAGCCAGAAGTAGATCCGACCTTTGAATCAAGGTTCCCTTCATTTGCCTAATAAAAATGCTAATTCCAAATTTATGTTGCATTCATCTACTAAATTGAAAGTATTTGTGGAAGAATATGGTTAAGTGATGAATTTTAAGAGTATGTTTGAAGGTTGCGTTTTTGATTACTTCATCGGGGGGGGGGGGTGGGGGAAGGAGGAGGAAACTCTAAAAAAGTTATACAGCGTTTGTACATCTTTTGGTTCCCTTCTGTCAATATGCCCAATATAAGTACGTATTATAACAAACTCCAAGGCTTTTGTAATATGATTGTTATATCTTTAGATTGAAAGAAAACGTATACTTCACCATTATTTCAAAATCCTGTTTATCAAACAATGCTATTTGTCTCTTTATAAAGAAACCTATCTTTTTATGATGTTGAGTGTATATTGATTGAGACCTTTACATATCAACAGCAGGCGTACTTTTTTTCATGATTCTAAATTCGGATTTACTAACATTATACTGTGGTCTCTTCTTAATCATGTCTATAAAGAACGAATTTGAGAAGGTAGAATTATAGTCCTGGATTTTCGAGAACAATTTAACCGCCCTACAACGCTAATTGTTAGCAAAAGGAAAATGTCTCTTTGTAGGAGCGTTTGCATGCGTGTGTATATCCATTGATGAGAACGAAGCACAACAAAATGACCTTGGTAAGGTAACCTTACTATATAGGGTCTGATGCTTCCTTATTTCAGGCTTGTACTCAGCGCAAATTGTACTCATATTTATTCATCGAATTATTCGAAAAGCAATGCTTCAGCAGAAGCAAATTTGAGCTAAAACCTTCATTGTCCATAGGACGTCAATATGGTATACTAATTGCTCGATATCTCTATATAATATGCATTGCTGCATTGTAATATTATTGATAGGCTGATAGAAAAATTTGCATAATCTGTGCAACCATGTAGTTTGCAGATGATCGATAAGGATAAGAATTCCTTAGCATAAATTGAAAACAGAGTACAATATAACTGGGTCTATATCCGCTTTTCACTGACTTTCTAGTATGTCTGTATTAATTCTATGCATATTGTCAATTGGTGCTATTTAGACGCGTCATTTGACTTCGAAAGTATTTTGAGCAGTATTGATCCGTTAAGTTTCTTCTGATGAGGGTAGAATAACAGTTAGTGGTAAGAAGAATTGCATTTTTTGAGGTATACAAAATAGCAACCTGAGAAGTTGGCGAGGTTGTGCAATATCTTAAAACAGATAACTGTTGCACGTTAGAAAGCGAAACTAAAGATCCACAATTTATAGACAGATATTATCAGATGCAAGAGTTGTTGTCCCATTGATACAAAGCTTCAATAAGTACTCTTTATGTGTCTTGTTACTTGCCACATGAAATATCTTCATCTCAAAAGTCAGTAAAAAGAAAATAAAAAAAAAAAGCTTTAAAACCAACAACTTAAATATATAGTTGGTAGAGCCATCAATGTACAATCTCGGTCTCTTGAGTTTCATCTTTACAGTGCTCCTGCTATTTATTCAAGAGCATTAAACGACCACTATGACAATCATTAAAGGTTGAAAAACAGTTTCACGTGAATTTCTCTGCTATTGCAAGCAATTTATTAAGATATAATGTGTAATAGTACGCTTGTATTTCGTTAAATCTTTACTAGATTTTACAATACGGTGTATGACGGTTCACACTGGCGTAACATCATGATAAACGTGAAGTTATACATCGAATGAGTGCGCAAGAAAGAAAAGAGTCAAATATAGAGAAGCAAAAGGATTCAAAGATGATCGTATGCAAGTGTAACTTTCGATAGGATGATATAAAAGAAGGCACAACAAAATCTTTTCCTTTTGAAGCCCAACACTCTAAGCGTTTTTTATGGTTTCTGTCAAAACATTACTTACTCTATCATTGACTGTTGTCACTGGTACTTTGGCTGCTAATGTAGCTTCCATATCAGATTGTCCTCCTTTACCTGCTCGTGCGGTCTCTAATGAAATTACTGACCTTCGTATTGATGATATTAAAGTAATAGGCGCCTTAGGTGATAGTATTATGGCTGGTTTCGCTATGATGGGTATTGATTATGAAGGTTCTGGTGTCGTCAACTTCAGTTTAGTCTCAGAGTATCGTGGTAATAGTTACGGTATTGGCGGAGATAGTGGAGCAATTACTTTAGCCAATTTTATGAAGAAATACCAGCCTAAAGTGAAGGGCGCATCTGTCTTGTCTCATTTGGTATCTTATTGTAGTAATGATTTATGTGGTTTCCCTCTTTCAGCATGTAAGTTTTCTTTGTAAAAACTGCAATATATACGGAGGGTTTGTTTTTCTAATTGAAATATAAGTATACTGATCATTTATGTAAAACAGATCGTCCTTTAAGAGATAACCTGAATGGTGCACAAAGCGGTGCTATAGCCAAAAATTTGGACTATGAACTTGATTATCTTATTCCACGTAATTACTTCACTTGACTATTGTTATGCATTATCTAGCTTTTAAGTAATGGCACTTCTATCGTTTATAGGCATGAAAACAATGATGACTTCGTCTAGCTTCCGAAATGATTGGAAAATGATTACTATCCAAATTGGTAGCAACGATCAATGTGCTGCTTGTACAGATGGTATGCAAAATATTGTTTCCGCTGAATCTTATGGTAAATATGTCGAAGCTGTTATTGCACGTATCAAGGCTGAAATTCCGAAAACTATTGTTAATTTATGTAAGTACCATAATTGCGTGGTTGTATAGATAATGCCTATGTTTACCATAGTTATTACAGTGGGTACATTTAAGGTTTCTGGAGTGTTCCCGTTGACTGCTGGTCAGGCGTATTGTGTTCCTAATGGTTTCCTCCAGAATACAGGTGAATGCTCCTGTTCTGCAGGTAAAAATTGGGCTACAATGGACGTTCTTTCTGATGGTAAAGTTGCTTAGAATTTAGATTGTACAACTGTTTGAAAAATAAGAATATTCATGCTTTCATTTGTAGCTTATAACGTTCAATTACAAAACATCGCCAACAAGTATAAGGGTACTGCTGGTTCAACATTTGCTGTCATGTATAGTCCTGCTCCTATTGATTTATCTTCCTTCCCTGTTGATGCCCTAAGGTATCGTTTTCTTTCTAGAAACTCAGAATGCTTGTTTCACAACGCACATGCTATACATGCAAGCTTTTAAACTAACTTCTCCTTTACATATGCATATTAGTAACGTTGACTGCTTCCATCCTAGTCTAAAGGGTCATCAATGGATTGCTAAAGCATTTTGGAACCAACTTTTCCTTCCTGCTGCGTCTAAACCATCCATTTTGACTTTTGACCCGAATCTTGGTATCTACTGTCCGACTGAAAGCGACAGATTACCCATCGGTTAAACGTGAACTTGTTAGCCTGTATTGTGCTATCGTATAAATAATAACTTACGCAGTTGTTGTCTTTCAGTCCCCAAACAAGTACTGATTTATCAATCATGTTTAGTATTTAATAAACTTACTTCAATGCAAACGTCTTAAATATCCTTTACTGTCGAAAGAGTTTTGATACACTGCACTCTCAGTTGCTGTATTTATGGTTTCCTGCGAAAATATTCTGATAGACAGTAACTGTTAAGTTAATTACCGTTATGAATTATTAGCAATTACAGGATAGATTATTCGGGATGATACGATTAGAATTGCTTAGGAGTACTACAGCTTTTTTCTATAAAAATAGCTATTGAAATACTTGTTGCGCCCCCACAAGTTTTTGTAAATTCGTATTGTCTGACAAGTAAGCCACTGGTTCTATATCTATTGTCCCCGTTTTGGCTAACAAAAAGCAATAATAATAGGTGGCTACATATTTTGCAAATGTTTGTTGTCAGTAACTGATGGAGTGATAAATAAACAAGTCCGATGCTAGGAATTATAAAAAATTTATTCATTTACAAGAGAAAAATAGCCATTAGCAGACAGTTCCAAAACATCATTCTCCATCCAATATGTCAAAGAAGTAGCTACTTTGTTCATGCTCATTCCAGTTTCCTGATGGATATGTTCCATTGTATGTTTCTGATCTATATCATGTTGGGAGCAAACGAATTTGTTAGCAAGAATACCATATTACACAGCTATGTTAAGTTTCGTTGACTTACCTTTCGATTGGAATAACTGAATGACTAAAGCTTCTTCTGGTGTCACATTTACATTAAGTGGCTCTCTTGAATTGAAGTTCAGAGTTAAGCTTACTGAGCCTTTCGTATGTGAAAATTTGAGCTTCCTCGACACTTTAACTCTTTCAAACTCTTTTTGATAAGTGGCAAGAGAATCGTCAAAAGGACTATGGATTATTATTTAAAATTAGAAGGTTTCATTACTTCCGCTTAATCAAGACATTTGGAAGAAAATAGAACCTACAGATATCGTTTAAATCCTTTACTGACTGTTTCTTGACTTTCTTCATCATCATCAACCGCTGTGTTGTAATCATGATCTTCATTATCACCTTGCCAATATTTCTTGGACATCATGATACTGTGAAAAATAGGTTGAATATGGCCGCTTTCATGTATTATTTTATCTAACCGGCGACTGTTAGCCATATCTTGTAACATAATATCGCACCGAAGAAAGGTATCCGGCGGAAAGTTCCTCTTTAAAAATTCAAGGCGTCGTTCTTCTTCCTCGGTATTGTAGTTTGTGCATAAAAGAAGGGCTTCACCAAATCTATTACTATAACCATGGATAAATTCTTTCAGAGATTTGCATACGCTGATAAGCATTGCAATTGGATCTTTGATTTTCTTCTGTAGCTTGGAAAGTTTAGCTGGTGGTAATAAGAGTAATTTTTGTGTAAGACTTTTGTAAACATGCTCGTTCTCATATTTGAATATAAATCTATAAATGTATTATATACTATTTGGTTTGTCTGCATTTTCTTACTTAATCTGCCCTCTGGAATATCATCAACCGTTCTAATACGTTGAGTGTTGTTTAATTCTGCTTCATCAAATACATGCACATCGTCTGGGTCCATTGGAAACCTGACAAATTCTTCTTCTTCGTCATTAGCTTCTCGAATTAACTCTACTACTCCTCTAACTGTATCTTTTCGATAAGCACTACGTACAATTTCAAATGGACAAAACAGAAAGTTTAAAGTTCTAATCAGTTATTCATAACGGCGAAAGGTTTTTAATCGCTTCCTTACTTCATATAGTTTTTTATAAGATCAATAACAGGCGCCAAAATTTCGCAAGAGGGGTCAATTATTTTTAAACATTCTATACAGACAATGTATTGATGTAGAATATCGATTGCCGAAGCTCCTTGGTGTAAAAGACGCGCTTTCAACCTATTTTGTAAGATATCAATTTAATATTACTATATGTTAGCTCAATATTAAAGACTTACTGTTGCATAAGGTCACTCTTGAATTCATCAAACATCCCTCTTCTTGTTATAACAATCTTATAAAAAGATAATAATCTTGTTCATTAAACTACTTCATTTCCCATTCTGTCATCCTTCCGAATATAGGACCCGTTCATTTAAATCACACTTACTTGAAAATCTGTAATTGTTTGCTTACTATCAGGAAAATCTACAATGATATCAAATATGTGGGGTATACGGGTATAGTAGAAGGCTTCATACATGATATGTTCCAATTTTGTTTTGGCACGTAAGAAGTTAAACCAATTTGCATCTGATATACGAAACCAGTCAGTTGTGATGAACCTACGCGAATAAAAAGTGATTCACTTCGATCCGCTTACCATGATTATTTTCTTCCTTGGGCAATAAATAGGAGATCCATGGCAATAAGAGTACATGACACCACTTTAATAAGAAAGGCAAAATGGAAATTGTCCAATTATCTTCGTAATATCTATTCATTGCTTTTAGACGTTTTATCACTTTTTTTTTCACTCTCTCGATCCAATCGCATTTGAAATCCATCGCGTGTAATTGCTGACATATTAAGTCGAAGCTTTCGAGATTTGTATGAAGCTGTTTCAAGTCGTACTTGTCATAAATAGTAGTATCAAGTTTGATATACGGTAGCCACTGCTCCTGTGACATGTTTTCAAATGGTTCGTTCCCACACTGTTGTCGTTGCCGTTCTTTTTTTAAAGCACTGTCCAACTCATCCTCTGTCAAGTTCAACACTGTGACTGAATCGGGTAAATTGGCATCTAATACTAACTGTACTTCCTTTTCAAAATCATTATACCGATGACATAGACGGATATCCGGACAGAATAGATACGCAAATCCATGTTCAATGTTCATGTTGCGTTCGTACATAACTTCGATTTGATCGCTGATGATTTCTTGATACTTGTCAAGCACACGAAAAAAGGAATCTGGGATTAGTTTTAGCATCAAACGCTGTACATTTTCTCTAAAAACTGGTGATTGGGATATATATTCTCTATGTCTTAGCGTAATTGTTAGTTCACAGTTTTATTATTTCTTTGGGCTAATGGCATTTCGTGTATTTTTTTTTTACTTGGACGATGAGTTTTTGACAGCTGTGAAAAATTGCTGATACACTCTATGCATATCATTCACTAATGCAATAAATGAAGGAATGGTTTCTTGCAAAAAGTCTTCCTTCTTCATTTGTCGCTATATCGAATAGATTGCTCGGATAAGTTATGATTATTCTGTATCATATCCTTAGCCAAAGAACACCCACTCGGTTAATTTTACCTTATAATCTAACTCCCATGATTTGAAGAGTGCACGTAATGACTGTATTAGGTCACTAACAGGTGGCTTAATTTGATTTGATGAATGCTTCTGTGTTGGATATAGATCAAGAGTTGTTTAGATCATTACAATTGGCTTCATTACGTGGAAAGAGATTTCTCACCTACCTCATCCGCATTCCTTTTGCCTTCTTCACCAACATTAGTCATTGAGTTGTGTATACCTAATGATTTTTGCAGGTTCGAGATTGAAGTAGTATTAAACAGGCTTGTCACCGAACTAAAGAACAATGAATATAGCCTCTAAAATCCTTCCTCACGAGATACACGTCCCTGAGTTCAAATGCAGACGGACGGATTTGCATGAATCTTTTCACATTTAATTTTCATTTGGTTTATTATTATGATTATAAAATGTTAGTATAATAGTTTTTATATAATTTATAGTTATTTACAATTAGTTATTGTTCATATCATTAGTATCAGTACTAATATTTCAACTGTTTACAGGGTATCTTCTTTTTCAAATGCAAATGTCGGTAAAGTTGTAGAATCGATAGAAGGTAATGTTATGGAAGGAAAAACACTCAGACTCTCCTCAATCTCATCTTCATCTATATTCATGTCATTATTCTCGGTATTGCTTGTATACTGCTCTTCTATTTTGTAAGTGTTTGAATCGTCAAGTATCATGTTATGTCGAAGGTGCTGCTGCGAGGGTGGTGGAAGAGGTGGAGTTGTAGGCGGTGTGCCTGCTTGAATAAACCGCGCTGATGAATTCAAACTGCTATTATGATTATTACCTAGACTTGAGTCAATTAATGTGGATAAAGTAGACCTGTCTAAATCCAGGGACAGTTCTGCCTGCATAGGTGTCCATCTCGTTATTGCCAGCTGTTGCTGTTCGAACAGCGCTCTCTCCCTCGTTTCAGCTTCTTTCATCTTTCTATCTCTTTCATACTCCACCCATTTTTTCATCATGATTTGTGAAGAGTCAAACTCTCCTTCTTTATCGCTGTGGTCTTTACAAGCACCTGGCTCACCTTCGCCTTCCACTTTTCTGGTCTCTCCCCAAGAAAAATCATCAAAATGCCAATAGGCGTATGTCGGTAAGACAAAGTTCCATATGGGTAAACTGAACAAGTAAATAAACATCCATCCGACATAAACGAGTTTCCGACTGGTCATAACAATAAGCACAGCAGGCAAACCAAGTATAAGAGCCAAAAGAATAAGAGATAAAACAGCAGGCTGTCCAATGCAAGCAAGAATAATTAAATACATTGTGAATGAAATAGCTGCTGGTAGAGCCAATGTACCGACCAACTCCATGAATACGACAAATTGCATCGACAAGCAGAAGGTACCACATAAATCATGAACAAATAATAACTCCATCAAATTGTGGATTGTGGAATTAATCCATCTTCTTCTCTGCGATAGTAACACCGCGAAGGAATCAGGCACAACCGTCTTACACACCGCTTGAGGCACAAAAAGCATTTTTCTCCTTGGAAACGTCTTCAACATCAATGTGGATAAATAACGATCCTCGCCTAGCAACAGCAAGTTCTTTTTATGCAGTGTATCAACAACATTCTCCGAATAATGCTCGATAATATCTGGATTTGCTAGTATAGGTACCCAATGTCCATTATGCCCCTTAGGCGCTTTGATACGATACATACAGAAACACCCTGGTAGACACGTCACATTTCCAAATATCGACTCGAACGCCTTACTTTGATGATGCGATATATAGTATTCGAATACTTGTATCATTGAGACCCAGCTATCCGTTTTGTTTCCAATCTTCGTCTCACCACAAAGCCCCATCACCTCAGGATCATTGACCATACAACTGATTAAGCGAGAAAGTGCATCAGGATACACTTTTGTATCAGCATCTACCATAAGAACAGTTTCATACTTATCAGGACTGATACCTGAGATACGCCACAGTGTTGTGAAGAGTTCATATTCAAGCTCTGTCATACGTTCGTCAAACATGACTTTTTGTAAAAAGGACATCAAGATCACTTGAGAATCGCGTTTACCTCGGTTACCGGGTTTACCATTGGCAGATTCTTGCCGCTCAGCAGGTGTGCCACATTTTACAATGGTGACCATAGGGACCCGTTTTTGAAGTTTACGGTCGACAGTAATAGGATTGTAATTGTAGAAGCCAGCATAGACTTTGGACATGTTATGGCGTTTTGTACCATCAGCAATTGCAATGTACGAACAAGCTTCCACTTGCTCCGGTGGGACTAAAAAGTCTTTCATCATAGAGATACATATATCTGGAGTAGAACGTTTATTGCCGTGGCCTGTAATCATGCCGTCTGCGATGACAAGAAGAAGTTTATGTGAGTTGGGATAGTCGGTAGTAGCAATGGAATCGAGTGTAGTACGAAGACCCTCTTCTCCTTCAGAGTAGCAAGTGACGAGACAGATGGTATGCGCAAGTGGAAAGCCAAATGGTTTATAATCTGCTTTTGGTTGAGGCAAAGTGTAGGGGGATAGTTCATAAGGACAAAAGAAGGCAGTTGCATTTGAAGAAGAAGTATTATTGTCGTCATCATCGTTGTCTTGCTTGTTATTGTTGTTTATTGGCGTAGTTGCAGAAGTCTGGGAAGACCTACGTGATAAGGGACTGGTCATGTTACTTCGGTTGTCCGACACGGATAAAGTAGGACGTGGAGACAGTAAATTCTGCGAGCTAAGATATTTGCCCATACCTCTGGGGCTACGATCATATACAATACAAATAATGCATAAGCTTTCCAAATGAAAAATGATATGTGTAGTTCCTATATATTGCACAGTTTTCCCTTACCCGGTAGGAGCTTGCTGCCATATAGTACTTGGTTGATGCTCCAGAGATTTGAAGTGCATTGTTCCTGTATCAGGTTGAGTAAACCTTGACTTTGTTGGAATAATACTTCTTTTCTTTTGAAGGATTTTATTCGAGTTATTGTAAGCGTGGTACAGATTTGGGCTCGAAATATGATGTTGAAGTTTTGCTGCTGCTGTACTGTTGCTGCTGCCAAACAGTTGTGATTGTTGAGGCCGAATAGCAGCTGCAGGTACATTAATACCAGCCGTCCAATCTTCAATTTCCAGATCACGACGCATTCGATCTTTATAAGACGTTTTGCCTTCAACATTTTTAAAGTTGCCTAATTTCCATGATAAGAACCAACCAAAGATGACTGCTAACCCAAATTTAACCAGGATGACCCCGAGGATAACCATAAGAGAAGTGTAGAGAACTACATCCGACACAATACAGCCAAAACTCTTGGTATCAACTTCTCCTACTTTGATGATGTCAAGAAGGCATTGGGCTTCGGCCTTCCAAGTTATTGGATGCAAAGAAGTCGTTTTGTTAGTATTGTTGTCGATGGATAAGGGTTGATTTCTGTGGGTTGCTACAATGTGTGTAATATCTTGACCGCCAAAACGGTTTTTATCGTTGATTATGGCTTCTATCAAACCATTTTCTGGTACTGAAAAAGTTGATAATAGCAATAATTGTAACAAATTTAAGTTCAATACATTACTGAGGTATTCAGAACAATGGTCAGAATTTTTTCTTTTACGTATGTCTAAATATATTTTCTTTTTAACTACCTATTGTAAACCGCTAAATGAGAAGTTTTATTGACATCCTCCCAATCATAGTAGACTCTACCAGCCTTATCATAATTTCCATTAGAATTGATGACACCCGTTTCTCTCATGGTTGTAAATAGTTGACGTGAGGCTGATTTAACATGACAGGCTGCGTTATTCGCATACGGAGAGGATGCATTATTGCTGTTAATCAAGTTCATGCTATTATCATTTTCATTTTGATTACTGCGTTCCAACAACTGACACGGGAAATAACCAGGTGTGGCATCGTGGCCTATGACGACTGTATCATCTTTAGGTTTAATGATAGAAAGACAGTTTCCATTGATATTCTGAAACAGAAAGGATGCATCTTTTCCACTAGCATTGAACGGCTCATCCATAACATTGTTGATTTTGTTATTATTGCCGCTAATATCATTAGCTATGGCTGGTGCAATCGGTGGATGATCGTTCCATGAAGCCAGCATGTAAGCCCAGCCATGTACTATCACATAACCATCATTGATGGATTCCACACGGAAGCTGAGTGGAGGTCGTGGGCACACAACTTGTGTGAATCCAAATGTTAGAAAACCGACCATTGCCATAATACCTAGTATTACGGTTACCAAACCTATCTTTTCGCGAAATGCCATTTGTGCGTTTTTATCTTTTCTGCCTAAAATATAGTTTACGTTTTAGTTATTCAACCCTTCATGAAAATGAAAAATCGTCATAGAGAGTCATAATTTTTACCTATAGCTCGTAGCAAAGGCGGAGGACAACAACATGTTAATAAATAACAAATAGTTATCCATACACTGCATGTTTTGCTTGGTTGATCTTCAATCACATAGTCCACAACTGAAGAAGTAGTGGTAGTGACTTTTGTGGCGTTTCCAGTTGCTCCATATGCTGCTGTTGGTTTCATGTTATTGTCCTGAAACTTTTCATCGAGATAATCAAAATCTTCCTCTCTGCCTAGCAATCCTCTTCGAATAACTGATCGGCTAGTTGTATTGAATTGGGTATCTCGATAGTGGTTGTTGTGTTCATCATCTTCAAGCATAATTCTTCGTCGCGTATGATATTGTGGATGCTGAGGATCAATTCTACTTCTTTCAGGTCTTACTAAAGAAGTTGTACGCTTAGGCAATTGGGAATGACGTAAATTAGCAGTATTTTGCCGTTGATGAAGTTGTTCTTGCTGCTGCTGCTGATGTGCAGTAATAGTAGAAATGTTATGCATAAATGGTTGAGCAGTATTGTATACGTTATCCATAAGGAAAAGATATTATTGAGGATGCTGGTGTTAGAAACTATATATAGTTTTTTTACGCTGTTACAGAAAAAAGGTATTCGATCGACCTTATAAACAACCTAGTGTTTTTATATAGATAAAAGAAAAATACAATAATTATATTTAAAAGTTAGTTTTAATGCTATTTTAACTTGGCAATTGCCAAAAGACTTTCAATTGCTGATGTTACAGATTTTTATTGTAAAATGTTGAAAAAAATTAACTAGTATGACAGACAATGTGCACAAGGAGAGGATGACTACAGTTTGATAGAGAAGTCGATAACAGATTTCGAAATGGATGAAGGAAACGAAAAAGAGACAACAAACAATAATCTTTTAAATCAGTTGGAAACAGTATCGTCGTAGCCAAGGAATTATTAAAAATAGGAGAAGGAAGGGGAAGGTGGTAATATGTTGTGGATGAAAGAGAGACAAAGGAAGGGAGTTACATCTTTGGAGTAATTTTTCTGTCAGGTCAAGTCAAGGGGTCAGAATTATATAACGAGAAAATGCTGTACGATTTCACAGCAGAGAATCCTGAAAAAGCAATGAATTTACAGTATCAACTTAAACGGATATATCGTGCATAAATCCTTTTGACAGATCTTCTTTTCAATGCTTAATCAGACCGGCAACGGCTACTAAGACTAGCTATTTAAATCATTACCCAACGAACGCATAATGGCAAATGAGAAAGAAAAGAAGGAGCAAAACAAACGATAGAGATGGAATTAGCTATCAGGAGAAAAGCAAGAGAAGAGACTATAACTGTATATGATCAATCTCTCTTAACTAGAAGAAAAAAACTCGATAATTCATATGAATAAAGCAGCTCAAAAAGAAAAGTGCAGACACCCACATGCTGGGATAAGTTTAGAATTTGACCTTACATTTAAAAAAAGCCAAATCGACACACTGTTCTTTTACCTCACTATTTATTACCTCCTTCAGTGCAATTTTAAGCGGTGTAGCCGTAACAAATTTTCTCCGATTTATTGGGCACGCTAACCATCTGCCAATTCCCATTTCCGAGTTAAAAAGCTTCAAAAAGATGATTTTCGAGCGATTTGCCGTTCACATATTTGTGTATCTTTGTTAAAATTTAGGTTCAGCTTTTAAGTAATTGTTGGTGTACTCGCTGTATCTTACCTTTTCCTTTCGCTTTTTGTGCATTAAATCAATTTGTATTCAAAGTGACATATTCTTTCGCGGTTTTATTACTCAAAATTCAAACATTATGAGTTGGAAGGTACATGAAAAAGAAAGAACCATTTTGGTACTTCTCTCAAATCAACTCTCAACGACTCGTACCTTAGGGTTTTCAAAAAGCAATGAGTCGGTTGCCTCAAAATATGCTATCCAAGAAAGGAGAAGGTTTGTTTACCAAATGTGTAGTTTTATGAGGGTTGGAACTAGTTTATATTCATTGCTACAATATCGGCATACACGATATGCAGCAACCAAAGACATTGAGTTTGAACAGTTGGAAATACGTTTTCGGGATACGGCGAAAACAGTAGATCAATTGAGAATTAACATACAGGCATATTACGATAATGTTTTGGGTAAAAGAATAGTCAACCCAGTATGAGCATAGAATGAGAAATTTCACTTGTGTTAACGAATCTGTGTAATATAGTCTACATTTATCAACAAAAGGAGCTAGGATTATGCTTAGCCGCATTGTACAGTGAAAAGCTTAAATTGCAACAGCAAGAATATAAGCAGTATGAGGTAGAAGATATTAAAGAAAGCGGAAAGGATGGCAACTATGAGCAAGGAAATAGGTCCAAAAGTACTGGCACAACTTCGGCATTTCCTTCACGTTCCCACAAGGAAGAAGCAGAAGAGAAAGAAAAAGAGGAAGAGGAAAACTGTGCAGGGTTACAAGCTGCGAAAGACCTGGAAGCAGCTATGGCACTCTGCCGCGACGACATTCTTGCTAGTCTTTCTTCTTCCATTCAACAAGATATTATTCGTCCTATTGATGAACTTCAAGCCATTGTCAAACAAATTCAGAACACTATTGTCAAACGAAATCGTAAACAGGTAGATTATGATCGATACCGTCAACAATTGAATAAGTTACTTCTTAACCACAATACCAAGTATTCAATGAGTCATCAAGAACATACGTCATATAAACAACAACATCAATGGCAAAAAGAACAGCTGCAGTATAATCACGATGAAAAGCTCATCTTTAAAGTACAAGCACAATTAGAAACAGCCACAGTCGAATATGATACACTCAATCAATCTCTCAAAGATCAACTACCCATTTTCTTTCATTTTTTTCAATATCAGGTGATTCAACCAATCTTTGAAAGGTTATATACTCTTCAACACGCTTTTTATTATACACTTTCTACTTACTGGGATGATCTGATGTTAGCTAATGAAAATTACTTTACTACCCAAAAAATGTCAGAAGACGAAATAACAAAACAATTAGCGACATTGGAGATATTCTGCTTGGATAAAACATCATCTTCTAAAATCTTGAATTCCACAAGAAAAAGTAGTGGTAATACAATGAAGAATAGATTATCGGATCATTGGAGAAGCAACAAGCGTAGTAATAATGATATACTCGTAAATAAATACAACAACAATAATAGCAACGATTCTTTATCCAGGCATTCTCATTTACAACAAGAGCAGCAGCAGCAAGCCGACATCAAGGCGACCACTGATATAACAAAACCTGTAGCTCCTCTTAAAAGTTCTTCAGCAACTGCTGTTGGGTCGGTGACAGTACCTACAGACTCTTCTCATTATGCAACTGCATTACATAATTTTGAAGGCTTGACAGACGATGATTTGTCATTCAAGATAGGCGATAGGATAAAGCTTCTTCATTGGACGGAAAAGGAAGACGATTGGTGGATAGGCCAATTGGGACAAACTGTTGGTGTTTTTCCAGGTAGTGTACGAGTCAGAGATTAGCATTACTTATATTTGGTGTAGATTCTAACTTCGTATCGAACAATCACTTCTGCAAAAAGGTTCCTATGTCACCTATTAAAAAAAACCAATAGTATGTAAAGAGCTTTGAAATTGACGAATGAACAACTATAAATGAAAAGGACAGCAAACCTGAATTCTGTTGCAGAGTGGTTTTTTTATGTATTCTTTTTTCCTATAATTGTATGTTTGTCGTTCAAAAAGGGTTACAGAGATACTTTTTCAGAATGAAAAAAAATTGTAAATAGTGGAAGGGTGAACAATTGGAATTATGTCTTCGTTGCCATTTATTAGCTATTAAATTATTCTACGGGTTTTTGGATGCGAAAGCATACGTAACGAATCTGGCTAATTCATTAGGTGTTGAGCATTGTAATAAGCCGCTTTGCACATGAACATTAATTTCCTATGGACGGCCGAGCAATACAGAGGTATAAGTATATACGTCGCTGTCACAGTCTAAGAATAACTAGGTACCCTTACCTGTAATACATCTGCAGCATTAGGTCGTGTTGCTGGTGATTCATCCAACAACCACGCCACCAAGCCTTTCATGTACATAGTTGGATTACTGTAAGTAAAGCTAGGGCTTGGTTCACTTAAAATAGTAGCAAACAATTCATTCTCATCTTTAATCAAATAATGAGGTGGGACGCGATCCATCATTTCGATGATAGTGATGCCCAAGGACCACATATCAATTTTTTCATCATAAAGTTGTTCACGGATAACTTCAGGTGCCATCCATTTACTGGTTCCTAAACGTTCACAATTTCGTCTCAAAGTAGTGACAATCTGTTGTTGTTGCTGTGGTGCAACATTGTTCCTTATGATTTGGTTGCTGCTATTATGTGATGGTATGGGCTGCTTTTCTGTCACTGCTATCCTTGCAGACAATCCAAAATCAGCTAATTTGACCTCTCCATGCCAACCTAGCAATAGGTTCTCACATTTAATGTCCCGATGAATGAAGGATTTCGAATGTAAGTAAGAGATACCCTTGAGGGCTTCACAAGCAATATAAACTGCATATTGTTCAGGAATACTACGTTGACATAAAACTGCAAAAACTGAACAGCGTTGCAAATCCATGGCCATCCATACATCATCTTTCCACAGAGAGACTTCGCGTAAACGAATGAGGTTAACATGTCCAGATGCCATGATCCGTAATTCGCGAACAATAGCTGCGCGATATTCCAAATCAGAATCGAGTCGACATCGTTTGATAGCTAAAAATGTGTTCTTCCTAAATTTATGGCGAGCACGAACGACTGATCCATTGACTCTGTGTAAACGTCAAGAGATCGAAATCAGTTCTACGAACCTTGTATAAGCAAAAGAGAAGGAAATAATATTATTTATTACCCTGTGCCTATTTCTTTGTACCCATCATATTTATTTCTCGGGTCTAATGAAGAGACAGATATTAGCTTAGGCAACGCTTTTCGAATTCTTTTTTCGAATTCATTTTCAACGCGTCGAGCCAAAGGCGGTAATTGAGGTATGTCTTTACAATTGCCTGCTGGACGCCAAGGTGGAATGTTACAATTGTTGCTGCTACTGTGCTTCTGATTTTGACCGCTGAAGTTACTGGCTTTATTGTTATTGTTGTTACTGTTGGGCGAGGGATAGGTACGTAATATACAATGATAAGAGGAAGGAGAAATAGGTTTGTGATTTGTGGTAACAGGACTGATAGGTTTAAGAAAGCAATCACTCCCAAACACATTTGGTATCTCGTAGCTTCCACCAGGTGATCGCCAGACCTAGAAAGGGATAAAAATTTATCATGGAAAAAAAATAGAGGGGCCAAGCGAAGTAAAGGAGGTATTAAAAAAGGGGTCTTAAATACTTTAGACATTGTGTATGATTTTTTTTTTTACCTTGCTTATAGGTGTTTGACCGTAATGTTGTTGCTCGTTCACGGTAGATTTCGTTGTTGTTGCAGATGTAGTCGTAGTTGTCGTTGCAGCACTTCTATTTGAATAAACTGATGTTCTTCTTTTATTAAAATTGATATTATTGCTGTTCTCGAGACAGCTCGTCGATCGCCTTTTCATAGAAAAATCTCTTGTTTTATGTTGTCGTTGCTTCGTTGTTAGTGACAGATTATCATCACTTGTTGTAGTAAATGATTTTGAGTTTGTTAACTCATTGGTAGATAATGATTTGTGTTTTCTATTTGAATTGCTTTCTCCAAAGGCCCGCTTTTTTTTAGTTATAATGAAAGAGACGTTAATTATGAACCTCCCTTTCGAAAAATGACTATCGTATCTCTTTTTTTATTATTTTTTAAAACTACCTTTACTTTTTTATTCTCTTTCAAAGCATCAATTACTTCTCTTCCATTTGCTTTCGTTATTATCGATGTAGTTGTTGATTTATTTTTATTTGCTGTTGTTGTCTTCAAGTCAAGTGCGATATATGCATTCTTACTATCATCTCGTTGGCTCTTGTTTAATTGATTGCTGTTAATAGATGATTTGCGTCTTAGAGATGTGTTTTTTATGTGAGTGATAGATTGCAATGCTGTATTTGAAGTAACTGTTGCTATTCCAACCATTGCAGTGTAATTATTCTAAATATCGTGGTATACGCGGAAGCAGGGAGTTTTATATTGTTACAAAAGAAGGAAAATGAGAGAATGAAAAACGAAAGAAAGAAAGAAAAAGTGCAAAAGGGCTAAGGAACAGAAAGAAAAGTTTTGTAGGAAATGGTAGCTGTAGTGGTTTGAATAAAAAGGAATGTAGTGCCTAGAATGCAGGATTCTGTGGCGACCTATGAGAAATAATCTACACTTAGAGCAGTGTGTGGAATAAGCACACAATTACACACTCTCATTGCCTTCCCCTAAGTTTATCCCCACGTGCAGTACGGATTCTACTTTTGCCTGTATATAAGGATAATCCCAAGTACTTTAAGGGATATAATTATCCCTTAAATAAACCTTGTAATGCGGCACATAAACTCTCGGCCACCTATTTACATTGCGATTCATCACCATTCAGCAAGATGTTTTGCAAAAAAAAAAAAAAAAAAAAAAAAAAAAAAAAAAAAGAAATAGCCTTATTTATAGAGCATGAATGCTTTAGAATTATACTGCTTCATCTTAAGACTTCAGTCTTTTCGTATATAGCCAGAGTAAGTTAACCATGATTTTGCACATATTGCAGGTGCATATATTATATTTTTAAATCCAATTTATACTTTATCTCTTTGCAAACTACATGCAGTGTACACTGTAATGTAATGTTATGTAGATCTCAATCAAACTAACACAAGAATTACAGAATGGTGTACCCTGCGTTGACATGATGTTAGCATTTAAGCTTTTTTTTTTTTTTTTTTTTTTTTTTGATTCGCGATCTTTTTTACAAAGAGTTTGTGTCTGTTTTGTGATGGAGCACAACATTTGTCTTCCAAAGCTCCCAGCCTTTCCGTTGTTCCGAAATCTGCGTCTCTGTGTACAATTCTGTCGCTCTTTCGCTCGACTAAATGTGAAAACGCTGTAAGAGACTGGGATTCCGATATCATTCGTTGCAGTCATGACAGATCGAACAGCGAAATCACTTCGTCGACTGTTTCTCCACAAAGAAAGTTATCAAACTTCTTCGTTCGCTACGAGCTTCGAGAACAACATTATTCAAGACACTGTTTTCATGATCAATCAAATTAATGATTCTCAGAGCTGGTCATGTGTCTATAAAAAATGATAGTATCTTTCACTTCGATCTCTCATCTGCAAATTTCTCTTCTAGTGTTGTAATGTTTTCTAAATGGGCTAGTAACCAACATGGAAGCTACATCCCAGACGGTACTATCATTTCCAATGTCCTTAACAGAAATATATATTTGAATGCTGTCAAAGCTGTGATAAAGTAGGGACAGTCCTTCCAATTGTAAAGTTGGGTTAACAAAATGTATATACGACTGTATACAATAACAATACGAGATATTATGCGTTTTTATAAAAATGTTAAGCTTATATAAAAGGATATTTTTGCTCCTTATTCATAACGTCGAAGACGGCGGCTTGAGTCAGCAATCCCCAAACAGTGCGAACCTCTGCGTCATCATGGTCGTGTTGTATGATTGGTATTGAGCTGTTCAAAATATTGGTGTTGGATGCCGTCATCGCTGTCGTTGCCATTGTAATAGCGTTGCAACTAAGCTCATCGTTGGTACTGCTGTAGTTTTGTTGATAACCTGAAATTGTACAATGTTGCTGCAGCTGTTGTGGCAGTGTTGCTGATAAGAGTGGTAAAGGTGGCGGGGAGTACAATTGTTCATTACTGTTTCCATCATTATTGTTCAATGCCACAGAACAATTATCATTGTTGTTAGAGCCTTTTTGATGAGCTTTTTCGTGCTTCTGTAACGACTTCAAATGATAGTAAGCCTTTTGGCAGCCCTTGAATGAGCAAAGATATGATCTTTCATTGGAATGAATTTTGCTATGTGTTACTAAAGAATCTGGTCTTGAGAATCTTTTTCCACAATCTTTGTTTTTAGGTTTTGAAAATGAAATCAATAAGAGTTCTTTTTTTTTTTTTCCTTGGTTAGGAAGACCAATTCCTTACCTGCTTCATGGCATATAAAAGGCTTTTCGCCTGTATGTGTACGAAGGTGATTATACATTTTATGTCTTTTCGAGAATGGTTTTACTTGTCTAGCACAGTCCTTCCATCCACAATAGTAGTTTGTCTATATACTTGAAGTTAGTATCTGTAGTATGACGAGATTAATCATATTTTTGTTAAACGCATAGAAGTTCCTACCTTTCCACTACCTATGTGTACTTCTTTGACATGTTCAATAAGTTCATCTAAAGCGTCAAACTCCAAAGTACAAGAATCCCATTGACAAGAGCTTGCCACTACTTCTTGTTCACTTAAAAGCTCCTCTGTATATTTGCTATGAGTTTCTTTGTCAAACTCAGTGTCAGTGTTATAAGTAGTTGATTTTGTAGACTGTTTTCGATTAAGCTTTACAGACAGCTTTCTACTAGATAATAACGGAGTCGTAGGAGGAACAATCATACAACTATTGTTCATGCCCGCTTCCCGATCATTGACTGATCAATTTTTTCAAAAAAACCCCCCCCCCAAAAAAATAAAATAAAAAGTTGCATAAAATGAGTATGTAAAAAAAAAGAATATGCACAATGAGTATTTAGACAGAGGTAATTGTTTTATAGAGTTATAGTATACGTACCAACTGTACCAGTAGCTTGTCGTGCAACCAATTCTTTTTCTTTTTCCAATTGCATGACTCTTTCTAAAAGTTGTTCATGAGTCCAAGATACTAGTTGCTTAGCCAATGGATCAAATGATGGCAGTGGTGGTGGAGGTGATGAAGAACGTGTTACTGGAGAACCAGGCATGGTATTTGTCGAAAGTGAAGAGGAAGAGGAACAGTTAATTCTATTAAGAGATCTTTGTCTCCTGACTTTTTTCAAAGATAATTGAGATTTTGATACTGCTGTAGTCAAAGACTTGGTACTTTGCTGCTGTTTTGGTTCTGTACCAGTAAGTACTTTTTCTCCTTCTCCTTCTGCACCATTCCATTGCGTTCCTGTTGAATATGGCGTAGAAACTGTATGACGACGGTGAGGTGTAGAGCTACGTCGACTTTTCCTCTCAGAAGAAGCAGCACGCTGTAACTGCTGCTGGTGTGGTTGTTGCTGTGATGGCACGATCATTGTTGGATCAAATTGTTGTTGCTGCTGCTGATCGTGCTTAATAAATGAAGATATCGGTATATGCGGATTTGGTGTATCCAATTGATGACTTATGATAGCTGTGGGAGTGATGGAATGATTATTGCTGCCGTTGCTGCCTTCATTGTTCTCCGTGCTATATAGAGCGGGGAAGATTGTCATTTGCGCAATATCCTAAAAAAGTGAGAAGCATTCTGTTCAAAAAAAAAGGGTCGTGTTTCTCTTTCTACATTCAATGCAAGAGTATGCGATTACCAAATATTGTTGTTGATCGAAAGGAAGGTCAAGTGCTATAACTGAGTCTCGTTTATAGCCTACTGTTGCTGCTGCTATTACTGCAGTATTTGTAGAGTTATAAACATGTGAGGCAGGCGGAAACCTTTCTTCTGTCAATGTATTGTATGAGTTATAGAAACTACTACTAGCAGAAAAAGTAGTAAGTGGAGGAGAGTATATAGATGACATAGTAATAGCATCATTAGAGGTAATCTGATTAACGACAGATGGGCTCATATAACCATCGATTTCCATGGGATTGACATGATATATGTCGTTTGAACCAGTTTCCGCTGTTGAGAAAGTATACTGCTCCTGCTGTTGCTGTTGCTGTTGCTGTTGCTGTTGCTGTTGCTGTTGCTGTTGCTGTTGCTGTTGCTGTTGCGGAGTGTTTAATTTTGTAGGCAAAAATAAGGAGTAAGCGACGGAAGACGAGGAGGTATGGCTCCTCACTATGGGTGTTGTCGTCACGTGTGGCAGATAACTATCGTCGGTCTTAGCTACTTCTTCTGCAGCAGCTAGTGTCATTGTTGTGTTTTGGCATGCACTGTCAAATAGATAATTTGATGATGCTGTATAATCCGCCAACTCCACGGTACTAATCTTTAAAAACAAAAGAGTTCACATCAATCGTAAGTAAAAATGCCTCCTATATTGTTTGTTAAAACACGCGACGTGTCCTATCACCTTGGGGTGTGCCTCCTTTTGCCGTGTCATTTGGCTCGGTGTCCTAGAGGTTACAAACAGAGCATTATTGCTGGAATTAGTCTGGATCATAAGATCGCTTTCCATTTTTCTTTCCTATATTCAGTCTTCAGCTAATTCTCTCTCAAATGATGGTCTAAAAATAAAATACGAAACTTTATGGGCAACTGCTTGGCCATAAACATCATTCCGTATTAGAGAAACAGTCCTCCAACTAATTTTTTTTAAATGAAGCGATTGTTTTCTTGAATAGAATTGTATCTTACTGTACGGGTAGCTTTGTCAATGGTATTTGTAACCTACGATATATTTTCAGCGTTTAAAAATAGTTTCGAGGCGTTTGGTCTTTTTAAAAAAAGCGTTTTATACAAGAGTTGTGGAAAGTGATAGTAGACAGGGAAGGGAACAGAAAATGAAAGCTTAATCTTAACAAAAGTGATTGTACTTCAAAAGCTACACAAAAATCATAAATCGAGCTGCTAGTTCCACAGATAATAGAAAGAAGTCGAAACTTTGCACAAACTTCATTATCAACGAAGGCTGAGGCCCGATGTTTGACGTGGTATTGTATAATGACTTTTGAGTTAGCTTCAAAAGTGAAGTTCACATAATGTGAAGAATTGTATCATACACTTTATCAAAACACAACAATGGTTTATAGAGTGCTCAAAGCATATCTTCAAGGCACCCTTCTATACTTACTACAAGTAATATTGCGTCCTGACAACAGGATACGAAGCACAGGATAGGATGATGATCTGCTTATTTATTACTTTTACATCAGACAATGCTTGCTACGGCCTACATAGTTTCGATAATTCACTACAGAGACGGTTTCTGGGCAGACCCACCTATCAACATCGTAAGATGTTTGTTAATATTGCTATAGCCTCTAATTTTAGGCACAAAATATCATGCAACAATTTACCACATTCCAATAGTCGCCTTTGATTGAATCAACGAATGCCGAAGCATTCCCTTGTATACCATAAGCACCGGCTTTATCGAATGGCTCACCCGAATCCACATCTAAAAAGTAAAACAGAAGAAATTTTGTTTTTATACACTCTATGAAAGAAAGTCAGGTTGTTCGACAATTATTTAATCTCTATTTTGAATGACATACAGGCTTTAATGGTCTCTAAATCAAGTTTTTTGAAAGTAACATCTGTTATCTCCACAAAGTTAATTTTTTCCACTTCTCCGTTTGGAGCTTTGCTGAATATCTGTACGCCAGTTAAGGCTTGATGTGTTGTTCCACTCAGTTGTGTAAGCATTCTAATAGCGTCGGTTGCATCTTTAGGTTTCTCTAACACATGTCCATCTTTGACGACGATGGTGTCCGCTCCAATAACAATGTCTGCGTTCGGAAGTTGATCATCTGACTATCAACGTCATTATTTTCAAGAAAAGGAACAGAAAAAGAGCGTTAGTCTATGAGTAGCATTAAAGAACAAATGTTCGGCATTTTACTTGGCATCTATCAAACACTTCTTTTGCTTTCATATACGCTGTATCTGCAACATAATCGACTCGTGTTTTGTAGATTGTTGGATCATTTTCATCCGGCTTTAACGTGGTTACTACTGAAAATTTGACACCCTGTTTTCGTAATTGATAGGAGAAAAAGAAAATTCATGTTACGCTTTGCATTGAAAAAATATAATCCTCCTATTCTCAACGTACCATATCTGTCAAAATTTCGCGCCGTCTTGGAGAAGCAGATGCTAATACAATTATCTTTGAGTTGATAAGATCTTTGTTTTGTAGATGAATTGAGTCATTTTCAGATAAGTGAAGAGCCATGGAAGTAACAGATCAAAAAGAGAAAAGAAACAATAAGTCAAAGGCATCAAATGCAAAAAAAAAAAAAAAAAAAAAAAAAAATTTGTTATGCAGCTGAGGTACAGCTCAAAAGCTCCGCTTTCAGACGTCATCGTCCCTTACTGAGAAGAATTCCCAATGTCATGGCCCGCCTAAAAGAGTTGTAGGTGAGCGGTGAATTTACCATGAGGAGATCTAAGGGCATGAATTTATTATTTTACCCCACCTTTTTTTTAAACTTTGGTTCCTAACACAGTATTTATTTTAAAGCCCACCCTCTTCCTTTTGCTCTTATAACTGCAAAATCGCACCGCACCTAATCGAACTTATACACAATGGTAAATTCATCAACGGAAATATTACTCTCAATTAGCATCAAACGTCGAGAGTATTAACTGGCTTTCGTTAGCCTGTTCCTTTTGAAGCACTTATTCCATTCGGCATCATTGCTGGTATGTTCACCGTAACAGCCACAGGTTTGGGCATCACCAGGTATCTCACTAATGAAGGAAAGGTAATAGACGTTCACAAAAAGAAAAACATCATCATGACGAGATCTTTATGTTTACACCTGTCAACTATTATAGCCTACAAGATATGGTCTTGATAATTGGGAAAAGCAAATGATGGAACGTGATAGACGTTTGACAGGCACGCTTAGAGGACAGAGTGTAAGTAGCTTGAAGTTGATCCATACCCTATAGAAATGTACATATATACAACTGGCACTAAAACATACTCTTCAAATAAATAGTCAGAGCCAATTGCACCAGCAGCGTTTGCAACAAACAGCATTTGGTACTTGGAAAAAAAGATATCACATTAAGACTGGCTTGATTTTTATTTAGATTCTTTCTGCTATTATAATATTTCCATGATTCAACTTTAAGAACACAAAAGAAAGAAAAAAATACCTCCATAACAAAGACTTTTTCGTTATTGATTCAGTCAAAATCTCGGCGAACAGAAATAGCTCACTAAGTTCATAAAGTGCAGTATTTTATTTGTTGAAAAGCGAAATTCAGAAGGAACAAAAAAAGAAAAGAATGAAAATGAAGAGAGGGCAGAAATGGAATGAAATATGTGTATGAGAGAAAGCAGCAAGCATATTTATTCATATGTAACCAGTGTAAAGGAATTTGAGTGTACAGAAATTAAGGAATGATATAAAACGAATGTAAGGTATATCGTTCAAGAGATAGTTGAGAAATTACGAATGGGAAGCGGATGCGGCATTGTATATAGTCAGTATTTGCAACAAAGAGGATAAAAAAAGATCATTATTGGCGTCTCAAAAAAGGAAGGAGTGTAATATCAATAGTTAAGTGTCGTAATTGGATTGTCATTCTCAGAGGTAGCAGTAGTTTCTGAAGTATCTGGCGGTGTCGTTGTCGGTGGTGGCGGTGGCCGTGATGGTTTAGGTGGCCTTGGCTTTCTGGAATCTTGTACTGTACAGTTATAAAGAATAGATGTCATGAAAAGAGAAACAGAGGGCTTCTTCAACCAAAAAAAAAAAAAAAAAAAAAAAAAAAAAAAAAAAAAACCGTGTTGCATTTAGTCATAAATATACGATAGCGACTTACTTGATCTACACGAACTTACTATATTCTTTAGCATGCACAGGTCGAAAGCCTATATAGTCTATGTACTTGCAGATGATTTACAAGATAATAAGGCTCCTCTTTTCGTTTGATCATAAAAGTGATAATGAACAAGCTGCAGAGGAGGAGTCACGTGTCTTTGAATACCGTGTAAAGGTTTTGGTTGATATCTATGACAATATAACTAAAAGGAAGAACCAAAAAAAGAGAAAAAAAAAAAGAACAAGGAAATGGTCCATTCTATATATACTGAATATTGAGATAATGGGGTTCTATGTAGGAGTATACAACAATACAAAGTGAATGGCTTTGTAAATGCTGCGATGTAACAAATTCTATTTACGGTTGAAGTCGTAGAATTGCTATGCTGTTAGTATACATATATAGCAATCCTCGTATTCAAAGTTTTTTATTCAAGGATTCCTCTCACATCGCTTTTAAGGTTCCTTATATCAATAATTTGATTAATATACTTGCCTTCTCTTTAAGGAGCAACGACTCAACTCTTTAAAGTGCACCATCCAACAAGCCTGTATGGGATCGAGTGAAGCAGAATTGAATTTGAACCTAATGCAAGTATCGATTAAACTATCTGGTTGATTGCGTGGTAATAGGCTTGTACACTCAGCCTACATATTTGGTATCATTAAAATCTCTACATTGTGGTTAACCAGCGAAAATATTCGAGAGTTTTGTTTCAAGCTACTCAAGAGAGGTTGAGTAGTGATACCCCCATTTTAGAGTTCAGGGTTGTTGTTTTATAGGTCTCCACTTGGCGAAGAACAATAATTCCTTTTTATTAGGAGCCTCGTATCCTATTCAATAGAACAGTATTAACCTTTTTGACGATAAAAAAAACTTACTAAAACGAAGCATAACTTATTATTAGAAAAATAATTAATTTATTAATGAGGGATGCCACATGGTGGAATAATCCACAATAGAAAGGTCTGATTGCCAAACGTACTTTCAGTTGGAAATCTTGCCAGAAAGCCGTTCAACGTAAAGTCCTCTTCCAAAAAGCAGAAAAAACAAATTACACTAAAAAATACAATGCATCTCCCTCTCTGGTAAAGAATGTTTAATTATTCACTAGACCAGATTTGATGTGCTTTAAGAGAATGCGTAATTGATTCAAAAAAGTAATCTGAACATTCTCCTTATATCTTACGCACAAGCAGACACCACAAGTTTAATGATGGCGTACTTTACTAGCAACGTGTATTTTGGTGCTGCTCAATGTACCCTATCTTTCCAATAAATCGATTTGTACTTTTTTTGCGTCAAACTTGTAAAAAGGGGGCCAATTTAGAGACACACACATATATAGAGTCATTTCTCCATGTAAAAGCACAATTGAACATATAAGAAAAATTCAGGGTTTTCTGCTTAAGGAGGAATTGACGTTGTAAATTACAATCTTGTTTGAGCGAAAGCAAAGGCTAGGCTTCCCTCCCCCCTTTATGGAAAACGAAGACTACAACATAAAATTGCTCGCAAAGAATACAAATGCATATACCAGCAACCTGGCTTTAACTAGTTCTGCAATCCTAGAATGATAATGACTGTTCGATACAAAGTATTTAATGCTGAAATACAGTGCAATTGATTATTTATTTAGAAAAAGTATGTATGAAATATATGTAAGTTGTATCCAAGGGTACGGCTCAACTGTACAAATCAAGCAGCTGATTTTTCTAGAAAACGCTTATTGCTAAATCTGAGTGTGCGTATCACAAAACATTTAATGTATTCAGAAAAGTTGTAAACAATCAGCTTTGTTTGGCAACAAAAAAGAAAAAAACCGATCGAATAGACAAAACTGACAAGGGGACTTTTTTCTTTATTCCAAAAGTCTTTTGCTTACAAAAATTGTTTTATGGGCTCAACTATCACCAAAATGCATATAAATGATACTTTATAAACTTTTTAAGATAGATAAATAGTATTTTTGTAATGAGAACTAGTAATAATGCCTTATGTAAAAATGAGAGATTATAAGAGAAGGCTTCTAATATACTAAGTGGATCGGTTCGAAAGAATTAATGGACCATTCAAGATTATCAAATGTATTTCAGGACTAATGCCCATGGCCAATACCTTGGCTATGCTGCTGAGACATCATATCCTTTTCAATGACTTCGATGGCATCATGCACTTTTCTGAAAAAGTTCTGTTCGCCGACGACATCATATAACCCAGACTTTCTGAATAAAGCGGTAGGCTGACTGCGAAGTCGAACGAAAAAGACTTTGACATGGCGAGCATAGTAAGCTTCTACAATTTCATACAAGATCTGAACAGCACTATGCATACAGAAAAAAATAAACGACTTATTCGATTACGTGATTTTTTGATGATGCGAAAAAGTTCAGTATTATATTACCTGGCATCTATTTCTGGCATATTGTCTACATCAAAAATCATGTAGGATAATTTGCCAAGTCGTGGGCTTTCTGAAGGATGGATGGACATATCACCAAATTGTTCAAGACGACGTAATCTATCTTTGAGTTGACCTAGCAATAAAATAAACATTAAGCGTCATATTAGTTACTGAGTAATGAGTAAGTCAACTTTCTCATAACGATTCCATTTTATTTTACCTGTATTAGCAAAGAATAAAGGCTCATCGATACGAACAATAAGAACATCTTCCAAATGCTCTACTACATCGGGGTCATCCTGAATCGGCTTAAATTTGTTGTGGGTACCTTTCACACGGCCCATAATCGAAATTCTAGGATAACTCGTTTCTTTAATGGTCAACAACAGGGATAAGGTCACTGCTAGCAAAGTACCAAACTCCAAGGAGATAATGATGGTAGCAAAAAAAGTAATGGAGAGCAAACTCAAATCACGCCAGGCACCGATCTTGAAGATAAAATGCAAGTCCTCTGGTAACTCACCCAACAACGACAGAACAGCAATGAAAATGATGGCTGATAACACGCACTTGGGTAAATAGTAGAAGTAAGGCAACAGGAAAAAGATCGCCAGAAGAGAAATGACACCAGCAATCAAACAAGCCATTTGAGTACGAGCACCGGCTTTATCATTGATTTTACTACGTGCTACTGACCCAAAAGCAGGAATACCTTGAAATAAACCACTGATCATGTTGGCAGCTCCAAGCGCGACTAGTTCACGATTGGCGCTTACTGAATAATTATGCTTACTGGAATAGGTCTTGGCGATCACAACCGATTCGACAAAACCAATGACGGAGATCATGGCAGCCGTTACCAGTAAGTCCTTCATATTCTTGCTTGCAGGGAAGGCGGGAATGGAAGGAAGAGGAATCCCTTTTCCTTCAATTGTACCTAAGATGGATAGCCCTTGGTTTTCCCAATCAAGCACATAGGTCAAAACAGACGATACAATGACCACGACGAGTACCTCAGGTATCAATTGCACCCATTTGTATTGCGAAAGCTTTTTTTTGGTTACACGAGCTAGTATCAGAAACAAGACGGAGACGGTGGATACATACGTTGTCAAGCCGTGCGCAAACTGAATGTTCCTTAGTAAAAAGAGGAATCGAGCAATGGAGCTGGAGGCTTCGGTAACTCCTTTTTCTTCACTCAATTTAACGAGACCAAGTAAAATTATACCCTGTTGCAATGCTACGACGAGACCTACACCAGAAATGAAACCACGTAAGAGAGCACGGCTCATCAGACTATCAAGAAAACCTAGACGGAAAATGCCGAGGAGGAATGTAAAGACACCAACAAAAATCGTCATGAGGCAGGCCCATGCGAGAGGATCTACTGCATCGTTCGAATCGCCACCGACGTGTTGAAGGGAGGCAATAGACGAGCCGATTAAAAGGGACAAAGTAGCTTCGGGACCTACAGACATTTGTCTAAAGTATGGATTCCGTACAGTATGGAAAGTGCAAAGTTGCATTCGCAAATGTAAGTTTAACTTTTTGAGTTTCTTCTATTCCTATCATTCTTCATCTTTTACCTGGACATGCCAAATATAGCATACGTGATGGCGGGAAAGGCAATAGCATAGAGACCATGGACGGCTTCTAATTTACAGAGGGCAGTAGCATAAGATAAACCTTGTGGAATCAATAAACATGACAGGGTGATACCGGCGATCAAGTCACCCCAGAAAAGATGGGTATCGTACAGTGGTAACCATTGTAAAATAGGTAAATAATACTTGGATCGAACTCTGAATTTTCCCCATTTGTCTTTTGGTGAATTATCATTAATACGAGCCGAGGGCACTAATAGCACAAAAACAGTAAAACAAGAATAAAGTTAGTATCGTATTGGCCATACAACTGATATACTAGAGTAACGTGCATTACGTGGTGAGGCTGTCATATACCGAGGAACTCTTTCATTTTCTATCCCGAGTAATAAAGACTGTCGCTCATTCACAATGACATCTGATGGTAACAAATCATTCTCATCATCACTACTATCATAGACGTTGACTGTTGAATGAGCACCTTTTAAAGAAATTGTTTGAATTTAGGCCAAATATTTCTTTGATCTCTCTTGCAAAGATTATCTTTTTCGGTTGTCACAAAATACATCTTTTCTTCCGATAACTTACTGACACTATTATTCGGACTTCTCTCCTTTACCGGCGATGCTTTCATCTAAAATTTATAATATGCGTTTAAATAGTATATTGAAAAGCAGTTAAGTATAACTAGTATGAATAAAGCAGAAAGATTCGATTCTAAATGTATACAAGAGAAAAGCGAATGGCAATAACCAAAACAACGATAATTTTATACATTTTATTTAAGCTTTTTTTTTCTTCTCGACCTGTCTATAATTGGAGGCAAGGAGTCTGGGTTACTGATTTTCATCTTTTTTAAAGCAGCTCACATGAATCGGGTTCAACCTCAGTTTTTTACCAATTTTCCAATTTTATAGGGAACAGTTCACAAATTTGAAAAAAAATAAAAAAATAGCCCGAGTTCTCTGAATAACTGGTGCATATTTGGCGTAACCTAGCTCTTTCTTTTATAAATCATGATGCAGAATTCGACAGAAAAAACTGTAAGAATGGATGGCTGTAAGAAATAATCGACACCTATCAGTCTGTCGTGCCAGTAATTTTCTAAAGGAAATGGAAAGATTAACTTGATGTACGCCGTAATGAAGACTGTGTTGTCGTTTCTTCCTTTTACAATGGGCGACTTAAAGGTCAAAATTTTGTTCCAAACATCTGGCCATTAAAGAGGAAGTTTTCATTGTTTGGACTTTTTTGCCCCTTTATCCTGCACATGCAGTGACAAAACTTCCAGATCATGTGCATAAAATAAAGTATTCTAGACTTTCACAAGTATGGCCAGTACTGGTCTGTTTACCATATGAGGGTATACGGTTAAATAATTCATTTTAATGGATAAAATTTCAAAGACCTGTGAGCACGTAATGCCTTTAACACATTGGGTCTGCTCTGGCCAGTTCCAGTGGCTGTATAGAACTAAAAACCCTTTTAAGAGACAAAAGGTAAAAAGGAAAGGAAAAGGAAGAGGAAGAAGGTAACAGTCAAATAATTAACAGCTATGATAACATCCAATCTATAAATTGTTGGCCGGAGAGATGATCTAAGAGTGGTGGGGGGTCAAGACGATGTTGTAAGTGATCTAATTCAATAAGAATCGAGCACATTACAGGCCATCGTCTACGCTAAGTAGCAATTATGTGGGTGCGGGCTTACTGCTGGGGACGAACAGACGGTCGTGCTTTTAAGACAAAGTTATGCATGGGATCGTGAGAGGGTGTAGGACGGATGTCGTGGGCAGGATTGTGGAAGGCCACCAGGTAGCCAACCAAGGCGCCATCGAATCATCCGGCTACACTCACTATAGGACATGGGTAGCCATAGGATTGGATCAATCTGACATTTATTGCGACATGTAGAGAGTAGTTTAGTTCCCGGTTGACGTTGTTCTAGATTCTTTTTGGAAATACTCAAGAACTTAGCTTGCAAAATTCACTGTTAGTTGTTGGTTCTGAACTGGTCGAAGTGCATTGTTTCCATAAAGGTGTCTTCAGGAGTTTGCGCCAATGGGCTTTGAAACGGGAATATTGTAGATGGGGCATGAAAGTGCTTAGCAGAGTGGATGAGGGGAGGTGGCGGGCTTGAAATATAAATTGAGCTTGTAAGGTAGCAACACGTTCCTGCATTGTGGGTGGATTAGTCAGGTGAAGCATCACATTAACAGCGGACCTGGTGGGCCCTCCATATATACGACGACTACAATTATTTTGGCAGGCTTCAAGTTTCTTGATAGTGCGTAGGTTAAGCTCACTTATAGCTAAGCCATATTCCATTTGAGAGTGAACCATTTGTGCATAGAACCATGTGGTTAACAAGCGAGGAAGACCGGTTGGGTAGACACCAATGGCAGCAAGTGAATTCATTGTTGATGTATCTTTATTGATATTGTCTTGTATTAGTTTTTGTGAATCTAAATAACCACCCGGTGTGATGGGGATACGCAGGTATGAAAAGCTAGGCATACGGGGGATTGTAGAGTTGTATAGCTTAAACTCTTCAGTGGTAGGGGCCGGATCGAGTATAACACATTTATTCGGGTTCCAACGGTACCCAAGGGAATGGCTATGTTCTTCATATTTGGTGAGTAAGGAAGGTATAGAATCACGGTGCGCTATGAGAACTACATCATCCGCATATAGCAAACAGTTAATTGATGAGAAGAGAGCTTCAGCTTGATCTATGTTTACTTCTAAAAGCGGTACGGGTCCAAGTGTGCCCAGCAAGTTGTTGATATACGTTGAGGACAGGAAGGGGGATAAGATTGAACCTTGTAGTACCCCAGTCTTTGGGTTAAACCGGTATAGTATTCGGTAACAGGACTTTCAGATGAACATCATCGAACAAGTTTTTAAGGAGACAGAGAAGGGGCTTTGGGAGGCGGGATGCTAAGATAGACCAGATGTATTCAAGGTCTACTGTGTTGTATGCTGACTTTATGTCCAGGAAAGCCAAAACAGGCTGGTAATGATGGATCTGACGAACAAGGTTACATATCTCAATGAGACAAAAAGCTTGGTCCAAAGACCCACGTGCTTCACGAAAACCACCTCAAGCGATGTCAAGTGGAGGGCTATGTTCTATGAGGTAAGGGATATGAGGGTATACAGCACTTCCACAGTCAATTGGTCACTTTACTGAAAGAATCGGTGTCACTTCTTAATTGGTCACTTTTCCGAATAACAACAATTGGCCACCTTTGTGAACCTCAATTAACCAGCAGTAAACAACAGTTTTCCATGAAGAGAATTCTTATAATTAGATGAGGTGCTTATTTCTACGCTTTTCGAATTGATTACAAGAGTACTGTATAAAAGCTACATGCTGAATAAAAGATGTAAAGAGCTCAAAAGATTTAAATAAAACAAAACTTAGGCTGTTCTCGAGAAGAATTTTTTTTTATAGGGAGCTTTTTCTTTTTTCACGATTTTGCCTGGCTTTTTCCTTTTCACGGTTTTGCCTGGCTTTTTTCTTTTCACGATTTTGCCTGGTTTTTAATACCAGCAATGCCCAAAGTCAAACTGTTGCAGAAATTCAGCAACTCAAGACTGAATTGATGGAGGTCAAGTACGAGCTGAATGAAATTAAGCAACTACTTCAAGCGCAACAACTTCAACAGCCCGCTGCAAGTAATGACTTGCCTTTACTAGGACGAGGTACAATCAAACTAAGATACATAAAAAACAAACTTACAGTTGGAATACATTCGATTTATTGACTATACGGTTTTGCCTGGCTTTTTTTTTCTTTTAGGATTAAAACATGTTTGTAGTTTCAAGAGAACAATCAATTTGTCTATTCTATGCGGTGCAGTATAATAAAGAAAATGCAGAAAAGTACACCAAGAAGATTGATGAAATGGAGGATGTCGACGTCTGCTATACTAAAAACCAGAAAAGACCAAGACTTCTTTGTACCAGAATAATTTATGCCAACTCATTTGATATTCATTTATACCCATCTGGAAGCCGACAAGAAAAAGCAGATGAAGAAGTAGGCCAAAGCAATGAAGAAGTTGGAAATCGCAAATTAGAAATTGGTACTTGTTACAGTTAATACTTTTTTCTTCCATTTGGCTGACTTCTTTCATTTTATAGAAACTACTCCACAATTGAAACAATTCCTGACGTAGCCTATCTTTCAGAAGATCCAGGGTCTGTTTTGTATGAATGTAAAGCTTTATCAATGAATACAATATTATCACACATTTGGGAATACTCTTCTTTGTTTAAAGAAGACAGCTTTTCAAAATTCACAAATTGGTGTAGAACACAAAAGTTGAATTTCACAACTACAAGTGTTAAAAGAAAACATGAAGATTCCAGCCCAACATCAAGATCAACTTTACGAAACTTATATGTTTTAGGACCAGTATAAAGGTAAGTAATGTTTAACGCACAAATTATTAATTCTATTTTTCTTATCAATTATCGCGTTGTAGATGCACTTATAGAAGACATAGTTAATTTACCAATAAAATACCAACAATATATAATGGATCTTAAAATACAAGGATATTTTATTATTGGCTATTGTAGAAAGTCAAAAACGACTGCGGATAATGAGACAGCGACCAAATGCCTTCAATCTATGGTTCTTGGATTGAAAGAGAGCTCCTTAGCGCAGAAAATTTATGTAACTGTTAGCTGTAATGCTGGTACGCCATTTAAAAAAAGAGATCTAAAAAAAAATGCGATTATTGATCAGCTATCGGGTGTCAGTGGCAATGCTAATACGTTTTTAGAGATATTTTATTACAATTAAATTTTACCCAATGAGCACACAGATAAATACTTATCAAAATTGCCCGGGGAGGTTCAAGGAAAGTGTGAGGGAATAAAAAAACCTTTAAAGGGACAAAGGAAAAAGGGAAGATGATCAGAGGCAAACTAGGGAATAACGGAACGATCAAGGTGTAATTATCGCGGGCGCATACATCCAATCCAAAAGTAGCTGTCCTAGGTTTTCCGGCAGTGTTGGAGGCTCTTTATTATGTTGGAGGTAGTCAACTTCAAATAGTATTAGCTGCAGAGTGGGCCATCGAAGTGTCCAAGCGTGGCACCGTATTTTGTGCTGCCTTCAAGGACTGGTGGGTAACAAATTCAGCAAAAAAGAGATGGGGTCAGATATGGTGTGGGGAAGCTGTAAGCGGTTGTGTATCTAAGGCAGTCAATGACGTGGGCTTTTGTAAGTGTACGGGTTGGATGGTAGAGGCAACTGGTTGAGTAGTTATTGGGTAGCCAGCCAAGGCGCCATCGTAGACATCGATCACGTTCAACAAAGGTCATTGGGAGCCAGAGAATGGGGTCGAGCGATATAACGGGGCGGCAGAGCAGTAGTAGTTTTAAATGCTGTGTCGCATTCCGCAGTTTATGGAGATTCTCTTGACGGTAGACACGAATAGCTTTGTTTAAGGAGCGAGGATCATGGATTGATGGGAGCCGGTTCCAGATAACATTAGTGGCTGAGAGCTTGTACCATATCGAGTGACTTTCACGGTTAGCAATTGTTGGTAGTAATCCAGTCAGTAGAGCAACATCAGGAAGAGTTTCTGACCTAAGCAAGAATTTTGCTTGGAAGAATATGTAGCTTTTCTTGTTTAGTTGGTAACTTAGCAGATGTAGCATAACGGTCACTGAGGAGCGAGAGGAACCACCAAAGATTCGACGCAGGCATTTTTTCTGGGCTGTTTCTAATTTATCGATCGTGGACTTATTATATTTGACAATGGCTAAACCATATTCTAATTGAGAGGCGAATTATATGTGCATAGAAGCGAGAGGCTAGTAGGCGACTAAAGCCGCAGGGTTTTACTCCTATAGCAGCTAATTGGTTCAGTGTTTGAAGAGCTTTCAGTGCATTTTGGGTGACAAGTTGTTGGTCATCGATTAGCCCACCAGGTTTGAACGGAATACCCAGGTATGGAAAAGTAGAAGCTTGTGGTATCGGATGGTTGTATAGTTTATAGGTTTGCTGATTTTCACTGTCGTCTAAGATCACACATTTTTGAGGGTTCTAGCGAAAGCCCATGTCATAGCTGTAGCGTTCACTTTGTTGAAGAAGGTTGTGCATATCGTCTTGAGAAGCTATTAGGACCACATCATCAGCATATAATAGGCAATTGAGGGATGAGACGAGTTGTGTCGGGCTGGGTTGTGCAGGAAGTATCGTAGTTCGTAGCATGCGTGGGAAATTATTAATGTATTGTGAGTACAGTAAGGGTGACAAAATGGATCCTTGTAACACACCAGTATGCGGTTGGAAACGATATGAAGTTGCGTTCTGTAATAATACTTTGATCTGTCCATCATCAAATAAATTTCGAAGAAGAGCTAGCAGGGGCGGAGGTGTAACCGCGGCCAACGCGTTCCAAACAATTCTACGATCAACCGTGTCATACACAGATTTGATATCCAAGAAAGCAAGTACTGGTGGCCTATGGTATTCGCGACGTAGCATATTGCAAATTTCTGCCAGGCACGATGCTTGGTCCAGCGACCCGCGGGCATTTCGAAATCCACCTTGGGCGATATCAACTGGTGGGCTATGGACCTGCAGGTAGTCTTATCAGACAGTATTCTAGAATTTTTCGAAAGATAGAGGTCAAGCTAATAGGCCGATAGTTATTAGGATCTTTTGTATCGCCTTTCTTGTAAATAGGTTTTATACCGTTACAGTTTATTAACAGGAACAACATTACTCGGTTGTCACTACTACTTTCTTAATTCCACTATAAGCTCAGTTGTACCTCGCATTCATATAAAAGACCATTCAATTTCTAAACCAAAATAAAACTATCCAAGAACTATTGTTCGGTCTCGCTGACACAATCAGTCTCTACTTTGAGCTTATTTATTGAACAATAACTTCTGATATCAAAGAATATCACAGCCAGGCAAAACCGTGAAAAAAGAAAAGAAAAAAGCCAGGCAAAACCGTGAAAAAAGAAAAGAAAAAAGCCAGGCAAAATCGTGAAAAAAGAAAAAGCTCCCTATAAAAAAAAATTCTTCTCGAGAACAGCCTAAGTTTTGTTTTATTTAAATCTTTTGAGCTCTTTACATCTTTTATTCAGCATGTAGCTTTTATACAGTACTCTTGTAATCAATTCGAAAAGCGTAGAAATAAGCACCTCATCTAATTATAAGAATTCTCTTCATGGAAAACTGTTGTTTACTGCTGGTTAATTGAGGTTCACAAAGGTGGCCAATTGTTGTTATTCGGAAAATTGACCAATTAAGCTTCAGAAAAGTGACACCGATTCTTTCAGTAAAATGACCAATTGACGGTGGAAGTGCTGTATTTGTAAGAATGAAAAATTCCAAGGTACTTCTTTGAAGTGTTGTACTTTACGGCCTAGACTTTAATTGTTTTGCAAATCATCTGTACAATGGAGAGCTATACAGAACGATGGAAGTCATCCAAAGGGCAAACACTTTAAAAGACTTAAACAATGTTTGAGCCTATTTCTGGTTTTATTACCTTAAGACGAAAAGTATGTTATTGTCGACGTACATCCCAGTCAAATCTTTTTCCATCCATTTATCATTCATAACAACCCTGTACAGAGTAGCTTGTGACTTTGGCGATAGCAGCGAACCGTCGATTGACTGTAGTTGAAACGTCTTATAGTGGGATATGCCGTTCAGGATGGTATCTTTACAATATTGACTCATGTATTGTGTAAGATAGTCTTACTCTTACCCTTCACTATAGTTTGAATCACATGTCAATAATGTACTAGGGATTTTATGCAATCTCCACACTCTCGAAATGCTCCTTAAATCTAGAATATGAATATTTGTATGTTATGTCAATAATATGAAAAACTCTTGAAGCTTATAAATATCATAAATGAAAACGAATTCCAATTTTGTATGTTACCGAGCTATGAGATTCAATCTATAGCTGATATTAGAAAGCTGATTTCGAGCAACGCCCTGTTTCCAAATACTGTGAGCATCTTGAGCATGCAAATCATATTACCCCTTGAAACAGCAGCTTTTTGCAAAGAGATGCAATACTTATTGCCTGTCTTTTTCTTTGTGCATTATTTATAAATACAGCTTTTTTTAAAGGAAAAAAAAGCAGGTCGTCATTTGCTGCTATCAGTATTCCATACTCATGTGTGCAAAAGAGACAGGACGTCTTTAACGTTAACCGAAGTACTTAACTTTTCACTATCATAAATAATTATATTTTCAACAACAAAAAGGGGAGAAAAAGGGGAAAAAAACTAGAAGAAAGGAGCAGGTGTTTGATAGTTTTATCTCCAATATATGACAGTTTGGCTCCTTTAGAAATAACTTCATGCATATCGTATTGAGAAACAGAATTTGCACTTTGTCACATAATCACTACTCGCTCTACTGGGAAGAATATAATATTACAAAGACGCAAGTTCAGTTTAAGGTTATGACACGATCAATAAGCATTTCAAAACGAAGAAAAAATGGCCTACTAATGATAAGAATTTGATTGGACACCTAATGCTAGTATATCATACAAGCCATGCCAAAGGCTCACACCAAAACATAAACTTAGGCAGACTTCAAAATTGCACCGCCTGCCGTAATAGGCTGAGGAATTGTAGTTCTGGTGGAAGCCAAAAAACCTACAAGATATTTTATTAGTCAAATGTAATTAATCCTTAGAAATATGCTTGATTCAATTGTTGTTGGCAACTAGCGCCACAGCCTGCCCTTCTGAAATTTATTGCTCGAGAGTTGTTTCAATTTGCGTTCAAAGTCCTATCGGAAGAAAGAAGTCTAGATCATTCCTTTCTTCTTGCTTGTAATATGTCAGCCTCAACAATTGACGTTCAAACTTGCCTGGACATTATTCCTCCATTTAACCTACTTAAGGGAATAGATCTTGACTATAATGATGATTATATATTTGAGGTTACTGCCAATTCGCAGTATGCAATCACTTCAGCCTCAGATCGAACTGTTCGACTTTACAATCTAAACACGTTGCAGTTATCTCACAAATTTCAAGCTCACGAGGAAAAGATCTCACAGATAAAGTTGAAAGGCGATCATCATCTGTTTACAGCAAGTGAAGATCGTACCTTAAAACGGTGGGATCTGCGTTTGGGAGGAAATGCACCAGTTCAGACTTTCAATTGTAAGGAAAGAAAAAAAAGCCAAAAATCAGTCCTTCTCTTAACAGTAGTTTAAACAACATTTGAAACTAGATAAATTACCTTTGACAGCTTTTGATATAAACCATAATGATACAATGGCAATTTTGGGTACTGAATTCTCTTATGATACCCAGTCTGCAGACCTTGCATTTTTTGATACCCGAAATACACTCTTACTTCATACATTTACAGAATCTCATGGTGATGATATTACTGAGGTACATCAATGGAAACAAACACTTAGTATGAAACCTTGCGCTTACGATTATAGTTATTGTTTTCAGATTCAATGTCATCCTTCTCTACCAAACCAATTTCTTTCCAGTTCAACTGATGGCCTTGTCAATAATTACGACGTATCAGAATTCGACGAAGAGGAAAACATGATTTCCGTTATCAACCCAGGCTCCTCTGTAAATAAGACCGGCTATTTTGGTCCAAATGCGGAATACCTCTATTGCTTAACCCATATTGAAACCTTTTCTCTTCATACAACCGAGGGTGATGTGATTTGTGATTTTGGAGATATTAGAAATATTCCTACGACACAAGTGGACTATGCAATTGATTGTAGCTATGATCCTATTAGTCATCGATTCTACCTGATCACCGGAAGTAATAGGTAAAAGAAGTACTTTAGCTATAACTCAGTAAGAAATAGATCATACTGCTTCTTAACCTATCAATTTAAAAAACATTTTATCATTCTTAGCGGCATGGTCGACTTCTTCCATGTCAATCTCGGTCAGTTACAGCATTGTCAACAATTAAATATGAATGGAGGGCATACAGATGTTGTACGCTCATTATTTTGGTATCATCCTACGCAAAGTCTGTTGACTGGTGGAGAAGATGGTAGATTATGTGCTTGGCAAGGGTGTGCACAGTGAGTTGATAGTAGCAATCGAAAGTAAATTTCGCTTGATTGTATAGAATAGATTCAATTTTGCATAGTAATAGCACAGATGCATTTCAAACAACAATAGGATAATGCCTTTTACCAAAGTTCGTAAAATATATGTGTATATAAGTCGTATCAATAAAAACTGCATTTATATAATTAACTATAATATCAATCATTTTACAAATGTGAACTTCCTCACTGCTTTACCCTGATTTATGAAACGGGAATATATCATTTGCAGAACCCTTCTGATCTTTAATGACAAAATGTGTTCGTTCTTGCATAAACTAACTCCATCACAAAAGACCGCTCTCGTGAGAAATGCACTTGATATGAATTCAACTTGATTATGTATAAGCTACTGTAGTCTAATTCATTACCAATTTTTGTTTGCTTAACTTTTTTTTTAACCAAATTTTATCTATTATACGTCTTTAGTAAACTCGCATATGATCTCAGGTTACTGCTTTGATATTGGCTCATGATTTTTACTAAACACGATCTGTGTATTATATATCGACAACTATGCTTTGGTTTTTCAGTTTTCATTTAACAGTATTGCTGCAGTTATTTCTTGTAAATACTATTCTTGTAAGCTATAATATTTGGTAGACAGCATTTTATTATGTAATACATAGTCTGTAGTTTACACTATAGCTTTATGACGCTTTAGAAGATTTGTAATAACCCAACTTAAGTTAGTAATTAAAACTATTATCCGTATTAGGAGGTATAAATATAGGTTTACGTCTAGGTAGAGCGATATATGTATGACGCCACCTGCAGTAAGATTGCGCGGATATAGCTCTTCATACTGTCAGTTTAATTCTGGATGATTAATTTATAAGTCTGAATTGTAGAGTGTCGATTGAAAAACAAAGATAAAAACTTACTAACTGGTAAACAGCAATAACTCTTCTCGGAAAGGATCATTATGTATGTGATGCCTGCTTCTATATTCAGCTTAAATTGAACGCAAGTCAAGAGTATCAAAACGCAATCCGGCATATTACTGTTGATGGAATAAGAACAGAAATATTGTGACCTCAAAACAATAAAAGCACTGTTTCCACACGTCAATTAATCACGTTTTCCCTTTTTGTTTTACGCGTTTACAATATGTACAAACACTGGATAGGTTTGAATTTAATCTCTTTTCCTCTTCTTTTTCAAACTTTTGCTGGAACTGTTATTCAAAAATGGCAGCCTTTACATGTAATGAGAACATGATTTTTTTATTTGCATTTTCGTCTAAACCAAACTTGGTTATACTTACGTTTATTAACACTTATATGTAGGGAACAATACAGCTGACTGGGATTTAGATGGTAGTAAACATAGTAATGAAAATAGTAACAGTGGCCAGTCAAGTAAGCTCAAGTGAATCCATAATATTGTTTGAATATAGCTCCTTCTAACTGTTCGTATCGAACAATTTTTCAACGGTATAGTGAGTTTACACCAACAACAAGCACCTCCAACAGTCAATTTCAGTTTCTCATTGATTGACTTAACGAGTAATTCTCTGCTTACTGACAACTCATCCAATTTAACACATCTTACAGCTGCAGCACCAAATACTTCTCAAGCAACTGTTAAACCGTATGGCGGAATGGTACAAAACCAATCACAACAATCACAGTTGCAGTTAACTTCATCTGGAAATAGTAAGCTTTCAAACATATACTTTAGAAGAATGAAAGAATAAATTCTCATTACGTCACTTGAATTGTTGATAGCATTATTTGACTCTGTTCAACCTATTACAGTCAAACTCTATGATGATATCGGATCCGCTGCTGAATTCCCTTCCTTGTATTCTGCAAAATCTTTTCAAGAGTTAGGCCTGTAAGAGTTTTGATTTACAATTTATCCTCAGTAATATTCCTGATAACCCTTTGACGTTGCTGTTAATACATAGGAAAGATTCACTGTTAAATGGAGTTTATGCTATGGGTTTCAATAAACCCTCAGACATTCAAGGAAAAGCGTTGCCTGTCTTACTCAGGGATCCGTAAGTATATACCTAACATTGCATTCATTTCTGTGTCATTGTATGAAGAAAAATTAAATACACATTTTTACTGGTAATATTACACTATCTATTACCATGGATATGTAGTCCTAAAAATTTTATAGGACAAGCTCCCAGTGGTACAGGCAAAACAGCTGCTTACGTTTTAACGATGCTTCAGCGAATTGATTTTACCAGCCGCATTCCTCAATCTCTATGCGTATGTCCTACTCGCGAACTAACGCGTCAAGTTGCTGACGTTATCCGTAAATTGGGCAAATACACTGACGTTTCTGTTTGTGAAATGGTCAAAAACTCTAAAGTCAAGTACCAGCGCATACTTGATCACGTCGTTGTCGGTACTCCCGGCTCGCTCCTTGATGCTATGCGTCGTGGCTACCTCGATACGAATGCCATCAGAACTTTTGTATTGGATGAAGCTGATAACATGCTAGAACAATCCGGTTTGGGCGATCAAACAATCCGAATCAAGAAGCTGATCAAGGCCTCACATGAATATCAAATCATGCTATTCTCGGCTACTTACCCTGAACACGTCAAAAGGTTTTCTGAAGAATTCGTGCCAAGATCAAACCAGATTTTCAAGAGAAGGGAAGAGTTAACGGTGGAAGAAATCCTTCAAATATGCATTGACTGCGACACTGTAGATCAGAAATATGATCTTCTTTGTGCATTGTATGACTTGTTAACAGTAAGCCAGAGTATTATATTTTGCCAAAAAAAGCAAACAGCTGATGAAATAGGTCACCGAATGAAAGAAGATGGCCATAATGTCAAAGTGCTCCATGGCAATCTGACTCCTGAAGAACGAGACAATATCATTGATGATTTCCGTAAAGGGAGATTCAAGGTCCTGATTTCTTCCAATGTCCTTTCTCGTGGAATTGATATAACGCAAATCTCACTCGTGATTAACTATGATTTACCTATTAATTATATGGGACAAGTTGAACCTGATGTTTACTTGCATCGTATTGGAAGAACCGGAAGATTTGGTCGCCGTGGTGTCTGTGTCAACTTTGTTCATGATAGAAACATGTATCTTGCTATAAAGGAGTTGGAAGAATGTTTTCAGACAAAAATGCTTCATATAAGTGGTAATACCGAACTTGAAGAATTTCAAAAGATTCTCAAGAAGATCTTGTGAGAAAATATAACGCTTCTCCTTCAAAACGCATATTGCATACGTCGGAAATTCTTGTCAAAATACACAAATACTATATCTCTTTGAGATAGATAAATTTATTTCGTTGCAAATGTTCAACAAAAGAATTAAGAAAGACCATCATCAATAAACATCTTCCTTTATGTTCTTTACATTATAAAAAATGCTATATTCCTCGAAAAAAGAAATTAAAGGAAGCAAAAAGGCTTCGACACATGTAAATAAATTCTGCTTGACCATATAAGTTAAATGAAAAACATTCAAGACAAAAAGACAAAAGAATTCGATCAACACTTGTAATTTTTTTGAATGTTTGTGTTTACGGAGACTCTCTCCACAGGAGCTTTAACATTGGCAATATCTTTCACCGTTTCAAGAATAGCAGTGCCAGTTTTAGTATTAGCATTACCAGCTTACAACTTTTTTGGATAAAAATAATAGTTTCAAATGCGCTGTTGTCAGAAACAGAAAAAATATACATATATGTACATATACTCTAACTGAACGGATTACAGGTTGATAATAAATTGTAGGCATGAAGATACTTTTCTAATGTGGATCAAAAGACCAAGAAGACCATAAAAAGAAAGATCTAACGTTATTTGATAATGTATGATAGAAATGCAGATGGGTGATATAATAATTACTTGGCTATCGACTTGTAACAGCTTTAATCATCATCTACAAAAGCATAAATCAACAAATAATGCTTTGTCATTTGTTCCAACATCTAAAACAACCGGCAGAACGGCGGATGGGCAAATACCACCCGCTGTTACATCCTATGCGGTTGATTTGACAATTGATATGATTAGAATTTTTTGTCCTACGCAACAAAGTTTTACAGAAAAAATGATTGACACATTTACAAGACTTAATCTACCAATGGGGAATTTGCCTACCGTTGGTACTTGAATCACTCGAGCCTAGTACTCTAGAACCATCTACGACAATATTGACATGCACTTGATATTGAAGCCAATTGTAAACCAATAGCAGACATTTGGCCACGATTTGAGAGCTAAAATACATACCAAGGGAACGGACGATAGACCGAACGAAACACTTTGACTTGCTAGAAAAAAGGAAAGAGTGTTTTTTTTTTTCTACATACCTACATCCACACATATACGCATACGTGGGCTCACTTTCTTTTTCCTCTGTTGGAGCATAAGCAATGCCAGATAACTCTTTTCAATGCTCCATCAACAATTTATAGCACAAAGTCTCTCTTCAATATTGTGAAGCGGCTAAAGATATTCATTTCGAAAAGGGTGTTTCACAACAATCTACGCTTGACTGTCAACTATTGCACCAATTCCGAGGCCTCTAATGGAAAGACATTTCCTTTCGGTGATACTGAAGACAGTACCCTTTTAGTAAAATGAGGCTACGTGTACAATATTGATGCGACGTCGATGCAAAGCATGAAACGTTGTATGATTGGTATTGTTATTGACCCGTTGCAGTAGCAGTACCAGCAGTAGGCGTGATGATAGCGGTGAGAATTCGATACTGTTACCACTGTTTGCTATAGCCGCACTTAAAGATGGGTTGTTTACGCAACATCATGGATACCATTTTTTTTTTATCACATTGGTGTTAAGAAAAAGCTAACAGCGAGGGCTGGCAATCAATTGAAAAGTGAAGAAAACAACAACATATAAGATGGGTATAGCGGGTATAGGGTGAAGTCGATCATTTTTACTATAACCATTTCTGCCTTTCTTCCTATTACTTTCTATTGCATCAGTATAAGAAAACAAAAGGGAAGAAAAGCACACACACGCGCGCGCGCAACATACGGATATAAATAGATAAGTGTAAATAAATAAGTATATATAAAAGTTTTAGCAGAATGCGTAAAGAGAAGAAAAGAAAGGCTGAGACCTTTTTGTTTGCTTGACTATATAAAAATGTACAGAAACCTTTTTTTTTTTTTGTTAATGAAAAGTCTTCTGCAAATCCTTCGCTGCTGCTACTGCTTCTTTTTATTGGCGCCTCTTGGAGCAGTTAAATCTTTCCATACAAAGCAACCATTGCCCACCAGTTGTTTCTTCGGTTTCCGTCCTCTTTTCTTCTTGGGTATATTCAGATTCATATTCAAATCGGTACTAATATATGTGGTTGTAGTACTGGAAGCTGCAATGTTTTGCCGCCGAAACGTAGATACTTGGGGATCCTCTTCTGTGTCTAACTGCTGCAGTTCTCTTTTTATCAAGTCTATTTCTCTTTGATTATGCTTCACATTCCAAACAGTAGGTTCAACAAATGTCCAGCATCGAGTATCATTCTTGGTGATGAGACTACCATGGTCTGCAGGCAGCTGCAATGGATGATGGGTGGTTGAGGGTCTACCACGCTTTCGCTTTAAAATAGTACGGCCAGTAGTAGTAACAGTATTATGAACAGGTCGTGTTTGTAACGAAGGGGAGCAAGATCGTTGTGTTTTCCCGGTCGATGTTGAAGGTGCTGTAGCATTGATATCGTCAATACTTGCCCCTGCTGATTGTTGTTGCCGCTGCTCTGATAAGGAAGGGAATAAAGATAATTGGTCTTCTTCGCTATGATCAGTGGTAATAGCGAATGACGACATGGGTGAAGATAGAGTGAGTGGAGATAAGGAAAAGGCTGAACAAACTGGCGAGTCAAGGGTATTTGATGAAGTTGCAGTAGTAGTGGTCGCAGAAGAGGGAGAAGTAGCAGCCGTCCTATTGAAAGAAGCTGGAGGTGGTAGCAGGAAAGTGCTCTGAGGAGTAGTAGAGGCATGATCATAACTCAGAGGTGTTATCAAAGGCGATGGTGACGGTGAAGGTGAAGACAATAAGAGAGGAGAAGTATTAGTCATTGAAGACGACGATAGATCCCTTTTGTTCAAATCAGGCTCAATAGTATCTAATTTCTTTAACGTTTGCGTTGTTGTTGTTGTTGATGTTGTTGTCAAAATTGGACTGATAGGTGAAAGATGATGTAGATCTGTGTCAATAGTTAATTTGCACCTTGGCATATTCTTCGTCGTCGTTGATGTGGGTGAAAATAATGAATTGATTGAAGGAAACTCCACCTGGCTTCCAATACCTTTTCGTTCGTTAACGTTATCGTTTGTTACTGTGCGGGTGCTTGGTGAAGGAGGATGAACAAAGACCTCGATTGTTTCCTCCATATTTAATTAATTTGAAGAATTTGACAAAAAAAGAGAGAGAAAGGGGCAGTCTGGAAATCATAATTTTAAAAATATCCATGCCTGACAAAAAAGAAAAAAATTGCAGAAATCCAAGAATTGTATGAACCAAAAATACCCGTTTTAGTATACAGTGGGGGTTACTGTGTCAAAATGGGCAGCTGTTAAAACCCTCAAATGGCGGATTCAGAAATATAATTTCCAATTGGCGTTACTGAGTTTTCGAATGGTAGATTATAAATGACAAATGGCATTGGATTTATTCTTGTTAAAGTAACGTTAGGCCTGCTGTTTTGCTAAACACCCGGAAAGACACTGGCAGAATGATATTGACGCTTCGAGGTTTTTATCAATACAGCATTACATGCTTTTTGATCCTCTTGCGTGAAGCATCTCCGTCGTCTGGAAGATGCTACGTCTAGCGCGACTTTTTATGATGAATTGCATTGCTCAGTAGGGTTTAATTCAGGCGAACAGGCCGGCAAGAAAATACATATATAGGTTCTCTCAGTGAGATAATCCTCAGTCTCATCAAGAGCATGAGTGGGAGGAACTATTCATGATTGAAAAGTATCCATTCAGCATTGAATATAAGATAAAGATATCGTTTGTTTGTAAGCTTAGTACAAGAATGATAAAAAGGCGGATGATCTTGATAGACGTCTTCCTAGTGAAATAAGCAGGCCAACTCTTTTTCTCATCCATTGCGTCACAGTTAAAGATATCTGCCAGCCTACAGAGATCATTTACAACGAAAGCTACCCCTATGCCTCAGTGTGTACAGTTCTCAACCCTGACGTAGCAGCGTTTGTTTGCTCGCGAAGAGAAAATGGCTTACATGAGCAAATCAAACATCGAAGTTGGATGCTTATCTTCTAATATGGTCTATTATTCTGGAAACATATACTTTATTGATGAAGAAAAGCCGATCTTTTCTTCATATGCATTTATTGACGAACCAAGCAGCAGTTAACCCTCCACTTGGACCAAATAAATGATTCTTATCCACAAAATATTGTTTTTTATACGCATCCATCACTATGAATGTATGATAAAAGTAATCGATCCATTTGATATGAGTTTTTCAGAATTTCTCAATTTTCAAAGCTCTAAACATGTATTTGAGCAATAACATACTCGTATATCTGAGAATTTAAATGTTGTGTTTTAAAAGAGAGAGTATGTCGCAGTATGTCCAGTTTTTGTTGTCTGATATTAGTTGCTGCTCTACATCATTTATGATTTAAAATTTTTGTTTGTCCGTAAATCTTCAATAATGCTCTTTACTCTTTCTATTCATTCTTCATCATTTTTGCAACTACCCGTCTCTTCATCCATCCACAGGACATATATCATTGCCAGCGAAGGACAGTAGTACAGGATACCTATGCAAACTGAAGGCTACTGTATCCGCAAATAAGTTTCCTTACCGTGCATAGGTAAATTGTTAGTATCAAACAACAGCGTCAAACTTTACGAGCCGTTGAGGACTAAAAGGATGATTTAACGAACCATAAACTTAGGTTTGAGGTGCTAATGATTAATCACTTTGAGGTTTCCAGTATCTGTTCATCTTTTCTTACTCCAAGTTGAAACATCCTTAATAGTTACTTATTCTTGGCTTACAGTAGGCGTATGTGCAAAAAAGACGGCGCCAGAGTAATACCGAAGAAGATTGATCGTAGTACCGTATGAAAGGCAAGCATGAAGCATTTGTAAGAGCTGATTTGTCCATAATTGATAGATAGACGCTGATCCTATTTTTTTGTTGTGTCTGCTTTAATTTTGTGAATCTTTGTTACATCATGTAAGTGTTTCTATCAGCTCACTACATCCTGTCCTCGGCTGATCGTACCTTTCTTTTTTTGTATTCACAAGGCAACACGTATTTATCTGATTTTTTAAGGTTTCGCGACAAACTTATTTCTTTTCAAAGGGCGACAGCATTTTGTGGACAGGCGTAAGAGCTCGATCTTCATTTTGAAAAAGGAAAACGTCACTCATTTATTAAGAGCCAATCAATAAAGAGATTATAGCCCGAACGCGCAGGGAAAGTATCACTATTTCTTTTTTGGGCATCCTCGTTTTCTTGTTCATTTAACCAGAAAAAAAAGAAAGAAAAAAAAAAAAAGATAGATTCTTATAACAGAGTCCTTTTGACCTTTTTTGATATAATCGTTTTCGAGATTTTTTTTTTTCTAGAAAGTAGCTTAATACAACCTTAGCTTTAAAATCATACCATCTTTTTTGTGATTAATGACGGAAAAGAAACAACAACAATTTGAAACGAAGGCAATCGCAGCAAGAGAAGAAAGCAAAAACGAACAAACCAAATCAAATGTATGTAAGGAAGGGGAAAGCAATAGTGAGAGTGAAGCGACATTGAACAACAGTGGGCGAGATGAAAAGAGGGATCCGTCATCGTTAACAACAGCAACGACAACAACAACAACAACAACAACTCTTACTGAAGAAAAACAGAATCCAGCTTCTGCTTGCGATGAGCTGAAGAAAGAAGACCGTAAAGTCACAAAAGTAGAAGAAGCAGAAGAACAGGAAGGGCCCTCGCCTCATCGCGTTAAATTATATAAGATGGGTATCGATACCAATTGGGAAGATAAAGGCACGGGCTATTGTGTTTATCATTTGGTAAAGTAATCTGCATCCAATATGAAAAGACGCGATGTTTCTTTTTTTGTTTTTCATTTGTCATTAAAAAGTAGTTGATTTACCTTAGGGTAACAATGGTAAATCAGATCAAATCACTGTGTACTCTGAAGAAGATAATAGTGTTCTGCTACAGTCAACCATACTCAAAAAGCGATTATATCAAAAACAGCAAGGTACGTATAGATGCATATATATAGCCGAGAAGGCACGTTAAAGGGAGAGTGTCTTGCAAATAAATATGTTATTGGCATTAACCGCCTTCTTCATTGGCTATAGAAACGCTCATTATTTGGTCAGAAGATGTCAATCATGATCTAGCGCTGAGTTTTCAAGATCCCGAGGGTTGTGAAGAGATTTGGCGACGCATTCATAAACTACAGAATGGAATTAGTTCGTCATTGAAAGATGGTATTTTCTTTTTTTTTTTTTTTTGTCATCAAGCCAGCAATACAAGCATTTTATAAAAAGAAGTAATAACATTCTTTTATTGTTTTTCATCTTCCAGATACTGAGGATATGGAAGTAGTGTTGGTAAAATCAAACGAATGTACTTCTTTTTTTGCTGATGATGACGTTGTCGATGAAGATGATATTGACGATATGAATGGACTAGAAAATACCAGCAGTCATAATAATAACAGTAGAAGATCGTCTTCTTCCCCAGATTACGAATTAGAACTCCAATATACCAACCGCAATCGCTTAACAACACCCAAAAAGAGAATCACTTTACCTGAACCAGATCTGTCTAATTTGAATGAAATTTCAACAACGCTCTCGAAAACAAGGACCATGCTCGAAAAGGATAAGATAGCTACATTTGTAGCTGAACAGGTAAAAGAGAAAAGTACGAATACAACAATTGTAATAGGACGCAGTCTGTTAATTATAATGCGTTTTTGAATTGTAGAATTTTGCTTATCTTGATAAATTGTTAATGTTGTTTGATACCTGCGAAGATTTAGAAAGTGTGACAGACCTTCATCGTTTATATACAGTAATCATGGGCATTTGTAAAGTTCTCTAAACGTCGCTGCATGCAGAACATTACAATTTTACACATATTAACGAGTCGTTGCCTACTATAGTAAAGTTAACCGATCAAAGTCTCATTGAACATCTCGTTGACGATGAACATCTGGATACATTCATGGGTATTTTAGAATACAATCCATTAACACCCACCATGAAGGCAACACATAGAGAAGTCATAAAGAATCATAGTTCAACTCATCACACACTTTACAAGCTGCTACGCGAAGATCGTATATCAAAAAATGTGCAACAAACCTTTCGATTGGGGTTTTTACAGCATGTGATACAAGAACAAGCGTTGGCACGAAAGCCACCACCGCCAATCACATCAACACCATCCATCAATAGCAACGAAGAGTATCAACATAAGAATGATGAAGAGAACCAGGAAGAGGTTCAGGAAGTTATCAATTTCTTAAGCACGCTCATCTCCCAAAACCATGTGGAATTCATTAATCATATACAAGTCACTCAGAGCTTTTTAATTCAACTATTTGAAGCTTATCAAGAAGCTCAAAAACAGCAATCGACTGTACGACAGGATGAGATTATACAATTAGTTGGACAAATATGCTACATATCGAGACAAATGCAAAACTCTCTTCGTATGGGGCTTTATCGCAGTCTAGCGAACTTTGGCTTATTTGACATTATGTGTATTGCGTTGCGTCGAAAAAAGTTTAAATCTATGTTTTTGACGATTCTAGAGAATTGTGTGAATGCAGATGTAGCTATGGTGCGAGGTTATTTAATAGAACAAGCTGAGGAACAGGCTCAAGTGTTACTTGACAAAAATCCTAAACTTACAAAGACGAAACTAGGCAGTGATATAAAGGACGCAGTCGACAAAGCAGCAGTAGCAGCAGCAGAAGCAGCAAAGAAACCGCTTTTGATTAAAGTTATTGTAGAAGAATTTGTATCGGATGGCGATTATGGATCTAAAGTACAATATTTTGAGATTCTAAAATCTCTGTTGGATTCAAACAACAGTAATAGTACAACTTCTCCTTTGCTTAGCAGTACTAATAGTGATGTAAGTAGTAAAACGTAACTGAGTAAGGAACGGAAAGGGTCTAAGGCTTTCTCTCTTTAGTATCACAAGCATTCACCAGCAATGGATGATTTTATACAAGACTTTTACGACGAACATATGAAAGTATTGTTAAGCCCTATTCAAAAGCTGGATATCAAACCCATTTCCCTTAAGGGTCCTATCGAGCCATTGGAACTAACACCTGATCAAGCCGATTTATGCGAGTACATTTGCAAATTTTTATATTTTGCTGTTAAAAACCATGGCCATAGAAGCAAATATGTTATTTGCTCAACAGATTTACTCGTGCGACTCATGCAACTTTATCGATCAACCTATGCATCTTTGAAATTAGGTAATTCAATTCACTGAATCATCGATATTATAGACACACGCGCTCACTAGATAACATTGGTTAACTTCATTCGTCTGGTTTTATTTTTGGGTGTATAGCTGCTCTACGGTTCTTTCGGATCTGCATTTCTTTAAACGATAACTTTTACAACCAAACCTTTGTGAAACACAACGTCTTTGAACCAGCAATACGTGTTTTTCTAGATACGAATGGAAAAGATTGTTTATTGAATTCAGCATTCCTGGAATTGATAGAATGCATTCGAAAGGTAAACTGGAGAAACGAATAGGTTGTTTGCTGTTGTCCGTCTTCAAATTTCCTAACTTAGCAATTCCTTTTTTTTTTTCGCCTCTAAACAGGAAAATATGAAACCATTGATCCATCATTTGATCACTCAGTTTGGCTCAGTGTTGGACACGATTACTTATATATCAACATTTAAACAGCTCAAGCTAAAGTATGAACAAAATACAGAGCCAATGAAAGATACAATGTTGTCTACAACGGGAGCCGATAGTGCAAGCAATAAAACAGGAAAACGCGAAGGGTGGGCTTCTTCTATTGTTGATCTTGAAGAAGAAGAATATTTTGCCACTTCAGATGACGATGAGGACGAAGGCCAGGATGATGTTTTGTTAAAGCGCAGTGAACCCAAGATACCAAAAATTTCAACGAATGATACGGCTTCTTTTAAAGCATTGAATAAGAGAGCGCTTGTAAACTACGATGACGATGATGATAGTGACGATGACGTTGCTGATGTTGTTGTTCAGGACAATGGCAGTGATCACAAGATACAACAAGAGCAGCAACAATCACCAACAAATAAAAGAAAGTTCGAAGAAATAGCAAAAGAAGACGTGACAACCGAAACAGCAGAGTCAACTTCTACGCCTCCCCCGTTGAAATCGCGGAAAACAGATGAAGACGAAGATGATGTCTTTGCTCGACGTTTATCTTCCTCTTCAACAACCAAAAGCGGATCAATATCATCTGCCCAGCAAACTACCAATACAGCACCTACCATTATTAACGCTAATACCGATACCAATAACAATAGTACTCCCTCGTCATCACCATCCGCTTCAGCAAAGTCTGGACCCAGATTTGTGATAAAAACATCTCCTTTGAAACGGACGCGTTCCGAATCTTTTGAATAAAAAGAGGTTCTTCACGTCATAAATATGTATTTTACTCGTACACTTTATCGTTTTATGTATATACTGCTCATTTAGGATCTCTCTGTCTAATTAGTAAAGGAAAGCTAAACGTTTATATCACAGGAAAAAAGAAAACAGAATTTTTAAATGTTCTGCTGAGCTGGCTTGTTGCCCATAGCTGGTTTCTTTATTATCATTGTTTTGCGTGCAAATTTTTTTTCCCCAAACATAAATGACATACAGAGGGAACAAGTAAACAAAAAGAGAAAGGTATCATTATGAAAAAAGGGTTCAACAACAAAGTTCGTCTACAGTTGCTAGATTATAAGCTGTAGGAGTTGGCGTAAAGTCATAAGAAGAAGGAGGATATCTACGTTTAGCATTGGGAATCATGGATAAGTCTAATGGCATGATTTCGGGTCGACGTCGCTTAGAAGCTGCCGTTGGCGGTGATGACGAATAACAGGTATGATCTTGTGAATTGCTATTATTTATAGTGATAGATTGCGTATGAACATTCATTGTGTGTTTGTCGAAACTAGAAGGCGTTTGTATTGTTAACAGAGACGTAGTTGATATTGGTGATATCGTTATTTTCTGGTCTAATGGTTGTTGCTCAGCTGCTATAGCTAATGCTTCTGATCTCATTTTAGAAAAGGGAACAGTGACAGATAAACAGAACCGATCATATTCATCCGCACTATAAGTTGTGTAGACTTTGTTTGCGCCAAGGTTGAATTGCACACATTTCTTTATCATATCGTAATGTATCGTTTTCTGCTAGTTTGAATGTGAAAAGGAAAAAGGAAAAGAAAGCAACAAACAAAATTAGAAACCTGAAGGCTCTTTATTATTTATTACAAAAAGAAAAAGTTTCCCTTTTCTATTCTTTTAATGCAAAACGGTACTTGTTTCTATTTTCAGATGACAAGCACTTTGTTTGTTAAAGCAAATCCACCAATCATGAAGCGTCTTTATAATCCTTGATGAGGCTGGATTATTTTTTACAGAAAAAATGAAATGTTCTTTTCAGTAAAGATGCGCTGGTTCTACCTTACCTAAGTCATTACTCATCACTATGGCTATAAACGTCACAGTCAAAGTTGTCGTGTAAACAATTATAGATGAGGAAGTCGTGCGACCTGTGTGTCTTTTCTGAAGCAGTCAATTTATTTGTTTAGGTACCTGTATCACGTCATAAAGGCCTAAAGCCGCATATGCATACACTCTTTACCCGCCACACTTTCTTGTATCTTTAAGAAAGCGAAAAAGTCAAATTAACTTTTTTGGAAAAGTGGCAAACGTTGTCAAGAATTCCGTAGCAAATTTACGAGCCGCCACTACAATTCTCTAGATTTGGAATTTGACCAGTTTCGTGCCGGTGATAATAGGAGAAGGATCAAGATGTTTCTTTCCAAATCGATAGCCATTATGTTCTTTTGCTGTATAGACATTGCGGTTCCATAATAATTTACAAGTTTTACAGGCAAGGATACTTTGGCCAGGAACAGTCTTTAATGCTTCAACAGTGTTGGAGCGGCAATTATTGCATATTCAAAAAGTTAGATATCCTTCAATGGTTATTACGAGTAAATCACCAGCATCCTCCTAGAGCATGCCATCGCCAAATACAATCAAAGGGACCTTTTTCGTGCCGCCTACACTGAAGGGGTCAGGCATCTACTTGCTTTATTGTCGGCAGCACGCTCTCGACCCTAATACAAACGAAATATGTCTTCAGCAGTGATTTCTGTGACTTTGGAATGAGCTCCAAAGTCAAGATAGTTCTGTCTTCTTTTGCTTTCTTTTTACGGCTGAACAACGCGTTTAGGGTCAGTTTAACTTGTGAATAACATTCATTTGATCCTCTTTACAAAGCCTCGTAAACCGCAATCCTGCGCCTATTGCTAATAAAGTCACCCGCTGAAATATTCAGTACGTCTTTTGATACTTTGAACATCGGGTCGCTATCAATTGAATTGACAGGGAAGAAGGCATAGAATTGGCGTATACATTTACAAAAATTTAGCGGGTTTATTGATATGATATCTTTTATTTGGCGGGTCTGCTAATAAAGTGTGCCCTACTCCTCTTTTAACCAACTCAAGTCTTCGATATGACATAAGAGTAATAGGAAAATACCTGCAGAATACTTGATCTGATGTATTATTAAGGAATAAATTGAGGAAACTGCGTAGCTTGACTAGATTTATTGACAATTTGCAGTTGAGAATTTAGCCGTCAAACTACTGAACAATTAATGACTGACACTAAAGTAAACAAAAAGAGAGGTAATATCTATATGCAAGATTAAAATGCTTGGTAGACATCAACAATAGTAAAATGCAAGATAGTGGTGAAACGAAGGGAAAGAAGATAAAGAAATTTATGCAGTATGTAATTTAACAGTAAACTACAGAGTTTCATCTAATCGAACACGTTATAGCCCATACCAGCCAATGTCAAATCGTAGATGATCATAAACAAAATGGAAATAGACAATGCACTACAGCACACAATAGCCAAATAAAAAGGATTTAACCATCGCTTTGGGTGGAAAGCAATAAAGCGGTCTTTTTCATGCTGCAATTCTTCAGGTGTCATGATCAGTTCACCTTCAGTCTTAGACATGTCTGCCATAACAGAAGCAGTATTAGTACCTTCAGGTGGGACGACAATAGGAGAAACAACCGATGATTTAAATGAGAATACACTTGCTAGCATAGAAGAGACATTGTTGTTGTTAGCTGGGGTAATTGCTGAAGTCATTCGTGGTGATGCCTTTACATTAACAGGAGCAGCGGCTTGACTTATTTCTGGTGAACCAGGAGCGACAGAAGAGTGTTTATTGGGAGGTGCTAAGCTATTCGTATGACAAAACTTGCTGTTGTTATTGTGCTGCTGCTGCTGCTGGTCATTGAGTGGTGTAGTAGTATTGGCTGTTGTGGCGGGACCAGAAATGCCCAATCCACCCATTGTACCGTTGTTGCTGCCTATTGCTAGATTAGGGGATCGTTGCAATGGTTGTTGTTGTTGTTGGCCTACTGTTGCTGTGAAACGAGGGGAAGAAGGAACATTCAAACTGTTGGGATAAATTGAAGAGTCAAGGTTACTCTTGTTTGGTAATTGCTGTTCTGTAAAACCGTTCTCAATGCCAGCAATTTCGCTATTGTAGACAATAGTAGGTGGTATTTTCTGTTTAGGGTCGTTACGGTATACATTCATATTTGGTGAATATTGGCTGATGATAGATTGTTCCATTTGACTGTGATAGGAAGGCCTAATACTGGAACGCCGAATGGAGATGGAATAATTGTCATCAGGATTGAACATACGTACATCATTATTATCCGGATTCATCAAAACAGGTGAGTGAGGAAATGTGGGAGAGTGGTGTTGTTGATTAATGGATGGAGACTTTTCATTGATTTGAGGCAGATGATCTTCGAGCTGAGTAGCTTGGTCGTTTAAATCTTCGATAGGCTCAACTGAAGCAACATACTTTCGTGATACAAAGTATAGAATGAAAGGCAAGATATAATTGACAGTCTAAAGCATGTTGAATCAATAACAGAGTCTCCAAAATTGCTTTTTTGAATCTATTCTAAAAGTGCGAGTACCCCCACTACTTACCGACTGAAAGAATAAGCTACTCCAGTTTTGAATAACACCGACATAACTCTTTGTTTGCAATGGTCTACCAATGACGAATTGAGGGGAAAAAACAAAAAACAACGAACAAAGTCAATTGAAGTACACTCCAGATCAAATAGTACAGTTAAGGCATTTACATGCAAATAAACCATGGAAATAAGTTCGACCAAAATGTTGCCCATGCAGGACTACATATTTCACCTCGCAATAGGTTCGAGCGGATTACAATTGCAAAGACCGGAATGGAAGTGATCAAAGCACATACTGGAAATATGTATGCTGTGACTTTTGAAGCAACAGACCCTACAGATGTGAGAGAGAAACATATCAGTGAATCACACGCCTCATGAATCAAATTGAGAAGTAACTTCGCTTTTTTACCCTGTGTACTGAGTACCGTTAAAATTTCACTAGAAGGGTCCATTTTATATGCCATAGCACCACAAATGCCTGAGTAGCATATTTAGAAACGCCTAACATTAGTGGTAATGTCAAGAAGTGCTATCAATATTGCTCACTTTGCTTACCCAAAACAAGATAAAAAATGGTTGATATGAAAACAGAAACCCACATACACTTGTGAATATTCACTCCTGGCTTTAAACTATTCACCCAAGATGGGATCTACAATTGAAGGTGTTTGTCTGAATTTGTGTGCCTTAGTTTTTGTACAATCAGCCATTCGTAAACTTACTGTTGTGATATAACTATAGTTGAATATAACAATTCCTAACACCATAGTGGCATTGGGTCCACTAGCAGGTAACAGTGAAGTATCTAATCCTTCTTGACCGAATGCAACAACCCATTGTATCAAAATAGCCGTTAAAACGATAAAAGAGATCATCTGAACAAAAATATTCTCTACTAAACTAAAGAAACCTAGAGGAATGACAATGGCAGCCGCTAATGCAAAACCAAAAGTGAAGATATAGTAATCGCTATCAGGGAAAGGAGAGTTGCCGGTAAGGCCATCAGACGCACTGACACAAAACCAGCCACCAGGGCTGATACCTAATCCGCATGTACCTTTGAACAAGGTAATTAACATACTATCGAATGTCTAGTTTGAAATGTTTAAAAAAATGCGAATTTTTTTCAAATATGAGTACCCAACAACGCATTAAGGATGTACAATACCTGTGCTGCTATAATGATACTGGCTACATTGACAGACTGTAGCGCTAAGAACAGTAACAGTTGGAAGACATAGTGATATTTTCTACCTAGATACACCTGGGCGATAGTAGTCAACTCCACTTTTGCCTATAGCCCAGAAAAGAGATGACGTGCGCCTAAGTACTATATTCCATGCTTTAAAAATTCAACTCTCGTGTGTACCTGAAACTTCTCATTTCCTCGAATGTTGGATAAAGCTTCGCAGACAAATAATGCTGAGCAACCTGACAATAAGGCAACGATGCAAAAAATGAAAACAGGCGCTACCCAACCTGACTACATATGAGTTATTGATATAGACAGTAGATGAAATATATTATAATTATAACTCTTAGTTATCTGGAATATTGTAACAAGACTCGTTAACTTCTCTGTTTCTAGTTTACCTGTTGAAATGTTATTGGAATGGTAGATAGTCCTGGCCCCTATTCGTTTTCGAAAATATAGATAGTATGATTGTAACCGCTGGTTTAGTGGCCTTATCGTAAAAGGTTGTCATGCTTCTGAACAATATTTATCGCAAAACGTTACAGTCATTGATGAAACTAAAAGGGCTGTACTGCCGAAGCTTCCAATTCCTTTCACTGTCGACATGGTTATGTAGTCAATACACGAAAAGCAAAAAGTAACAAAAAGGGTTTCTAGTTCAAGAAAACAAAAAGTTCTCTCTTTAAATATGCTTTGAATTGTTTATGCGTTTGTTATTTGTTTTTACTGAACAGTGAGAATAAAAGACCCACTTTGGGATAATTATACCATAATTGGATTTCTTTTGAAACAAATTGTATATGTTGTGACATATTCAATCAAGGAAACCTAAAAAGACGGTTTAGCTTGGAGATCATTAGTGCATGCATCCCCTTCATATTTCAGATCTCGGAGACATACCTCACGCGTATTCCGGCTATCGAGCTACATAACTTTGAAGCTTACACAAAGTAATTCTGGCTGTATAACGGGCAATGAAAGCAATCAATGTAGCCCTCTGTATTTACTTGCTTGCATGTGAAACTTTGAATATATGTACTACAAACAATGCTCTAAGTTCTTGTTTCATCTTTTGATGTTATTCGCTCGATCGGAAAGCATTTTTCATGGCCCTTTGTTTGATTGTGCTTCTCTCGCATCAATGATAAAACAGAAGTAGCAAATTAGAAGCTTATATTGCGGTTTCATCATCACCTGATAAAGAGCAGACTCTGTTTGTGGGTCATCCAATCCAAGTTGCATCTCATTTTCTGATTTTGGGTAGCGATATGATGTATTAGATCCATCTTCTTCGAAACAATCTACAAGTGCGATATTATTTCGCCTTACACTGTTTTCGAAACACTGTGATGTTTATGGATTATGTTGTATGCACGAGTAGACCACTTTCAACGTCTGACAAGATATTAAAATAGAAGTTTTGATCCCTAATATGAGCAAGGTTTTTATCTTTGTTCCTGTTTGGTAAGCGGTGTGTTCGATTGTATATACATCATACTTCGGATCAAATGTTCAAATTTGATAAGATAAGAATATAGATTAGAATTAATTCTTACGTAAAATTAGCTACTTCACATACGAACAGAACAGGTTGTCTTCATGGATTATATTTCACTCATGTTACCTATGGCAATATGACGTTTAGGTATGTAGAAGTATTAGTATATGTGTTTGTAGGGTAAATTAATTCAACAGCCGGAACATAGTAGGTCACGGCACTGTTCCTTGTTCCGAAAAAAGTATGGTTGGGAATGAAAGACCCAATCATTATCTTTTTATACAACAAATGTTCCCGCAATCAGCAACATTATGCACGTATATCTCTTTCTAGCTAATATCTTTAATCATTTCTGCAATACTTGAGCTACAGAACTGATGGGATCTACTAGCTACGAGGTAGACGAGCAACTATCTGCCTAAAAACAAATCCTAATCTTTTACAGAAATCTGTGGCACACTGGGCATTATTTGATCATAATACATCAGGCACAACTATAGATCCCGTTATATTCTGTAGACAGCAAACATAATAACTTTTATAATAGCAGTAGTTTTTGTTCTTCTTTTCTATTACTTTGTTTTTTTGAGAGAGAATAAAGACGGTGGTTTGATCTCGTTAAGCTTTCATGTTCATTTTTTCTTGTGTGGTATTTCCATACCTCCTATAATGTATAAAGACGAATCAGATACACCTTCAAGCATTTGACTCGTTATTATGATCATAGAATCGTAATAACACTTGTACACGTCATCTTGTACTTCTAGAGATGCGCATATATAATGCTGCATTATTACTGGCCGAGAAATTAAGGAACAAGGACTTTTTTTTTTTATAAATACGTTTAAAGAGATATTTTATTACAATTAAATTTTACACAATGAGCACACAGATAAATACTTACCAAAATTGCCCTGGGAGGTTCAAGGAAAGTGTGAGGGAATTAAAAAACCTTTAACGGGACAAAGAAAAAAGGGAAGATGATCAGAGGCAAACTAGGGAATAACGGAATGATCAAGGTGTAATTATCGCGGGCGCATACGTCCAATCCAAGAGTAGCTGTCCTAGATTTTCCGGCGGTGTCGGAGGCTCCTTTTTATAAATACAAATATTCAGTTTGCTGTGAACGCTCCCCTCTCTAATTTTCAGTGCATAAAAAGACTAAAGGAGACTCATTTCACCTTGCAGTTTTTATCAATTATAAGTCGCGTTCACAACTACAAATAACCACAAATATCATATCTTGCGTTATTTTTTATTTAATCCAAAATTGTAAATCGTTTGTTCATTTGCTATCGAGCAACTTGTACTTGTCAATTATTTATAAACCCGGTTCAAGCACAAAGTAACTTTTAAATAGCTTTTACTTTATCTTTTACATTGGGTAGCAAGAATATTACGTTCAATACAGTGAATAGTTTTATAGATAGGATAAAAGGCTCCAGTTTTTTTCTAATCGACAAAATTATACTCAAAATACAGCTTCGCCTACCAAAGTATGAGACACAAAACGATCTACTTTAGTTCCCGACAGCTCTTTGTCGCTCAATAAGAGCTTTCCTTGAGTTACTTGATCACGTGAACTACGTTTATAGACTTTTTGGCTATAACAAAATTCTTAAATTCATATAATAACTGCTCGCTTAGCTCAGGTTAAAGATTTTTGTTTATTGAAAATAGTACATAAAGCAGGCGATTAATTTTATCATTATTGCTATACTAGGGGGAGGAACAGGTTGAGAGCAAAAAAACTATTCTATAAGGTTCAATCAAGAGATAGAAAAAGGGGAGAGTGGGAAGGAAGGGGAAATTATTCGTACTGGTGAAAAATTAGTAATGGCTGATCGCTTGGCAGCTGTGTATTAAGGGTTGTGACAGTGCAAGTCGAAAGCAGTCCACGAAAAATTAACCATTTTCGGAAGTTGAATGGGAGGCAGCGTAATTACGCCAAAGCGCACCTGGGTCAGGGTCTTCTGGAAATTTCACATTTGGTTTAACAAGGCATTCAATATACCACAGCAGTGTCAGTAACACAGGCCAGTAATGGCAATATTGAGATGGATCTGTTGGCAGCCGATTGAGTGCATGATCAATTGTATGAGTTGTCGGAGGGGCTTGAGGGAGAGATTCCCATAGTTCACTGGGAATAGCATCACATTCGTATTTGTCAAAATGACGACGAGATGTGTGGTCGCGATCGCAATTGCAGTCGTGTGGGGCCCCAAGAAGCCAACCTAAACGCCAGCGAATAAGTCGACTACGATCAGTACGAGTGGCAGGAAGAGTCAAAATGGGATCGATTTCTAGTTTGGCTCGGCATGCCCGTGCCAGTATATGACGAGATGACTGAGTATCACGAAATGCAGTATAAAGTTTTTGACGGTCATCGTAAAGAAAGGGGGCAGCAAAGGATGTGATGGTAGTTGCATCAGTGTATGATTTATACAGGCGATTGGCTTTGAGCTTGTTGATATATGTATCATTACCCCGAGAATGATGTAGTAACAGGACAAGAGAGTCAGCGGGGAGTGTTGGTAAACGGAGGCAATACTTACTTTGTAGAACTTCCATTCGCCATTGGATAGCAGGTATCATTGTGAGGATTTTCAATACAGTAGTAGAAGTATGTGGATTGCCACCTATGAGTAGACGAAGGCATCGATTTTGGAGCTGTTCAAGTTTATTGATATCCTTGGTATGCATCATAGTTATCGCGACACCGTATTCAAATTTAGGTCGAATAAAGGAGCAGTATAATCGGGCACTGAGAGAGAGAGAGAAGCCAGATCTATGAGCGCCCATCTTGTGTAGTGTGGCCATTGCAGCAAGGGTTGTTTTGCTACGTGAGCGGGCAAGGGCAGAGCTAGATATACCTCGCTTAGTAAAGGGGATACCAAGATAGATAACTTCATCAGCAGTAGGAAGAGCAACCCCATATAGGGTTAAAGGATTGGAGTGAGCACCAGTAGCGGTGCGGGCGGTAGGATGGTTAAGAATAACGCATTTCTGCGGGTTCCATCGGTATCCAAGTTGATGGGAATGGGTAGCAGCATCATTTAGCATTGTTTGAACCTCGGAGCGAGATCCAATGATAGCGACATCATCAGCGAATAATAAAGAATTAATAGCAATAGATTCAGAACTAGTAGGGAGTTTGACTTTGGTAGTTAAGGAGGAAGCGGAACGTCGGAATATAGGTGGTAGTGTATTTATGTAAACAGAGTAGAGTAAAGGACTAAGCACAGAACCTTGTAGGACACCGGTTTTGGGCTGGAATGTTGGTGAGTGGTGATTATCAATAAGAACAGAAATATAAACATCATCGAACAAGTGTTGTAGAAGAGTGAGTAACGGCAAGGGAATAGTTCCGTGCTGGCGAAAGGCTTTCCAAATAACGTTACGGTCAACTGTGTCGTATGCTGCTTTGATATCCAAGAGGCCGACCACTGGTAATTGAAATCGATGTGTTTGTTGATAGTCTTGTATCAGTTCATGAAGGCATACGGCCTGGTCAAGGGCACTGCGTCGTTCGCGAAACCCACCCTGGGCTACATCTAAAACAGGAGCGGATTGCTTGATAGCTGGTTGAAGAACGACTTCAAATAACTTACGGAGGACCGACGTTAATGAGATTGGTCGGTAGTTACTCGCTTGCGTAGGATCACCTTTTTTGAAAATAGGAAACACCTGTGCATGACGCCAGGAAGAAGGAACGGTACCCCAAGAGTAGCAGAGAAGAAATAGTTTAGAGAGGAGGGGGGCGATGATATTAGCGAGAGGTTGGAGCATTTCAGCTTTCAGATGGTCAATACCGGGAGCTTTTTTACGAGGTAGAAGGTTAATATAGTGAGTAATGGTAGTCGGTGAAAAGAGGGTAGTTATGTCCGTAGAGTATGGTGGAAATAAAGGAAGCTGTAGGCCAAAGTCAATAGATGTGGGTGGGTCGTCTAGAAAGTGTCCGTCATATACGGATTCTAAATACTCAGCCATAATGGCTGTTGCGGTGAGAGGGCCATCAGGATGGTTAAAAGTGCAAGATTGGTCCCGTTTTCGTTTTTGATTTTTGATTTGGCCTTGGGCTTTCATGAAGTCTTCCTCTAGTCGCTTA